GTACAGTTACTTCTCGAGAAGGGGGCGGACGTCAACGCTTCATATAACTATAGCGAGACGGCGCTATATAGAGCGGCTTTCTCTGGGCACACAGCAATAGTACAGTTGCTTCTCGAGAAGGGGGCGGATGTCAACGCTTTGTGTAAAGATGGGAAGACGGCGCTACATGGAGCGGCTTGGAGCGGGCACACAGCCATAGTACAGTTGCTTCTAGAGAACGGGGCGGATATTAAGAGTCTCGACAATAATCCTGAACTGCGCGACTATTGTATATCTTTAGCCAAGTCCTAACTTCGAGGTTTATACTTGATAAACATACCACGTGGCTACCTTATTACCTTCTACCTCTATTGCTCGAGATACTGTATTAATTAGAAGACCGATAATAATTCGCGGTTTGAATCTGCTCTTTGGCTTTGTGTTTTAGTACCTTCAAATTATGTTGAAGGGGGTTGGTTCTTAAGGATAGCTATTAGCGACACGATAAGTGGAACATATAATCAGCCACGAAAGATAAATAGAAAGTTTCAACATGATTATGAGAATACGATCTTGTTATTAGGTTGCCAAATGCATATATGCGTGTCTAAATGCAGCATTATATACACCAAGCTAAAGAATGTTCCACCCGTATGTTCTCGAGATGTTTTGATATTTATAAAGTCCATTCACGTCAAGACAATCCATCATTACTTTTTTGAAAGGCAAGTCTAAACTCCAGCGCTATGTCCGCTCACAAGTAAATGTAGCAGAAGGGGCCCTTGGTGGTGCTCATGATATCACGCATAGCTAAGGTCGTTCCTCCAGCATATCCGGTGTTGATGGTGAAGTCCAGAGTGGTGTCCTCGGATGGTGGGATGTTGAGAAGGGTGTTGGTTCCTGCGAGAGCGAAGGTGCGCGTCGCGGGGCTAAGAGCTTGCCTGAAAGATGTTAGATGTGGGTGTGGATGTTAGGTATAGCGAAGACTTACCAGAGGGTCCAGAGACGGTCAACTTGGGCGTGGTGAAGATAGAAAGCGGGGTCTCCGGGAGAGACGAAGAGATCTCCACCTGGGTCACCACCGATGGTGTAGTGACCGCCTCCGTGAGGGCCGATGGTGTTCTCTCCTGGAGTACCTTGCAGCTCCAATTGGAAGGATGCAATGTCACCCTTCAACAGGGCCTCTACAAAACAAAGCGGAGTCAGCGATGTTCCATATTCATCTCCCGTGATGTGGGGTTACTTACTCAGGACAAGGGCATAGTTGGTGTACTTGGTGGCAATGGCGGGACCGACATCTCTCTTCAAGCATCTCGGGTTATATCCCAAGCCGTTTTCAGGGCCGGTAGTCGAGTTGGCCAACCCGATAGGACCAAGGTTGACAGCCATGTTCTTGAACGGGCCGTTCTCGACGCATCCTCCACCGAGGCCTGGTGCCAGGTAGATGGGCTCGGATCCAAGGCCATCGAACGCAGGCAGGAGCGTGATTCCTTCATGACCAGGGATGAGCTTTCCATTTCCACCCATGGAATAGGCGTCTCCGTTGAAGATCGGCGAGTTCTGGGGAGCGCTCGCATACTTTGGCCAGTCCCAGTAGGGAATTGGTCCCTTGTAGCCACATTCAGTGCGGAGTGCTTGCTCATACACGTGAACGTAGTACCTGTGCCACCCAAGGAAGGTACCACTGTAATGGATGAAAGGGGTTTGCTGAATGTGAGTTACGATGAAGTCATCGAACTAATTGAGATTAGCAAGTTTCCCTTTAAGACTGCTTTGGAGATCTTACTCTAGATCTGGCACCCGAGGAGACACTAGCGGGAGTTTTGTTTGGCTTGCTTTGCAAGCACTGGACCGCATCTGTGTAGGCCTTGCGGTCGGCTTTCGCCATGCTGCCACTACTCCATGTTAGGAATCCTGCGAAAACATTCTGGGGCACAGCAAACTTACAACTCCCGTCTGATCTGCAGGTTCTTGACTGTGCATGCGGGTGTTTGTCCACGCTTCTGCATTTGGGCTGCGTCGGCCTCAAGTGCAGCGAGCGTTGTGTCGAGCGCCTGCTGCTGCAGCTCATCCAGTTTTGCGGCGGCATCCTCCTCACTACCCCGAGCGACAATGGGGTCTGCAAGCCCAGCAGCTGGGGCGCCGATGACCGAGGGGAGAAGAGCGGCAAGACTAGCCAAGTAGGCTGCGGTGGAAAGTCTCATGATGGCGGCTTATTATTGATTCAGATATAGAGGTAGGCCGGTGGAGTGTATGAAGCACTTGCAGAACTTGGAGAAAAACGTGGCAACAGAGGGGCAGGAATGCAGATATAAAGAGATTCTCAAAAGCACAGAGATCGCCGGAAAGCCGGTCCCACACTGGCATTATACAGGCTTCCCACGAGAGCTCATAGATCTTAGTGGGCCATCCGTCCCAGCGGCCTGGGTTCCATAATCTAGCAATCTCGTTTTGATATAAGCAGACACTACTGTACTATACCGATAGTACGAAATATTGGAAGGCAGGAAGAGGCCCCAGCCTATTGTATCGGATCAATACTATCCCCCACTCCCGCAAAGGAGGGGGGGCTAGGTACAACCGTACAAATTGGAGTATTAAACGGAGTACAAACTGTACGTAGTAGATGTTCCTGAATACTAGGTTCAGAAACAGGGTCTAGCACTAACACAAGGATAGCACAAGGGCTATTATGGTTTTCCCACTGGTGACGGGGCCTTGTATTGGCCCGCCCACGCTACTGTAACCGTGGACAGCATTGGACCCTGAAAGGGACCCTGAATGAACCCGGAACTACAACCTTGTTTCCCCGTTCGCAACCAAGGGCAAGGCGAGACGAAGTGCGTTCTGTAGCAGTGTAGCCTGTACGGAGTGGGAATACCCTCGCAAACGACGTATTCCAGAGCAAGGTTGGTGGCAATGCGACGAGAAGAAGAGGAGAAGAGCAATGCTTGGTGAGCGGCACAATCAGCGCCCACGATCATCGCCACGTGGAGCGCTTGCCGCCATGATTTTGAGACCTGTTGCAGATCATGATCGTCCATGCCAGTGCCGAGTGCTCAGCGAATGTTCGACATTATCATTGCCTTTCGTAATCAGCACGAAGTGTTGTTGAGCCTTAGTGTTGTTCTGTCGTAGCGATGCTGCCTGCTCAAGTGTGGAGGTGGAGGGATCTCCTTCGTAGCCTACTTGGGACTCGAGTAGTTCGTGCTACGCTGGGCTGTTAGCTGCACTAGAGTACGTAAGTAGTATTCCGCGACAGCCAGCGCCAGTAGCAATGCTAGATGCGTGAAGTTCGTAACGCAGCACTCTGTTTGCACTTTGCATGAGGACTCCGCGACGAGACCGTACATTGGCATATTGGCATGGGCCGGTGGAAGTGCTCGGTCCCGGAGCATGGGCTTGGTGCGGACAATTTCCAAGTATTATTGAAGCACCAGATATTGTATTCTTCTCGTTCCAGCCAACTGCCCGGGCCGGGCGAGACAAGCCCGGTGACTCTCGGAGAGGCCTGGTTCTGTGCTGGTGGAAGCTGAGGCCTGGTGTTCGAAAGCTGCTACCGTTAGCACGGCAATTGCTTATGTCTATGTCAACTATCAACACCAAGTCATGTCATAAAACCTCGGAATAGTAACAGGCCATCCAGGGGCTCATTTCATGCCCACCGCCCACCGCCCCAGGGGTAAGGTAACGTAGCTTACGCTGCGCGCCGTCGGTCGTCCCCGGTGGGACCATGGACGGAGAAACTGGACGAACAGGAGGTACGTAGGTACAAGTGCAACACATTTACGTAGGTACAGGTGCAACACATTGCTCAATTACTACGTACGAAATACGAAAATACTGTATCATACGATACGGAGTATCGGGCAATCTGCACAGACGAACCATACCATCTCCAAATAATAAGCGTTGGCCCGAAATGTTTCTGTCCGGGGGCGAACGGCTTCTCGGGTGGTAATCTAATTAACTTTTTCCAGCGGGAATCGGGATTCACAAATAGAACACTACTACGCTACTCTCCACTACAAACACCACTACTTACTACTACTACTGCTAAGTACTTACGACCAACAAAAAAAACCCACACAAAACTACTCACGCAAGCCGCAATCGCAATTGCAAGCTGCGGCAGCCATTGGCATGGGCCGACGCCCGCTCTTGTATCTCCAGCAACCTTCCCGTGTTCTCCGTACAGTATGTCTCATCGCTCGACGCTTGTTTCTCTCTTTCGCAAAGATTCCCCAATTCCCCAGTTCCTGCGCTTCCGAGCTTCTGGCTCGTGGGGAGGCGGAGCTGCCATTCGGTTCGTCTGGACGGTACTTCGCACCCCCTGCGCGGACGCCGGAGTATCGTCTGTCTCGTCGCATGGATGGATCGGTATGCGGAGTAGGGTCTCCAAACAAGCAGGTAATTGCTGTCCTGGGGCGCCGGTTTCCGCTGTTTTGGCTGTCAAACCTCATACTCGGTAGAGTCTATATCAGAGAGTCTATACATATTGTACCACGTCGTACGGACAAGGCCCAATAATGCTCAATGCTACCGTCGTACTAAGCGGTACAGACGGTCCTGTGCAGTACCGCGCCAGCCCACCATCCCCACGGCTGTAGTTCCGATCCAAGTCGCGAGTACTACGGGTTCCAGTGTAGAGTCTCTTTCCCACAAGGAAATGCCTGCTGCGTCTGAGTCGTACTGTTCTATGTACAGTACAGTACCGGGACAGGGCAGATAGGTCGAAGTAGGCTGCGGCCTGATTTTTACTGCCCGCTGTGGTGGTGTATGGGGTATGTCTCTGTTTATACTGCGCTAGGCACTGGTACTGCAGAGTATCAACTCTGCGGTACGAGGCTCTCCCCCACTCTGTAAATCTTCCGTGAAAGCCACCACTTTGCTTATACTCCGTAGCAGAGCTGTAGCTTCCCGCCACCGCGCAAGCCCCTGGTCATGATTCTATCCACTTACAGCTAAGTAATGGTGTGCCTCGTATATAGTGCTCTAGGTACAGTAACTACAAAACCACTGCCTTTCTTAACCCTTTTCTGCTAAGAGCTGACCTGCGTGCAGCTATACCGAATGTGTTAGTCTAATGCTACACGCTAGGTCCACTACCGGGACTGTCGGCGGCGCAGTAGCACAAGTATCCAACTACCAGTTCTACGCCGGCGTCGAAGAACGGGCTAGTATGGAGAGGCTGGTCAGCCTCTCAGATGAGCCGTATGCACCGGCCAAGACAGTTCCATCTCAAGGGCGAAGTTTCGGTCGTTTTGAAGGTGGACATTTTAAAATTTGGTAGTGGCGTATGCAGACTGGCCGGGCAGCCAGGCACAGCGAGTGTCGTCTCCCTTCCAGAGTTGTGGCGAGTGTCTGAAAAAGGAAGTTGGAACTTCGAGGTCCCCCTCCAAGGACAAGCCTTGTTCATGCCAGGTCCGATTTCCTCTTGCCCTTACCACGCATAGTAGCACTGTTTGGCCTGTCATTATCGTTTGTATCATAACTTCATAACTTCAAGAACCCCCCTCCCTTCCCCCCCCTTCAAGAGTCTCCCTGGATCCGTCATGTCAGCCAACTTCCGCTGATACCACTGACGATGAATTGGCCTGGTGAAGTTTAATGAACATTACGAAGTAAAAAACTCTTATTACCAGGACCATATCGAATCCTTCAGCACTACCTGGGCAATGGAAGGACCTCCACCTGCGCCAGGCTTTGGCCAGCCGGATGTCAATCACAATGTCGCCATCAACAGTGCTGTGGCGGTGACTACCTGCGTCGCCCTCCTTGCTGTTGGTGTGAGGATGTGGGTTCGGATTTCCATGGTTCGCTCGGTGGGATGGGACGATTACTGGATTCTTGCCGCGATGGCTCTGTCATTCTCGGGTTGGATGGTGACAATTCCTTCTGTCACTTACGGTGCTGGGCGTCATACCTTCTATATCCTCCAGGCCGTGGGGCCGGAAAAGATGAAGACTGGACTGAAGCTCAATTTCGCGGCCCAAATCATCTACGTCTTTGCGATCGCTGCTATCAAAGTCAGCATTGGACTGTTCTTGCTTCGCTTTACTTCCTCGAAGGCTTACAAAATACTCATCTACTCCATTCTTGGCTTTTTGGCGTTCTATACAATTGCTGGAACGGGTGAGTGCTGATCTCCGATGAATAGCGATGATCTTCCCCCTTTTGAGAGTTTTCTAAGGCTGAATCTGTATCATTAGCATCGTTGATGGCACAATGCACACCGTTCGACGCTCACTTTGATTTCACTATCCCGGGGGCAGTTTGTTACCCAGTAAAGGTGTCGCAAGCCTTGGCATATACCAATGCAGGTATGTCTCAAAAAAAGAAAACTATTTCTCCGAACCGTGTATTCTGGAAGCCAGACTGCTGACCATCCCAGCCTGTGGAATCTTCACCGATGTCGTCTTCGCCCTCTTGCCTATTCCGCTACTCTGGAAGTTGCAGATAAATAGGCGTGTCAAGACCTCAATTGTTGGCATCCTGTCGCTCGGTATCTTGTCGGTTCTCCCTTCTCTCTGACTGCAGAAATACCAACTAATGCCTCTGGTAATCTAGTGCCGCAACTGCTTCCGTAGTTAAGACGTATTACGTGACCAGCTATGGAAAATTTGGAGATTTCCTCTGGGACAGCACATACCTCACGATCTGGATGACAACTGAATGCAACGTGGGAATTCTCGCGGCGTCTATCCCGGCTATGAAGCCTCTCTTCAAGGTCGTTCTCGGCTCAACCTACGGTACCGGCTACCTGGGAGGACCAAATTCCCGGTACAACAAAGGGTATGCACAACATGCTTCGACTGGGCGCAACACGGAGGGGGATGGCGGTTTTAACTTCGAGCTGCGCGAAAACCAGAACTCTACTGCAATTACGACTCAAGAGCGAAGGGGCCGGGATAAGTTCGACCCAGACAACATTTCCGAAGACAGCATTCTGCCTCTACAATCAAATTCTACGCTCGACCAGAAGGGAATCATGAAGACGACGCAGGTGTTTATCCAGACGGATGATACGAAGCCGAGGAGCATCGAGGATCGGGTCTAGGCCTCGCGCCCAACTTCAATCTCTACAATTTAATATATGTACCAAATTGGGCCGGCACGGAGTATGAGGGCAGCGCAAAAGTTGGAATGGGGGTGGCAAAAAGGCGCTTTGTATATATAAATTATGTGTACGCTTACAGTTCATTATTGCGATGTCTGGGTCAAACCTTTTACACCGGCGAAATGTACCCTATACCCAGGAGGCGGAAATAGTCAGTCTAGTCTAGTTCAATTCAAATTTACAGTTCTATTTCCATAGAGCAGATGAATTAGCTATCTCTCCAGATATGGTGCGAGGCCAAGGTAGTAGCTGCTTTGCTATTCCTATCTAATTATCTACCTATCTAATGATGTTTGCCTTTTGCCTTTGCCTCACGTATACCATCCATCTCTGGAGTGCAGTACCCCACCATGGCTAGCCAGACCGCTGGAATCGCAGCAGCAAAGAGACCCTGCTATTCAGTCTCCGGGCAATTTCAAAGAGGAAGGAGTTACGTTACGCCCCGCATATTATGATTATTCATGTGCGTGCCTGAATTTGCTACGCCGCCTTGGCTCACACATGTCGTCTCCGACCCCTGAAGCGCGAAGCGACGGATCCAGAGCCGGGAGCAGCTCCGGAGCGATCCTGGTGGGACCCAAGGCCGCGCTAGCCTCGGGCGGCTCGGGTGGGGAGACACTGCGACGGAGAGTGGGGGTGGCTTCGGGGGAGATCGCGCGATTTACTGGGCGATTGGCGATTGGGGGTGGAACTTAGCACAAGCCTAAACTTAACCTTAATGCACAGAAGTAACAAGCGCGTATTCGGTACTCAGGGTAGTACCGCCATACTGCCGTACTCTAATGTACATGTACATACGTGTACCTAGGTGTCTGGCCACATCGCTTGCTAGTGCATTCCAGTCTGCACCGGGGAATTAATCTTCAACCCAGTCCGTGGGACGATTTTTGTTTGCTTTTTTGTATCCAATACATGAGCCCGGTACGGAGTAACTATTCAGCAGCGCTAGATGCTATCTGGGTGTCTACCTCGTATTTGTACTCTGCATCGGCGGGGATTGATTGTGGGGTTCTCCTCAGGTCCCACAATCACAGGGATAGACATTGGCTTATTCTCGAAGCATTGAAGATTTTGATAGTCTCTTCTCTATCTATTTTGCTTTTCCCTTACTGTCTGGTATCATGTGAGGCCCAATGGCAACGTTGGGTGTGGTTTAAGCGATGGTCAATACTTACCTATGCAAACATCTAGACCGGCCTAGAGTAGGCACTTAGTTTAGTGCTTTACGTGGTAAGGATTATTTGCCTCTCAAGAACAATTTTCTCCGAGTCGTTTCATGTTTTCATGGTACATACCTTCATGTGAAATTGGGCAGTCACATGACCGAGTCCCGCCCAGGCACGGAGTACAAGGGTCGGCATGAACACTGAGTCCAGGCACCTTACATAATGTACCTGCGGTATTATTACCTCACACAACTGTATTTCGGCCTGTTTGTCTCGGTCCGTTTCAACCTCATGCCAGTCGAAATAAAGCGACTAGTAACTCAAGAGGGAACTAGAGCCGTCACTATTGCCATCGCCCTCCAAGGAGTGTATTCCAGCTAGTACAGTACGGACCGTGAGTCTTATGTGACCCTTCAGCGCATTGTTAAGGGCTTGAATGTCGTTAAAAGTCCCGCAAATTGATATTGAGGACCTCGATTTGGAACAGCTCGAGTATCCGTCCGAGGAGCCACAAAAGCCTGCTAGCGACGTCTTTGCCTCGGTGTTATATGTACTCCTTCGGAGTAACACGCATCTTTGATACATTCTTAAGCAGAATCAATACAATTTAGGAGGCGATAATAACGAAGTTTTATATTCACGTAAATATCATGCATTGCCATTGCCCTTTCCGCTGTCACTTGATAATTGGATGAACCGAAACCGATGATTTCAGGGTTGAGATCGATCGGATTGCGATTTGCTGACAGGGTTGATGTTGATCAGAAACAAATCCGGTCGGAGGTCTGGGGCACCAGAAAAGAAGCTCGATTTGATGGACGAAGGAGATGAACTTGATATTGGCTAAATTCAATGTGTTGGCCTGAAGGCCGCAAGGATGCCCTAGACAAGCTAAAACATTTCTCTACCTTTGGCCGTCAAGTTTGTTTCCAAATAAACCGATGGTCACATGCAAAAGATTCAAATTGCAAGTCAGGTGATTAATGATCACGTGGTCTATAACCTTTGCACATATACCTATTCAGGCCCTAGTAGGCCTTTATTTCTTCCCCTTATCTTCTCGTTAGTTTAATATCTTCGTGTATACAGTATTGTTAACTGCCTTTCTCTAGTTTCATGACATACCTGCCTTCCCTATGCTGGGCAGTTCTTGGGTTTGCACGTGATTCTTGGCTTACTGGTTACAAGGATTGTATTCCTCTTTGCCTCTCACAATACTATTCTACAGGTTCTGATATAGCCTGAATATACTTGTTACTGGTTAAAGGCAGACCGAAACAACTGGCCGCTTCACTTTATTCTCACAATATACGCTAATGCTCCTAACAGGCATGAGCTTCAATTAGCTTGATCATCCGTTTTACTTCCATTTATTATTACTCTGAGATAATACCTTGGTGAACCAGAACTCTAGTCTGACTGGGGTCACTGCATTTCATTTATTTTATCATATTATTTATTTCCATGCTTGTCAATATATACAGATTTTCACCTACGGAGATACAATCTATGAGAATAATAATAGCACTAGTTGGTCCGTTGTGAGGCGTTACTAGTAACTACTACTTATCCTATTGAGGTGTAATGGGAAGGGAAGTTGAGCTTGAATAGTATAAGTTTTGTTCTCATCTGGGGGCTCCCTGGCTAGTGTTATCTATTACTTTACTTATGGGCTGTACGCCCGTATGAGACTAGACAAATCAATCGACTCAATAGTTTGTAATTCTGTCAGCCAACTTGAATTATATATATCAACCACACTTTGCTATTTTTATTTAAAGGAGGAGGTAACCAAAGACAATCGCACTTTTTACGTCCTCTTGAGCCCTCCAAACCCTCAATAGGTCCTTAAGATATAGATCATGTCGTTAACTCAGTACCAAATTATTGGAATATGATGTTTGGTCACCAACAACACACAATCGACTAAATATACCTCTAGCTGCAACGCACAATGGTCGAAACAGCGATATCTCGGTTATCATATACTTTTAAGCACCTATCTGCCCTACAGGCACCTCTTTATCTTCTCTTCTCTTTAGACGACCACATATTATATCATATAGAGAGATTAATTCCCCTCCATCAACCGTCCTCATTGCTGTGACACTAAAGAATTCGGCTTGCTCCGAACATAGATAAGTCTCTGATTATACTTCTGCCTAGAATATAACCTTCAGCTCTCACTCATTTACTATAATCAAGATCTAAGGTAGATTTATGAAGCCGAAGGTCTGAAGGTCTGAAAGGAAATTTTAGGATGCTAATAGGACAATGAGCACAACCAAAATCCTCATCATGCCTTCTACCATCAGTTCTTCTTTCACAATCTCCTCATAAATAATTGACGTCTCGACAATTAGCTCACTCCTGTCTATAGCGCATCAGCTCCTCTCATGGCCGACCAAATCACAGGGATATAACAAGATAGTCAGGTGCATTGGTAAAATACTAGTTAAAGTAGAGTTTATAATTCTACATATAATACAAGACGTAAATGCAATGGTGCCAGTTCGGTAATATACGAGCCACGATATCCTCTCTATCTCCAGCAGCGAAAGGGACATCACAAATAGATGGAAATTCCGAGGGAAAAGACGCCAATTGGGGATAGGATGTTGTCCCTCCCGGAGTATAGTGCTTCAATCTGACATGTGATTTCATAGATTTCCTGGATGATGAAACGAGGTCGAGGATTGGCCCATGGTAGATTTATTGTACAAGATTTCCAAGGCTTGAAGAGGCGCTGAGGTAGTGGAAGGTAGATGGGAGGCTTGAACGCGGGGTTAGAGCGAGTATCGGATGTAATATTCGTGGTGTATTAGGTTGAGCTGTGGACTTTATTGTTGCCAGGGTTTAACACGTTGCCGGGCCCTGGATGGAGATTGATTGATATCAGCGAAGATATTTGTTTGTTGTATTTTATTATGGCGGTCGTGGGGGTGAGTTCCCATCACTACTCGAGTTTTGGAACCCTAATATGTTGCCCACCAATCCTCCAGGTTTCGGCACAGGACACTCCCTCTTATGCTTCTTCGATATCATCGTAGTCTCAACTGTATCCTCGGAATCCTCGCTACTCTCCTCCGTCGATGGTTTGTCCTTCAATGGCTCTGATTTCTCTCCCTCGCATTTCCGCCGTCTTCGCCTTCTAGGTGCGGTCCCATCTGGCCTCTGTCCATCCGCATAGGCTATTCTAGGAGCCGGACATGGTAATGCATGCGGTAAAGCAACGACAAAAAAGCTGGCGAATACTGTTGTTGCGAATAATGAGGAGGTGAGTCGACTTCGGGGGTGGAGACGGGGTGGCATGATGTTTTCGGATCCCCTTCGGCAGGAGAGAGAGCCAATTGCCCCTGTACGTTGTCAGCAATTGCATGGTAAATAGCAACCAATATTTCTGATCCAGTTACTAACCTGCCGTATGAGGGGGGGGATTGGGGAGTTGAAGGGGGGAGTGACGTTAATGACGTTTGATGAAGTGGGACGTTCGCGAATTATTTCCAAAAGCTCAAGGTTGAAGTGTTGCTTAATCCGGCTAGCTCAAAGTCGCGCGTCACTCTCGGCGCGGCTTTTAACGACGGAAACTCGATAATAAGTGATAGGGAAAGCTTGAGCATCATCGGAATACACCCATAACCTGAGATATTATTGAAATTTATGCTGCCAACATCCTCGATGCCCCTCTTTCTCTAGTATTATTTCTTCGTGCTCGGGCTCCTATCACCAACAGCGACCTTTTCTCAAACGCATCCACCTCAGCTACAGGATCCGATTAGATTTTCCCGACGTCTTCGCCCCCACCAGCACTACTCGATGCGCCCACTGCTTTAAGAACCCAGAATTACAAAGATATCTCCCAAGATAAAGCCCGGCTACTGCGTTTAAAGCATACAAGCCGCTGCCCTCGTGTGGACTCCTCGCTCTACGCGCAACCAAGATGAGTGACTTGGATAGGTACTGCTTTGCGCAACCTCGGTCAGGATCGAGTTTTAAGCTAAGAATAACTGTAGAGCGATTGCACAACTGCGAGCATGCCGACCTATTCCCGAAGCGCAAGTTCGAGAGCTATGCCATAAGGCAAGAGAACTGTTGATTGAGGAGGGAAACGTGGTTACCGTGAAGGCTCCGGTCACAGTACGACTTCGCCAATCCTATGTCAATATATCTACATATGCTGATAAAGCTTTCTAGATCTGCGGGGATATCCATGGGCAATTTCACGATTTGATGGAGTTATTTCGCGTTGGAGGTGACGTGCCAGATACCAACTACCTATTCATGGGTACGTTTTCCTAATCAACCTCGGAGCCACGACTAATGTACCCAGGCGATTTCGTCGACCGAGGTTTCTACTCCCTAGAATCGTTCCTCCTTCTTCTGTGCCTCAAAGTACGATACCCCGACCGAATGACCTTAATACGAGGTAACCACGAATCAAGACAAATCACAACAGTTTATGGCTTTTACGACGAATGTTTACGGAAATATGGGAGCGCAAACGTATGGCGATATTGCTGCGAGGTTTTCGATTACCTCGCACTAGGAGCCATAGTTTTAGGGGCATCGACGGCACTTGAGCCATCTAAACAAAATGTACCAGCGAGTGCTGCATCGACACAAGATGATGTGGATTCAGATATTGAAATAGAGGTCTTGAGTCACGATGGATCGATAATACAGAAATTCCCACGAGGGAAAGCCAGGGGTCTTATCGGACAAAATAATTCCGCAGCAAAGAGATCATCATCGCCCGCGGCAAAGACTGGTCCACCAGGGACAGGAGCCTCTGGTTGGAGCAGAGGCTCCACAGGGAGCAGCAGCGGCGCTGTGCTCTGTGTCCACGGCGGCCTCTCCCCTTTAATTGACGGCGTTGACAAGATTCGCCTCCTTGACCGCAAACAAGAAGTTCCCCATGAAGGGGCAATGTGCGATCTCCTCTGGTCTGACCCTGACGAAATTGACGGCTGGGGCCTCTCCCCCCGCGGGGCAGGCTTCCTCTTCGGCGCCGACATTGTCAAGGTCTTCAACCACGCCAACGATCTCTCCATGATCGCGCGTGCCCATCAACTTGTTATGGAAGGCTTCAAGGAGATGTTCGACAACAGCATTGTCACAGTCTGGTCGGCGCCCAATTACTGCTATCGTTGCGGCAATGTAGCTGCGATCCTAGAGCTGGGCGAAGACGGTATGGGTGAGAGTGCCCACGCTCGCAGCAATGGCGACGTGAATAGGAGTGACGGAGGTATCATGAAGGAGAATGAAAGGGTGTTATTGGCCGGCCCTGCGAGGAGATATCGGGTTTTCCAAGCCGCGCCACAGGATTCAAGAGGCATGCCGGCCAAGAAGCCGGTTGCTGACTATTTCCTTTAGTGGCTATGATTTGATGTTTATGATCTGCTAGGATGGGATGAAACTGGGAAATGAGAATGTGTTTAATATGGCTCCCTGCCGATATGGACATATGGAGTTGGGCGTCGAACAGCCTCGCTTTCATAGGCGTGTAACATAGACGGTGTTCATAGAACCGCTGCTATATACTTCGTGTTATACTACAATTCGACTACTCTAACAGGTGAAATATTAAGGGCGTAACGGCCGAGAGTAAAAGTGAAGACAATATAAAATGCAAAAGCAGATTGGGGACATGGCAGAATAGGCTGGCAAACAGTACTGTACGCATCACATTTTAAGTATATAGCAAAGGCAAGCAACCCCTCTGATGGAACACAGTAGCAAAGGCTGATCAGGTAAACAGGCAGGTCATCCGAGTAAACAGACTCTCTCGCCAACTCACGACCTGCAATAGCTGAAACATAAAGACTTTACGTCACCTCGCCATTCTCGCCCTCAATCCTTCGCTATATTCGCCAACAGCCTGTCCAACTCCTTTTCAACATCCACCACGCCTGCATCATCGCGACTAATCCCTGGATTCTTAGCGAGGAAGAGCTCGAGCTCCCTCCTCGCTCCCTCCACATTCGCCTTCGCCCGCTTGCAAAACCTCTCCGCAAATTTCCTATGTACAGTCAGAGCATTATGCGACATCTCGAAGAACGTGCGCTCCGTCGAACTCTCAACTAGCTTCGCAACATCCATCTTAGAAGTGTTCTTCCTCTCCTTTTCCGCGAGAACAGCTACGAAGTAGGCCTTGTCTTGCGCCAAGTTGAGATAGGTATACTCTGCAGGTAAATCAGGTGGAGCGGCACCAGGGATATGGTCAATTAGCTTAGGGAAAACAGCCCACTTCTGAAGCGGCTGGGCAGACATGAGGTTCCAGTCTATTAACCTAATTCAAGATTGCTAAGCTCAGCGTTTGCGACCCTAAGGGTAGAGTTAGCTTACCCTGTGATCTTCCAATCCTTGTCGGCAATAATATTTGTACTGTGGAGATCTGGATGAATAGCTGCCCAGTAGCTAGTGTTATGTTCAGGGACAACATATTGAGCGACCATGGACCGTTGAATAAGATTATCAATCACTATTGAGGTCTTTTTCTGACGTAGATGACGTCGAAGTGCTCTGTCTATACTTTCAGTCAACCAGACTACAGTTGAGACTGGAGTATTTTTAGGTGTGCCGTCGGGTACACCTGCTCTATGTCAGCGCTATGAAAGACCATAGGGGTAGTGAAATATTTGAGATAGTAGCGATCATACCATATAAGTAAATCCCCCCATCAATAGGCTTGTTTGACAACATCTCCAGCATTATGTCGGCGATCTGTTCCAGAACCCGATGCCTCGCTGAAATAGACGGCTCGCTCAAACTCCATGGCTGCATGTGGCTACCATCCATCCAATCCATCAATATATACGCAACTTCCACCGGGTTTTCTTGTTCGGCACCAGCGTCGACATAGTCGTGAACCCGAGGTGCCGGGATCCTAGGATGGTTGCGTGCGATGAACTCAAGCGGTCGCACGGAAATTTCATAGAAGGGCCACTGCTGCTCAAACGGAATCTTAGCCGCCCAGGACTTGCCTTCGCTGGGAAAGTTAATTCTTAGAATGGCCTGGTCATCCCTCATGATAGGGTCACCAACGAAGTCGCACTCCAGTCCATTCGCAAGTGAGGTCGCTCTTCGTAACAAGGCAGTCTTGTTGACTTTGCTTAGAACGTCCATCTCAGAATCCATAAGTGAGGTACTTGAAAAGTTAGATGGGCGAGCTCAGTTGTGCAAGAACTTTCGAAATGAAAATAGCAGAAGCTGAAAGAACAAACATGTCCCGATGATAGAACAAAGAGGTCCCGACTTCAACACGCCACTTGAATCTTTGATCACGCATTCATATATCATACAACAATACAACCAACTGTTGGTATAGCTGTATGTGACTCATTGGTACTCCCAAAAGCGCCGCCCCGGAACATGCCGTTCTGTTCCGGTCTCAGAAAGAGTTACTGTAGCATAGCCAGTCGATGGTTATCACTCTGTGAAGCAGCTGCAGTTGTGCGAAAGTCATATGAAGTTCAACACCCTCATTTCTAGCCCGAACCTTGGAAACAGATTATATTGACCAATTGGAATATATCACTATACTAGTCTCGGTACTTCTCAGGGTCTCCATCGCTAAAATCTCCAGCGTACTTCAACGTCTCTTCAACAATGCTCTCTTATTTCCTACCCAAAAGACTATCGGAAATATTCATTCAAATGTAGTTAATATGCATATGAGTGGAATTTTTAGAGCATTTACAAACACGCTTCTACCTCATATATTCCGGTTCAAAAAACCACATTGTTTCGGTGCTATCCTCCCAGCCACCTTCCGCAACCTAAAAAGGAACAGTCAGTTTAGACATGGCGGACTTATATATCATAAGACCAACCCTTACCTGATCGGGAGAAAGGTTAATGTTTGCACGTCCCTCGGTGACTTCAAGAGCGCAGGTGAAACCGATGTGGGGGAACAACGAAGGCATATTGTCTGTTCGACCCCGGACTCTACCACAACCTGTAGGAACTCACATAAGAACGGGCCGATAGTATTGAAGTAAAAGCTGCTGTCACGACCAAGCGGAGAGAAGTAATATTCGTAAGGGATGAGTCCGCCGTTGCGAACAACCCATGCGCTAGGCAAGACCTTGCCTCCATTGTGACTATCCTCGCGGTCACTATTCCATGGGAGAGAGATATTGTTGAACTCGACAAGCTTCTCAGAGCCTTCTAGGTCAAAGTGTCTATGTAGGAGGCCGACTCCCAGCTTGGCTTCAAGTCCGTGTTTCTCGATCATAGGTTTGAAGACGTTGTCAACAAGGCCTTTCCCGCCCTTTATCATAAAAGAGTCTTGGGCCATGTGAAGCTCAGGGAGGGTATTGAACACACGGGTACTGTATGGTTGGAGAACTTGGGCCATTGTTGTGGAGAGAGTTGTGAGTTGAGATCGATGTAAGATGTTTTGGCAGCTCTGTGATTAAAATGGTAGACGGTATATCTCATGTTGACAGGTCTCTACCCAGCCTTTTAATACCCGTTCGCTGCTAGGGATAAAGTCGTCCGCCTCCTACAATTGCAAAATATAGCAGACCTCACATATCTCGCCTAACTTTGCCTGGATGAGAAGTTGTTTACCTCAAGCTCCCTACTATTATCGAACAAAGCCCGTGAGTTCATTGTCCTAGCATTAGAAGAATGCCTTTTACTGTACTCTGCATTACAAGCAAACAACTTCGTTCCTATGCCAATAACAAGTGTGCTGGGCTATGTTAGCGTCATTCCGTTGTCAGATTTCTACAAGAAAGCGCAGTGTCGGCGGCGAAAATTCCCCTTCTCAATCATATCACCAACATTACCAACAGCGGCATGCAATGCATCATATATCAAAAGCCTTCCTCCTCGATTGACACCTAATATCTAGAAGCGACAAAGCTACCGCAGTCGCTTTTGTACGCCACAGCACACCAACACTGGTACATGGGAGTGAACATCGACGCCCCCGCTTTCATCTATCCGTATTCCATCTCGACCCTTAAGCGTACATTGCTCTTTTGATCTTATTGCTAGATAGTTTTGCTCCTCGTCGACCCCTGGATTAGGGACTTTTCAGATGTACCCTTCGCCTGCTAAAAGTGACTCGCATTACAAGTCAAAAGATCCTCTCTAGGGTCTGGGGCTAACTTCAAGTCAATTTTAAGATGTCCTATTGAAAATAGTAGGGCTATGGTGACCCTGGCCTTACCATCGACAGCCACCAACACCTAGCTAATACCACAGCTCAAAATAAACGTAGATCCTCTAATCCTACGCCCAAGAAGACTCGCCACGCCTGCCTAGGTTTAGGTAACTAAAGAGATTTATTCGCATAAGGAGGGCGAGGCTGAAATTAGAGGTGTAGTTAAGTCCGAAGGGGGTGGGAGTGGACCTGTGAGATTGGGAGAGGACAAAGGCGAAGCCGAGAGTCGACGTTGGAGGGTTGAAGGGGTTGATACTGTTGGTGGAGTTTTCGTGGTTTGCCTGATGACTTTGGCCGCAGCTACTACGGTACTTCCTACCTCACCAGCTCGCTCTGGCAACACATTCCAATTCCGGCAGCTTTTCAACTCATTATGCCATTATGCCCTCCCATCTAAGAATTCCTCAAACCGCGGTCCAAATGATAGTCCGCTTACGTTCGAATTAAGGCTATCTCTGGAAAAACAAGAATACGTGGGAGGAGGTAACCGTCAGGATCTAGTCCAGCCCAATTGATAAGGAATGCCAAATCGATATTTCAGCATCAAGAGCGCACTCCAGGGGTTCGGCTTACAAGCAGCATATATGACTTGGAGTCCGTTTGGGCTATGCAAGAAATCATGGGAATAGGGAATCCGCATCTACGGATTGTGGCCGGATCCATGTCGAGCTGTTGGGAAACAAAGGGAGATGGTGACGGGCGTTTGCGTTTATTGATAGATTCCAAGTTTGATGTAGCCTTGTCACTACCTAAATCGGTGAAGTATACAGGGCCGGTGACGTTTCTATTGTGGTCCTTAACGGCGGTGAAAACCAAGCTCTCAGATTCTCAACCGGCCCGGAGCAGGGTCATTACGCAAATATCCACGCCACTGGAATCATTGCTTAATTTCATCGACGAAACGCCCAACTGGGGCGATCACTGCCTAACCATAAGTGACCAAAAATTAGTGCTCTTATGCATTCCATATTGTCTTTGACAAGGTAGCTATGGGAGGGCTGGTATTTTCCTGCTGTTGGTTACTGTTGGTGGCGTTGACGGTTCAAGTCTCGAGTCTCAACGACTATACAATAATCTCTGCATATACTTAGCTATTTTTACCTCTGAAAAATCTCTCGATACAGCGGCGCCTCAATCAGGTGATAAAGCCTCTCACCTGCTGGTTCCATGCAATCATCCCAGAGTCAACATTCAGGTCTCAAGCAGCTTCGCTAACAACAAAACCCGTGGGCACAGGTTGGAGGGTAAAGACACACCACTCTCTTCCTTTATCGCTTTCTCGGGCCGAGGTTTACTAGCACCCGGCAAAGGTCCTAACTCAGGAAGAACAAAAGCAGATCATGGGGAATCGTGGGAACGTCTGCGACACGTGTGCGGAACTGGGAGCCAACATGCGGGTCTTGTACAGACTTACTCGATCCTCTCTAGAAGACAATTTGACCTGAACCACTTAGTCAAGTGGTCGCCTGTTGTCTTCCTTAAACATCAAATCGCTTGTTTTGACTTATATGGGTTGGCAGGGGTGCGGGCCGGGCAGGCAGAATGGAGGCGGGAGGGAGGGCGACAGGCATATGGCTAGAGTTATATGGTCTATGCAAGTTGAAGTTGTCATATGGCTTTATTTACATTTGAGAATGGTCAAAGACTCTCTTCCTTTCCGTGTCTAGTAACATAATCAGTCCCTCGATATATCATAACTCCGAACTGAGCGGAGGTGGTCCTATTGCTATAACGCGCCTCCTTCGGGGACAGCGCCTATAGTTGCTTCAGGCGCGATAGGGAGAGTAACTTTACTTTTCAGCCTTTTCGGCTCAGGATTATTAACATCGCTGACCCGTCTCCGCTTCCGCTCCCTCAAAATCCTATGTTTGTCGTCGTCATTCGAAATTCCCAACTTGCGTACCAGCTGGATCTGTTGTGCAATTAAGGCTTCCCCCTTCTGTGCCCAGATAGCCTCCCTTTCCTCTTGAGTGGGAACCCTAGGCTGCGGTTTATGGAGTTCAGGTATTGGGCCAGGCCACCTTTTATCACCACTTGGTTCCACAATCTCTTCATTGCCCGCGCCTGGTGGGGTGTTCCTCATTAGTTCGGACTGCACGGCTATCCATTTGAGTTCTTCTTCTTCTGTAGCAAAAGGTACAGTCGGACCTATTCATAAGCTGTGTCAGTTTGGAGTGTCTCGTAGAACCAATATTGAAAGTGGGACATACTAGGCATTATACTGGGGATATCTTGAGGTGGAGGGGGTTGATAATTCTTCCATGCCTCCCACTGCTCATCATCAGGCTCTGGGCCTTCCCCTGCTGCCACCCTCTTCATCCTATCAATGATCATTGCATCCCACACTTCACCAGCCGTCTTGCCACAATGCTCCCATCCCGGAACCACTCTCATACTCTCCCAATCTCCTGGAGATTGTGGTTCGTTTGGTCCCTGGCCCAAAGTTCTGCCCCCGATACCCCACCAAAAGGCCACTTGATGACCAGGACATTCAATCACAGCAAACTTTGGCAGCGGCCCGGCAACGCGCCCTCTTTTCACTTCCTGGCCATTGACAATCAAAGTTCCACCATGGAGGTTAGTAACGAAGTATTTGGAATCACCCACATCATCCTTGAGACGATTGTCCAACCAATTAACTTCATCATAGGGGAGTAAGACATTATTCTTGTACCTTGGTTTCCATGGCATACCTTGGCGAGACGATATCTCGCGCTTTCTTTCTTGGTCCGGTGTAACCCACCAAGGATCACTTTCCTTCATTTCACGTTTCCCCGGCATATCCCAGTCAAAATCAAGAATTTCTTCATTCAGATGGCAAATTGGCTGATAGTTGCGAGCCAGGACCGAGTCCACCCGCCGTATGTCAAGAGGGAAAATCTTGGACTCGGCAGGTTTGCTTCGAATTTGAGATAGTCGTTCATCACTCGGATGAGGTTCCGATTCAGGGGGCCCTGTCGGCAGATTAAATATCGTTCCGGTCACTCCATCCCATCCTTTCTTCTTTCTGAAGAGACCATTTTCCGTTCGAATATAATTGATCGCCCATCGCAAGACCTAAAAACAGACTATCTGTGAGCATCCTTCTATTAGATTTCACAGATCTATCACGTACCGGATGGGGACTGTGTCTGCAATCAATACCACCATCCACCTCTAAATCGCTGCCCCTTAAAAAGGATTCAATATCCTTATCGTGCGTAACGTCCACCGTTTTCTCACCAACGCGCCGTGAAACCCAAACCGCGTTACTGATTAAATCATCAAAGCCCGTCTGCTTACATTCTATGAAGTTCTTCATCCCTAAGAAGCCACCGCTCCAGCCATCCCCATCCTCGACGTGTGAAGGCCATTCATCCTCATCCTCGTATGAGGGGGAAGGAGCCGGATTATCGAAATCATCGACTAGCTCCCATGCCGAGACTGTGCGCACCTCGGGCACAACCTCCTCCAACTCTTCATCTATCTCAACATATTTCTCCGCGTCATAGATTTCCACTTCATGTCCCGGCTCCGTGGTATCTTCCTTGACGTACTGGTATATGTCTGATTTCACCCACTTCTCAACCCCCTCAACCTTGACTTTTTTCATTAAGGGACGTCTACTGCCCCTTCTATACGTGATAACTCCTCCGGGCCTTGTTCTTAATCTTTTGATCATCCGTTTTACGGTAACATTTCGACCCGTCTTCTTCATGATCTTCCGCTCAGTGATAACCTCGGTGGTATTTCTCGCCTTCACCCATTTTGTCCCAGGGTCGGGCGAAGGCGGGTTATCACCTGCAAATGTTGTATAAACCTTCGGTATTTTCTGAGCAGTCTCTGGTGATTTTGAAGGATGAATCGTCTTTTTTTTGCGTCTCCTACTTTTCAACTCTTTTTCTCTACGCTCCAATTCCCCCTTCACCCACTCCTGATTCACTCTTCCTTCTATATAGTGATTGTTCCACACATCCCACGCGCGTTTCCAGCTGATCCAGATCTCTTTTCCCTTTACATTGCCGTGTTCCTCATAGAGGGAATACTTCAATTCAAAGAGTTGGTTGGGGCGGATATTCGGCGCGAAAGGGCTCGGAATTAGTGTTTCGGGGATGTAGACAGGTTGGAGGGAGCCAACTTGTTTGACGGTTTCGCTGATTGCGGGCGCGGATAGGAAAGGGCTGAAATCAAATTTCACGGGTTCGGCGGCCTTCTTATTCGGGGCGCCACCATATTTAATAGGCTCTTCCATTGGTAAAGTCTGGTAAATTTGTACGCTGCGATCTAAGACGATAATGCTGGTGTGTGTGTAATTGAGTGGACGAATAATTTTACACAGAAGGTAAGAATAATTTTTAGTAAAATGAAAAGACTGCGATTGAAAATAGAGAAAACAATGTGGCCCCGGGAGCAAAGGGGGGGTCGTCAGATAATGTTGGCGTTTGCATGAAAGAAAGGAAAAATGTGAGGAATGGAAAAAGTCCGGATTCGGTAATTTCTCTCGACAATAGGGGAATGAGTTCGGCAAGTTAGCAGAAATATTGCTACCTTGCGCCAAACAAAGACTTATATAATCCTATCACTTAGTATGTGTCGCACATTAGAATTCGAAATCGGCTTCAGTCCTGAACACTCTATGATTTTATTTAGCCCCACAATTCCAGTAAAGTAGCTATTATAGTTAGATAAATTCAATCCCTGCACTAAGTGACTTTATCACCTTAGTACATGTTCATTGAGCATACGCCGGGGTGTCTGTTTGTCTAAATAGCGCGCTCTCTGCAATTCTTTGAATATACCAAGGCCTGTCAAGTTAACATGTATCTGTATATATAGGAAGCTTCAATACTATAACGACTTCTCTTAATAATTCAAGTCAAAGCAGGTCGTCAAACTGTATATCTATATACTAGCCTATATAGAAAAATAATTGCAAATTATTATCCATTACCGCTACAGTAAGAATCACATGGTCCACCAGCCGTGCACTGAACTCTGTTATTGTCAAAGCAGCGTCTTCTTGTTCCAATAGCAGTATTGAACCATGAGTGCCACTATAAAGCAAAATAAGCAGACATCTGGTAGAGTAGAACGGGCACGGAAGGAGAGGGCATTTTCTTACCTCATACCCGTTCTTATCCGGTTGATCGAAATATTTGAAATTCCACCCCGTAAGACTTCCTTATGTTAGAAGTAGAGTTAGACACTGGTCTCTCTTTACTATAACAGGGGAGAGATATTCCATTTTGTGTTTTTGACTTCGACGTACCTAATCCACAGCAGGGATTAATAGCTCGCATAAGCGATTTTTGCCCCCAATCATAATTCGCCCACCCAGCACCATAAATATCATAATGTTGCAGAATAAATTTATACCAACCCTCACAGCTCTGCGTCGGCTTAGCCGGCGGAGGCCACGGCCGATTCTGGCGAAAGATGTCGATTTGGTACGTATATTTCCCCTGCACGCGCTTGCCGCCCTGCTTCCAGTTCATAGGGTTGTATCCGCCAACAGGGACATCGCAACCGTTGATAATAGAGCTCATAGCGTCGGTACAATTGTATTGATTGAAGCTAAACGCGCGATAGGACAGCGCTACGGTCATCGTGTACTCCTCGGGCGTATTGGGGTAGTAGGTTTTGGACCGTGTCCAGCCAATAGTAATTAGGGGTACCTTGTTGGCTATATCTTGGCAGAAATCGTCGATGTTGTTGTTTAGAGCTTCGGCGCTCGCGTAGGCCCTTGAGGTACCAAGGCTAGAGTAGCAGGTTTGAGTGTCCATAGTGGGACGTGGGTGCAGGATGAACAAGGCCACCGAAATGAGAATTGAAGTAAAAGCAACGGTGAAAAATCGTCGTACGACACTGTGTTGATCTCTTTGCCGCGGCGGTGCAATTTGAATATTGACTATAAGGGGAGTTCGCTCATTGGTCTCCATCTTCTCGTCCAGGCTTCTGTCGTTCAATGTACCGGCAGGAATAGTTCCGCCCAGCTAAGTTGATAGCATTCATGAAGATATCAGGCTCGTAGAATACAGTAGCAGGCTTACTTATCTTAAATCTCTACGTGACATCCCGCCTCCTAGCGGAGTTCGGCGCCAATGAGCATACGATGCCGCCACTTGAATCTAGCAAAATATACCGATTGCATATCCATATCAACCAGCGAAAGCGGACGCCCAAAAATAGTATTGGCGGCAGTTTCGTAGACTTAGTCTCGGCTTCTTTTCTCTTCCTCTTTTCTTCTCTTCTGCCGTCTATATATATTAATAGTACGTTGAAATACGGACCTCAGCGCTGATACTACTTAATCCTTAGGCATTAGGCATCAGTCCACTTGTAAATGCGGAGGTCAAATTTATATAACCATAATAGTACTAGTTTACTAGAAATGTACGGGTAAAATAAAATCAGAGGGTGTCTAGGGCTGAAGCCGATTTCGAATGCGACTGTAGTCATTTGGAACTCCTCCCATCATTTATATAGGCACGTTTTCATATAGAAATAGCATGTTGAGGCAGTAAGGCTCTAGATTAATGCTCGAAAATGCTATCAGTCGAGAAATGTACTATCACATATAACTGCCATTCTATAGACCTGAACTTACCATTTGTATCCAAGGTACAACCTTACAAGATATGCAGACAGCTCTGCTCATAGCAAATGGACTTTAGGAATTTTCGCAACTCTTCCCCTCCAACTGCGGGTGGCAGAATTCATGGAAGAGCACAGTTTACTATTTACTAGTAACTTTATAATACAAACTAAAATAAAACTTCTAAAGCGACACAACTGTTATTTATTATTGAATTTATACCCCTGGAGCATTCATAAGGCATCATAAATCATCCATGAAACATCTATCAATCTAATACTGTAACTTTATACTGGACGTACGCAGCATCTAAACTCCTTGTTAGCACCCCCTCGTCATGCCCGCAACTGCCCTCAATGTCTCGGACCACATTCACAAAACAAGCACTGGTTGGAGCCACGGATGATTGAGTATAAAGCCTTGCTTTTTATCCTTTGCCAGAGCACAAGAGTGTGTCAGAATTGGTGGAACATTTAAATTTCAATACCCATTTATATGAGTATTATGTAGGAAGGTACGATGGGTATCGCCCGGTAGGATGGAAATCAACATTTCCACAACATTACCTAGCAACATCGAGGATCCTACTCATAAACATTGTGTAAAAGTGCGATCTCAGCGTCAATATTCCAACAACTCTAAGTAATTCAGTTTAGCACTCCTATTATATGTTGGTCCACATTATCCGCCTATGGCTCGACAGATAAATTGTATTCCGTTATTATAATATATACCTAAGTACAAAACGAACATCTCATCTCAAACTAAAAATAATCACCTCTTCGCTATCACAGATCACTTATCTAAGTATCTAAGCCTGAACAGCCGCCTCTTTCATCTGTGCATAAGGCGCATCAAAGGTAAAGCCCGCATATCCCTTGTCTGCAACTTCCTGCGATTCCCGGACATATCTTGGGATACCGCCAGAATAGTTGAGAGCCTCTCGAGGTTTGCCTGGAATGTTTGCCTATCAACAGTTTAGTATATCACTTGTTTAGTTAATTATTTAGAAGTACTCACGCCCATGTACCAAGAATCAGTTCCGGGGAAAAGAGTGATATCGGAAAGCTCAGCGACGTGCTTAGTCCTATAGATGGCTAGCCGTTAGCATTGTTTCGAAATCTACCTGAAAGTAACACTCCGCAGAAGGATGTTGGAACTTGCCAGCCAGCCTCGGATTGCGCGGTTGGGTCGATTGTCTTCTTGTTGTTCTTGGTTGTATATTCAATAGCATCAATGATCCAGTCACCTTGAAGCTCCACAATGGTAGGGCCGTTGGCGAAAGCAGTTGGTCCTGAGAATCTTGTCAATACTTATTTCAGGGGAACAGGAGGTGGAGATACAAACCTTGAGGTCCGTAAAGGAAGAACATGTTGGGAAAGTTGGCAGTGCTCATCCCAAGGAAAGTCCAGGTTCCCTTGGACCACTTATCTGCTAGCGACACGCCGTCGGCTCCCTTGATGTCGATTTGCACTAACCCGCCTGTGACGGAGTCGAAGCCAGTGGCGAGAATGATGATATCGAACTCGCGTTCCTTGCCGTCCGCTGTCCTGATGCCTTTCTCGGTGAAAGTATCAATTGGGTTCTCCTTAATGTTAATAATGTCGACGTTGTCCTGGTTATAAACCTCATAATAGCGTTGCTCAAGACAAGGTCTCTTGGTTCCAAATGTATGAGGTTGATTCTCCAGGGTCGGGGCGACGATATCCCGTTTCCTTGGATCGTTAACCCTTGCGCGGGTCTTCTCAGACCAGAACTCGTAGGCAGTATCGTTGGTCTTTTTGTCGAACAGCAAGTCCTTGTAGGTGGCGAGCCAGAAGCGGAACCCGCCGCCACCCCACAACGTCTCATAGAACGCTTTCTGCTGCTCTGGGGTATCATCCGCACCTACTTTTTCGTTGAAATCGAAGTGGAAGCCGGCGAATGTCTCGCGTCGGTATTTGAAATGCTTGTCGTACGTGCCATTTTCCTTTAAGCGATCCTCTTCTTTAGGATCGAGCTTGGTTTGGTTCATAGGCAAACAGAGATTGGGGGTTCTTTGGAAAACAGTGAGATCAGCCACCTCATGGCCAACCTCTTGAATAGTTTGAACACCGGATGCTCCAGTACCAATGACAGCGACCTTCTTCCCTTTGAAATCAAGTCCGTCTTGTGGGAATTTCGCTAACAAATGTTAGTAAACCGTCAGTATACCACGATATTGTCGAATCACCGTACCTGTGTGGTGCATGACCCCCTTGAATTTGTCCAACCCTTGGAAGGGGGGAACATAATGCTTGGCTGCAAATCCAGTGCAGAGGACAAGGAACTTGCAGTCAATGGCTTCTCCCGTGCTAAGCTTGACGTTCCATCTGCTGGAATCGACATCAAACTCGGCACTTGTAACCGTTTTCCTTAATTCAATGTCCTTGCTCAGGTCGAGCTTCTTGTCAACATAATTGAAATATTCGCGGAGCTCCGGCCAGGATGGGAACCGCTCGGACCAGGTCCAATCCTTGTGAAGATTTTCGATGCTGTATTCGTACATCGGGACATCGCTGTCCACTCTGGCACCTGGATAGCAGTTCCACCACCAGATTCTGCTTTTCGTTAGTGATATTGTGGCGAGGTGGAGTAGATTACACTAACCCCCCAAGACCGCCAGCATTATCAACTACCTTGACATTGTAGCCCAACTTTCGTAGATAGTGAAGTTGGTAGAGCCCACCGAAGCCTGCGCCTACAATAAGTGCATCCAAGCTTCTCTTGGGGGCATTGCCATTGCTAATGTCTGCTGAAGGAGCCATTTGAAAATCTGAGTAGGACTTAAGAGTGTAAAGTAAACGGGATGAGGTAGAATGGATGATGTTCAGAGGAGGGGCAGTCGGAATAATATGCTTCTCGGGGGACACAACCTCACTGCTGTCCGAGGGTAATCACTAGGAGTTTACTCCTCAGAGACGAATAGGAACCGGGCAGGGGACCTTTGTGAAACCAACCGGCCGGAAATAATTCCACTCGCCTTCTTGAAGGCGTTTGTACAAGAGGGGGATAAATTCTATGCAGAACTACCCAATCAGCCCTCGTATAACTGAATGTATCTTGGTATTAAGTGGTCGTGTTGTACCTTGGGATGATCGCCCGCGAACACGTGAGTTCGAATAAGGAGAATGAGGCGTAGACCAAGTTACTTGTTTAGTACGTACCCCTCACCCCGCACGTTAGTTCACATCTCGACGTCACGTCAAGAGGAGATATTTCGGGTTTCGTGGCGAAACTGTTCCCACTTACTTGCTCCATTAAAATAAAAGGATGGAAACGCATTATCTCTTACACTCGTAAGTGATGTTGTGGTGTTGACCAGAATATCATGTATGCTCAGACATATAAATTGCCTCCATTCTCATTGCCAAGCTTGGAGGAGAAGGTCTAAAATGACATCGAAAGACATGCTTTGATACCACCCCGCATTATCTTCGGTACCAGCAGTTAGAGCCATAAGGTGGAAACGTGCACAGAGCTAAGAAATTGGGAACGCGGGGGCGGAAGCAAATCTGACGCCCGGATCCATAGCGTTCCAGTATGCCTCCTTGAAGCCATTATGGATCCTATAAGCGCTTACATTGGTCCACGTACGCACCGAACGACTAGAGAATAATAGAGACGGTTAGAAAGGCGTAGCCATCCGTTCATCCGGGGCATGGTAGTATAAAACCGAATTTCCACCATCCCTTGTTCGGGCCAGTCTTGATGTGAGATATATCTATAGTTCATCCAAGGGGGCTCTAGGTACTCCAGAGAGGATTCGTCCCAACGTCTAGACTAGAGTAACGGCCAAACAGGCTGGAGGAGGCCGTGCAGATCTCATGCAACTAGAGGTAGTTGCATCCGAGTCATATAGGCATCGATTGGAGATTCCAGCTGAGAACGGGAATAACACCACAGCGACTGCAATGAAAGTGGAGGTTGCCCGGGGTATCTCTTTGTCTTGGGAACCTTGATTATACACGAGGACGACGAAATCTCCAAGCAGCAAATCCCGCCAAGTAGATTGTCTCACTATAAACATTCCACTAAAGGAATGGATGAGCCCAGATATCGAGATCATGCCGAAATTGATGACACTAGAGCATCCTCCAGGTCTTGTGGAAGGAGATCGCGCTGACTTCAACGTTGGAGCTACAAACGAAACGTTTACATTGTCTGCGCGAGCCTCGGCAGGCATTGTAAAATAAAGAATATTAGGCAATTGACTGCGGCCATCAATCACTAGATGTGTAAGATGTTAATGATGCAGAAACAGAACCATTCAGCAATACCAGATGATTCCAAAATTTTGGCAGACCTTGCTGACACGTGACCTGTCTGCCCCTCGCTTCCGGAAAAGGAAAACTGCCAACCTCGACTTCGACTCACATTATTCGGATTTATAGGAATTCCACAGTTGAACGTGAAGCTGAAGACGCATCTCCCACCATCGTCGCCCCCGCCGCCAAACTGTTCTCTACACGCATCCTCCCACGCGCCATCCGGCTCACCTCTTCCCTCCAACGAACCATGTCTTCATTCTCGAATATCACCTACAGCGACACGGAGCAAGCCGAGATCAACCAATGGCTCACAACCTCCGACCGTCTCAAATCCAGCAGCAGCAATGACCAGAAATCCCTCCTCGACACGCTGAACACCCATCTCGCATCTCGCACCACGCTACTCGGCGCGAAGCCCTCCAAAGCCGATATCTCCCTGTATCAAAGCCTCGCACCGCAAGTCTCTCAATGGACCGCCGAGCAGCGGACAGGCGAGCAAGGCCGCCCCCATATCGTCCGACTTCTTGATTTCGTGCAGAATTCCTCGATCTTCGGCCTCCAGATCCCAGATGCGGAGAGATTCAAGGTCGATCCCGAGGAGATCCTCTACGTAAAGCCGCCTGTTGACGCGAAGGCCGAGAAGGAGCGCTTGAAGAAGGAGAAAGCTGCTGCGGCTGCGGCAGCTGGAGGAGAGGATGCTGCGCTTCCTGATAGGACAAAGGGCAATAAGGGGGATAAGAGCGTTGGTGAGAAGGATGCTGCTGTTGCTGCTGTGGCCGGAGGAGCAGCCGCGGCGGCAGCAGGTCAGGAACCGCAGCAGAAGAAGAGAGAGAAAAAAGAGAAGGCGCCTAAACCACCCAAGGCTCCTGCGGTTACGGCACCTCTGTCCCCATCGCTCATTGATCTGCGCGTCGGACATATCCTGAAGGCTATCAAGCACCCCGAAGCAGATTCCTTGTATGTGTCTACCATTGCTATGGGCGATAAGGCCGGCACCGATGATACATCTGAGTATGAGGGCCAGGTCGTCCGGACTGTTTGCTCTGGATTGAACGGTCTGGTGCCGCTGGAGGACATGCAGGGACGCAAGGTTGTGGTTGTTTGCAACCTTAAGCCTGTCAAGATGCGTGGCATTAAGTCCTCGGCCATGGTTCTAGCCGCCTCGCCGAGGCTTAAGGAGGGTGAGGTGGATAACCATGCGGGACCCGTCGAGTTGGTGGCGCCTCCGCCGGATGCGAAGGCTGGGGAGAGGGTCTACTTCGAGGGATGGAAGGGTGAGCCCGAGGGGATGCTGAATCCCAAAAAGGGTCGTGTTTGGGAGACGATTCAGCCTGGATTCAAGACCACATTGAATTTGGAGGTTGTGTTCGACGCAGGTATGGTGAAGGAGCTGAGCAAAGAGGGAGAGGAGCCAAAAACTGGCCGGGGAAAAATGATCACAGAGAGCGGGGGAATGTGCACGGTTAAGAGCTTGGTAGATGGGATCGTTAGGTAATTCTTGATTCTGTAATAGCTAAAGATAGCCACCCACGGGATACTCCAGCAAACCATAAATGTCTCCTCCTAAACATAAGCGCCCCCTATTCTTGCATATTTAACAATGGAAACCGCAACGTCGCTCCTGAGCAACAAGATATGTATGTAACAAGTCCTAGACAAATTGCCGACTATCGTATGCCTCCATGTGACATCGTAAAGCTCTTCCGCAACCACTCTAATCCACACTCTTGGCTTCTTCGGAAATCGTCCTAGTCGATGCATTGACGCAATGGACAGCTTCATTGATGTTCTTCTCTCCTAACACAGGTCTTGCCCTCTTTCGCATGGCTTTGAAGTAGGTGTTGTCTCTATTGATTGCTAGCTTATGGTCATTGATCAGGTGTGCAACGAGAGCGTCCTTGCTCATTGGTTCGGTACGATGGCAAACAGCTCTGATACCATTCGCAGTGTCCGTAGAAGCTGGACATACTATGCTCGCATCATCGACGAGGTCTCGGAGGTGCTTTTCGAGGTGCTTCTTAAAGGCGGAAACAGTGTAGAAGTCTGCGAACTGTGTCGAAAGCCCTGCATCCCCATCGTATAAACAAAATATACAGAAAGATGGGTGAAACCATCTGGCAGAGACGAGAATTCCAGAGAATCCATGCTTGTCAAGAGCCAATCGGACGTCGTCCAAGTGGTGCACAAAGTGATGGTCCTCGTCCTCCTCTGTACGAGAGAATGCACGTTGACAAATCTTGCACCAAAAGACCAAGATCTCAGCTCTTGGGTTCCCAGTCTTCTGATCCACGGGTATAACAGTGGTCGATGCGGCATGCTGAGTGATTCGATGGATTCGGAAATCGTCCCAGCTCGAAAAAGCAGTAGCATCATCATTGCAGACATATTGTCCGGTTGATGCATCCCTGTGACGTTTGTAGCAGTGGTCTACGAAATGAGCCCCGGAGTTGACATCTCTCTTCGGCTTGTATTTGGCAGCACAATGTCGGACGCCGTCCAAACCGACCATTCCACACTTCCGGGCTGGAGGATGCGACTCTTGATTGCGATCAAGGGCCTCAAGGATATATTTCGCCATGGCATTGAGTCCACAAGGCCGGATATGCTCATTATGATCCATGCCAATAAGACAGACGCCACAGAATCTACAAGACAAAGTTCCTGGTGTTGGCTCCTGGTCCGGATAGTATTTGTCTGCGGCGTGAAGATGATTGAATTTCTCAACACAGACATCTGCAAACCGAGCCGCCGATAGACCTTCTGGCTGGTTGTAGATGAGGTCAGAAAGACCCTCAAAGACCGAGTTCTTCGCAACTACTCTCAAGCCAAAATTATTTCTGCTGATAGATCCAGCAGAGTGCAGCGATGTAGCATCGGTCTCTGTACCAAGATCAGAATTGGCGCCGTCCATTTGCGTATCATCTGACTGGCTGTCAAAATCTGCAAGCATGTTGCCGAGATCTTCGGCCACAGCGTCGATGTCCTGAAGGAGTACAGGGTCAATGAGAGCGAATTCGGCGTCCTCGGCATCCAACATATTGTCGAAGTGGGCGCTCTGATCTTTTGGCTCGACTGGAGTTGTGATCTGAGTGGCATCGTCCGGGTTATCAAAGTGCTGTCGATACTCCTCCTCGAACTTTTTGGATAGTAGAGCTCGCTCTCGCTCTTGATACTGGCGGCGTATTGCTGCGTATTCGGACGCCGTCGAAGATCCTTGAGCTCGCGCTGTTGCCAATGATCCGAACTCACGAACTCCTTGATCGATGACCTCGCACTCTCTCTGGAGAAGCTTGATAAGCTCTGCATCCTGGCTGATTTCGATGATGCCTTGCTCAGAGACACGAGTTGGGGCTGACTCTGATTTCGCAAGGAAAATGCTGGACATCTGGCTGACATCGACAGCGTCCAAGTTGTGGCGTAGTGCCTGAAAATCGACAGTCGACGTTTGGTTTCTGTATGCTCCCCAGTATGTTGTGTCCTTGTCGTCATGACCCATCCGTGCACACCGTTCCTCGTGAGATGTCATCAAACCTAGCAAGTATGCACTACCACGGCGGAGCACACCCGGTAGCATAGGGCTCTGCAGACCGCAATGCCGACTCAATACTTTCAGTTGTTTAACAAAGTGCTGAGACCTCATTACCTCTGTCTCTAGCAAGCACAAGGATGGGTCGGTCGGCTTGTAAAGAGGTTGACGGAAAATCTGAGACGAGAGCTTGTATGAGCTGCCTCGATCTCGAAAGCACAGAGGGAAACTCACCGGGGTAGCTAGCATCGATTTCTTGATGGGAATGCTTGTACCATGCCGGCTTGGTTGGACGGCCTCCAAATCTGCCCAACTAGAGACGCCTTCGAAGACTCCGTCGATCAAGCCTAAGATCAGGAGCCATCGTAATGTATCTTCAGCCGCCATGTACAGTGGGAGAAGGCGAATCGGAATTACTTTGGTCTTGTTGCCCTTCTGTCCAGTGTTCTTCAACCCACAAAAGGTTATTCGAGCGCGCAATTCGACACGACAGTCAGCTCCTGGAAAAGCGAACAGTTCCACGCGGCCCCAGGTGCACAGATTGTCCTTGCGCTCCTTCTTATATGCTTCCCAGTCATCGTTTGACAGTGCCGGCCTCGACAACTCACTGATGCGGTTGCTGCAGTCCAGCATCATGTTAGCACACAATACGAAGTTGAGAGCGTTTCGCGTTGTATACTGGGTGGCAGTAAGGTACTCGGTGTCGAAGAATGCTCGTATGAACGTAGAGAAGTCTTCCGGCAGCGCTACCGCCTTTGTGCGCTGGTTGTGGCAGGCAAGCCCACGAACAGCCAAGTCAGACTGAATCCACATCAAGACATTCCGCTTAACATCTCGATCAATCGGGTTGCCAGAATTCTTGCAGACAGCATACAGCCCGAACAAAAGGTATTGTATGCTGCGTACGGTTGGAACTAGACCCAAGCTTGTCAGCCGTCATGGATGGACGCTGTCCATTGTAGAAGTCGACATACCGTCCGTAATCAGACCATTCGATGACAATGCAAAAGCTTCGGTGAACATTTTCAGAATTTTGCAAGTGAATTTGGGACCGCCTTTTGTAAAGAAAGCCTCGGCTTCTTCAACAGTCTTGCAGATATTGACTTGCGCCGAGGTGGCGAGCTCGATGAAATGACGCTTCGAATTCCTGGATTGCACGATCAGCAGGTGGCAGTAGACTGAGACCTGGAAGGCTCACCGTTGCCTGACTGCATTGAGAATGCCAATCTTCTTTTGCACCTCATCGTCCCAGTCACGATTCACGAGGCGGTCTTCAGGTGCCTTGGCCTCCTCTACGCGTTTGAGCTTCTCAAGGCGTCTAGACATTGCAGCAGGTGCCTTGTCTGGAAACCTATACCCAGCGGCAGGCATTGGTCGCGTCGGACAGCGTCCCAACTTCAATGATGTTCGTAACAGAGTTGACAACTGAGCTGGAAGCTTGAGCTCAGCTCATCAGAAAGTTGAGATGAGCAGCCAGGTCGACGTGAGGAGAGAGAATAAGAAGGCCGACGTGAGGAGAGAGAATGAGAGGTGCGAAGGTGTGGAAAGAAAGAGAGGTGAGGAGGGAGAGAGAGAGAAGGGAAGTTGCGTCGCGGGTTCAGAAAGGAAGGCATGTCGGGACTGCGACTTCTCAAAACTGCCTTCGGCTTCGAGTTCTATCGTCATACTACGCCCACAGGCGAGGGTTGAGACTTGACCTCACCTTTGTTCTGGCTGGTTCTTTCAACCTCCTATTAAAGACTCCTTTGAGCTTTGAGAATGGCTATTATTATAGACAGTTTCTCTCATCTTTGTTGTTATGTCGACGTCCACTGCCAGCGCCTCAATTGCAGGCCCCTTGGGCAATACAAGCATAATTGGACAATGTCCGAATGACGATTAATATTGAAGCTGAGAAATCGGTTCGCAGTGATCAAGCTCCCCATTGATGTAGATTCAGCTGTTGTTGTTGTTGATGTTGTTGCTGGCGCGTGAAGTTAAAATCAATTGAAGCTGAGAAATCGGTTCGCAGTGATCAAGCTCCCCATTGATGTAGATTCAGCTGTTGTTGTTGTTGATGTTGTTGCTGGCGCGTGTCAACTTTGTTGGCGCGTGAAGTTGGTGCACGTGAAGTTAAAATCAAATTGTTGGCGCGCGAAGTTGGTGCACGCGAGGTTGAAATCAATTTGTTGGCGCGTGACGTTGGCGCGTGGAGTTAAAATTAAAAAAAAGTATGGGATATGATACAGCCGGGCTTCACAACTACTGCGGATCTGGAGGTGGCTTTCGATGCTGGCGTTGTTAAGGAGTTGAGTAAGGAGGGTGAGCCAGCAAAGACGGGAGTTGGCAAACTAGTCACAGAAAGCGGAGGGGTATGCAAAGTCCAGACCTTAACTGGAGGTATTGTCCGATAGACCGTTGCTTCTAGAGTTACGAAGTATAGACATGAATATCAATAGATCATTTTTCGTCCAGTCATATCATAATTCGAACCATGATGAAAATATAGACCCCAAGCTATCCTAAAGCTCTAGACTTTTCCATCCCCATTGCTATGTTTCCATTAATGCCATTTTGAATTATTCCCATATACACAAGCACAAATATTCCCAGTATGTAGCAAGCACGCGCCTATCCCTATCTAGCACGATCCAGAAGATGCACGCAGTAGATATCCCTCAAATGAATGACGCCCAGTGAACTATGCCCGTTATATGTCCTCGCAAACCCGCTATTTTTCTTTTGCTTTCTGAAGATTCCGCTCGAATGGGTATTTAAAAAAAAATCAAAATCATTTCCAGTATATAAAGATGGCTAGAGGGGATGGTGAGTTTCGCTTCGTGCTCACAATGCAAAGTCCCCTGCTCTCTTGAAGACTATTTTGGTCGGCAGTTCGAGATCGTCAACACCCTCATCGTCCACTTCCATTTCGTCAACTTCGAGGTCCTTCGGCGCCTCGGGTTCCTTCCGCATTTGCGTTTTCCTCAGTTCTCTAGTCCTTGGCATTCCCTGCAGCTGCCTCGGAGGGGATTTGACAGGGGGACTAGGATTTGAAGCCTCTTCTTTCTCCTGCTTCTCAATCTCCCTTTCAGCAACTTGTTTGACCTCAAGTAACTTCTTTTTGATATTGGCAATTTCGGAGGTGCATTGGCCTTCACGCAGAAAATGGTGAGCTCCCTGCTCGCACTGGCTCTGACACCACTCTAACCCCTTGTCCAATTCATCAAAAATATCCTCATCGCCCCCCTTTCTATGTCCCCGCAATAATCCGACGCTCAATGTGCTTCCGACATATTCCGGCTTGCCAAAGGCTTTGGGCGGTCCCATCTGCCTTGTCGACGTATATTTCAATTTCGGGACTGATATATTTGCAGCGCCACCTCCATTTTGGCCCACCTTTATATTCCCATTATTCAGAGTAAGGTCGTTCGAATCTTCCTCATCCGAATCTTCCTCATCTTCTTCCTCTGCAAACTCCTCCTCGGCAGCTTTCTTCATCTCCGCCATCTTTGCGGCCATCTTCCCCCTCCGCATGGAGTTTCGGCTTCCACTAACGAACTTGACCAAATCCTCGAAGGCAGTTTGAACCGCGCTGTCATAATATACAATAATCATAGAACGTGTCCTATATTTTGGGGCTAGAGATTCTCCCGATGCCAGGGACTCTGTCTTTCGTTTCCGGAGGACATTGGGCCCAATTCGGGCTTGCGACGAATGACTGGGATGTGACATTTGTCGCTTCAACGTGCCGGGGAATGGGTTAGGATCTGCGGCTGTTCTCGACTGCGGTGGGGTTCTGGCGGCTGCAGCTTCTGCAGCCTTAGATGAGTTTGGTGGTCGGTTCGGCGAAATGCCTTTTTTATCCGATTCCGTTCTTTCGAACGGGTTTAATTGAATAGCCTCTCTATCTTCATCTTCCGCCGCATGAAACGGATTCTCGTCCGCATCCCTCGGCCGAAGTGACTCGGTCGATCCCTTGTTCCTGAGGGACGGTTGGGTGCGTGGGCGGTCTGTCTCTTCTAGTCGGGCGAGCTCAATCTGCCGCAGGGCAATTTGGCCATTCAGTTGGTCAAGCCGTTCGTTCCATTGAGGGATTGATATGCAAAGCGCATTCATCGCCTCGAGAATCGAGAAGTTTGCTATTGTCTTTGCCATGGCGGACTGTGGATTGGGGGTAAGATGCGGGATATTTGGCCCGGTAGTGATTGGCGATGTCGGACTCAACTAAAACGAGCAAGCAGAAACAGGCGGCCGCCGTGTTGAAGGACAGGATACGCAGGAGGGGAAGGTGACGATTTAACCCGCCATGTTCGACATCTGCCACCGCGATGTACTGTAATGATTGGAGGTGGACGGTCAGACGAGGTAGTACCAAAGCCGTATTAAGCTTTGGTTGTACTCGTACTTGTAGGTTGTGCTTCGTAAACGATCTGCGTCGTCAAGTGGGACGTGGTCCGTCTCGGAACTGTTGGATGGAGGACAAAGAGCGGTCGTGCTCCGCCTATCACGAGCTACAATTGCTGGTCTCGACTCGGCTCTCGGGCATGGACCGTCAAGCGTGTGGAATATGGAGCTGGAGCGGAAGCTGGAGCTGGAGCTGGAGCTGGAGCCTCGACGTTGGACAACCCGAAGCTAAAGTTGAGTAGTGGGAGGTTAAAGTCGAAGTGTCGAAGTCAAAATCGAAGATGGGCGGATGACGGGGACGGGGACGGGGCACTTGTACGCACTTGTACTTGGCGTGAGCGTGAGCGTGAGCGTGGAACTGCGGGAGAGGACCCTGGCGATCGCGGCTGCATTGTCCATCTGGTCGCGCGGCGGACGACGGTGTAGGGGAGTAGGGGAGTAGGGGAATAATGGCTCCGGAGGTATGTGTAGATGGATGTATACGGGATGTATACGGGATGTATACGGGATGTATGGATGGCCCATGTATCGCTGTATCATGGATGGGGAAGAATCATCTTGGATCTGGCAGTCCCATCCATGGCCGTTGGTCGGTCCAAGACTCCAAGACTCAAGATCCCCCACCCCCAGTGTATTTATGCCAGCCAGGGCTGTTTCTCACTCGAGGAATTGCTCCGCCGAATCGTTGATATAAACCACTTGGCGCACACAGAGTACGAGGTAGCTGGCACCGCGCAACGACTTTGAGAGGATCAGCAGCCACTGTCGCCTGTACCTGTCGACCTGCGAGGCTGCGGGAAGCAAAGCACAGCACCACACAGGAAGAAAAAGAAATACGTCCAGAGTCTTTGGCCGCGCATCTGGTGGCGGCGTCCAATCGCCTGGGTGTGGGTTTGGGCTTGGAGCAGCTTGCCATTAGCCCTTGACGCCATCACCACGTTTCGACTCTCGAGAAACGGCTTCGAAGCTTGAGGCTGGCACGGTCATGGTCATGGCCTGGCCTCGCCGCCGGTGCAGTGCGGTGGACGGGTTACAGCATGTCGAAAGTTCATTTTTAGCACGGGCTTCCCTGCCCAGCTTGCCTGCACGACAACAGATGATGTTGGAACTTGCGTGGTGATTTGACCGCGTCTCCCTGTCTCCTTGTCTGGCGATTATTTCGTTGAGTAAGCATGGAGCATGAACATGCGCCTGCGAGTCGAACATTACGAAGCGCTGGAAGTAATTGGAATAATGTAACTAGTAATCATTTCTGGCCCAGACCATCATCGCCATCGTGTCTCAGCGCCCGGAGCCGTTGGAGTCGTGGACTGCTACGCTGGGAAAAAAAGCCCACGAGCGGAAAGAATATCACTGTCTCAGCCGAAGCTACATATCTACCTAGGTACTCGGCACCAACATCAACCAAGAGCCGTACACGAGCAACCTGTAACTGTAAGGTTTGCTTTCGAAGTGTTTGCTGGATTGAGAATTCCGTGCATCGGCGAGAATGGCCGGAAACGGTATGTTTGTTTGTGCTCTAGATTATTCCCTCGGACTTCGTACTCATCTAGATCGATCTACATAGTGCAAACCAACTGCAAGCATCACGATTATATTATTATTATTATTGCAGTCAGCTCGCGGCAAACCACCCTGCTGCACATGCGGGACGGGCCAGGCCATATGAAAAGGCGCACACACATGGTGGGGAAATTACGTAGCACTATATTTTGATTGTGATATAGGTAGGTATGGACGCAGTATGATGAGTCGGACTGCTCGTGCAATAATGGAAACGCACATTCACATTGGGCAACTTGGTCACTTGGGGACTTCCGTCGTCGTAATGAGCCCTCTTCCTGGCGCTCTCAGATTTATGCAAGCCGACTGGGGGCACAGGCAATAATATCCTTTTGCTGACCTCCTGATGATTTTCTGAGCTCCCCCCCTGGACGGAGATTGGTTTCCATGTTGGAACTTGCCCTATTGTTGGACTCTGGTCGGTTCGACGGTTAGAAGTGTTGCAACTGCTACAGCATGTTTGCGCGTAGTAGTGCTTCGTACTACCTGACCACTGGCATCTCAAAGGCGCTGACCGCAAACTTCTGGCGCTCCTCGCCGAGCCACGCCGGGGAAAGGGCAAAACCGATCCGGGCAGCGATCTCCAGCCTTGCGGACACTTCTCTCCTTCATTTCCTCGCCATCGAACAATTCGAGAAGTGCCACATCGTTATTCCTTTCCCTTGGTGTGTGAGATGGACGACAAGGGCATCGCGTTGGACAAGGCCTTCTCCTTGCAAGAAACGTGCGTCGTGCAGAAAAGCGGCGTAGGTGCTCGGACAAGAGCATGGATTCAAGCCAGCTCACAAAATGAGAGAAAGGGCGTCAGCTGTCGAATCATCACGGTGCCCGAGGCAAAAGCGGCGGAAGGCGTGGGGATCATGAGGATGGGCTATCCTGACAGGTCAAGTTGTTGGCTTGTCTGGCTTGTCAGATGGAAATTTCCCGGGCGGATCCTCCAATGAAAGCTGCTATCGCCATCTTATTTATTATCTAGCCGACGATCTATCTAATCTGCCCGGCCTCCCGTGTTCCACCGCCTCACGCCCCGATGTCCGTCGTGCTACTTATGGCCAGAGTTCTTCCGTTTTCCACTCACCAACACCCTCTCGGCGTTGGTCCAAGGGTCCGCTCTTCGGACTGACGTAGGTAAACTTCCATCGCTGAACCCGCTCGGGGTTGCTGAGATCAACTCTCTCCACCTCGTCCGGCTTGATAATAACCACTCTGAAATTCTTCCTTGCAACCGGATCCTCCAAATCACTGACTTGCTGTCCTAATCTAAGAGACTTGTCCGTAGGTGGAAGTGACATCGGGCTGCCTGGCGCTGGGTTTTTGAATGTGCCTCTCATTGTCGGGCTTAGATTCCCAAAATGGGCCGTAAGCTCTGTGGCCCAGCTCCAGCTTTCCCTTCCTGCTTCCTTGATAACCTTCATTCGTTTGCCAATCTCCCTTTTCACCATTCTCACTCCAATGGGATCCTCACCTGGCCCTTCGATGCCTGGACCGACGACGTAGGCCTTCCCGCGGAATCTCCATTGTGTCATGGCCTCCTTCACCCAGAATACAGCTTCAACCGCTCCACCCCCATCACAACCCTGACTCTCGGTCTGGCTCGAGTCCTCGTGGCCTGCCGAACTTGCAAAGATCTCGGGGATCTTGTGCATCCTGACATCGGTCGTTAGGGTAGGTAAATCGCTCTGATAGTTCCGTTCGTTTTTCGGTGCATCATTGTAACTATTCGCCGGAAGCTCTCCCCACATGCCTCGGAATATACAGTATCGCGCTCTTGGGACATACGGTGTTGCAGATTCGTTGGGATCGGCTAGGCTAAGCGTACTGAAAACAAACTCTGGGGAGTCCATTTTGGAAATATGCGAGAGGAAGAGACGGCGCCATGGTGCAACCGCAACGTCCGTGGCTGCTGAGGAAGACATTGTACGAACAAGTAGCCGAAGCCGGGCGCTTGTTAGTGAAGTTATTTCGACAGTCGGGGTCAATCCCAATTGACTTTGAATCGACAGCCCAAGTAAGCAGGTTCGACCAAGTTGAAGTTGTTGATAATTGGGAATGACGATTTGAATTCCAGATATTGAGCCTGACCCCACTACCCCACAGTCCACGTGATGAGTTCGACATCATTAACCTCGACCAAGTTCATACTTACAAGATACTTACCAGAGAACTATCGTAATTCCAAAAATCTAATTAGGAGTTCTGTTTTAATATCAGGAACAATGTTGACGGATACTCCAACTATATGGGGACTCTGTTCAGATTATTCCGTTTCCTCGTGTCAAAACATCACCCATGGACAAATCCCCCTTCAGATAGATTAGTATTTATGGTCCACCAACTAACTCATCCCCTTATAGCTTACAGATAGCTATTCTCCACACTAAAGCTGCTTGGGGGAATACATGGCACTTGGCAGTCCTACCACAGGCTAAATACCTAAAGCCCGCCAGATAATTTACTTCCATCAGTGTTATTCCCTTCAAAACTTCACGATGAACCGCCGTCGAGCTTCACCGCCTACAGGCGGTGTGGCAAACTGCCTGGCTATAACTCCTAACCGACCTCTTACATATAATACCAAATAAGCGTTTTGTTCTTTCGAGGGGTACAAGGGCGGCCACTTGGTTGAGTGGTTCAGGACGAATTGTACTTTCGAGGTCGACAGGGATTTAGGGTACGTAGGCACAGGCCCCAAAAAGGGGGACGTTAAAAAAACGACAAAATACGAAAATTAACAAACACAACAAAATACGAAAATAAAAAAAAGCGACAAAATACGAAAAATAAAAAAAATAAAAAAAACGACAAAATGCGACAATAACAAGATCGAATCGGATCTACTCGACAAGAGATGTAGGCACTCGACGTCGGGCTGAACTCTTTTGCCATTTTGAGCGTCGACATAATTTTATTTTTATTTTTTTAATACCAATCTAAGAGTCGAGTCGAGTTGAATTTCTCTTTCCTTTTACGCGTTTTGTTTTGACTCTTTTAGCGAAGGTCAGATACAGGTATCTAGAGGGTTAAATATATCGCTCCGCTTCATTATTTATACGGCTCAATCTTTTGAAACCAGAATGCCTGCTGTCCTGCTTCTCTCCACATCGTTTACAGTTGAAGCATGTGACATGTCCTACTTCCCAAGGACAACCCCAACTCTTTTATAGCTGAAAAACATATTTCAATTCCACGGGTGCCTTTTCCATCACAGGCTACACTGTCACAATTGTGACATCATTAAGTCGATTATGCTCTAAGGGGATTTTACCTGCCCCTCTTTTCTGGTAGCCATGGGCCATACAGTACAGCTAATTGCAGGCCCGAAGAGTTGCAAGTTTACACCTTGAAGGCTCCATTCGGAGAGGTTTGGGGCAAAGCCAACAAGCCGGTTCGACATTATATATGTGAAATTCACTAGACGAGCAGACATGCTTACTCAGGCAATAACTCATGGAGCCCGTGGCCCCGCTCCTGCAGAGCAACTTTCTATTATGACAGAGTTGCATATCTATCAGCAGTCCCAAATGTTTATGCCCAATACTTATCTACAATGGTGACTATCAAAGATACAAATATCGCTAGGCACAATGACGGCATATAACTTGAATATGAGGACATAGCTAGGTAAATGCTTAATAACTTGAGCGTCCTTACATGTCACTTTCGATTCCCGTGAAGGAAATTCTATTTCTTTTATTTGCGTTTCTTCTGCCCTACCTGCTACCTAATACCAAGGGTGTTTATCCCTTCTACTACCCTGCAAAACTTTTATTCTACCAAATAAATCCAACCAGAGACCTCTCATCAAGCAGAAGTAGCAATAGCAGCTGCTCGGGTTGTATCTCCAATATATCCTAATATCTTTTACTATAATTCCCAATTCTACAACTTCCACTGACCCGTACTCAGCTGCCAAGTGTCGCGAGATGCATTGTCTGATATCACGCTAAGCGCTAGGATAGCTAGAATTTTTTTTCATAGACTGTATCCCGAGAAAGTAACGAGAGTCGTATAACTCCTTGAAGTAGATAAAAGATCAGGACATGGAATGCCTATATTCAATATTTTAGAGTAAGAGTAATCTACCTACCTCTATATTCGAGGTCGAACTAGAAAGGAACCTTGATATATCCTCGGGGGCCTCCCTGCAGTAAGCATACTTCTTGGCTGTTTCTCTGCCAAACTATTAAAACGATATTGCAATTTTGTAAATAACAAAAAGCACAAATATGGCACAACACTTATTGTTTCAATATCCTGCAGCATCCTGTTAATGAAATCCGTCATCCAGAAACAAATGTACTCCTCTTCCTCAACGTCTTCTCGACGAGGAGATTGCAATGTATTTCTCAGGAGGCAGATAAGATATCGGGGATCATGAGCAGGGAGTCAAATTTGGGCATCCCTGCTCTGTTTCGGTGTTCTTGAAACGGCGGTACACTTTGTTTGCCATGGGGCATCCTGAAACAGCCAAGGTCAATAGAGATGCAACTTAGGCTACCAATGTTGACATTGTTTGCTTGCTATTCAAGGACGGTTACCCAATCTCCCATATTTTGCACCTTCCTAACCTACCTAGGTATATTATTTATCAAAGGATCAATTTTTGAGGGGAGTTAGCTATTCAAGATTGAGAAACTATAGACCTAAGGCGGATGGACGTACGAGGTACGTTGGTTTGCATAGGTAAGCCATGGACGGCGAGAAATCTGAGGTCTAAAACGTTTGAGGGGTTAAATGACCTCAATCCGGTGGGTTACAAAATGGATCAGTCGAATTAATTCGATCGACGATATCCTGTAGATAAAATTTCAGAGAGATATTGCTAGTTAGTTTATTTGACGTCAATATTGTAAAAACGCCCCAGAAGTGCCTGATAATATAACTGATCTTATTTTTGTCTGAAATAACTTTACTATGAATAACTACTATTTTTATAGAAATTTATAACCGATTAGATCAATTTGAAATTAAAATCTCAATAAGCGTAAATACACCTATTTTAGACAATATACAAACTATCTATAACAAACATAGGGCTACACTTAACTATAGGAGCTTAGTTAATATTATCTTCAAATTTCCTAGCAACAACTTATAATAAATAATTTGATAGGTATAGTCCGTACAGTTTTATATCAACAAGGTATTTTAAATTGCTATTTTCAATGGCAATAATAGTTCTCATTTCGTAGCTCTCCCCAGATCGTAAATTAGACTGTAGATGGAGATGTAGGATGGACGAAAGTAAACGAAGTAACTGAAGCAAATATTTTGTAAGACTCAATACGTCACAAGAGATAAGGCTACTAACTAGTAGCCAGCCATTTGCGTTTGAAAGTCTAGATTTTGAGATTATTTGAGTCATCATAGCTATCTAACTTGAAGTTACTAAAGCTGGGCAGCTTATGCGCTTTGCATTTCTAGTTATATGGTACTTTTCCAGCTTTGGCCGCAGTTTGACATCTTGTTCTTCGGGAATTGCCTCTTTTAGTTATGACCACTTCGTCAATCCCCTCTTCAACTTCCACACTATCCTTCTTCTCTTCCTTGGTTATATTGGAGAGATCAGTGCCACCTCTGCCATCATCGTTAGGCCCCCTCCATCAAGGTACGGGTATTAAGCTATAGTATGGTTAATAGTCGTTAAAATGAGTCCTAGAAGAGAGATGAACCAACCCTATTTATGGAAAATATAGCGTTGAATTGTGGAATTGGCGAGATGGGGCAGCTGAGGTGAGCCTTGTGGCCGTTTAATTTCTCCGCCGGCAGCCATGAATTAGTTTCCAGTGTATATTCTATCGGCATTAAAGAAGTAATAGACCTGAAACGACATGTGCCTATCATTTTCGGTTGATCCTTCTCCACAACGGCAATAGTGTAAAGAGACGAAGTATTTATGTTTAATCTACAGTTGAAGTAACATCCAGGGGCTAAATGACTATTTTTCAAAGAACAAAATAGATATGAAAAGCCTGCATACTAGTACCTGACATACTTCTATATGGTTGTATTTACAAGAGCAGTGGTAAGGACTTTAAAAAGCGTCGACCTTCTAGTAATTGCTAATATGCATGTACATATATGTATTATACACTGAGGATAGCCAATTAGGGACCCAAACACCCCATTAGTCTCTCGCACTTTAGGCATCAAGACGTGCCGCATTGCGGCACTCATTGTTAGCAGTTCATGTTCCGGGCTGCCACGAATAAAGAAAAACACTGGAAGGGCCAATTGGGTAACAAAATCTCTGAAGGCCGTAACAAGATTGGTGCACAACACGGATTTATGCCCTGAAGTGCAGAGTACCCGTTTCACGTCTCTATCCAGTCAGGGAGAGGAAAGGCTAGGAGGCCAGATAACAAGGAACAGTACTACATCACCGAAAGGCTTCTTTGACATACCCTTAAACAGAAATTTGTCTCGATAGTACGTAGTATAACTAAAACATAGATGTGGCTAGTGTATCTACTTATAGTACACTGCTATAATATACTTGTTTTGTCTTTCGCCGCCGCAAACATCAGGGACGAATATGTAGTTTCAGTCAATAACGTAAACGCAAGTCAAGCCGCCTTCCCCTAAGCTACTTGGAATACCCAGCGAGATAGCATTGGCATTAGTGATCAACTGCATAAAGTTCATATCAATTGCTGCAAGAGCTATCCGGATCTAACCGTAAGGAAGATAATCTGGTTGATGAACTCCAATCTCACCATCTTGTTCCAAGATCGGTTAGTAAGCCGAGCCGCTTCTACCCGAGCATCCCCTGAGCGTCCCCTGAGCAGCCCCTTAGCAGCCCCTGAGCGATACCCGTTGGATTAGGGCCTTATCATGTCATTTTTGTCAAGTTTTGCCGATTTCCCTAGGAGCCTGTTTAGGCTCCTACGAATCCCGAACCGAACCCTTATGAAAATAGATCTACATTATCCCATGGGCAATTGCCCATAGCAATAAAGCACAGAGGTCTTATTTATAAACCTCTCCTACCCGCTATAACTACCTAAATTTTGCTCCAGCTACCAAGCTATTTTAATCCCCCCCTATAGACACCTGCACTCTACGCCTCCTTATTCTTTAATTTTGTCTTGACTTCTTTGTACTCTTACTATTACTAGACTCTTCGGGATGCCAAAGCGCAAATCCTATAAGAATAGCTCCGGGAACAATAAAGACATTGTTACTAGATAAAAAGTCGAGAAAGAACTCGAGCTAGGTACCTAGAAGTAATACGCTCGCATAATAGCAGTATGGAAATAGTACGTCCTTATAGTCCAAAATTAAACTTTTTGTCGTACTTACTCTTCTTGTAAAACAGGTGGCAAATCGAACATCCCAGTACTACTCTGTACGATACAAAATCATAACAGGATTTTACTATGGACGTTGTATATAGTATTGAAGGCGCGTATGGTAACCTAATAGTATATATAAATACAGTTGTTACGAACTTAAAGTGATTTTCTAGAGGCCTAAAACAGACCGCTCATTCGTCGGCAGCGTAACTTACGTTTCCTTCAAGATATGTTTCTGGCTATCCCCATCCCTATCCCTATCTCCTAGTTGCTGAAAATTATCCATCTTAACATTCGAACCTAACACCTGATGTCCACTCCTCGATTGTTTCAATCTGCTGCCTCTACTGCCCGAAGCGGGGCCGCTGGATTTAGTGGTGGTGATACGGCCGAGGAAGGGGAGGGAGAGGAGAGGGCGTAGAGCGGGAAGCGAGCCGGCGATGATACCGATGCCTTCTTCGATTACGGACCAGAAGCCGATTTTGCCGGTGCTGAACATGAATTCTGCGGGGTTGCTGTAGAGACTGAGGTAGAAGAGTCGGACTATTGTTGCACAGCTTGCACTAGAGAGGCGTTGGCCAGTTGTACACCGAGTTTTGTAGTGGTTGCAAAACGAAGTAAGGCCATTCGGGGGAAGAATATTAAGGTACTTACAAAGCAGCCAGCCCAAGAATTACAGCCACCGAGAACTTGACCCTACTGTTCATCTGAACATTCCACAACAAGACCGCAGGCAAGATTGCCAAAGACCAGTCCGTTGCAATCTCAATAGCAGAAAAGAAGAAGCTAACATCGCTGTTCAGCTTGAGATTGCATGAACCGGTAGTAGTTTCACCCCATAACGTAGTAATCGGATGACAGATATTAGCGATACCAATTATGAATATGGCGGCAGAAATGGCAGTGACGATCATGATGCCCCAGATAGTCCACAAAAAGTTACGGCGGGATTCGGCAATACGGAGGAGAGTTATGGCGATGCTGCACTTGATAACGACGGCGCCGGAGGCGTAGAAGAACTCGGCGATGAAGAAGAGCTTTTGGTAATGGTCAATTTCACTGTCCCAGACGTTCAAGGGAAGAGCGCGAGAGTACGCACCTTGGTTCCATACATAATATCACTAGTCTTCAGGGCGGCAGCAAACTGGCCGGACCCATAGAAGCAGCAGACAATACATAGGCTGCTTGTAACCGTGAAGAGCAGCTGCGATAGTAGTATTAGTACGTTGTTGGTCTTGGGGGAACGAGAAGCAAGCAAGTTACACACATACGAGACCTATAAACATCGAGTAGTCATCCAAACCCAAGGCGTTTCTCCATATCCGCACTCCTACCCTTGTAATGAATGTGAGCCAACTTAGGGCCAACAGCACTGCTGAAGCATAGAAGAGTGGGACGCCGTCCCCTGCGGGTTGGACCATGATTGCAGCACAGCTGAGCGTTGTGAAAGTAAGAAAGGATGAAGAAAGTAAGGATGAAGACCACCTCTTCTTCTCTATCAAGTACTCGAGGGGGTTTTGTGGGGAGATAAGTTCGAACGTATAAATGTCAATTGGTAAAAGTATCTTAACTCGCCTAGGCCCTGTTGTTTTCAATGCCCTGGCCAAAGTCGAACTTTGAGCAGACAGCATGGGCCAACGGGAAGAAATCAGGCGCTACTCTAGTTGGCCATACCCCGTCGTCGCTTTCAGCCTCGCTGAGTCGCTGTCATCCCTGTTAGCCTCTTACTGCACTATTATTAGTTTCCCTATTTCCTCAAAACCTGAATTGCTTTTTACGACTGTCGAAGACTCTCCTTCGTACAGTAGGTTCAGCTCAAAATTCCCGATACCCGCTAAGCCGGGGTAACAAGCCATAGTTCTGGCAGAGCAACCATTAGTGATGTGAAGTTAGCGACTCTATAGGGGCTTTAAGCCTAAGCTTCAGGGCCTCGAGCCTGTAGCCTACCCTATAGCCAGGTTTGCTTCAGGCTCTCTAGGCTTTGCTCTCGTTGCTAGGTGAAAGGGGGTTCACTCTTGGCATTGGCAACCCCTGCCTAGCGAGTATCAGGACTTTTAATCTGACCTACATGTACGTACTCCGTAGAGCTTGCGACATCGTTAGCCCGGGTGGTTGGGGCGGTGGGATCCTTGGGTAAGTGGATAATCTTAGGTTAGGATTCTTGAAGCGATTCAGAAGAATTGGTAGAAGGAAGAGATACCTTCGCTGAGGAAAAGAAATTGTAAAAATAAAAGCAACTCCTCATTTCTTATTGTTGATCCATGCTATCTATGGAGAGTTCCACTATAGTCAGGCCATTGAAAACAACTAGCCCCGGAACTTCTCCAGCATCGGAACGGTCCGGGGAAGTGCCGCCTGCCGATACCCTTGGCGCATGGCCTGATGAAGCCAGTAATGCGGGGATCCTGTGGAGATTGTGGAGACATACCCTTTATTTCCAGGGTATCGGTATTTCAAACATACGGAGTAAATGCAGTTGAAACTTGAAAGGGTCCACTACTACACAAGTATTAAAGGGCGGGACAGACTACCGCATGTGATAAACTCCGTAGAATACCCTGTACGAGTACAATCTTCTTAAAGAGACAAGAGACCATTTTTAAGTGGCGCACACACACCGCCTGTGCGAAGTATACAGTACTTATTAGCAATGGAGCATTAAGTGTTACGTGCGGGGGGAAGTCGTAGTACCTCGGTACTCTTTAGAAGTCATCTCGAGACTCAAGATTTCCATCCTCTGATCCTTTCGTCTTGAATTTGATAGTCTTGCTACTTTGTCTCCAAGATTGCAAGAAATTGCTTTTGATCCTTGAATCTGCCGGCAGCGTATCCTATCTCAGCACCATGGCCGAATTTCTCATCAAGGACGAGGATTTACTCAGCCTCAAGGGCGCGGTTGTGATCGTCACAGGTACGGCCATTCCACCACCTGTTTTGACTCGGGCTAACTAACCTACTGGATCATTGCAGGCGGTTCGTCAGGTATAGGCCTAGCAACAGTCAACCTGCTGCTATCATTAGGGGCATCGGTCGTCAGTGGCGATATCCAGCCGCCAGCCACCGCCGAGTCGGCAGAAACGCCTGCCTTGCTGTTTGTGCAAACCAATGTGACTAGCTGGGCCGACCTGAGCACGTTGTTTAAGAAAGCGAAGGAACACTATGGCCGGGTCGACTACGTTTTTGCTAACGCCGGCATTGGTCCCCGCGCCGACTACTTAGCCATTGAAGCAGACGAGAACGGGGACCTGAAGGAACCAAACCACGAAGTTTTGGACATCAATTTGAAAAGCGTCATCAACACAGCTTGTCTAGCCGTTCATTTTATGAAACAGCAACCCGAAGGCGGTAGTGTTGTGCTCATGGGCTCCAGCACCGGCTTACAGCCCTTTCGAGCTCCCGATTACTGTAAGTCGAGAGAAAAGCAATGTGCCATGAATAGAGTACGCCAAGCTTACACAATCATCTAGCTACGGCCAAACACGGTGTCCTGGGGTTTGGGAGAGGTTATGCACGGCTTATGGAGACTGCGGGACTTCCTATTCGCATCAACACTCTCATGCCATCATGGACGACGACCAGCGTCCTCCCCAACATGGAAGACATCATGAAGGGAATCTCCCACAACGCGCAACCCGGCTCGGTGGTTGCGCGCGCTGCTGCTTATCTGATGATCGATGCATCTAGACAGGGAAACGTGGTTTATGTCGCTGATGGGAAGTACCAGGAAATCGAAATGGCCGTGCTTGGGCCTGCGTACAAGTCCATCAACGGAGAGGGGAATCCTAGCGATGACGAAATTCTGAAGCGTATATTAGGACTAGCTGGGCAATGATCTGGAAGGTTTGGCGCGGTGATGGGGTAGATAAGTAGATACCTTTACGGAACCCGGCAGCAATTGACTCTGCCTGCACAGCACCTTGGATTAGTGAAGCATATTGTATAGGGGTCACAAGCTAATACTTAGGTTCTCTAGCGAAGATACCTAACCACAAATTATTATATCTTACGTAGAGTAATAAAACAATTGTATTAGCTCGCTCTGCCCACGGCGCTTGGAAAGCTATTACTAAGGTACAGCATAAGGTACTTACCTATGCCTATACTACCTACCTACCTAGGTAGGTATACACTTAAAATATAACGTGACCGAGCGACCAACCGACCGCACGGCGACACATGTAACTATACAACTGTACAACCTGCCTACCTACCTGCCTACCTACCGACCTACCGGAAGAAATAAAAAGCCACTCGGTTGGCTATACCTTAATTAGGTCCCTAGGACTATACTCCACCTTACCTCGCCCTCAAAACCTCGCACGGAGACTTCTCCTTGTACCACGCCAGATTCAAACAAGAAGAAGCAAAGCTCACCTTCCCCTGCAGGAGAGTCAAGATACCTGACCACCTGATACGCTACTGAAAAGTAACTAAGAAATTCAGCCTATAGCCAAGACACACGGTCACACCAAACCCCCCTCTCCCCCCAGAGTGGAGCGGAAGGGCTTGCCTATATTCGCCGCCTCCTGATGGCCCCTGAGGACTTTGCAGGACTCCTCAGGGTTACAGAGTTTTACTCCAGGATCTGTACCCGCTGATTTACAGCAACCTCACTCCTCCCCCCCAACTTTCTTTTCACTGTCGCACCCCTTACTCTCTTTGCACTCAGGGCAGCGGGTTACCCTCTCTGGGAAACTTCCTCTAGGTATACGCGCCCTTCTAACTATAGTCAAGTTTTACAAAACCCTCGCCTTTGTTGGCTTGTAAGCCCCAACCTCCAGTTGCTCAAGCATCACCTCAAAACTCACCGACCTTCTGGTTATCATACGCTACTGCCTCAAGGCAAAACTACAGGGGCTTGCCCCCAATCACACTCCACCGTTCTTATCCCAACCAGCCGCAGATGGGTATACTAAAAAAGGCTTCAGGCCAAACGCAATTGCAGGAAATACTTTCTGATTAGCTGTACTATTTTTGTATTTTAATCCGATAGCTTAGCACATCTCCGTACCCCTAGGGAGGTCCCAGGACCGTAGGCTACGCCTACGGCCCGATAGACGAAAACCAATATCATTATTATTATCATCATCACCATCATACCTTAATTAGGATAAGAGGGTGGCCTGTGAGAATACGCAATTTACTTAGAAAGGAACGCTAATCTCGCTTTTACTCCGGGTATCTACCGGCGCAAGCCGGCTGGTAGGCCGGTAGACAGGCTAGTAGGCAGCTACTAGGCAGGCTAGTAGGCAGGAGATTCGAAAGACTCAAGAGACTTAATAGACTTTAATAGAAACAAATATAAAATATATAGTAGTATTATAATTCTTTTTATATAAAGGATAGTATAGTAATAGTATATTACTAATTCTCTACTAATCCTCTACTTAGTAGGTACTTTTATATATAATTAAGTCACGTGGAAGTCACCTTTATAAAAATCCGGGGGGATATAGGACCCCAACGCCCCATAAGCTACCCCTATGGGCTCCCATGGGATGGGGCAAAAATCCAAACCCCATCCCATGGAGCCCCATGCTGCAACCTAGCCATCACCTCCAACGATTCGGGCTAGGATGCCGCTGGGAGTCAATCAAGCCGTCTGTCTTCGCGATATGTTACCCCTGATATGTCGCTGTCTCAGAGGATTGGCGGAAGAGCGTCCAAAAAACCGAAGAAAAAGGCCCGGCCGGAAGAGTTACACCGGTAACACAAAGATTGAGGATGATGATTGTTCACTAGTGATCTACAAAGGCTGCAGAGTCATTTACGACCGGGTGATTAATGCTTTGAACCTTTGGAAGGAGTTACTGATAAATGCAAAAGGGGAGACGAGACTTTTTATATTCGTCTCGAAGAATCGTGTAATACACTGGTACTACAAATGTCGATAAAATGAACACGTGGTATCTACTTGTAAAAATAGATAGGAGCCTATTGAACTCTGAGCTTGTCACGAATGCAAGTAGAGAGTGCTCAAAAGCGGAGGATCTCTCTATTCGAATACAATCGTAGGTACGAAGATATTAAGCTGAAGAGGAGAAGAGAGAGTATAACTTTTCCGGGCGAATATATGCCCTATTGGAGATCACGTGCAGGGTCAGGCTAAAGCGACCGCTGCTCACGTCTAGAGACTAAACAGATCGGCGAAGATGAGAGTAGAGTCTAACTATGCTAGAAGTCTTCAGAATAACGTAGGCCGAGTTTCAAACCGGCAGGCGCCCTTGAAAATTTCGTCCGGCAACACCACAAACAGATATCCGCGAGTATTTGCAGCTAAAGCGACCATCTAAATCCCGCACTGTAGGCAACCGCTCAAAAGGATGTCTGCCTTCTCGACCCTTTCAAGTTAAGCTTGTTTGAAATAATGACCTGGAAAAACTTTGCTCTACCGGGAGATCCGGAGGAAACCCAACTCGCTTGGTAATCTCATTAGCAACGAAACCTCCTAAAGCTAAGGGTCCCGGGAACCATCGACCGCAAAGGTAAGGATTCCGACCTAACTTTGAGTCGGTGTGACTAAAAGAGCGCAAGTGGCCGATGAGAGACCCCTTCGTCAACGTGGTATTCAGCATGTAGTGGAACCACATATACAAATATTTTGCGGCATTTACTAGGAAGTAGTAACAATAACAGAAAAGCAGCGCAAAAAAATAAAATTAAGTGGGAAGTCCGATAGAGGATATTGATGGTAGCTTGCAGAAATGTATACCAGTTGTCTTTTGCTGGGGTTTTGGCGGTACCCCATCTTACCCCGTCAAGCTAGATTTAACCTTTGAAAAGCTACGATACCATCATCCCGAGAGATGCCCGCGAAGCTATGGAACACCAAATTCAGAGCGAGTAAGATCAAAGTAAGTTAAAAGTTACATGCTTGAAGCATCCGGCCAAAACCAAGAAATATACCGAAAGGCCCAAGAAAAAAATTAGAAACGGAAACTTGACCCTTTATTTAACGAGGCCAAAATGAACTCAAGGAACGCACTATGATTTGCTCGCTTGTAGAATCTCTTCGCTGCTTTAGGCTATATCTCACGTGAGAAAGCTTACATAGCACGATTGGCATCGGAGTATAGCAATTGCGATCACGGAGATCCTTCTGTTTGTAATTCTGTGGTAATGTTAGAAGACAGTTGAATAGGTATGTTTGCTTGGCAATTTTGTTCTGAGTGCTATATCCGGTGCTGGACAGCCACAGTGGAACGCCTTTTCGCTGGCTCAAGAGGGGTTTTTTAGTCGGGTGTTTAGGTGCTTGGCAATGGATGTGATTGATGGTCTTCCTTGAACGCCTCTGTGGCCGTCCTTAGTCAATCGCTTTTGCACTCGTTGCCCCATTTTGAGAGAAGGTTGTGGGGGGTTCCTTGTTTAAATCTCCAAGGTCTCTAAGTGCTCCGTAGAGAGTCGTCTCTTTTGAACACCTGGAGTACCGATTTCTAATCTTAGCCGAATCGGCATTCGTAGATCCGTGGCTTATCCAAAAAAAAAAAAAGCGTGGGGAAGTATCAGAACCACCTCTTATCAGTATATCTTGATCCTATAGCGAGGCTTCACGGTGGGATGCATATGCCGATCTCTCTGCAGGTCGGGACTTGTGGAGGCATATCAGTGTTTTTATAGCAATATATCCACGTAGCTGCACCTATGACCAGCAGAAAACATCTGATAAGCGTTGGCGGTGGCCCAACCCCATTTTCCCCCCTGGTTCTCCGTTATCAAGCTGACCATCTCGATCACGGCTACCGGCGTTTTCGGGGCTTAAGGGGAATTTCTTCGCGGGGTGGATGGTGGATGGTGGATGGTGGACCGTGAACCGTGAACCGTGAACTGTGCGCGATGCGATGCGATGCGACGTTCCAGCGTGCTGGGCAGCAGCTTGTCGAGGGGGCGTTGCCACTGGTCTAGGCCTTGGCTGGTCTCAAACAACGCCCTCCGTCCGCGGTCGCCAGTCTCCTCAACCTTCTATTGTTGCTATTGTTGCGATACCCGACATTTCTTGCCCCAGTCGCCAGCGTTGTGATACCGTGGATCCGCCCGCAATCTAGGACTCGAGATATATCACCCTGGAGATATATACATGCCGGGCCTTGGCGCTGCTTCAGAGCGTGAGATACTGTGTCCGTCAAGGGTTCCAATCTCCCCAACCCTGCCCTGCAAACCCCACGCCTCAAATCGATGGCCGATATCAAAAACCCCGAGCAGTTGGTGGTGCAGCACGGGGCCGGTGGAATTGTGGCGCCAGTGAAGAAGAAGTCGAGGAGCAGCAGAGAAGACGCCGCGAGCAAGAGGCGATGCGTGAGCACGGCTTGTATCGCATGTAGGAAGAGGAAGTCAAAGTGCAATGGGAACACTCCAAGTTGCGCAGCCTGCTCGAGTGTTTATGGGACGGGTAAGCCCCAGGTCGTTGTTGATAATGCGCTTGGTGTCTCTTGAAGCTGATGCTTGTCCTCTCAGTATGCGTCTACGATCCGAATAGCGACCACCGACGAAAGGGCGTGTACAAGGAGAAGATCGATAGTTTGAAGACGCGGACCTCGACATTGCAGACTCTTGTGCAAGCCATATTGAACGCCGCCGAGGACGATGTGCCAGATCTGGTGAAGCAGATACGGACCTGCGAAAGCTTGGATGAGGTGGCGGATAGCATACGTCGACATGAGGAGGGCATGGATGAGGACGATGGCGAAATCGATGGTCCTTCGTATACGACGAACCTGCCGACCTTCGAAACACAACTTTCAGGGAAGATGGGCGAGTTGAGGCTGGAGAACGGTGCTGTTCGGTTCCTTGGAGGTACTTCGAACTTGATATACCTGGAACCTACGGATGAAGACGAGCACGCTGCCGCATCCGAGTCTTTCCAACAGCAGGAGGATCCCCTCACAAGCTGGACAGCAGTGACGTCTGATACCGAGTTCATCGTACATCTAATCAACATGTATTTTACCTGGCATTATCCCTATTTCACGACTTTATCGAAAAGTCTCTTCTATCGAGATTTCCTCCTAGGAAAAGCTACTATAAACCCCAAACGGACGCTATACTGTTCTAGCCCCCTCGTGAACGCTATGCTAGCATTAGGATGCCACTTTACCGACTCCCCAAAAGGCTGTGCTCATCCAGGAGATACGACCACAAAGGGAGACGCTTTCTTTGCCGAGGCGAAACGGCTTATTGTTGAGAATGATGAATACGAGAAGCCTAGTCTGACAACTATTCAAGCCTTGTGTCTGATGTCTGTTCGTGAAGCTGGGTGCGGCCGAGAGGCCAAAGGCTGGGTCTACAGTGGAATGGCCTTCCGACTGGCGCAAGATATGGGCCTGAGCCTGGATTCCGGGGGGATGACCAATAGCAGGGAATCCATGGATGAGCAGGAAATTGATGCTCGAAGGGTCACGTTCTGGGGTTGTTTCTTATTCGACAAGTGCTGGTCTAACTATCTCGGACGATTACCGCAACTACCAGCCGCCAACATCACGGTAGCGAAGTATGATGTTTTCCCTGACGAGGACGCCGATATTTGGTCTCCGTATACCGATAATGGCATCGGGCAATCGCATTCACAGGCGTCGCGAACGAGGACAGTGGCACTGCAGATTTCAAGTCTCGCCGAGATCAGCAGTGACTTACTGATATTCTTTTACAGTCCACAGCGTCTCGAGAGATCTATTGGGAGATCCCAGGAATTGAAAAAGTTGAGTGAGTTACAGACACGGCTCGAAGCATGGCGAAGGGATCTCCCCAAGGAACTGGAGCCCAAGGAGGGCCAGTTACCGAATGTCCTACTCATGCAGTAAGTAAAAACCTCTTGAGTTAACAATAACTTCAACTCACATATTCTTAGCATGTTCTTCCATCTTCTATATATCCACCTCTTCCGCCCCTTCCTCAAGTATAGCCCATCAACCTCGCCCCTCCCATCCCACGTCTCGCCTCGGAAGCTATGCACACAAGCTGCAGGCTCTGTCTCAAAACTTATGCGGCTATATAAACGCACCTATGGCCTGCGTCAAATCTGCAATATTGCAGTCTACATAGTCCATTCGGCGTGCACGATCCATCTGCTGAACCTCCCGGAGAAAGCCGCAAAGAGGGACATCATACACGGGGTCAAGCATCTCGAGGAGATTGCAGATGACTGGTTATGTGCCCGTCGGACATTGAGCATCCTCAGTGTGCTGGCAAGAAAATGGAAGATTGAGCTTCCAGAGGAGGCTGCTGTTGTCCTCGCTCGCTCCGATGCCAAATTTGGCCATTTCAACACAGCTGATGTGCCGTCTCCGAAACAGGAGATCATCGGTTCTTCACCATCCTCGACAGCTACACCACCTCCATTTGCACCTCCACCCCTACCACCGCAACAGGGATCGAACTTAGTGCTCAATCATAACCCACTTAAACATAGTCTATACAGCTATCCGGAATCCCAGATGCTGTCAACGATGAAAGGCATGCACCACTCACCGTCAGATACACAAAGTCCTACCATCCAGGCACTATCTGCTCGCCGACAGGCAGCCTCCAACGGTCTTGCAGCTACCAATGTGGGCGATGATTCATCAATACCTCCGGTACCATTTCCCCGTAACCCATACAGCAACCTTCCAACATCAGCATCAACATCACGTTCTACACTCACTCCGTCTACCGATATCCTACCCACCACCTCTAGCATGGTGTCAAACTCACCAGCTGCCATGGCTCGGCAGGTCACTACGAACACGATGTTCGGCGGCGTCGAGGCATTAGTCGAAAGTCAAGACTGGTGGCTCCGCGATCAAGCCAGCCTCGTCATCGGCTTCGACAACTGGATGGGGCCCGGCGGCTCTGACGGCATGGGGAACGGGGCCATCGCATCGCCAAACATGAACAACCTCCCAAACGTTGATTCCAGCTACCTCATGCCTCAAAACGGAAACAACGGAAACAATGGAAACAACCCTCACAACCCCGACGCGTTCAATGATGACGACTGGAATTACTAATTAACTTTTGGTCCCTGTAAACATTTTACACATGGGAATTTTCGTTTTCGTTTCAAAAATTCACGGACCGGAGTTTGAAAAGAAAACCGGGTGGTCATTCATTCATTTACGTAGCTGGGCGGTGGTCGGAACTGGGTCGGGAGGAGCATATTTTACCTTATATTTATATATGATTTCACGAAAATCACGCATAGTTTATCTAGCAGGAGTGGGTGGGTTGGGGGGTCTTCTATACGCTTGCATACACACACACACACAAGCATATATACATATACGAATGGCGTTTTATTTTAAGGGGGGTCTTTTGTAAGCCTCGGGCTTTTAACGCCTTTTTGATGTTTATTTTTATATAGAGTTGTAGATACCTAAACAACTTCTTCTCTCTTCTACACTTCTTTTTGAGAATCAGTGTGCGTGATGGGGGATGTGGATGTGGATGTGGAATTTTGGTGCTGGTTAGTTAGTTTGATGAGGGTTGGGCATGGCATGGCGAGTATATCTGTTACCATTCTTATACATACATATGTTACATACATACCTATACATACATACATACAAAACCCCTTCTCATAGATGCTATGCCAAGTGTATTTACTCTAAAAACTATACATGACTAACAGAAAGCATTCAAATCGCATTCCCAACACTTCCTCCCTGCCTTATTGATGAGAAATCTACCTTCCCCACACCCCGCATAATCCACTATTTCACTTCATTCCAGCCTATTCCTCCTACGTCCTAACTCCCATCCCATCCCATTCCACACCTCCCCCCTCCCCCAACCATCCTAACATCAACCTCCCCAACCTAACTCTCTCAACAATCCAAACCCCCAAACCCCCATACCTACTCCGATACAAGATTCCTCATTCCTCACACCTCCCCAAATCCCGTCCCATCTCCCACCTAACCCAGCCATCCACAGCCACACAAGCGTATAATCCCCCCTATCTATATCTATACACACCCCGTTACCACCCTAGCCCTCCAAAACCCCCCCGGGAACGAAGATTTACGTATTTACTTACTCACTACTTATCAACCAACCAGTACTTATCCTCCGTACCTACCTACTCCTCTTGCTTAGCTGTTTTATTCGGGGTTTAGAAGCAGGAAGGGGGGGAAGAAGGGTTGGATAGCCTTGGGGTAAGGGATAAGATGTATGTAGGTAAGTAGGCATGTTACCAGATGGTGGCGGTCGGGGGTAGCTAGTGGGGAAAAGGGGCTTGGGGCGCAGGTCAACACTTCACATTCCAAACCCAGCAAGCAGCGAGCACATTCAAAGCACAGGGTATAAACCAAACTTTTTAAAAAGTTCTTTTCCATATTCATTTCATGTCATCCCACTACATATATATTCAAGACAATAAACAATATAAATAAAGCCCTCCTTCCCCACCCCTTCATATTCCATATATCCCATTCCGCATTTCATATGTAAAAAGCCTAGGTATCTTTTCGTTATCTCCCTTTTTCCCCCTATCCCAAATATTCCAAATATTCCCCATAAAAAAAACCCCGGGATATCCAAGTACTTAAGTAAAGAGAGAGAAAAAACTGAAACGAACTATATACAAAAGCAAACAAAAAAAAAAAGTTCAAGAGAGGAAGGGAGAGAACCTGAAGTAATAACGCAAGAGAAAAACAAATATTAACACCTCATACCCCTGGACCCCCAAATCAAATATATGCCTTTCCCAACCAAATAAAGGTCTTCCGTTCATTTGTTATTCATATCCACCAAAACAAAAGAGCGCCGAACCATAGTAACAAAAAAATCAAAAAAGCAAAAAAACAACTCGCCAGGTCTAAAGCCCAGATATCCCCAGTTCCGCACTCCCATTTTGGTATTCCCCGGAGGCTGTGTATAAACAGATGTATGTTTGACCACAGATAAATCCCCACCTACGCCAAAAACCCAAAAGAAATTTGAGATAAAACCAAAAACCCGCGATCCGAAGAAGAGAGAGGTGTTCGTTGCTTTTGATGATTACAGTTCTTTCAAAGAGCTAAGCCGGTTCCATCGCCGGTCCATCGGTACAGAGCGAGGACTTCCCGCCGCCGTAATTGCTGCTCGCCGAAGTCTTCTGGCACGCGGCCGCGGACTTGAGCTAGTGCTGAGCGCATTACTTTGCGGAAGTTGCGCTGGTATTCCGTGTTCAGGGTTACGACGCATGCTTCGTGAGCGCGCACGATGGTCTCGCAGGCTTTGACGACGCTGGGGGATGCTTCTACCTGAGAGTGGGTGTTAGAAAAATGCGGAGGGCTGTGGGTGGGAGAGGGATAACGTACTTGTAGCTTGTCGGCTATTAGCAGCAGTAGAAAGCTTCCCTGCAGCAAATACACGCCGAAGAAGAATGGCATGAATTCCAGACCGGGATCGTACTCGAGGATGTTGTTGATGGCTTCGGCAGCGCTCACGGCGTGGCCCGTGGCGTTGATGAAGCTCTGCGAGGAGATCCAGAGGTCGTTGTCGTCAAGTAGGGAGATGGGGTCCCATTTCCCTGCGAGGAGGATGTGCAATACGTGCATCACGTGCGTGCCGTAGGCGACCACAATGCGAGTTTGGATGTCTGCTTCTGAGATATGCGCGGATGAAGCTGTGTGAACTGAGTGAACAGAAGGCGTGGCAGCGTCAGCGTGGTCGGGGTTGTTCCCTGTTGAGATACCTTCCATGTTATTCTCGGGCTGCTCCTCCGCCGCCGGGGGGCAGAGATGGCGGGCTTCAAAATCCTTGAGACTTTGACCGTAAGCATCGAGCTGTCGGGCGATTTCGCTGGCGTAATCATCCCATTCCTGGGATGACCGGAAGCCGACGCCGAATCGAGGGTGGTTTTTGGCGTGGTAGAGATCTACGATCTCTCCGAGGATAGTCATGAGGGGTAGGAAATATCCGAATATGCTATGACCGGTACACTCAAAGTTAGGTCCTCTCCTTCTAATCCGTTGCGTACCATTCGGGGAAGTAATATGAATGCTTGAATCACCAGTGTAGAATTCTCCAGCCTGCCACAACGTGTCGTCCATTGGCTGGAGAAGGCCGTCGCACTCAATGTCTAACAGGAAGAGTGGTCTGTTATAACAGAGTGCGAGGTGCCTATCTACCGTGTAAACCAGCCACCATATCCTCCGTCGCTCTTCCCGTTCCTCCTCCGTGACCATGCCGGCGGAATTGGGAACGTTGGGATCGGCTTCCCCGTCGGCATCGACGTCCTCGACGCCCTCAGCTCCTTGCTGGGGCTCGGGGCTGCTGGGGAGTTCTCTCCCCAGCTTGAGCTCTCGTGCCAGTGACCAGGCGGCGTTCCACCACCGGAGGCTCGCGCCCTTGTACTCGCTGGCCGACACAACAGTGGCAAGATGGATATATGTCACTACGTCGTCCAGGGTACCGGCGGCGCCAAAGGCGCTGGTCTCTCCGTTCAAGGCATCGGCCTCCACAGACCCGGGCATAGCAACACCAAGACCGCCGAGGGCAACGCCATTAACGACGGTGTTGGAGAAGTTGGGCGAGGCATCGCCTGTAGACGGGGCGTGGATCAGGGGCTTCAGCAGACCGACGGTAAGCTCAAGCAGCCGCTGGCAGATGCGGCCCCGCGAGGAGGGAGGTGCGGTCAGGAAAGCAGCGTCACTCGTCTGGGCCACCACCCAGAGCATGCTCGCCAGCAAAGCCGGTGTACATTGTCTCGGCTTGGTCGGGTGAAGAATAGAGTGCTTTCGGAAGACGTACCCGAGCACATAGGGGGATGTGGGGTGCATCAGCGCCGACGACGAGCTCGCAAAGTACAGGTCTAGGAGGTCGCAAGCCAAGGATAAAGGGATGATATTCCCCAGATGCGGGATGAGGGGTTCCAATACGGGGTAACGGAGCGTGGTGTTGAAGTTCTGCGTCACGTGCTGCTGATATTGCGTCGACGGCGAGGGCAGCGACATCCATCCCCCAGGAGAGGCAGCATCCGACCCCATGGGGAACCCGGGCAAAGGGCTATCGCCTAAACGAAAGGGGCCCGGAGTATTCCCCGGATAATGAGTCGGGCTTTGGGTTTGGATGGCGTAAGGGAGATCTGTGTAACCGGGTAATGAGCCTTGTCCGGCATTGTAGTTGGGATGGGCATTGCCATTCATCATGTGGGGATTTAGGGCGGATCGATACCCGTGCATGCTTGAATAGCCGTTCATATTCAGGGACGCGGGGCTTTCGATTTGATCCGCTTCTGCGCGACTAACCATGTGAGGCTGATGCTCAGCGAGGCTCTCGAGGCTGCCGGCTCGCAGCCTTCCCTTGAGCGCCTCTCGCGCCGAAGCGTTGTCGAGGCCGGTGGTGTTCAAACTCAACGATCGCTGGGCCTGTGGCCGCTTGAAGTCGCCGGTATCGTTGGATGTGGTGGTGGTGGCAGAGCCGCCGCTCTCGTTGTTTCTTGGTTCTGTAGGAGACCGCTCTTCGGACGACCGATGGCCATTAGTGGGAGACTTCTGGCCATTCGCCGCCGCGGCAGCAGCCTGCTGAGCGAGATCTTTGCGAGAGGCCTTGCCCCGCTTCTTCCGCTCTCGAATGTATTCGCAGCCCAGGCCGAATTCTATAGGGGGAGCACGTTAGCTTTTGAGGATCAGCGAGAGGAAGGCAAAAAAATCCAAGGGATCTTTTGTCTTTTTTTGCCTGGCTGTAAACTTGCCAACACAGTGAGCGCACGGAGCCTGGCCGTCGCATTTGGTCCGGAGTTGATTGCACTGGTCACACGCTCTGCTGATCCGGCGCCTGATTGGGCCTGAAGCACCTGTGCCATTCGCCCTTCCATTGGTTGGCCCGGGACCATAAGGATGCTGACGGTGTTTGGCGTTATGTGCTCGGTGGACCTGAGCGTTGTTCTGGTGGACATCGACGTGCTGCTGGAGCTGCTGGAGAGCGTATTGGGAGCCGTGGGCCAGCGTATCGAGTCCCGAGTGCATGTGGTTGGATGGGACATGGCCGTTGGAGAGCATGCCGCTCGACGGCAGAGCATTGTATGCCGAAAAACGGTGGAGAGGATTGGAAAGCATGGTGGGATGTGTTCTGGTGTGATTTTTGGCTTTCTGGGTTGGCTTTTTTGGCTTGTGTTGCCAGTCTTGTCTTGCCTTGCCTTGCCTCGTGGAGTGGTGGTGGCAGCAGTAGTCGTAGTCTTGCACAGCAAAAGCTTAAATTTTGTTCTTCTTTGCTTCAGCTTCTAGCTACTTCTTCTGCTTCGTCGGCTTCTGCGAGGAAGAGGCGTACAAGCAGGAGCGTCGGGGGCTGGTGCTGTACTGTTGCTGTTGCTGTGGTAGTGGGGTGGGGTGGAGGGTTCAAAGAATGTGGAGAAGAGTCGTCCTTGAAGGTTCGAAAAAAGAGGTGCAGGCCGGAGCGTGTTCGCTGCTATCTATAAAAGATCTGCTGAACGTCCGTTGGGTCCGGGGTAGAGGCCCTGGTAGCTTTGGTGCTTGTTGACCATCAGCAGGGTTTCTCCCTTCTGGCAGAGCAGTAATAAGGTGTGACAGGCAGCGGATGGCGGAGGAGGAGGATCAAGAAGGCGAGAAACAAGATACAGCACAGAGGGAAGGGCCTCGGGATCCAAGACGGAGACGAGCCAGGGTGTGCAAGGCCGGTAACTAGGTTATAGGTAAGGTTCCTAGGAGACGACCAGGAGACAAGGAGACGCAGACAGAGACAGGAAAAGTGACAGGGCAATGCAATCAATTAGAATGGCGGGGTTGAAGGGGTGGCCCAATCTAGGATTGCATTGAAGGCGAGCCAGGACTGAGGAGCAAAGGGCAATCAATCCTCCGGCTCGGGGGGGGAGGGGCGAAGAGGCAGGAGGAGTAGCGATATCTTTTCTTGTTGTGTTGCTTTGGTGCCTGGTGGTGGACTTGTCTCTGCTTAGCACTTTCTGGGGGCTGGTGAAAGGGTTGCGAGTTTATGGCTTGTAGGGAGCAAAAGCATATGATCTGACTTGTGATTGTGGGTTGCGGACTGTGGAGAGAGGGAAGGGTCACCGGTAGCAGGGTTAACGGAGCAGAGCGGTTTAGGAATTTTAGGATGCTGTGCCAAGGGAAATAGGTAATAGGTAAATTTTTGATCAAGCTCTCAGTGCAGTGAGTATTAGCGTAGCGTGTTAGGGGATTAGTGTATTAGTGTCAGGAGCCTGGAACTGTAACTTAAAATGGCGAAGCTCCGTGGAGGGAGGGCTAGAGTTGGTGTTAGCGTGTACCGTCCTGTACAGTAGTTAGTGGAGGAAGCGCTATACGCAAGCACCGACCTGAACTGTCTGTGGTGGGTGGACAGTGGACAGTGACAGTGGACAGCTCCAGGGCCTCCAGGGCCTCCAGGGCCAGGATGTGGGACCGTCCGAGGAACAGGACAGGACTGACCAGAGAGTCAGAGACCAGCGACCAGAGACATCCATACACGCGAGGGAGAGTTCGAGGCTGCGGCGGGTTGCGCTCCGAGGAGAGAATGGCATCTGGCACTTGCTTGCCACTTGCCCGCCCATTGCCAGCTGTAGTAATAATAGCAATAATAATAATAATAACAACACCCCACTACCACTGTAATATCTTTCTTCGGCCACACTTTTTCCGCTTCGGTCGACTCGACGCGCCAGGACATGGGCCGTGCAGCTGGTGCAACGACAATAAGCACCTGTCTGTACCTTTGTGTCCCTTGTGCCCTTGTCTGGGCCGAGGGAGATGGACAGGGACAGACGAGGTAATGTACAGCACTGCACGAAGTACAGTACAGTAGGTAGGTAAGGTACCTTATTCTCGAGTAGAGTACAGACGAGGGACGCTGTACTGTGAAGCCCAGCCCAGTCCCGCACACTCCGCGTATGAAAAAGTAGGTACGTAGGGTCAGGTAAGGCAAGGTACTATAAGGTACCACCTCACTAACTATTGCCAACTTGCCACCTCGTACTGCGCAGTAAGCAGAGTGTACTCCGGAGAGCAGAGCAGAGCAGAGGAAAGGGAAGGAAGGGAAGGGAAATGCAAGAGCAATGCAAACAAAGCACAACAACAGCAAATGCCCACTGCCACTGCCACTACCACTACCACTTGCACTGCACCACTGCACCGCTACACCACTGCACTGCACGCAAGTACACATCCTCACTCGCTCCTTCCTGGCCCAGTCCTGCCGATACACCGATACACCGACGCACCGATGCAGCGATCACCTGCGCTAGGCCGCAAGGGGCAGTTCTGCTCGTCTCCTCGGCCGCTCATCATGCTGCGCGAACTGGTGAAGGGATCATGTCGCTTAAACGTCGAAAAAGCTGTTCGTGGCTTGTTCGCTGAATCGCTGGCCTCCAGTTCGGGCGTCAGTTGCCGGACCGAGGATAGTAAGTCGCAGTACCTACGTAGTGTGCACGGTGGTCAGTGGCAAGTACCGTTCCTCACCTACCCTACTTGCAGTCCCCTACAGCGTAGCGCTTCTCACAAGCTCACAGGGCCCAAAAGCCCCCCGCTACAGCGCCTAGAGTAACGTTCACAACTGCCCCCTACGGGGTATCTCCGTACACTAAGCACTGTACAGCGACGCCCACTGCGAGGAGGAATCGCCTGTACGGTGCAGTCTGTATGTACGTAGTACGAGGGACTCGCTCTACCGCTGTCAGCCCTCCTCCTCCTTACCATAATAACACCATCGTCATGCACAAAAGAGCCTCTCCCCGCGTCCTCCAACTGCAACTCCAACGGCTTGCCCCCCAAGCCCAAGTCCAAGTCCAAGTCCAAGTCCAAGCAATGTCCAAGCCTTCTCTTCCCAAGCCACCCCCCAAGCCTCGCAAGCCCAGGTGGAACTCGTCGTCCTCGGCCCCGCTGACCGTCCACTCCATATGTCGTCAACTTAAACAATATCAAACAAGCACAGTAAGAGTAAGCCATTTGTAAGGTAGTAAGTCGGTACGTATCTAACTCCGAAGTGCTGTGTTGCTGGCATACTGTACCTCCCCTACGTACCCCCCGCCACACCCGTTGCGTGAAAGAAAAGCCCTGGCCCCGCCATCGTTTCAATATGATAGCGTCACTAAGAACTTTCTATGGACCCTTCTGCCTCTCTCTACGCGGCACCCCTCCTCACCTTCCTCGCGTCCGAAGGATGGCGGATGGCGGATGACGGATCGTGATACAACAGTAGCCAGCCAAGCTAGCCTGCCCACCTGCTGCTCAGCTTCTGCCCGCCGCCGGCCACCAGCAGGAACACATGTGTGTCGTGCATGTTCGCGAGGCGCTCTCCTATCTCAAGTAACAATCCACATACATGTACATGGGCTTCGAGCAAGGGGGGGGGGAGGGGAGGGAGGGTGCTCCCCGCGCCACAGTTGTCAAGATGTAAACGGTCCGATCTTCCCCCCAGCGATGGCGATGGGCGACGGCGATGCCAGTCCTCCAATGAGTATGCCCGAGTGCGGCTCGATTGGCGCCCAATACGATGATACGATACAGGTGTCTGGGGGCTATCTGTCTTGAAAATAGGTGCGCCGCTGTGAGTGAGGTGATCCTGCTTGTGCTCGTGGGGCATGATATGATACATACGAATGTACGCTTCCCCGACCGAGTAATAGATTGTACTGTATATTAATTCGAGAGCCGTGGCGTGTCGTGCATGATTGGTATTCTGGAATCCGCGGGAGGCGAACGCAAAGGGGATCCAAGACTTAAAAAAAAATGGATACGATCTGCTACCCCGGATTGTCCTTCTCCAGTCTTTCAAGAGCCCCTCCTCCGCATCGCTCCGCTGCAATAGCACCGTCCTTATAAGATGGTATAAATGAAAAATCACAGATGGGACATGCAGGTGCCGGAGCGAGTGTGGAGGTCGGATGCCGTCTCGCCAGGAACCGCAACGATCTGATCGAGGGGTTTGGGATCGTCGCCATGCTGTCAAGGAGATCGTCGTGAAACGCCAAAACGGGACGATATACGTCGACTGGTTGGATCAGAGGCCATCACAGAGTAAAGCCCCCCTGGTGGAGGTGCCACTTGCGGGGCCTTCCCTCCCCCGCCCCAAGTTCGCTGTCAGGTGGCAGGGCAAGGCCTTTCAGGTTCAGGGTGAGCGTTGACGATATGACGGCAGTGATCGCGCCTCGCGAGGTCGCGACTAGGCATTTCGGCCCCCCTCATGCACCTCTCGTAAACCGAAAAGGACCACCAATATGGACTGTGATATCGTGGATCCGGATGCCGCCTCCATGCGATGCTTATGATGCCCGATAATGTGACTCTAGAGAGAGATCAATCTGATACCAGGCGTTCCTGGAATTTAAAGGTGCATATCGACCTGGAGACACTCGAGAGATCGCCGAATCAGCTGGTCGACAGCCTCTTGGGCAACCCTTTCCCCAGGAACCATCATTGTATATGACGGAAGCGGAACCCCTTTACTCCATGTTGGGGCCGGGGTCGATCATGGAGAAACGCTCCCGACCTCCCGCACGCCGAATGTTTGCCACGACAGTTAGACGACGAGCGTTATTCAGGTGATCATATACTATTGCGGGAAACTCAAATTCAAATTCTTGTCAAGGGCACTGCGCTGGTGGGAAAACTCGAATCGGAGGCCCGTCAGAGTCGGTCAGGCTCAGGAAAAGGAGTTTCGGGGCAGCGGCAGCGGCAACGGCGTGATGGAATGAATTGATAGATAGATTGCTCTGCAACCCCGGTCGATGAGATGGGACGGCTCACGGGCGGACTTATGCTCCCCAGAGACAAGAATAAACCATAGACCTTCATTTCTTGAAAATATGACCTGTGACTGACATGTCAGATCAATATCATGTCATATCTTGCTCTGGTGCCTCGCTATCACATCGGCAGGATTCTCGGGAGGACTTCACGTGTAGTGGTGTTGTCCAGCATAACATAACTGGGGCGATTGCGGCGGCGGCGTAACGGCAGTGGGGGATCGGGGATAACCGCAAAGGTCAAGCTCAAGGGCAGCATGTGCCTGGCTGCTGGCAAGCCTCCTCCGCTCTCCGTCGAATCCTGGGCTTCTTGGACTTCTTGGACTCCTTGGACTCCTTACTCATTAGAACTCCTGCTGGCTCTCGGGGCTATGGTTCATGAATGCTAGGGCTAGGGCTTGGGCTTCGGCGGGGAAACACGAGCTGGTTTGTACTGCTTATGCTGTGGTGCTCCCATCAGCACCAGCTGTGCAACTCCAACACATGCGTGCTCCCCACAGTCTCTCCGCCCGTGGGTTCCACGGTTCCACCACAGCAGAAGAGCTGAATGAGCTGAGCACACAATGGGGAGGGACCCCGAAGCGCTGCACCGGCGCAGTGGTGACAGTTGTGACACACACAGCAACCGAGGATGGAGGACGGAAATAGAGCGACCCGGGAAACTTGCAAAGATGTCGAACTTGGAATTGCATGCGCTCCAACCCCACGTGATTGCTCCTAACTCCTGCGTCTTGCCGCTTTCATGATGCATAAGTTGTATAGAAGTTATGCTTCCGGCCTCATAAACCTTGTCATCAACGTATCAAAAGCATAAGAGTTACTTCCCATCCCATTGCGCTGCTCCCTTCATCATCAGCGTCGTCGTAACGTCTCACGATACTGGGCTGCGTTGTTCCGTCCGCCTTCAAGTTCAAGCCCATGTCCTCGAGGTGAGGTGGACCCAACTCAAACTCAAACATCTCAAACGCCAACTGCCAACTACCAGCCAACTTCTGACTAACTTATTAAATTCGAATTGCAATAATTCGATCCAAGCCCAGCCCAGCCCAGCCCAGCCCCAGATACCACTACGTACAGAGTAGTCGATACCCTTCCAGATTATAGCGGAGCGATCGAAACAGGAAATCTTCCGAGCTGTCCCACTTCAAGTGCCGAGCGCCAGTTGATGTTCCGTTGCGGCAAACTGCGCCATTGTTCACTCCGGGCCTCGAGCTTGGGTTGCTGGCGCTGACGAGGATCGAAAGGGGCGAGATCCAGCAAATCAACGCCCACGGGGGTTCGGTAAACATTGGAGATTCAAGAATAATCCAGGGGGAACGGGTCAAGTTCGAGACAAAACAGCCACCACTGGCACCGGCACCACTTGTACGAAGTGATCCACCGCGAACGCCACGACGCCAATATCGGCTTCTAGAAGAGGACTAGAAACCGCAACTCACACTATGGCTTGGGAACGACAACAGAATCAGATCCAACTGCCGTCTGAGCGCGGCGCGCCTCGCGTCCGCAATTATTACCAAGAGCGCATCAACGAGATATGATATGCTACTCGTAACGGGATTGAGAAAGGGCACCCCTGGCGAATCGGATTCCAGGGTCATGAGGCATGAGGCATGACATTCTTGATTCTGAGCATCCTGAAGTAAAGTGGAATAATGAAGAGAGTGATGGACGGCCGCCAAGCAGAGCGGTGCACGAACCGATGGTCATGCTGGCATCGACTTCCAACACGAACCGCCCGTTTTGAACGATTGCCACCAAGTGGCGACATAGAAACAGAGATCTTCGCTTTGCGGAGGAGATTGCAGGCTACGGGAGCGCGTTGGTGATACGCCTCTCGTATGGCTGCGGTCGGAGCAAAGTTTGTTGATATTATGACCATAATCGGACCAGGTTTGGTTATTGCGATACCAATTATTAGATGAGATGAACACAAAGTACGTACTCGGTCGGAGCCTGGTGGTGGGTGTATTTGCTGCCTGGGGCCTTTCAGATCGGAGATGACGAATATTCGATTCATGCGAACCGTTTCCGGCCTGAGGCCACGAAGCCCATTCGTCCGAGCCTGTGGCCTGAGTCATGAGGCAGCGGGAAACAACGCCAAAGCACGTGCGCGAGCATGAGTCGCTCCGCTCTGATTTGTCAATCTCCACTCCAAGAAGTACCTAGGTACAAATACAGACGAATTCAGCAATAATATTGCATCAGCTCAACTTCGTACCATTCACAACAGCTAAAATGTCTTAAGTCCGAAAGCTATGAAAGCTTATAAAGATAAATCCGCAAGCGCATTCCTCACTTGGCAACCCATATTCATGACGTAACCCTGCCCTCAGCATTTAACTAATTAGAAGCTTCTAGTGAGCTATAAATTATCGTTCGAGGTAGTATAAGTAAAGAAGCAAGCTCTTTCTTATAATCGTCACACTATTTTCGATTACCGTCTAATTATCCGTGTTTTTGTACAATCAAAATGGTTACCACATCTATCCCAACAACCACTAAGTCCTGGACTGTTCTGGGTACAGATGGCTTCGATAGTTTGAAGTTTAGCAAGGACACTCCTCTTCCAGCTGTCTCCGATTACGAGGTCCTGGTTAAGTTCCACGCGGCTTCATTGAACTACCGCGATCTGATTATCCCAAAGGGTAAGGAAGCACTCTCAACATCTTGGGCTCCATTCCGGAAGCTTTGAACACTCAATTGAGACAATCCAAACCCCCATTAACAATTCCTCAAGGCTAACAATACTCAGGGCAATACCCCTTCGCACAAAAGCCAGGAATCGTCCCTGGTTCCGATGGAGCCGGAGAAGTGGTTGCAGTCGGCAACAAAGTCACACTCTTTAAGCCCGGGGCCAAAGTTGTCACGCTCTTCAACCAAGGCCATCTAGGCGGCTCTCTGAATCCGCAGACCTCTGCTACCGGTCTAGGAGGTGTGATCGACGGTACGCTAAGACAATATGGAACATTCAACGAAAACGGGCTGGTTGATATGCCGGCAAGTTTGAACTGGCAGGAAGCATCAACACTTTCTTGCGCGGCTCTCACAGCATGGAACGCCCTCTACGGCCTCAATAAACTCCAGCCCGGCCAGACTGTCCTTACTCAGGGAACAGGCGGCGTTAGCATTTTTGCCGCACAATTTGCGATAGCGGCAGGGGCAACGGTGATCTCCACCACATCATCCGCTGAGAAGGGAGAGCTACTGAAAAAGCTGGGTGTTGACCATGTCATCAACTACAACGAGACCCCAGACTGGGGCGCCAAGGCAAAGGAGTTGACACCAAAGGGCGAGGGCGTGGATCATATTGTTGAAGTTGGCGGACCGACAACTATGGAACAGAGTTTGAACGCAATTAAGATCGATGGAACCATCACAATTATTGGGTTCTTGGGGGGAGTGCAGGGCGAGAAACAACCCGGTTTCCTAGATGCGCTGGTTCGCATGTGTACTGTCCGGGGTGTTTTGGTTGGCAACCGGGTGCAGTTTGAGGAGATGGTAGGTCTCGATTTCCCTTATTGGGTGGAATCTTGTGCTAATCACATATATGGCAGAACCGTGCAATTGAAGCAAATAAGATTAAGCCTGTTGTTGACCCGAAGGTCTTCTCACTTGAAGATGCTAAATCGTAAGTTTAACAAACATGCTTCGCAGTTCTCAATTTCTGAGTAGACACTAACATATACAATTATAGGGCGTACCAATATATGTGGGATAGAAAGCACTTTGGAAAGTTGACTATCAAGATCGAGTAAATGGCATGAACAACATATCAAGACTTAGCGATTAAATATCAAGGAATTAATGAATTTCATTTCATTTTCATATTTTTTATATTCCTCCCTCGCCCCAAGAATTCCTCACTTCTTTTGACATATTGCCAACCAAGCCATTCTCCAATTTCGATCATTGGCCCCCCTTAACAACCCTCCATCTTAACCTCACCACGTAACATATTGGGCCCTTATTCTCAGCTTTCAACCTCGTGCGCTCTTCACAGCCCTTATTCGGTGGGCTAACAACCTTACACTTTCCCCTCAGACCACAATAAGGGCAATGCCCGCTCCAATTACACATCGGGCCTTGCCACGTGCTTACCTCCTCCCTCAACCCCTCAGCGCTCAACACAGTACCATTCTTATAAGGAAACCTCCAAGTCTTAGCCTTCTCCACAATAGCCATCAACTCATCCTTCTTATCATCACTAGTCTCCAACTCCATCACCAGCTCCTTCAAACTCCCAAGTCTCGCAAATGCACTTCCCCATGCTTTAGAATCCCAAGGGATCTGCTTTCCTTCTTTCTCATCCTTCCAATCCTTCATCATCTGCGCATTATCACTATGACGTCTTTGCGGAATGATCCCCAGTGGGGTATTACTCTCATTCCACCACCAATCGCCCCTCCTAATCGTAATAGTCATCCTCTCCATGCCCTGTAAACATTCCTGGGCACACAGTCTGGGAAAGCTATTCTCCAGCCAGAAAAGCTGCGTAAAAAGATGAATCTCCTTGATAGATTTCATCTGCCACTCCGTGAAGCGGCGGAAATAGTACCTCTCGTTTTCATCGCCGACTAAGACGGTCGGGGAGCGTCCATGCCAGAATACATGCTCCTTGTGCGTGGCTGGGAGGTGGTAGGTCTCTTTGTAGATGCGTCGGCACGTGAGGAGAAATGAGATGGATATGCTGCGTTTGCCGGTGTAGCCTGGACGAGTGTAGGCTGTGTCTACGGGGTAGATTGATTCTGCGTCGGTTCTGGTATACTCCGTGAGCGCGTAATCGAAGATTGCATCCCGGATTTCAGGCGGGATGAGCCCTGAGAAGAAGGGGGAGCTGGTTTGTGGGTTGATGACGAGGAAGCGCTCGTGGATTGGGATGGGGAGCATAAGGTCCGTTGACAGAGGGGCTGGTTCGCTGGATGACATGGTTTGATATGGGGACTTCGACATAGTGGGGTGGAGTTATTGGTGAAGATATTCCCTGAGATTTGAGATTGATCCTTTTTTGATAGTTCGTGATATAATGTATCACGCGCACGATGTGAAAGGCACAACAAATGTACCTATGTTTAGGAGACTAGGTGAGGAACGAGAATATCAATATCAGAAATCACTGCAGACAAACAAGCCAAAGAGCATAATAATAGAAAAAGAGATGGTTGATGAAGGCCTCTTTTGAAGACGTACGCCTCGCTCTGACTCGAATGTCCAGATTGGATTGACTTCAATTGATTGGATTGGAACGCCGCCGAGTTTCAACATCGCATCAGGCAACGCCTGCAGCCTACGCTGCCTGCTGCCGCACGAGCCTCGCCTTACGACTTGTGAGGCTTGGTCTGCCCTCTGCGATGGTATCTTGTTTATTATGCCTTCGAATATAGTACAGGTAGCAACTCTCTGGGGTATGCTGTAGGAACCACAAGTTTGTCGGACGTTGTAAGAGCTACGACGTCGATCCCAGGCAACCGATTGGATTTGTACGACCAACGCTTCCAGATACGCTAATGGATCGCCAGCGAAGTTTAACTTCTTAATTTGTACGTGTCTAGGAAATTCAGGCTGTGTGGATTCGCTCCGACTTTTATTATAAGGACTATGTGCGGACAGGGACCAGCGACACGAATATTTTGGAAAGGTTCCTAGCAACGACGCGATGTTTTAACAAAAGTAGCCGGTATTGGAAAGAAGTCAATTCTTGATATTACTTTTGAGGGTAGTCCGGAGTTCTGCCATTTCAGAACTGTTAAAGAGTTTTAGGACTTCTTCGCTGCTAAATTCAATGCCTATTTGGGGGTTGGGAATCCTTGATTGGCATCAGTCTGGCTGGTATCTAGCATACCGGGGGGGATTGTAACGCGGTTTATTGTGTAGATATGGATGGCATATGAATGGTTTAGGGGTTTAATACGGTTGACTGGTTATATGTGCGGGAAATGGCTGAAATGTCTCTCAAACCAATGTAGACGTCTATTGTGTCGTTCAGCACTGGAGTGAGGCCAGTGTGAACCGTGATGGCGGGATGGCGGGATGTTGTGCTTGGTTGAGGTTCTACCACCCCTCACCGCCTATTTCGCTGCTTGTGCTGAAGCTCCAGAACCCCACCTCGACTTCTACTTATATGCCATTTGATATTTAAATACAACACGATTCAACAACCTCTGCTCTTCTTATCTTTTGCAAATTACAGCGGCGTAATGGAACACAGCAAATCATCCGCAGAAGCCCTCATCCCCTCCTTCAAATTCGAGCGCGTTCTCAATCAAGGTACTATATTCCCCCGCCAAACCCACCAACCCCAAACACAAATACTAACCAAGTTACAGACCAAGCAGGACGCCGAATAGCCCTCCATGGCAACATCAACTCCCAACCCGCAATCCTAATCCTAGAGCGAGCACCGTTCCCCAACTCGCCCTCCTACCTCTCAACCCTCCCGTCCACCTTATCAACCCTCGAAAACCTAGGCGCAAACGACATATACTTCTGGTACCTAGCCTTGTCTCCGGGACACGGCCCCTCCAATTCCCAACAACCACCACCACCTACCAAAACATCGACGTCCGAAGAAGGACTCTCAGACCTAAAGATAAACCTAATATACCCCTGCACCGCCCAACATATCAAGAAGTACTCCGCGCAGGGTGTGCGACTAGTGCGTGAAACACCAGCTATCTACCTCTCGAAAATAAAACCATACATAGAAAGTAAACGTGCAGATGGGCGGCTAAACTGGGTCTACAACATCATAGAAGGCAAGACCGAAGCGGAAGATGTCATATACCGGACACCCCTCGGATCCGCTGGCGATGAAGGGTTTCTTTTGCTGCCGGATCTGAATTGGGACCGCAAGACCATGGCGAGTTTGCATTTGCTAGCATTGGTGGAGAGGAGGGATATCTGGAGCTTGAGGGATTTGAGGAAGAGCCATGTTAAATGGTTGAGGGAGATGAGGGAGAAGTTGCTGGACGCAACGGTGAAGTGCTATGCGGAGAAGGGGATCGAGAAGGATCAGCTGAAGCTATACGTGCACTACCAGCCTACGTACTACCATTTCCATATACATATTGTGCATGTGGCGCTGGAGGCCGGCGCGACGCAGGCCACGGGCAAGGCGGTGGGGTTGGAGAACATTGTGGAGACGCTGGAGCATATGCAAGGTGATGAGGACGCTGGGATGGAGAGCTTAGAAATGCATTATACAGTTGGGGAAGCTAGTGAGCTATGGACGGAGGTTTTTGAGCCTCTGAAGAAGAGCGATATAGCTTCTCAATCGCAATGACGAGGTCGTTGACTCCTGCTCCGTTGGGACATTCTGACCAGTCCCCCCCGTCTCGAATACAGTAGATTTTCTCGTCCAGTCGAACTGTGCATGATTTCGTGACGCCGGCCTATTGACATAAATATTAGCATTGTTGCTCGCATACTTTCCAAATAGCAGCTTATACAGCAACGGAAATAGAGCAGTAGACATACCTCAATACTCCTCCTCACACTATCTCTCAACATCCCCACCCCGAAACCCCCATCGTCCTTCACGGCACACTCATTCAACTTGTTAAAATCAATCCCATGCTCTAATGCACAATCCTGCACTAAGCTTTTCTGTGGGATATCCTTGTAATCTCTCGTCAGGCACATAGTGAAGCCTAGGTATGTTTTCGGGTCTGGGTAGAGCGAGGCAGCGCATAGCTCGATGATATTCCCCAAGCATTCTGCGGGCCCATGCATGCAATCCACGCCATCGTTGTCGGTAGGTGTCCCAATGTAGGAGAGAGTAAATGTGACTTTGTCGACTACGCGTTGCATGGTAGGGAGGACGAGCATTTTGAGGCAGTCCTGGTGAAAATGGTTAGTGTTTGTACGCATGAAGTGTGTTACCTGAGGTTTGGATATGACATATGTAGCTCGGGGCTAATATAACTTCTCTTCTCCTGCTAACGAGCTGGGAAAGCTAACCTGTGCATCTGGGCATTTGCTCATTATATGTGCCTCAAGCGGAACACGGGGGCGATCGATATCAGTCGAGACATGCTGCGAACTTGAGCTACCCAACCTCGCACCATGTTTTCCACAGGGGCGGAAAAGCTTTGGTGCCTTTGACCCGAGGGATATGAGGAGGTAAATGAGGGCGACAATGAGAAATCCAGAGGTCCAGGTACGGTATCGGTTTCGCGGTGGCATAGTCGCATCGCTGTCGCTATGTAATTCTTGATATTCTTGATCGTGCCCGCCCTTCTCAAGGCTGAAGTCTACGTCGCGCATCTTTGTATCGCTCGGAGACATCATAGAGATATCGCAGGCGAAAGGAACATGGGGAGTTGTTGTTCCCTCTGTAGGTAGTTGGTGATGTTCAACGATGTGCAGCGCGGTATGGGTTGTCTCACTTGTCAAATGACGCGCTGAAGGCATCGGAACGCTGATCGCTCCTTTCTCTCTTCACATCCCAGCCTCAGCTGTATCACATTCACACTACTTAGGTAACCTAAGAACTGTAAACTAAAGCTGCACTGCACGCCCACTGCAGGCACAAACAAACCACCAAATCAGATCAATTCAGATCAAACCGACACTCGTTGCGACCTACATTTACTTGTTGAGCTGAGAGACAAACAGCACAGACATTCTCCCGCAACACACCGTGCCAAACGAGGCGCGTGCCAAACGAGGCTGCACCATAGCATACCATCGCTTGTAATGCAGCTGTCTCCTTTTGTCTCACTACAATGGTTTCGACAGAGCAGCCTCTGGATGCTTTCTTAAGCCCTCTGGATGTTGACGCCGCAAAGATCCATAAACTGGCCAAAAGCCTAGCTTCCACCTTCACAAGGCTTGCTAAAGAATCCAAGAACCAGTTTTTGTCTACGCCGATCTCGGAGGAGGTTTTGAGGTTCGAGGGGGATGTTGACGGCCAGTAAGTCACGCCCAGGGGCAATTCTCCCTATGTACTGTACATAGGTACCTTGTATTTGTGTTTTAGTCATGTGATCCCGTTCCCGTTTTATGTCTCAGGAGGAGACGTAATTGGCAATAAGGGGTAGTGATAGTTTGCGTTTATGTGTACTTATGTATAAGTATCTTTGTGCTGACAATCTCAAAAGGTACCTGGCGATTGACATGTGAGTAGCCACGAGGCCCGTCTTTAGCCATCTCCATCTCCATCTCCATGTCACAACCTAACCTTGACCTAGTGGAGGAACCAACCTTAGAGTGGGCTTTATAGAGTTATTGAGCCTTCCACATCCCCAGTCAGAAGCTTCAGACTTGAACGGAAAAGCTTCTACAGATGCTGGGTCTAACCCTCAGCCAAGTGTCCAGAGACACTTGGAAAAGTCATGGCCGATAGGAGAGCAGCTAAAGAATAACAAAGCTGAAGATTTATTTGCGTGGATCGGGACGTGTATAGCGGAGATTGTGCGTGAAGGATGCCGAATATGGGATGGAAAATTACCAGACCAGATTCCCCTTGGAGTTACATTCTCGTTCCCCATGATGTAGGTGCTCTCCCATGGGTAATTTAACATATACTTATATTTATTCTAGCCAACACACGCTATCTAAAGCTACGCTTATGTCAATGGGAAAGGGGTTTGCCATTACCTCCAACCTTGACCTAGGCAAACTGCTCTTAGAAGGCTACGAAAGCGTTCGAGACCCATCGTTACCCCGAATCAGGATCACCGCCATAGTGAATGATGCTGTAGCAACACTCGTCTCCTTCGCCTACCAATTCCGCAGCAATGCCCGCCGCAAAGCAGCAATGGCTGTAATTGTAGGCACAGGATGCAATGCCACCATTCCCCTCGCTCTTAACAAACTACATCCTAGCAAGAGACCCACGGATCTCAAAGTCCTGGACGATAGGGCCCCTTCAGAGGACCTCAAAATTACGGTCAACACAGAATGGTCTATCAACGGAACCGCAGTCCCACTCAAAGAACTAAACTTCATTACATACTGGGACACGATCCTCGACTCTCAAGGCGAAGTCCCCGGGTTTCAGCCCTTCGAATACATGACCGCAGGCCGCTATCTCGGTGAACTCGGACGTCTCATAATCCTAGACTACTTCACAAATCACTTGCACATCCCCATCTCCTCTCTCCCCGCTAAACTCCTCATAAGACACGGCATAACCACCACATTCCTGGGGAATCTCGGCCCTCACCTAAGCAACATCGAGCCCTCCATGCTTAGACAATTAGAATCCGAATTGCCCAGTCAGGATGGCGAGGGTGCATGGCAATGGACGCAAGAAGCCGCCGAAATAGTCTTCAAAATCAGCAAGGCGATACAAGTCCGCGCCGCAGGCATGGCAGCCGCAGCTATTATCGGGTTGTTAGCTTGTGCCGATGAAGTGGACTTTACGTGTTTGCCAGTGCACTCCCCACGTCAAAATGGTAATACTGCACCTATGCCTATTTCACCAGCGAACCAGGTGGAAGAATTGATGGTGGGATATACAGGGGGCTGTATTGTGCATTTCCAGGATTACCTAGAGGATTGTCAGCGCTTCCTGGACGTTATTATGGATGTGGAGTTTGCAGGTTCTAAGGTGCCGAGGGTACTCTTGACGCCTTGTCATGATGGGGGGATTATTGGCGCCGGCATTTTAGCAGGGACTGTCATGGGTATTATGAATGATACGTCAACATGAGAATTTATGACTCCATGGATTTTGAGTCACTATGAGAGGTAGCGAACTCAAAGTTTGGGAGCTCGGGGAGTTGACGTAAGGTCGACTTTATGGGCACCATTATTAGTAGTTGGCACTGGAGATAGAATTCAAGTGCTAGTTAGCGGCCAATAGAGAAGGCCAACCAGCCCAGGGTAGAAAAATCAACTGGACATAGGTGTATTGAGTCCCAATACCGATACATTTCGCCAGATTCACTATGCAATAGCCGTTCTAACCACTGTGAAGACGATATTAATCTTACAACAAAGCCCTCCTTAGAACTCAGTAATCTACCCCACCACACTCAAACCATCTAACTCCTCCTTCCTCGCTTTATATAAATCCTGCGCCTCCCTCTCCCGCTTACTAATGAAAGCCACCTCGTCCCTCAGCGCCTCTAGCCGCCTCTGAATCGCGGCCTCCTCAGAAATCTGCAGGGTCCTAAATGAATCCAACGACCGCGTAGCCTTGCCCAACGCGTCGTCTGCTTCACTGATCTTATTTCTTAAGATCTTGGAGCGGTTTTGGTAGCCGCCTAGGTGCAGCGTGAGTTTCTTCTCAGTTTTGTTGCCCTTTTCGGCGCTGGCGACGATGGAATCTTGGACATTCTGAGGTGATGTTAGTTGGTTGGATTGTAGGGGTTAACACGATGGATTGAGACTTACATCGAATGCTTCGACTAGCATCTGGTGCTCGTCAATTTCGTCGTCACCATAGCCGCCTAGCCCTGGTAGTAGGGAGGAGCTATGAGCGTCTTCCCAGGCTGCTTGGAAGATTTCAGATCCTGCTTCCGATATTTCTTTCGGTACTGCTCGCATGATTTCTAGCTGGGCTTGGGCCAGAGCGTCGTCATCAATAGTATCAAGGACTTGAGGGGTTCCTTTGACTTTTGCACCAGCGAGAGGATACCTGAGCGCATCGTTGGCAATAAGTAGTGCCGCCTCTCGTTCGATAGCAGCTACCACTGGGTCAGAGATATTAGATGCGTTCTTGATGATAGCATCAATATCAACGGCGGAAGCACGAGGTAAGCCCATTTGCATGACCTTAGTCCGTCTTTTGAAGTCCAGCTTCTCCTGCGCTTCCCGCAATTCTCGGTTCCTCCTGTCTCGCAGCTCCGCATCTTCCTCCGAAAGCTCTTCAACGCCAGCGGACTCCTCTTGTTCGTCTGGTAGCTCCAGCTCCCAATCAGTATCCTTGGGCTTCGGCAAGGAAGCAAGCCCTTGCTTCAATCTATGCTTCATGGCCGTTCCTGCTAATTTAATATCTCTGGGGGTCGCGCCAACCAACTGCATGTCGCCATCTGCATTGAGAGCAAAAGGATCGCGAGGTGTGCGCATAGGTGTCGCACCGGGTAGCGCTGGAGGCCTCATTGGTGTCGCTCCGACTCCATTTGTCGCTTGTCGGAAAGGGGTCGCCATAGGATTAGGGGTTTCCATATGCTGCCTCCGGGGTGTTACTCCATCGAAACCAGTGCTTCCCGCCCCTTCATATAAAGGTGTATTCTCCCCACCCAGAAGGGATGACTGTGTTTCCGTCAACGCCCTTATATTCCGAATTTCATTAGCAATATGATCCTCTTGGGCAGGCGCCCGTGGTGTCCGTATAGGAGCCCCACTGTTGATCGTGGAGTAGGTATTGACAAGGCCTCTTGTTGCATCATTCTCACTTGATCTAGCCATGATATTCGCCCTCTCTCCAATCATGCCCATCTTGACAATTTCTTCCAATTCTCCTTCTCCAACTTGTGGCGACGGGAGAACCAATGCCCTCCGCTTACTACTTTGTTCTGCCTCTCGAATCTTCTGTAGCTGGCCTGCCTTCATAGCCGCAGTATAAGACGCCGACGGAGCCTCCTTTTCTCCCTTTCGCCTCTTTCGATCCGGGTCCTCCTCCGGGTCTCCCTTCCGTTTGTTTGCAAGTTGTTGCTTGCGAGGGTCGAACGCTTCTCTTTCCCTTTCATTTCGAACATCCTCTTCTTCTGTATCATAGAATCCAGACGCGGCCTTCTTTTCAAAAGGAATATCCGCGTTATAGTCCATTTGGCCCTTCTTCCGGTTGGTCACCTTGATGTTGATGCCTGCATTTTTGAGCTCACGACGCTTCTGTAAAACCGCCAATCTTCTCGACTCCTCCAACTGACGCTCACGAGCCTTCCGTTTGGCCTTTTTGCCCTGGGTGTTTGCTAGGCGAGCACGAGCCTCGCTCAGCATTTCTTTCTCGTCTTCGTCCAGATCGATCGTATCAGGGCGAGCGGGCTTCGATTCCGGGTCGGGGTCGACCTCACCAGGTCGCAGGCGCCGTACATCGTCCGCAGATGGTGCTTTGGTCTCCCCTCCATCCGGCCCTGCTAAGCTCAGCTCCCCAGCTTCCTTCTGTTCGGCCTCATCAAGCAGCCTTTGGTAACGCTCAAGACACTGGGAAGCGGTCCGCCCAACCATAGGTGCAATCGTGCGCCATTGTGTGGGCATCAACTTGGCAAGATGAAGCAGCTTCTCATCTTCTTCCTTGCTCCACTCAATCTTTCGAATACCCGGGTCGAGCCATTCTGCCCATCGCGCTTTACATTGCTTTGGTGTCTTGCGCGCAAGAAGCGACGAGACTCGCGCCCACTGGTTGAGTCCGTATTTGCTGACCGAGCTCTTAAGCACCTCGTCTTCGATATTCGTCCAGACGCCTCCTTTGACAACAGGCATGGTCGCGGTATTGTTGTTGTTGTTCTGTTTTGCTTCGATGCCGATGATGAAGCTTGACGAATTTCCAGTCGCGAAACCTTTCGGGGCTAGCGCGAGAGTCAGGAGGTAGATCCAGCACGAGCAAGGGTGTGTTCTTATGAGTTGTGTCCCAGCATATCACATGTTATATGCAAACCGCTTATTAGTGTCACACCCTAAACGTTAGCTCTACTCTGTAATGTTATCGTATGGTTTTGTATTCTACAACATTAGAATACCTATGGTCATGAGCATCATCGCCACACGCTCTGTCTACGAGCGCCCGGCCAAGAGTAGTATTTTTATTATCCATTCGAATAGAAATTACAAATATTACTGAGCACTAGGATACCAACACGGGGTGGTCGAAGAACCTTTTGTACTGGCTACCTAATTTCTGTGGATATGCAAATCACATACTCTGACCCCTAATACGTTGGCACTACTCCACGCTGCTGATTCTACCTTTATGAATAAACCAACTCCGTTTCAAACAATTGACGTCAATTTCACTCAATCCTTAGAATTTTCCATAAAGTTTTACCAAACATCAACATTTCAAACGACAACGCTTAAGCAGCTATTTAGATCTACATATGGCTTTCTAGGCATAATTTGCTATATTCCTAGGTGTCTTACCTATACCATATCACAAATGTTGAATACAAATGGCACATCGTCCCTCACCTTTTTTCTAGCCCTCCCTCACATACAAGAAAATGTCGTAAACACGGCAGGCGCAAGATCAGTCACCGTAGCTGTACGAGTAATCTGGGGGCCGACGCCCTGAAGCTCCGAAATCACCAAGCTGCAACCCCCACAGTTCACCAAGGAAATCCTCGTCTCCGTCAATGGGTGGTAGGTTGTGATAAAGCCAGTACCCCCTCCAGTGGCAGCTTTGTATAGTGTGGTTGCACAGGATGGCTTGGGAGCTGCTACTGCAGTGTCTCTTCGTCGAGGACCGCTTGCCAGTGTTGGCCCGCCTTTCCATATTGAAGGCCCGTTATATGCTGTTGGTGTTGCCCATACAGTTGATGTGTCCCAGCGGCAACCTGTGGCACAGGTTTCACATGGCCCAGGAGTCACAACCGTTGGTGTCTCCGAGCATCGAGGGTCTGCTGGAGGGACGCGGACAGTAGTTGTCGTTTCACGAATGCACGCAGGCGCATATCCACAAGTCGACAAGTCCGGGCAGTCTAGAATCTCAATCAGGAAGACATTCTATAAGTGTGGAGAGAGTGGCAGGGCATATATCTTACCTCCGCCGTGCTTTGGTGTGGCAATAGTCTTAGTGTAGCATGTGTGTAAAGGCGGAGTTGTAATAGTCACAGTCGTGAGATGAACAGTAGTGATGTCATGAGGGCGCCCATCATTTGCATCAATCACAGCACCGGCGACACACTGCCTATGTCTCGTAAGCCTAACATATCATACTGGGGCTAGTGCCGAAAATCAAAGTAATAATCAACACTCACGCTGCAAGCAGCAACAGCAGAGCCACGGGATTGAAGAAAGTTGCCATGTCGTAGCGAATAATCCCGAAAACGATATATATGTGAAACGAGAGGTTCGTGGTTGTAATCTGCAACTTTGCCCGGGGTATCGCTGAACGGGTTCCTTTTGGTGCTTCTTGTATGCGCGCGTTTTCCTTTTCCCCGCTACGGTAGAAAGCTTCCTCGCCCAAGACGGGGAGATATTCATCTTGAGGAGAATCTCTTGTGTTAAGGTGACGGAGATGCGGAGGCCGGCCTGCCTCCGCTGGAGGCTTGGACAAAGTGGACACATGTTCTGCTTCTAGATCCAAATTAATTATCTAGGTAGCAACTTCAAGGATCATCGGCCGACATCGAGACCCCTTACATAGTATCGTGGCAATTGGCACCCAGGGGTAGAGATATGTGTGGTTGTACATTTTTAGAACCGAAAGTGCCGTGTATTAAGCAGTCCCTATATATACTCTATTGAGATTTTGCCTGTTTCGACCCTCGTAATTGCATGACAGGGGCTGGCTGGATGTATGCTGGTAATACTACAAGCCAACGACATTGGCTGGCTCCAATTGCCATTGGAACCGAGGAAAATAAAAATACAGAAGAGCCCAAAACCCCCCGCTATCCTTGAAATGCAAACAACCGTCGTTCTATGCAGACGAGGGAAACCAAAGTGTATCCGAACTCCTTTTCCGAATGCTCCGACGGGACGGAACCCTAATCCGAGACACTATTACGCCTTGCTCTACCGATTGGCCGCTTAAAATATACATTCACGAAAAGAAGTACTGGCTGTCCTTGAGTCGCGAGACATCAAACTCCCCCTATATCCATGAGGTTAGATGGCTGGTCTTGCATACAACGGGGAATAAACATACCTTTTTGGGAACAGGAGGAAAAGTCAAAGGAAGCCAGACAGGTATCTGTATGGACCGGGCCCCTCCCCCCTTTGCCAGGTGCTTCTCAAATGTCGACAAAGGATCTTCTGGTGCCTCGGAGGTCCGTCCGACATCCTCATTGTCCTCATCTAGAGCAACATCTGTTTGGGTAGTGCCGGACGACAAATCGCTTTGCTCCTCATCGATAACGGGATCAGTTACTTCACCATCCGAGGCAGTAGCGCGCTGTGACGGCTCTCCAGTGATCCTTCCAATGGCAACCTCATCTAACTCAGGCTCGGGAGCCAGATCTGCCTCTGCAGATAATTCCGCAAAGATGGTTGTAGGCGTCGTCATATTCTTACCTTCCTCAACCTCATTGGGGTCTGATGAATTTATTAGTTTTTGGCGTTTTAGTTCCAGAACTAGCTCCGAAAGTTTGGGGGCTTTTGGCAATTTTGTTTTCCCGGCACGGATTGATGTTGCCCTATCCAGCTTTGCTCTTTCTTTCCGCCATTTAAAAATCTTTTCCCCCACAGGCGAATTTTTGCGGACATGGGCAAGATACATGGAACCCTTATATCGCGCGTTAAATTCAGCCGCCAAGCGTCCGATGACATCTTCACTGTGGATTTTGATAAAAGAATCTCTTAAAATAGTGTTCATTTTCTCGATGTCCGCAGCATGCGTCCAGAATGAGTCGTGGACTGCAGCAAATGAGAGCCCGATTTCATCGCACTTGAGTGCCGAGAGGAGCATGTGTGTCGCGTCTAGAGAGTGGATGAAGTTCGGTGGGAAGCCCTGGAGTTGTTTCCGTTTGCTAACCGGGTGGGTCCGGTGAGGCTGTGAAAGCGAGACGTTTTGCATGTTCGTTGAGACAGTCTTCGACTTGGAGGATCGATACGGTTGTACAACTGGCATGTTCAGAGGAGTGGTCCATATGACTGTGGATTTGAACTGCGCCCAGTCGTCGATTTTGTTCAACGACTTACCCCGAGACTTAGCATCCGGGTCGGACAAGCCTGGCCATTCATGACAGATCCTATCCATCTCCAATTGCGTCAAGGACGTTGATATCCTACTAGCACACTCTCCGAACCAGTATTGAATGTCGTGGGCACCTCGGAACATGTTGCCGAGAGCTGTAAAAATGTTCTTCGCAATGTACGATGATAGCGATAGAGGGTTTACGACAGTCCCGTTTGGGAGGTCAGGATAGGCCGCAACAAGCTGCTTCTTGACCTGATCTCTTGCCCCAATAAAGGTAACGCCGTAAACATTTGTCATGACCGTTTGCTTAACCGTCTTGCGAGTAATTTTTCCATCGAGTACAAGGGCAAATGGGTCTCCTTTGAGCTTATCTCGGGCTACACCCTCCATGACCATGTCGGCAACTGCAGTATAAACATCAGCAGGCCGGTCGCCAGGCTCAAGATTGACTTGTTTGGCGCCCCAAATGTCACCGCCTAAGGCTGCATAATGCTGCAATCCGTTGCAGGTCCCATCTTGGTGAACTGGCAGGTGAGATATGAACCGAGTCGGGTCCGGAGATTCGACGGCGTTTCTCAGTTCTATGCAAACAGCCAGACATTGCCATGGATCTTCCGCCTTCAGCCACCATCTTTTCCCATTCAAAGGATTTAAGGCGGAGTCATATATGTCTCCCATGTGGTCGTCAGCGAAATCTTCACGGTCCTTGAGACTAGCCTTGTCGAATCCGAATACATTAGATAGATGGACCTTGAGCCACCTGAGACCACTTTCGCCAAGCTCTCTTCCTTTGCCGAACCTTAAAAGACCTCTGCAATGATCTGCCCCCATGTGGTTTAGGTAAGGTGGTATGGGATAAGCGCGTCCTCGAAAATCTATATTGTGAGGGAAGTAGAACGACTCGGTTCTTAGTGCTCTCGCGATCTCGAGTTGAAAGTTTTGGAAACATCGCTGCGAGTGTAGACCTGTCCGTTGGTTCTCTATGGCTTTTACTGCTCGCATCCAGCGGCGTCGTATGAGTGGATCTGAGGAAGCCTCCGGCTCCGGTGGTATCTCTAGCTTCGGATTTTCAGGCGAGATGTTGCCAATGGCCTCTCCACTATTCCAGGCCTCCAGCATAACTTCGAAGACTGGCTGGTTGATCCTCCATTCTGTCTTGCCAAGCACATCCAACCCCTCGCACAGTTCAACCATATCGCCTTGTCCGATGGCGGCTTCGGCATAGAACCTTTGATCACTGTCACCTTGCTTAACCCGCATCAACTTCCCCGGATGTACAAGGAATCCACCTTTGTTGAAGAGGGTCCAAGGCTCTGGTTCGACGACCATCGGAAGATGCTTTGCAAGCAGACTGTGAACGGGTTCCCGCTTCAGCCCTTCCACCATGGCTTTGCTGGCGACAACAACGCCAAACTTCTTGCCCATTCTATACTGGAATGCATGTGCAAAGGCAGGTTGAAGCTGCGACATCGGCCGATGGGTTACTGCGTGTTGCACCTCCACAGGAAACATAGCAACTTCAATCAGGGCAGACATTAGAAATGCACCCACTTTCGCCTTTATGGCCAAAGGCCATTGTTTCCAAACGAAGGGTGTCATTTTCTCCTCGTCTTGCTTGCCCTTTCCCATCCATACCTCATTTACCACTGTGCTTGCGAAGCCACCACCCCGATTTCGTGACAACTTCTTTAGATTTTCTATGTCGAGGCGCTCGACGGCTTTTTTTGACCAAACACCCTTTTTGATGTTTTGCTGGATGGCCTCAAAGACGCTTTCATCTTCGGCAGCGCCGGCAAGCTTTAAAATGATGCGAGAGAGAACCAGGCCTCTATCCGCTCCAGCCATGCCCAGTTGGCTCATCGTTGTAAGGATAGTCACAGCAGCGAGTTTATCAGTAGGAAGGATTCGCAGAAACGGCCCGTAGAGACAACGTTCCTCGTCCGCATCGTTCAATACCTCCCCTGCTTCTGCGATTTCGACCCTAGCAATTTCTTCCTCCAAGTATTTCTCCAAACCTAATTGCCAATTCCACATCCTGGCACCTATAGACTTTGACTGCATTGCCGAGTCCATTCCCATCTTTTTCATGGCTGCATCCTCTTCCCTCCAACGTTCGACTGCAGAGCCTACTGCATCTTCCTCAAGCTGTTCTTGAACTTGTCGTCTTTCTTCGGGACTCTTACTAGCCATGCCGAGTCCTTCGCCAGGTTTGGCGGAAAACAATGAAAGTGCCTTTTTTAACGCCTTCAAACCCAGCCCTTTCTGCCCAGTAGGACGGACACCGGGAAGAAGCGCTTCCTTACCCGATGGCTCTGGTGAAACATGACCGGAATCGACAAAATCGTCCTCAAAATCCTCTTCAAATCCTTCGGCCAAGTTGTATTTCGGGCAGATATGATTGATCTGATTCAGTTCCCCCGCAGTCAAGATATTCAATCCCAATACGTCCAACCCTGCTTGGCCCTCAACCATCCCCATGTACCGGTGGACAAGTCTGTTTCTATTTCCGCCGGTCGCATCATCTGGTGATTGGAGTGACGCCTTTAACATGTACGCAACCATTTCAGCATTGTGCGGGATGCCCTTCAGCCTTATTTCGAGCTCGAACCATTTGTGGATGGATTGCCGTGCCGATTCGCTGGGGGAGAGCATTATTTGCTCGACCGAAGCGCGGAGGTATTGATTGTGTAGAGCAACTATCTCGTCCGTATCCGCTTCCACTTTCTGTAATACCCGCCGAAGGATAACCGCTGCGCGCTCAAGCCTCCCAACCTGGAGACAGGCATAATATACCGATAGAACCTCTGATATATCACCCGATATCCCTGATTTATTTGCCCTGATGCGTTGCTCGGAATTTGCTAAACCGTTCTCGTACGGATCCAAGTGATTCGTATACCCCAGATTCGACAAGCCATTAATTCCAATATAGCTGTGGCTACTAGGCTGGCGGTAAATGCCCAACCCCTCAAATGGAATGTCGTCTAATGGCATATTATCAACGGCAGTGGCCATTGTCCGTCTTGGTGGCGCGGCCGCCGCGCTGCTCGAGTTCCTCCGTCTCCTTAACTCGGGCTTTTGCGAAGCAGCATCGGTTGAGATCCATCTTTGCCGTTGCCGGTACGCAGGTATCGTTATGGCATTGCGGACCGGGCACAGCCAGGGAAGACATAGTTGCTCGAGGGAGGCTTGAGCTTGGGTTCGGATTGCTCGAGGATGGATTTTGCGTCGGGCAGCTCGTGCGAGCATCTTCTCTAGTTATTGGTAATGTACAAGGAACGTGAAAGGGAAAGAATCGAGACCCAAATTGCGCAAAATGACGGCATTAATAAATTATAAAAAGGGTAGAAAAAGAGAGTAAGTATTGATACAGAATGACCGTGATGGTCGTGGTCAGGTCGCACTGTGCTGTTCCGGAGGCAGGATGAAGGAGGTTGAGTCGTGAGGCGTCGATAAAAAATTTGGGGCGAAAGTACCAAGTCACGCTAAAGCCGCTGTCCGCCGCGAAAAAACCCCTGAGCCGCAAATTGCTTGGTGATGAGACGCTGCCTTAGGCTGGGGCCGAGGAGCATCGCGTCGCTTTTATCCCATTTTATATCTAAAATTTTGGTTCCTTATACCTCCGATTGTCGTCGACATCAGCATCGACACCTGCATCGGCATCGAAATAGGGTCGGTCCATGCAAATATAATGGTTGTGGGACGGGTTTTGCGTGCAAATGGCTGTGCGAGTTGCCGCACCGCGTTGTTGCGACGTTTTGCCTCTGACCTAGGGCTACCTCTCAGAGTATCACCACAGCGATTACCACTACGGGCTATTCGGTCGCAATCGGAATCAGATAGACGGCTGTTCTCGAGCCAGTCGAACTTCCAAAACCAAAATAGTGGCCGGGGAGACAGCGAGGTGGCCGTTTCCGACGCGGAGATCGAGGCACTGGAATCAATCCAGCCGGAGGAAGTGATCGAGAACGAAAAGGAAGTGGAAGCGGAAGTGGAAGTGTCGTCTGTTCCATGGTATCTTCAAGTCGAGTCGCCCCAACGAGCACCGAAGCCATTGTCCGAACGACAAAGGATACCAGATTTGCCAGAATCGCCGCCTCTTGTCCTACAACCTTTACTCCAACAAATATCAATCGATCTTGGTCTCGATGATCTCACCCTCCTTGATCTTCGGAAACTCGACCCACCACCTGCACTTGGGTCCAACCTGCTGATGATTATCGGCACTACGCGGAGCGAAAAACATCTACATGTATCTGCAGATCGATTATGTCGATGGTTACGAAGCACATACAAGCTACGCCCTAATGCAGATGGACTTTTGGGGAGGAATGAGTTGAAATTGAAACTGAAACGAAAGGCCAAGAAGGCAAAGCTTATGGGGAGTGCCGCAGTCGATAACGTAGATGATGGAATACGGACTGGCTGGGTATGTGTTGACGTGGGTGTTGTCGAAAGTGCAGAAACAGAGCCTGTTTCTGAGCAGTCAGACTTTGTCGGTTTTGGCCGAAAATCAGACGGCACACGCATAGTGGTACAGATGCTTACGGAGGAGAAGAGGAATGAGATGGAGCTGGAAAAGCTTTGGGGAGGCATTCTCGAAAGAGCAAATCGCAAGGAACTAGCTGACCTGGATGAAAACGCGGAGTCTGAATCGATGATAAGCAACGATGTGGCGCCGACAGAGCCCAGCATAGCATTGCCAATACACAGTTCGAATCACATCACCTCGCAGACGGTTTCGGGCACCCGTGGATTTCATACACTTGCACGCAGGCTAGAGATGATGGGGGAACCAACACCCCAACAAGACCCTGTCTTGCTGCACGATCTCTCTAGTGATGCCTTGCGCGCAATCAAGCCAGCAGAGCTTTACGAGTCAGTGAACCAATATATTGAGGCGGGCAACTATGAAATTGCTAGGCTTACATTACACAAGATTAAAGACCACCTCACAGGACTTGAAGGTGACAGATGGAGCAATTTCCTTCTCAACAAGCTCCGTTTGAAGCTCGAAGCTGTCCCCAAGGAACAGGCTCTGGAGTACCTCGGCGCTGGGTCATCAGACTATACTTCGACTCCGTTTCTCTCGTGCTTCTACCGAACGTTATCCGACAGCCCAACTGCGTCGGACGCAAGGGCACTGATCTGGCTGCATTGCTTTGCTCAGTCTCTGGGCCATCCAGGTTATAATTCCTCTGGTCTGATAGACCTGTTTAACCAGCTTCACGCAAGTATGGCGCCGATCCCGACAGAATCCTATGCCCTTCTCCTCGCTGGCGTTCTCCATCGAGATGGACAAAATGGCGATTCTAGCGGCCCTTCGCGTGTTGCCCTTGGTGCCGCTACAAGCATTATTCGAACTATGCATACTCAAGGTCTCAATGTTCTCGATGACCAGGTCCTAGTGAGCTTGCAAGAAGCCGTGTCACCAAATGAGTCTGAAGCGTCACCAGGGGTTCCACTGCATCAAGATGGTGCCGAGACCTTTGACTTGCCCTCGTTCCAGATGTCGCCGGTGCAGCATAGGCTGCACATCCTCATAATGAAATTAGACCTGCAGTGCTTCCAAGACCAGTCAAGAATACGACTGCTGGACCTGTACTGGAGACACCAGCACTGGGTTGAATTTTGGGATATTTGGAGGATGGCTCCTAAACGTGGCAAGGCCCAGTCCCCAGTTCTATATGCCTTCATGCTTGGACGAGTCGCACAGACTGGCAACCAGAAGGGGTGTATGAATGTCCTGCGAACTTGGCTGCCTGAGATGGAACGTGAAGCTCAGCCTGTGGCTCTAGAGGGGCAAGTCGCGCAAGCGGCGATGGCGTGTTTAAAGGTTGTGATGCCCAATATTGAAGAAGCTGCTAGTGATCCAGCGGCGAAGGGGGAGTGGATTTCTTGGTGGCGGAAGTGTATCGTATAGTGTGCGAGGTGGTGGATGATCCAGTTATGTATACTTAGTAGCTAATCTATGTACATGTACGAATATATAAGACATGAGGCAGGGGTATTAATGTAACTTTCGATCACCTCTCAAACATATTGTAGGCTTGCTGCTATCAATCATCTTATTACTGTTGTTATTCATTAGATATTAGATACTGTGGTCTCTATTTCCACCAGCGCTTAAGCAGATATAGTAGGTCATGACACCAGCGCATATCTCCACGACAACACCACGCACCAATCAAAGGCACCACATCACGGTGTGATGAAACCTTGGCGAATACTTTGACTTGGTCAGGTTCGAGGCCTAGAACCTCCGCAACATGGGTTCTACCAAGAGTCCGCACAAGCCGTTAGTTGCAAAGCCCGTATCTCGTATTTCACATATCTTAGATTATATACCTAGACGTATTGATCTGCTATTTCTCTACTCTTTGTAGTTAACTGGACGGGAAAGGAAGGCCAGTCGAAAGTGTCGACGAACAAATGCGACCTTATGTTTAGTAACAAAGTCCTCAACTTATCTCGAGCAGTATCTGCGACTACGGGATCTGCTCCAAATACCTTGCAGCTGGGCATTTTCGATACAATTTAGGTTGTACTTTAGAAATGATATTCGCAGAATTTGGATAGAACGCTTAGGCTACAAAGCTAACGATTACGAGTCATCCCGAATCATATATTAAGTACGTAATCAAGCTTAAATTCAGATCCCCTCATTTTGGCACAAAGTAATTTGTATAGATAGCTATAGTAAGTGGCTTTTGGGCATTTATACGACATCAAAATAGTTATGAATTCTTTTATTTCAGTCACCTGACTATAACACTCATTTGCCTATATATAGCCGGCTTTGATCTTATATTATTAGAGATATTCAATCAATTCGATTACTACTATTCTATACCTAATTGTAACTAATCAAGTTTAGTAGAAAGAACTAGGCATCTAAATACAGAATCGCACATCGTGAAGACAAGTAGCATTATGAAAGGGCATAACCAGAGCTCAGCCTATTTTTAGAGTTAAAAGGTCAAAATCTAGCTCCCCACCCTTCTGTAAGTAATTCAGGATCCAAGTGTAAGCTACGCCTTAACTCAAACTTTGACAGACGACTACTTAAAGCCGCCCAACCCAGCCCTGGAAATCGGCCGAAAAAGAGCTATACTAATTCTACTTCCGAGCCTGCAAGATATTGTTAGCTAGGCTTGAAACGTATTGAATAATACCCTAAGCACAAAGTGTCGTAGATATTATTATACGGCATGTTCACTTTCGTGTAAGAACTGGCCGTAGCTAATATAAGACAGGTGTTTCGACAATAATACCTATTCCGATCTAACTATTAAATACCGCGAAAGATCTTGGAAAGTTCATCGCGTGATTGTTTGCTCTCAATCGAAGGCTTTGCATACAGCGTGTATAGCGGGCTTTAAGGTTATTATTTCAAAAATAATAGCCATCTAGCTCGAAATCTCACTCTTTATAGGAGGCACATACAGGTGTCATTAATCTAGATGACGATGATCCACTCTCTGTCGAAATAATATTGAAATACTTTTATACCGGCAAATATAACGAACCGATTAGCGAGAGCAAAGAACTGCGTCTATAGTTGCAAGTTCAAGTTCTAATATATTTTTAGCCGATAAATATGATATGCCGACTTTGATGGGGCTCGCAGATAAGAGATTCGAATCTACGCTCGACAGGGGGCCTATACTAGAAGAATTCCTATCTACGGTTTCAGATGTCTACACTATGCCAACCAACGCCCTACCGGCCATCGCTGTCGAGTATTCTAGAACAAATTTTCGACACATGATGCAAAGCGCCGGTGCTGAAAATTTGCGGGCTACGCTGCAGGATGTACCGGAGTTCGCTTTCGATGTACTTCAGCTGTTTTCTAACGCTCTACTGAGAGGTTGTTGTTCCTTCTGTGGTCCAAACCAGAGTGCCGAAGCACTCCAGGCGCGCTGTCTCAACTGCGGCAAGGGTGGGATTTCACTGACACCATGATGAGACTTGCATGAGCAAAAGAAATTTAATCAGATTCTAGGAAAACAATCCTTTCACCCACCCAACTAGAGGTCCACTGCCCATTCTTGTGTGTTATCGTTACACACCCTAGCTCGCTACCCTTCCTGCACTATAGTACCCCCTCATTTGCTTCTCAGCCAACTAGTGTTATTAAAGCTAAGAGGCTTAGACTCCTTCTCCTCACAGGCTGATTCAGGCCAGGCCTCACAAGCTGGTTCGGATCTGGCAGGCTCGGATTCAATCACATAAGTTGGTCCAGCCACTTCCTCATAGGGATAATCGTAAGACCCAAACGGTGGCGCCTCCTGCTCGCCAGTCTCTCTTTCACCAGGGGTGGCCTCAACGACCAGTTCGTCCGCCTATCGATACTGCCACCCCCCTTATATCGAATAGAGATGAGTGAGCAAGGCAGCAGCATCTGTCACAGAATGTCAGCGCGTTATCCAACCTACTTCGGGTCATCAAACCCCGCTTATGCATACCTTGTCCTGTTAAGCCCCCCAGTGTGAACAACTCCAGCAGCAACGATGCTGACACACCTCGTTCTGGTTATATGCATTCACGTACGAATGCAAACAGTTGCCCCCCGTATTCGGTCCATTATAACAATTGCAGCACTTCCAGTAGCCACCCATAGCATTATGGGCGCATCCAACATCGCCACAGAGCGACTGGGTCTGGTTGGACTCGGTACGCCTAACATCGCTGCACATAACCCGTCCACGGCGACCCCGGGTTGAGTCGTCACAGTAATCAATGTGACGTGACACGTGCCGCCCGCAGCGGTGGACAGTTTTAATCGAGTGGCACATCCTCTTCGGCTGTGACTCAGGGTGAGGTTTTATAGACGTATATAAAAGAGATGTGACGAAATAGTTTTGAGATATATAACGAGAGAGGTGCTAAAAGATAGTAAGTAGCTGACGAAGTTGGAGGTATACATAGTTTAGGGATGGACCGTAACTTAAATACATGGCCGAGCAGCGCGTCTCTTTCTACCCACGGCTCGCCGTTTCTATGAGAGGTGCTTGTCTAGATCACGGGCGGTAAAGTACGTTCACCAGTTGGAGCCGCCAGTTCAGGAGAGTTGAATCAAGATGATTTTCGATCCACTAGAAAGCCTCATTATAATTCTGTAACGTGGCATATCATTAATTCAACTAGAACCACTGGCTGACACTGCTCTTTCTGCGGTACCCAGGTTGAATAGTCAGTGAAGACCCCAGCTTCAGTGCAGTAATTAGCGCGCGCCTGCTGCTATATCTCCACATCAGCTCAAACGTTTGAGGTACGTGCAACGGGGCCGGGGAGGTGGCGCGTAATTCCGACATTGGCTGGCGCTTCTCCAAGAAGTCTTACTCGGTCTAGAAAGGTGTCCGTGCGTGGGATTAGTGGCTAGCGTGTACTTCGTATGCCACTTGTCCTCTACGAATAATATTAGGTCACACTGCATGCTGTTTTCTGTTCTGACGAGATATTCATCGCGAAATACTTACTCTATCCTCAGTCCAGTCCTCTAGACCAAAGCTATGGCAACCGGCGAGGATAGAGCTCAGTGGGAGAAGAATCTCGACTATTACATCCAAGGGGTCAATGGAGAAATCGGCCAGGGTTATGACTTTACTATCGTCTGTAACAGCAAACGCTTTGTGGTGGCAGTGTGGCCAGGCCCCCTTCCGGACGACCAAACAACATCGCTTCTCTCCCGCTACAGTAAAGCAGTTCTGGCGGATGACGAGGAAGAGATACAAAATGTCCAAGACAAAATCGACGATATAATCTACGAAGCTGGATGGCAGAGGTTTGCTCGTTTAGCGCCAGCGATCGAAAATGGATCTCCAAGATCCCCTATAGATCTGCATTCCCGCCTTAATCCAGAAACTTTCTATTTTCGTCTGGTTATAGATGGAGAAAATACAGACATAGTACAAGAAAGCCCTCCACCACCAAAATTTCGCCCCTTCCATCTCGACATCAAATTCGAATCAAATTTGCCGAGATACTCAGCAAGAGAAGTTTTCGTAGCAAAAAAACTTCCAGGTACAGGCTTCATAGCCAAAGTCTCAGTCAACGGACAGGACATGTGTTGCAAGGTTGGGACGCCTATCTACGGAAAGGCAGTGCAGCGGGAATACGAGTGTTTGCAGAAGATTGCGGTGTCTAAACACGCCTCTTCTATCCGAGCACCCAAACTAATCGGCTTTATTTTTGACGATGATGGAGGCATTATTGGGATCTTAGAAGAGTTCATTCCGCATGCACGTACATTGGGTAGGATGGAAGGTATCCAAGCCATTTCCGGCGGGCGAAGGAGAAAGTGGGCTGAGCAGATTAGGCAGAGCATTGATCTGCTGCATGAGATCGGCGTGGTATGGGGTGATGGTAAGCCGGATAATATTCTCATTAATTCGGAAACAGATGATAGCTGTTTAGTTGATTTCGGAGGCAGCTTTACGGACGGTTGGGTGGATGTAGAGTTGAAGGAAACGTGCAGGGGGGATGAGCAAGCGGTGAAGAAGATCATTGATTTCTTAGCTATTGACGAGCTTCTAGAATGCTAATAGGTCTTATCATCACCTCCTTTTGTATTTGCGAGTTATACGGATGCAATCTTGTTGCTAGATGAAATAGACGCGTATAACAAATCGGGAGTCGCGGTTTAATGAAGCAGTTCTTTCTATAATTATCAGTTCCAACACCCATGCATTGGCTGACATATCTTCGGTGGTCGTGAGGCTGTTGATGCTTTAGAACCCCGTGCTTAAAGCTAAGTTAGCTCCGTCACTACAACGGCACTATATCCAGTCAGCAACCTCGTTCTTTTCCTTTCTGCTATTGTCAGACCCACGACCTTATTCACGGCTGCCACAGACAAAATGGTATCGCTAAAAGATGTCCAGGGCAAGGTTTACAACTTCAGGAACAAGTCAGAATGCGTCGGTTTGGGCATGCCTACTCTCGATGTCACAAACGTCGTACGTAACTACATGGTCCTCGTCCGAGATATTGTGCTAGGAAAGTTGGAGTATATAAAAGTTATGACAGTAAGTACTATACTTGAAGTTTAAATCATCACCTGCTAAGATCAAATCCTCTAGATCACCTTGATATTAAAGGATAATAGCGACTACGTCCCTATTTCGCTAATACTAAAGAAAGGCTATCGCTCAGTACAGAGTAGCGTATTCTCCTTCGAGGATTCGGGACACGCTGCAGTGTTTTTCGCTAGACGCTAGGTGACCAACAGATGTTCAAATTTCAATACAGATATTCTGTTGAAAGGAAGTAGAGCGGAATAATTATATACCGATTAGGTGATCCGGAAGGTTCGGCGTTGCTGTGGACGAGACAGACGAATAAGCTGGTTTGTGAGACAGTGTTGCCTGGTGGGAGGGAGGGGGTTGAGGGTTTGGAGTTGGGTGGATCGTATTATGAGAGCGCGGTGCCGGTTGTGGAGTTGCAAGTTGCGAAGGCGGGGTTTAGGTGAGTATTTCTGATGGGTTGAGTTTTTCGAAGATCATGGATACTAATAGAGGTGTTTGATAGGCTTGGTCGATGGTTGGATTTCATTGCTCAAGGGGGGAAGAGCGAACTATAGGAGTAGGGAGTGATGAAAGTCATTATAGTATTATATCCTTATTATATACCTATTCTATTTGCAATTTTAGTCCCGTCTTATTCTCGACTTGGAAATATCAATCATCCTTCTATCTCTGATTTTTATAATCAGTAGTTTTAAAGACCCATAACTCCCATGGCTATAACGACCGACGCCTTTTACTACCCTGTACGACTTAGCTACTGATAACACTTATTTCCTTCTGGCCCAACCTAGGAAGCTTCAGCTGCAAAGTAAGCGAAAGTGATATCACCGAAAGAACTGCAGCCATCATAAATGTTGCTCTCAACGACGCCGCATAAGAATCGATGACTTGCTCGCGGTAAGGTTCCCCCAACCCAGGTATGGCGGTAATGGATTTCCGAACTGCTTCAATTACCTTGAATGCTCGTTAGCGCGCTGAAGGGTAGGCAATAGGGAAGACGATACTCACTTGGTATTTATCTGGCCCGGTAACGAGCTGCTCAAGATAGTAATACAGCGCATTCTGCAGTACAAGACTACCAGTCGCGACACCGAGAACCGTCCCCAAGGAGCGCCATAGAATCAAGGTGCTCGTGACGACAGCCTGTTCGGATTGATCTGACACGGCCAGCACGGCCATGAAAGTAGCGGGGAACATGAAGCCTCCGCCTGCACTGTATGGAACAAGTAAGAGCACATACGCCCATTCAGGCAGTTTCCTCCCCATCAACGAAAGCGCCACCGGCCCAACGAAAAGAAACACCACTCCAGCTACCAACGGTGCTTTTAGCCGCTTCGACCACGTTATGAAGAAGCCTGTTGCAGTGCCGGCTGTTGATGCCGAAATGGCTGGGACGATTAAGCGTAGTCCGGAGGTAGTTGCGGATTCTAGCAAGACGGCCTGGAAATATAAGGGGATATTGAAGAGGATTGCGTTCATTATTATTGCGCCGATGCTGTTTGAAATTATGAGGCTGGCTCGCGGGTCTTTTATTAGGAGTTTTAAGGGCATGATGGGAAGCTCCACGTGGGATTCGACCCATATGAATAGCGGGAATGCGATGCTGAAGATCACGAGTGATGCTATGACGAATGGATGGGACCAGGAATACACGTTGCCGCCGAGATTCTAAATAATATCATTAGCACGGAACTTCGAAAAAGGGTGGCATTAAGTATAGGAGAATAACGAAAAACTTTCAATCAGCGGGCCCTGGAAACACGACATGTGTCTTTCCCTTGTCATTCGCTCATTCTATGATGTAGACGTTGTGGGATTTATAGGGAACTATCCACGCTGGTTACCCAGAGCCTTCTTTCTTCACTTGAAGCCTGAAATTGCAATATCAAGTATTCCAAATAATGACGCTTATGAATGACATACGTACCAATCCAAGAATCAAAAAAGTAACCGACGTCGTAAGCAGAATCGACCCCTTATAATCGAAAACCTTCATAGCTTCCCACACAGTCTTCTTCTGCATACCCGCTTCCAAACCAAGGTCATCCGGAACAGTAAAGATCGCGACGCATAAGCACGCCGTCAAAATCGGGAGCTGGATTCCAAATTCCCACCGCCATCCAAGATTATCCGCAATCGCGCCACCCAGCGCTGCTCCTAATGCAGAGCCGACGCCAAAGATGATGTTTATGTACGACTGATACGTCCCGCGGATCTCAATCGGCACAATATCGCTGGTGATGATCGAGCCTAGGGTAATCATCCCACCAGCACCAAAGCCGCACATCGCTCGAGCCATGATGAAGGAGAGCATGGACTGCGCGAGAGCACACCATATCGTTGCTCCTAGGAAAACAGCTAGAGAGAGTACGTATGGTGGTTTCCTGCCAATGGTATCTGAGAGGCGTCCGAAGAGGGGCTGAAAAGCCGTCGAAGTCAACAGGAATGCTGTCGATAGCCAGGATGCGCTATTGGAGCTGTGGAAATGGGATGTGATGATCGGATGGCTGGAAACCATGATTGTCGAGTCAAAACAGGCTACGAAATACGTAGTGAGAACGCCGGCGAATATCACCCAGAATCGAGCAACGCTGAGACCTGCAAGGAATGGCGACTTCGATTCCACCTCGGCTTCTCCTTCATCGTCGTCTTCTTCTATAGCTTCCTGATTGCTCCCTATCGTGCTTGTGAAGGATTTTCGCCGGCTACTAGCATGGCTTCGGTCTCGTCTCCGTGATCTTGATAGGCTGTATCTTCGAGGTCCTCGAAGCATCGCCGTTGCCTGTGATTCGGGTTCCAGTCCAAGGCCGGTAGTTATGGACTCGGATCTGGACACGAGATTGTCAAACTCGTTTGGGTCGATCTCTCCATCGTAAGGATCTTCGTCTGTTGCTGTGTCGTCCGATACAGCCCCATGGCTGGATAGCCCATCACTAGCTGCGGAAAGTAGAGCTGTTCGTTCGGTGGGGTTATCGCCTTCGAACGCAGAATTGTGGGATCTGCCCCAAAGCCCCGGTTCTTGGGCGGTTTGACTCGCCGTCATGATCGTGTGACACTTTCAGGAGTGTCGTTGTTGGGAAGTAACAGCTTATCCGTAAACTAGACCTTCGTACTCCTCACAGCAGGACCCTCTCACCACAGATCATGAATGTGACGTATTGCCAGTCGTTTCAACGTTCAACTCATCCTCAGAAGCTTCTCAATAGCTTTCGTATCCCCAAATGAGAGCTATCTCGAGCAAGAAACTAATTTGCTCATATGACTCACAGCCCATCCAGAAATTCAGAAATTACTACGTCTCCAACTCTCCGACTCTCGGAGTGTGACTTTGAAAGTACTTTCGCACCTACGAACAAAACTCCAAAAAATGGCAGAGAACAAGAATAAAGGGCAATAAACGCTTGTTTCACGAATAACAAGCTCTTATAAGGAATGCGGGGACTCTCCGAAGTCCAGGCCACAAACCCCACGTTTGCCGTGGCACTAGCCATTATCGTAAGCATTCTGCGGAGTGAGGGTGTGAGGCGGAGCGAAAACGGCTGCAAGTAATATGACGGTGAGGGATTAAGCTTCCTGTGGAAAGAAGCGGTGCTGCTAAAAGCACCGTGGGACTTTTTGGGGATTGTTTATTGCGGGATGGATGGAAGAGCGGTGATTGAGATACTTGCCTACCTACCTACCTAGTAGCTAGCTAGATAGTATAATAATTAGAAGTTCAAAACATTAGGACGGGGTGTAACCTTATTAACCGTTGGTGAAACTGTACGAAAGCACGCCAGTGGTTACTAAAACACGGCTAACAACGGCCCGCCGACCTCGGCACGTCGTTCTTATCTTATCGCAACTATTTCTCGCGGGGTAACACTTACATCTATTCTACATCTCCAACTCCATCTACATCTACAACTACATCTTCCTCCCAACCATCCAATTCCCCCACCACCAACCCAAACCAAACCCCCAAAATGCCCTCTCCCCCCCTCCGAATAGCCATCCTCGAATGCGACCACCCCCCCGCAAACGCCCGCGTCAAATTCGGCCACTACGGCGGCGTCTTCACCTCCCTCCTCAACTCCGCCGCCGCGACGCTCACCCCGCCACCCGCCCTCCAAATCTCCCGCTATGACGTCGTAACAGCGCAAGAATACCCCCCCCTAGACGCCATCGACGCCATCCTCATCACCGGCTCCCGCTTCACAGCCTTCGAGTCCGACCCATGGATCCTGAAGCTCGTCGACTTCGTAAAATCCATCCTCGCCCAGGACCGCATCCGCATAATCGGCGTCTGCTTCGGGCACCAAATCCTCGCCCGCGCCCTCGGCGCCCCCGTGCATCGCAGTCCCATCGGCTGGGAAATCAGCGTCGTCCCTCTGACGCTGACGCCCGTGGGGAAGAAGCTCTTCGGGGTAGACAAGCTGGCGATTCATCAGATGCATCGGGATGTGGTGGGGGAGTATCCCGAGGGCGTGGAGAAGCTGGCGTATACGGATACGTGCCCCGTGCAGGGCATGTATGTGAAGAATCGGTTTATTACCGTGCAGGGACATCCGGAGTTTACGGAGGAGATTGTGAGGGAGCTGCTGGCGGTGAGGCATGAGAGCGGGATTTTTGATGGGGCGACGTTTGGGGAGGGGATGGGGAGGGTGGCGGATGGGCAAGATGGGGTGGTGGTTGCGAGGGCGTTTTTGAAGTTTTTGTTGGAGGATTAGGGTGGGGATTTTTAACGTTCGTTACTTATATAAACTGGTTATACTATAAGGTAGGTTTGTATATATCAGAGAGCTAAACACTTAAAATATAAAGATTCACATCACGTTATACACACAGAAGTTCAAATACACGTTTCCTGTATTCGTCTTAATATAAATATTACATGTGTTTTTATTGTCCATGGCGGCGGGTATCCTATCCTATCCTATCCATCCATCCACTAATCTATCTATATCCCACAACAACATCGCCCGCGCCATATCTGTTCTTTTCATTCAGTATAAGAGTTGAGATTTATCTTTATCCGTCTTCTCGCACACACACCACACACACCTATGTGCGCCATGAGGAAAATGCAAAACACCGTTTCTTTCCCCAGCGACCATTCGCTAAAAGGAAACAAAAAACACCATAGGAACGCCATGAGGTATGGCTCAATGTTGATACAATGACGCAAGCAACAGAGCAGGTTTTTTTTAGGACAGCAAGGAAATACGATACCCATTCCATTCCCCCCTAGCGAGTTTTTTGTGCAAAATGGCACGGGTATCAAAGAAAACAAAGGAAAATTAAAGTTCTGGTCGAGTGCCGGGAGTTGGGTGGTGGTGGATTTTCTAGGAGAGATTATCCACCGCAGTTAGGAAATTTGTTGGTTGGTATAGACATCGAAGAACTGGGCTGGAGGAGGTAGTGCGGAGAGACGGAGGCCAAAATTAGATGGCTGCTGTCTCGGCATTGCCGCCACCGCCGAGTAATTCGAGGATTTTGTTGGAGACGGCTCCGGGATAGCCGCGGCTGAGCATCTCCTGGACGATGGCCTTGGCGCCGGATCGGTCTTCGACGGCGAGGTAGGCGCGGGTCATAGCCTCGTATGTGCTTGGCTCGCGCTTCTCACGACCGACGGATTGGAAGATGGATTTGCTCTTGTTGATGTCCTTTGCGTTGGCCCAGCCGTGGATGAGAGTGTTGGCGATGTATGGTGTCATTGCTACACCTCGCGAAGACATCTTCTGGAGGATTGGCTCGGTATCCGTGACGCGGTGGTTGGCAACCATGGATTCGAAGAGTGCTTGGTAGAGGCAGGCTTGGGGACGGATTGAGTTGTCGGCCATGACCGAATCGAACACAGCGTTGGCACCCTCCATATCGTGAAGAACGCAGCCCTTGGCGTGGATCAATGACGAGTAATGGACAGCCTCGGGCTTTTGACCGGTGCTGCGGATGACATCCAGGACGGCCTCAGCAGCTGGCATGTTGACAGGCTCGAGGGTGGCATGGGTATCCACGAGAAGCTTGTAGGTGTGGTTGGTTGGCTGGATGCCCTTGCTCTTCATTCGCTCATAGTATGCGAGGACCTTGCTCTTGTCACGCTTTGTAGTAAGGAAGAACTGCATCAGGCTGTTGTACGGAGCAGCACGAGCCTTGTAGTTTGGCATCGACTCCATCTCTTCAAACAGTTCCTCGGCGAACTTCTCATCGCTAACTCGGCAAAGAGCGTTGACAATGGTTCCGTACGTAACGCTAGTAGGTCGGATACCAAGGCTGCGCATCTCAGCGAAGTAGAAGAGGCAGTCGTCAATGCGGCGAGCCTTTCCAAGCTTGCCAATGAGGGCGTTGTAGAGGAAGGAAGATGGCTCGACACCTTCAGCCTTGGCGCGATGGAAGATCTTCACAGCCTCGGTGGCTTCGTCGAAGGTCTTGGTCGACTCCTTCAGTGTGGTGATATACAGTCCGAAGGTGTTGGCAGTTGGAGCAGCGCCCATATCCAGAAGCTCTTGGTGATATTGAGCGGCAAGAGTGCGGTTACCGAGGGTTAGGCAGGCTCCAACCATGGCATCAAGTATCGAGGCCCAGCCATAACGAACACTCGAGTATTGCTGAAGCAGAGGAATATCAGATCGAGCCATGCTGAGGATTTCATGGACCAGGTTCATCCGTTCCTCACGTGCAGCAGCGGAAATGAGCTTGGCGTATGTGATATAACGTGGATGACGACCAGCCCGGCGAATGTTCTTGAATCGACCCAGCGCCTCGTTCAACCGTGAGCCCTTGACACGACCATTGTTGCCTCGCTCTAGCTCGTCTGCAATGAGTGCAGAGCCTTTGAAATCGGTTGAAGCAGCATATGGATCGAAGCTGTCTTCATAAGCGGGTGCAGGTCGGTATGGCGTAGGTGTGAAGCTTTGTTGGAAGATGGGTGTATCTGCAACGGCTCCACGATTATCTGTGATGCCACGGGTGGTCATGAACTTATTGATTAGCTCAGCACCCTCTTCGATCTCATCATGCACGCTAGTAGTAATATCAACGCCGGACAACCGAATGCGAGCAAACATCTGCTCCGACTGCGATAGACCCTCGGCGACCTGTCCGGAGCCAATCATGGCGATGGCGTACATGACCGCTGGCTCAATGAATGAGGCGGGCACATTCCTCTCGGGATGGGACAAGATATGCCAGTACCGTTGAGCTGCGGCAACATCGCCAGCACGAACGCTAAGAGCAAGCATGGCCATAGCAGGAGTTGTAACATCCTGGAAGTTTGAGGGGATATTAGCGAATGCTGTAATGGCAATCGCCTTGTTGCCCTTGTCCGCAGCCGCCGTCGCGATCTTGCTCATTGCAGCAGGCTTCGCAGAGTCGCTGAGACTCTCAGCCCATTCAAGGGCCTCCGTTAGCATGCTACGTTCAAGCATGCCCTGCACAAAGCCTCCATGGATAATGGAGTCCTTGATGGGTGTGACGTTGGATCCGTAAGAGTCAATGATCTTCTTGTAGAATTTCGAGGCACCTTCCAGTCTGTCAGATGTAATATAAGCTCTGATGACAGCAGCATAAACTGGTCCGTCCTGGCGGTCTCTCAATTCAACATCGCCCTTGTCATGTGCTATAGCCAGCTGCTTGTATTCATTGTAACACTCGACAGCGCTGCTAAGATCTCCGGTTTGCGTGAAACCTTTGATCATTGGGGGGAAAGTAGCCGCCAATGGGGCAATCTGGCTCGACTCCATATGCTCATACAGTCGGATCATGTCCGGTACTCTGCCAGCAGCCGAACATGCCTGGATGAGTGAATGGTAGGTCTCAGGTGGATATGACCGATCCTTGCGGTAGACAATCGAAGCATCAAATAATCTGATGGCCAGATCAAGTCTATCGTCCTCAGCAAGAATAGCAAATTCAACTTCGTTTGATGGGAACATGAATTTGCCGGGGGCCTCCATGCCACCAAAGCGCACACGCTTCTCCTCCAAGGACTGTTTCAGCGAGGAAACCTCGATGGATCGGGAAGAAAGCAAGTTGATCAGGGTTTTGTAGGTCGAGGTGTTTGGCAAGACCTTGCGCCTGAGCATGTCTGAGTAGACATCCAGGGCCTTTGGAACAACCTGGATCCTCTCTGACGGGAGATGGATGGCGGCATCTAGGAGAGCATTGTATGCGGCTGCGGTAGGCTGGGTGCCAGCAACCAGCATCGCCTCGAAAACCGCCGGGATTTCCGCATATCGGCCGGCCTCAGAGAGCTTGGTCAGGTGATCAGCATAACTTTGAGACTGCAAGTCCGATGCGGTGCTAAGGGTGGTGAATGAGCTCGTGGGCGTCTTGAGGTTCGACTCGGCCGCGGAGACGGCCGGAGACTGAATATCGGAGACAGGAGGCGTAGGCACGCGAGCCGCGACAACGCTCAACTCGGCCTCAAAAATTGCCTGCTCATTTCGAGACTTGATCTCCTTTGCAATGGCAGCATCAATCTCCGCAAGAGCGGCTTCCTCCTCGGCCCCTAATTCCACCCTCTTCACGCCATCCAACGCACTCGCGCTGTGCGACCTCTCAATCGGCCTCAATGCAACCTCGGCACTGCTGTTGGCCTCCGCCTCCACCTCACTCAACGGCTCCCACTCAATCCGCTTCGTAAACTGGAACTGCGTCCATTCCTCCTCCGGCTCGCCTGCAGCATGATGGCGCTTCCACGCCTCGAAGTAGGCGTCTAAACCCCCATCTGTCTTGAGAACTTCCGGTTTTGCCTCCTGTCGGGTCTCCTGCACTATCGTGCTCGGCTGGCTGCTGTTGTGAAAGGCATTTTGGAAATGGTACTGGCGGGTGCCGACCTTGCTGGCGCGACGATGTAGGGAGAAGCGCGAGCGATTGGAGGTGGCGTAGGACTGGGGGTGGGTGGCCGCAACGACGGATTGGGCGTAACCGTGGGTGATGGATTTCGCAAGTCCTTGACGTGCGAGATTGGAGTAGAGGTGAGGAATTGGCATTTAGTTATCGGTTGGGCCTCTCAGGATTGGGAGAGGAGGCTGTGATGGGGGGGAGAGCTGTCAGCAAATGTGATGGTGGTGGTGGTGGTGCCTGGGGGGAAATATTTCTCGAGTTCTCTCAAGGTTGTTGCGTTTGCGCAACCAAGTGCGAAACGCGTCAACACACACGAGCAGATGGAATTTGGATGACTCACTTGGGATCTCAGTTTATATGTCGACTGCAGGTTCATTTGACAGCTAGGGCCGTCAAACGAACGCGCTGGTTATAAAAAGAGTGGTGATGGTTGGGGGTTGGGGAGTTTCGACTCTGGGTAGGTCGAGGTCGAGGCAATGGAGGTTGGAGATGGAGTTGGGAGTTGGACGGAGGACTGAGGTTCAGTCCGGGGCGAGGTATTTTCGTTTTGGCGGCGGTGGCCGTGATGGGTGATGGGTGATGGGTGATGGGTGATTGGGGTCGGGATGTAAACAGGCCGGGCCTGAGGATAAAAGGAGCAGAAAAGAAAAAGGTTCGGGCGGTCTCAGCTTATGAGAGATGATATGATATGGCTCTGGCTTGACTGTGCCCTTTTTCCCTTTAGTTACCTAGGTTGAAGGGGGATGACGAGTCAGGACGACGCAGTGGGTCGGCGAACAAGATTGGCGCGCCTTGACGGGCAATGCAAAAGCAAAGCAAAGCAAAGCAAAGCATACAGTAAGAAAGTATTGGTGGGGCCCTGGATACCGGGGCGTTAAAGGGCGGCGCACCTACGTATGCTTGAGTAGTAGTAGTAAAACAATTAACTCAGTTATGGTTAAAGGCGTCCAGGACTCCAAGGCAGAACCACCACATTAGGGGACTACAGGAAACAATAGGGATGGAACAAAGTGGTCAGCTGGATGCGCAGAGCGAGCAGAAGCCGGAGGCCGCCGACCAAAAGAGCGCAAATCGACCCTGGATCTGTCAGCAGCGGCCAGCCATCGCGCATCACGGACGAGAATCTTGCGGAGCGGAGCGGCGGTTCAAGCTTTTCCACCAAGCGAACCCAGTAGTGGCGCCCCAGTTGAATTCCAGTTACGAGTCCCCTCCAGTTACCATTACGCGGTGATCCAGTCAACTCCAGCGCCTTAAGCCCCCCCCCAATAAACCCAATAACCCAAATTCCCGACCTTGGCCAACTCCCAACGCCGAGTCCGAAGGTCCGGATGCCGGAACGGCCGCCGGGGATAAGGGGGACGGGAACGGAGAAATGCCTGCGGCGACGTACGGGGGTTTGGGTTGTCCCGGCTTATTGTTATTATTGCTCGAGGATTAATCATTGCAAGCAGAATATATATATCTTCACCAAAGTATTCGGCACCATAATAAATAACCAAGGAAAATGCCAACCTTTTTCTTTTTTGATTCATTATTAAGGGGGAATTTATTTATTCGTTCCAAGGAGCTAGCTACCTTCACTTCACCAAGCGTGAGCCACTGGGCCGCCACATGTTTTTCCAAGCCGGGACAAAGGACAAAGGTACTCCAGTACCAGGGAGTACGAGTACGTACCTGTCTTCTTCTTAGTAATCATCATCCCACATGGGAATTCCCTGCCCATCTTCCGCCTTCCAGAACAATCCACCGAGACAAGCGAGAAACAAAAGCCAACGCCCGCCGCATCTGATCTGATAAACTACGAGTACTCCCCCCCCCCTGACTACGGAGCATTAAAATGTATTTTTAAATAAGATTCGCCGCCGTTTCGTCCAATTATGGTATTTCGTAATTTTATTGAGAAATGCGAAGGCGAGAGGAGGGTACATATTCTGTTTCGTCCAGGGTTAGTAAAAATAACAACTTGGGATAAAGTGATGCACTTGGCGCATCATCGCATCCCTTTATCGCACGTGTCGAGGAAAGTGTACTGAAACTGCCCCCTGACGGAAGTTAAAACGCACCTTGGGTTCATCTTTTGACCCTGCCGCTTTGGCTTGTATTTTTCTTAGCTACTTCAAAGGGGATGCGAATATTTAGAGCGTTCTCAGAAAAGTGGGTTGCATTCGGGTGGACTGATAATAGTCAACAAATATCTAGTTATCTGATAATAAGTATGGCAAATTCAGTTGTACTCGTATTTTAACTAACTGGCCAGCTTCCCTCTGATCCAGCTGTTTTTGATGCGCATGTAGTGCTACTACTCTGTGAAAAGGGGAGAGTAGGTAAGATCCCGGGAGCTTATACATATGCCCAATTCGTCCCACCGCTTATCCACGTGTTTTATCTCATACAAATTGGAAGGCAAAAAACAAAGGAATATCAAGGCGGGAACAGGGCAGCCATATCTTCGTCGCTTGCTAATGGAGTGACGAGAATAACAAGGTCATACAGGGCTTTTGGTGTTATCTTTTGAGTTGGTCCCCATCCAGCGTTCTTGAGTTTATCACTAACGGTCTCGTTCGTCAGAGACTAAAAAGAGGATTGTAGCTCCCAATTTCCCAAAGTGGGAAGAGCCTGGAACTGGGCCGGCTTGAGCCATAGGGCCCCTGATGTAAGCAGAGCCTGGGACCGGGCGGTCTAAAACCGGCGTGGGTGGGTAGCCTGGTTGCTGGGCTATCTAGTAATCGAGTTGTTGCGATTCGTTTTAATTGATCCCGTCACTGACGCTATCCACTGTAGGTTTTCATATCTCGTTGGCAAGCTCTTGTTCACGGCATGAGTACTGTCTTGTAATAAAGCTTTGGCAACATAGTCGCGGAGCTAGCTTTGATTATCATAGTCTTCGAATTTAATCATCGGGATCCGGCCTGCTCTTTCCGAGCCTCCAATAGGCAGGATTGGGACTTTCGAAGCAGGACTGGATGGCTTCCTTGACTCCCGGGGGTTGATCCAAGAGCCATTTCCAGTCCATCATCTGTCGCCATGAGGTTTGAATGTAGTTCGGCCATGGTTTGACGATGGCCTCCCCGCGCATTACACCATCTCCAACTCCCAAAGCAGATTGAAGTCGAAAGAGCAAAAAAGACAAGCTGGTACGGTAGAGAGAAACCTGGATACAGGCATAGTATACAGTCGGGTTTGGCTTAGCGCAGACCTTCCTGGGTCTTGCATCTGAGATGAGCCCATCGCGTTGTATTCTTTGATCCTGTCATTCCTATGTCGATACATATCCGCTCTTCCACTCACCGCAATAGCGCCAATTCTAGGAACAGATTGGCGTCCGAAGGGCATAGAAGCCAAGCTAGTACGGTATAGGGAAACTTGGATCCAGGCATAGTATATAGTCGGGTTTGACTACCCGCAGCACTTCCAGATCACTCATCTGCGATGAGCCCATCGCGCTGGACTCTTCGACTGCGTCATTCCCATATCGATACATATCCGCTCTCATAAAACTCCCACCGGCTACCCAGCACTGTCCAGATCACTCATCTAATATGAACCGATCGCGTTGTATTCTTCGATCCCGTCATCCCAATGTCAAGGCACATCCGCTTGTCATAAAACTCTTTCTCGATAGTTATCCGTTTCTCGATGGTTACCGTTCCCGCTGGTTCCGGTCATGGAACATAGTCGATCCCATGACCGCAGCAAAAACCTTCAGACGTGTCTCCTCTGTAGTATGAACAAGCGGAGCTTCCTTCCCAGCCGACTCAGCTCCGCGGAGCCTGTTGCGTGAAATAGCTCTTTTCCGCTCCGTGAAAGCGTGGTTCCTCTTTTCTCTTCATTGCGCCGATAACTGCAGAGCCAGCATCTTCAATCCAGCCATGCTGTGGTAGGAAGCTTGTCATCCTGCCACTGAGCCTATCTACCAATAACTCTGGGGTCGAAAAAGGTTGTAAATCCAGAGCCAACTAACGCGCTATGTAATGCCTCTTGTGAGACGTCAGACTGATTCTGCTTGGGCTGTGGCCTATTGCTACTGTTAGCAGTTATCAGCACGATCAGTAGATGGATTGTCAGCGCAAAATTAATAGCATTTGTCTCCAGAGTACTAAGTCTTCCGCCTCGTTCACTTGTCGGATGCTTCAAACGCCCTGTGTTTAGCCGCGGTACAGTAATCGGCTTTAGCAGCATCGTCTTCCCTGGGCCACAAGAGCGCTTCCTCGTCAAGATACTTTGGTACCAAAAGAGCGATACTTGTCTTGCAACGCGGCGTAGTTGCCGGTTGTAGGGAATGCATAAGGGCCCTCAATATATTACCGCGAAGAGTGGGCGAGTCTAAGGGTGTTCCGACGGGGACCAGTGCCGGCATCGTATACCATATATCTCCCCTGGGGTCCTTGGGCCTGCCGTGTCTAGATTTGGAAAAATACAAGCAGTTCCCAGATGGCCAAAACCTCGGCAGAATGCGCCATCACTCCCTTCCCCCCCAGCGAACGGTTCACTCTGATCCAGAACGGGCGAAGGTCAGCCAGTTTGGGAAACATAATGCATCCCGCACAAACAGCAATGATGCCCACAGGAGGTTCCCCCGAGGAAGAACAAGCCACTCCACCAAATACTCGTATAGCCTTTCGACTGTGTCAACAGGGACCATGTCTGCTTCTGCATCTTGGGAACCTGATCTAACTGTGTAGCCTCTCAAGAGTTGCCGGAGGTGTTTAAAATATTCCTTTGGTTCAACTATGCTCTGGTAATAGAGCTCGACTTGGCAGCCGAGATTCACTTGCAGTATGAGTACTGGCGAGCATTGGCATCATGCGGGGTGCCGAACTAGTCGATAATAAGTTTTGCTTCGTCAAAGGGGTAATCAGAATAGATGTGTATGGCTGTCATATGGGTGTGCGGCGACGACCATGTAGCCGCTCGCTCGAAGGTGGTCCGCCAAACCTTTGACGATGGTTGCTCTGGCACCCGGATGTGCGTCCTCCAACCTGTCGGCCATGTCAAGTGCGGACTTGGTGGCTAAGCTGACGTGCCCCTTGTGCTGGGTGAGGATCGAATCGATCTGTTCGCTAATACCTGTACCGTACCGGGCGGACGGAGCTGTTCCCCTAATTGGAGCAGGAAATTGCTTACGGATATGATAATCGTCCTTAATGGTTATAGCCAGTGTATCAAGATTGACTACATATATAGCGAGTTTAAGTCGGTGATAGGTAGCGAGGCGATTAGAGTATTCGAGATTATGATTATATTTATTTTGCTGAGTGGTGTTTTTAACAGGTATAGTGTTGAAACTGAACGACGCTACACAACCTGACGAGCCAGAGCAGAGACCTAGCTGTGCAGGGTAGTAGGATATTGGCGGTGATGAAACGTGTAGACATCGGGTGTCCCCGCTCTACATCGCGTTGGAACTGGGCATGCTGATAATTTCAATGAACGGCGCTCGTCTCGGGGTCGGGAGGTGTTGATGTTTAAACATTGCCGCACACTCGATACCGCGACGACCTGGAGAGCGCAGAGAGATTCATCAGTGGCAGTGGCTGGTAGATCTGCATGTCTTGCAGAGCTTTTGTAGGGAGTTGTCCATTGAGTGCTTTCCTGTCCTGCATTTCTTACATCCTGGGCAATCCTATTTCATGTGGTCTATCTGCTCGTAGTTTCGGTACGTAACTTGTGCCAATGGATGCGACATCTGGTTTGGACCTCTTCAGTTGCCAGATAAAAGGATTCATTCGATTTGACGGACTTGCCCCTGACTTTTCCACCTCGAGGAGGTCATATTGTTGTATTGGCACATGACGTGGTCAAAACATTTCGTGTGTAAACCGGTGTATGCGTTGTTGGCCATTCCCATTCCTTCAATTCCTAGCTCAATGTCTGGAACGCCTGGTTCTTCAAATGGATGTGCCATCTCCCCTTTACATCGGTGCTTCATCGCATGATAACCCCTGGGGGTCATCCTCGTTGAAGGGAGGCTGGAAGTACTGTACAATATCGGCCAATAAAAGTCACACCCTGGGTAATTTGCTCGGGCTGTGCGCGATCAATAGTATCGTCTTCACCAACTACGGTTCGTAGTTGCTGACCTTGCCATAACCTGTAGCTTCTTCGGCGCCTCGAGTACCAACTCCATTGCACTCTGAAGTACTACCCAATGTGCTGCTTTATTCGTAGGCATGTCTTTATATGTTGTAAAATCATGAGCGCGAAATCAAGGCGATGGACCTTGAAAGGGCATAATATCTTCTTTTGGATCCTTCCACTTCCCTTTCAACATGCCTACTCCGACGCCCCGTCGGCGTCGATTTCGATAGGCGATATGTGGCGAATGTTGGGGGTTATCGTCTCACGGCCCCAGTATGACACTAGTGGTATGTTTAAGCTTTTGTAAGTCATCTATGATACTAGGTTTCACTTATTTCGCTCGTCATCCTCCGAGCCGTAGTTACTGGGCATCCAATTTAGATAACGTATCCCAATGACCGCAATATACGATGTGTAGGAGGAAATCGCTGTGTTCTGGCTTGGATCCTGACTTAGAGGCGGTCAGCCATTATCCAGCACATGTTAGCTTCGAGGCACTGCCATGTCAGAACAGAGCTGCGATCTCGTATTTAACCCAAGACTGGACTTGGGAGTATCTTTTTGGATTTGGGGAGTTTCAGTCCTTCGCCAAACTCTTAAGCTCTCTTTAAGGGTAGGTTGCTCGGTGTATCCGGGATACGCTCCATGGACCCAATCTGGGGGCCGCGCTTCAGCCAACGAAAGAGTATTTCAGTTGCTGACTCCTGATATTGTACGTCTAGCAATGTGTCCCAAATACACCTAGCACTGACACGAATCTGTGATATATAGGCGATGTTTTTGAGTCGCAAAATCATTGGCCGCGGCCAGGAAACTAACTTGATCTCGAATTCCGTTCTTCGTATCTTCCCTTTCGAGGCACCAGATGAGGTTTGGTGTCTTGTTTCCACTATGAGTCTCTTCTGCACGGACCTCGGCTCAGTATATCCCGTCAAAAGCAGCTTGCCATCAGTGCTACCTTTGAAATGTGATAAAGTTTGAGGAATTTGGGCGTCTTTGGTGGCCGTACAAGTTACACCACAGAAATCAACATTGGGGTTTACTTTCGGGGTTCCAGCTGCTTGTTCGGTATGTTTCCCACGACTTTGATGTCGATACTGGCCTTGGTAGGGGCAGTTGTTTTCTGATGTTTCCTTCAAGCAGATATCTGCGGTTTGCAGTATTGGGTTCGTGTCCGTGCAATTTCTTGAACGCTATCCAACACGGTATAGAGGCCCGGTATGACACGATAGGTAATATACTGCCCGGTCGCCAGAACATGCTATACTTTCTCGGTCAATGAGTACTCATCCTCGCAGAGTTCGCTGATGTCATCATCCTGGCTAGACCCCGGGTGCTTCTCACCGGCCATCGCTAATAGGAACTTTGACGACATCCTGTGTAGGACATCTGATCATAGGATAGGTCAATCCAGAGTAGATAAGGGTACTGTTCTGTAGTCTGACCTAGACGGTTGATGCGACCGATACATTGAATGAAGTTGCCCAATGTTTACCGGATCTCCATGCAGATTAGACGATAGCAGCTGATATGCAGGTTCAGGGACTGCGATCCCAGCTTTGTGTTGATCAACAGGACCCTTGACTTGTCTAGCGGGTCGTTGAACCGTCTCACTATATTGGACCTCTCCATCTGGGTATCTGAGAAATATGATCGGTCCGAATCTCTAGAGTCGGAGGTGGACGAGTAAGGCCACGAAGAGCTACCTCTAGGTTGGCGGAATTAACCGGATCACTCTTGCCACTTCGGGCACCACGAAGTCCGGTATAATAAGGGTGAGGTGGGAACTTGATATTTCGTTCGACCCCTCTAGCACCAACACGAAGCTGCGTAGGCAGGGCAGCCGCTTGGAACTGGTCTAGATCGGGATGAGGGACTGGAGTACAGGACCCGGAGGTCAGGGCTGGTGTTCCTTCGTTACATATATCGTCCTTCTTCGTATATTTAACTCGTGCGAACCTGCGAACCGAATATTCTCCTGAAGTGACGGACTCTATTGACGGACGGGGACCCGAGGCCGAGGCGTGCGAGCTACTCCGAGCACGAGCAACACCTCCTAACAACTCACCACCAGGGCGGTGCGAAGGCGATCTGACAGACTGCTGAGGGTTGACAATTCCACGGGTAACTCGTCGTTGGATCGACACCATATCCGGGGGCCTGGCTTCGTATAGACTACCCGAGGGGGATCTGCCAGTCTGAGGGGCAGGTGCTTGGCCACCTATTCCACGTGTCACCGGGCGAGTAGGCGGAAGGACCCCCTGGCTGCCGGCGTGCCCGCCACCGGAAGTAGAGATCGCAGTGCTGCCACGGGTAGTCTGACGAACTACATTCGGGGTACGAGGAGCAACAGCCGAAATAGCGCCAGCACCCGGGCCTGTAGTAGCACCTGGCTGGCCAACTACCACGAGATGAGAAAGTAGGGGAGGATTCAACGGCCTGGCCCCGCATCGGTATTAATCGCCGGCCTATTGACAAGATGTACAGCCGGTAAGGATACGCTTGCTATCTTTATCGAGATAGGGAAAGACAATACAGTCGACAAATTCGGTCTTTTTACCGCTATTGAAGCGGTAGCACCCTGCTGCTGGGACTCCCCTAGTATGGGGCGTAACGGCTATGGCCTTGCGTCGCTCGCGCTACACGATAGTACCGTCTTCATAAGAAGCGAAGGAGGCACGTACAGCTTCACCGGGGTAATTTGCCGATCCCGGTGAGTGCAGAAGCTGGCCGAGGGGAACGGTGTGTTGGAAGGCGAGAAGCAAGTCTGTTTTGCTTGGTGCTCCTATCCCGTGGTATAGGTAGCCAAGCCACGGATGTACGGGTAAGGGCAGACGTGACTTGACCTGGCTTAGCAAAGCCGAATTAAGTTGTAGGGGATGGCGGAAGATAAGGAAGGCTACCTAGTAATAGGATTAGCTACAGAGAAGCTCAAGGGAGAAGGTCAAGTGATTTTACCTCGTTTTATTACTTTGTTATTTCCTTGTTTTGTGTATATTATAGAGAACAGAGCGAGAGCTTGGAGAAATCGACCTAGGGCTGATTGGCCGCTTTGACTTACTAAGCTTCGGATGCTAATGACCTCAAATCTGAGGTTCTTCAACTGGGCCTCCACAATCCTGTATACGCATATATTAGCAATATTCGTACAGAAGGTCTTATAGTACTAGTACAGCAAGATCCAGCTAGGCTTGCTGTACCGGTACGACAGGAGTGAGTTGGTATAGCGTACTTACTATTGTGTTATAGGAAACTTGAATATTAGAACGAGCTTGTCGTCTTCCATAGCCTACAAGTCCCCCGCTGGCCACCAAGGTCCACCTTCGTGGCCATGGAGATGCGTAGCACCCAGGCCCGGAAGATAGGCGGGAGTATCTGCTATGACCTCGGGTGCCCAACCCCGGCTGTTCCCAACACGTTCGCTTCATCATATCGTTCCTTGCCCTCTATATTCAACGCCATATGTAGGGAAAAGATCATACCGATACGGACTTCTCTACTCGTACTTTTGTAAATAGTGTAATAAGCGACCGAGTTGGGCGTCATGGGCTGCACCAAGGCGTCCAATTCCGCATGTTCAATGTGAGTCCCTGCACGTCTCTGGCAGGCTTCGCACTCTTTATACAGAGAATGTATAACTCTTTACTGAGGGTCGAGGATCCAGGTATAGTGTGGGAGTACCCGGAGAAACTCTCGGTTCCATTCCGCATCCTCAAATGCATCGGGAACCATGTTGATGTACTCGATTTCGAGGTCATCGTCATTAACAGTCTTCACCGTGCTCCGGATGGGTCAAAGTTTGGCTTGTAGCACTCCATGTACCTGCTCGTGAGCCCTGATAGCTGCCACTGCGGGTTCCAGATGAGTGACAGGAGACCCCTGAAATCCTTAGCATGGTTGAGGATCGGCGTAGCAGTGAGGAAATGCGAGTAGACCCGGTTCGTCTGACGGATAGCCTCAGATACTTTGGTTCGGGGGTTGCGCAGGTAGTACGCCTTATCACATATCACACGCTCAAATCTTAACCGGATTTTTGATGAGTATACTCTGCCGCCCACGATATCGTCGCTATTATCATCCTTCGTGGCATATTGACGGACAGTATCGTTTTCGTAAGCAGTATCAATCGTCCGGTAGAACCGTGTTTTGTAACTTGATATAACCATGGTCCAAACAGTCTATAATACGTCATTAATACTGCTCTTATCGCACCGGTACGACAGCTTACCTTGGGATCGGCCAGATCCAGCTTGTCCAGGAAGGCGGTCAACTCCTCCGCGCTTGGGTCGATGAGAAACGTCGCCCGGGACGAATCAACGGTGTGACTAGTGTCGTAAAACTGGTACATGGATAGGCAATCTGGGTAGAACTTTTGCATGTCGGCATACCACACGTCGATCGACTGGGTCGGGGTGATAATTAGGGTCGGCCGGTATGGTGTGGGGTTGTCCAGTCCTTTATTTGATGTCTCCTTCGCACCAGCGGCTGCGACTACAAGGCCCAGGGCAGTGACTGTCTTGCCAGTTCCGCAGTCCGAGGCGAGGATGCTTGCTCTAATAACAGAGAGTTCTTGCATAAGCATCCAGACTATACCTGTGATCGGTTTGTATATTAGCGGGCTGTGTAGGATTATAGGTTGTTATTGTACCGGTACAGTAAGCCCCTACTGTACCGGTACAATAAGAGGTACTACTTACTTCCTGGTTGCCAAAACATAAATCTCTTGGCTTCTCCATCTCCCTGGGCGGAACCGGGTATTGTGAGGTCGTCTGGATCGAGGCCCAGCACTTCGCATGCCTTGGCGAATTCTGGGAGGGCTGCGGAGCTTGCCGTCATCGCCTTCTTGATACCAAGTAGGGCTATCTTGACCTTTGCTTCGACTGTGTCATCAGCTCATGTCTCCTCCAGCACTTCCCATGTAGCTCCTATCTGCACCGCCACAAGGATGTCGCTGTCGATGACCGCCAAATCGTCCCCCACGAACTCATTCCTCGTGCGCTCAACATCGGCCGGGCCCCATGCCACCTTGACATTCTGTAGTTGCGACCCGCAAAATGCCTTCAGGGCTGCGTGTAAGAGCTTTGGGCGTTGAGAGGCTAAAGCCTATCCCAGTTGCCCCATGGTTATATTTAGTAAACCTAATGATATCGCCGTTCCGTGATGTCGGGGTATTGAGCTTATATAATCGGCATAGCTATCGCGAAGTCAAGCTCGGTCGCCCTGAAGCTCGCGACATCGGCGTTTACCTGGAAAGGCGTCCGCAGTTGGATCATAGGGATCTGGACTCAATGTGGTGGCTAGTCCTTATGTGCCGCGATGACCACCAGCAAACGCTGGGGCGCGCCGGCCCAGGGAGTGATAGCGTATGTGGCTCGGGCCGTTTCTGTGGCTCGGGCCGTTTCTGTGGCTCCGGCCTTTGCTGCGGTCCCAGGCCAGGGACTCGAGCATGTGGCCCTGGCATTTCCTGGGGCTCTCACCCGGGCTTCTTGCTACCTGGCCCTCCAGATGCCGGCCCTGTCCCATTATACGGCCTTTTACGAGGGGGCGCTCTCCCTTCAGACCAGGCGTGTGCTGAGGGTGAGCTGAGAGCTTCGCCTTACTCCTGGTTGTCGTCTGGCTTTGCTTCCGGCCAGATATCCTGCTCGGCGCAGTCCAGCCAGTACTGGAGGTTTTTGGGCGGGCCGGGCAAAGCTGGATAAGCGACGTGAAATTCCCACAAGGGGATTGGCGCATGGCGAAAGTTGTGGACGATTGCACTTGGTATGCTAGGGGGGTAGACGGTTGTGTTATCCGCGAGAATCGCCTGTACAGCTGCTTCAACGTGGGTAAACATTTTCTGTCTACCTTCGACGCTAGCTTGCTCAGAGGCCTGAGAGTAGGTCAGACGAGGCATACTGAAATGTCCAGGTTGATTAGAGGTATTATTGTCGTTAAGCCCTTGGGAGTGTATTAGTTAAAGACTGTCAAGCTGTATCAGGCTGACCTATGATATATTGTGCCGCTAATAAACATTTAGCATTCGTGGGTATAAAATGGCAATATAGGCATATAACTTACCTGACCCCGTCATACCAACATCGATCAAAATCGAGGCCTTCAACTCTACGGCCATTGGGCCATGTGATAATTTGATAGCGCGTCAATATAGACATAAGAGGATAGAAGGACACTTGCACATGTTTACGGCTTTGTAAAGTGTGCTGCCTAAATAAGGGAATTGGAGTAAGGTCTGTATTTTGCGAGCCAATACAAGAAATGGCAACCAAGTCGGCAATTATTTCTTTAATTTCTCAAAGAGGACGGCAAGCACCGGTGAGGCGGCATCGAAATAGTACTCGCGCATAAAAAGCTGTTTGAGCAGGACTTCTCGGGCCCATTTCGGGAGGGAGATTATACATTCCAATTCTGTAACTCTGGTCGTTTCTCAGCAGAGTATGGGCTCTCCAAGCAAGTGGTGATTGACGAATTAGCTGGGCAACCAGGGAGTGTGTCATTTGCGGCATTTGCTGAATAGAACCTTCTGGGATCATAGAATGGAAGTGGTGTCAGTACATCAGCATCTCCATTCTCAGGCATTCGGCTACCTCCTCATTGTGCAGCACAGTTTGAAGTATGTCCTCCCTGGTGATTTTCTTTGTATTCTCCCTCAATTCCTGCCCAAGTGACTCCAGGTTTTCCTCAATAGTACCCAATAGTTCTGGTACATGGTTATATTTGAGTTCGCCGAGGTAACCAGCTCTCCTAGCTGCACAGATTTGTTGGTTTGGAGCCCAGACATTTTGCATTGTTTCAAGGAGCCATGCTTTCTCTAGGGATTCGTCGTCCTTGCATAGGTGGTAGATGAAGATTATCGTTCCTTCAGTCTCTTCTCTTGTCTCCATTGAAATTCTCACTAGATCTCCAAGGTCATCTATGCATTCATCGCATAAGTCATTTGCAGGGCTCGCCACTTCTGTCTCAATATACCTCAGGATATCTTTGACGTAATCCCATGTGTCAGAGTCAAGTTCCTTTCCACTTCTGATAAGCTTGCGGAACTGATCATTTTGCAACCGCAGGGCTTTTCTTCAGACTCTGCTTGTGGAGCTGGCGCAATAACTGGAACAACAGGTGGGCTAATTGCCACTGGATTTGGCACAACGACAGGGGCAACAGCAGCAGTTTCCTGCTCAACTGCTGGCTGTGCAACAGGTATTTTAATTTGGGCAAATTCCAGCAAGGCCGAGTCTTGTAGAATAGAACGTCGCGCTGAGCTTGGGACAGCCTCGATGAGTGGGGAAAGATACGTTGCCCCAAGGCGATGTCTGGGGCATCAGCAACCTCCTTGAGCCGGAATCGCTTAGGGCAGGATTTAAGGACTTATCGATGGGGCCCACCCTTGGGAAGGAGGACGAGGATTCCACGGCCAAAGAGCGCTACCAACGCATGAATAGATTGTGTTTCCTGCAACATATTTCTGAGCTGTGATGTCTTCATCTCCAGCTATTCCGAGAGATACTCGTGGACGATAGTGGCAACGCCACGGCCAGTAGCCAATACCTTTCTAGTCGATTCTAAAAACCGCTGGAGAGCGTTCCGGCTCTTCTTGTACGCCTGGACTCTCATCTGTAATAGCTCCTGATACGAGGAGTACAAGTTGACTGCAACTACACTCTTCCGATTGTCCGAATAAATACTCGAAGTATGATATATTGACCGGGAGAATGTGGCCAGAGTAGCGAAGAAGCGCCGAAGCTGGGCTGGTTGCTTTTCGTTCTGGGTGGAAATAGTAGCACGCTCGCCAAAGCGGCTATCAACGGTACTAATAGTGTTGTTATTGACGTATTGAATTAGCGCTATAGCACGTTGCCTGGCACGTAGCCCAAAAGTGTCTCGAATGAATAGCTGGATCGCTGCTTCGACGTCAGCTGGCGAAAGCTCGATTCTGCTGGGGACGTTTAACCTAGTGACCAGTATAGCAACTGTGGCGAGCGTTGCGCGGACTTCTGTAATAATCTTTTTGAGGGCGACAATAGAGGTGTCCGGCCCAATAGGGTAGAGTGCTTTGGAAAGTTAGCAATGGAGTTTCTGATTTCCTCGATATGGATATATATACACCACCGATCGTACCGACTATTTGTGGCTACTTCGTGATAGCGAAAACATCGTCGTCAGCCCCGACCTTATTGTTGCTATCGGGAAGCGGAGTCTTGGACCTGCTCATTATCGACTCTTGGAACGAAGTCTTCGTCCTGCTCATTGTCGCTGCCAGCTGGAACGATATCCGTGTCCTCTTTCCCATCTATATCGGCGGAATAAAAATGACCTTTGGTGAAGTTGGGTTGAGGAGGGGGGGATCGAGTTACCATGGAATCCATTATCTGCATGTAGGACATTATATTGTCCATTTTCGCCGCCGGGGTATCATCAGCCGGAACAAGCAACGGCGAGGGCGTGGCTAAATCCATGCGAGCCTAGGGGAATCCTCCATGGATATAGGCCGGGTCCTGGCGATGACCGGGCGTAGATCCACTTCAACGACCCCATTCACATACTTATCCACATATACTGCACCAAGAAGATGCCCTAAGAAGATAAACCCGCCGCCTTGGCGAGGTCTCAAAATGACAGGTCGGCTGCATCCAAGAAGAATACGGATTATATCATCTTTCTCCACCGTCTTCAAACAACGCCCTTTGGGAGTAGTTCCGACGCGTTGTTACAAACTCTTATGACAGCTTGGGTTGTATATGATGAAGTATTGCATAGCCTTTCCATTTTCAATAGACACACGATATCGCATATATCTGCTTGACTGTTTTAGGTGCATCCGCTTGTACATGCCCAACGTATTTCCTTCCTCGTTTTCTAGCTTATATTGTCCAGCAAATTGTTTTAGAGTGAATGTGATGAGGTCGGGAATGTATATATTCCGGAAAGTGCCGGTGTAGTTGGATTTGAAGATGTTGCATATCTAGTAGGCTCTAGCCAACCTTGTAATCGTAGGTGCGGATGTCAATCGCGAAGCTTTTCTAGAGTGGTTCAAGCACCTTATCGAACAGACCCTAGCAGAGGCCGGCCGGCCATCCAAGGAGCATACTTGCTGATGATCAAGGCGATCTGCTCTAGCATTAAGGGTTGACATTGTGGGGTATCAAGCTAGAGGATCGCCGATCCCCAGGTTCAACGTGGTATGTGGGTTTGGTCCAAGGTAGGGGTGGGCGTTCTCCATGGGCTTCCTTGTGCGTTTCGCGAAAGTGGCTCATATTTGTATTGTTATGAAGGTTAGCATTAGAGCCTCCATCTAAGGTCCAGCTCTTAAGTATGAACTCGTGACTTGACTGACTTGACTGGCATGCCATATCCTTCCTTGACAATAACGCAATGTAGCATGGGATTTTAGAGTAAAGCTGTAGGTGGGCTCCGAAGGAGGGCAGCCATTGTTGCGCAAAACTCGAGGGCTGTGGTCAGATATCAGTCGACTAACAATGCCGATTAACAGGATTGGTAATGAGGTGGTTGCGAATAAAACTTAAGACCCGTGAATTATTTCTAGCTGTCACACCCTGTATATTTTGCGGAAATGCCACTTCCCGGCGGGAGCTGGCACCTGGAAGCCAGCTTAACCAAGGATGACGTTGCAGAGTTTGTCTTTTTATTTTTCACGCCCAGAGAGAGAAATCGAGAGGGATTCAAGGTTTGCATTTCCATCTCATGGAGTATCCACTCGGCGTAGTTGTTTTCCCGTCCACTTCGGGCCAAGTGATTTTCCATCATATGCTACAGGTGTCTGATAAGGCTTCCAGCGTGTTGTTTTTGTTGTTAGATTGGAGTAATGGTAGTCTTTGTGGCCGTGATTTTTGTCACATGAGTTGGTTGGGTTGTTGGGTGAGGATTTCTCCTGGTGCCCCATATGCTGTTCTGGCCGATCCTGATTTCGGAGCGTGCAAAACCATCAACAACGGTTGTTAATATCGAACTTGGCATCATTGCAAGGTGTCTTGGTCTGGAATTCAGGATTCGTGAGGATTTCGCCCATCTCACTACACCTTGCGCAGTTTCTGTTAATCGATGTAGGGCCATCAACGGCATGCCGTTGATGAAAATCTTCCCAGAACTTGAAGGCTTCATCAAGGTCGTCCTGTGCTCGCAATAACTTGACCACTGAGAACCTTGGCGTATTAGAAGGTGACAGCGACAGTGATGGTTATGATAGTAGTTAGTATCATGGATTTCCTGCCTGTATTTAAAGAGATCTCGAAGACTCGAGGATTCTTGACCTTTGGCCACTCCGAAATGCTTATTAGGCTTCTGAGTAATATCCCGCCACATCATATTCAGCTTTCGCTGAATGAGCATAGTAGCCAAGGCTGTTGTAGTCTTGCCAACGCCCATGCTGTGTCCATGCAAGGCGATTCCTTCTATCCCGCTCTGTTGTAGCAGGGTGAACGCTACACTCAAGAGTTGTGCAGGCAGCAGCTTTCTTACCATCCCCTTGATAGTTACGCAGTATTCGTTGTGCATTGTTTAGGTACCGCTCGAACTCGACCTGCTCGATGCCTTGGTGTATTCAAATCGCTTTGGAACTCGAGGAAGGCGATCGTGAAAAGGAATGGCGTGCTGAATAGCGTGCAGATGGGTGTGTTGGGAACTTTCATAGTAGAGGATTCGATTGTATGGACGCCGAGGGGGGTATTCGGTTTGTCCTTCAAGTCCATTGTCCTCCGACAATCCGAATCAAACTGTCGTCTTCCACCTTATTCTTTGTTCATCCATCCGACAGGCCCCCATGTTAGATTGGGCATTCCACCCCCAAGATATAGCGACTTTGCATATTTCGAGCTATACACAAGCTAGTAACATGCCATATTAGCCCCGATGATAGGCTCCTACAGGAACAAAATATAATGACCCGGTGCCGCCGCAGGATCAGATTCTCCCAAAGGCCAAGATGCAACGGATTTTCTGTGGAAGCGCTTAGGGGTGGGGTAGATGATAAGGACGATTTGTTTGTTCGTAGCATGCGCCTCTGGAGCTCCGGCCGTTCCTTAATTATGAGATCGACTAGCTTACCCTCCCAGTAGGGAACGGCAGGCTTCCCGGTCTGCATGCATTGGAGCCAATGGTGTTTTTGGTTGCTCGTGATCTGGCCTATATAGCCACTGGGTAAAAGTGCCTGCTAACAACTACATAGCCTTGTACCACGCTCGAGTGGTTTGGTGTGCACAGCTGTTAATCGTCGACGACCTGCCATTTTGGTCATTGACAAAGCCGGCCAGTATCTTTAATTCTCCATCTTCTGAGTGTTGCCGAAGAGTGAAGAAATGCAGATGAATGTGCCAACCCATCGCATTTGATGACCCGACAGAGCCTTCGGCCGGACGCAATCCATTGTTAACATGAGGAAAGATACGGAATTAAGGCTCTCCAATGATATTGAGGGGGACCCGTTATGTATCTTTCCCAAGTGTTTCCCATGATTTTGAAAAATAGTTGGTCTTCGGATGTTAGGACCTAATGTGACCCTACCTTGAACTCTTTTCTGGTAGGTTGCCAATAAGCCCAAAGTACTGTCTGTAAAATCGGGTCAGTGTTTAGACACTTGGCTCATTTGCGGATCGGATCTCTGTAGGCCTGGTGCTGGCGAGGTACGCGGAAGCGCAGGTTGGACTCAAAAACCATGCGGAAATCACAAACACCTGCCTGGGTTATGGCGCTTTCAATGAGCCCGTACCAAAGCATGCCAATAGCCAAATCGCTCAGCTGCAAGCCGTGGTTATCATGGTCCCGGTGCATATCGACAACATGCAGGGTTCCGAGTATAAAGGCTGAGGTGTAGTAGATGATGGATATCTTTATATCGGGGCCATTTCCCATTTTAGACACCTACTGACTAGCATTCTCTCCTGACATCCATGATTGAGGGCAAACTGAAGCTTTTTTTGCGGCCGCATTTATGGAAGAGCCGCTCCGCATCCCGAGGGTAGCGGGTTCCCTACATTATAGGTAAGGACTCGTTTAGTCTATGCTCAGGGAGATTGCGCTTACTTTTTTGCTCCTTTGGCTCACTCACTAATTCACCGGCGGAGGGGTGCATGTTCCAGTCGCTTGCATCAGAGATGATCAGACACAGCGTCTGCATTAGCGGGAATAATTCGCTCTTTGGAAGGCGATGCCGATACTGTTCACCTCTTCCAGATCAACAAATCGCACCCAGGCCCGGATAGCTTCCTCAGTCTATGCCTTCCATGGCACCTGCATATGCTGCTCCAGATCGCTGCCTCCATCTCTGTTTCGATATCCTCTATGTATCGTAGTATGGGAGCCTGATTGTATTGTGTCCTACTTATAGTTTTGTGGAAGGTCTTTTTGCCCTGTTCAACTGAGCTTGGACGAATTGGCGTACCAGCGCCAGTGCACCTCGTAGGTCGCTTGCCACGTATCACCCTACCTCGTCGGTCCCTACCCACTTAGTCTTGTACTGCAATACATCCCAGCCCGAGACTATCAGTGCTTTCAAGCGCTGATTGGAATATGTGAATAGCATCAAACCATTGTGGAAGAAGAGGCCATTCAGTGGCTGAGGGGGGCCCATTCACTTGAATCTGCTGTAGAACATAAGCGGAATAAGCAAGACAAAGGTAGGTTGGATGAGTCAATGTTTCCCTAAGTGCAGGCGCCGAATCAGACTAGAAAGTGCTAGATGCCCAAAAGTAGATGCAGGAGTGAGGCTGCCTTTGGCCCCTGTTATGGCAAGCTCTCAGTTCCGGGAATACGCCACTCTCGGCGTATTCTAGCTAGTAACGGAGGTTCCGAGATGAGCCAGGCAATATGGGGCGGGTTAATGATATTCGCATTAACGCAATCCAAACTGGAGCATTTCTCGCCTCTTGAGCTTGTCAAAGGCACGAATGAATGCAGTTTGTGCATTATTAACCCGGTCGTGATCAACAAAGGACCGGAGCAGGAAATGCAAGCGTTCCTTCGATATTCTGGCTCCCAAATCATTGCTAGGCGGGGGACTCTAGTTTGCGATGTCAGTCCCTAATTTAGGACGGACTGTTTGGCTCCAATCTTCCTATCCCATATTCCTATGAATACAGATTGTAGAAGGACTCTGTCGCATGCCTTTGTAGGAAAGTCGACGTGGATATTACTACCCTTGATAATGCCCATTCCATCAAGCTCAACTTCTTGGATATCAGGCGTCGTAAGTATTTTTCTGCCATCATTGACTGCGCTGATTGGTGTCTCTCCTCAACTTCTCCAGCAACTAACCGTTGCCCAAATGCGTCCCAGTCAACGCACAGGATATGGGGGCGGATAACGAGTCCCCATTGCTTGAGCTCTTCAGGCGTAGCTTGGATGAGTTCTGGCTGAAGCTTTTCGCCCTTGGGGATGTTAAAAGTCCCATCTAAGCCCCTCCAACAATCATATATCGATAGCACATAAGAAAGGTAATAGCATCAAGAGGCAAGCGCTTGAAATCTGGAACCCCAGGAATCCGACGAGCTGGATTCTGAGCTAGTGGGGAAAAGCTAGAGATACGTTGTTGGCTTATGTGACTATACGGGCATTGGCGAAGTGTGTCGCCTACTTTATCAATCTGTTTTGGTGTGTCGTTTTTTGTCCGGACTCGAATTCGTCGATCTGGCAAGAATCGATATGCGGGTCGGCCATTTGTGGTGAACAAAAAGGTCAGACTAGTCAAAAGGAGCTATCTCGGACATGTGGAGAAGTGGATAGTTGAAGGCTAGACTCTAGCCTTGGTTCCCAAGGCCAATGTTGCCGTGTATCTCAAGGGATACGGCGGATGTGGAGCACAAAGAGCTATTGTGTAATTCCGGTATAACTCAACTTGGGCGACATGTGAAGATTCTGGTTTATGGTCATCGATGTTTTTCTTTTGTTTGTAAAGATGGTGTTGTACTGTGAAGATTTCTTTTTGGAAATGAGAATCGATTTCGACTTGCGACAATGGGTACCTAGTAGATATTCCCTGGTAGAGGAAGACTATTATGTAGGTCTTCCGCTCGTCATCCTCGGAGCCGTAATTATTCGTTATGCCGTTTTTAGCGCGTCTTACCATATCTTTAGCCACTTTTTTAAATCTTCCGTCTCGCGTAGGAAGCTCGTGGCCTATAGCGGTAGGGCGCTTTACCCCACGCTCTTCGTCATTATGATCATTATAAAATCTATTCATGCCTGCCGCCACCTTTCTCGAAATATTTGGTGGGGAGGTGGAGTGGCCGACTCTCTGGGTATTGCGCCATATATACCTCTAGTTGATTGCGTCCAACGGAGCAAGCCAGCAAACATAGGTATACAAAGGAAGGTCCGGATTTTGTTCCACCCGTGTTAATAGCGATTGGAATAGCGGAGAAGACTCGAATAATGCTACCAGACAGATCGACCCTCTCTATTCTGGGGAGGTGCAAGATAGTCGGGATGATGAAATTGTGGAGAATGTTGGACGCTCATGTTTTCTCGTAGTGCAACGGGATAGCGACAAAATCCTGGAGGCCACTGGCACCAGTTGTTTCCCACGCAGATTTGCCTGACTTTGGTCTAGTGACAATCCAATCTGGGCATGCAGCCTTGGGCAGGGCACCCAGTTGCCAGTGCTTTTGATATCGACGGATTCGGTATAGCTTCGCAGTTCTCCCAACTTGATAGCCTGAGAGGGTCGAGTCGAACGTTGTTTAATAAATCTGTTATTTCCATTTAGTAAACGGTAGCGGGTTGAAGACCATATTGTAAGCAGGCAAAGCAATCAACATACCAGTAACCAGATGAGCCAACATTGAGGATATGGATCCAAATATCAATATCAATATGCCAGGTACTAGAAGATGTGCCCTTTGCTATCAGGGGTGTCTCTCAAGGTTGCTGAATCTTGCTCTTGCCAGGTTATTATTTTGCGTTTCTGAGGTATACATGCTTCGAGGCACGTACGATGAAGGTCGAACCCCAAAGAATAATTGAGCTCCATTAACTGCAGCTCAATGATTTCTCGCAAATAGAGCTCATCTGAATCATTCTGGATATCAATGAATACAACAGGTGTTGAGGCGTATATAAGGATAAGGGGGTATGGACTGTATGATGAGAAACCCCAACTGATGTTGGATCAATACCTGGATGTTCCAGCAGTGAACCTGGACTTTCCAGGCAGCGGTATAATTACCTCCAGGGCGAGTTGTCGTAGTTCATAGTCTTTCCTGTGAAGGTGGCAGTACGGCCATCCTTAAGAGTAGCATATCCGATGGTAGCCATACGTGGCATGACGTCGATTGAAATGGCGGGATTAATTGAGGGGTTCCAGGCTCACAGCCGGTTTAAAGTATGAGGCAAACGAGTAAATCAAAATGTGTAACACCAAAAGTGCTCGTAGGCTGCAATATACCTAGGTAGGCGACGTGGTAACTCAACAATACTGGTACTACTCCGGGAATACTTCATGTTGGCCTCCGGGTACTTAATGACTTATGAAGCTCTGATCCGAACGCGGGAATCCGGTCAGGCAAAGCTGGGAGGATAGCAAACACAACCAAAGAATCATATCCCGCAACTAAATTGTTGTGGCGGGTGCAAGGTGCAGGACATTCGTTTGATGTTGCAATTGAGTTGAGCGTTTGAAGCTACCCATTGGCCCCTGAGAGTGTAAATTAATGTATTGCCTTAGAATTCAGGCGGCATGATCTTTCACTCTCGGCCGATTGTTTGCATCTTGCCTCAGGCTGGTACCCGTTAGGTAAGGCCAACACTAACAACCCCAACTCTGCACGGTGTCCGAGGAAAGGATTCTTGACTTTACAGCATTGAGCGGAGTACGGTACATTTGTATATACTCCCCGAGAACTTCGTATTAATATCGAGCACCATCAGACGGGATATCAGTGCAAACGGATATTTCCTGATTTTGAAAACTTAGACCCCTCGATACGGAGTTTGCGTTACGCAGATACCCGTCCATTCATTGACCATTGGGCGTCAAGTTTCTCAACCAAACCTCTCACGATGTCCACGGCCGTCTCAGCACCCGGGAAGGTGCTTTTGGCCGGCGGATACCTGGTTTTGGACCGTGAATACACCGGTTTAGTTTTTGGGCTCAGTGCGCGGATCCACGTCTTGGTCCACAATATCGACAGCAGCGCGGGGGAACAGCTTTCCGAGATCCGCGTAGAGAGTCCGCAGTTTCAAGATGCAGCATGGAATTATGGATATCGCTTGGCTGGGGAGCAGGGCGGTGTTGGTGTTACTCAGTTGGAAGAGTATGTGGCCGTTTTGTTTGCTTGTGAACTTGGAACTTGGTCGATTGCATCGGCTTCTCCCCCCTTTTCCTCTTTTCCCCCGTGTCACGTGCGGAGACCGTTTATGCGGATGAAGTCGTCCCTATCTTGCAACATTTTGTGCTATTTCTTATATTCTATGGCTTTCCAGTTGCCAAATGTTGTGCAGACTTCAATAGCGTTTCTTTCGGTCTACAGGAATTTCTATCAATCACTCGTAAAGGAATCAGCTTGTTCTTTATTTTAACCATTTGCCTCTTTCTGCATCGCGACCTCTTATTCTATACTAACAGGTTTATAGAGCCACCACACCAATATCCCGCAATCCCTTCGTTGAAACAGCCCTTCTCTACGGTCTAACCTACATATCCAAGGTCCTACCACCGTCAACCACCATCACACCAACCAGAATCACAATATTCGCCGACAACGACTACTACTCTCACTCACCCTCCTCCTCCTCCTCGACGGCCACTCCCACTACCACCACCAACCAAAAGTCCTTTAGCAACTTTGGCGTCCGGCTCCAAGACGCCCACAAAACCGGCCTTGGTTCCTCCGCCGCCCTGGTAACAGCCTTCACTGGTGCCCTCCTCTCACACTACCTCCCCTCCTCCACCTTCAGCCTCAACAGACCAGCCTGCCGTTCAATCCTTCACAACCTTTCTCAGGCCTCACACTGCGCGGCCCAAGGTAAAATCGGATCCGGCTTCGACGTCGCCGCCGCTGTATACGGGACATGTGTATACCGACGCTTCTCACCCAGCATCCTCTCAAGCCTCGGCGAACCAGGCACCGCCGGCTTTGCCACACGGGTGCAAGAAATCGTTGAAGACACCTCGTCCTCGGTAAAATGGGACACAACAATTTCTAAGGATGACGTGAGTATCCCCGCTGGCATGGCATTGGTAATGTGCGATGTAGACTGCGGATCGCAGACCGTGAGCATGGTTAAAAAAGTGCTCGAATGGCGATCTAAATCCCCAGAGGAATCGAAAGCCCTGTGGGATGAATTGCAGTTGTACAACGAAACTCTCGGCACTTCCCTGGCCTCGTCTTCAAACTCCGCCCTCCCTGCTGCGTTCGCCGCAATCCGTACGAGGATCCGCAAGATGGGTACAGAATCAGGCGTCCCTATCGAACCGGAAGAGCAGACGCTACTGCTGGATGCGGTTACCGCCGGCGTGGATGGTGTTGTTGGAGGTGTTGTTCCCGGTGCGGGCGGGTATGATGCGGTTGTCCTTCTAGTAAAGGATGACGAAGTAACGCTCGGGGCTCTTGACGTATTTTTGAAGAAATGGAAGGAGGAGGGTAAGGGGAATGTTAAGCTGTTGGGCGCCAGAGGGGAGTTGGAGGGTGCGAGGCTGGAGGATGTGGGAGAGTATGCCGGGGTGGCACTTTGAGTCAGGGGGAGGATACACAGCTAGAATCTAAAGAAACGTTATATTAACTTGTGCTGTGATGGTTAAGTGTAACTTAGCTCATTCCATGAATTCTACTTTCCTAAATCGGTTTCTTGCTTTAACTCTCTCTAACCCAAATGAATAGCAATTCCATGCTCTGCCGATTTACAAAAAAAAAGCCATCTCTTATTTTCTGGTATGAATGGATATCTTCAAGGCTGCTCAACAAAATCCCAGATCGTCAGTTGACGAGCAGCGGCCTATCTAATAATGTTATTATCTATTACCCGGTTAATTAGAAGCTCTGGGCCACCCCCAATTTCTTGAGGGCCTTTCAAAGAGTACAGGTATTTGATCGAAACGAATATTTCACGTCAGGGACTATAATGTCTGGTTGAAGGAGGTTATATTGTTAATACTACTCTATCTACAGCTCTGATGGACTATAGCTTTGCTTATTGAACTCCCCGCCTGTCCCCGCCTGCAACACCTTCAGAAGAAACGAACATTGTGACCACGAGGTGACTATTCGAGTTGCGCTAAAGAGTCTAACCCAGACCCCTCCCTCAAAATCCAAAACGCCAAAACTCTATGCCACCACGCTAAATTGCAATATCAGACCGGCATGTTCCAATTCATTCCCCTAAACCCATAAGCCGTAACCCACTTATGCTTTTGCCAAGTGATGTACTCCATTTAGCACTAAAATCCCCGCAATAATCTTATGCAGGGTAAGGGACGTCACTCGCCCATTCCAAGCTCCGCCAACTCCCTCTCCTTCGCCATCAACGCTTCCCTCATCTTCCCCGCTTCCTGTTTCAACATCTCCCTCCTCTCCGCCTTCGCCCTGTCATTCTCGCTCTGAGGATCGCGCGAACTGCTAGACCCGGTACTGGCCGGATTTGAAGCATAACTACTACCCATCCCAGGACCGCTAGGACTAGGATATCCACTTGGGCCCAGCCTATCTGATCTTCCACTTCCGCTAGGATCGGGATAATCTGAGCTGCCAGGGTTTAGAATCGATTTGATGGATGAGAGGCGTTTGGGTTGGGCGGTACTCGATTCGGTGTGAGAGGTACTCTGTATCTGCTGTGGATCCATTTCGGCGGCTGAGAAGGAACGCTTGCGAGAAGGTGAGAGGAATGAATTGGGGGATAGAGAGGAGCGGCCTTGAATGGGCGAGGGATAGGATGTCATAGGAGGAAGGCGATTGTCGTTATTTAGTGAGTCTAGATGGTCGTGTGTATGCCCTTGAAGATTCGATGTCGAGGTATATGCCCCCAGGTCTGGAGGCGGAAGCTGTACGTTCTGTCCGCGGATAGTGGATGTAGGTTGGGGGAGTTGAGTTCGTCCTTGTTCGGTGTGGAGCCGGAAGCCTAGATTGACCGAACCGTCTGGGTTCATGCTGCCCCGCATATCTGGACTTTCGGGAGAGGGTCGGTCAGATTCAGGGGAGCCCATGGCGGTGTCCGTAACATCGACTTCGGGTGCTTGGCCGCCTTGTGTTGCAGGCACGACACGTTTCCTGCGCTTAATCACCGATTTTTTCATTGTCACAGGGCGGTGGACACCATGTAGCTTGTAGTATAGACCTAGGGGATGTTAGCATTCGTAGATGTAGTTTCATCGCGACACAATTACATACCACAAGCATTACAAATGGTATGTCCACTTTCGTCCCTTCGCCAGAGGGGAGTAATGGTGGTTCCACAATTTTGGCAGGCTACAACCACAGTTGTGTTTTGAGATTGGATACTGAGGGAGGCGACGTCGATCGGCGAAGGTGCATCGGTAGGTTGGTCGCCTTGCTCAGACTGTGCTCGAGTGGCACTTTGGGAGACGGTGAAATGCGCGCTCTTCGAAACCCGGTTATTGAAGGCGGGGCATCCACTGCATCCCTGAGCCCCTCCAGTCCCATTGCATTTTCCGCCCCCAGGACATGATCCGACTGAGGTCTGATCCGCAGCTACATATGTAGCGCCGGTTGGAGGGTGACTTGCCCCAGATCTTGCAGGTGAGGCTCTTACTTCCGGGGAGCGTCGGGATGGAGAAGGGGCCATCACGGTCGGGGGTCGCTTTAGGTTCGTCGGTCTGGATGCATTTCTGGCTTTCAAGTACAGTCCACAGGCATTGCAGATGGTAGCTCCTTGCGGGGATCTTCTCCAGAGAGGCGTTCGGCTCGTTCCACAGTTGCTGTCAACGTCAGTGAGGTCCTGGCCATAGAAGGCATGTTATTACCTGCAGACCTGGCCGTTGGGAATGGCGTCCGATTGCGCGGAGCCGGTTGGCGTATATGCCTGGGATTGTTCTCGTAGATCTCTCTCCAAAGAACTTGATCTCGATACCGCTTGGTATGTTCGCTCCGTTGATGGGCTGGGTGGCTCTGGACTTTGGGAGGTATATGCTTGCGACGAGGCATTCTCTTTGTTGTTCTTGATTTGGTGGTGAGGGATAGTTCTCGTCCCTTGGGAATGACCGATCAGGTGCTGAGCCAGTTCAAGATCCTCTTTTGAGGGTTCCCTTGAAGGCAAAGAAGGTAGGGTCTGGAATCCATCCCTCCGCCCTTGGAGGGATTGGGACGTACTCTCGCTCATACCGTCCAGCTGCTGAGGACGCGGAAGTTGGTGAGGATGGTGATCCGACTCGAAGCCAGTCACTGGATGTTGGCGCAGCACACAGCACATCGGTAGGCGCCCAGTAGCTTTGCTCGGCAGGTGAGTGGTTTTGCTGCTCACCGATACTTCAGATACAACAGCACAACAAAAGCTCGTCGCCACGAACAACTCCTACGAGGATTGACATCGAGATTCAACATTCGAGATTCGAAGTCGACGCCCGCGCTTTGTCAGCCGAGTCATGGGGGGTCTGTGATTGGCTTATTGTCTAGGTCCCTTATGAATATGACAATTAAACTGCCTCTCATTGGCTGCCGGATTTGGCACCAAGGCTGAAATGCGTGAATACCTGAGGCTTAACACGTTAATGCCTTAATGTCTCACCGCAATTCTACTATTTATCTGTGATGCCTTATAACCTTAGGCTACCACCGCTCCTACACGTGATCAAGCCTTGCGCTATCTCAGATTTATCAGATTGTGGATAGATCTTATCCGATCTAGATCTACGGAGTCAATTCCGGTACCGGGGCTGCTTACTCTTGGCTTCAGCCACACGATTGCTAAGGGTCTCTCACACAATCACTACTCCGTAGAATGTTGCTTTTCTGGTGATCCGTCGTCATAAACTATAGGTACCTAGGTAGGTATGCCAAGGGTGGCTATTTGCTCGTGCTCGTACTGTCAGTGTATTCCAGCGGGGTTTCAAAGCATCCACTACCAAGCCTACCAAAATCCTGGGCTGGGCACTTCTTAAGTTCTTATAATGGCATTGTTGAAAATCTGCTAGAAACTACCATAACACGACCGTGGCATTCTTCAAGACTGGAAAAATTACAGGAGTGCGTTTTCCACTTCTGTTAAATGTTTGTCATTATTCAAGCGATTGCTAGTGTCATTAATTAGGCATTCGTCTTTGTTCTCAACGAGATTTTCGGGAGCTGTATTCGGGACCGGCGTCCACCGCCGTAGGTATTATGGGCCTCTGATATAAAAACACCCTAAGTTTTACACAGCCTAGAACCTCTAAATTGTAGGAAAATAGACCTACCGTCTCGAATTTGCTCTGCCTCTTTAGGCTCTCAACTCTGCCGTACCTCCTAGGTAGGTAGGTATTTAGGGACGTGGATAATCCAAGGCAACCTTGCTGTTATTTGCCATGATGACTGGTTTGCTGGTTATTGGAGAAGAATTGGAGTTGACCCAAATTCCAGGATTTCAGATTGAGATGTCAACAGCAAAGAAAGCTCTATAAGATACCGCGGATATAGGTATCCTAAGAATACACCTTGTGTTATGCCAAGATAGTTCCGAATTGGCGAGCTCTGCCCGAGCCCAAATGTTCGGCCCGCAACATACCAGGTAATATCGTTTTTATTATTTATATTCCCCGGTGGTTTAGTCGCAGTCATCTTCCTTTCGAACGACCAGAAGGCTGACGATGCAGTGAGATTTGGATTGTCATTGATATTTGGCGGGTGATCAGAACTCGGGACTAGGCATCCAGACTTACAGGTAGTCCAGGGACCTTAGGTATTCACGTGTGGTACCTAGGTAGGCTAAGTTTCTTACGATGTGCGGAGCGTTGTAATCATGTCTCGTACTCTTTAAAGCAAAGCAAAGGTTCGTAATCTTAGCTGGACAAGGAATTGACGCCATCGATATACTCGAGTAGTGGACGCACCTCCTTGATATCCGTTCAGGCTACGGAGCCTAAAGTGTTCAATTCTGGGTTGGTTTCCTTCTTTTCACCACCACCAAGGGGCCATTAGCAGCAACCTCGGAGACCATCAAGAACAACCTTCTTATCTCCGAACGAGCGCATCTGTACAGTTATTAGACAGCATGGTCCTTGTCTTGCTACGTTTTCTGCGCCCTTTGCGTTCATGAGGTGGGCCCTAGTCAAGAAGAATCGAGGCAGCGATAATTCTGCAGCGATCGCTTCTCTCAACGTCCCGCAATTGGATCAGGGGACAAACTGTGTAAGCGCCTGAATTGATGAAGAAGGTGCAATGGAACTGTTCAGATATACCTATTGGATGGTTTTCGAGTTCGTCGTCCCGACAGTTCGGTTCACCCTCGAGTAGAGACGAATGACCTGCCTAATAAATGTTGTAGGTTGATGCCCTGCATGTTGGTGGCGAGCCATGGCAGGGACGTGAGAGGGTATATATCTCGGTCAATAATCAATTGTACTTTCTCAATATGCGATCCCTTTTTGCTCCTACTAAATGCCTAGTACAAACTTGCTTGAAAATTGTCGAGGTACCAAAAGAAGATCACCCTAGTGGGTGAATTGTTCACTGCCATTGAGCAGAAACGATACATCGATGCCAACATACGATATCATATCTTCCGCGGAAGCGCAGCAGCTTGTCCAACGGATCGCACGTGGTTATGGATGGATCAGCCAGAGAGCGCGTGATGCGAGCGATCAGGAAGCTCTTGAAGCGATAGATATGCTTCAAGACAGCCTTGGGATTGCAGTCAGAACGTATGTCCCCTATGAAATGAAAAGTCTGTTAGTAATTATTGACAATGTCATAGACTAGCAACGAACCTCTACAAAAGCCACGCTCGATTCGTTTTCGAATTGATCCAAAATGCCGAAGACAACAATTATAGGAAGGCTACCTCCAGCGGTACTGCGCCCTATATCAAGTTCACGGTATATCCCAACAAGATAGTTATTGATTCTAATGAGGATGGATTTACCACCGAAAATGTCATAGCAATATGCAAGGTTGGACAGAGCACTAAGAAAAGAGATGGTGCACAGCAGTATATTGGCGAAAAGGGCATCGGATTCAAGTCCGTCTTTATGGTCGCATCAAAAGTTCATATCCAGTCAGGCCCCTTTTCATTTTTCTTCGAACATCCACCAGGAGCGCGGGGGATGGGCATGGTAACTCCGGTGTGGGAACCTGCCGAGGTAGCTTTGCCAGGCCCTTTGACCCGTATGACATTAACTCTCCTCGATAAATTGGACTATCCGGAACTACTTTCACAATTCGATACTCTCCCTGACACATTTCTCCTCTTTTTGAACAAGCTTGGTGCAATCACGATTGACAAAATCGAATTCGCTGGAAAGAGTGCAGAGTCTACTACATTCTCATGTGCTCTAGACGAATCCTCCGGACAGGCGACTTTGAGCAAGGTCCACCGTAAGGGTTCCGAGCATCCACGGACGTCTTTGACGACCTATACCAGATTACGCGGAAACAACTGAAGGATTTGTCACCAGATGAACAGCGAAACTGTAACACTACAGAAGTAGTGCTTGCATTTCCCCTCGACGAATCCGAACCTATTATTGGTCCCCAAGAAGTTTATGCTTACCTTCCTCTTGGGGACTTTGGGTTTTCTGTGAGTGAATCTGAACTTCATGTGTATACGAGACTAACTAGTTGTAGTTTCTTATTCAATCCGACTTCGTTACGCAGGCCAACCGGCAGGATGTGTTAGAAACCCGCCGTAACAAAGACATTCTCGACGGTATAGCTGAGGCGTTTCTGGAGGGTGTGTTTCAGTTTTGCAATCATCCTACCCTTCAGTATAAGTGGCCGCTATATATCCCACGGAAGATTCATAACCCTTTCTGGGCACGCCTTGAAAACAAGATCCACAAGCTCCTCAAGGAGCATGCAGTCTTACGTGGATGCAGCCATGGCCCACTTCGGCCCATCAGTCAGTTGAAGAAAATCGGGGACGGATTTAAAGATGAATTCGGCAATGCTCTTGTTGCTGATTTGGACGAGGAAATGTATCTTGCATGGGAATACGAAGGGCAAGACATAGAGGCTCTCGATAGCCTGGGTCTAGATACTATTGACTTTGAGTCTGTAATGGCACGTTTCAGACACGATTTGAAGCAACCAAGTCCCAGGTCCAGATTCAAATCTCCAGGAACCACTGATGACTGGCATACGAGGACCGCAGAGCTTTTACTGCAACCTTTTAAGGAGAAATGGAAATCTCCGACACTGGATAAAGTCCGAGGACTAGCATGTATCCCACTGCAAGATGGGAAGTGGACAGCAATCACCGAGGGCGCCGTATTCTTTTCTCGCACTAATGGGATACTCATCCCGATCGATCTTGGATTAAGAATTGTCGACGAAGGGTCTATCGCGAACCCGACAAGGAAGAAGCTTTTTGTTACCCTTGGTGTTAGGCCTGCCTCGGTTCAAGACGTCAGAGCACTCATTCTGGCACGCTATAAGCAAGAAAGATCGTCTATCAGCTTCGAAACATCTTTGAAAGATCTCCATTTTCTTTATTCCACCCATCCTACCGGCCTAACAGTTAAGCTTCGCGAATCGACTTCACTATGGGTATTTAATCATCGGGGTCATCCAATTCACGATGAGGAAGACCTGTATTTCAAAAGTGATGAGGAACATAGTTTCCAGGAGCTGATGGGTAAGGCCCTGGAGGTAGCGCCATACAACAGTGGCCTGGTTGGCTCCTTCATCCATCCGGAGTATTGCAGGCGAATGGAGCTTCTTCCTGTAAAACCTGGTGGATCCCACCCCGCATTCAAGGCCTGGTTACAAGAATCCGTTGGTATATTAAACCATCCACGGCTTGTAGACCCTAAAGATCCCGCGGAACTGTCACCTATTTTCCGGTATATTATCGAAGCACGTCCGGAGAAGTTGTTGGGGACATTGAAGCCACATTGGACTTCCTACGCAGCTGTGATGAGTACTGACTTGGCATCGAAAATTTCTAAAGCTTTGGTTCCTAGCACGAACATTGGCTCAATACCATTAAAAGAAACTTTCCTACCGTCGGAGACGCTTACAGTCAGATGTGGCGAGTTTCTCGACCTACAGAAATTCCCTTTCTTGAAGCTGGAAAATGAACCGGATATTGAAGGATGGAATTTTCTGAGTGCTTTTCACGTGGGGATCGAGGATAACCTTGATTTCTATTTGAAGATACTGTATTACTGCAAGTTATCGAAAGGCCCATTTCGATATGATATATATGAAGCCATTCAATTGAAGGCCGGGGGCTCGAAAGAGGCCAAAAGAAGGGTTGAGTATGAATTGTCTTTCCTTTATCCTCCCCCCTCTCCCTGCATCTGTAATTCATCCGGGAAGCTTACTAGGCCTTACTTCAGGGAATTTGTCTGGGTCAACTACCTCATACTAGCACCGTCCTATGGGACAAGGCCACCCTCTTGGACTTATCCGGGAAATTGCTTTTGGGATGCACCGGACTATCTAACAACAAGATGCGCTTTACTCCCTGCCTTGTCACATTTTAAAACCCCTTTCATCGCCTATTTCTTTCAATTCACTCTCGGAGTTAGAAACGTTTCTTGGGACGATTTGACTCGCGAGCTCAGAGCGATTAAAGCAAAAACTAAGCCAGACATAAATGTTGTCCAGGATATCTACCTTCGCCTCCAGAGAATGTCAGCGGATCTAGAGTCAAAATACCTAGAATCACTCCTGTAAGAAATGAGGACCTTATTACTGACCGCGAAGGCTCTACTGACTTGTCGAATTCTAGGACTTCTTTCGAAAAAGATGCGCTGATCTACGATATGCTGAGCCAAAACTGGACTGCTCCATCAGCGTGTCTGTGGTCAAAAGACGCTCAGGTACCAGGGAAGAGTACAATCAGTGGCCAGTATGAAGATTTGAAGGACTTGTTTGTAGGAGTGCTTAAGATCAAAATCCCTAATTTGCGCTTGCTTATTAAGGAGCTAAAACGAGTCGCACAATCTTCGCCATCCATCAATGATATCAAGAGTCTTATTTGGCAAATCAATACATTCGATCCGATCATTAAAGACTTGGAAGACGTGCGCTGGTCTGAAATATTCCCTGTAAGGAAGGCAAATGGAAATCTTGAGCTGCAGACCTGGATGGCGGGATTCTCGATTATTGATCGTCAGCCCTGGGCTGATGCATTTGAAGACAAGGTGGACTTTCTCGATTTCAGTCTCAAAGAAGTTAGGATTTTGGAACCGTTTTTGTCAAGTATGGAGGGCATGGGATACTTGTCTAAGCATGTGAAGGAGAAGTCCTCTTTCCAAGGCATTCTTCCAGAGCCAAGTACAAAGAGGACTAGGCAGTTGCGACGACGTGCTTATGCGCTCTCCCGGTATGTACTTAACTTTTCCCCTTGAGAAGATCCTCGGCTTATATTTGCAGCTGTGCGACACACTTCGGCAGCCCTAGGGCCAAGAACGACTGTCAAGCCCTTTATCAATTACTTCTTAAAGCAAAAGTTTACGAAACAGATGGTATCATTGGGAGTCTTGAGCATACCCGTCTTGGCGACACCGTTATCGTCGAAGTTAGCAACACAAAGCTTCATGTCGAAGAAGGACTGGAGGGTTTGAACATATATGTTCCGAAAGATTCAAAGGATCAAGAGATCTGTTATCTTCGGCTACTTCCCACGAAGCTATTCAACGAGACCATGATGGCAGAAGTCGATAGCAACTCTACATTGGCGTTTGATTCAAATGCTGTTTCGATAATTACGGCAATTTTTGCGTCTAGCGACGAGGTCATCGACTTGGTACTAGAGGAGGCTGGTATTGTCCCAGTACCATATCCTGATCAGTATGAGGATGAGCTCCAGCAATCACCTCGAGACAAGGTCTTGCTTAGCTTAGGTATTTATCGTAACGCGGAACGTGAAACCGCATCGGTTGGATCAGGAACGCAGTCGGGAATGGCAATGGCAACCCCCGGGGCTAGTACCCCGTCCGCCAGAAGCCCCAGCCTCTCTATCACTGCGGCTTCTACGTACCGAGCAATCCATCGACCAAGTGTTCCATCACAGCCGATTCAGCTCCGCAACAGCCCCCTAAGACCTAGGCCCGTGCGCGTTCTTCCAGACAGTATACGGCGCCAAATCACATCTGAAAGTAGTCAAGTGGAGTATCGACGACTACTTGACAACATCATCACTACAGCAAGGAATAAAGAGGAGCGTTTCCATCCAAGGGAGCTTTCAATCTTGACGAACTCTTGAACGCTCTTCCGGTGGAGGCCGCAAGAGAAGTGAACCCTTACGACCTACCTTTCGGAGTCAGGAATGAGAACCAGCTTGCTCATGATATGAAAATTGGAGCGGCGGGAGAGCTCTACGTATGTATATAAACCATGGAGTTTGGGCAGAGATCTGACATGTATAGGCCTTTGAGATTCTCTCCCGCCTCGAGACTTCTCTCCCTGGATTCGGTCGCCATAACTGGCAGAGCACAATCCGCAGGCATGTGACTGTCCACGAGAATTACCGGGACTTGGAGCCATGGCGAGGAGCGGAAACGGCGGATATTACATACGATGATACAAAAGGGGAATTCACACAGCTTCTGATCGCGAACGGTCACCTGGATGGGTCAATTTGGGCTCATGCGACGCCAAAGTACTTCCTCGAAGTGAAGACGACAACAAAAGAATGTGCCACCCGGTTCTTTTTGAGCAAGGGTCAATATCAAAGAGTACGTTTGCGGTCTGTAAATTAGACTCCTTCGCGGCTGACGAAATTTAGATGCAACGACTAAAATTGGGCCTTCGAGCATCAGCTGAAGTCTATATAATCCTTCGAGTTTTCAATCTCGATGGTAATAAAATTGATATGCGACTTTATGTTGATCCGGCCGGAATGGAAGAAAGAGGTGAATTGCAATTCACGTCGGAGTCTTACTCTGTGCTGCCTCCGTCTCGCGACGGGCATTGATAAGAGAAGTGCTGGGAGCACTATGTTTGCTCATATTGAGAGACTATTGTCATGTCAAGCTTATGGAATGAACAGCTGGCTCGTGTGTGCCCTGCCTAACCTGGCGGGCGCTAAACCTCGGGAGCATCACCACTCCTGAGATAATAAATAGAAACATTTGGTTGACAACAATCGTATGTTTCCCAACTCTAATTAAACATTCATACGCAAAAGCCACAGCTGTAATCAAATATTTACATCCAACTGTAAGAGCATGCGCCATTACTCTCTATACACCTACCTGCTTACCTAGGCCAAAGATATAAGTGAATCATCGGGGCTTTGGACTGTGCTATGTAGTTATAAAGAAAATGTATAGAATTATTCTATAAATTATTTAGATTACAACTTTACACAAAAAAAATTCTATATCTTTGTAAATGTAGATTCCGATCACGTTGATACGTTATAAAGCTATAAGGTACTGAAAGTGCTGCAATTTTGTTGTATTTCGCAAAGTGTACAGTGTTTTGTACGGAGAGCAAAGTAATAACACAAGCTCGTACTTAAAACAATAACAATCAACACTAATAAAACACACACATCGCAATCAGAGCCAAATAGAAACATTCACGCCGCATCTCCCCTCCTCTGTCCAGTAGCCCAATCAATCTCCTCCCTCGTTTCCGCCATCAGCTCGTACGCCGGCTTTCCCGCCCAGGTCCAGAACCCACGCTCTCTCACCACTTTCTCTTCCTCCTCCTTCCTCAACACCTCCAAGTCTTCCTTGATGGCAGCAATCAGCTTATCAACCAGCTCCTTCCTCGTTCTATATTTAATTGCTGAAGGGGCCACTTCGACACCAAGCCGCTGTAAGATCAAGGGGTCGACACGGTCGTAGATGTCCACCTTGCTCCTGGTAGTCGGAGCGACATATTTGCGGGAGCTACCGTTTCGCTTTGCCTGAAGTCGGAGCTTCGCCGCTTTTCTTTGCCTTGGGGTATTCAGCTTGGCGGGATTGGGACTTGGAGCTTTTGGCGTTTGTGCATCCGCTTCATCATCCTCGTCTTCAGAGTCTGCATCTCCATCTTGCATTATCTCCGCCTGTTCCCCATTTTCTGCCGCATTAATTACATTGTCGGCATTGTGAGCACCCTCCCAACCACTCTTGGTCTCAAGCACTGCTCCATGAATAGCCCGACTGATGAAATCCAAGTCCACCATTGGGAAAGACTCGACTTTCAGCCGATCTGCTTTTGTTCCGTTTCCCAACTTCTTCCTTTGTCTTTTTGTGACTCGTGGTGGAGAGTTTGAATCCGTGCCACTCGGGGTAGATGTTCGTCGCGCAGAGTCGTCAGATATAGCGGAAGCGAGCTTGTCCAAGTGATTTATCTTCCTTGTCAGCTGGAGGATTTCCTTGTGCCTAGCGTGATGCATCTCATCCACTACACGGCAACTGGGAAGATATTAGTGCTTGGGGCCATTGAGAGAGCTTATAGTTATCGTTGTATGGTACGTACGTGAAGCATTCATGCGCTCTACCTAGAACCAATATATTAGCCAAAAGATAGAAATCAACAAGACAGTCAATTTTCTCCAAAACTTACCAACAAAATGTAAGGTTGGGTGGTATTTGCGGCAAGGTTCCACATGCTTCCCGAGACACCGCATTTTCGCCCGTGAATCTAAAAAATAGTCAGCCGTGGGGAATTTCGCTGTATACTCAACCGGGGTAATTACGGTTCAGAGGTATAGCACAAACTCCGCAATGATGCTCTGCAATAGTAAGCATAACGAAAGACCGGGAAAGCTATTGGGTATTACGGACCAAGATTCTGACCACCTTCCCACCTGTACAGGGTATTATTTCTGAAAGGCCGTATGACCTTTTCTGGAGTATCCATGTTGATTTCGAGGTCGATCTTGTGGACCATATCGGAATCGGTTTCGAAGTGAGGTAAGTTAGAAGCATGAGCAAGTTTCGAAGACAGCACAGTTGTAAAGAAATGGTCGAGGTATCCGTATTGGTTGAAAGAACGTTCCTCGGCAGATCTGGAAACGTAGAAGAGAAAGAAAACGTGCCTGGACAGATCTGAAAGAGTAGAGGCACCTGTGAAGCTAGAACAAGGTAGTGGACAGTATGACATCTGTTGGTAGGAGGAAGTTCGTTGCGGTAGCAAGAAGCTATATGATAAACAACAATGTATCGTGCGTGAATAACACCACAGTCTTGGTGCTTTCTGCCTAGCTTATCTGTATTGAAATAGCAGAAACACGTATTAGTTGGGACGAACCTTTTACGTGTCAAGGCGAGGTGAAGGGGGCGGTGTGATGAGGAGAATAGATCTGTTGGTTTGTTGACAAAGGGCGGTGGGTTGTTGACAAGGGAGTTGCCTCACGGCACCAACTGGTGGAGTGACTAGAATAATCTGTTATAACCCCTTTGTTATTGTAAAATAAGACGGCACGTGGATAAGGTAGGAACTTACCTCTTGTCTCACCATGGGACGATAAAGTGTGTCAAGGTGATGTGGCATCTTTGTTGATAAAGTGTCGAGGAGTTACTTCTTGTTGTATATGATAGAGGCATATGCTGTTGTCCAAGGGGTCTTGTAAACAGCCCCCTATTTAAGCGACGGGGCCCCTATTGCGCACCTTGGGGACTTCCCCTAATGCAAGGGACGCAGACCGTTCGAGACAGGGCGATATGTACACTCATGGGCAACCTAAGGCAACATCAGCTGAAGCTCCTCAGCTTTGATTGGGTAGGAATGCTCTTACCTAACTGAACGAAATATCACCTCCGGAACGTTTGTGCACGACAGAAACCTATTAGTCATACGAAACACTCCCATTGCAGACTTACAAATAATGTCAAGCGTATTAAATCCACCCCGAAACCATCCAAACCAATTAACACGCATATTAACAACCCTTAAAGCCCAAAAACGTACCCAAAACCCACAAGTCCCTTGCCCCAGGGCTGTCCATCCAATTTCTAGTACATAGAGAAGTTAAATTCTCCTTATGTCAATCCCTTTATCTGGTGTTGATGGCCTAGGGTGTCTGAAGACTGACTTGTTGAAAACCAGTCCGTTGAAAAAAGTGTCACTGGAAATCGGGTTCTCGTTGGTGCGGAACAATTATATAACCTAAATATCACGCACAAGTCTTGCCCCCGCCCAAGCATAAGGATAATTACGCTGGTACCAATTGACACTTCCACTACTCAGTTTTTTATAATGATTTCGGAATAAAATGGCACTTACAAAGTCTTACGTCCAGCAATCCGCGGATGAGTAGCCCAAGAACCACCAAGGATAATATTATGTTTGCCGTCAAAGAAATCAGCTATCACCCCGTTAGAAAAACGCTCCACTATTATTGGCTGTGATCACATACCTGTGTAAGCTGGATAAAGTGGCATAGGCTCAAACCCTTCGTGCTTCTCAAGCACCGAACTTGTCCATTCCCAAGCACCGCCCATATCTGACCGACCTGAAAGTCGGTTGCCATTTGCGGTAACGGCAACAGGATGCCAATGCGTAAAACCTACATTGCACCCCTCGAGACTGGTGAAAAGCTCTTGCGAGCTCCCACCGCTTTCGGAAGTACGTGATGGGGGCGTTTCTTCGACTCCGTCGTTGACTAGATGTCTGCAAGGAATTAAAAATTGAAAACTGGAATGTTGAACTGGCGTATACATACCCATTTACTGCAGGAACAGTTTTACTGAGCTGGTGTTCTGCTTCCTTGAGTCTCAGCCCATCAACATGGCTGTAGATACAACGCGCCTCCTCAGCTGTCGGAATCCTTCCCCCCATCCAGGCCGCACAGCCTGCAAGTTCATCATAAGAAGCAATCACAGGCCAATCTAAAGCATGCTCTAGTGGAACTAGACCATAGACTGTTCTTACCGACTTTTCATTTAGGAGTGCTTTTGTTAGGGGAGTTGATGCATTGTTATTGACGTTCACGCCGTTGGTATATCCATTCGAGTAGCCGTTGGTATAACCGTTTGTATAATCAGCGCTTGTTTTGTTCTCGGCCCACGAGGCTGGAACCTTTGGATTGTGTGTTTCCTCGAGGTAACGAGCATACTAATTACGATTAACAAAGCTCTATGCACAGTCATCAGTCAACTTACTTCTTCGTTTGTGACTGGCCGAGCCTTGGCCTGGAAGGCTGGTACGACAACATCCCGCGGTGGCTTCTCATTATCCCTGTTCGTTCTCTCTATTAGTCATGTCTCTAATGAGGAAGTGGATGAATTCACCATCCAAAATGGTGGTCCCCGCCTGAATTGTCTTCTGGGTCCTCGAGGCCAATGGTAATTCCCCGCTCTGGGATGTCGAACCACTCATTCGGTACTCGAGCAGCCTCCGCTAGCTTCGCATCCCTCTCCCAATCGGGCGTATGCAGAGTGGGTGGTCGTGTTTTATCGCTATGCAAGAGCATATAAAGAAGCGTTTCCAGATGCATTACCTCATGCTCAAACCCTATCCACAGAGCTCGACCAACATCGCGGGGGAAATCTCCTGACCCATAAAGCTTATTTACTTTCTCGCGCACCGCCGTCTGATACCCAAGAATCTCATCTACAGGTGGCCACTCATCGGGAATTTCTGAGTGGGAATGACAGTGATCTGGATTATCCACATCCGGATCGATTCCCCTCTCAAATATTTTGGGGTAGTCAGATGGTTCACAAGGAGGCTCCTCGGTGACCTTGTTGAGTTGAATATCCAAGAACGTTGGGATGTGGCCCAGATAGAAAATGCAAGCATTTCTCAGCTTGATAGGCTTCTCTAGCAACTCTTCATCGGAGATCATCTGCTGGGTAACTACATCCCAGACTTGCCAAAGCCCTTTCCAATCCTCTAGCGTTGGAATGGCTGATGCCGCATAGACGGCCGGGTCGGTGTTAAATGCCGCCATTTGCTCCTTAGCTAGCAGATGGACACCTAGGAGGAGAAGAGATCAGTAATAGATTCAGGTACAATTTTGCAGTAAATTCAAGATTTAGTAGACAATGGGCAAAAATATATAAATCATGATGGTTAGTCTCCGCTTGGTTACATTCTAATAGATAACTTCCCAACTATGATCGCAAATGTTGGCCCGTGCGACATACAGTGAGACAACGCCTGCATTCGTGGGGACCCCCACAACCAGGGTAAGCTGATCATGAGATCAGCATCCCCGTCATCATGATGGGATGAGCAGGAGCCTCACAATGTGCCACAGGATTGCGTGCTGGGGGAACACGAAAAAGAAATATAATTCAAGGGCATGGCATAGAGGTACTTACTATAAGCATCAGAGGTGGCTGACCATCGATCAACCTCTTGAAGCCTGGAGCCTTTCCAAAGCTGAATGGTTTCCTGGGGGCTGTATTTCAAGCTTTGTTCGACTTGGATTCGCTCTCCAGCTTTGATAACGATGTCCTTGTATTGGACATTGCGATTAGGAGAATAGAAGGCTTGGTGGCGGCCTCCCTGGTGGTCATAAACGTATTCCCCGATCACCTTCCAGTCTTCTAGGCGGAAAACTTCCTCTCCCAGTATTTCATTTGCCTGGAGCAGCCCATTGAGAACAAACCTACAAACGTGTCAGCATGAAAGGCGGAGTAAAGTTGAAATTACTATATGTAAGAGGAATCTATTCCATACTCATGAGTTAATCCTTCACGATCTGGGGTGCATCGTTAGCTATAAATAAGTTATAGGGTCTCCTAGCTGGGCTTACCATTGTAAGCATCGCTACACTGTTGATAAGTAGATGTACCAAAAAGAATTTCTAGAGAGACTTACTAAACCTTTGCAGGGTTGTCGGTTGCATCCAATCCAATCAGGAGGGAGTCAAATTGCCCCAATGTCTCTGTGAAACGTCCTAGGAATGCCGCGGCCTCATTACGATGGAAGTTACCTTAGAATACGTTAGCAGAGTGATATTAAGAGTCGTCCAGGTTACTGACCAATACTGGATCCTAGAGACATAACACACTTTGTCCTCGACGCATTTTCTGGCGTTTTCAGCCAGTCGAGGCCATCATCATATGTGCCATGAAGGCCATGGCATTTGACACATTTGAAATTGGGAACTTGTTCCAACGTCCGTTTCAGCTCTTTCACCGAAAGATCCAACGCATAATAATCGATGTTTTTGGCTGCAGCTTCTAATGCTCGTAATAGGATACTTACTTTCCGCAAGTTACTAATTTGCGTCAGTCACATATCATCGAACAAAATCCGCTGACAGTCACCAACCCACTACCAAGCTCAATAACCATGGAGCCTGATGGTATGGCCTTTGCAATGCTGTCGGCAGAGCGCTGTAGAACATCGATTTCCGCGTTGGTGAGGTAGTATTCCTCTAAGTAGGTGATCTGAAGTTGAAGTTAATACGACATACTTCCTTATATCAAAAACAAAGGTAATTGGAATATGAGACCCCAAAATATCCAGACTGAGTGAGCGATGCAAGAAATTCGAGAGGAACAGTTTCAACAAATTTCAGATGATTTAAACAGGTTACGCCACCGGGCAATTATAACCTCCTTTCGAGGTCTCACAGACCAACCTCAGCTAACTAGGGAAAGGAAGAACATTGCAGAGCAGAATGCGAGAGCTCCAGACACATTCATATAAACAACCCAGAATTTCGAGTGAAGAAGATATCTTGAAGGTTGTTCCTCAGAAAGAGTTTCAAAACCTCACTCGCGATAAATATGGTGGGGCTTCATATACTAAGAATGTGCTAGCCTGACTTACCTTCTCGAACAACTGTAGACCTCGTTCATCGTAGAGTAGTAGTGTTGGCAATGTCTTTGGGCCATTTTCAGGCCTTAATGAACCCAGAATCTCGTCCTTCAAATTGACCACGGCGGCATCGTGACGTATATCAATTATGTCGATCCCGGAAACGGGGTCGGCTTTAAGGTCGGTTCGAGTTTCCAAGCTTTCCAACGTCTGAAATTCCTTGTTTCCGAGAGGATATTCAACGGCAGAATTAGAGGCGGTTTGAATCGTCATATTGAAGTGCCGAGGAGAATTATGATGTCTCAAAAATGGGAATGATGAAGCTTCTGACGCGGGATTATATATGGAGGGGTCTCTGATGTAAAGATGTAAAGGGAAGAGCGCTAATTAATATCGCGCCGGGATGGACTTGGTTTCCAACACCGAACGATTTGAAATGCGGACAAAGGGCCATTTCGACGTTTGGACTATTACAGCTAGTGGGGAGGCGACAGGAACGGCGCATTGAGAAACCATGGGATGGGGTCAGAATTGTACCTGACATGGACAATGGTATTGGAGAGCTTCTCTGTAAAAGCCCCGCAGTCAGCATACTTCGTATAGCGCCCTGCCGGCAACAACTGGTGTAGTCCGTACTTCTCCGTCTGATACTTGGATCTCCCAGCGGGGTATTGCCTAGCCTCGGATGGCCTTGCAAAGATACAGAGAGCCCCCACGCCCACGCCGCCCAGACGTGACCTCATCATTAATTACTTAATGAGCCAGTCTATGACCCCGTCAAATGAAATCATGAAGCGGGTGTTGGTGTAAATGAAACCCGGCGGAGACCCGGGTAAGCAGGCGGTGGCCTAGTGGGTGCTAGTGACAAAGTTGATTCCATTCTCCGAGTGTACCACGCGGATGGTGGGCTGGTGATTGGAATCATGCTCGTGAGCTCTGTATCAATTGCCAGGACAGGCAACCCGTGTGGGGATGTTCGCGGTCTTTGAAACCCTGTTAGCACAGTAGATATCCATGTTCAGGTGGAGGTTGTTACGGGTCCCCAATCAGGAATATGAACAATGACTCTTGTGTCTTGAGACATCTATTAGTGTTGGTGACAAATGCAAGTAAGTGTCTTGTTGGCCACAAGATGAGGTTAAGATCGATATCCGGTGTAATGTAGTGCGGCATTACTGCGTAGAGTAGTAGTGGCCATCAGATCGGAGGGACTCACAACCACGCCCTGTGGATTACTGCTGGTGCATGGCTTACTGAGCTAATGCACCCCCATTTCCCCAAATGAGCTATTTGCAGCACTTGCCTTCGATTGCATCGCAGGCCACGAAGATATAGGCATTGAAGCCTAAGATGCTGAGTTTGGAGCGATGTTAGGCTTGTGTTGACAAATTCTCTTTTGTCAGCTCAGCACAGCTTAACAGCGTGCTACTCCACGGATAACTGACTCGATACAAATCATATCAGTAATCCGGGTGCAGGAGTCCGGGTCTGGTGAGCTGTTAAACAAGGATGGTACACATCTGAATACAAGCAATTCGGCATAGCAAAGGGGGACGCGTAGCAGTGTGTAGGTCCTAGTATGGCCTACTTCAGTGGATTTGGGGTGCCAAAAATCGAACCAAATGCATGCACAACGTCTGAATAACTAGCAGAAAGACAAGCATTCCAATCAATGTACAAACAGTTCAAACAGTTCAAAGTTACGTGGTGCGAGTAAGTAATTATTGTGAGGAGCGCGCGCACCTTCCCATTCGAATCGTAAACACGGTAGTGTTATCGTAATATGTTATCAGCACGTGATGTCGAGCAAAGTGCCCGTCTCTGTGGAAACGGATGTTTTGGCGCAATGCAACGCGACTTCCATCACACGAATTGAACTTTAATAAGAAAACCTTAAACATCTCCAAGAACCCCTTCAGAAGCCGATGAGATAAGAATTCTCACAATGGCCTACAATCCTCGAATGAGTATGGCGCCCAATTCCCAACAACAAAATCGAGGGAAAAAAAAGGAGGACGACAGTGATGCCTTCATGCGCTTGGTAAGTGTATCTCAACACAATCTCAAGGATCTCTACTGATTAGTGTAGCCCGACAAAGAAATTGCAGGATGCATAAGTGACATTGGAGTTCCCTTCACAGTCGCAGATCTGCAGAAGCCAAATCCACTCCAGATCCAGATGATCTTCGAACGGTTCGTTGAAGTCCTCATGAGCACAAGTCGCGAGACTGTTGATCCAGCAATGCGCGCGGCGGCCGAAGATATATGCGGAGAATTCATGGATGTCATTCCGGCAGAAACACGAAACCTCATGGGATTTTACGTCAGCTTGCGCAAGTTATTACTAGAGTGCGGGATTTTGGATTTCTCGTTCCAGGACTTATTCAAACCGACCCACGATCGCCTGGCTAAGATCTTTTCCTACATCATCAACTTTGTGCGGTTCAGGGAGGGCCAGACAGCTATCATTGACGAGCATCTTAATAAGGTAGAGACGACAAAGGTCAGAATAGAGACATTGTATATGGAGAACCAGGATATGGAGGCCCGCTTCGACGAGATGCAGAGGAACCGCAAAGCTATGGAGGCACATATTGCAGATAAAGTTAAACGGAACGAGGAACTGAAAAATCGACTTCTAGAATTGAAAAGGAGCCAGGAGAAGGTGGCCCAGCGCTTCGAGAATGCTAAAGCGAAGAAGGGGGAGATAACTGGGATCCTAGAGGATAAGACCGCAACAACTATTTCCCTGCGACAGGAGAGTGCAAAACTACGGCCATATGTACTCCAATCGCCAGCCGCCCTACAAGCATCTTTGACGGAGTTGAGCAATGCGCTGAATGCAGAGAAGACGCAAATTGATACCCTCGACCGTCGTGCCCGCGCCTTGCAGACATCTACAGATACCTTCCAAGTGGTCTCTGTTGATGTTGCGTCCTGCATAAAACTTCTGGAAGAGATCTCTATCGAACTAGAAAAGGAGTCGGAGGAAAATATCCGAATCGCAAGGCAACGAGACGCATTAGGGGAGCGAGGAAATAACGTCCGGGAAGTGGAGAGGACCGAAGGATTACTGCAACGACAGTTATCAAAATGGTTAGAGCGTACTGAAAAGCTGAGGGAGGGTAGTAGGGAGAAGGCTATGAGTGCAAAGGAGAGGACGGAGGAGTTGCGTGCCGTGCATAGAAAGCTCACCGAGGAGAGGGCTGAGAAGGGACGGGAGATGGAGAGGAGGAGAGTGAGGATAGAACAAACAGAGAAAAAGGTATGTTGCGTGTATTTTCCCCGTCTGCTCATACTAACATTGGTTCTAGATGGCGGACTTGAAGGAGAATATCGAGAATGAGACCCATAGTGCTCATGATGAGTTCTTGAAGATGGATTCGCACATCAAGCTCTACATCACAGAGATGGAGCAATCGTTTTGAGCTACTTGTATTCATATGGATTACGGAGTGTGGTGTGGGACGATAATTGGGTTGGCTGGAATGGCGCATGGGTATACCTGTTGATTTAGAATGAATGATAATGACCCCCTTTTCAAGACAAGCTTGCGAGTCTATATGACCCAATCTCCTCGGCCAAATTTAAACCATCTTCCCAAAATCCTGCCTACCTCGATTGTCCTCCCACTCCACCCCGCATCGTCAACATCCAGCCCTGCTCGTCTGACACTCCCATTCAAAATCGGGACTTTCTGCTCCCATACCTTGGATAACTTCCTCCATTTATCCCCTTCCTCTACCTCGTCAACCTGCACATCTTCCTCCTCGATCTCCCTCTCCTCGATCAACACAATCTTCACGCTGCTCCTTGATCCAACCTCAACCAACGCCGCAAGACTATTTCCCAACCCTTGTGCACTCCACTCACTCGTGTCATGATGTAGCTCCACTAGACCGTACACAACAAGTAGTGGTATTCCCCTCCCGCCTGTTTTCGAGATATTCTCTGGCGGTAGCCGCACTGCCTGGTGTGGAAATGTAACCAAGTAGGCTCGGAGATGCGAGAGCGTGGGTATAAAGACAAGATTGATATGCCTGGAAGTTGCGATTTGGTGTAGAGTTGGGATGAGGAGCGGATGACGCGGCTGGGTCTCTGAGGGAGAATATAGGTCTTCATCGCCTGTCGGAATGGACGACTCTCGAGAAGGGAAAGGATGGGACGCTGGGATGGCGTTGAGGAGAGAGGAGAGGAAGCTGGCCCGAGACTTGCATATTATGATGGTCGTGGGATATGTTTGGTCTTGGTAGGCTAGGATGTATGTGAGCAACTCAGATGGGAGGGCTGGAAGGAGAGCAAGAGGAGCTGGAGCCATTATCTTAGGGAATGTAATGAAATCGAGAGCGGTGTGTTTTGAGATGTTCGACGGCGGGGTCGTTGAGGAAAGGGATGATTGTCGCGAGCTTTCGGCCGATGACCTTGGGGTTAGTGCTGAATGTTAATGTATATAAAACACCAAGAAATTAAGTGTCAGATGATTTTAGAGATATTGACCCTCTCTCAGTCAAAATCTGGAACCGGAACATAGAGATGTAGATGTAGATGTAGGTGACGACGGTTGGAATCATTGCGACATCGCTTATGAACATATCTACAAGGTATTTAGCTGTACCGCACTTAGCCCCACCATCACCGTCCCTTCGCTGCTCCAAATGCGCCTCTTCATTTGCACCCTTCTTGATGGAGTCGATATCCAGGATATCCAGCTTGCTGGAGAGTGGTAAGCCCTCTTTTGCCCTCAGCCCTAAATGGCTTTCATTGCAAAACTTGGATTAGAGGCTGATTTGTGCTGCAGCTCGAGAACTAACTCTCGATGCCGCCCAATCTGCTAGGAGCTCCCGAGGCTCTGGCTCCACCAAAACAATACCGGCGGCGAAGATAAAGATATTGCTCGATAGCCGGAATGATCGAGATGTGTTAGAAGGACTGAGAAAGGTCATCTCTGTACGTACTTCCAACCCCTAGCTACGGTACGAGCTTGCCGTTTGGGGGGACGGAATCATACACAGTACAATACAGCGGGGACTGGGGAAATAGTAGAGAGAACCCAAGCTAATATGTCAAATACACGCAGATGATGTACCGTTCGCAGCCATGCCTAACATTCTTCTCCTCCGTCGTCAAGAACGTTGCGTCCCCGAACATCGAAATAAAGAAACTAGTATACATCTACCTCCTCAACCACGCGGAGCAAGAACCAGATCTCGCCCTCCTCTCCATAAACACGATCCAGAAGTCCCTCTCCGATGGGAACCCCCAGGTGCGAGCCCTGGCTCTTAAGACCATGTCCGGAATCCGCGTCCCGGTCATAAGTCAAATCGTATCCCTGGCGATCAAGAAGGGACTGAGTGATATGAGTCCGTATGTCAGGAAAGCTGCCGCGCTAGCAATTCCGAAATGCTACCGGCTGGATCCGAATACCCTTCCGCAGCTGTTGGATTATTTATCGACGTTGCTAGGGGATAGACAGTATTACGTGGCCGGCGCTGCAGTCAAGGCATTCATGGAAATCTGCCCGGACCGGACAGACCTCATTCATAAGCATTATAGGAGCTTGGTGAAGAAACTTGTGGATATGGATGAGTGGAGTCAACTAGCTACTTTAAGACTCATGACCATATACTCGAGGAGATGTTTCCCAAAAAGGACGCGGAGAATAAAGAAAAGCAATGGTGCCCAGGGATTTTACGGGGACGAAGAGGGCGAGGAAGAGGATACCGGCGAGATCGTCCAAATCCTCGACCCTGATCTGGAGCTACTTCTCAAGAGCATCAAACCTCTCCTCCAGAGCCGGAACTCTGCAGTGGTGGTGGCAGTCGCTCGATGCTACGTGAATCTCGGCACGCCACAATACACCAACAGCGCTATTGGACCTTTAGTTGCGTTACTGCGAGGGCCGCAAGACATCCAACACATCGCACTCTACAACATCGTATCAATTTGCATCACGAGACCCGAGGCATTCGTCAAATATTCTTCTCATTTCCTAGTACGGTCTACGGATCCGCCCCAAGTCTGGGAACTAAAGCTTGAAATCCTGACACTGATATTCCCTCACTGCGATCCTTACCTAAAAAGCATCATCCTGAACGAGCTCGAGCATTTCTCCAGAGGCTCCGATAGAGAACTCGTACGAGAAGCTGTGCGAGCCATCGGCCGGTGTGCGCAGAGTGATGCAAAAACATCAACACGATGCCTGAGTCTGCTTCTAAAACAGATCACCAGTCTGGATGGCAATTTGGTTGCAGAATCTTTGACTGTCATCAGACATCTGATTCAACAAGATCCCACGCCCCATACCAACACGATCATACGGTTAGCAAAGAATCTCGACACGGCGACAAACCCTCGGGCCCGAGCATCGATCATCTGGCTCGTGGGTGAATTCGCCACCATCGATGGCGAGAATAACATCGCAGCAGATGTGCTCCGTATCTTAGCAAAAGGATTTGCGGATGAAGCAGAGCCCGCAAAGTTACAGATTGTACTCCTAGCAGCCAAAGTATATCTTCATCATCTCAACTCAATCACCGAAAACGACTCAATAAAACCTACACCAGCGCCAGCGCCAGCACACGAATACCTACCTACAGCTGGCAACGAAGGATTTGCAGAAATGAACGAACCACAAGAATCTGCATATCCGGTCTCAGAGCTAGAACCCCAACATCCTATCGTAAAGCTCTGGAATTACGTCCTTCTTTTAGCCCGCTATGACACCTCATACGACCTACGTGACCGGACTCGTCTCTATAAAGCACTCCTTGCTGTCCCATCATCTACACAGTTAGCAAGCCTGATGCTCCTAGCTCCTAAACCAGTGCCCCATACTCCGAGTCCATCAGAAAGCCGCACGGGATTTACTCTTGGCTCAGCAAGTCTAGTTATAGGCGAGGAAAGCGGCTTGCACGGCCTGAGGGGCTATGAAGCATTACCAGACTGGGTAGAGGCGGGTAGGGAGCCGGATCCCTCCTTGAGAGACGTGGACGCCGGCAAATTGGAATATGACGAAAAACGGCTCGTACCAGCTGGCGAGCGGTTGGATAGCGCTATGAAGGATACCAGAGGGGAGTCGCCTTCGAAAGCTAATGGTTTCGGGGCTGCAGGGGGAAAGGAAAAGACACTTGATGATTGGCTGGCTGAGGATGAGGGCGAGGAAGAAGAGACTGAAGAGGAAAGTGAAGAGGAGGATGAAGACAGTGAAGGGGAGGAATCTAGCGAGGAGATATCGGACGCTGAAGAGGATGAAAGCAGTGATGACGACGACAAAGAGCACGATAGACTCGTTAAATGAGGTTACAAGTAATTCTAAAGCCTGAACAAAGGCGTAAAACTAAGGCATTTGTTGCACGGCGCATGAAATATTGGGTCACAAAAACATTATAGATTCAGGAAAGAAGCCCCCGGCATTACTATTAGCCGAAAGCTTTCAGCTTGGCTTATTATTATATGCTTTTGCCTACAAATTTGGAATAGCGATTGGCATGACTGCGCGTCAGCCCTAAGTTGGTAGAGTTCAGAGATCAGAACGAAGCAGTCCCTAGACACAACGAATGAATGCATAATAACTGTACAAAAACCAAACTAACGAGGCCGTATTAAAACAAATCTCAGTGGCTTGAATAAAGCTCGACGTACTCCGAACCCCTCTATCGAAATTCAAACGATCGCTAATGCATATAATCGTACAAAAACACAACAACCACGGGCTAGCCAACAACTTGAAGGCTCCATCGAATTCCTGGGGAGGCCGACCACAATACTAATTGCGGGGATCCATGCTACACGCGAGAAACTGTGACCCTGACTTGAGGCTACAAAGAATGCTCCCGCTCACCACCGACGGCTATTAAGGGAGTTAGTAACAAAACAAGCAGTATTGCATGCCTGCAGGACATACCTGTAAGCTTCTGCAACCACAGGTGCTGGCCTCTTTAACTTCCGCGTATCATCCACCTGGCGTAATGGGTCGGCCTTTTTTCCGTTACCTAGCTTCTGAGCAGGCTGAGACAATTTTCCAAGGATCTCCTGCGACATAGGGCTCAAGGGAGAACCGTCTTGGTCACCAGTATTGCTGTTCGAGCGAGACATGCTCTCAGCAGCAGGCCCCGCTTGTACCGAGGCTCCTGGATTCACAGCAGAAGAATATCCATAGTTGGGATTCCCGTCGCTAGGAGGAGTTTTCTGGTTTTCGAAGCCATTTTGACCTGAGACGTTGCTATAAGGTCCTCCTGCACTCGCATAGCCCGAATCTTGACGGGATGGCGGACTGCTCTGGATGTTGGCTCCATATACTTGTTGACTCGGCGGCCCATTTCCATAATTTTCCTGCACACCATTTCCGTAACCATTCGTTGGACCACTGCCGTAGTTTGGATGTTGTTTGTATGGCTGGGGATTGTAGGTGCCGTTTTGGAGTGGCCCAGTCCCATATTGGGGAGCATGGTTAAGTGGGGTCGCACCGTACGGTCCATTCGTTACGGGACCATTGAAAGGAGAAGGGTTTGTAGGCGGTCCATATGGAGGGTTTCCGTGCTGTTGAGGACCATACGGCGAAGACTCAGGTGGCCCATACTGAGGACCAGCATGCGAAGCATTATGAGGAACCCCATTATGATACTGAGGATTAGCGGGTGGTGGAAACTGTGGCTGATATTGTTGATTGTTGGCATAAGGAGGATGAACAGCTGGGTGTGGCTGCGGTGGGGGGTGGTTAACGTATTGAGAGTTAGAAGGTGGCCCAAATTGTGGTTGCATTGCCGGAGCATTGTTAAAACCTTTATTAATAGGTGGATTGGCTGGGAAATTTGACGGGGGTGCTTGGTTGATGTGTTGGTGACTGGATGGGAATGTTGGACCACCATGCGGAACGTGGATTCGTTCTTCAGGCGGCGCCTGGTAGGGCGGAAGTGAATCTTTCTTCACGGGTTTTGGAGCACCTGAAACCCCCAAGGATGCAAGTAGTGCTTCGGTGGGATCTTGCGCTGGTGTAGCTGAAGCAGCGCCCTCGCCTGGCTGTGGAGCCCAGACATCATCGTCAGTTGCAACACATGGAGTGCCAATTCTTGCTGCCAATACTGGAGTAGTGACCATAGGAGTTCCAGGTGTTTCTGGTCTGTCCTCCAATTGCTCTTCCACATCTTCACCCTTCTGCCGTTTACTAGGCGGAGCGTCGTCCTCGGGCTCAAATGCAGCTTCTAGAACAATCTGATTATCAACATCCCCTTGCAAGTCTTCGTGCCCATCTTCTGTTTCTCCAGACCTTGCTCGTTTACGAGACGTCTCTAAATCGCCCTCAGCATCTTCTATCATGCCATGTCGAGCTGCAATCCATGCAGGAATATCATCCAATGGGATCAAGGGTGCATCCAAATTGATATCCGAGAAAGCAGGATCATCCTTCAAAAATGACCACTGCGGAGCGCTTCTAATGTCTCTCGTGAACTCTTTCAAGTTATCCTTTCTGGCATATCTAGAAACCGAAATTGATGACTTGCTATCAAGGAGAGGGACAGGCGTCATGGCAAAGTTAGTAGACAGTGGCTGCGCAAGCCCGACAGTTTCTGGAATATGAGGCTCTTTGAAGATGCACTCCAAGGCCCAATTAAATTGCCCCTCAGCATCAGACTCGTCACCATCTTCTTGCTGTTGGGATGAACCCTCTCCGCCTTTGACGGTAGGGTTGGCTATGCCACGTGCTGCTTCTTTTAAAACGCTGCTAACAACAGACTCACGTCGCCCATGCGGTGTGCTTGCCCGGCTAGAGCTTTTCGACCGTGTCCCTGGGACAAAAGGGGCAGCCTGCGCAACCTTGGGTGTTGGCTGTTGGATGCTCCCAACATTAGATGCAGGGGTCCTTGGGGTTTGCTGGAGACTTTGAGAACCGTGTCTCTCCTGGCGCGGCTGGTGTGAATGGGCCTGGAAGCCAGGAGTTGCGGAATGGTAGCCCGAATCTGAATATGCTCGCTGTTGGCGGTGGTAAGGTGGAGCGCTACCTGGTCCAGGAACTGAAGGCGTATTGTTCCATCGTTGAGGGGGTGCCTGAAAATTGGGAGGGCCATAGTTTCCGCCATAATTGCCACCATGGGATGGCGGATACGCGTTTTGGGGTTGCTGGTACGGGTTGGCAGGCTGGGGAGGACCATACTGCGGAGGACCATACTGCGGAGGACCATTGGGCTGAGCCGGCCCAGCATATTGCCCAGATCCGTTGGCACCGGAGTAAGGATTGTAAGGGGGCTGTTGGTTTCCATAATTACCGTATTGTGAATTTACTGGAGCGGAATATGGTTGATGTACTGGCTGAGGGTGAGTGTACTGTGGTGCTGGAGGACCATACTGTTGAGTGGGCGGATAATTTGGGTAAGGCGTTTGTACTGGGCCATGTTGCGGTGGAAAAGCTTGGGGTGGTGGCGCTGGACCAGGATATGGTTGATATTGCGGAGCAGGCGGAGCGAAAGAACTGCTTCTGTTACCATTCTGTAGGCCAGAATTCGGAGCGGACACTATGACAAATAAGAGTATATTTGGGCATGGGACAGAAGAGCGCCATTTGGCCACTGGCATTTCCAGATGCCGGATGTTCAGAGCCACGTGATGGGGAAAGGCCACTGGGCCCCTATAGAATGCGCAACGCGAAGCTCGGATGCTATATATTTGTAGAAAGGACTCTCCAAGGGCGGTGCTACTTACTTCGGAGCTTGACGTGAGGGCTCAGGACAGGCGATCATGAAATGACCTTCCCGGCCGCAATTGAAGCAGATTGGAGGCCGGTTTCCATGGCTGGGCTTGGCGGCTGTTGGGAGTTGACCTCCTTGGGCCCAAGGTGCTGACATGGCGAAAGCTAAAGTGAATTTTGCTTTTTCTGGAAAGTCATCGAACCGACGCTTGATTGGAGTTGCGAGACGGCAGGAGAGGACGATCAACAGTATCAAACCGCGCTATCTAGAAGCTGAGCGCTCCCCCCGCCTTATGTTGATGTTGCAAAGCAAAGACCGGAAAGAAGGATTTTGTTGAGCAGTGGGCACAGGCAGCCACTGCGCTGTGAAACGTCTGTAGATGTAGTTGTCCGTCAAAGGCACCTTGAGAGGTTCAACATGCGTAGCGTGGTGCTTCGAAGGGCTAGATCCGCAAAATATCAAGTAGCGAGAAGCAAACGCTCTATGATCACCTGATCCAAAGCAAGAGAGAGGAATTCGAAAGCCAGATTTAAAGACGAACAGCCTCCTTCATTGAGAAAAGAGATGGGGAGGGAGAGGAAAGAGAGACATGGTAGTTGAAGCTGAATATGAAAGACTCAGAAACAAATTCACGAGAAGTAGCGAGGCATGTATGAAGTTATGTTCCCAGCCAGGATGTGGGACGGGGGTTGGCACTATGCCCCATTAGGAACACTAGCTGCTGACTACTCACTACGGCGGCGGGCAGAACCACACTGTGCTCCATTCGCGACAACCCCTGGACGCCGTGTTGATAATCAGACTTTTGGTGTAGTGAGCTGTAGCTTCTGGACATTCCGTTCACATCTATATTCACATCCACACCGCGTCCTCCTCCGCGGCGCCTCAGAGTTCAAATCTCTTTGATATGACTTAGCAGCCAACCGGCCAGGCGACCATGTTGTTGCACCAGCGCTCATTACTGAAAGATATCGCATGTGCCACCTGCTGCCCTCAACCGAATCCAACTTGCGCTTGATGACAATATGCCCGGCCTGCCGTGTAAGTTTGGGCTCCTTCGTCGTCTTGCTGTCTTGCGGGCGGGCTAGCTACAGCTTGCTAGTCCTTCTATGCAGACTTGGTTATGCTGTTATTAATTCGCCGCCTTCTCTTATAGCATCGGTCGACCTTGACGAATGCATCGAAAGGCTTTACAAGAAGAACCTACTCGCGGAATCTGTCATCGAGGCAATATGTGCGAAAACCAAAGAGCTGCTGATGCAGGAGAGCAATGTTGTGCATGTACAAGCGCCAGTTACTGTTGTCGGTGATATTCATGGGCAATTCTACGACTTGATCGAAATATTCAAGATCGGGGGGTATTGTCCCGATACCAACTACCTCTTCCTAGGTATGTAGCCTTGCATATAACTGCTGGCAAAAGCTATAGAATAGCGCAGGCGTATATGGCATTCTATAGCTCTATTCTATTGGCACGCCTTCTAGCAGCATGAGTACGACGTTGATCAGGCCTCTGACTTACTTCTCTAGGCGACTATGTTGATCGAGGCATGTTTAGCGTGGAGACGATTTCCCTTCTTGTCTGTCTAAAGCTACGATACCCACACCGAGTACATTTAATCCGCGGAAATCATGAATCTAGAGGAGTTACGCAATCATACGGGTTCTATACGGAATGTTCGAGGAAATATGGAAATGCCAACGTCTGGCATTATTTTACAGATATGTTTGATTTCCTCACGCTGAGTGTTGTCATCAACGACCAAATATTTTGTGTCCATGGAGGTAAGTAGCATCCCCGTCTCGTCATCAAGCCAGCTCATGGGCTAACTTTTGCTCCCTAGGACTATCACCCTCCATTCATTCTATAGATCAAATCAAGATAATAGACCGCTTCCGCGAAATCCCGCACGAAGGCCCTATGGCTGACCTGGTCTGGTCCGATCCCGACCCGGACCGCGACGAATTCTCTCTATCCCCTCGAGGCGCGGGGTATACCTTCGGCGCGCAAGTCGTCAAGAAGTTCTTAGCAGTGAACAATATGTCGCATATCTTACGCGCCCATCAACTCTGCCAAGAAGGATACCAGGTCCTCTACGACGACCTCTTGAGTACGGTTTGGAGCGCACCAAACTACTGCTACAGATGTGGAAATATGGCCAGTGTGTTGGAAGTTAGTGATACGGGAGAGAGATTCTTTAATGTTTTTGCTGCGGCGCCGGAGAATGATGTGCATAAGGGAGATATTCAGCAGGGGGGCCAGGATAAGCTTGCGGATGGGAACTCCCTGCCAGATTATTTCTTGTAAATACCTACTCTCGATAGAACTCACGGCTGATGACGGAAGTATGTAAATTCAGTGCTTGTGTATCCCGAGTCCCAGGTTTCGTTTGCAAGTTCGTAAATTCGTGTACGCTAGCAATGCGGTCTCTGAATTGGTATCTTCTCATCTACAGCTAGGATATTGCAGGCTGGAAATTCACCGCTCAGTCGCTCAATAAACCATCCCTTTATCAACCATAAACTTTTCCATGCAATGTTCCGAGTTAACCATTTTACCAATCCTTCGAAATATCAAAGGCCCACTCGAATTCCAGATGGCGCTTCTTGTCGTCGTCAACGAATGTGGAGACCGCGGTGTAGTGTCCTCGGGCCAGCATGCCGGATGGAGCATCTTCCTCAGCAACTATGGAGAATTAGCAGTGAGCCCAATTTTACGTACTATATATAGGGGTGAAACAACATACATCTCTTTGTGTAGACGGGATTCTGATCAGTGTTCGGTGCGTACGATCCCTAAACCCATATATTAGCTCTCGTCTCTCGGTGAAAATGCCGCTAGGGCCCTGAGACATACGATCATCTCCTGGTCTTTGCCGACTCTGATGCCCTTCCGCTTTACAATTTGCACGTAATGCAGGCCACTCAGAATCTCGTGCTGGACCTTGAACTTGGCGGTCATGCTGAACTTGGCACCTTCCTTGATCTTGAATGGCTTGTCCTTCAATGTGCTTTCACTGCCCTTCTCGGATAGATCGATGGTGACGGGTGGTCGGCCCTCAGAGTCCATGGTCAGAGACAGGATAATGCAGTGTCGCGGGTCGTTGGGGTCGGAAATGTCCTTGCCAGCACCGCCGAGGCCTAGGGACGCCTTGTATCGCTGCATTGCGTCGTCGTCGGCATCTGCGGATTAGAGGACGTCTTGTCAGTAACATATCTTGAGCTTTGAAATTGAGCAACAGTGGGTTAAGGGTTCCATCAGAGGCTTGAACCCTCAGATCCGGTCCAACTCTATCCTACCCCGCTATCTCGCCGAGCTTTTGGGTTGAGGAAGTGAACGAGCTATTAGGGGGAGCTCAGGGAAATATTTCGTTCGAAGATTACAGAACAATATAAGAAAGAGTGTTGAGTCGGAGGTGGAAAACGTCCAAGCTCAAATATCAAAACCTACCAAGCTTGCTGTACTCATCCATGGTCTTCTTCTCCCCCACCTTGTATCCCTCGGTCTGATCTGGCAGAAGATCAGTTGGGTCATTGCTAGCGGACGCCATGATTGCGAGTTCGCGGTGTGTTTAACGGTGTTGGGCTTCTTTGCGGGATGTGACGCGGTGTGGAAGTTCAAAAGTGAGTGAGGTTGTTGTTGTTGTTGTCAGTCCTCCAGGATAGTGAGCCTGGCCACGGATATCCCGCCAGCACCCTGAAGACCCCGCGCTGTCCGCCCACCGCCATTTCCGCAAGGGGCCCCAGCCACGTGAGGAGGCAGAACCTGGACCTGGAAGCTTATCGCGCCGGGCTTTTATAGATGCTATGTTTATGGGGTTACGGGGTGCAGGTGCAAGTGCAATATGTAGCTAATAAGCAAGATCCAGGTTACTGTTTCTACAGGTACAAGTACCTTACTAAGGTAGCTTTATGCCGATGTCAACAAAGGTAGATTACCAGGATTAGCTACCAGCACCTCAGGTTGCAATGGATCCCAATTTCCCTTTTGGGAATTAACTGATCACGTGTTTCAGGGGTAGTTGGCCGGTGAAAAAATCGAACTGTTGCAGATCAGGCGTACAGAGCAGGTGGGAATAATACCTAATCTGATTTTTCTTGAGCAATCTCTTCGAATAATAACGAGAGAAACGTGGTCGAGCTGATTAATTTAAACAGCCTAATTAAGCAAATAACGAGAGCCCGTCCGGATCGGGGAAGGCCCCAGCACTCCCAGCCTCCCCTTTTGACGTTTGAACCCTTTCGAAGCGGCTAGAGACTTGCCAGCCAACTGCTAGAGAGCCAGAGTGGACAGTGGACACTTATTAGACCTTGCGCCGCTACGCTACTTTTGCTCCTAGGCACTGCTAGGCACTGCTACACTCCACTCGAGCCGTGTTGCTACGTACGCCTAATACGCTTAAACGCTGTACTCCGTGCGACTCCGTGCTTCCTCACTCAGTATTATTCCTTACCGCGCTTCATACGACGTACTCCAGCTCTTCACAAGGAGCCCGTACTGCCCGCACAACTCCAGGGTTCCCTTTGTTCGCGGATCCTCGACATTGAGACATTCTGCGCATTGCGCCGGCGACCCATTCTTCGCGTGTACGGCTTTTGGGCGGTTTTTTGAGGTTCCGGCATCTTCAAACTCATACCGCTGTCCCGCTGTCGCGAGTTGATTCGTGCCAGTCCCAGCCTTCTCCAGCAACTCACTCACCTCCACCTCCACCGCGTCCTTTAATATCGGTACGTTAAAAGATTTCGCATATACCGGTCATACCGACGATGCGCCGTCCGCGCTGTCGATTGTCCAATTCTGAGGGCTAACGTTATGGCAGCACAGGAGCCTTGCTGAGCTGTTCTCCTCCAATTGGCCACCTGCGACCGAAGAGCATCCATATCCAAATATCCTTTAGAAATGTCTCCCAGCTCGATTAAAGATGCGGCGACGCCTAGTCGACACCTCCCAGAACGGGTGAATCCCCTGATGGCCGAGGAGGTTCCACCATGTAAGAAAACCACACCATCGTCGCGTCGCGCAAACTGACAACCGCAGATGAGACTCTCGTCACTCGTCGTCGCCTGGGGCAGACCGACCTCGCGGTCAAGACGGGCCAGGCTGGAGTGAAGCCGAAAAACCTAGGCACCTTTGACTACGCGCATCTACGAGCTCCGCTGCCGAAAGGAATCATGTCTGGGATCTTCCACCCTTCGCCGGCCTCATATTTCCTGATGCGCCGGAGCAATGATGGATATATCAGTGCGACGGGGATGTTCAAGGCAACTTTCCCGTATGCGGAGGTAGCTGAGGAAGATATGGAGCGCAAATATGTCAAGGGTCTCGAGGACACCAGTGCTGATGAGACCGCTGGCAACGTCTGGATTCCCCCTCAGAGCGCACTCAAGCTCGCCGAAGAATACCAGATCCTGCCCTGGATTCAAGCGCTTTTAGATAATACGCCTATCGAGGTTAATCCTACGAGAGATGGCTCACCAAAGCCAATCAGCTCGCCTCCCAGCTTCTTTCTTTTGCCACAAGAAGCGCTTGCGCCGCCAACACCCAGCCGTGGTCGTACGCGTCGGTCTGCCTCCCCGAGCAAGATTGCTTCCCCAAGAAAAACCGTCGGCTCGACGAGAGCACGGAAGTCGAAAAAGGAAGACTCGGTGGAGCCGTCAGCTAAGGCTGCCAGCAAGAATTTCCAGCAAGCGTTGAAAGCAGCTGCCAACGAGGATACCGAATCCAAGAAGGCTACCGAAAAGGAGAAGGCTCCCGAAAAGGAGAAGACTTCCGAAAAGGAGAAACCCGAGGAGACCGCTGAAGAACTTGCGAACGTTGAAGAAGAACCTGTTGTCCGTGTCAACGTTGACACGGAGGTAGAAGTCAAGGGTGACGTGGAGACAACTCATACACACGTGGAGGTTGAGATGCCAGCTGGTTCGGCTGAGTTGCCATTGCCTGAAGACACCGAAGCCATGATCGCCAAAGCGAAGGAAATGGTCGAGGCAGCAACGAAGAACCAAAACGCAAGTGATGCAGCTCCTCCAAAGAGGTCTAAGCGGAAAGCAGAGGAGGTCGAGGATACGGAGAAGGAAGAGGGCGCCGAAGTCCCCGCCCCAGCAAAGAAAGTAAAGGTGGATTCTGAGCTTAAGAAAGAGAGAGTGAAGACAAGAGCATTGATTGGAATCAGCGCTACGCTAGCTCTTGGGTAAGCATCCCTGCAACGCCTTGTGACAATTGTTTTACTAACTCCAAAATAGTGCCGCGGTTCAATATGCATTCAGTGTCTTGTGATAGACCAGTTTATTCCTTTTTTGCAATTCTTTTTTTGTAGTTAGGCGTTGATGAGTGTCAGGCTACATACCCTCGTTAGGGAGTCTCACCAGATACCCAACCCCCTTTCGAGTATACATAGCAAGTAGTGTTGTGTACTTGAGTACATCCGTCCGTTCCTGGGTCACATCTGATAAGCTCTTTTAATTCGAAAAATTTATGACCTTACCCACCTACCTTACCTTACGTACCTAAAGTTGTGGTCTACTTGGCTCCTTCAGTGCTAAACTCACGTGATGAGCGAGCCCCTTCCCTTCCAAATCTCCACACCTCCGTGTGCTATTTTCCACATAGAGATATAGTGACTACTCTCTTTCCTCACTCTTAATTCCTATCGTGGCAGTCGTCACTTACACTCGTCCTTATAACCCCTTAACGTGATCCGGCAAATATCTCTTCCAGCATGGCTCCAGAAAACCGCCAACGTCGACGCCTAAGCAGCGCTACTCGCGCATTAATCGCAAGCCTTCCCCAGCAGAGCGCCGAAGACTTCGAACGAGCCTACTCCAGGACTCCTGCGCCGCCCAAACGGTTTGGAAAGACTCGTCAGCGATTGAATATATCGAAATTGCGATGCCCATCTCGTTCGGAGACGCAGGTCGTGCAAGTCACTTTAGCAAATGCTTCGAGGAATCAAATTGATAATGAAGAAGTTTGGGGGAAAGATGATATGCGACAAGTGCATGTGTTATCAAAAAGTGCTCAAGTAAGCAAGAGGGTGACTTCCAAGACATACTCTAAAAAACGATCCCGTATCGCCTCCCAGGGTCTCCAGGTGGATCAGCTTCAGGACGGGTTCGGGATGTCGCAAGGTGCGGATAGCGATGGTGAGGGTGCCCAGGAGCCGGGCTTTAAGGAGCAATGTCCAAGTCATCAACGTAACGCAAGCCGCAAGGCCGCAGAAGGTCACACGGAAGAACTCGAAGACCGCTGTGAGGCTACACCAACTGACGACCGTAACATTCATACACACAGTAGTAACGCCAAATGCAAGGCTGAAAATTCGAAAATTCGAAAGAAACGGAAGAAATGTCGGAGATTGCCAGTCGATCAATTAGTGGTCCTCTCCCAGAGACTCTCGGACTCGGATCCGGATACAGAGAGCGGTAGGTCCTCATATCTGCCGGCCTATATATTGCAACTATCCTAACCATAACTGCGTAGTGAGACTAGCCGAGCTGTCGGATGATCCTATCTCCCAGCTACACTCAGAAGAACGACCAGCTAGTAACCGTCGTAGCAAGCGGCCCCAGAAAGCTTCCGCCAAATACCGGGTGGGCAGCATCTTTGGATCCATTGATATTTCAGAATTCCGCTTGCCAAAAGTCTACGGCATATCTTCGAGTGGGAAACGTGGACTCCAAGAAAGCCCTTCATACTCTGACGGCTTTGAAGGCATCGAAACTAGATCTATTAAATCATCAGTTGCTTGGAGCGAGCCCAGGCGACGCCGTGTACCGAGAACGCCAGTTAGGGTTGGTAGACTGACTCTTGTCACCGAGCGGAACCCTTGGGAGCATGTATTCAGAGAAAGCACGAATCAAAGCAGGCGACTACGTCGACTCAAATTTGGTGACTCAGCGCATGTCCAAAATGATCAGCATTCAACTATAGATAACCAAGGATCGGCTCTTTGTCTTGGACAGCAGGTTCCGCAAGACTTTGTGCACAACACTGGCAGTGAGACTCATATGGATGTAGAATACCAGGAGCCTTACGACGGGGACAACCACCAAGAGTTCCATTCCGAGCAGCAATCTCAGTCCATGCTCACTGAGTTCACACCAAGTATACAAGGCGCAATAGGAACAGAGGCACTAACATCCAGGGTATACTCCACGGACATCACCACAGATCCGCCGTTGGAGAGGCACCGTAAAGTAACGTTTAATCTTTGTGTAGATGACCAGAAAGAAACCCCGAATAGCACTGCTAAGAGCTTACAATCCCGATCCAAGCCATCAGCGGAGCTTAACGTTTCCCAGAGCTTTAAATTGTTTTCAACGACGTCCTCGAGAAATCCCAGGAAGGACGAGATAGAAGTCTCTCAACGATTGATGATGGTTTCTGTGCCACGACCCATTAAACCGTCGAAGTTGGATGATGCAAAAGACGAAGAAGCTGCCACCGATGGTTCAACCGACACCGATGATTCGAGCAGCTCCGGCCAGGAGACTGATGATGATGAAAGCGATGAAAGCTTAAATGATGATTGGGAGCTTGAGGGCAGAACCACATTCGAAGATGTGGAGGTCGAGGAAGTAGAAGGAGGTGTGAACTCGCAGTCGATTTCCGGCGATGTGAATATAGAAGCGAGCGGTGATGTTAGAGAAGATCGACCGGAATCGCTTGAGCGGGTTTTAGACTCTGACCGCCCTTGCGAGCAACCACCCATTGATGAAAAAGATGAAGATGAAATGGCCTTATCTCATGCAACTCAGTCACCCCCCACCCATCATGCTCCCATCCAACTGCCCTCAAAAATGGATATCCCGAAAGTCGAACAGCCAATTCCGCATGAAGGAGGTAAACACATCGAAGACACCGCAAATGCTCTTGAACAAGTTGCAAGTCAAACCATTGGCATGTCAGAAGCAGATGATGGGAACAAGAGATTAGGCCTGCTAAACACTGAACATTTGCAGATATCACGGGACGCACCGCTAACATGTCATCTCATAAAGGCGGATGAAGACCCTATGGAAATCCCGACACCCCTGCCCTTGAGAAATCGGGCTCAGCGCGGCTTATCCAGAAGATGCCCATCAAGAATTCCGTCTTTAACTATCGTCCCATCGCGCCAAAGCCCAGATCTCGATATGGAGACTACTATTGTGTGTCATACGCAGGCATCAATTGAGTTAGGAGATACACAGGTCTCAGATGCCAGCCGATGTAATGAGGAGCCTGGAATCCCCGAGACTCAAGTCGACGATAAGCCTGACATTCCCGAACCTCAGCAGACATATGCCCCGGAGTGTTGCAGTTATTTTACTCGTGCATCGCAAGATCTAAACGGCACACTTCGCTCTGTACCTATTTCTCGCACACGATCCATGCCGTCCAAATTTTATCCCTCATCCTCGCAGTTAGAAGAGAAGGAGTGGAATTATGCTTCTTCTACTCCTCTTGGGCTTGTATCTGGTCCAAAAATTATTCCCAGCAGGTGTTCAAGTCAGGTTACTTCAAAGGAGCAACGTTTGAATACTTTAACTAGAACGGCTAGTTTGAGGCTGGGCATGTTTTCAAGCAATGGACCGAGGAGGATGATGAAACTCCCATTCACACCGCCATTCAAGAAACCTATATGAGGTAGCGAAAGCGCTGGACAACTCTGAAATGGTGTTCTTGCATTCGACGAGCTGTCTAGAAAGTTGACTTTGGCTGAAAAGTATTATTAATACTCTTATGTGCTATTTCCTCGAGGCGGTTTTTATTTTGGGAGAAATTGGCAGATTTTGCTATGCTCATCATTTTATGAGATATGCTCAGAGACAGGAATCTCTTGGTTGTTATAATTAATATTCTAGTTGCCTATATCCAGCTATCACCTAGCTTATAGACCATAACCATTTTATCAAGCACTTAGCTACGAGTGTGTGGCACGAGTTTTCGGCTCCGAGGAAATCGCAGACTATATGCCCCTATCTACCTTTTGATCAGGAGTTGCAGCTAAATACTGGCCGAATTATGGAGGCCACTGCATAGTTTGTTCAGATTCCTGTTCTGGTAGGCTTGCATTCGCTTGCCAACAAATTTATAAAGAACCTAGGCCGCGGTTTATTAGAGATGTGAATCCTATTTGAAGTAGGCGTCATGCATGGTGACTCATGTATGCATTGCCACATTTGGACAAGGCTACATCACGAGGCAGAATTGATGAACGGACAATTTACCAATCTCCAACAGCTGCCTGATACTTGATATTTATTGTCGAGGCATGAAAGGCTGGGAAATAACAACGTGAGTCTACACGTTCCATCACGGTTCACCTTTTCCGAAACAAAACATCTTTCCAAAAGCTTCCCCTCGACTCTAAGAGAAAGTATCTTTCAACTAACTCCGGCCCGAATATTTCTTGCCTTTCATCAGCTGAGCCAACATTTTCCGAGGTAAGGAGTGGCTTTACCATGTCCATTCATATTTAGAACTGCAAGCAAGACTTACTCCATATAGATATCTCGTCGATCACCACATTTGGGGGTTAAAATGGCCGACGATCAAGCAAAAAATGACCGCGCAGCTGTCACAGCAAATTTGAACGACCAGAAAACCCTCGCACAATTGTCATCTTCCGGAAAAGCTGCTCAAGACGCTAGGCCCAGTGCGATGGCACGACATGCGAAGCGGAAACAGGCTGAAGATCAGGCTCGGGCTCAGGCTGAGGCTCAGGCACGAGAGGCAGGAGGTAGCAAGGATAGTGGCGGTGGAAAGGGTGGACAAGGACAGTAAAGTGTGTTTTATGACGTTCGTCACTACCATTAAGCAGCTCTTGTCAGGGTCAGCAGAGAGTTCTCGAGGGAAGCAAACACACACACACACGCACACGGAGAGAGAGCGAGAGAGAGAATGGACATTAATCAGTAAATGCGAATTGATCAATCGAAATACTCATTACAAAACTGTTCCCGGTTGTATTCTACATTGATGGTATTATTTAAGGCCCCTACGCCCCAACTATTAAGTATAGACAACATTCGAACTTCCCCACCCATTATCACCCACCCTCGTCAGAATTGCTGTCTTTGGGTTCTTCAACAACATTTTCAAATGCTTTCCGTAACTGATCATCGTACACTTCTTTATCCTTGAGTTTCTTTGATATGACTTCGGCTGCATCAACGCCCCAATATGGCGCCACGACATCATCGAAAATTGGGTTATCACAGTGCGATTCCTCGAATTTTGGCTGAATATGCTGGAGGAACATATTACATAGCCCTTTCGGACTCTCTAAAGCCTGGAAATACCAAAAGTTACCAATCTTCCATCCTCGTCTCATAATATGAGATAAAGGGCCTCCATTTGTCGGAGGAAGCAGCGCCTCTTCCTCTTCAAAAGCAGTCATAAACTCTTCATGAACGCTGCTATAGGCGTCTAGATATTCCCCCTTCGGTAGCTGATCGACTCCTCGACTCGTTAGCCAATATGGAGGGTGTAGCATTTCGATCGGTAATGAGGATGACCATTCTAGGTCAACTAGGAACTTAACATTCCAATCATCGTCGACGAATATATTGCTCTGGTGTAGGTCTGTGAGGTTAAAAATAAAGGGGCCATGACGAACATCGCGGCTAGTGAAATGAGGGTAAATTGCTCGCATAGCTGCTATAACGGCCATCTGTGCCCGACCGTCGTACTCATCGCGAATAGAATTAGGCTGAAACCGTATACGGCTGTCGTGACATGCTAAGAGATCGAGTAAATAAGACTCCGTAGTAGAGTAGGTAAGATCTCTGTCGATGTTGGTTTTGACTCCCTCATTTTCTAGATGATGAAGCCGGAGTGTTAACGGGCGGTTTGATAGAGCCAAAACCCCACGGTCGTCAATTGTTAAAGATCCTATACGTGGTAGAGGTAACTGAGCTAACGAGAGGATAATGCGTGATAAACTCCGAAAAAGGTTGGTTCTTCGATCATAGTCGTGTCGTAGCTGCTCCCAGGATTCCGAAAGCATTTTCCCATCCGACTCTTCGATATAATCCATAATAAGATATCCAACCCCGAGAGCGTGAGGACATGTGTGGCCTATGTATCGACAGGGACGAGGATATCTGAATAAGGATAATACTGCTCGTCGAACGTACCACATGAGTCGAGCGTGAAATGGCATTTTATTAGGTGTGGTGAACTTGTATGTAATTAGTATCTGCTTTAGAAGGGGAGCTATATATCGATGACATACACTCCGACCCCCTGGAAACCCGAATCCCCATAAATACGGTATTGGAACAGTAGGACAGTTTTCCTGGATCCAGATAAAGGCAGCAGCCTCACATCGGAGTTTCTCCTCCGCATTCCCTGGGTGTTTTGATTCCCCTACCTTGTACGGCAGAGGAAGCCTAATAAGCACCCTTCTAGCGTGGTGCTTAGCCCTTTTGTCGATATAAATTGGTATGCAAACGTTGAAGCTACCTGCTATCCATTCATCGACACCCCCCATTCGACACATATCTACCCCAAAACCAAGATGGTATGAAACGGTAGCTTCAATTTCGCGGCGACGAGCAAAGAGATAAACAAAGAAATCAATTCGCTGATCAGGGTAGGATAACTCTTGAAGTATGTTATCATCGTTCTCCAGAGCTGATTTTAACGAGATACTCCCCCGAAGTAGTGGCAGAGATTTCGACATATTCAGGGGTTTGGGTGAGAGTGGCATTGTACGGTGAGCTTGATGTGAGGTTGTCAAGAATCAAGAAGATTGCCGGAGCACAAGCTGTTGTTAGATCATGTGACCTCCATCTGCTTACTCAGCAATTATCCGTTCTGTACAGTACAGATAGATTCGTTTCCCCTAACAGGATTCTCCTATTTAAACTTAATCTATTTTACATACTTAATCCTACAGTTATTGTTTAACTAGAAGATTCATATTCAGCGTGTTCACTAGCCAAGGCACACGTGACCCTCACCCCTTTTCTTATACAGCCGTTACGTAGAATAACAATTTTAGCGATTTGTTTCTTGTATTTATAAGTATACCTTGAAGTATTCTTTTTAAACTACCTAATAACTTGGGTAATCTTTTACTCCTATATCTTATTATTAACTTTAAATCTATAGGTTATATATTTAAAGTTAATATTCTTTAGTTAACCTCTACTTAAGTTTTAAGTTTATATTAATACACTATTTTACTCCTAATAGTACTATCTAACAAGTATTACCAGGACAGTACTGAATCATGGCGAGGAGGGCAATAGCAGGAACGGCGATGTCTTTGGTAAGATGCATTTTGAAATCCGAGAGAGTTGGGAAGAATTTGATTGGAACGAGGTTAGAAAGTTATTTTGCATGAAGGCTGCTCGTTGTTGAAGGCTCTGGAAGTGAAGTGAAGTTAAGTATGTTATTGAATGAAGGTTTTGAAGGAGAAATTGGGTGGACTTTATACTGCAGAGCGTTGTTGACTATGCCAACAAATTCGAAAGGATTTGGAAGAAATATCAAGGGCGTTGTGAGATGGACAGGATGATGTGGCCTGAAACGATCCTCAATTCAGGAGAGAAAGATATGACATAGGGCTCATGTGGTGAAAAATTAACCAATGCACCTATTTTGATACTTGATATGAGGCTGTGGTTGGTGTTGGTGTTGGTGTTTCGAAGGGGGCGCAAACGACGAGGTCTGCACGGCCATGCTCTTCCTCTTGAGTTTTTTTGGCCTCATTTGTCGTGGAGTAGTTTCTAGCAAATCTTATTTTGCTACCCAAATTCATTGCCATTCATCTGTAATACTCTTTCCTGTCTGCATCCTCACTCATAAGTTCATAACAAATACATACATCATGGACACGATCCTCGAAACCCAGTCATCACCTATTGCCATAACTAAAGGCTTCATAACGAAGGCGGAGACCTACATCGCCATGCATTGCCATGATAAAATATTCAAAAGAGTCACTGTGCTCGACGAGACAGGCAAGAAGCTTTTTACTGTGGAGAGCAAACCCTTTGCATCATGGAGCTGGCGTCGTACAATCAAGGATATTTCTGGTATTCATATATTCGACTTGCGAGAAGGTATGGACAACGCCATAAGGCACAAGTGGATTGCAGAGAGCCCGAGTGGTAGGGAGATCTGCTCTGTGCGCCATGCTTCACTACTAAAACGCTTGATTCTTGACGTCGCAGTCAAGGATGAAGAAGGTAAAGGAAATGAATCCATGGTTAGGATTATACCGACGGATCAAGGCGGTATCACGATGCTAGTCAATATCGAGGGTACGACTGCTGCTGAGATTCGAATGACGGAAAGCAACGTTCATTCAACCGACCGTGATAGGAGCGTTTGGAGGGCTCGAGTCGCTAGTGGGGTGGATCTCGTATTTGTAAGTACCAGCATCCAGTTATGTTTTAACATGCTAAGTTTATGGTTCAGATTGTGGCTATTATGCTCTGCCGAGCAGAGATACTGCATGCCTGGAAGAAATAAAATCTTGCCACCGAGACTACTACATCAGCCCAACACATCCATCCAACTGCCGATCGTTAATGAGATGAACTCTATATTTCTTCCCCTGCTGACAAAACTACCAATAACTGAAAAAATGGACTATCGAAATATAGCTAGGTACCCCAAACAATCAGGCCGGTTGCTATGGGTTTGCATAATCGGCAGATTAGTAAAGTACGGTTGGGAAACAAAAAAGCCGTACCTCGAAAGGAGTGTGAACTTGAGAGCACCATTTGTGTTGTGGCTGTAGCTGGAATCGCCGTTGATATAGGGTTTAGATGGCACGATTGCTTATAATACTTAGGATAGTATTTAAATCGCTTAAGAAATTTCTTTCGTTTCAATAAGTCAATTAAATTTTGGCTTGAAGTCTTTGTCTTGGTACTAGGCCTAAAGACGGTCTTGGATGTTGAACTTGGAATCTATAGTTATAAGACTTGCGGTCTGCACGCCCTCACGTTAGTTTTTAGTATCCTTAATTTTCCCACTGTGAAATGGACAGTCTGCTAATCCACGAGTCTCCATAAATTCGATCGTTGTTCTCATTTCATCTAACCCCTTTCCTTCTTGGGGTTTTGGGCCAATGGTCATCAAATCGTATCCCGAGGGATGGTATCTGTCTCCCGCTGTTCCTGGAGCCCTTCCACCAAGCGATCTCACAAACACCGCAACGGGGTTCCATGTTGCCCAGAAACTCGGTTTAACATACCAAGGCTGGAAGTTGTTGTGATTGAAGTTATACAGGCCTGACAGTGGGTTTGGATCGTCGTCTACTGGCTTTACTGCTAGGAACGAAGGCCGTGGAAGGTATAGGTACCGCAGAGCAAACTTCCGAAAGCTTGTACCTAACGTCAAGATCGAATTGAGGATGGGCCCAGGAGCTTCCATACTGCAGTAATTCCCGTTAGCTGACAAACGTATCATATTTCTTTGCACGCCTGTACTGCGGTCGGTTAAGGAAGCCGGGATCACTCACCAGAGACTGGCCCGCATAGTATCATCCAAATCAGACCCAACTACCTTTCTCAGAAGAGTTGTAAATAGCTTCGGCATGTTAGACGTCACAGAGTCGACATACACTCTAACGTACTGGTCGTTCGTTGGTTGTGGTTTCGCAACGACCGCTTCATATCGGATGGTCCAATCCCTGAGCTCCTCTGCGAAATGGAGACCATTGTCCCAACCGACCTGACTGGACGGGAGGAGCGTATACGGAATTTCCATATCTTGTCCCAGGTTCTTATGGAATATTCCAATGGCGCATTTCTCCACCTCTGAGAGCGCTCGCCACTCGTTTCTGTCCACGACCCGAAACAGTTCCACAACAGCCGAGCCCAAGGTATGCAACATATCCTCGTCCAGGATTTTGCCTGCCTTGCGAAATCTCGAATGCAGATAATTCATTCGAGCTACTGCTTGCATATAACGTATTGATTGACGATCTTTTGATTGCACCTCTCTAAGCAAGATTTCTGTGTCGACGGCCCGTTTCCCAGCAGTCTTCCTACTGTTCTGTCCCGTAGCTGCAAAAAGCTTCGACATCGTAGGGATTCCGCCGGCCTATATCTCCCGGTTAGGAGCTGTATTATGTATTGGGTGGACAGAATGGACCTTGAGCAACGCAGTCTTTCGAGCCTTGTTGAATGAATATGGAAACTCAAGTTCTTGTAACTGTTTTATGATATTACTTGCTTCCTGTGAAGTCATTGTTGATAACGCTCTTTTTCCATAGCCAAATTCAGACTTCAATTTGTCTGCACGTCGATATCGTAAAAATCGGACTAGGGGCAGGTATCCTAATACTAAGATGGCGAAAGGAAAGTAGCTCCACCGTGAACTCCAGTCGATAATAGTGACGTGGCTTGATTGTGAGGACGACATGCTGAATGCAAAACTTGGAGTCTTTTTCAAAATCAAGAAACTATGGCTTCGTCGTTAGTATTACTCGATAGACTGGAGTCACCCGATGATATACATACTTATCCGTTATTAAATGAATGTAGATAAGATAGATCCGAAATTATTCCGGTGAAATTCTCGGTATTAGGAAGCACGCGCTAAACGGAGCGATCTCAACAGATTTTGGCGCTCCTGGTTGAAGAGCACGATAGTATCAAGGCAACTAGGGGGCGAGCTGACCTCGGCAATTTGTGGGTCCCAGTCTTGAGAATGACGACGTCCGTCGCTAGATGTTCTCCCTTGGAACAATGTGTGAAGAAGATGTGCAATGGCCGAGGTCACTTTCCGGTCTATTCGATCATGCTAGCTAGCGTCGCGCTCTCAAAGCCATACCCAGAATAGTGGTGCTGTTTTGGGGGTTGAGGGGTCCATCACGAGCTTGAGGGCAGCTCCAGCCTGAAGTGAAGACCGACTCCTCAATTCTGCACCAAGCCAACATTGTCCCTAAGATCCCTTCCGCAATACCGAGGCAAAGTTTCATCTAGATATGTACATGGACATCTTAGCGTTTTCAATTGATATATGGCCGCTGACCGAGTTGACATCTCAAATAAAATCTAACTGAACGAACTTTACACTTCTAGCTAAGCTGTTGATTAACTCAAAATCGCAAAGCTGCTGTCACGATGTCTACCATCACCACTCCCCCAGCCTCATATGCCTCTACTGGCTACAAATACATCTCAGTGTCCCATGTGCCAGCAAACTCTCCCACGGCAACGAAAGTCGTCATCGTGGCTCTCAACCGGCCCCAGAAGTATAATGCAGTAAACGAGAATATGCTCACTGAGCTCGAGTCCGCATACACACTTTTCAACCAAGACGAGCGAGTTCGCGCCATTGTTCTCACTGGCAGGGGAAAAGCCTTTTGCGCTGGTGCTGACCTGGAAGTTGGTTTCGCCGGCTTGTTGGCCCACAAGAAGAGCCAAGGTTCGATGAACAAGTTTAGAGACCAGTAATTACCTCGTCCGCTACTTTTTACCAGAGGAATTATGGCTAACGCAGGTACTCGAGTAAAGGGGAGGCCGTGTTGCGCTCGCAATCTCCAATTGCACCAAGCCGACCATTGTTGCCTTGAATGGCCCGGCGGCAGGCTTCGGACTGACCGTGACGCTTCCGGCCACGATCCGGGTTGCGTGGGCGGATGCGAAGGTCGGCATTCCATTTTCTCGACGGGGCTTGACGCTCGAGTCCTGCAGTGCGTTCTTCTTGCCACGACTTATCGGCTTGTCCAAGGCCATGCATCTCGCAACCACAGGAGCAACGTATACAGCGTCAGATCCCCTCGTCAGCGGGCTGTTTTCCAAGCTGCTGCCAACTCCCCAGGAAACGGTTGCGTATGCGATCGAGACTGCGGTCGATATCGCGGAGAACACGTCACTTGCCAGCACGAAACTCATGCGCGACATGATGCTGTATTGTCCATCGACACCAGAGGAGACCCACGTCCTCGACTCGAAGGTCTTCATCTCCGTCGTTGGCTCAAAGGACAACATGGAGGGCGTTAGAGGCTTCATGGAGAAGAGACAGCCGACGTTCGACGGCACTGTAAACAAGGCTGACTTTCCTTTCTGGCCATGGTGGAGCCCTGACGGTACAGAGCTTGCTAGCCAGCCTCCGGGGAACCCCAAGGCGATGATCTAGGAGTTTAGGACTGGATGGAGAGAGATCCAGAGCGTTGCTGGAGTATATTTCAGGAATCCCCCCTGCAACATTGAGAAAATGGAGAAGCTCTTGCGACGAATATACATTCAACTATCAGATCCAATTCTAAATAATTAAATTAAATACGTGACAATCAAACTCGGACTTTTTGGTTTGGCCTCTTGTGAATTGCCAATAGCATCGCATCCCCATCGAGAATAACTTTAAAGGATAGATAGGCTCTTCTAGACCAGTGCAAATCCTGAATGCGTCATGGTCTGGATTGAGTGTACTTTGTACATGTACATGTGCAAGACCATCACCGATAGACGTGTGTGCAGAAATTGCCGAGGCCCCTGGTCCAAGTATGTTGAGACGACAACCGCTTGGCAATCTCGGCCTCGGTACTAAGTGGGGCACCCTGAATGACTTGCCGCAGAAACTCGAGATCTTTGCTAGGCGTTACTGCTGTCAAGACAGCTCAAGTCGTCAAGCGTCCATAGCCGATCCATGCTTTGAATGTCCAGCCAAGCATCGTTGCTGAGATATGGTTAGCCGATGACGCATTCCTACACGATGCTGTCATCACTCAGCATCGTAATCTAAGAAACACTTACTTGGTTCCAGAGCTATCATCAAACAGTGTATTTGAAAACGGACCCCATAGATCCGAGATGATGCCCGCAGTCGACAAATCGTATCCGTCAGGCCAGTCTGCTAGATTACCATCCATGGCACCCTCAGCTGGCCTCGTTGCAGCAGAAGGAATTAAAGAGGACGGATGTCCTTGCTCTTCATGAGGTGGTGCATTATCAACCTTGTTGATCGCAGCTTTGAAAAGCTTGTAAGCTGCATCCGCAGACACGTACGACCTTCGCAGCTCGTCCATGGCAAGCATGCAGAGTGCAAGATTGTGCTTGCCCATTTCACGTGCCATTGGTGTTGACGATGTCGACTCGAACAGATGAATTTGCATCGGCGGGATGAGAGCAATTACCCTAGAGAATTTTAGTCGACAAAATAGTGATATGAGTAGGGGGGCCTAGATCGTACGCAATTGTGTGACAGAGACCGATGAGATCCTCGGCCATCATTGAGTTCACTGCCCCACTCGCATTTGATGCTGCGGTTCTCGTTTTCTGGCATGCAATTGTTCTCCATGCGCCTTGATCAGCTGCCGATACCTCTCTAGGGGAATCAAGAATGTGTGGTCGATATAAGACAATAATAGCCGCTCTGCAGTAATCGTTAGTCTGCGTAGAAGCGCCACTAGTATTACGCAGACACTTACTCAAAGTAGAGTTTAAACAGGTAAATATGGGACGCGACAACTCGGCCTTGGTTATTGCTTCCTGGGAACGTGGGATAAGAGGCACGAATTTCACTTTCACTGCGTTCAATGTCGGCCCTTGATAGCTTGACCCCCTTTGCCCTGTAGTTTTTTGATAAAACGTTGCCTAATGCTGCAGTCAACTTGACGAAGTCAAGCCAGATCTCGAAAAGATAGCTCAGCTCTTCTGGAAGATATTTTCGGCTGACTTCACCAATTAATTCAGGCGATATTACATCTGAGTCGCCAGTACCTGGCATGGCGGTGTCAGAGTCGTCCAAGGCTATTCGCATTGGTCGGCCTAACCCAAGAGAGAGCCATACTTCGCGGCAATAAAGGGACCACCAGAGTCGACGCCAAAATGGCCGCGGGCCGTGAGAGACTTGGTGAGCGGTTATGGGGAGATGGTGCAGCCCTACTGTGTGCGAGAGGCCGATCGCAATGCCAGTCCAGTGCCATGGGCCGGCTCTGTCATCTGTAGTAGTGTACCAATGTCCCATTAAGAACACTGATTGAATAAGGGTAATCTTGTCCTTTTCATAATCTGCGTCGTACAGAGCCTAAAAGACTGTCAGACTTCTTCATTTGATCACAATGCAACACTATAGTCACCTTTGCCCGTTGGTACATGGCACATTTCAGTGCTTTCCGTGACGGAAACAAATCCTCAGTAAGCATGCTCTCATCGATGAACTGTGAGTTCAGACAATTAGCTTGACGCATTCGTATAGGGGTGCATACCTACACTTGCTGCTGCTAGAAACATGCTCCAGAGGAGCAGAAGGCTCATTCGACCCTTCTCGTAGTTAAGCAGAAAGTCGTTTGCGTCAAGGATAGGCGAGAATGGATGGACGTGGTGGAAGTAACACCGTATGAGGGCTTCCCGAATATGGTGTGGAGGCAAAGTAAACGAGCCTTTAGTCCAAAGATAATTGATATCTTCGGGGAGCAGCGACTTGATCGAAGGCATCGGAACCAAAAAGTGGTTCTTTTCCGAAGATCGGTGAGGCTCGCAGATATCCATCACAAATGCAGGCCCACGTTGATCCCCTGTTTGATGTAGAAGTAAGTGACACCGTTCAACTAGAAGGTAAATTGTAGGTGGAGTGATGCGGATAGAGGAGTCTCATACCGGTGTAGAACGGAACACAGCCATCCCCATAGCCATTGCCCCCTTCTAATGCATCCGCATACGCCGAACTGTCTTCAACTGCATCGGAGGGGTTGGGAGGACGCCGACTGCCAAATGCGGCATTTGTCGGCAAGTCTCGCTCACCAATAGAGCGACGAGCCTCCGGTCTTTGTGACCTGACCTCTGACCTACTATCTGCCAACGTAGTTGGGCCCTGAGGTGTATTGCCTCTGCTGTTGCCGGCATGTTCGCCGCTGTCTTTTTGTGGGGGAGGTGCGGCCTGGTCGTTACATGTCACAGTAGAGTCTTTAGGTTGAGAACCATCAATACTCGTGGATGGGTGGGCTCGACGTCTAGGTTGTCCCCTGCGTGAAGCAATGCTGGATCGATTTTCAATAGCGGTAGGGGTATCCGGTACTAATTGGTCTAAATTGCTTCTCCTGTATTTAGTTTTTTTGGTATCTCGGATGGACGAACAAGAATCCTACCGTCGTCGTTTGCGGCTCATTATCTCACATGCAATGCCATCCACGGAACAGTTTGCACAGGGCGGGCCTGACAACGTGACAGTACACCTCACTTTTCGTAAGTTACAGGCCTTGCACGCGGCGGTGGCGCGCTTCGATGTTCGGGTTGCCGGTGGTGATGCGGCATTGTCAATTTGTGACATTCTAGCGACTTGTTTACTACCACCTAACCAAGATGGACGTAAATATCATCGACGGATGCTGCTTGCGATCTTGGTTGGCCTCAAGGAGGGTGAGTTTGAATCACTCCGAGTGTTTCCCAGTTAACTGAGGATATAATTATGAAATGACATGTGACATAGGGCTCTAAAGGCGCAATAGAGCAGATCAGAACGCAGCCTAGTTCAGCTTATTCTCGCATCTTAGCCGCGCCGACGCCAACGATCTCTCAAGGGGCTAGTTGCTATCGCCAAGGGCTCGAGAGCATGGAAAGCATGGAAAGCGCGGTCATCGAAGGCGGAATTAAGGTTGTGCGAGAGACAATTAAAAGAGAAAGTTGCTGTTTTATTTTTATAAAGCTCGAAAGCCACGGCAAGCCGTGCACGCGTGCTTATAGCGCATTACGATGCCCATTTGTTGCTAAACCATTTTTTTAAGGCATCCACAGGCATTACCTAGAATAACACTAGTATCGCCTTCCCATACTATCTCTTATATAATCTAAATAAGTTATATAGGGTACTTTAATTATTAACCAAGACGTATAGAGTGAGTACGGAGTAGAGGTCTCGGCGGGATGAAGTTGAAAGATAGACGGTGAAATAGTAGATAGTACTCGAGTAGTGGATGTCTGCCGTCGTAAGATCTTACATGATTCAAATGAAATACGCTACCTTCTAGATTCAATCTACCGACTAAATCTTACCATCATTCATCATGTCAACGTTTGGCCAGTACTTCCGCGTACACACGTATGTTTTTGAATAAACCCAACTATTGGAAGAGTTGCAGCCGGCGCGGTAGCGGAGAAAATCCTCTCACATGGCATTGAAATCGTAGCATTTACATCCTCCGTAGGCTCTGAATCCATCTTCCCCCCGAAAAGTATGCACACGCACCGGTCAACGAATCCCGAGTTCCTACGGGTTGTTAGATGAAATAACCCGCGACAAGGTAGACGCGTTTACTCCCACACGATGTCCACACCCGGACACCTCTGCACGTATCGTAGCCCTCATCACGAAATTGGCTCCGGTTTTGGTGGATGTGCTATCCCGGGTAGTATACACAGCGACCCGTTCATCAAAGCCCCAGAGGCTCCGGACTTAATACAAATGCGCCGCGGCCGAGATTGACCACGAAGACGGCCAATACTGTGGTGGAGACCAAGGAGGGATATCCAACGGTGCTCATATCTACATATGCTGTACGCTGCTCTGCGGCTAGATCGAGCCTGGCGACTAGTCAGCTACCTATATTACGCCAAGTACAGTGTTCCCGGTGATGGCACGTATTTCTGCTATGTCGACTTGAATATACCAGATTTGCTAGCGAATACGCGTGGTGCTTGGACGAGGAGGATGAGGAGAATTGCACCTTTATATTACCTGGGATGCAACACAAACTTGGTGAGTGGTGGGGGAGAGTCAAGGGGCGGGGGCAGGAGACGTCTGGATATGTACACCGCATCACCGATCAGATATATATTCACAAAGGAAGATTCGGAGGTGCTAGGAGTACGGTGGAAGAAAACCCCTTGCCAGCCAGGCGAGCTGAGAATCACCCTGCCGTCTATCCCTCATGGCGCCACTGGGCCTACGACAAAGTTGCGCCGCGCCATGCTTCCTTGGTTTGTGGGGGTGCAGGACGATGAGAGCTCGCTGGAGGTGGTGGAGGGCGGCACATGGGAGGAATTGGCTACGGCGCATCGAGACTTTGTCGCCCCCAAGGCTACACCTATGGCGCATTCTTGGGCGAATCTGGTGCAAAACTCTTTTCAGTAGAAAATCAGGCACCTACAGCTATTACCTATATATATCTCCGATACCGAGCTTGAATACCTCAATTCTAGTGAGATATTCATATAGCTTGAATCCCTCAATTCTAGTGAGATATTTATATAACTTGAATGCTTCAATTTCAGTGAGATATTTACACGATATCAGATTTATATCTAGGTAATAGCCGCCGGGCCTAATAATACCGGCGAAAAGAGTTTTGCACCAAAGTCACCCAAGATTGCACCATATACACCGTCCGGCTTACCAAATCGGTATGGGGCAATCCCATACCGGTGCTCATATCTACTTTACTGTTGCCTTTAAACCACCTGCAACTATCGGTCTGCCTCAAAACACAGTTACCTACGATGAGATTGAAGGTGTTTTGGGGGCCAATGGGAGACATGATCTATGCGTTGTTGGACGCGCCATTCCTATCGTGGAGGCTATGAGCAGTCTTGTTCTGATGGACGCTCTGATGGCTCAAAAGGCTAGAGTAGGAGTGCGGGACGATTTGGTGTTGGATAGGGCGACCGCTGCGAAGTAGCTATGGCGTTGTCACCTCAGCCTTTGCTACGGCTGACTATGAATATACTCGATGGCATAATCAAGGAACTAATGTCTGTCAACTCAGCTGTAGGTGGGAGAAGGCGTTGAATGTGTGTCCTGAAGAGTCCTTCAAGGATACATCGGGAATCGACTACATTCCACTAGAGGGCATTCGTCTAAGCGTGGATGGATTTTGAATGGACGGATCTCATTCTCATTCAGATCGGGGTCTAGATAGACACCAGCGTTGTGGAAAGCCTCATACACGAACTCTACTAGTTAGCCGCCCATGTAGGTCTAGAAAAGCATAACGGCAGCCACGTCGTAGCGATCGTCCTTAGTAGGAGAGATAGGGCAGCCTAGTCAATCAAAGTCTCGCATACAATACCTGATAAATTTCTATCTAATATAGGAGACGCTGGCTTTGGTGTTCTCTGCGTTGATCAGGTCTAGGAACGGTGTGCTAAACTTCAACAAAATGGTAACTATGAGAGGATGCGGAGATAGAGCGAAGAATGAGTGTTAAGAGTAGGCACTAAGCCTTGTTTTCCTTGGCAGAGAGGCGAGGGGACAAGGGGAGGGAAGGATAAGGCAGAGGTACCGCAGCGTGTTGAGAGCGGTGTAGACAGGATTCGATTATCGTAGATGGCGGGGGACGGCGAGTACTTATGCTTGTGCTAATTTATATTAATTTCATAAGTACCCATGTATAGAGTTAATTTAGTACTACTTTTTTATTTTCTATCCAAATATATATTATATATTACATAACTACGACTGAGGTAACGTGATTGTTTACAAAGTAGGAAAGAGTCCGTAAAGAAAATACTAACTTAATCTAAATTGTATAAAATATATATACTACTATTTACACTATTATACGTTATCACTCGAGTCGGCGGTCCCCTAACTGTTGCCCACTCTACTCGAATCCTCCCTCCGCAAGTTGTACTTGCGAGGATGACTGTGACAATCGGGCTTCCGTAACCTTTCTCTCTTTCGTAGCATAGTCAGACGTTGGTGATTCCTTATGTTCAACGACCGTCCTTGTCGTTTTCAGAATGCGAGCGCTGTCCGCGTCCTCCAGCGCGATGTTGTTCGACCCCACGAATACACTATAACCATTATCAGAGCCTTCGGCAGTCCGTTTGGTGGTGCTGTCCCCAAACCTGCCCATATATTTCGTAGCCGAGCCGGAGGGAATCGTAGTGTCGGGGCCATTTATCCTGTTGCGTTTTGTGACTTCGACTAGCTGGTTCAAAATCACAAATTCCAGCTTCAGCTTGAGGCTGTACACGAGAGTTTTGTAAAAATGCTGCAGTTCGTCGTAGCCGGCGTACTGGAGGCTGATAAGAGTGATGTCCAGCATTATAATAAACAGATTGATGTAGATGAGGCGCTGAAAGGTATTCTTGGCCCTCTGTCCACCAAATTGTTGGAGGATGGGACGAAGTATCTCGATGGTAGAGTAGATGTATATTCCCGAAATTATGACCTCTTGAGCGGTGAAAATGGTGAGTTGGACTGGTTCGTAGACGTCATATATTTTCGCAATCACCCCCCCGGGTGAGGCTTTCATCACGTAGACCACGATCGAGACGGGGATATGAAGGGTAACCACCGTGAAAATGATCATGCAAAGGACCCCTCGAACCAGTCTCTGATTGCTAGCCACCAGATGAATTCGAGAATAAAGAACAACCGACTGTCCGGTGACCATCATGACCCATCCCACGAGGAGCGCCGTGACGATGGGCATGACATGAGGTAGGCTGTCGTCCGAAAGCACGAAGGTCTCGAGGACAACCCCTAATCCATTTATAGCAACCCCCCACATCGTAGTAAGAACGGCCCAGAAGTAAAGGCCCTTCCACCTCTTAAACGTGAAAAATAGGTTGAAGTGGAGTTCGATCACATTATAGAATGCGATGGCCATGAACGCCGACTCGGTCATCGAAATGGCGAAAGAGCTCGTCGTGCTGCCGACGGTAACGCCATCTTCATTCCTCATGTCTGTGACCGATATCTTTAGACAAGGCTCGAGACGGTGCCAGACGAAAGGGCTAAACTGGTGCAAGATGGAGAGTTCGGTGAGAACAGGACCCTGTTTATGTGTGATTGAAGAGAAGCTTTCGAGGTCTTGATCCCCTCTACTGCGGCACGCACGTCCCTCCTGCCAATACCTATCTAAGCTAACACCCAAACCTACTAGGTTTATACTAACACCACTCCAGTAAGGTGCAGCTCACGATCGTGGACGTGATTGATTATCGACTCGTACAGCTTCGTGATAGCGGGCTTTCTTAATCGCCAACTACGCAAATGTCTGGGTCTATCGGATGCTATAGTGCTCACGGATATGAAAACGTAGCTAAGGGCCTAATTCCTTGCCATGGCGCACTGCTATTATTGCTGTTGGTGTTGTAAATGGAGATAATCGTGGAAGAAGCAGCATCAAAATAGAGCCCTGCCGTAATGCGCGGTGTCGTGGTCGACGAGATCTCCACCGCTATCGCCCGACATATCCCGGTCCAGAAGGTGCAACATTGGCAATACAGGATTGTACTTCGTCGTGGGAGGCTGGAGCGGATTACCTGGGGTAACCGCGGAGTACTGCTGAGTGCTTTCGTCAGAACTAGGAGCCGCCGACGGTCTGGGCAGAGACGGTAGTATCCAAGCTCAACTCCAAGCCTTACGCTTCCAGCAACGCAACCCTGGTTGGCGACCCGGGTTCCGCGGTGGACTCGCTTGGAACCCCGGGTCGCACAGCTGAAGGCTGGTCCCGTGCGGGAGACTGTTCTTCCCTGCAGCAATCGTTACTGAACATCCCACGTCGTACGAGAACTCCAGTCTCCCTCCCTCACTTGGCCCATTCCATGGCGATTTGGCGGGGCCGACGGTGATGCGATTGCCTGACTGGCTCCTGGCCCTGGCATCATGAGGTTCAGACCACGGCCAGGTTGTGGTCACCTCCCGGGGCTGGGACGATCAGGGGGCGAGCTTGGCTCACAAAGATGATAATGAAAATTACTTGGCCGCGTACTCGCGGTGATCGGATCTCCCCAGAGCTTAGACATGGTTCACCGCTGCGGAAAGCTCTGTTTCATACTTACCTGCATTATTTGCCCGCCGTCACCATGGCACCGCACCGCCGCCTGCCACTGCCGCCTGCCATCTCGTCAGAGCTACGGTTGACAGGTGAAACATGTTCGTAGATAATGTGCGGGAAGCTTTGTGCTTCGGCGATGCCCCTCATCATGCTTCACCGGCTAGATTCGTGCAAAACGAGGAATGCTCCCTTTTCTCGCTCTTTCGACAATCTGCTCGGGCAATGGGTCAGTCAAAACACATTAGGTACATGTACATGTACAGCACATCACTAGCACCGGCTGATGGAGTTGCCGAGCCTTCAGCAATGCTTAATATGTATTCAGAGACCACAGGAGCCCCAGTTTCTGCTACTATCGCAGCCAATGGATCCTCACAAGTACACCAGCGGTCAGTGGCTCCACAACGATAACCTCCATCGAAGCTGTCGATATGTCAACTTTGACTTCGGGGCTCTGTGCAAGAAAGCTATCGATGCGTGCCCGGGAGCACGGCATATTGCGCGGTGCGAGAAGAGAGAGGGTGCATGTAACCGTGCTTTCGTGATGGTGACGGACACCGGTAAAAAGGTTGTCGCGAGGGTGCCATTTCCAGTCGCAGGCCCACCAAGGCTGACAACCAATTCAGAGGTTGCACTGTAAACATACTCCACCTCCACCTCCACCCCGTGAGCGATAACTAACTTTCGCTCTTTAATTAGTGCGTGAGACATCAATACCTATACCAAAAATCCTCACATGGTGCGATGATGCCTCAAACCCCGTCGGCTGCGAGTACATTATTATGGACCATGTGGAGGGAGTTCGACTACATGAACGGTGGCCGACGATGAATTCGCACCAACGTATGCTGTGCGTTGAGAGGTTGGGGATGTTAGTCCAAGAGATGGCCAAGCTTACGTTCCCAGCCTATGGAAGTATCTATTTTGCAAATTCGGCTTTGCCAACAACAAACACTAAGCTTGATCTTGGAAAAGGCTTCTGTTTAGGCCCGAGCTGCGGCCCACTATATTGGAATTCGGCGGCCGGCGAGTCCGAGTTGTATGGGCAGAAAAATACAAACAATGGTCCATGTAAGTAAATCGTCTGGGCTATCTTGATCCAGATACAGCATAATATCCTAACACCTACAGGGCCAAGTATTGCAGAGTTTTGCGCTGGACTTATCGATACCGGACGCTCACGGATACCCAAGTACGGATCCTATTATCTTGGCCTTCCCTACCACGGATCGCGTAGTGAACACATAAAATTATTAGCAGAAACCGAAGCCATCCTCACGCAACTGATGCATTTCCCTCCAATCCTAGAAGCTGGCCTACCAACTCTTTTGCACCACGACCTTCGTAAAAGGAACATTTACGTATCCGATCTGGATCCCGCTGTCGTCACCGGCATTATCGACTGGCAGTCAACAAGCGTCGAGCCAGGCTCTATGTACGCAAATGAAATTCCTGATTTCACGACTTTCAACTCTGGGTCGCCATTTTCGGCCGCGGCTGTCACGCAGAACCAACCACCTTTTCCAGAATCTGACCAACAATCGCGGGACCGCAAAGATGCCAAGATTTGCCACACAACATATGAGGTGATTCTCCAAGGTCTAGGCAAGAAGCTTGGATCGGGTAGGGCTCTGGACCAGACGCTATCGCGACCATTCCTCCACGTGCAACTTCTTGGCGTGACAGTGCTACATCAGTGCGACAGGAGCTCATCAATGTTTCGCAGAAATGGCAGGAACTTGGCCTACCGGGCGAGTGTAGCTACTGGCCGAGTGAGGGGGAGCTGAAGGAGCACCAGAAGCACTACCAAGACTTTGAGACGGCACAAGAACTCAAATCAAGGCTTATGGACATGCTCAACACGACCTCGGATGGCTGGGTGCCAAACGACGCTGCGAAGCCTGCACTGGCAGCAAATCTTGCTGCCCTCGATGAGTGGATGAAATCCGCCGTGGAGTCAGGGGATATGAGTAGAGAGAAAGCGGAGGAACTGTGGCCTTTTAACGAGGCGTTACCGATTTAACAGTTATTGTCTGGTCATTTCTAGCCCACGCGCTGCACACTACCTCATGACTCCAGTGTCAAAGCAGAAGTCGAACGTTTCCCATGGTGTATCAGCTTCAGTTAATGAGTGGGTAGATTTGCAGTAAGCACCGGAAAACTTGAATGGGCCATTTTGGAAGCCTATCTCGTACATTTTGCATTTCCCCAAAACCTCTCGAGCTCCAGCCGTCTAATTCCTTTATCAGGGTCAGGATCAAGGACAGCTAGCTATAACATCTTTCCAGTCTAGAATAGGCAATATTTTTGCCCGACTACGATAAACGAAACCTAGCAGTTAGGACATATGGCCATCAAAGTATCTCCGTACATCCTCAGCACTTTCGCGAATCTCCAAGGTTGTGCTGCCTTCGAAGTTCTCTACGATCTCCAGGGTGTACCTCGAAATCGCGAAGATGTATTTAGAATCATAAACATCTTGTCTGTACGTAAACCTGCCCCACCAGTTTGCCTCTCGGGATCACATGCGGGTTGTCATCAGAGTTGGAGTAAGGAGTCAATGCGCTATCCTTGACATCCACGATCCGTCAAAGCGTGAACACTATTAGGCATTAAACCAGTATCGACAAGCCTCCCTCTCAGCTGGCAGCGACAACCTTACTGCTTACGTAGTCTCTATCCTTGGTTTGAATTCATCAGTTACTAACAGACACAAACACAACAAGCACCGCCGCATACCTACTCCGTATTAGCAATTTCCCCCCAAAACAACGATACACACTCACGCAGCAGTTGAGCCAAATATCTCCGCTCTCCTCGCATTTGTCAACAACCCAATGAAAGCCGTAAACATCACAGTGAACGCAGCCACGATCCCCAATCTTGTACCCATAGGCTTCACGAAATACAGCACCACAATTGCAACAATAAGAAGGATAGTCGAAATCAGTACACTCAGAATCGCAACAATCCACGCTATCCTCTCAGTGGGGTAGTAATAAAGCTGTCCCTCCCCCCAAGACTGCGGGATCTGCTTGTTCTGTCGGACATAATAGCCCAAGTGTCGCTGAATGAGACTACTGAGGCGATCTGGAGCTTCGCCTGCGTCTGCGCAGCACAAGTCGTCCTCGTCGTCGAGAAGGTGAAAGCCAGTGTCTCGGAGTGGGACTCGTGTTCTGAACCACTTGCTAAATGCTAGGAAGCTGTTGTGGTCCGGCTTGCCGAATGATGAGATTCTGTTTCGTCGCAGCAGTGCCTTCTCTATATCGCTTAGCTAACACCCCAAGAGAGTTGAATATATTACCGTATTCCTTCATCGCAACTCGAAGTCTCATAATGAGATCAAGCCTTTCGATAGCCTTCTCATCTCCGCGGTCGACCTGTATCACGAGAACCTCCCAACAACGCGCTCTTGCATCTGTGCCTATTTTCTCGCTCTCGCTGCCTGTTCTGATAATATTTTTGTCATCCTCATCCAGCTTCTCCAATTCAAACTCTAGATGTTGCACCTCAGCCTCATAGTAGAGGAGATTTTGTGCTCCTAGCCGGTCGAATCGCCGCCATACGGAGAATTGCGTATCACTTGCTTTGAAAGCCGCAAGGTCAGAGTAACCTTCAAGATATTCCAAGGGTGTCGAATTTGACTCAAGATCCGCCATTGTGAATTTAGGGCGATGCTTGTAGAGATAATGATGTGGTGAGCAGCGTTCTCGATGCATGATGCAGACCACTCATACGGTCTAAAGCGACGCCCGAGTGGCTTGCACAGCCTTGCCAGCGAGATCAGATATAACCATCAGTGCCCAACGACCGTTTTCAATCCGTCTCTATCTTCTGTGTCGAACTGGTGATTTGAATCCATTCAGATATCAAGACAAACGCCCGACATGAATCGTGGTAGTTCGAGCTATGGGAGTTCGACAGTCGCGCGGGAGGCTACGACTGTAAGGGCTGACGATCAGTGCTCTTATCAAATTTCTAGTTCTAATGCCCAGCAAAACCAATACACAATCTCTAGCGAAGAAACACAACCTAGCTCCCAATACGGTTCATACGCACGGTATGATGGGATGTATAACGACAAAATGACAAGGCCCAACGGGTATCTCCTTGACGAGGCTGGATATGAACCTACTTCTGAATGGAAACAGGCCCCAGGTGGCTGGCGTGGCAGTCATCGGTCTAGTAGAGATTATGCTGAAGGTGGACGCCAATATAGGGCTGGATATGCTGCTCAATTTGCTGCCAATCAAACACCCAGTGGAATCGAGCGATTTGGCGGTCCTGACCAGACTGGAGGTGAGGGTGAGAGGGGCGATGACGGCGATGGCGACCCAAATTTTGATGTCTTTGGGCTTCGGGAAATCGGACTTGGGTCTCCATTTCGCCCACTACCAGATCCATTTTGGAAACGTAAGTATCTAAGATTCGACAATGAAGATCATGTTCTAAATTGACTCTCGGCAGACCTAGACCTAGCGCCTCCCGATCCGCTACATCTCTCTCGCGACGCCAAAAGCAACTACACTTGGACGATCAGAAGTCTTGAGCCAAAGGTAAATACGCCTTGATATACTACTTCGCCCACATCAACTGACGTTTAACTGCTACAGGTGAAAGACGCATCTCTAATACTGGAGGTTTTAATCGTGTCAGAGTATTCTGGCAAACAGATCCCAGTCTCTATGGTCATCAATACTCTTTCGCCTGTGAACTTGATGAAGTCCGAGCTCCTTTCACGACTAAACCCAAGAAATCTTACAATCACAAAGCTGTTCGGTGGTTCGATGTCGCAGCCCAATTCTATCAACAATAAATGGATCTCTATGTATTCTCTTGCTCAACAAGTACCGATACCGTGGAAACAAAACCCCGAATCAGGTGCTCGACCATGTGAATTCTTCGTGCCTTCAACGTGGGAACACGGGGGCCACGAACTGGTACTTGGCAACGACTTTCTATTCAAATTGAGTTCAACCGATATATTATATATACCTAAAATAAAGGCGCTGATGCGGAAGCTAGTCCGTGATCCCCAATATGGCAGAATAAGCTCTGGATTCAGGAAGAGGGTTTTGGTTCTTGACATCGAGGCTGAAGAGCAAAGAAAAACCGATGAGTTTCTGCAAAGTTGTGTAGTTATTTTGAAATGAGGTAACTATGTGTTAAGAGGTGTCTTGCGATAGAACTCTTGAGCTTGGGTGTTGCCTATAATCGGTTTTATTTCGAGGGGGATATATAAAACGCGGCTCTCGCTATAATTAGTATATTCGATAGGTACTAATAGAAACTATATTATTAAGTAACCTTGAGATCTTGTAATATATTACTTTCACAGACGACTATAGCTAATATAGCCTCTAGGTACTTATACTAATTTGGAGAGTTGACAATTTTCCCATGGCACAACCGAATAGTAAGTAAATCATGATTGGTCACTGGAAGGGAGAGCAAGAACATGACTGAGCAAGAACATGAACCTGTTAATATTTCTTGCATAGGTAATCACACTCTTCAAATATGTTCCATCCTAATATGCCCAGACGACAACAAAACCACACGCTGCCAACAATATTGCGAGACTAGCGGCCAATTTATCTTTCCCGCTAGCAGCTACAACCGACTGTGTCGAAGTCGGAGTCGAAGTCCCAGAAGGAGCGATTGTAGATCCTGGTGGCGTGGAAGTCGGAGTTTCAGAAGAATCGGTTGCAGATTCTGATGACGTTGGAGTCGAAGTTTCCGAAGAACTGATTTCAGATTCTGATGAAGTTGTTGGAGATGCTGGAGTTGTATTCGTGGCGGTTGGGACTTCAATGGTGTCTGTAGGCTCTGTCTCTGGCAGACTTGACTTGGGCGGAGTGGGTGTGACCGTGGGCGGGGGTACAGCTTTGGATGTTGTTACCAATGTTGGTGCTGGGGCACCAAAGCTGTTCGATATACAGAGGGTTGAGACGTAATTGCAAGTGTATCCGGGCTGGCAGCAGAGCCCTTTCAAGTCGCCAGTGCAGACGGGGTCCCCAATGGCGCAACCTCCGCCGCAGATGGGTGTGCCCGTCCGGAACGTGCAGGGTCGCCCGACGGGGCAGCAACCTTCGCTACCATCGTTGCAGGCAGTCTGCCCAGCGGCGCAAGTGAGAATTTGGCGGAGGAAGAGCGGAGCGGCTGTTGGGTGAGGAGCCAGAGCCGGAGCACGAAGGTTCTGGGCATTAAGAAGAGGGAGGCATTGCAGGGCGAAGAGGGTGATGGGAAGAATATAGGGGTACATTATTGTCTTGTGTAGTTGTTGCAGCGTTTTGAGTAAGTTGTTTTGACTAAAGCTGCGAAATCACACTCTTGGAATAGAGGTGTTGGGAAGAATTGTTCTTGGATTTGACCAAGGCAATGCTGCCTTTAGTATAACACCTCTTGTAACACAGAAATCTAGCTGCCCAATGTCCAGTCGAGGAGAGATTCACAAAGTATTTTGACTATCACCCAAAGGGTTCCAGCCACCCTCTCAGGCAGCGTGCACAGCCGATATAATCCATGTGTTCGGCTTCGTCGTTGGCCAACTAGCTGAGAGGTGCGAATCGGGCGCAAAAGTAAGATACACTTACAATTCGACCGACTTGTGTTATATATAGCATGAGCAATATAAGGATTGTTAGCAGCCAATTTGTAGTGCTCCCCTACTCTACTCGGTATGCTCTAATTTTCAGCTCTCTGAGAGAGGCAGCCAGCCGCGTTCTCGAAACGAGTTAGTGCGGTGTAATGTGATAAGGAATATTGGGTAGCTTAAGGTTCTCGAGTCTGAGTGGATGATAAACTGGGCTATGTGGCTGTGCCTGCATACGAACAAGCTGGAGTGGATAGATAGCTGCTCCGCAAGGTATGCCTGTTGTACGGAAATGGTTTAAGCTTATGCAGGTTATATTGATGATTTCTACCCCGCGCTCTACCATATTATCCCTGTCGAAGCACCTACACAGATGTTTAGATAAGACTAGATATGGCCCAGTAATTTACAGGAGACTGTTTCCCAACATATATAGTTTTCCCTTGTCGAGGAAGCATCATAGAGATTTATGTACTTCTTCCTTAGCCATTCGCGGCTTGCTTGTTGTAAGGAATGTGCCCCTTGTCAGTACCACAGGCGCCATGATAGGTTTGTTAGAAATACGTGTATAGCGATAGGGCATATATCCTTGTAATTTGATTAATCGTCCTAATCCATATTTTGGGTTACTCTTACTTTGACTAGATCCACTTAATAGTTACCACTTTAGCTCATTCGTAAGCTTATAATCCTAACAGGAGGCTCTAAGCCTCAAGCTGAACGGTGGACCTTCTGAATCAAACAGGGGAGCGTCTCTAGCTTCCTCTCTTTGATAACGCTGGCCGTTTCACATCAAAACGCCCCGTGGTTTCTTATCCATCGCTGGCAATTGTCATCTCGACCGACGGCAGCCCACCCTGGTGTCCTCCCCCCTCGCCAAAAGCTTAACGTCGTAGCACCAGCGAGCAATATAAATCTTGATGCCACGAACTTTCCAATTCGTTTAGCAGTTTCTGGGTCCTCTGGCTAGATGTATCGAGGTATTCCAAGGCTAGGCGTCGAAGCTGCGATGGTTTTGTCGTGACTCGTGAGCCCTTTCTGCCTAATAATAAGTTTCACCCTTCCTTGAATTTCTTCGCGGGTCTTTTATCATCTGGCAGGTCGTCTCGTTTCGTGACAGGAAGACTGCCTGTCGATGTCCAGATATCAATATCGTCCTGGCTCACCCTCCGATGCGGATACTCTATCTTCAGCCCATCGAAACAATTCGTGCTGACTTTGCTTCCGGTGTGAAAGAGCGCGTGATCAAGCGCTTGCTCCGCAGTTAGACGTCTCTCTGGGTCGTATTCAAGGAATCCTGCTAGCAGCTTGTAGCCCTCGGCGCCAAGCACCTGCAAGGACTCGGGTTCTGATGGAGTAGTATGCCCAGCACCGGCCGGGGTGACGCCGTAGTACCACTTGTCGAGATTAGATCCACTCAGTAGGTTTATGCCCTCTTTGGAGCTCAGAATCTGATCGTTTTGATTCTGTGTGCGTGAAGAGTATGACTTGAGCGGCTGAAGGCTCAAAAATTGATTGTATTCTGGTAGAGACGTAAGTAGGGGCCATTGATCTTTGGTCGGTACTCCAAGAATATCGATGATCTTCTGCATTTGGCTGCGCTGAAATGGAACCTTTTTAATATCTGCCTTGGCTTCTTCCCCCCTAAAGATCGGTCGTAAGGAGAGCAATTCAGCGAAGATGCAGCCCACTGCCCACATATCAACAGCTGGACCATAGTGCCAACTTCCTAAGAGTAACTCGGGAGCACGATACCATATTGTAACAACTACTTTGTCCCCAGAGAAGAGAGACTGAAGAGGTTTATAGAAGGGCCGGGCAAGGCCGAAGTCCCCAATCTTGACAACCCCTGATGATGTCACCATTATATTGGCTGGCTTGAGGTCGCGATGCAGTACCCAGTTTGCGTGTAAGTATTTGCAACCATTGATTAGCTGGAATATAATACTCTTGATCATTAATGGTGGGATTGGTTGTCGAGGCTGCTGGGTATGATGATGGATAATCTGCAAGAGGTCATGTTCCGCATACTCGAATTTCATGAAAATAGACTTGTTTTCCAGGATGCCTGACCTCCAAAGGCAGTCAGAAGGCTTCGCTTGATACTTTGCGGTCTGTGTCCAGAAACAGACGCCGGGCCTGAGGAGGTTGACGGTGGATTGGAATTGCTCATGATCAAGATTCAAGAGAACGGCGGCAGACTAGCAAAGGCAAATCAGGTGGTGCAAATGTATACGGATACGTTGGGAACAATTCTGGCAAGTTCTTCAAGGGAAAAAGGAAGTGGCGCGCGTGTTGAGGTAAGACGACTGATATGCGTCCGAAGCTTGGCTTTCCAGCCCTGTGAAGACTTACCCCAGGTTACGGCAAAGTCTCAGCCTTAAGAATGCCAAGTATCCGTGCACACCCTGTCCCGTACGCATAGTCAATCCTTACTGCTATCGTTGTCGCCGGCCAGCCTTCTTCCTCATCTCAACATCACCCTCTGCAAGCCATTTGCTGGCCTCGATTAGTTGGATTACGTTGACGTACTGCTTGAAAACCATGAAAAGGCATGAGGCACATAGGAGAATGCACGGAACTAAACTATCCATCTTGTTGGCTCTGTATGAAATGTTAATAGATAGTCTAGAATGGTTTGCCGTGACGAATAGCCCTGGAAAAGCTTACCTAGCCATCTCCATGGCGCCGGCGCTCCACGGAGGACTCCAGATTAGTGGTTGGAAGACGGAGGTTCCAGCCTGCATCGAGTTCATTTCGCTACCTGGTTGGATCAAGGACGGAATAGAGTTGGGCGAGGAGAAGGAAAGGAGGTACAACGCAATAAAGAAGACCTTATTCATGGCACAGGTGGTGAAAAGCACCCGCTACAATGGTGTCAGCTCTACCTCGTAGACTCGCACAACTTACTCACAGTATCCGAGTAGTACTTCCTCATGACCCAAGGCCGGTCCTTGTCTATCTTCTTGTGGCTCTGGGAGCTGCCGCCCATTGCTAGAGTAGCGTACATGTGCATGAAGTGGCTGGCAAGGTCCAAGCTGATGAGTGCTTGAAAGACGATGCTCCATCTTGGGAATGCGCTTGCCAGGAATACCAGTAGACAAGAAGTTGTACAACGGTCAATGACCATGTCCAACACGGCCCCAAATCTGGTCGATTGTTTGAACTTCCGCGCTGCCGCACCGTCCAAAGCGTCTAGGAGGCAGGAAATACTGTAGAGGAGAGAGCATTTTCGCGGGTGAAAAGGCATGTAGTGGAGGGAAGCTAGGGTGAGAACAATGCGCGAGTATCCTGGATCGTGTTAACACAGTCAGTTAGTCGATGGGAAGGAGGTACCCGTCTTACCGATGAGGTTTGGGATGAAGAGGAAGATATTCTCGGAGGGCAGCGAAGGAGACGTCGATCTTTTTCCTGTGTCATTAATGCCGCCATCGGTTTTAATGGGCCCGTTTATCCCATTCGACTGTCGTCTCGTCTTCCCAGGCATTTTGTTTATGATGCTGGGAATTTGCGGAATCGCAGCGGCGTTGCGCCAGAATCACATGCACTCTAAGCCAAAGGAATCTGGACTATCACAGCGGTTGTGAAGCTAGCATCTCTCTAGTCATAATTGCGCATCTATGATAGAAGAGGCTAATAGTCAATCAAGCCGTGTTGGTTCGCGAGAAATTTACCTCGGAGACACTAATCTACCTCAGCAACTGCGAAGCGTAGCGGTTATAGCCGTATGATTTGGTGCCTGGAAAGCCATCGATTGTCCGCGACTCCTATTCTACTATTTTCCTCTCTACTTTGTTAACTATTACAACTTGACAGAGAAGTGCTGCAACTTGCATAAACAGACAGGTATTTTGATGGATGCTTATTATGATTATATTGTTTCAGCGTAACCGTAGAAGAAAACCAACTCCTTCAAATTCTAAGATCTCATGTCATTCATCGTGATATCAACTCCTAAACTGTGTCCGCTGGTTGCGCCGCGCCATCAGATGAAGGTTTGACCTTGGTCGGTTTCGACTTCCTCATACTAGCCCGCTCTCCCTCTACGCAGTACTTGATGATCCATGGGTGTTCTTGAACCTGTTCAAGTGAAATCCGCTTTTCTGGGTCAACAACTAGAAGCTAATAAAACGTCAGATTTAGCCGTTAAGCACATGGAAGTTTAACTCACTTTCATTATCAGATCTTTGGCTTCCGGTGACACGAACTGCGGTACAGTGTATTCACAACGAACGATCCTTCTATGCGTGAGAGCTATGGAGTCCTCAAATGGCGCTTGCCCAACCAGAAATTCGTACATCAAGACTCCTAGACTCCACAGATCAACTTTCCCACTATACCACTGCTCCCTAACTATCTCCGGTGGCAGGTAGTCCAAAGTTCCACACATGGTTTTCCTTCGGTTGCTCGGTGCATGAACACTCCATCCAAAATCTGCAATCTTGAGCTCGCCATGAATACCAACAAGAATATTCTCCGGCTTGATATCTCGATGTATCACATGCTTCTTGTGGCAGAATTTCAACGCTAGAGCCATCTGGGAGATGTATAGCGCAGCCTTCCATTCTGGAAATCGCTTTTCGCGCTGAAGATGTTTGTATAGTTCGCCCTTCCCAGCATACTCTAGAATCAAGAATATTCTTTTGGCATCATGGAAATAGCCGTAGAGTTGAAGGATATTTGGATGCCGTAGATTACTTTGAATTTCAATTTCCCGTCGAACTTGCTTCTCGACACCCCCGTTCCTGATTTCGTTCTTGTATAGAACCTTGAGCGCACAAACAAAGCGGCTCTTGCGTTCCCTCGCCAAGTACACACGCCCAAATTTCCCTTTCCCTAAAGGTCGTCCAATTTCGAACATGCCGAGATGGAATTGGCTCTGAGGCGCAGGTTGCTTACATATCTGGGTTGGCTTCTGTTCGACCTCGACTGGTACTTCCGATCCCGATCCTCGCGATGATTCGGGCGCAGGTTTCCGTAAACCGCTTTTATTTTCTAGTGCGATTTTGAGAAGATAGTTCGAGCTTTTCGGTGATTGTGTACTCGAGGGGGCTACAACCTGTGTAATTAGTATAGGTCTCCGATAGAGAGTTTGAATACAAACTTTCAACTTGGGATATATTTTCTTTCCATCACTAGGATCATTCTTGTCGTTGACAATCAGGCGCTCAAAGCGCGTTTCGAGAGTGTCAGTTGACATTTTATTTTGCGAGCCGAGGCCTTGTTGAGAGCAATGGGGAATGAGCGGGATTGAATGTCGTGAAAGGGCGAGGCTGATGAGGTGTATTTGATAGGAGAAGCGGGTTGGCAGGGCAACAATTTACGGGGACACTCCGTTCGACCACGACCACCGCTACATGCTACATGGTGTCGGCACGTACCGAGCAAAATCATAGAGGTGCTGATAATGAAGAAGTGCAGGCCATCTTCGCTAGGTCCACATAACAGTGTATGCACCTTTTTGATTCTGAAGCGTGAATTTGGCAAAACGAACCCAAATTTGGGTGCGCTCGATATCAAATTGTAATGATACTCGTCAAATACTTACCACCAACAAAGTGGCTTGCAGCGAGCAAAAGTCTATATCATCAACAAGGTGGTGACTTGTGCAGAGTAGCCAATAGGAACCGAGATTGTCCCATACGGTGCTATGATCAACCAAGGGGTGGTGGTACTATCTATGATAGACGTCGTTAAGGAAAATAACTAGTGGATCAAGGCACGCACCGCTCGTGGACATTGTTCAAGACCACTTCGGCATACTTCTCACTATTTATTTTAGTATAAAGTAGATATGGATACATAGATTGGGATTGACTTCGATTCGGATTTTGATATCCGAGTTAAGGGAAGAAAACCTCGTCATAGCTGGCAACGGCGGAGCCTTAGACAGTTTCTAGTTTAGAAATTAATCTATATCAGGGCTGAAAAAGTCCATCCTGCACAGGTTATTGATTTAAATATTATCCAAAACTTCATGATCCTACTTACGATACAAAAGGGTATAGAACGCCCATCCAATGCCCAAGTTATTATATAGGTGCGCTTGCTTCTCATCATCTCCTCAAACCAATCAAATCGTCACTGTTCTTCCGCACTTCCTCCTCTTCACCCAACAAATCCAAATCCAAAATATCCTCCCCATTCCTCGGCTTCCCATTCCCCTCCGCATCAACACCCTCGTCAAGCTCCACAGCCTCACTCTCATCCCCCAATAGCCCCTCCTCCTCTAATACATCTGCTCCGGAAGGTTTGAGAGTATCAACCTCCTCCCTGCGTCCAATGATCACATTTCCCGCTACCAATAACCCGGCGCCAAGGAACCATAACGGTGGCAACGACTCGGAGAAGATTACGAAGCCAAGAATGGCGGTGATCATGAAGTTGGAGCTGGTGTTTATGATGCTGACTTGAGTTGTGGATGTCCCGCGGGCGAGGGCTTTGGTGAAGAGCGCCCACATTATGCCGTTGAAGATAAGGTTGAGGGCGAAGAATATCTAGACGGAGGAAGTTAGCGGGGGTGTTTGGGTAATGGACTGGTTGGGGGTAATGGAATGCATAGATGCAATCATGGAGGAATGGGAGTTAAAACATAAATATGAACGAATAGATGCGACGGACGAAAAGTAGAGGAAACGTACAGCTCTAACTACGAACTCCACAACCTTCTCTCCATCGCCTAAACCAAAAAAATTCCCAACCGAGGCTGCGAAGCTTGTGGTGAGTTCGGTGGTTGTTCTGTATATATGACGCTGTCAGCACAGGTACCAGCCATTAAAATGCGCAGTTCGCGTTGCACCAGTGCATGGGATCGTATGTTGCACCCTCCAATCGTGTCAAATCCAGGGCCTATTATCCCTTCCGGTTCGCTTCTCGCTGTAATAAAGTATTTTTCTTTCTTTCTTGTACCAAGTACTCCGTAGAATAATAGAGTAGTGCATCCATGGTGTGGTATCGACCACCCATTTTGCATGCATGTTTTGCTTGCAAGCAAAGCAAGCATATCGAGGAGGGAATGAGGAATGACGTACAGCTTCGCAAACACCCCGTTAAACGCCGCGCAGGCACCGCTCATCATAGCCAGCGCAATCCATTGCGACTTTCGGCTCATGTCCTTAAACTCCATATCTGCCGTTTCCTTTTCCTCAGGTAGGTTTTTGGGAGTTTCGGCAGGACCGGACGACGACGACGACCTTGCGGAAGGGCGTCGTCGAGAAAAGGATGGGGACTGGTCGTTAGGGAGTGGAGTATGTGGATCATTATGAACGTTCCTATTGTTGGTCTCGTTCCTGGCTGTGTTCCTAGGCAAGGGGCCCTTTGCCCCCTTGGCATTGGAGGATGTGGGTGGGCGTTGACGAAGCATCTTGGCTTGTTCAAAGGGATATATTTAGGGTGTGTAGGCTTCTCCAGGTATAGCTGCTGTATTGTTGTCGCAAATACCTTGGTAAAACGACTCGGAAACGGCGGATGGGCTCGGAAGCGGCGCTGCCGTGGGACTCGTATCTGACCGGATTGTGCGGAGTATCAGATAGCTGGCTGGTATGTATGTAGTGTACTTGGACAGAACAGAATAGGAAGAGAAGACGCGGATCATTGGGAGAAATGAGATGCCAAGACAAGCCCTCCGAGGGAAGAAGTGGGAAGACGTGCAGCTACGGTCCATGCCTAAAGCACATTCCAGTATATAGGTACAACATGCATATTTTACGGAGATATGGATATCATGGGGAGAATATTACAGTTTTGTAATAGTCATTCGAATTGTCTGTCCTAAGCGTGGCAGCCCCTGCAGGAGGCATTTCGTGTTAGACAACTACATACCAGGTACCTACTACGTAGCTGCCTATCATCCTGAGTCGTTAAATAGATTAGCCACCCACCTATTCCAACAAACCCACGTGTTGGCAACCTTCACAGAGCGATCAAATGCCTCTCAGGGATGATTTCAATTTTCTATCCTGTAATATATCCCATGTGCCTGTTGTGTAGCGTCGGCTAGGAACAAACTGCGCCTTGATGCACTGGTGTCTCCGGAAACGCCTCCCAATGTCACAAACTCCGGCAATCCTTCCTTAGAGATGACAACATGAAAATGAAAGTATTCCGGCCCTGTTGCCCTCTTCGATCTTTTGTTTTTGAGTCGGCTCCCGGGGGGGGGGGGGGGGTTAGAGACGACCGTGACGCATATCGCATGCAAATGAAAGGCGCAGGGAGGAGAAGGCAGATATAGATGTAACCGTCGCAGAGCCTCGTCCAGCGACGGAATGAAATATCCTAGGCCTCCATCACTGTGGATCACCAGGTCTCTTGCTATTGCAGCTCACGATCCTAACCTTCTCCGCCAGAACCGGTTGTGTCTGATTATCCATCTTGAATGTAACATCCTTAATGAGGAACGTCCAGACCTCGTCGCAGAAGCGGTAGGTATCGAGATGACCCTTCACTCATATCGTATTAGCATTAGCTCTTCGCCACTGTCCGGAGCCTAATCCGATCTCTCGTCCCCAGGCACAGCACAACGTAGTATAGTACCTTGAATGATAGCCTCGACTTGACCCTCTCTGCCAAAACCTCCGTAATACTACGATCGAAGTTTGCTAGAATCTTCATTGCAAGCTGCGGCTCGATACGGCGGTCGCTGATGAGATCGTCGAGAGTGTCAGTCAGGGCCATGCCGATGCTAGAAATGCAACCCGTGTCAGTGCCAGTCGCAAGATGTGATAGCAAGCAAAGAAGCAAAGGCACAGTACCTGCTACGGCGGTAGAGCTCGTAAAAGGCCTGTCCGTTCGCGGCCATGATGAGCTTTTGCGATATAATATGGCGGAGAGGGTGATGGAGGAGATATTGCCGGCCTTGTTTGGCGGGATCTTGAGTAACCGTTCAGCTTAGGTAAGCTGGGTTGAGCCGCAACGCGCGGTAGTTTGACTACGGAGGCCTGAGTGCGTCGCTTGTGCTTCGATGTTTGGATGATGCCTGGCAGCTTTTAACACTCGAACATCAACGACCTCGACGAGACCCCGGTTTAAGGAGATTCCGCGATCGATCCAGCCGACAAGATGAGTCTTAAATATGGCCTTGGTGGTGCTGGGACAACACTGGCGGTGATCGGAACTTGTAAGCATACGAAGGAGCTGGTTTTATTGCGCTTGAGAGCTTTGGCTAACGGCTTCTAGATATGCTCTTCACTGGTGATGGAGAAGCTTTCAATGTACGTTTCAGGTCCGCAGATTGCAATTCAATACGCTTGCGCTGTTTCTGTGATGTGGTGTTTCGACATCGGATTCATGCCCTCTCCCTCGGATTAAAGCAGGCAGCTAATGGGATGCGATGGCTAGGTCGGACAATTTCTCGAAGATGTATCACCATACGCGTGGGCAGATATGGGGGTTGGATTATGCATAGGGTTATCAGTTGTTGGAGCAGCATGGTACGGCGTCCTCCCCTTCTCCCCACCATTAGGGTCTTGCTCACGAACATAAAGGGGCATTTTCATCACCGGCTCATCGATTCTGGGTGGAGGCGTAAGGACTCCCCGCATTCGAACGAAGAACTTGATCTCCATCATTTTCTGCGAGGTTGTGGCCATCTACGGAGTTATCATGTCCATCGTTTTCTCTGCGAAGCTTAAGATGGTCGCAACCGACGATTTGTATAGCGGAAGCAATTACTATACTGGGTATGCGTTGTTTTGGGCCGGGATAACGGTTGGGATGTGTAACTTGATTTGTGGTGTGGCGGTTGGTATCAATGGCAGTGGTGCTGCTTTGGCTGATGCTGCTGACCCAAGTTTGTGCGTATATTCTTCCTCGGAGACATCGCAACATCGCTAATCCGGACATTATAGATTTGTCAAGATCCTCGTCATCGAGATTTTCAGCTCTGTTTTGGGCCTCTTCGGCTTGATCGTTGGATTGTTAGTATCGAGCAAAGCGAACGACTTCACATAGCCGTCTGGAATATGGCTACTGAGCTTGAACTCGAAATATGTGGTAGGAAGTAAGACAGGACGTGTATATCAGCAAGGCCGGGACGAGAGGAAGGCGTTTAGGTAGACGGGAACATGATGTTCCATTTAAGGACGAGGACTGCCTTACTATAGCATAGTAGTGCCAGCTTATATGTATGATATCCGCCACGGCAAGAGCATGATTTCCAGGTATCACTGAATTTAATAGCATCACCCGTACGCAATTTATGGGCACCTTAGATCCTTGTACCTCGTAATGCTTGAGCCACATTTGCTACTAATTTGTTCATTTAGCTTTAAACAATGGCATGCCTCTGATAAAGGCAATATTTCAAGACTATTCTGTTAGCTACACGGAGCTGTTCAAGCTCAAGGAGCTCCTACAACGGAGCTCCCACCCCTGCCACTAGCGCACGTGATGATATTTCGATGTCCATATCCCAGAAAGTTTTTTTCTTCAGTCTGGTTCTTCCTCTTCCCCTACAACAATTTCCTGCTGCAATTGAAGCTGCTCTCAAGACACCAATGCTACTCTGCTAACCCGCAGCCACTTACTCATGAACTCAGAGGCAGATATGGGATTGTTTGCCCCCAACAAACACTGATCATGGTGCTCGTCACTCTCACTCAGCATTCCAGCATTCTGATCGGCAGTCTTCGGCATAGGTCCTCGTAGCGCTGAGGATCTTAGAGCCGCGCTCTCCGTGCCCGCCTCCCCCGCACCAGCACCTGTACCTGTACCTGTTAGCTAAGGTCGACGTGATGCACTACAAATACAAGAGCGGCTATCCGCGCCTTATTATATATTGTTGTAGACCTTCACCGAACATCCACAACACAGAAGCCAGCCATGAGATCCAACATCAGGATAGTTAGCCCAGCAGGCCGGGCAGCGCTGCAATATGTTCAACGGAGGAACTTCTCGTCGTCCTTGAGATGCAATGCACAGTGGGGGTTTATAGGCCTCGGCCAAATGGGTATGTTGCTGCTACCGCGGATGTTGAGGTGCAATTGCTAACTGGGACGCAGGGTACAATATGGCTAGGAACCTGCAAGCAAAACTGCCCTCCTCAGATACCCTCCGAGTCTACGATATCAACCAAGAATCTCTAAACCGATTCGTGGACGAGACAAAGGCTTTGTCGAAGGGGGCCGCTGTGCAACTCGCTTCCAGTGTGAGGGAAGCAGCGGAAGATTCTGTAAGTCTTTCTATAACTGCTGTCAATGCACCTCTATACATCCCCCCTTTTCATGTGATGAGTTTGTTCTATCAATGATCTAAGTTGGGGTCACCCGTCTTGGGTGACTTTCTATATGATTTTTACTTTTACAACAGCCAATCCTCTGATGCATAATACAAAAAAATTCCTATTACTTCTCAAAATGTCTCTCGACGCTTGCTGACAGTCAGGATATAGGAAACAACAATCACTGTCTTGCCTGAACCGTCCCATGTCAAGAAAGTATTCGGAGAGCTCCTCAAGCCGGTTCTTTCTACTCAGCGAGTTGCAAACCCAGACCGTCTCTTTATCGATTGCTCTACAATCGACCCAGCTTCTTCGAGAGAAGTCGCTAGTGCCGTTCATTCTACAAACCAAGGTAGCTTCGTTGATGGCCCGATGTCGGGTGGAGTTGTTGGCGCCACCGCCGGAACTCTAACATTCATGGTTGGCGCCCCCGACTCCTTATTCCCCCGCGTCGAATCAATTCTCTTAATGATGGGCAAAAAATCTCTTCATTGCGGCGCCCAAGGCGCCGGTCTCTCAGGCAAACTGGCAAACAACTACCTTCTGGCCATAAACAACATCGCCACAGCCGAAGCCATGAACCTAGGTATCAAATGGGGTCTCGACCCCAAAGTCCTCGGCAACCTGATCAACATCAGTACCGGCAAGTGCTGGCCGAGCGAGGTCAATAATCCCGTAAAGGGCGTTGTGCCTGCCTCTCCGGCGAATAGGGATTATAGCGGCGGCTTCGGCATCGGGCTCATGAAGAAGGACTTGAAACTTGCGATCCAGGCTGCCGGTGAAGCGGGAGCACGTCTCGAGCTCGGTGATAGAGCGCGAGAGGTCTATGAGTCTGCTGAGAAGCGGGAGGATTGCAAGGGGAGGGATTTCTCTGTAGTTTATAGATATCTTGGAGGGAAAGAATAATAAGAACACATATTTCATGCTATTCATGTTTCTATCCGCGTTGCCAACTCAAGTGATAAACCACCCTCACTCACAACAAATAGCCCACCGCCTTCACTCGCTACCACCTTTCACCGCCCACATCCTCGACACCCACCCCTCCTATATAAAACCAAATAAGGCAAAACCCAATTAATCGGCACAAGGGCTGGCCACTTGGCGAAGTGGTACGGATCAAATTGTGTGTTGCGATGTTGGAGAGAGTTTCCGGTCTTTTCTTAGAGAGATCTCGAAAAGGCTCAGCCCAGAATAATTTAAAACTCAGTACGTCTGGTTTTAACCAGGGGCGGGCGCTTCGGCGCTCCCTGGATTTTTGCTCTTTTTGAATTATCGAGGGTATCCTTCTTTCCTTTGTTTCTTTTTTTCTTGAGTTGATGAAGTCGTTAGGAGTGGCGGGGACCACTATTTAGAACAGATAACCATGATTCACTGGCATGTCGAAACGCAACGAAAGCCATTGCCCCCCTAGGTATTTGAAATAGGAGAAACTTTGTTTACTTTCAATGTTCGACATGCAACAAAACTCCTGCTCGACCCCTTGCCCCTATTTAGAATAGATAACCATCATCATTCACTATCGAAACGCAACAAAACCCACTGGCATGTCCCCCTATTCAGACATCTGTTTACTTTAAACGTTCGACGTGCAACAAAACTCCTACTAGCTCCTTTACCCCTATTTAGAACAGATAACCATTATTCACTGGAATGTCGAAACGCAACGAAGGCCATTGCCCCCTAAATAGGGGAAACATTGTTTACTTTGAACGCTCGACATGCAACAAAACTCTTACTCCGCCCTCTTGCCCCTATTCACAACAGAACCGTGAATTCACTGGAATGTCGAAACGCAACGAAACCCATTGCCCCTATTCACAACAGAACTGTGAATTCACTGGAATGTCGAAACGCAACGAAACTCATACTCCCCCTATTCAGACATTGTTTACTTTCAACGTTCGACATGCAACAAAACCCACACCTAGGAGAGAATATCAAAGAGCTTACCTTTGGCTATTATATATAGAAAAAATAAATTAAAGAAAAACAATATTATCACATAGAGTACTTGGACTAATTATATAGCATTTTGTGAATTTGATCAAATACTATAAAGGTTTATTTATCATCTCCCCATTCTCTCTATGGAAATTGTCAAGAACGCCCCGGCTTCATGCAACCTTTTATGTTAATCCAGCAAATGAAACTCCATAACATGCCGCATAAACCTCCAACGCCTTACCCTAAACATAAGTAAGCACCTGGTCACCAAACCAACCAACCAACCAATCCCTAATGCAACCTCCTCAACTCCTCAACAACGTTCCTAACATCCTCAACCATCGGTCCTAGCCCCTCGCAAATCTCCTCCTGCATCTCCTCATCGAAGTCTAGGAAGCGCTCAATCAACTCCCCGTCTACGAATCTAAACGGTTCCGCCGTTTCCCGAACGGGGTTCTTAAACGAGCGGTACGTGTTGAAGTCCATATCGCCGAGGGTGTGGATTTTGCGGCTCATGTGCGTACTACTCATGCGCGCTTGGAGACGCATGAGTAGGTCTTGGGAGCTGGGGAGGATCGTGGAGATTAGGTAGATGGACCCTTCGGTCTAGTGGGTGTTAGTTGGGGGGGTTGTAGGAGGATATGGGGAGGCGGGGTTGCTTACTGTAGCTAGGAATGCCTTGGGGACAACAATGGCATTCGGTGAGGGTTCTACATTGATTCTCTGGACCTTGTTCACCATTTCTCCCAAGTTGATATCACCAGTTAGTTGGAGACTCTTGCGATCTTCCAGCGTCACACCGTTGGGGTTACGTTGCAGGATGAGGAGATTGCCATCCTGATCCGTTTCTAGATACGTCCCCTCGTCAATCTGTGTTACGGCTGTAGACCAGACCGCTTCATGATGCCGGGCAACTTCTGTAAGCTTATCAGGTAGGCCTTCTTTCCCTGGTATGTATTCTAGCAATGAGACGGATTTCATCATATCTGCCACGGCTATGATGTTTCCTGTGATGTCGATGTCGATGGGACAGGTTGATGTCCTATATGTAGCCAGTTTTGTGAGCTCTGCGGATATCTCGGTGGTTTCGGCGTAGCTGTATATCACAACGGTCTTGACGAGAGCAGCGACGATCTTCCCGTCCAAAACAGCAACACGTCTACAAGCACCTTTGAGGACGTGGCTATGCACTAGGTATGGGCCTCTGTCGCTGTCGATCGCGAAGATTAAGATCCGGCCCCTGACATTGTTTTCTTGTGCCATATCCTCTTCTAAGAAACTGGTTCCAACTATGAAGCGTTCGGCAGGTAGTTCATCCCCATAAGAGATCGGCAGCTCAGCTCGCACTACGCATTCAACAAGTTCGGGCCCGTTACTATCTTCCAGAATAAAAGGTTTCCCCAACTCGCCTAGTAGCACCTCCTCGACGAGCTCGAAGCTGCTGGTAATTATCTCTTCTCCTTTAATCAATTCACGCTTGATACACCCGATAGCAAAAGCCCGCTCATTCGGAGAATACGCTATCCGCCTGACTGTCTTCCCCATTGGCAGGGTCTGGACATGAGTTCTTCTTTCTGTATCGATTTGGGAGACTTTTATGCCCGCATCAGTAGCGACGATAATCGAGCCTGGGTATGCCTCGCTGTCAAAAGAGCACACACAGATGGCGTTTTCTGCGGTCACGGCTGAATATACCACGCTCCCTTCGGAGCCGTAGATTAAGCTTGGATGCTCGCAGGTTGCAAAGACGTTGAAAAGTCCGTCTTCCCGTGGCAGAACTTGGAATCGAGCTTGTTGAGTGCCCAAGACAATGCTCTTCCTTCCCGAGAGCGAAAAATTGGACTTGTCGACATTGAAAGTCAGAACGATCCCATCTTCCATCGCTACAAATAATGTAGGACCAGAGCGATTCTTGGACAAGATTTGCGTCATCACGATGTCTCTGGGGATAGATGCATTGTTTGTGCGGCGCAGGTCTTCAGAGTGTATGATTTGGAGATTGTTGAGACTTAGAAGAGACAAAGATCCTGACTTGAAGAAGCCCACAACTCCAATATTTGGCGAATCAGCTGGTACATGTACGCAGGCAACTTGATCACCGTTACCAAGGGTTTGTACTGCCACTTCCCGAAGCTGTTGTTGGATATCCAGAGACACCAAGGTCGTTCCATTGGCTGACAAGAGCACATGGCTATCGTTCGCCGACGCGGCTGTTATGATCTGCCCCTGTGGAGGTTGCCATTGTGCAACTGTATATGAAGGGCCCAGACCCAGAATCGACACTAAGGTTGGTGTGACTTGTAATATTAAGCCATTTGGAAGGTTCATAGCAAGGAGGATATGCTGATCTAGGGATAGGCCTCTGAAGGTATCGATTTCTTCAACCTCTCCCTGGGAGTCAAATTTGAACACTCTTGTTTCAGTTGGGAATGACACCACTAGTGTGTCATCTACAGTGGAGTCTCCATCTGACCGTAAAGTAAATAAATTTCGCACGTCTTCCAGGTCAGCCAGAATCCCGATGTCTTCGAGGCCTACACCACTTCTGACACTTCGTAGGCTGCCTTCTTCATGGGCCCCGCTACAAGTCACTAGTCTTGCTTGTCCCGAGGAATAGTCGTTGGTCTGCGTCTCCCCTTCTCGACTCCCCATATCCATGACGGCAAAGTCCAAAATCGGAGCAATATTCGGCAACGTTTGAAGAATTGTAATCGGTTGATCACCTGCCTCCAGATCTAGGCGAATAACCTGTGAATCTCCTGTATGAGAGCCAATGAACACAACGCCATTCCCCATATGCACCATGACTGTCGCTCTGGAGATTTCCCCTAGTTTCCGGACCTTAATACCTGTGACCACAGCACCGTCGACGAGAATTGTCAGGAGATGCAGCATGCCATAATCGTCTGCCAGCATATAACGTAAATCATCATACGGTTCCCAGGCCACAAATATCGACGCCTCTTCTAGGGCATACTGGACGACAGCCTTGCTTTCGTCATCCAGATATGTCATTTTAGTCTCACCAACCACGATTACCCCGCCTAGCTGTGCTTTCGCCATAGACGTGTTTCTGACTATGTAACGCCGTTGCTCGCACTCCCCCTTCGGTACAGGAATGAGATGACTTGCGCCCATATCCAAGTCCTCGATTTCATTCTCCCGATCCTTTTTGGGATCGAATTTTGCGAGATCTCCCTTCTCATCCACCAGTCTGTATGTGACAAGCTTCAATTTGCCCTTGCCCTCTTCGAACAAAAGTGCCAATTTCGGTGTATTCGACTCGGTGAATAGAAGTGTCGACGCCCGCACCTTGAGTTCCGTTATCCGAGCTTGGACTGGCCCTTCCAAGTATCCTCCAGTTGAAATCCCTCTCCGAGCCTTGTTCATGACCTTCACTAAACTCAAGACGCCCTGGAAAAGCTCCATAAGCAGGTATTTCCCATTGGGATCAACCAAACATCTGTCCACGCTGTGCGATTCCTGCATATATTTCTCGGTAAGGTCCTCGAATGACTGAGCTGTGTCGAGCTGCTGCGTGTCGGGGTTCCAGGCTACAGTGAAGTATTGAAATCGAACTGTGCCTATGAAGAGGTGGTCGGTCTTTGCGCCATAGGGTCGGAGCTTCGCCAGCATTGAGACGCGTCCATATATAGCTTTTGAGTGTAGCATTTCCAGGCCTTCTGGTGTGGGCTTCCATATTTCCACTCTGTTTGCTTTCCTGTGCTCGGGTTAGTGGTGTTATCGCCGAATCGATGTGGGTGTAGGCGGACGTACGCAAGCACCAAACACTCCTCGTGAGGGTCTAGGAGCTTCAGCTTGATTGCATGGCGCACGCTGCTCGGCCGGTGAATTGGTGCAAGATAAGACATCCTGTATTGTCTGTCCTTCACCGCTCACAGGCAAATGTTGCTGTTGGTCTTGTTCGGAGCTTGTAAGTTCGTCGGAGGTAAGCTGTATGCCGAGCTTGTCCCTCCACTTTAGGGAAACGCGATAGTCGCGTATCGCGTATAGCTTATCGGAGTTTAGGACCAGAGGCGCGGGGTTATCTGACCATGTCAAGGACACCAGTATTAGCGGTATGTTAAGGCAATACAACCATTATTAGAGATGTATTTATGTCTCTTGCTGTTAATCTGGCAAATGTAAGTGTCCCATTGCGGGTAGATTTTGCAACCCATAAAGTTTTATCATTATTCATTTGCTCCAGCTCCAGTTCCGGGGTATCTCTTCCAAGCCTGACAACGCAACGAACGCAACCACAGAAACTACTGTACATGTATATAACTTTAGTTACTTAGCGGCTTCCTCTTCGCTTTCAACCTCTGTATCAGATAAACCACTGGAGCTGGCAGCATCATCTCCATCCGCCTCACCACCCACAGCTTTGCCCTTCCCTTTCTTATCCTTGCCCTTCGTGGACTTTTTAAGTCGTGGTGGATCTCCCTCCTCCCTAGGCGCACTCACAGCATCCAAATATTCCCTATCATCCAGACTAGTCACCAGCTCGGGTACCTTGTCCGATAAAAGCTCATTAGGATCAAGCTCTCTCTCGCCACCCACAAACAAACTCTCCTCGAATGCCTCCCATGCCTCATTGGTATCTTCATCGATGTAGCGATGACCCTTCCATACTTCGGCTTGCGTAGCAGCGATTCTCTCGATCATGGTGTCGGTGGAGTCCTCTTCGCCATCGATAGATGATTTAACGGTCATGTGGATAGCTCTTGGTTCTTGAGCCCGCGCCGGGGTGTCTCGGGGAGCTGCTGCCTTGTGTTGCTCAGCAAGAGCATCAATATGATGGAACTGAGGCCGCATCTGAACTATGTGGTCTACTGGCGTGAGATGGAGTTGATCTAAGACACTCCAATTAGCAAATGTTCATGGATTTTGCAGAGGTGGCAATACTTTTCCGGAAAGTGCCAACCATATATTGCGGATTGGTCTCACTATTCGAGACTGCCTGGCCACCCAAGGTCTGCTTCGTCAATACCTCGTCCCTCTCCATGGAGCCGGCGTAATCATTCAACATCTTCTCATGAGTAGCCATCTCATCCTGATCAGCTCCTCTGCCCCTCCCTCTCCCCGGCGGTGCGCCTCCAATGCCGAACCCACCAGGTAGACCATGACTGCCTCTGCCCTTGCTCATGCTGCTCTTCTTCAGCGATTCACCCCATTGAATGCCCTTGAGCCGGTCGTAGTTCCTCCAAGCATCTACGGGCACGTCAACCTCTACCATACCAGCGTTTGGCTTAACTCGCAGTTTGAGGGGCTGGGATTGGTTGGCTGCTGAGTAGGGCTGCTTCGAGTCACGGTTGGGGAACTGGAGAATGTAGATTTGACGGTCCGACGAGATTCGAGGTTTGATGAAGACATCGTAGGAGGTCTTAATGGGGTCCAAGTCCTGGTCCTTATCGGGGGCCTCGTCCATATTGATGTCGCCCATTTTTGAGAGTGAGTTTTGAGGTGAGTGAACAGATCGCGGGGTGTGTTTGTGCTTGTGGTTCTGTTATCCAGAATATTTTTTGTTCCCTATCGGAGCTGATTCTGATGAAGCTCCGTGCTCGTTCGCCGTATCTTCTCCCGGTCACCGTAGCTTATCATTAGCGAGCGGAAAATACATCATCGGCGGAGGGCCTTGGCATGTTCTGAAGAGTGATGGTTAGGAATAGGTTACTTGTTAGCCCTCGGGGTCTTTCTTTAATAATATGAAGTGAAGTGAAGTAAGGTTAGTGGAAGTTAAGTTCCTAATAGGGAAGAAATGTACGAAACCAATAAGTAGCATGTTATGAAGTACACGCCGCAATTAGGAATGCTGGATGAGGGGACAGCGCCACCAGGTACCAAGCCCCGTAGGCTGCACCGCCCGAATGACAGATGACGCTGCACCACCACTCACTCCATCAACGCTTCGTCTACGTCTTCGTCTCACATCCACTTCTCCATCCCCATCATCGAACCAGACCAGATCGAACGCCAGTCTCTACTCCTCAGCAGCAGCAAGAACCCAATCTACAATATTCTAAAAGAACCAAGCAATCCCAACCACTCAAGATGTGCACTTCAGACATCTTCCTCGGCCTAATCGCAATCCTCTTCCCCCCTCTTGCAGGTACGCAATCCAATGCTGCAGCCTTCAAGATCAGCAGATCCGGTTTCCAAAACCACTGCAACAGCCCGCCTTTCCCCCAACACTTGTCACACATCTATCCGACCCTGCGATCTCTTCTCTTAAAATAATGCTAAACAAAAGCTGACATATCCTCCCAGTCTGGGTCAAACGCGGCATCTGCTCCGCCGACTCTCTCATCAACATCTGCCTCTGCGCACTCGGCGTCCTCCCCGGTGTCATACACGCCTGGTACATCATCGCGAAATACCCCGAGCTGGACTATGATTACCTTCCGCAAGATGCCGAGTCCGGACGAGTCACCTACGTGATCGTGACCTCGCCCGACGGCGGCCGGACGCGCGTCCCCAAGAACAATGCGAGGCCCGCCCAGCGCGGGTATGGTACTACCGCCCCTATGGCTCCTCCTGTGCACCAGGACCAGAATGGCACATGGAATAACAATAATGCCGCGGAGGGCAGCAGTGGTGGTGCCGTACCGCCGACTTATGCGGAGGCTGTGAAGGGCGATCATAAGGTGCAAACGAGAGATTAAGCGCTGTAAATTCAGTGGCAAATTTGAGCGGGGATGAGAGGCATATGTATTGATAGTGCCAGCCAATATGACCGAACACTAGCGGGTGATGGATATAGCGGCTTGGGAATATTGACACCCTGGAGCGGATTTGGTAGGGACTGGCGCAATGGGATTTATTTTGGGGGCGGCTATAATATCACGACTCTCACTTATGATGGTGAATTGGGTAGGCAAGTGCCGTTGAGGGTGGACAAATGTTCCATCCCCGGTTGATGGATTTTTTAGGGTCGCCACTGGCTTTGTTACTTGAGAAGGTTATCGGGATAGCAACTGCTATAGGGACGCTAAATTATGAAACTACAATATCTACCCGGTTGCCTACTTTAGGTATCTGGCTTGAGCACGTGAATTCTTCGCGAAATAAGCATCTTAGCTGACCCCATCATCTCCCCAATTCCTTAACTCCCCCTATGACATTTTGATAACCCAGCCAACGATGATACTTTGTTCGGAAGTTACCGCGTTTTAAAGCCATTAATCTCAGAAAACCTCTCATTTCTCACAGCCAAAGTAGATTCTATACAATAGTACTCATAAATTTCATATTAAACTCACGGTAGTCTCAGGCCAAGTTCCCCAAATCATAGGCCGGTCCGTAATCCTCGTATTCATGGGGACTAGAATCTTCATTCTCCGTTTCTTCTCATCCACCTCCGCTACATACACAAAGCCCATAACCGTCGCATCTCGGATCGTCTCCTGGGAGTCGCGGAGCGACGCATACATGACTGCCAGAATGCAATGTAACATCATGGATGATGGCTCGACTTTCTCGTATAATCCTGTGTCCATTGTTTCGGCTTCGCCGCCGGGGAGGAAGGATGGGTTGATAGAATTTACTGGGATAGTTAGCTGGTGTGGTTCATAGTTTTCGTAAGGGGAGCTTGCCTTCTTGAATTTTATATATCGTGGCTTCATCGAAGCCAATAGATTGGGTGTGTGGACTCAGGGTTCTTTTTAGGTCGCCGAAGAAGTACTCTCGTATGGAAGCTTCTTGCGTATGTCGCATAAAGGCATCGTCTCTATCCACGCAACCGCCTGACTTATCCAGCTTCACCACAGTAACGGCCCCAGAAGTACTCTGAGAGAATCGGCGGTTCATCTCACTGTGTAACCGCTCAGAACCCAAAACTAAGATAATGTTCACTGGATGGCTCGTCAGTTATACCATACTTTATAGCTGAGAGCGAGCAACCAACCTGCAAATTCCGACACGATATGTGATATAAGCTCATACCCCTCCTTTCCCTGGCTTATGACTCCAGGAGTATCAATGATCATCCCCGTCCCCTTAACAACCGGATCGACTCCAAGTCTGCTCGATGCCGCCAACGCCAACCTCGTGACCACGGGCTTGAATAATTTCGCATTATCTTCCGGGCTAGGTAGTCCATAGTAATAGCACAGCGGTAACTTCACCGGTACCGGACTAGGACCACTAGTAGGACTACTTCCCCATCCCTGCTCCACATCCAGAATCGAGGCAAACGGCGTAGCAGTCAAGCTTCCAGGGATGGACAACAACCCCTCCCTCGAATCCGTATTGATAACCATAGGTTGTCGGCCCATTCGAATTGCATATGAAGTCAGCAACTTAACCAGACTCGTCTTCCCCGCATTATTTGGTCCGACTACCAGAACCCTGGGTCCTTCCCCTCCATTTTGAGCAGCTTCATCTCGTAGTTTTTCTAAAGCAAAATGTGTGTTGACGTATGATACCATGGGGGTATCTTCTGCTGTGTATTCTTCGCATGGTCCTGAGACCTCCAGACGGCAGCCGTGCCATGTGAAGATTGACGATTTGGTCCCCCGGAAGGTGTATGTATGTTTTTCGGCGAGCTCTGTGCCGAAGATTTCTGCTGTTCCTGATAGCACCTGGGGAACCGTCAGCCTTATCACCGTATAATTTGATAGAGGTACGGACCTTCACGTCGATGCTCTGTCCAAATGCGACCTCAAAGCGCCATTCTGAGTTAGCTTGGAGCTCATGGATTGTAGAAGCTGCGGCGGTAGCTGGGCCTGCCGCGAATGTAGGCTGTTTGTTGGTTAATCGTCGGTACCTGCGCAGGTGATAATTGGGGAGCACTTACAGCAGCTGCGGCTTGTCCAAGTCCTGGTATGCCAGGTATGGACATGATGTCGGTATTGTCTGAACACTGGGAGCCTCCAGACGACAAGGCGGAATAATAATATTCGGACTGAAGCTCGCGCCAAGCACAGCCAGGGGTCCGAGCTTGTTCCGCAGTTCAGCCTTGTGGATTATCAGGAGATTGCTCTATCTTATCAACCCCGCGACGTCGATTTACAGTTGCTCGATAGCGTTCTACTGGGTAGTTGTGAATTAGGTACGATGCTTAGAATTAAAGGTAGGCTGCTTGGTGATGGTATCTTGAAAGGGCCGTTGTTAGAGAGTTCAACGATCTGTTCAGGAGTGTTCTTGCACAGTGACAAAGACAAAGAATTGAGAAGTATGCAGCTCTATACACTGGCCACTATTGAAACCAGGTCTGCAAATGTTTCCATTATTTGCTAAGTAAGCCTATGTACAGTGTTCACTTTTTGATAGAGACCAAAAGATTCCTTCAATACCTATAACTTATCTCTATAACTTTTGGGAATATTGGTCTAGGTAGCTAGATGTAAAATAGCGCGTGGATTTATGTCTACGCTGCTGCCAACGGGGTATCTAACACGCATAGCAAGTTTATAGATGCTATTCGTGCCCCAGTAACTCCGAGTCCCATGCCCTTCTTTCTCCAAATGGTAAAATCAAGTTGACCTTCCAAGTCAACCGCTCTCGGACAGCTCCTGAAGAATGTTAACCACACTCCGAACGCCCTTCAGCGAGTTCTCATCGGGTCCCTCGCCAGGGGTCCAATCCGCGTGTGCAAAGTCGATAATCTTCACGTCATAGATTTTAGGACGTGGGTTTTCATCTTCGTCGTCATCCTCCTCGGAATTCGCGTCGCCATTCGCGAGAGTCGCCGGCGGCTTACTCGCTTCTTCCATGGCAGATCTCAGGGCGGCCCCGTCACCCTCGAAGACAAATAGGAGGCTTGAAGAGAACATGCGGCTCTCCTGCGCTTCTAAGATTTCTTGAATCCGGGAAACATCAGCAAGGAATGCCTGAGTTACCAATTTCCCTAGTTCTTCGTCGATACCAGCCGACTTGATGAAAATAAAGTCCCGGAATGCCTCTTGGACATTGTCCTTGTGGATAGTAAGTCTACCATAATCTCTATCGTAGATTTTGTGACCGCCTGCGTCTATGTCTTTGCCCACCGCATTAGGCCCCTGGTATACTCTCATGCCCGCTATCCGGAAACCCAGGTCTTTATGTGTAGTCTCGTCCGAGAGTTTGTCGAAGCGCGCTTTCTTCTCTTGCAGCGCATCGTCGGCCCATAACCGTACACCAAGCTTCAAATCCATGATATTGGGTTTTACGAAGCCGTGGGCGGCATTCTCTAGCACAATGGCTTGTTTGGTGGCTATCTTCCTGTTGTTGTCTCTTTTGGGGACCACAACCTCGGGGATGCTATGTTTTGCGATCAAAGCCGCGCCGGCCTCTTCGATAGTTGTGCCATTTTGTTGTTGGTCCAGGGTCAGCGACCCAAGGAAGTTTGGCATATGCTCGACGAATTCTGGATGGTAGGCGCGGGAGGATTCGTAGAACGCGATCTCAGCGGCTGTGCAAGGCTTAATGAAGAGCTCGCCGTCGGCATCACGAAGTATGCCATCACTAGTCGCGGTCAGCCTTCTGTCGGCGGTCTTGTGGACACAAGGTAAGATAACTTACTGTCCCGCGACAGCGTGCTCATAGTCAATCAAGTCTGCGTGGTTGGGCAGCGTTCTGGCCATCTTGAGTGGTGGGGTTAGGCTAGCTGGGCTGGATTTGACTGGCCTTGCAAATACTATAACCTAATCATGTTGAGGAGAAGAGATGAAACTATATACCCCGTAACACCACAAGTGCGCCCAGAATGCTTTTAATAAAGGAAGCAGGGCGTGCGCGCTCTCTCGTGAGAGTGGCAGAAGGCTGAGCAACAGTGGCAGAAACGACGGCGAAATCGGCGTTGGCAGGGGTCGCAACGCCGTGTCTTTGATGTTGTAAGGTCTGCAGTGGGAGTGCAGAGTGATCCTACGCCCTGCATGCAGGCCAGCGCATGCGCAGTTCCAGCTTCCAACAGTGCAATTAACGTGGTGATTTATAGGTGAGTTAGTGCGTGGGTGAGAAATAAGTGATTAGAGGTCGCTCTATGGAGTGAGTAGGTAGCTTGGGAGCTACTGGCTACACGAACAAGCGAAAAGCTACCTGCTAGTGCATGTTTGCTGCTTGTACAAAGTACATGTAAGCGCCCCTGTGTTTCCCTCGTTCCATCCCACACAGCCCCTTTCTTCTCCTGGTTCTTTTCGACGCTTGAAAGGCACAACATACGCCTGTTGGCCTCAAGGTACGAAGTACCTGTGCGCGGCACATGAGAGGCAGACTCCATGGCAGACGGGCAATCATGCGTAGCAAATACAGTATTACCCCACGCATGATGCACAGGTCAATACCATGTCATATTCAATCCAGTGGTCACTTGTTCAAGGTCAGGGGCGGGCCGTGGTTAAGAGCGTGCGGGTGTATAACCTAGTGACGACCCTTTGTCTCGGAGAGCGGGCTATTATCAAGGCGAAGGGCATTGGAGCGCTCTTAAACCACGCCCCTTGCACTGAATCCATCACTACAGAGGATATACTCCGAAACATTGTCTAAACAACAATTCGTGTTCCCTTTGTATATTGCTACAGGAAGACGAGGAAGGAGTCACAGAAAAGGCAATAAGCCAGAGTATGGTCTATGTTCAGGTTACTATAGGTATACTACGGTAGCAAACAGAAAATATCCGGTTCTAAGTTAGACTGTCTAGGTCAATTCCCTTCAATAGGATCCGTTCACATTTGCCAGCCACCACCCTAGACTTGTCTAGCAATACGATAAGGTCTCGATGACATCCCATCACGCGCAGAGCGCTGGCCTAGCTCTACCTGCGTTGCCCACCTGATAGTCTTATCGGCTTGGGCCAGGTACCTCCATATACTTCATTTCAATAAGGACATCTCTTGCCAGATATAGCTGGAAATACAGATTAATTCCACGACCGATTTGCGTCCGCATCCACCATACTTCGCCACAAGTCCCAGCGTTACTGTGATTGCCAGCTAGAGTTTTGATAGCGTCTGCGCCTCCATGGGCTGCAGGTTAATCGGCACCGTGGTGGCTTGGGCCGGTTTGGTTTGGGGTTGGCTTCTTCCAAAACCATGTATAGGTACAGAGCAGCAATCAAGATATATCCGCTCTTGAGATTTCTAGATATTTCTGCGGCTCCAGCCTCTTGAAGACTTACTATCTGAACCCGCTTGAAAGACCACTCCAGCTATGAGCTATGCTGCGGGAGGCTCTGGAAAACCTAGGCCCCCAATCTCCGTTGATAACATGGCAGCGACGGCCTTACTAACCTGACACTACCAATCCTATGGAGTGATATATTGACAGGAGCATATTAAGATGATGGTTGGGTTCGATGCCTATCAGACCCTAGGCTCGGTCGGCCGCAAGGCTTGCCGCAGGCAAACAGTCGTATTCCAAGGGTAACAAACGGACTTCGATCCGCTTGTTTGTCGATATTATGGCACCAATGCCGCAAAGCAGCTGGAATCAAAGGTTAGCCTTAAGAGTGTGAGATTTCAGTTTGTGCTGAGCGATTCGGGAAATCCCTTATCAGTCCAAAGTTGCTATGATTCTCTTCCGAAGCTAAGGAGAATTTGATGTTTTTGTTTGAGATGGAATGTGTTTGTTTTTGTACATAGCAGTGAATACGTTTGTACCCATCACCGCTCCTGCCTCTTCAGACTCGCTCCCGTGCGTATTTGCTTTCCGGACTGTGGGCAATGTTATTTTCCATCTATCCTTCCAACTCAACTTACCTCGGTTCCTCCACATTCTGAGCCCTTCAATTCGGTTTCCATTACTCAACTCTCTTCACTTCTTTGTTTAACCTCCCCGATATCGTTGCCAGCATGTCGGAAGCAGTTACTGTCCCACCTGCGGAAGTAGATGAGGTAGGCCAGATCGATCAGGCCGACCATGCAGCCCAGGTAGACCATGAAGCTCAGGTCGATCAGGTCGATGAGGTAGATCAGGTAGATCAGGTAGATCAGGTGGACCAGGCAGCACCGGTAGACGTAGTAGAGAAGAAGAAGAAGAAGAAGAATAAAAGCAGGGGCAAGGGTAAGGGCAAGAAGAAGCAGGCTAATCCGACTGGATTCGAGGGTAAGTTACTTCCATCAACTTTCGAATCTATCCCTGCTTACCTCCTTCATAGAGTTTTACGCGGACCCTCCCATCACTCCGGATGAGCACGAAGAGGAATCAGACCTCTACTCTGAGTAAGGCTCCACAACTTTGTTCTACTTTTTGCTAACAAGTTCATTAGGTCCAGGCCATTTGTCGAGTAAGTAATTCACTTCAGATCTCAGGAAAATGCTAATATCATGAGTAGGCGCATTCAAACATGCATTCAGCGGTACAGAGCACGCCGCAAGCTCGATGAAGTCCGTGGCAACATCTTCTCGAAATATCTCATCCTAGGAGGCATTGAGTCGACCAACAAAATGTTCACAGGTGGAATGCTGGACAGGGAGACTTTGGAGAACTCTACTGCGCGGGAAATAGCTGCCATTCAAGCCAGCGACTTCATTCGCCCCGGAAGCAAGAAGTACTATGATCCAGCTGAGGCTGATAATTGGGTTGTCGACTGGGAAGGCGTTGCTAAAGGGTTCTTGTAAGTTTATCTACGGTGGTGAAACGGATAAAACTGACTTGGGCTAGCTCTCACAGAGTCCCTGAACAACTCGGAACCGAGACAGAAAGCGAGGTCAAGCTATATAGCGCAGTCATCCGAAACTTCCTTAATTATGTGCTTCAGCATCGGGTTTGCATGGAGTATACGGAGGATGTCATGGCAGCACGCATGATCTGCACCCTAGCTGAGAAGCAGTTGTGGGCCATCGAGCAGATCCGCTCGAAACTCCCTGGTGACTTCAATATCGCCGCTTCGACATTCTGTGGCGGCTGCTACCATGGCCGCCACGGTTCGGCCCAGCCATGGCATGAAGGTGATCTAAGGACTAAAGACTTGGGCCCAGCAGTTCGAGGTTTCGCAGAGGCCGAGGCAACCCGCATCTTCCAGACTAGTATCGCATACGCTGGCACAGACGACCTCTTCGTGCAAGCGATGGATGATGGTATTCGAATCGTGAACACATCATCCAGGTATTACCAAATCGTGGAGATCCAACGGCCAAATTTGAATGACATCGAGGAGTGGGCTAAAGTGAAGAACCATGAGGGGGAGGAGGGGCTCATTAAACCTTTAGGGTTCGTGAAGTGCGAGGCCTGGGCCGGTCCTGGCTTGGAAGACCTAGATCAATCTGATGACGAGTTCTCACAAGAAATGGGGTCGACCGTTGACACATTTTGGCTCGAGGACGATATTCTTCAGCTCATGTTCGAGGGCATGAAGGTAGAATTGCTTGTTCATGAGCTCAACATCGGCGTCAAGTTCTTCGACCAAGTTCTTGGCATATATTGCTCCTTCTATAGCTTCCCGGAGAACGAGAAAATGATGGGCTGGAAGGACCCAGGCAAGTTTTCCTTGGATAATCCGTCGATTGGGGGGACTAACCTTTATAGTTTCCAATACCAGACCAGCTCCTACCGACGATGACCCGGATGCCGAGGAGAGAGCTCTGGAAAGAATGATGGATGAAGATGTCGAGGACGCTGAGAAGAAGTTTGACGACCAGAAAGACGATGTAACCCGCTAAACATAGACTCGCTTCCAGTGCCAAGATAAGCTTGAATACCGGATCGTTGGCCGAAAGTGGATCCGATGCGACTGCACGATCGATATTGCATTGGCAAGGAACTCGGAGCATTTGCTCTCAGACGGTAAGTCGGCCGCGTTTCCGAGCAATCAGGGTTACATTCGTCCTCGGTGAGATGTCTCTCATTAGCTTCAATCCTCATTTCGAATTTCTGCGAATAGCATTTCAGATGCGGTCGATAAGGACCAGAAACAGATACTTTGTTACTGGTAATCGAACTTTTATAGAACCGGGAAATTGAACTACTACTCCGAAAATTAATCAGTTAATTCTCGAATCCTGTCCGTTGCAAAGGATATGGCTTCGTACCTGCCATATATGATGTTTGTACAACATGCCATTTCCTACGTTCCCCGCGTTCTCATCCCCTGTCCCCTCCAATACAATACATACATCAACAGGCAATACCACCTGAAATAACCGAATCCAACATGCCGATTCAGATTCACAAATCAGAACTCGAGATGAGATCTCGGGATTTCAATCGGGTGCTACCATGGTCATTTTAGGCGTTTGCGGAGGCAGCGGATTCTCGAGATGGTCAGGCCGATCCAGTGAGCGTGCGAACTCGACCCCCTTAATCGATTGTAACCATGAAGTGATTGAGGTACATCGGAGAGTTGTCTCTTATATGGGCGATTCGGTCTGCTGATTTTGCATATTTTACTTGAGCAATGATGGTAAGATTGATCCTTTCTTTGAAAGCGTTACTTAGTGGATGATGAATGAATCACTGATTATCTATTTACGAAGTAGGCAGTTCTCTCGAGCAAACCCACGGCGCTGGCCTCGACTGCTATCTTTGCTACTCTACTTGCTGCCTTATGGTCTACTATTGGGGACCGTACCCCATGGAGGAATGTATTTAAGCTTTCGAAGTCGCCGGAATATGTGTGTGGAGACCAACATTACACGACGGAAATCATCTCTATTGATCCGCTTGTGATTTATATCAATGACTTTGTTTCTCCTACTGAAGCCGCCGCGCTTGTTGAGATTGGGTGCGTTCCCAGTTCGGTTTTTTATTCTTTTTCCGGTTCACCTCCTTCCAAACTTCGATGGATATACTCCTTTAACACAGCTAACCAAATCAGCGAACCGAACCTTTCTTCCTCTGAAGTTTACCATCAGGGCCGACTACGCCCCTCTGCTTCGCGCGACCGAACTTCTCGTATGGATACTCCATTTACAGTCCCTCACCTCAAGACACACTCACATATCTCATGTCCCCCAAACAATCCAAAAATAATACCTACCCCTCTTTTTTATATTGTTTTGGATATCTATCAGGGGGAGAATATTTAGCTTGGAATAAACTAACATTCTCAATTCGCCTAGAATCCGGCGCCCTCCCACCTGCCTCCCCACCCGTATCCTGCCTCCTCGATCGTGCCCGTACCTTCCTAGGTCCCAACCTTCTCGCTCCACACGAAGACTTCGGCACACCTCAAATCGTCCAGTACCACCCAGGCGAGCACTTCAACGAGCATTTCGACTGGTACGAGAGTCCACAACCCGTAGTTGGAAAACGGGGGCTATGGTTTAATCGCGTGGCGAGCTTCTTTGTGTACTTGGACGATGGTGGTGATGAAAGAGAGGGCGGGGAGACTTGGTTCCCAAAAGTCGATGCCGTGAAGGGGGATGGAGTCGGGGAGAGAGAGGGTAAGTGGAGGAGGCATGAGGATGGTGGGACGGCGTTCATACCGAAAAGGGGGAATGCGGTCTTTTGGGTTAATTTGCTTGGGAATGGGACGGGAGACCGGAGAACGGTGCATGCTGGGTTGCCACTTAAGAAGGGGATTAAGACTGCTTGTAATATTTGGCCTAGGAGGTTGTATAATTGATTAGGGAGATGTCAAATAGAGGATACAGAGTGACTTTCTCTATGAGCTTGCGATTGCGTATTGTGTTTAGCTAACGAGGCCGTTTGAACTAATATACATAGTCGATTTATTAGAGAATTATAATAACTTAAGTCAGTAATAGGAACCTTTGTGAAAATTTCTCAACGGATAGGAAAGTTTAGTTAACTAACTAAATTTACTTTTCCCATACTCGTAATATATGATATTTAAAATATAGTTATTATATTTAATAGCTACAAATGAAATTAAATCCTTGCCTTGATAGCAATTTACTGGCGGTTTTGATTCAGTATTATATAACATTTAATAATTTAATAATCCATCACAGAGTTATAAGGGAAATCTTGACAAAACACTTTGTTGAGGTTTGGAAAGGGGGAAGGGGGGGGGGGCAAAGGGGGGTCGGCTGCCCGGCCTGTAACCCCTCGATAACAGATTTCGCTAGGCTTATCTCAGAACGGAGATGGGAACACCGCAAAACTCAGCTCAAGAAATTTGGTATGGATTAAATGAAGCCTTTCTAAGCGGAATCGTCGCTCCCGGTACCGTATCATTTCTTAAAGTATTATTAAGGAGAGGATTCTGGGGAGGAACTCTTCTATCAACTTGGTACAGTACAAGTAGCTATCCTCGCTACCCTCCATACTCTCCACTACCTCGGTAGCTCGGCCACCAAACGCAGTTACAGAGCAAAGCACTAGGTAGGAGAAGGGCTACTACTTGTAAGTGGGCAACCAACTAGGTAAGTAACTAACACATGCAATTGGCTGAATTAATCAGTTGTTTGGGAATGGCGGGCGGACTATCTAGGTACATACCTAAAGGAGTAATTCCCGCCCTATTACTAAATCCGGACCCCTCCTCACGTCATAGCCAACCTGCGCGTTGATTTATAATAATAGCGAATGGTAACAGACAGCTCGATTACCTGAGTATAAACTGCATTCCCCATCCACAAGGAACTACAAGTATATGTCTGCAAGACACGCCACCAGAATTTTCTCCACTCGTTTTCGGCCTGTATCTCGACTTTCGCAGCTCCAGTTTCAATCGCACACCAGATATCCGTACCCATACCCCCCATTATTGCGAACAATGGCGACTTCCGTGCCCACGACGATGAAGGGAGTACTTATTGAGAAGAACGGCGGCGTTGAAGTCCTGCAGTACAGAACAGATTTACCAGTGCCTACTCCCAAGGAAGGGGAAATCCTCGTAAAGAACGAATTTATCGGCATCAACTACATTGACACGTATGTTACCCCTCGCTCTCGTTCGCGCTCGCGTTTCCACCCCACATCCTAACATAGCCGAACAGGTATTTCCGCAGCGGCCTTTACCAATCGCCGAAGCCTGAAATTCTTGGCCGGGAAGCTGAGGGAGTAATCGTTGCTACGGGTCCCGGTGGCGAGCTATACAATTTCAAATCTGGCGACAGAGTGGTTTTCCTAGGCCCGAGTACCTATGCCGAATACACAGCTATTGTAGCCTCCAAAGCGCACCTCATCCCATCTGGCCTCGCGCCTGGGCTCGCAGCTGCCTCCCTCCTCCAAGGCCTGACGGCTCTCACACTCATCCGCGAAGCCTACCACGTCCAGAAAGGGGACTTCATCCTCGTCCACGCCGCAGCTGGTGGGGTCGGCCAATGGCTGGTGCAATTGTTGAAGGCGGTTGGGGCGCGGACGATTGGGACAGCTAGCACGCCGGCGAAGCTTCAATTGGCGAAGGATAATGGCGCGGAGTTTTTGATTAATTATAAGGAGGAGAAGGATCTGGTGGGCAAGGTAAAGGAGATTACTGGGGGCAAGGGCGTGCATGCTGTCTTTGATAGTACGGGGAAAGATCAGTTTGAGAATGATTTGGAGGTTTTGGCTCTGAAGGGGACGTTGGTCAGTTTTGGGAACTCGGTGAGTTGACGATACTTTCTCAATGCTTGACGCGCTCGGGATTTGACTAATATTCTGATAGTCTGGTGCGGTTCCACCTTTCACGATTGCGAGGTTGGCGGCTAAGAACATCAAGCTTCTTAGACCGCAGCTGTTTGGTTACATTGCTGTTAGAGAGGACTGGGAGAAATATACCAGCGAGCTCTTTGACTTGATCCTTAAGGGAGCCGTGAACGTTAAGATCCATGAGATCTACCCACTTGCGGAGGTTGCGAGGGCTCACACTGATATTGAGTCCCGGGGAACAACTGGGAAACTACTGTTGAAAACTTAGATAACGGTTGAATTGAAGTAGGAATGCAGTCTATTAACTTTTAATCTTGAGATGAAAAGTGTGCCAGTATGCGCCGAGCGATATAGGGGTCTTGTGTATTCATGCCGCAGAAGCCTTCAATGTCTTCCCTTCTTGGGCAGCCTTCAGAAACGCTTCAGGGGGGTCCTGACGATATCCCTTGGGGTTGTTGCTAACCCATCTCCACAGATCTTCGCAAGCGTCTTCGAGGGTAAGCTCTGTCTTCCATCCAAGCTCCTCGTTGGCGCGAGCTGGATTAGCAGTGAGATCCAACACGTCTCCTGCTCGGCGTCCAACGACTTCGAATTTCAAAGGATGTCCGACCACTTTACTGAATGCATTGATCATTTCGAAGACTGTGCATCCACGCCCCGAGCCCAAATTCCAGGCTCGCACACCAGGATGGTTATTTCTAAGGTAGTTGAGAGCTGCCAGATGGCCTTTAGCAAGATCTACAACATGGATATAGTCACGGATGGCAGTGCCATCACGCGAAGCATAGTCTAGAGGTGTTAGCCGTCGCCGTTATGTAATATAAAGGGAGTAATTCGGTGGGCCGCCCTACCGTCACCGAAGACAAGGAGCTTCTCTCGCTGCCCCGTCGCAACCTGGCCTAGGAGAGGCAAAAGATTGAACGGTACGCCCAAAGGATCTTCGCCCATGATTCCACTAGGATGAGACCCAGCAGGATTGAAGTATCTCAACAAAGCACCATTCCACTTCTCAAAAGGCTTGCCTTCCTTCTTCGAATTGTTGCGCTGAGCTTCAACATGATCAGTAATTATGGATTCGATCATGGACTTGGTGCGACCATATGGATTTGTTGGGCCAATTGGGCAGTGTTCGGGAATGGGGATCATGTTTGGGACCCGCGTCGCATCGCCGTACACAGTTGCGGACGAAGAGAATACGATGTTGGCCACATTATGCTTGGTCATGGACCGCAGGAGTGAGATTGTGCCGCCAACATTGACGCGGTAGTATTCGAGAGGGATCTCGGAGGATTCGCCAACAGCCTGGGATGAGGTCAGTATGGAGGTATAGCAGTGGGCAAAAGCTTCCACAAGAGATGAGATGTTCTGTACCTTGAGTGCCGCAAAATGAATAACGCTATCAATATCTGGGTGCGCCGCGAAGACCTTGTCTAACGCAGCTTCATCGGTAATGTCAACCTCGTAGAAGTCAGGCCGCTTTCCGCAAAGGATCTCGATGCGGTCCAGGGAGACTTTGGATGAGTTGTACAAGTTGTCGACAATGACGACCTTATAGTCAGCATCGAGGAGCGCAAGCGCTGTGAACGACCCAATATAGCCGGTACCCCTATGCGATCACCAATTAGCAGCTACTCCTGCGCGAGCTTCTCCCTTACGTAGAAGGCCATGGGAGCCTCTTCCATGCTTCCATGTACAAATTATAACTGGCATTGGAAGGCGGTGGAGGCTCACCCGGTGATCAGAACGGTTCCAACTGCCATGGCGTGATTATGATGCCTTCCTTGGGACGATATAGTGGAACTGCTTTCAATGTATGTATTCTTCTCTCTAGATTGAGGTTGAGGAAGTGTCAAAAGTCTGCGTGGGCTTTACGGAGCATTTGTATGGTAAGAAAGAAGCTAATCTCGGCGGCATCTAGGGAACTGGCAGTGTTTGCTAGGATAGCGGGACCCCTCGGTGGGGTATACGAGCTGAGACGTACTACGTAGTGCAAGCCTACCTACGGAGTAGAGTTAGGAGTACCTGGCCTTGGATGCGAAGCACTACTTTAAGCGGATAATGATGAAGGTAGTACGACATATAGAAGAATTGAAGATGAAAGGGAAAGCAAGAACTTTATATGGAGGATAGGGGAGGGAAAAAGAAGACTTCGATATAAGTGATCTGGAGGGGGCATTTCGTCAACACCAGCCACTGCCGCAGGGCACTAGCCACACGGCAACACCAGCCACTAACCGTACTGTGGCTGTGCCCCCTCGAGCTGTCCCGCCCGCAACCTTCCCTCGAGCTTTGTTGACGCGCCGTCAAAGCTGATATTTAGTTTCGAAGAATGTCGAGAATAAAGACAATGACAACCCAATGCGGCCATACTATCCGCAAACAACCACTTGCCCTCCCTGCCCTGCACTTCAGCTACTTCCTCTCCAGAGCGGCAGCTTATTCCTCCCAATAAATGGCGTTTGAAGGGTCCCATTGTTCGTGTTCTGTTGCGCGCTCTCATTGTGCTATCGCTCTGGACCACTTCCCATACACCTTTGCGCCCGAAGATACAGCCCTCGATACCAAAATCTACACGAGCCTTCGATGACAATACCATTTGCATGATTGATTGTGGAGCCGATTGAGACACGTATTGTGATTATACTTCGTATTGTGGTGGTATAGTGGTCGTATTGTGGAGGTGAATTTGCCGGCGGGGCGTTGGGGTTACTATTGTCGCAGTGCCTGGCGCAGGTTGATGATCACAACACAATAGTAAGTTGGCTTATTGCTCAATTACACAATGGAGCCTCCTCTGTCTACAGCCCTTGGGTACTTCTCCTCGAGCTTGCTTCCCGAGAAGTTTCTTTCCCCGTCATCGAACAAGTTTAGAGATTTACAGAGATCCGTATTCAACCTTCTAACTCTCTTTTCAGATCACATACTCCTTTCAAGACCCCCACCCCTCTTAAGATATACCCAAACCCCCTTCACCAAGCCTATAAGCACAAGTCAATCTTCGCCAATATGTCTACAAGACGTATGACCCGCTCTGCCAGCAGAGCTAGTAGCAGAGGAGTTTCCCCCGCTGCCAGTGACGTGACTGCCACCCCGAGACGAGCCGGACGATCGGCCGGAGGTACACCACTCCCCGCGGTCAACATTCGAGCGAGTACGGCGTATGGAACTAATACGGTGCCAGCGATTTCAGCCAGAGGTGGCCAGCCTAGTGAACAAGAACTTGGCAATGCCCTTACCGATATTCTCAAGCCTGTGCTAGAAGAAGAAGAAGAAGAAGTAGATGGTAAGTTCAAAAGATTTTTATATGGGGTTTATTACTGTACTGACTTGTTTTGTAGCTGTTGACAGCCCTAGCCGTGGCAGAGACGGTGGTCGACGTGGCAGCCCAGCGCTTCGAGGAACCGCTTCGTCGGATGTGAACTTTAACCAAACCTTTGGAGACGAAAGCACGGTTTTCAAGGGTGCTGGGTTTGACTCTTCTTCAATTGCCAGCGAAGACCAAGGAAGTCCTAACGGTTTTACCTATGGAGTTCATATTCAGCATGCCCAGGCTGAAGACTATGATGAGCTTGCTCTTGTAGATGAAAGTGCTGGGTTCGCTCTTGCGGAAGATCATGATGAGCTTGCCCTTGAACCAAGTCATGATGAACCCGTTGCCGGGCCCTCGGGAAAGACAGCTCGTGCACAATCCGGTTTGAGCAAGGTATCTGGAAGGCTTCGAAAGTCGCCTCCCAAGACTAAAGTGCCACATGCTCGAGCTGAGGTCGATTTTACTGAAGTTCCCGTCCGTTCAGGTCTCATGTCGACTGTCAAGGACAAAGGCGCTGACCTTGTGGACTCTATTTGCATGCCATTCTCCTGGTGAGTACACAATCTCAAATCTCCGAACCGCAAGTTAATCATGCCTAGGGCCATGGAAAAGCTCAGTGGGGGTTGGTTTTTGTGGCTGCCCTTGATCTCTATCTTGGTCCTTTTGTTGTCATCTACTGGTAAAGGGCCTTCCAACGATCCAGTAGTCAACCGGGAAGCTTCATACCAGTGGTATGGCCTCAACCTCCGACACAATATCGGCCAATTCGTCCCTAACTGGATCGCCCACCCGATGGAGAAATTAGGTTCTGATGCCCTCCAGGGTGTGCAAACCGATTTACGGGCCTTGGATTACAAATTGGAATCGTTGAATCACCAGGAAAAAATTGATTCTAAAGCCATCGCCAAAATCGAGAAAGCGCTTCCGGATTTCCTCGTTGTCAAGAAAGACAAGTATGGCGTCTTACAAATTCCTCCTGACTTCTGGCATGCCCTTCGAGATTTAGTCCGCACCGACAAACTCATTTTCGCTACCGAGACAACAAAACATCTGCCAGCTTCAAAACCAAGCGATACTGAGACGATGACAGGATGGGACAAGTATCTTGAAATCAATCGCGCCAGGGTTAACCTCTGGTATGGCCAAGAACTCGAACACAGGTTCCCCCATCTTCTAAAGAATAACATCCTCGCGACAAAGTCAGAAATTCTTGATATGGTGCGTCAGAACTGGGAAGAAAATCAAGGTGGCATCAAAACCGAGCTTCACAAGCTTGTGGATGGGCTCAACAGGAAATTGCTTCTCGCCAACTCACAAATCCACTCGCTCCAGCAAGAAGGTAAAAGCCGCAACAAGGCGCATATACAAGCTATGATCGCCGAGTATGTCCGAAGTATATTGCCGATTGCTCAACTGCAGGCCCTCGCGGATGCCAACTTGAATAACCTCGACCACCACAGAGCAAAACTCAACCATTGGTCTCATGGAACCGGAGCTGTTATTGACCCATACGTGACTTCGGGAACTTACCTGTTTCCAAGTATGAGGAAAGGGTCCGCTGAAAAGTGGATCCGACAATATCTTATGAAAAACCCTATTCCGGTGCCCAATCCACCTGAAGCTGCACTTACCAAATGGGATGAGCTTGGTGACTGCTGGTGTTCACCGTCCAATGATGATGGCTTCGGCACAACCATTGGTGTCATTATGGGAAACAGCATCTATCCTGAAGAGGTTGTCATTGAGCATATTGCTCCTAGCGCCTCCCTCGAACCTGCGTCAGCTCCTAGAGAAATGGAATTACTGGCCTATCTGGGCGATATTGACCCTAAGGATTACGAAGCCATCGATGGCCTGTCAAAGCAGATGTTCCCGGGTGAATCGGACGTGGGGCCACGAGGCGCTCCCGACTATATCCGAGTCGCCACATGGAGGTACGATATTCAAGCACCGCATTCTGTCCAGACCTTCCCTGTTCAGCTTGACCTGACACCGTACTTGGCCCACACCGACAAGCTTGTTGTTCGTGCCAAAAACAACTGGGGAGGCAAAAGAGTTGATTATACTTGTCTGTACCGAATCCGGGTCCATGGTCGGATGGGTCTACTATCTCAAGCATAAAGTGCATATTAAGAAGAGTCTGCCGGGGTTAATTATTGTTTCATATTCACAGCAGGCGTATGGTGCAAATGGTGGGCCAATACCCTTTCTGTATTTAAAAGGTGCGACGAAGGAATGTTTTCTGATCAGGGTTTCCGTCTGCTTTGCTTCGTATTTATTCGAAGAAATCGAATAGCTCAAATTCTAGATCATAATTGTCATGTTTCGTTGCTTAGTCTCTGTGCCTAACTTTGACTGCAAAGATACAGTAAACCTTCGATATAAGGATTATCTACATAAGAATATGTTACATTAAGTAGCTGATCCCGGCTACATTCGACATTAATAAAGCCTAAGAGCGGAGAATAAAGAGGGGAGTCAGATCCATTAAAACGGCAATACTTTTCAGAAGTCCTCCGCATCATGTACATGCTCACAGCTCTATGCTCTCGTCTTCAGAGAACTTGACTACCTGGTCCCGGATTTCAAGCGCCTTCCACTCTTTATTAACTTGCCAGAGCGATGATGCAACAAGACTGGTAATCAAACCAACCACGGCCACAATCTTCATACCAGTCGGCTGGATCCAGCCTACGTTGCCTTCCAGGGCACTGCCGGACATAGCTATAAAATCGTACGTTCCATGCAGGAGCACCGAGGGGCCAACCACCCTCCACCAACTCAACTTATCTCCATAATAATCTCGTCGTATGGCTCTCAATGCCGTTAAAGCAGCAATTGACAGATGTCCAACTTGGCCAATAACGACACGTGCGATGAGTGTAAGGACGGATTTGCCCAAAGCTTCATTTGCGCTCTCGCAAGAAACATACATATACCCAATGGTCTCTATCAAACCAAAGCTCAGAGCGCTAGCTAGGGCGTAGTCTAGATAGGCCCTGTTTCGCTGCCCCCTTTCCTTGGGCGTGCCCCGGCGGCGAGCATAGATAATAGGCAGGTATTTGACCGTTTCTTCGACCAGGCCAGCTGACACGAAGGTCAATAAGGCGTTGAATACCCAGTTCTGCCAAGATGACGCTATCTCAGCACGACGGGTGAGTTGATCTGCTGTCAATCCGGCGACAGTACTACGTGCAAATTCCTCCCAGAACTCTGTTCTCAATTCTGGCGAGCTAAAGAGGACAGCAGCGACGCCCTTGCTGATGACGATTTGGACCAGCCCCGCGCCCGCAAGACCAAGTGTGCCTGCTGCAGCGTATGTCCAGAGCATTGGTTCCAGCTCCCCACGGCGTGACGGATTTCGTTCGTTGGACTGTAGCCATTTTCTAAAGCACAAGGCGGTGGGAACGAACGCAAGAGGGGAGAGGAGGGCAGTTCGTGGAGAGACGTAAGTTGTGAGGAGAATAACTGATGGAGGGCCGAGGTAGCAGAGAAGCCGGGCCGGCAATGAAAGAGAGGTATTTTGTGCTAACTGGGACATCCTTTCTCCCGTTCTAATAAAACAAGACGCTAGTAGATAGTACAAAATTATGCTTCCACAGATTTAGAATCTTAGGAAGACGTCGCTTCCGAGCTTGAGTTTCCACGGTGCCACGTGATCTTATCTTGCCATTCGTGGATTTTAAGTATATAACATATCCATCATAATGCTACTTCAGATGGGATAGAAGATACAGAGGAACAACAGACACAGTCCGGACAGGAGCCAGATCAGGAGCATGAGCTTGAGCATCAGCAGCAGCAGCAGCAGCTTGGGGTTCGAATTCCATTCCATTCCAAGAAGCCCACCAAGCTTGCCATGTTGCCCATCGACAATACTCAAACTCAACATGATGGAACTGAGTATTTGGCCATAAAAAACACCCGCCTCTGTCGCCTCTTGACCCGCCTCGCGCTTCGGACAACAGCGCGTTGCTACAAGGCCGATGGCTTCGTCCGGCCAATCTCCCAAAATCTCATCGTCAAGACTGGTCCTTGGGCTCATCTCACTGAGGCGGCCACAATGCTGTTCATTTCCACCAACACCACTCTTCCTGTACCGCGAGTGCACTGCTCCTTCGTCCACAACAACCGCGCCTACATTGTCATGGAGCGCATCCAGGGTGACGAGCTCGCAAAGAAATGGACAACGCTGTCTGAGATCGATCGCAAGACTGTACTTGCCCAGCTTCGGTGCATGTTCAAGGAGCTGAGATCGCTGACTCCACCCGACATGAAAGTCGAGAGCTGTGTTGGCGGTTCCTTGTACGACTCCCGCATTCCTCATGCCAGGCCCCGATTCGGCCCATTTCAAATAATTCAAGACTTTCACCGCTGGCTCCGTGATTGGTTCCGACTTGAAGACCATCCTGACCGCAAGGGTGACAAGGATTATGAAGATATTGAAGCGATGATCGCCAAGCAGGATGGACCGTGGCCGCCTCCCGTATTTACACATGGCGATCTAAATCCTTTGAACATCTTACTTTGTAGGACGCAGATCGTCGGCATTATTGACTGGGAATTCGCAGGGTGGTATCCGTTCTACTGGGAATACACGGCCGCATGGTATGGAAATCGTACTCGGCAGTGGTGGCAAGGCTTGTTAGACAGCTTCCTCGATGCGCAGACCGAGGAGTTGAAGATGGAGATGTTGCGCCAGAAGTGGTGGGGAGATCTTTAAAAATACTGGCTACTGGGTAGGTCACCGACTATACTTGTCTGTCAACATGTATAGCTACCTGCGCGTTCTGTCTCCACAGTTGATCTTACTGAATTGGCGTATATCGGCTAGGTACTTATTGAATCAGCGTTACGAAGTAGCACCTATCATCGCCTGCTTCAGGTTCTTCATACTCCTGTTGCAATCAGCGGCCGCGAAATTCGACCATGTCCTGGCTGATCTACCCGTGTTGGCCGCCCCCAACACGAGACTTTTGCGTACCGACGCCTACCCATCTTGGTGTTTCAAGTGGAAGCATCATCACCGAGTCCCATTACGTCCATGTTGGGCACATCAATCTTGGGCTCAGCGTTTCGCGCGCGCTTAAAAACAGCACGCAGCAATGCAATATCTAATCAGTTTGGCATTTCTCTTTTTGGCGGGGCCAACACCAACAGCATATAGGCAAGGTAGGGGCTATAAATGTCGCTGCCAGTCTGCTCATCTCGCTCATTCAGTTTCTCGAGTTACAAACTCAGTTCAGGTGGGTCCTCATTTTTCTGCATTTTGAACATGAGCAGTAACAAGAAACGGCTGTACATTGCCCTTTATCCTAGCGGAGTCATCAACAATGAGGAACGAAAATAAGGCTCACTCGATCATCAATGCTCCCAGGGCTGTTCTAAATCTGTTGCGCTAGATATCATTGGGGATTCCTCGTAGGTCCCAAAATCGAAACGCAGCTAGAAGTTCCTGGTATGCGATACCATGTCAAGAATGCTCCTCTTCGGGGCTGGGTTTATGAAGAAAACCCTCTGAGAAATGTTAAGAGCACCGTCAGTCTCCTGGCGCGGATCACGATTTCAAAAGTTGAAGACGAGAAGCGGCTTGTTGAGATATTCCGCGCAACACCGATTGTTCAGAACGATCCTAACTGGCGTTGCCGCACATGGGTTGCCGACGTACTGGCTAGGATTTCCCAGGATGGACGAGCGGTGGGGACTGCGGATTTGGACTGGATGAAGATTGAGGCATTCGCTCGTGACTACGTCGCCAAGAAGGCCGACCATGGCAGATATGGTCCGGGTACAGATATGTCTAAAGACAAGCCAACATGGGACATGATTGAAGGGAGAGAGGCTGTGCCATAACTAGGCGGTTAGTGGTCCTCTAGTGCCCTTGACTGATCCCGCCAGCATCCCTGAAATGACATGAATAGAGCGCAAAGTGGAGAGTGGATGGCTGCTAAGTATAGGGCAAATTGTTGAGATTTGGTCTGTGTATAATAGCAAGTGTGATGCCCCTTAGCTGCCACTATCCGGCGCAAAATAATTTCTACAAGTTTGTTTCCAATGCGTCCTCATCTTGTGTTAGTTCCTCAACTTTGGCCAAAGAAAATGTGGCCAGTTGCTCTTGACGCGAACCATTCGTTGGCGGAAACCGTCGAGTAATATATAGAGCCATACGTCGTACATCCGGTGGCACCGTGCATGACGAGCTGTTCAGATCATTAAGTCATATTCGGACTTTCTAAGACCACACCATGAGGCTGTCATCATGGTCCGTCAGTAGGAACTAGCAGTACGGTGGAGGTTCCCCAGTCTCCTCAGTAACAGCAGCGCTGTATAAAAAGGATTCGCCGACAGCGTCACCGGTCACATGCGACCAAATTATAATGTTTGGACTTTGAGGATGGGCCAGGCTCAATCAACGAGAATGGGTAGTCCGGCTGGTCTAGGAAAGCAAATAGCTCATTAAAAGAAAGCTCCTGGTGCTGGTTCAACTTCTTGTAGGAAATACGTTCAACGGCCAGTTCATCGAACGGTAAGCCCCATTGTATAAGAAACGGCAAGGCATATGAGAGGTTGTTAAGCCCTCCTCTAAAGCCTAGGTAGCACGTCTCTACGTAAGCAAGAAAACCATAGATCTAATCGTTCTTAAGGTCGTTGTTACTTGTCTACTGTGAGAAGAAACAACAAGAGGATGGAATAAACATTTGAGGCTTACTCACCACTGTTAGTATTATAAACAACTAATAAGCCAAGTGAAACCGTATATATGTGGGTATGCCAAGTAAGTAGTAACCTAAGTAATATATAAGGACGATTAATCACAATTATAAGGGTATAGGCCTTATAGGCGGTTATATAGGCCGGGCTTATACCAACTCTAATTTAAAGTTACCAGATTGTTACGATTCTTAGTATGTATAGATTTTAACTATATAATAAGAATAATTCTAAATCTTGCGTCTGAAGAATAGAATCTACTCGATTGTTTATAATTCACTAAATTTTTTAGGGAGTTTCCTATGATGTTCTTAGCCTACCTCGTAGAATAAGGTTTGTATATCTTACGTTTAATTACCTCGGTATAGAAACTTTGTTTGAAGGGCATGCTTTTACTCAAGCGTTATTAGGTATACACTAAACTAGAGAAAACCACGTGCCTCGAGGAGCAAGAATACCTCTCCCACACGATTATAGATCGGTATCTCGTAAGGTCATTTTTATATCTAGGTATTGCTGTACCGCAGTCTAGCGTAGCCTATTATCTGGCACACTATAGGCACTTCGTCGCTCAAGATGTACAGATGCATTTGCAATAATCTAATAATCTATCATGCACGCTACCAGTCCCTACCCAATCGCTCGGCTTTATCTTCAATGAGTTCATATGCCGGCCTAAATGTCGCAGCCGTACCGTCGTTGTCATCACCAGTTTCGGCTTTCAAGGCCGGGTTCGGATGCGTGTCAGTTGTACCTCCAAGACTGGTATATCCGCGGTCATATAACACGCAGTAGGGGATTTCCAAATGTCGAATAAACTATTCGCAGAACCATCATTAGCCTCTTAGAACCATATGTTGGCGAACCAAGGGATCGAAATATGGTGAATGCACAAAGAGTGGGGTAAAACGTACAGCCCAGATCTCGGCATAGTGCCAATCAATAACTGGATGAACCCTCATAAACGCCGGCCAGCCATGATCCGTCTTATCAAAATGCGTCAAATCCTGCCCATGTGGGTCTGTCCTCCTGGTGCCCACCAAAATCGCCTTGACTTCTGGACGCTCGTTTAAGTATAGGGAAAATGCTTCTTTCATAGGCATGGCAAAGCGCGAGAGGTCGAGGCCGTAGGTGGTGACAGAGTGGTCCACGAAGTGGTCGACTTCCGAGAAGGCGTGTTGGGAGATAATATATACGGATTGGAGGGCGCTCGGGAGTGGGCGTTTGGGGCATTTAGCGAGGGATGCAAGGAGGAGGATGAGTAGGACGAGACAGTCTTTGCCTCCATTGTAGGAGAGGGAGATTTCTTCGAGGCTATTTGGGGGTTATAGGTTAGCTTTGTTGCCGTTTTTTCTTACTGTTGGTCTTTGGGGGCGGGGCTGAACAAGGGTTTTCTCGGAGGTAGAATTGCATATTTAATGGTAGGAAATGAAATAGAATGGCGACCAGAAATCAGAACAGTAGAAATCCATACCTGTATTGTTCCAACGCTGTCCCAATAACCCCCAACGCGACTCTCGTCTGCTCTTGCACAGCTTTCAGCAGTGGGGTCTCAGCCTCGGTCTCCAGAAAGGCGTTCACCCTCGCAGCCAGCGCCGCGCAGACCGGCAGGATGGTGCCGTCGTTGACGCCATTGGTGACGAGCTGGGTGTCATCGATGGCCTCGGGTGCACGCAGTGGCATCTCGTCGACTGCAGCTGTCCATGTGTGTCCGCAAAACAAAAAAGAGAGACGTGGCTGGTTTTGCTGCGCTTCGCTTTTCGGGGGAACGTGGTCAGCAATATATACTGTACCAAGGTAATAGACTGCCGGTTGGGCTTTAGCGTAGCCGAATTGCAATTCGATTGTGGGGTTACGTGTGGAGGGGTCCCGAGGGGTTATTAATTGCGATAGGCAGCGATAAGAGATGTACTCGTATGTGATTGACATTCACGAGCGAGCAAGCGGTTATGGCGCCGATTAGGGGTATCTTGTTTATTTATTTCATTACTACCACTGGCTTTATATATGAAGTAGACGCCAACCACCAGTAAATCAATCCAGAAGACCAGCTGCAAGCGCCTCCAAATCCTCCAGTGTCTCGGGCTCATCGGGAGCTTCAAGGACACGAGCTTTCTTCTTGGATCGCTTCTTTTCATCATCCGAGTCATCCTCGAACCATTTCTTGGGTCTTTTCGTCGCCCTGCCCTCCTCCTCATCAGCTAACGGCAGCGATGCAAGAAGCTCCATTGCATCGTCCTGACCACGACTATTTGCGGCAACCAGGCCAGGTACGTCCTCATCTGACCCAGCCATGTCCGCCGCTTCCCGGGCCTTCCTCTTTTCACGCTTCTCCCGTTTCTTGGACTTTGCCAGCTCTCTGTCATCAAGATCTGCTTCCTGAACTCGTATAGCCTCCTCCTCCAAGAACTTGGCTCTTTGGATTTCGGCGGGTCCTCGTTTCTGGAAGTCCTCTTCGTCTTCCAGTTCGTACATTTGATGTGGGTTGCCCTCTGCATCAAATACCAGCTTGGTGCCTTTGTCTTTGAGCTTGAGAAGTTTCTTTTTCGACTTCAGAAGTTTCTCTCTTCGTTTCGAATCTATCACGATCGCTTCTTTGCCGATGCCTGGTATGACCTTTGCTGCAGGCCCCGAGGCCGGCAGGTCGGTAGATGCATCCCCGATATCTTCGTCGTCTAGTGGGATAACTCGTTTTACCGACAAGAAGTCATTGTCTTCATCAGCATCGGCATGGGAATCACCGACTGTGTGATCTGCAACCAGCTTTGAATAATGACCCGAAAGAACATCTTGGTTGCGACGTTCAAACATTCTGTCGTATTTCGTCCGGACTTCGCCCTTCTTCCCCTTCGTCTTTTCAGTCTCAGTCTCAGCCTCAGCTTCGCTCTCGTCATCGCTCGAGAGCAGTGCCCGCGGTGCATTTTTAACATTTTTAGCGTCGTCTCCCTTCTGGAATTTGATCTTCGGCGCGCCAGGCAGACCCATGCTAGCAGCGTAACCTTCCAAATCATACTCGCTGAGCTTGAAAACCTCCTTGTCTTTCTGGATATGTAGGGATCGGGTATAACTGACAAACGCCTTTTGACCAAGATATTTGAGCTCAGGATCCTGGAAACACATGTTTTGTAACTGATTCTTGATACTTTGTTGTTTCTTTTCCCGTGGTTTGGTCCTCTGGACTGGGACTTTCTTGTGCGCCAGTCTTTTCAGCATGCCCTCCTCTTCACTTGGGTCCAGGAATAAAACCGCCTTTCCTGCCCTTTCATAGCGAGCTGTGCGCCCAACTCGATGAATGTAAGTATCGGCATCTTCTGGGCAGTCCAACTGAATGACCCAGTCGACAGCCGGGAAATCTAGACCTCGTGCAACAACATCTGTAGCGAAGATGCAAGAGTTTTTCGATGCCGAGAATTTCGACGTGATATCTAGTCTAGCAGCCTGTTTTTGTCGGCCATGAAGATGTAGTAGCGGAATTCCGGGTTGTAGGTGACGAAAGCTTTCGTAAACAAAACGCACTTGCTTTCCAGAAGATAAAAAGACTATGATTTTAGCTTTAATATTAGACCGGATGAAGCTGAAAAGGGTGTCCAATTTCTCAGCAAGAGGCGTGAGAACGTAGAATTGTTGCAAACTCGTGGGAGTAGCACTAGCGGCGGCTTCGTGAACAGAAACATATTCAGGGTCTCGTAGACTTAATCGAGCCAGATCAGAGACTTTCTTGGTTTGGGTTGCGCTGAAAAGCATCGTCTGCCTTTGCTTAGGTAAATGCTCGACTATAGCATCGACTGATGATTGGAAACCCATATCCATAATTCGGTCGGCTTCGTCAAGAACTAGCATCTGCAAATTGTTCACCTCGAAATCCACCGTCTGGTCCATATGCTGTAGCATTCTACCGGGAGTGCAGACAAGTATATCCATCTTGCCTAGCCGTTCCTTTTCTTCTTGTAGACTCCGGCCGCCTATCACGAGGCCTGCTGAGAAAGTATGGTATCGCCCGATCTTTCGAAGGACTTCAAATATTTGGATCGCCAATTCTCGCGTTGGCGATATGATTAGAGCACCTAGGCCATCTAGCTCTGTCCATTTCTGCCGATATAGATTCTCCAGTACGGGGACCAAAAAGGCCAAAGTCTTCCCACTTCCAGTCTTCGCTGCTCCCAGGATATCGCGGCCTTTCAGCGCAAACGGTAGAGATTTCGATTGAATATCAGTTAATGTTGTGAAACGAGATGCGTCGAGGCCTTTGGCAGTGATATGTGATAACGGGAGATCAGAAAATTCTTTTATCTCGGCTTTTGGGTCCTGCAATCTGTAAGCTTACTATACTATACAGTCGGATAAGGCTCTGATCTTACCAGTGCTTCAATTGACTGCTGAAGCTTTTCAATATCTTCACCATCGCGCTTTCTTTTAAGTGACCGCACATCTTGCTTACCCCGCCCAGAGTGCTTGGGCTTGGGCTTTCCCCCAACTTCATGAGGCGCCATAATTTGCGACTATGGTTGTTGTTTGGTCGAGAGGGGTAGAATTTATTTTATTTTTGAAGCCTGGGAATATGATTATTTGGCTGCAGCGCGGTGATGGGCGGCAGAAAAGATAATTATCCCCGATCCTGGGCTAGCGGGCGGCCGCACGTCGAAAAAGTCCCCTACGAAAATATCGTTATCAATATCAAATCGATAAGGCTCGACAACCTCCGTCGAAGCTAAATTCCATATTCCACAGGCGCTGGAATCCGCCAACATGCCTCACCGTGCATCTTCTCCCGCATTGTCCGAAAATGAATTTGATATTACGAAGTCCCTCTTCCAGGATGACGGCGACGACGACGATTTTGCGCTTCCAAGTAGTAGAAAAGATGAAGGAACATTAGCTGCTGGCGGAATCCTCGACTTAGGACTCGAGAGCGATGGCGATGATGATACTGCCTTCATTTCCGCGCAGCAAGCGGCTTCAAACCGAAAAGCTTCAAATGTGAAGGGCAAGAGTGTGAAGAAGGGGGGGGGCTTTCAAGCAATGGGTAAGATTTTGCGAGCAATAAGCTTAAAAAATATTTACTAAAAATTTCCTCAGGCTTGAATACCCATCTCCTCAAGGCGATAGGCAGGAAAGGATTCTCTGTTCCCACACCGATTCAGCGCAAAACAATACCTCTGGTTCTCGATCATCAAGATGTTGTGGGCATGGCAAGAACTGGTTCCGGGAAGACCGCAGCATTTGTGATACCCATGATTGAGAAATTAAAAGGTCATAGTGCAAGAGTTGGGGCAAGAGCATTGATTCTTTCGCCATCTCGAGAATTGGCCATTCAGACCTTGAAAGTTGTGAAGGAATTCGGCAGAGGGACAGACTTGAAGATCGTCCTGTTGGTCGGTGGAGACAGTCTGGAAGAACAGTTTGGATTTATGGCTACCAATCCGGATATTATTATTGCAACTCCTGGCCGGTTCCTTCATTTAAAGGTCGAGATGTCCCTCGACTTATCGTCTGTTAAGTATGTGGTATTTGACGAGGCTGATCGCCTTTTCGAGATGGGTTTCTCTGCTCAATTGACGGAGATTTTGCACGCACTGCCAACTTCGAGGCAAACGCTCTTGTTTTCTGCCACTCTTCCAAAATCCTTGGTGGAATTTGCTCGAGCTGGTTTACAAGAGCCCAGCCTTGTTCGTCTCGATGCAGAGAGCAAAGTGTCTCCTGATCTCCAGAGTGCATTCTTTAGCGTGAAGAGTGCTGAGAAGGAAGGTGCATTACTACACATTCTCAACGACTTGATTAAAATGCCTACTGGTCCACCAGAAAACGCACATAAGTTCCGGGGCGGGGATGACAAGAAGCGGAAACGAGGAGTAGATGGCCCAAGGCCAAAACAGAAGCCAACAGAGCATTCAACGATCATATTTGCTGCTACAAAACATCATGTCGACTACCTAGCATCACTTCTACGACTTTCTGGATTTGCGGTCTCTCACGCCTACGGTTCGCTGGACCAAACGGCAAGAAACATCCAGGTTGAAGACTTCAGAACGGGCATGACGAATATCTTAGTAGTCACCGATGTTGCTGCTAGAGGTATCGATATTCCTGTGCTAGCAAATGTCATAAATTACGACTTCCCTCCACAACCCAAGATATTTGTGCATCGTGTTGGTCGAACAGCAAGAGCCGGCCAGCAGGGATGGAGTTACAGCCTTGTCCGAGATACAGATGCTCCATATCTGTTGGATTTGCAGCTTTTCTTAGGCAAAAGATTACTTTTTGGTCAGGATGGTGGAGACACACCAAATTATACCGAAGACGTGATTGTTGGTGCTCTGTTAAGGGACAAGCTGGAGAGCACGTCCGAGTGGATCACTAAGTTGCTTGGTGACGACGATGATCTTAATGCTCTCCGGAATGTAGCTGGGAAGGGTGAAAGGCTCTATATCAAGACTCGAAATTCGGCTTCGAACGAGAGTGCAAAAAGGGCAAAGGAGGTTGTAGCTGCGAAAGGCTGGATGCAACTACACACTCTTTTCAAGAATGAGGCCAATGACGCAGAGCAAGCCCGCATCGAAATGCTTGCTCGCATTAGCGGCTTTCGACCACAGGAAACCGTGTTCGAGATTGGTACCAAAGGGAAAGCTGGACATGGCGAGGCGGCAGAAATGATGAGGAACCGAAGAGAGAAAATTGTCCCTCGAAGGCAGAAGCAAGAGCAAGAGAAGGAAGAGCAGGAGAAAGAAGCGATAGATGCAGAAGAAGACGGTGACGGATTCGATGCAATGGCAGACTTGCCGGAATCAGACGAGGAAAGTGATATGGAAGTCACCGTAACGAATAATGACAATGATATGGAGGAAGCATCTGACGGCGAATTGGAAGTCACATTTTCGAAATCGGCACAGAAGGGTAAAGGGCGGACGCTATCATGGAAAGATTCCGAGAATTTCATGTCCTACACACCCAAAAATATCAACGCTGCCGAAGAGCGCGGTTATGGTGTCCATTCAGGATCATATAACACAGCGTCTCAAAACTCGAATTTCGTCGAAGCAGCCAGGGACGTCACCATGGATCTCACCAACGACGATAGCGCAAAGTCGTTCGCGGAACCTTCAAGAGCAAAGGGAATGCGATGGGATAAAAAGAACATCAAATATGTAGCTCGCGCAAACGACGAAGATGGCTCGCGAGGCAACAAGATGATCCGAGGCGAGAGCGGACAGAAAATCGCAGCTAGTTTCCAGAGCGGGCGTTTTGACAGATGGCGAAAAGCTCATAAAGTTGATCGATTACCGCGGACTGGGGAAGCCGAGCAGCCTGGAGCTGGTACTGGCGTAGGACGAGGTTTCGGGACGCGATACAAGCATAAGCAGGAGAGGGCACCCAAGGAAGCTGATAAATTCCGTGATGATTATCATGTGAGGAAGAAGAGGGTGGCTGAGGCTAAGGAGAAGAGGATTGGAGAGTATAAGGATGGCGCAGGGAAGGCTGAGATTAAGAGTACGGAGGATATTAGGAGGGAGAGGAAATTGAAGGAGCGGAAGAAGGCGAAAAATGCACGGCCTTCAAGGAAAGGGAAGAAATGAATAATTATAAGTAGCTAATGAGGGTTTAGCCGTCGTACAATAAAAATATATTCTTACTGCTATCCTACCGTTCTACACAAGTTACCTTCTTTAACGATGGTCTAAATAAATGATCTAAAGGATGCACGACGGAATCGCACTGAAAAAGCTGAGCAAACAACTAGGCCAGAAAAGTCCTATAAGTTTTTAAATCCAAGATCTTTTGTCTAAACTGATTCGAAGTAAAAATGAACCCCAACCCATCCATTTTCAACGGCTCAAAATCTAGCAGGTAACGCTTCCCTTTCTTGCTCGCACATTCGTGCCCCGAAAATCTCTGCCTAACCATTAGAACCTAGGAGATCTGGTCTCAATCAACCAGCAATACCTAGAGTTACCATTCCTTCAGCCTAAACCGTCAGGGTCATCACCATCGCGATGGTTTCTATCGTTTCTCCTCAGCCATCAACCCTATCCTGTGTCGTTCTGGCTCTTGTCCGCGTATCTTTCTCATGGCCCTTGTCTTATTGGTTTTCTTCTCATTTTCCTAATCCATCCAGTTCCATCTCCATTAGACTAGGATAACCGCGGTCAGGCTAAAGCCGTTCATGGTAGGGATGCTGAGGAGCTCTCGCTTTGGGTTGTTGGCACTTGATGAATGAGGGCTCATACGCCTCAATTCTTATACTTTTCTGAATTTTCAGTATACGTTTATAGAGGCCATGAATCGGGATAAAGCTCGATCATTGATTCAAAACCATGATCCACTGGATCCCAGAGGAATGACATAGAATCATCAGCTGTGAATAGGCCATCTAGAGGATGCGTTTGCCCTATGAGATCCAAATGTGTCATCGGATTTGTACTCGCACCGATATTTGCCGTGACCACATTTGTGTTGGCATGTATTGGCTGGCGGTCAGTATTCGTGCTAGAGCTGGGACCAGCGTTAGATTCGGGCTGATCTGTATTTTGTTCTGGATACCAACCGTGTCAATAATAAGTTTTATGAGAAAGTAATTTAGGATGAAAGATGGGGACTGTACCTTTAATCTTTGATGGCTTTGGATCCACAGTTTGTTGACCCCCAAACTCTTCTCTCCTATTCAGCGAACGGTCAGTGGCTGCTTGGTCAAGTACATAACTAGCTGTAAATTGATTTTCTTACCACCACCACATAGTATCGTGCAACAAACTCATTGAAAGTCTACTTTGTATCCTCAACGCCGTGGAGGAGTCACCGATTCCTCTGCTTTTGAACGCCTTCTCGGACGCCCAGAGCTGCGAGAATATGCCTACCATCCGGCCGGGCATATCGTTATTATACACAGACATTTTCCTCAGGAGAGAAATTGCGAGAAAGAATGAAGATTTGCCGGCCTTGTCATCGCTGATTTGGGCTGAGAGAGGTGTCTTCAAAACCCGGAGCAGAACGGCTGCTGCTAAGGCCATCATACGGTATATATGGTGAGGGCAGAATGATGCAAGGGTTGTCTCATTATCGAGTTTTCCAACTGTTCCAATAATTTGCAAAGAAGTTGTGTATAGTTTCAGGAGATTGACAGGAAACATCTCGCTTTCCGGGAACCGTAGGTGATAAATGCGTAATTGCAGTCGGGATATTTGCAGGTAGAGATTCTCCAAGTCTAAAATTTAGCTAACAGTTAGCAAGAAATACCCCATGCGTAGAAAATATTTGACGTATTTATACCTGTTAACGTCGCGCTTTCAGGATCTACCTCATTCAGCTGAGCCTCGAAGACGTTTAACATCATCGACGGGGCAACTTGAGCTTGGTGATGGGGATCATCGAAGTTAAACTCGGAGAACACGGAATTTATTCGGCTGATTATACTGGCGATCCTCACTTCCAGATGCAGGCTTTGAGGAGCAAGACGCATAAGCCCGTTTATATCTAGTTTCCGTTGGAAAACATCTAGTGGCAGTGTTATAGGATATCCAAGAGCACACGCGGCTCTGAAAAAAAGGTTAGAAATAGCCAATTTTGATGAGAGGGGGCCACCTACTTTTGATGCACGACCACACAATAAGACCACAGCTGGACTCGAGTAGCAATCCCTTTATCGCTCAGATCGATTCGCGTCCGTGAATATTCTTGGCCTTGCAATGGCACATGTAAACCAATTTGAATTGCAAGCATAACGGCCATGCCCGACAGAGTAAAAGTATTATCTTTACTTGTTGTGTTTGTGGGGAACGGCCATGTAGACAAGATTAGGAGCCCTTGGATGTTGGGAATTACTGAACTCGAGATATGCATCGACGACCATCCAAGTTTCAAGACATGCTCAGCGATGGACCCTAGCAGTGTCGATTTTTTCATATATCTTCTTGAACCTGCGCTGATAATTGCCCAGAATAACAGGGGCGATTGATCATAATACAAATTTGGTGGTATTGCAGAATCAAGAAATGGGAGGTGTTTTGCATATTGAGCAAAGTAGCTGTATCATCAGCATTAGCATGCTAGGTCCAGGGCAATTAGCAGCAGGGGAGGGCCATACATTGCAAATATCTCCTCGATTTCCCTTGGCTCGAGGACAATATCAGCCAGGCTTCTCGGTAGTGTCTCCTTCGAGGGGGATGGAGGCGCGGGCTCAATTTGAGGGATATTGAACGATGGTCGTGGTGCCCCTAGATCATGGCTACCCAGTCTACTCATGGAGCTTGGAGACGAGCTTGACGCAATTCCATCGCTTGGAGAGCCGTGGATCCCGGGATGATTGTTTCCGTATGCTGAATTTAACTGTTCCCTTAGGAGCTGGTTCTCGCGCTGCAAGATTGTTGATTTCCTAATTCAACTCAGCACACGACTTGTCGTCGCAAATAACAACTTGGAACTTACTGCCGCTTGTTGATTCTTTTGAACCCATTTTCAATTGTGCAGACAAGCCCCAGTCTTTTACATCTGGCACATGGATTTGGATAATCCACTCGTGCATTGCATTTTAGCTACATTATGGCTATGTCAGCAGATGGCTTCCTACCAGAGGAGTATTATTGTCTTGCTCTCTATGGCTTTTGATAGAGGGCTTATTTTATTGCCTTAATAAATATAATATCTTACCTTTTGTTGTTTGCATTCGTTACAGGCCTTGCTAGCATGAGGTCTGGTTGCTCTGGGCGTCTGCAATTCATTAGTTATCCGGAGCCCCACAGAATAGTGGTCTGGTCCGAGACACTCACACTGAGACTTGCCTCAAGACCATCCTCCATATGATCTTTTATTGGGTTTCCAACTTTGGTTTAGTTTGTCCCGAGACTATGTCCTCGAACAACTGATCCGCAAACGGAGTGACCTGAAATCCGTGAAATAAAATTTCTCGCCTGCCGATGTTCATGTGGTGGCTTTGCCAAGACGCAACTCTGTTTTCTGTATAGTAGTCACAACTTAAAAGGCAACGAGGAGAGTGTAGCTCGGGGGTTGTGGAACGTCGTGGATGTATCGAAGTCAAGAAAGCCCTGGAGGTACTACATGTACTTAATATAAGAACTCTTGTATTCTCCCGTAGGAAGTCGGCGACGCCTAGGCGGTCAAAGCGGGGACTGGTCACATGATAATATGTCACAAAAAATTAGATTTCTCGGTGTCGTCTTCGGTTCATAGGATCTGGTTTGGGCTTCAAGTTATTGATTTAACTACAATATATACGGCGTAGATATAGATATTGCAGCCGTGGTGCGCTCCGGCCATCTAGCGATTCAAGTTGGGTTCTTTTCACCGGAGTGTCACGGGATGCCCTTATTCCTGAAGGCACCATGGAGAACGACTTCGAAGTAGTTGGTAGGTAACAGCTAAGCTGCGGCAGGCGCATACAGGAAACAGAAGTACCAGACTGAGGAGGTATCGGCTTATGGAAATGACTCTTTGGATTTTCGAAGACTATAGAAGACCAGGTATGACCAGCTGGATAGGTAACTGATGGGCTGGACTGTTGGCACCTGGTCCATTCCGGAACCTCTGGAATATAAACTTTTTGTATATACCTATATACATCTTTCGTAATTATCCTATAGGTTTCAGGATGATATTATCTATTAACCGTACTGGTGGCCCGTCTGATAAACCAAGGTCCTCTCCTGGTTGTGGCGATTCGACAGGTAGCATTTTTATGGCACCGCTGAGAATGGCACCCCTGGTCTCGTCGACTTCCTCCAATTCCTCCATAGTTTCAGGGTCTGCTAGGGAAATATAATCAACTTCGAACTTAACCCTTTCTTCCGGGAGCATCTGGTTTTGCTCCATCAGAAGCAGCTTTGCCAATTCTCCCGCGGGGCCTAACAGTTCATCCCTCGACCTATGCCCTCGAAGATACCCCGCTTCCGCGACCTGTAGTACTTTCGATAACACAGTCGCAACTTTCCGTCTTCGTGTGCCCAAGTATACATTCCTGGAGCTCAATGCCAGGCCATCCGGCTCCCTCTGGGTCGGCCCAACGACCACGTCCATATCCAGGAAAAAGTCCTTGACCATCTTTTTGATCACCACCGTCTGTTGTACATCCTTTTGGCCAAAATAAACCCTTTCCGGCGCAACAATATTAAACAACTTCATACATACTGTAGCGACACCTCGAAAGAACGTAGGTCGCGTAGTTCCCTCCAAAAGTTCTCCAACAGGAGTTATTGTTACAAAGCTTCCCTTCCCATCAACCTCCTGGCTCGGTCTTCCGCTAGGATACATGGTGCTTGTCGTCGGCGCGAAAACCGCGGATACGGTACCCAAATTACTCCCATCTTCAGCAAGTTCCTGATCTAGCTCTCTCAGCATCTCACAATCCTTCTCCCACGTTTTCGGATAGCTATCCAGATCCTCGTGTACGCCGAATTGGGTCGGATTAACGTATATGCTAACGACAACACGGTGGTTCTCGCGCGCTGCCATACGAATCAGGGAGATGTGGCCCTCGTGCAAAGCACCCATCGTGGGAACAAGACCGACGGACCGGTAGTCAAGGAGTTGTTGCCGACGCCATTCTCGGAGTTTCGGGACCTCGCGGAAGACCTTAATCGACGTCTTGGGTATCTTCAGAGTCTTATTTCCATAATGAATCGAACGTGTAGTATCAAAACGAGGTTGTGACCGGCGTAGGATATGGAAGAGGCCTATTTCGGAGGTGGGGAAAGGCATAAATGCCTTGGGTGTTTGGAGGAGCATGGTTGCCAATTGTTGTTCAGTTATGTCAAAAAAGAAGGTTTAAATTTCGATAAAAGAAAGGAAAGACGGTAGCCCATTCAAGAGCCATATTTATGTGAGATCCGAGGCTGAAGCTGAAGCTGAATCATGTTGTGATGTTGTCTGCTGCGTACATTGGAGCCCAGAAGCTTTTGACAGCATCAAGGAACATATCCCCAAAACAGTTAGCCTCGGACCCTTGATAGCGGGGATTTACTCGAGGTCCGTGCGCAGTTTTTTGATAACGAAACTTTTCTATGAGAACTGATTCCACAGTGATATACGAAGTAATCCAACTTCATATCCAAATTGCAGATTCCAACTCTCTGCAGCCATGGCCGACGATGGCATGCTAATGAATTTTGAGATTGGGGATGCCCCGCTCCTTGCGAAACCACCATTTCAGGGCGGGCGCTGGAAAGACCGATTAGCTGCGAAGAGGGAAGCTCGTCGAGGACTTCCAGACGACTCAACAGCGCGGCCTCATGCACGGGAAATCTTCACTGAGCGGCGACACGATGTTCAAGTCGAAGATTACATTGGCCCTGGATCCTCCCCGCGAGCCCCAAAACGACAGCGACTCGATGATAATGCTGGAAGCAATGGTGGAAGAAATACTGCAGCTATAGTGTCTGGAAAGCTTCCTCCTGGAAGTATAAAAATTGGTGGAACTAGGAGCACAGTTTTTCATGACGATACAAGGCCTGCTTTTGTATCAGGAAAATTGCCGCCCGGCAGCATAAAGTTTGGGTCCAGCTCAGAAAACCAGGGCAGGAATTCTTCTACAGCCGCGGTTGTATCTGGAAAGCTCCCACCTGGTAGCATCAACGCCGGCAGAAGCAAAGATGGAGCTGTCGGCAAACCTGGCCAAGTTATTTCGTCACTTTTCACATTCAACCCCTCGTCAAAAACTACATTCGAGGAGCCCGAAGAAGCGGTGGAACCAGCAAAACCCTCAAATGCCCCTCTTACTGAAGAAATGGCTACTTTCACGTCTATGGGCCTTTCCGTGCGGTTAGCCGCACACTTGTCGACAAAATTGGAGATGAAGGCGCCAACTGCAATTCAGAAGGCAGCTGTTACTCAAATGATAAAGGATGACAGCGATGTTTTCATACAAGCGGAGACTGGGTCTGGGAAAACATTGGCATATCTGCTTCCGATTGTGGACCGGATATTGGCTATGAGTAGCAAGGATGCGCAGGTGCATAGAGATTCCGGTCTATTTGCAATAGTTCTTGCCCCCACGCGAGAGTTATGCAAGCAGATTGCTGGTGTACTCGAAAAGCTATTAAGATGTGCACCGTGGATTGTTAGCACAACGGTGATTGGAGGGGAGAGCAAGCAGTCTGAGAAGGCTAGGCTGCGGAAGGGTGTGAACATTTTAGTTGCGACACCTGGAAGACTCGCGGATCATTTGGAAAACACGGAAGTCTTGATAGTCAACAAAGTCCGATGGCTTATTTTAGATGAGGGAGATCGGTTGATGGAACTAGGTTTCGAAGACGAAATCAAGGGTATTGTGGAAAGAATTGGTCGCAGGACTCTGGATAAGCGTGACGCCAATGGACTCGACCTCACATCATTACCTACTCGGCGAGTCACAGCTCTCTGCTCGGCCACCATGAAGATGAACGTTCAGCGATTAGGCGAAATCAGTTTGAAGGATGCCGTCCACGTTAAAGCTGACCCCACCGAGGAGGATATTGCAAAGCAATCGAACTCTGAGAATGAATCCGATAACAAGGCATTTGCAGCGCCAGCACAACTTAAGCAAGCATATGCTGTTGTCCCTGCTAAGTTGCGGCTAGTAACTCTCACTGCGAACTTGAAGCGTGCGTTTGCTCGACGAGGATCCATTATGAAAGCGATCGTTTTCATTTCCTGTGCCGATTCAGTTGATTTCCACTTCTCGCTTTTCAGTCGGCCATTTGATCCTGTGGAAGAAGGAGAATCTCCGCCCGATACACCCGAAATCGTAAAGTCGGAATTGACAAAGGATACAATTGCTCATGGTACCGCATTCTCCGGCAAAACAAACCCGGTCATCCTCCATAAATTACACGGATCGCTGGCCCAGAATATTCGGACTGCAACGCTCAAACACTTCTCCCAGTCCACCGAGCCATGCGTCATGGTCTGCACCGATGTCGCATCTCGCGGTCTTGATCTACCAAATGTTGACTATATCGTCGAATATGACCCTCCATTTAGTGCTGATGACCACTTGCATCGTGTCGGGAGAACTGCGAGAGCTGGAAAAGAAGGCCGAGCATTGATCTTCCTCATGCCTGGCAACGAGGAAGAATATGTTTCCATCCTAGCATCCGGTTATAAGTTTGGCAAAAAGTCTCTGACTCCCCATACCGCCGAAGAGTTAATACGTAAGGGCTTTGGGGGCACCGGAAGAGAATGGGAAGAACGTGCTACAGAGTGGCAGCTCGAAGTGGAGCGATGGACTTTGGAATCTCCAAAATATCTTGAGATGGCACGGCGTGGATATCAAAGCCATATTAGAGCATATGCTACCCATGTAGCGAATGAGAGGCATATCTTCGACATGCAAACTCTACACTTGGGACATTTGGCAAAGGCATTTGCTCTGAGAGACAAACCTGGAAGTATCAAGGTGCCTGGATTGAGGCCAGCAAAGATGACGAAGGCAGATAGAAGTGTTGCGGCCAGGAAGGCAAAGAGAGGGGAGACTGGGGAAGAAAAGGCACCGGAAGGAGAGAGGGCCAGGAAGCAAAAGAAGCTCGAGTTAGACTTGCCAGCTGTGGATAGCAACGAGGTTGCGAAGAGGATGAGGAGGAAGATGCAGGAGCATATGGCCGCTGCGAATGAGTTTAATATCGGATGAGGGGTTTTATGAACAGCCTAAGCTGTAAAGGAATCATAGGTTCTCGACGCCTTATCCACTCCACACAACCGCTTTCCGCAACCACATCCCCCGCCGCAACTCCCATGTAACAGGAATAGGTCCTCATCAGGCAGTCTGGAAGTGAGGTGGGTGTTAATGACTTGGCATTTTACATGGTTCTGGACTTCAAAGGCAGCCATGACACGTTCAAGCATTCTAGACCGGGGCTTTCTGTTGCTTTGACAGTAGCCCGAAGAACCTTCGGGTAATACATAATTAAAAACCCCTATTGCTGGCCAAACACACACCATTCTAGCGATATCGTAATTTTTTTTAAGTCGATTTTTTGTTAGCTGGTGCCATATGCTGCTTGTTTATCTACCGTCCTTTCAACATTTTTCTGGTGCCACTCTTTTCATGAGGATAAAATCCACAGCGGGGAAATAGTTCTACAGTCGAGTTTATGCCACGACTATAAGCCTAGTGGGCCATGTAGTAATCATTCTCACCACTCAGTCCGAGCTTGTCAGCCTACACCATAATGATATAGCGGTATTTCTCAAATTAAATGAGTACTTGCTCAAGTGGCCCTGCTTTTGCTTTACTTGTTTCAGCCCAATTTCTGATTGATCCTTTAGTGAAATTCTCTTTGGTACTATTGTTGCTAGCTCCTTTGGCCGAAGTGGGTTATATTACCACCACTCTAGTCGGGAGGTAGTGGTTCAGTCATATCTCACTATTGGCCTTTCCATGAACTATCGACTACCGCTATTCCATTTGCCAGATTCACAAAATTATGAGGGCATGTGCTCTTATCAGTACATCAGTTTTCCCTTGTGATGTGTTGCCTAAGATTGACGGGGAGCGGCCAAAGAGGCATCTATAACTCTATGATTCAGGTATACCTAGTACGTGAATGAACAAGGCCCATGAAAGTCTATTTTGATATTATTATTAAATTGAATGCATTCATTAAATATCACACCTTCTATGTTTCTACTGTCGCGTGTCCCAAATACAGTGTTAAGCACGGAAGAAACATGAAATCCACTCCTAGTTCTGTTAGGCAATAGCAACACGTCCAAAGTGAACATACTCATTGAAAGCAAGCGACTTTTATCCGAGTTCATGAACGTTCCTTGCCTGGCAGAGTCTATTTATTTACAATGGCGACTTGACTCATTTCACAGATCTGTTTCGGAGAGCACTCCATCCTAAAGAAATAAACAAAACGGCGGACCGGCGTGATATGGCGTGAATAATAGGTGAACCAGGACATCCTGCTTCACTGATTTTAGCAATTCCACATGTTATTTCCCTCTTTCAAGCTCATCGAACAACATGGCCGAATCCTCGCCCCCAGACCAGTTGGACTCGATGGACACCAGCGATCTTAGTGACGCTAGTGACCTCATTGACTTTGGTACAGGAGATATTTCTGAATCTGAGGTTGATGATGAACGCCGCAGAATGCTGGAGCCATTCAGAAAGGCAGACTTCGAACAGCCATACCCTGCGCGTATGATCACTTCTCGTCTCCACTCCAACCTAGGCCCGATCTATCCAATCTCCAACTACTATCCTCCTGCTTTAGAACGATATGCCCGGCCAGAACCGCCCGCTGAAGTATACTCCACCCAGCTGAAGAAACCTCTTCCTTTTCCAACATCTGCCCCGAGGGACCCGTCAAAGAAGATCGCCGCTCAGGTGGTCCAAGAACACCTCGAACCACGGCCATTCCCGTTCCGCCCAAAGCAAACCGTAGAAAATTTTCGTCGCCGCGTGGATTTTCTTCTTTCCGAGCCGACGTTGATACATGATGTCAGCTTCACAAGGAAGCACTTTGAAGCTGGTAGCCTGAAAACGTTGGGCGCCCAGGAAGCCGAAGCCGAAGCCAAAGAGATGCAGAGTAGGAATATTGAAGCAGAGCAACGTCTCAAAGTATCAGTTCGACCTACTTATAGCGGGGGACGATTTTTGACTGATCGCTGCTCGTCATCCTCCTATGCATTGGCTCATGGAGAGGTTCCCCCGCCTGAGGCGATGATGTGCTCCAAGGCTAATAAGCGCTGTCTGCGTCATGCTGTTGAGGAGGAAGACAAGCCAAAGGTATAACTTTTTTTTCTGCGTGACGCACTCTTATCCAGAGAATAATATATATCTTTCGGTAGCTTGCAATGCTAACCAGCCATAAGAAGCAGAGAATCCGACAGCTACCAGAAACAATCAACCCGCAGCTACTGCATCGTTTTCCCACCCCTCAGGACTTCGAAACCCCAGCTTTTGCCTTGCATGACGAGGGTTTCGAAAAAGCCCTCTTGGAGATGAGGAACGGTCCTGCCTGTCACTACTGCCGATCTAAGCCCGCCTTGAAGCCTGATCCGCCTTCCCCAACCTGGACTGCAGACCCCAACTTTCAAGGCGCTGGAACCTCAGGCGTGGAGACAAACGTGGCAGAGGCAATGATGGATAAACTCCTGTCGTGATTGTATTTGTGACCAAGCAAGTTGGTGAAAATGCTTTTCGAATGGGAGTGGAGTTGAAGAAGGTCGGCATTATGAAACAGAGCCGGCCTTTTGTGTATAGTACCTAATGGCCATGATGTATAAAAGTAGAGTGAGGCAGAAAAAAGGGAACAGAAAAAATGTGAATGCAGTGGAAGTTGACACGGATGGAGCGCATGGTATCGGCCTGGCTTTTATAGAGTTATAGCAAATGGACACATGCAATTTGTATCAAGAGTCGAGCCATTCTACAATAATGAATTGCTCTTGTTCTGTTCCTACACCTAGTAATCCTACATAGACATACTTTGAATATATGCCCCTCTCTTACGTCGTCGTACAACGCTAACTGCCCTTTATCATTCGGCGTGCCGATAAGATACGCGCTGGTGAGATATTCATCACCAAAAAGATAAATATAGTACATTCCATCCAAATTCAAGATATCAAAGTATCAAAACATGTTCCTCCTCCTCTTGTTCCCACCTCTACGATTTTGATTCAACCAGCTAAACCAAAACTCCCCTACTAACCTTTCGAGCATGAAAAACCACCCTCCTCCCTAACCCACACCGGGCAGACTCGGCTCGCGAGCGCGGCCTCGACGGCGGTCTTGAGGCAAAGTCGAATTCCAGATCATCGAGCGTCGGGGTTGAAACATTTGTAGTTGGGGATTTGGCGTTTGGGTTCATGGCAGCTGAAGCCAAGGCTTTCTCTTTCAAAAGGGAAATACTGCAATGCCATACTCATGTCAGAATTCATGATTGATGATGGGGAAGCAGCGATAGATACGAATGACGTTCGCTTACTCGTCTTGGCTGTAGCCAGGGAAGCTCATTGCGGGGCCATGTTGGAAATCGAATGGGGAGCTCTGTACGTGTTGTTAGATTGGCTACTTGGGGAAATGGAATTCTGAATGGAGACGTACAATTACGAGTTCTTTTGGGGCTGGTTTGCCTGTTAAGCCAAGAGTTTCGAGGAATCTGTTGCGTGTTCGGGATATAAAATTGGAGATATTTCCGCAGGGCATTGCGCTTGAAAGTGGTGAGGGATGAGCTAAGAATTGGTGTTGACCGGAGATCCTTGGTTGAAGTGTGGATCTATGGGATGGTGTCTGGAACGATTAATCGATCCAAGCTGTTGACAGCAGACTGTACAAAAAGGTATCAAACAAAGCGCCCGTACAAGAAACAAGTGGCAACGATAAAAGATGCCTTGAAGAAGAAAGCAAAAGCAAGATCGCGTGATAATAATTATGATGTCAATTGAGGGTTTTCAAAGGTTTTTGAATGGCCTTGCCAAATTCGAGGAACCACTAGAGACAGATATATAAATGGATAAGCATCGGTGAAGATATTTGCTGCCAGGGGCAACGCGGTATACCCGTGAAATTACCAAGGGACAGTGACACAATATGGAAGTGCTGTAAGACAAAAGCACCCTTAGGCAAGCAGATGTTCATTCCCGGTGTCGCGGAGCAACTGGACGACGTGGGATGGTGACACTTATCGCCCCTCTCCTTACGCCGAAGAATTTCTAGCTGCCGCCAGCCAAGGCTGGTAGTGATGGACAGCGCCCCGCCTTGAAGCAGACAGGAGGAATGTACACTATCTTGTAGTATATTTCGCGATTTCTGTATTTGGCCAAGGTTGCTCTGAGTTTCAAGACGGACCGGCTAGGATTTGCGAGTTGGCTGAGATTCAAGTTGGACATGAGGACTCCGACGGCTTGCGAAATTCGAATTCGAGCGGGATCCTACGTATGCTTGGGGGCACAGCATGAACCGAACGACGGAAGATTTGGAGAAGGATGAGAAGAAGCGTGGAATGCAAGGATCCGAACCGGAGGCGCTATGCTTGGTAATTTGTGGGCTGGAAGCAGTCGCCTCGTGCTCAATCGTCGCAACCAGAAACATCTACAATTCCTTCGCAGTAAGGTGTAGTGAGTGAGGGCTAGTTTTGGAGTGGGAGAGTCGTATTCAAGGGAGACGGGCGGGTGGTCACGGATCCGGTCATGTGTGAAGCAAGGGATGAATTGAGTTGTACCAAAACGAGGAAACCACGCACGCGCTGTACAACAGTATCAAGCCGACAATTCGAAACGCATTATCGCGAGACAGCCGAAGGCGTCATCCATTTTGGAAGAATAATATAATATTGATTTTCTATAGCCTATTCTAGGGGCCTGATTGCGGGCTCCCCCAGCTCTCGGCCACGACAATCAGCACTATTATGCACACCCCTCAGCAGCTCCATGTTTTAAAACTTGGTCCGATAGTTTCGGCCTATGGGCTTGCGCTCTTGACGCCCACCTGCGAGGGTACAGACTAGAATATCAGAATCCCGGCTGAGGAAATCTTATTTGGGATAATCCGTTAAGTGGAAGCTCTTTAGCTTTACAAATTGGTCAAATCCGAATCTGCTCAAGGTGGCTCCTTTTCCGGAGTTCTTCCAGCCAGTCCATGCGAGATCCTGAGGGCTTGATTAGCAAAGTGAACCAAGAAAGTGTTGACAATGAGCTAGTGTGCCGCATTTGAATAGAAACGTGGTGCATGTAACTTACCGGACTTGGGAAGTCGCATCTGTTCACGAAGACGGTTCCAGCCTCTACAGATTCGGCGAGTTCCGCCCCCTTTTCTGTGTCTTTCGTCCAAATAGATGCAGTTAGGCCGAATTGACTATCATTCATGAGTTTGACCGCCTCATCATCACTCTTGACCTTCATGACCGGAATAACTGGACCGAACGTTTCTTCTGTCATAACTAACATAGAGTGGTCCACATTGGTAACAAGTGTTGGCTTGACAAAATTGCCATCCGGTGGGGGAGACTTGAATGATTCGTTATCTGGAGTGGCATCGACGGCCCCCTTATCTAGTGCATCTTGAATATGTGCCTCGATCGTTGCTTGCGACCTTCTTGAGATGACAGGGCCAACTTGGGTCTCCTTATCAAATGGGTTACCAAGTTTATACCCTTTCAATACCCTCTGTAGCTGTTCCACAAACTGATCATGGATTTTCTCATCGACATACACCCGCTCAATACTGCAACAGCTTTGTCCGGAGTTGAAGACGGCACCGTCAACAATTTCCTCTGCGGCCCATGCCACATCGACATCGGATCGAACGTATGCTGGATCCTTACCTCCAAGTTCCAAGCCGACGTTTATTATTCTCTCCGAAGCAGACTTTTGGACCGCTAAGCCTCCTGCAACAGAACCAGTAAAACATATCAAAGATATGTTCGGATCTTGAATAATGGACTCAATCGCGACCAGCGAGCCGGAATGGAAATATTGTATGACGTTCTTGGGAAGGCCGGCTTCAGTAAATACGGAGGAGATATGTTCGACAATGGTCGGTGTTTGTGGTGACGGTTTCAATATAACTGAATTGCCAGCAAGGATTGCAGGTATGAGCGAGTTTACTAGAATTAGGTAGGGATACTACAGCTTGTTAGCTATGCTACCTTATATGCAGATGCAGGTGGGTGAACATACATTCCAGGCGAAGAGCACCAGAACCGGACCAACAGGCACCTTACGGATAAATCTTTTAAATCCTTTCTCAGGCTCCCCGTCTGTGTCTTTCAAGGCATCGCCACTTATCTTTACGAGGTATTCGCCTCTTTTGACAGCTGTCGCAATCTCTACCCCAGTATAAGCAATAGGGCGTCCCATTTGCTCTGTGAGCTCCTTTGCTAGAACATCCTGTTTATCGCTCAGAAGCTTTAGGGCCTTCTTGACAATTGCTTGCCTCTCTGCTAATGAAGTCTTCCGGAAAGATAGAAATGCTTCCGAAGCGGCAGCTGGGAGCTGTTGAAGATCCGCGGGGGAGATGCCAGGTCTTGTGCATACTGGCTGATTTGTCGTAGGTGATATTGTCCTAATTGATTCAACAGACATTTTGAAAATGGGAAGGCAAGGTTCGACTTTGAATTTAAATGCCCCGAGTTGTGAGTTGTGCAAGAAGTCGAGGACTTTTTATTGTGTAATTCATATCAGTGACGTTTGCCCTTGCGCCCCTCACCGTCGCTGCCCGCTACGAAGAGCGATTGCAGGGGTCCCTGCACCTAAATTTTGATCTTAAACCCCGGCAAAAATAGTATCCAACTTTTACAAACAAAACAAACCCTTTTCAAAATGGCAACACGAAAGCATAATGAATTTCTTGATATTGATCAAAGCGATGAGGAGGGTGACGGCAGCCAGGGATATGACTCTGAGTTAGAGGATTTGAAGAAAGGTGGCAGAAGTCCGAAGCGGAGGAAGGTCGACGATCAGACCAGCGACGCCAGCGACGACGAGCAAGAAGACGGAGATGAGGGCCAGGATACGGCCAGTGATGCTGAGTCGAATAAGAAAGCCGTAAAGCAATCAACGAAAGACGCATCTGAATCCAAGCCCGAACGCAGGCTCAAAACCGACGAGCTGCCCGGAATTTCGAAGCCTCTGACGAAGAAAAACCTTGTTGCAAGCACCGCTGCAATCAAACGATCAGGGGTGGTCTATTTATCTCGAATACCCCCATTCATGAAGCCTACGAAATTACGATCGCTACTAGAGCCGTACGGCGAGATCAATCGCATATTCCTCTCGCCAGAAGATCCTACTTTTCACGCCCGTCGAGTTCGAAACGGTGGCAACAAAAAACGCAGCTTCGTCGATGGATGGGTGGAATTCATTAATAAAAAGGATGCCAGACACGCATGCGAGCTGCTCAATGCGAAGATAATTGGAGGGAAAAAAGGCACATATTACCATGATGATGTTTGGAACCTACTGTATCTGAAAGGGTTCAAGTGGAATAATTTGACCGAGCAGATTGCGGCGGAGAACGCGGAGAGAGCGAGCAGGATGAGAGCGGAGATCAGCAAGACTACGAAAGAGAATAAGACCTTTGTGCAAAATGTGGAGAGGTCGAAGATGTTGGAGGGAATGGAGGCGAAGAAGGCTGCCAAGAAGAGACAAGAGAATGATGATGCCCTGGGTGAGCCGAAAGAGCCTGCTGCTAGAACGGGAATGACAGGAGAAAGACCCCGACATTTCAAGCAAACCTCTGTTGCACCGAAAAGGAAACCTGAGGATCAACCAGAGCAAGTGAAGAGGGTTTTGAGCAGGATATTTTAGGTTACCATTATCATCGAAACCGATTACATGTTCACACCACGCCGGGCGATGGTTGGCACAGTTGGCAGCAGGACCTTGACGGAGAGAATGGATTCTTTCGGCTTCGCTGGCCTATTCTCCTTTCTACGTGGATTTTCCTGCCTCTACCAACTTACCGGCCGAGGATCCTTACCTAGGTATTGCGAACGCAATGGAATCTATCCAAGCTGGATAATGTTTAATGGGTCTGAACATTCTTTACGGAAGCCTACCCGAATATGCGGCTGGGAAACTACAGACAATTATCTACGGTACGTCTGGTTACATTCTTTTTGCACTTTGCTCATGGTTAAATGATGATACCTTTCACAACTGACAATTCATGTTGATTTAAATAAAGCATGTCAAGCTCAACAGTCTGATTTTATACCACATCTGTCTTTATATGTCTCCTTGCTACGTTTTTCAAACGGTGCACAAAAGCTGACCTATCATTATAAATTAGAAGCGGGATTTTGGTAGGAAACCAGCGCTAGAAATACTTTGAGTTGATCACCCAATAATCAAACTATTTAAATTTAACTGCTGCAACATCTCCAAACACATATATAACCATATGGAAGATAACCCATAAGAGTGAACCGATTTATGCCTTAAATCTACCCTAGAAAACAATCTTTTAAACACTGCACCTCCTAATTCAGTACTTTCACATAATCATCCTCCCAATGCTACTCTTCTAAGTGCTGCCTGTGTAGGTATCTGGGTATCATATTCTGTTGTGTAGGTGTGTTTACCTTCAGTTTAATATTTTGAGGGCTTTTATATTCTTGAATAACTAGTTGAAAATTCGCTTTGATCATAGGTGAGAAGGTTCTTCATCCATAAGGAGATGAGGCTAATTTCTTTACTTATGGTTCTATATGGTGGCGGTGGTGGAGTTGTGGGGTTGAATGGGACATGGGGGATATGTGTGGCTATGGTGTGGTTCCTTGCATTTGGTTGAGGTGGTTGGAGCAAGTGGACGAGGATGTAACTATTATTTTAGAATCTTGGTAGAGCAGATAACGAGAAAGAGTATGTGGATATGGATATGGTGGAAAATCAAGTGTCATTGAGCTATTATTTATGTAATTCAAGTGATTCACTGTGACGCACATGAGGGACTGAATACATCATTCCCAGTCCGCAATCCTGCAAAACACACCAAAGAGTGGCCATGCTAACAAACATGCAAAGGACAAGCTCAGAAACCCGTCATTCACGAACCGACTTGGTCTAATCCCTCCAAACGCCGTTTCCATCAACACCGGTAGAATGACCAACCACACAGCTTCCCTATTGCGCACCTGGTTGTATGTTAAGATCATCGAACTCATCCAGCAACTCGTTCATATCGATTTGTGGCGTCTCATCTTCACCATCATCCGTCTCCGCAACGCTCATGGCCTCTGCTTCCTTCTTCGCCTGTTGAGCTTTGTAGAGAGCCATTGCGGACCGCAGCTCGGCATCTTCCTCCACATCCCGCAGGAATATCTCGTAATCTTTGTCCAATTTCTCTTGCTCAGCCTTCTTTGGTAGTAACTCTTCCTCTTTGGACATACGCTTGAGTCGCCAGTTACGGTTCTTCGACTTCCGCTTTCTCTCGTAGAACTTCTTGACTAACATGACATCGGGTATTTGAGAAGAGTAGGTGTGGGATGCTTCTACGGCATCGAAATTAGGATTGTTGAAGTTTGTGTTGGCTAGCATATAGCCCATGACAGAGTCTCCAACATGTAGAACGTTCCCTAAGTGCGTTCGAGTATAGTATGTCATATCATTGGTTCCAAGATCCGATGCACGGGCGACGGTTGCTTCGGCAAGTAACCATTTTCCTTTTTGTGTACCGATGGGCTCAATGTCCATGATAATGAATTCCACAAGCTCCAGAACATCGGCAAGAGGTGTGAAAGGGGCACGCCAGTAAATGGGAGTGCTGATGTCGGCAGTTTGGAGGGTGCTTGGATCGAGGATGTTGACAGTCGTGCCGATACGATAGCAGAGCCCGATAGGAGAAATATTTCCGATTTGTTTCGCCAGTTTGATAGGTAATGCTACCAGATCGTCTTTGCATATTGGCACTAGCTCAACGGAATAAGAGAATTTGTAGGATTTTGTAGAGGTATGAACATCCATGGAGATGAGTTCTTGTGATTTCTTGGCTCGGACCGGCACGACGGAGGTTAGGAAGTCGACAAACTTGTCTGCTTGATTTCGAGCTGCGAAGAAGAAATCTAGCCCATCCTTAACTTCCTTGATATTGATTGTATCCCTGTGGGCCCCGTGTTTTAGAATTAGTTGTTCGAGGAACAAAAATGTTCGCTTATGGGGGACCTTTTGTCGGACCTGTACGCATGCCCGCCATGTGTTCGCAGTATATGATTTCTGGCAATCTGGGCATTGCTGGTATGCAACCACGTATTCGATCTCGAATGATTGTTGCAGGACAACCCCTTCGGACACGCCATCCTGGATGGTAAGCTTGACCTTGACTCTTCGAGAATGCGGTTCTGTCCATATGAAGCTCGCGTCTATTATCCGGACTTTGTGCAGTCCTCGTAACTTCTTCAGGCAAAGAGCAAGAAGTTCCCTTGATTCCAAAGCTGCGACAATCCAAGTCGTCGGAGGAAGCAGCCACCGTTCGCAGTCTCTGCAGAAATGTATGGTGGCTTCACGTTGAATGCCTTGCGAGACATCCATCGTGGTCTTGACACAGTCATAGCAAAGTGCGCCAGCAGAGGTCGTGCCATCGATGGGAGCACCGCAGTTGCAGCAGAGAATACTAGAAAGAGGTTAGAAGGCGACAGTGGGCAGAGAATCATTTTAATGTAGACTTACGTGGCATGTGTCTGCTCCGCTTGCAGCAGAGGTGCAATAGACACCGGCGCATCAAGATCCATAGCAGCCATTTTGAGGTCGACGTGGAGGTGTAGTTTCGTTGTGGTATTGTTGTTGCTCTTGCAAGGTCAATGTTTATTGATAAGAAAAAATGTTGCCCCGCGATCACTAAAATGCTGTAATCGTCGGGGTTAAGCGAGCCACAGGCTTGCTCAGCAACGCCACCGTACAAGCCCCACGTCATGAAAAGTGAATTTATTTCGATTGCCAGTGCTGGCTCTGTTAAAGAGATGTTTATGAATATTATGGTTAATACAAGTAGATGTATGGTTTATTACCTATCAGTATGTCGAAAGACGAGATGGGATACAGTCACGTGGTCGTATTTATCACGTGATATTTGCCACGAGTCGCTCCCCTTTTCCGAAGTCAATCATGGGAGGAGAGGTGGATGACTACCAGTCAATGGGAAATAGAGCATATTAGAGAATACTTAGTATGGAACTTCGTGGAAGCTGGTGTTTTTTCCTTCCAATATTTGATATCCAAAAATGATATATACTCTTGGGCCTATTTCTTATTGCCACTAATGAATTCAAGTGCGTTTGTAAGGTGGACGTTCTTTTCCTTATATCTTAATTACTATTCTAGAGTAGATGGTCCGCGTGCGAGTGGCATCTATTAACTACTTGGCCAGGTACCCAAGTGTATAATGACGAGCCCCATATTTTTAGGATTTTAATCCACTCGAAACAGGCGGCCCAAAAAGGGTTACAGGGTAATAAGTGTATTAATTAGATAACACGCAACAACACACAAATGAAAAACTTATAAGTGGGTAAAGAAATCACTAGTGTTTAGGCCACTCTAAATTTGAGACCTTGGACTTCGTTTAGTAGTAAAACTACCGTGCTGAGCTAACTATTGAGTTGTGTAAGATCGATCCCTATATCCTTCGCTGAGCTTATTATGCATAGTCTGCGTATGTTGCTAGCCTACAATGGTATGCCCACATTTCCCGCAGCCTTGGTGTCCACAATTATGGCATCTAGGTGTTGCCCTTCGATTCAATTTCGCGCACTATGAGAATAAAATTGTTAATTAGTGTAATTGTATACGGCCGACTCTATCTAAGGATTGGGATACTTACCATACAGCAGGTCCATAGATAGACTACAGAGTCAACAAGTCGTAAGTCTGGGCTATAAATAGGACCGTCGCATTGGTGAACGAACGCGCTGCTTATAGCCTGCAACTTCGACTGAAGGGCTATTTAAGCTGCAACTTTGAAGCACCGCCAAGTAGTTCGATAAATATGAGTGTTTGGATGGAAATAGTCGGAGGACAGTTGAAGAGATTGACATGCTGGACACTTGCGAATGCATGGGGCTCTGGGAATGGTGGAAGGGGAGAACAAGGTTAGGTAGGTATCCTGCCAATAAACTCATAGTATACCTGGGTATTCAGCTCACCCTCGGCATTCATGGCCATGAGAAGCTAAATTAAGTTGGTCATAAAACAGGTCCCCCAAGATTGAATAGATTGGTGAATATCACGGTATATAGCGACGATACAAATTTTGACCGAGATAGCCACGCAACAGCTGCGACAATCTTCACCTGAGCGATCGCTGCTCTAACGTGGACTGAGGCCAGCACGTTGATGAGTTAGCTGGATCATGCTAAGTTGCATCGTGTAAACTCTAGGGTATATCTTGTACCTAGACTTATAAATATAGTCTCCCCTACCTTGTGGTATGGCCTCGATTAACCTCAACCTCAACCTCAAAACCCTCGGGGTTTGAGCTAGTCTTCTTTATCTTCTCTTCTACCGCGTACCAGAGCTATGTGCCGATACAACTCTCACCAGCTCACGCATGGAACAACCAGAGATGCCATCGCCAGCCCAAAACGATGCAGCCCGCGTCGAAATACCAACATCACCAGTTTCAGTTAAAACCTTACTTGATCTGCCTCCTGAACTTATCCTCCAAATAATAGAGTTCCTGCCAACGATCTCAATTGCCTCTTTTGCTCTCTGCAATAAAAGATCCGCCGCTCAATTAGGTAGTAGGGCTTGGAATCTGCTCTCCAACCTGGAATCCGACGATCGCATTCACTTCCTCACCATTCTATCACGAGATCTCCCTCGCCACCACGCATGCCATGGGAGTTTCCGTCTTCATCTCAGCAGTTCTATCCCACAGCCGGCAAACCTCAATGCACCGCCCGAGCCTGATTCCTGCATCCCAGCGTATGCCCGCAACAGCCACTTCATAGATGATGGGTTCGTCCGTATCCCGCTGTACTTTTCTCCTTACAAACTACGTTTCCACCACGTCCAATTAGCACTTAAACAACACCATTATGGTTTTGGCCATGGCATCCCACTCAGTGACCTATCGCACAACGACATCACGCTCACCCGAAGAAGTGTGTGCCTCTTTTCAGTGGATGCGCGAATCGCGTCCAATGAGCTGGTTATGCGATCTCAGGAATGGGTTCTATTGAGCCAGCGTCCAGTTGAGCACTTCTTGTCTGAATCGCAGGGCTATGGCGTTTGCCGGCATATGACGACTCGCAATGAGGGCACCGATCTTGATGGTCGTCTCACTACATTGATTCGATGTCAGCTCGGGCATGGAGCCGCGGATGATGACTGTGCTTGCATGGGATTGCATCGATGTTTTTCCTGCCCGATGGAATATCAGATCGACGTTGTTGATTTCAAAGAGCGAGGGACTGCTATCTGCGCCACTAAATGGTTGAATCTTGGGGCAGGCCTAACCACTCGTGATTCGAATTGGCGGGGACACAATCTTTTACCTCGCGGCTACGTTCCACATAATCTGCCTCTTGGAAGCATTCGTTCAAGCTACGAGAGCCAGGAAGGAGCACCTATTGATGAATTAACTGCCGAAAATAAGAAGAGGCTGTTTTATTTACCCATGATTGGACGCAAGGTGTATATGTCTATGGGTTATTGTGATTGGAAGTTGGTTGGGCAAGACATCTGGTACAGTCGACGTCCAGAAGTGTTGAATATTATTCAATCGCTTTGTTACCGATTGCTTGACTTAGTTTCAAGGACCGTTTTGCAATTCACAGAGGTTTTATTTTAGATCCTTATGCTTGCTTTATCGACATCGCGGTGGGCCGTTAAGAGAAGGCATTTTGGAATGTTAGAAGACTTTGACATCTTTGAATGTTTCACAGTCTTTAAAACAATCTGCAACTAGCAGAACCGAATGTTAAGTAGCGCCTGAATAGAGCAGCGGCGATGACTAGCCGTGTTGGAAGGGAAGTAGGTAAGGTTCGGCGCAGATTACCAAGTCTTAGGAATCTGATATTATGCTTAATATGACCTTATATAGTGTATTCGAGCTGATGCCTTTGAAGAGTAATATATCAATTACCACAGCCGTCCAATTAAGGCTGACGATATGAAGGCAACTGTACCTAGGTACTCCAGAGATAGGGGCGAGGTCTGCCTAGCGCCCTGGCGAAAGATTACAAGACTAGAGCGAATCACACGAAGACTCGGAGAAAGAAGGCGAGAGACCGACCTGAACAGGGGCCATACGAGTCACAGGAATGTAGTCGATGTTGCCAAGCAGGGTCATAATTGGGAGGAATGCAAAATATTTGCCTTACGCATAGGCCAGTCTAGGTAGGGGGCAATGGAGAGATTCGATTTTTTATGTTTTTATTATAATACACACGTTTTGCAAATAGCTACAATTTGGGAGTGAGAGTGAGTAGGAGACTGCCGCGTGCGAAGGAACGATTTTACTGTGGTGATCATATAGCGGCACTACGAGTACACGCACATGCAACCGAAGGATCCCATTATTTTCCGTACCATATTATTATTATTATTATTAAAAGAAAAGGCACGCAACAGCCAAGCATAGGCCAAGAGACGATATAGTTATCTAGCAGCTTGGCGATTCTCCAAGTGGATTGCGCAGTCAACACGGGGGACAATGCTGCAACCATAATGGTACGCTCTCCACGCTCTCCAGTGGCAACGAAAATCCGTGACGGGCGCCAAGGTACAAGTTTCCCATCGCCGCGTTTGTGGCCAATCTATCACTGCAGGGGTCTGTGATAAATACGAGAATATGTCCGCGAGAAACGTCGTCTTTCGTGACTGCAGCAACTTACTTCTGCTATCCCACTCCGAATCAATAATTTCATCTGGAAATCCAGAGGACCAAAAAAAGTCATGACTCGGAAAGGTAAAATGCGTGAACCCGAAGAGGGTCACGTGTCGGGGCAGGCAAACGAACCCCTATCTGGACTGCCTCATACTTTGAGTGGTGAACAATGTGCCATTGAAATTGGAGCGAATATTCTCGATGGCCTCAGTGCCTCGGAAGCCAAATCCCGCCTTGAGAAGTACGGGGCGAATGAGCTCGATGATGGCCCTGGAGTTTCTCCTGTCAAAATTCTCATTCGGCAAGTTGCGAATGCAATGACTCTAGTTAAGCGTACCACACGCCCATTCCCCCTAGCCAGGTTTTCTGATCCAATTCTTTAGGTGCTGATGCTGGCCATGGGGGTCAGTTTCGGAATCGGTTCCTACATTGAGGGTGGAGTCATCTCCGCAGTCATTGTTTTGAACATTGTTGTGGGATTCTTCCAGGAGTTTAGTGCTGAGAAGACGATGAGCTCTCTACGCTCGTTGAGCTCCCCAACGGCAACAGTTATTCGTAATGGAGATACTATTGTCGTACCCACAGGAGAGCTTGCCTTTGGCGATCTTGTTGAGGTAAAGGTCGGGGACACAGTCCCTGCGGATATTCGGTGAGTCTTGCCACCCCTCTTTTACGTGGGTCAGTAGCTAATCTAGACACAGCTTAACTGAGTCCATGAACCTTGAGACAGATGAAGCTCTGCTCACAGGCGAATCTCTCCCAGTTCAGAAAGAAGCCAGTCGATTTTTTCCGGCAGACACCGGGCCAGGAGATCGCCTTAATGTCATATTCAGTTCATCGACCGTCACAAAAGGTCGCGGTCGCGGTGTCGTCTTTGCCACGGGAATGAGTACAGAGATTGGTTCTATCGCTGCAGCTCTTCGTGGCCAGCCATCACGCAGGCGCCAAGTTAAGCGCAACCCAGATGGGAGTGCAAAGCCGTATCGATATGTTGAGGCTGGTGCACTTACCTTGGGCGACTTCATTGGCCATTTTCTTGGTGTCAATGTCGGCACACCATTGCAGCGCAAACTTTCGAAGCTCGCAATGCTTCTCCTGGGAATTGCTGTCGTCTGTGCAATTATTGTCCTTGGCGCAAATAAGTTCTCCGACGATACTGAGGTCATCATTTATGCTGTGGCCACGGGCCTGTCGATGATTCCCGCTTCTCTTATTGTTGTCCTGACCATCACCATGGCTGCTGGTACTAAGAGAATGGTTAAACGCAACGTCGTCGTCCGGAAACTTGACTCTCTCGAAGCCTTGGGTGGCGTCACAGGTGAGTAAAATCCGATTTTCTATTCTCAGGATGATGGCTGACAGCCCTTGAGACATTTGTTCCGACAAGACTGGTACCCTCACGCAAGGTAAAATGGTTGTCAAGAAAGTCTGGGTTCCTAGTAAGGGCACTTACTCCGTCGGCAACTCCGAGAACCCAATTGATCCAACCCTTGGTGATCTGTCCCACCACCAATCTGCTCCAGTTGATTGCGTAGCAGAGAATGGGGATGGAGTAATGGCGAGCGCAGCCGAAATTCTCCACGACAACGAGGACCTCGAAGAATTCTTGAATATCGCATCACTTGCAAATCTGGCCCATGTCCATAAAACGGAAAGTGAATGGAAAGCCCGTGGAGACCCAACCGATATTGCCATTCAAGTTCTTGCGTCTCGATTCAACTGGAACCGGAATCGCTTCATCTCGGAGGACAACCCAATATGGACACAGCGCGCAGAATACCCCTTTGACTCAAATATCAAGAAGATGTCAGTGATCTTCGAGAGTAACTCGAGGTCGATGGTCTTCACAAAGGGTGCTGTCGAGAGAGTTTTGGAATCTTGTTCAACGATTGTTGGGCCCAATGGCGAGGCGCCACTCACTGAGGATGTTCATGGCTACATAATTGAAAACATGGAGAACCTCGCTAGCCAAGGTCTCCGTGTCCTTGCATTAGCAAGTAAGGAATTGCTCAACCCGATCAACGAGCTGAAGCCTCCGGGGCGCAGCTGCGTCGAAGAACACCTAGTGTTCCGTGGTCTAGTCGGCCTTTATGACCCCCCTCGACCGGAATCTGCTGGCGCGGTGCGCCAATGCTACGCATCTGGTATTGTAGTTCATATGTTGACTGGGGATCACCCGAGTACTGCTCGTGCGATCGCTCTTCAAGTTGGTATCTTGCCGGCAAACATAGCATTGATCGCCCAAGACAAGATCGACACAATGGTCATGGCCGCAGGGCAATTTGACAAACTCTCCGACGACGAGATCGATGCAATGCCCCATCTGCCACTCGTTATTGCACGGTGCTCCCCGAATACCAAGGTGCGAATGATTGAAGCTTTGCATCGTCGCAACCGTTTCGCCGCCATGACTGGTGATGGGGTCAATGACTCCCCATCCCTGAAGCGCGCAGATGTTGGTATTGCAATGGGACTTGCTGGCTCTGATGTTGCGAAGGATGCTTCAGATATCGTCTTGACGGATGACAATTTTGCCTCCATCCTTAACGCTGTCGAAGAAGGGCGCAGGATGTTCGACAACATCCAGAAATTCATTCTGCACTTACTTGCCGAGAACATTGCCCAAGCGTGTACCCTCCTCATCGGTCTCGCGTTCAAAGATAACTCGAGTCTCTCTGTCTTTCCCCTCTCCCCTGTCGAGATTCTCTGGGTTATTATGGTTACTTCGAGTCTGCCGGATATGGGACTGGGGTTCGAAAGGCCGGCACCAGATATCATGTCACGACCCCCTCATCCTCTAGAAGTTGGCGTCTTCACCTGGGAAGTCATGCTCGACATGCTTGTGTACGGGCTCTGGATGGCTACCCTCTGCCTGACTGCTTTCTCTGTCGTCCTCTTCGGATTTGGAGATGGTAACCTGGGTTCGCGTTGTAACGACTCTTACTCGGCGCAGTGTGACACAGTATTCCGTGCTCGCGCCACCACCTTTGTTTGCCTGACCTGGTTCGCCTTGTTCCTGGCCTGGGAAATGATTAATATGCGACGCAGTTTCTTCAGAATGCAGCCAAAGAGCAAGAAGTACTTCACGCAGTGGGCTCATGATGTTTGGGGCAACAAGTTTCTATTCTGGTCGGTGGTTGCTGGATTCGTGACGATTTTCCCGACACTGTATATTCCGGTGCTCAACCACGTGGTCTTCAAGCATGAGGGCATTTCCTGGGAATGGGCCATCGTATTTATTGAGACGATTCTCTTTGTCGCTGGATGCGAGACGTGGAAATGGTGCAAGCGCATATATTTCCGCCGACGCGGAGCCAAAGCAGGTGGAAAGGTCGAGGACCTGGAAAAGCGGGCTTTCGCGGCATATTTTGCCGAGTCAGAATGACAGGAAGAGGGAAAATTGCAGGCGGCTAGACTGAAGGACACGAGTGTGTTTGATCGAGGCTTGTTAGGTACGTCAATTATAGAAAATGGAGTTTGTTGCTTTTGAGATTGTCTCGAGTTTCAATGATCGTGATGTGACGCGTTATATATCATCAGCTGCCATACACTGTTGCTCAACAAACGACGGATTTACCTTATAGGCGGCGGGGACGAAAGATGTATGGAAAGTGTGACCTTGTTCGGTGCTCTCTTGTTAAAGCGTAAAATGATGGTTGAAGTATGAACTTCCACCCTGCAGCCCATTTCCATACTTAGTAGAACAAATGGCGATCTTCGCGTCTGTAATTGGAGCACATCGTCATAACCCAGAGATGAAGGGTGGTCTAGAGTGTATGAGACTAGTCCGCCTGGGTGCCATGTGGAATTTACCGCCAGAATCGACCAAATATAATTTTCTCCGCAAGTTTAGCTAATGGTAGGGTGCCCGAGTTCGAGTTACTCTTCATCCGCTCAATTCATAAAAAGGTAGGGATCTCGTCAAGTTTCTTGTTTTTCTGCTGGTCGAGTTCCTGTTTCACCTTTTGTCGTCTAGCATGATCCAGCCTAGAAAGCTTAGAATTGCTGCTGCCCGAGATGGTGGTATTATTGGTCTCAACCTTCACTAGTCGAGTGGCCGACGCCGTACTATGAAATGATTTTATAGATGAAATGGATGCCGGTATTGGTTCGACTTTTATACCGGGGACGTTCCTGGAGGGAGAAGCGATTGGGGGTGCATCTGAAAGTGTTCTCCTCTTGAAAGTTGGCTTTGTCGCTGGTGAGCCCAATTTCGGTGCTAATATTGGTGCATCAAGATCATCGTCGTCATTAGACGTTATGGTCGGGCTGTGGCCCCGAAATTTGGATAATTTGCTACTGTGAGAAGCACTTGGAAATCCTGGTAATCTGGATGTTGCTTGCGCAGGTAAATTTCGACTAGCTGCTGGCTTGTTGAAACCGGCAGCAGCACGTGTTGTTGCCCCAATCGATCCAACCTTTAAAAGTGATGTGATTTTTCTAGGGCTATCCATCAACCCATGTAGAGAGGTGCCAACGTATGGAAGATTATCATCGTCATCACTATCGTCAGATGCAAAGCCTTCTAGAAGTCCTTTCTGCGTTTTCGATCGGTTGGCACTTGCAAGCTTGCGCGAAGTCTGATCGGACATCTTTCCAGTGACGGGTCGCGATATGGATGTTATGGCTTCAGCATTACGAGCTTTTGCTAATTTCTCCTGCCGTTTGTACTCGGCGGCATGGAGATGAACAGTGAACCGCTGCGCGACTGAAAAGAATTCATCTTCTACCATCCGGTACTTGTCATCGTGCTCCATGCCCTCATTCATAAAGCTGATAAATGTCAGTTGATGCTCGCACTTCCTACAGTGACTGTTTTACCTTTCCGGTGGTGGTCCAGGGGGTGGCGATGTCGACGGTGGTCGAAGTTCTTGATGGTATTAGTAGGTTCTACAAAGCATCCTGGTATTAACACTTACCTTGTCTTGGCCCATCATCGGTATCGCTTCCCGGATCTACCTTCTCCAATCTCTGTCGCTTTGGAGTATGGTTTGGAATGCCAGACGTCGGCCTTGGGAGAGCTGAAGGTGCGGAGCTCCCCTTTCCCCAGGGCAGCTTTCGGGGCATGTTCACGATGGTATAAAAGAGGCTGTAGTGTAAACAAATCAAACAACATGCAACATTGTGATGTTGGCTGGTATCCAAAAGAAACCCTCCTATGTTACTCCCAGCGTTCTCCTGCGCTTTGACGATAAACTGTAAATAAATAGGGTGAGCCAACGCAAAGTCGCGCTGAAGTGAAGATTCGCGCAAGACTCGCGCAAGAAAGTTCATTCAGTGTCTTGCGCAGCTGCAACTAAGGGCTCAAAGGAAGCAAGAATCGTGTTTGGGGGTTGGTTCTAGCAAAATCTCAGGACAAAGGCAAAAACATCTGGATGTTGATGTTCGGGTCAACTTGCTTCCTGATAACCCAAGAACTCAGCATGCCCGCTCGCTTGACTCTTATCGTCGCGCTTCGGCTACAGTATCGAGGCCACAAATATAAAAAAAATGGTGCACAAGGAGAAAAAAAACCAAAAAATGATGAGAGGAAGGGGATTCGAACCCCTGCAGGTAAAACCTATGAGAAATCTCACTTATTTTTATATAAGTGAAGACACGAAATCGTATCTTGAGTCTGTCGCTGATGTTAATACATTGGTCTTCTGTGTATTCGGGGTGCAGGAACAACGTACCACACGCCATAACCACTCGGCCACCCTCCCGGTCGTTTTTTGAGGAACATCACCTATTTCCCTCTATCTCTCATCCTGTCGCGCGCCAATTTCCCATATGAGTATAGCTCCTGGAGCATTTTGCGCCCGAAGATTAACCGTAGGCAGACTCCCAGCTGAATGAATTGAGTCGAAGGCAGTCGAACGGTTAACAGGTAACCTATTGTTTCTGACAACAGAGAACGAAGACTCACTTCAAGATGACCCGTGGCCCCCGGCTGTCTCAGCCCTTCTTTTGACATCGATGTCAATTTGACACACTCATTCAAGTTGGATAAAGAACCAATAAGTCCCTACCTACTACCAACCTTCCCTAGGCTTGACACCGCCGTCTGGATGCTTAACATTTCTGCTATCTCGCGGGCAACGCGACTCTATGCTGCCCTGTCGTCGATTGCCCTCGGTGTTTCCAGGACCAGCCTTGTCGATCAACCTTAAACCACGAAACAAAGGGACTTTGTTTCTTTTACCCTTAGAATGTTCTCGGCATCTGGGGCGTCCTTTGAGAATCTGGGTGACTTGGGTCCAAGTGCTCAGTTTCCTCCCAATGAAGCATTTGCTGGTCTTCCTGGGCCCTCGACAGGTTCGGTGCCAGCGGAATTAGAAGGAGAAGCTAGTTCCGAGAATTCTATCGTTGGTGTTGTTGGCCGAACGGCTGCATCGAATGTTCCATCACCTAGTCATCCACCTCACCAGCATGCAAGCCTGTTTTATCTTTCTTTAATAGAAGGGAGATGTAGGACACAGGCCACAAATTTGGTCAATTCTAGAAGGCGTCCTGAGGACCAACTACCAGAGGACCACTCAGACATCTGCAAAGTCGCAGAGAGCCTCTTCGCCGAAATGTCAAAAGAGTTGTTAAGAGCGGGCTTGCTCCCCCAGCAGGTTGCTGTGCCCACATTTCATGAATTGCGTCGCTATTTGGCATCCTTTGATACCATACTAAACAACATTGCTATACAACAACCTCCTGGAACTTTTGAGGACAGCACATATAGAGCAATTGAGGCCTCCAACACATTTGCCTTCAGTTCAAGCGCAGTGTCGTCGCTTTTCGAGAGATCACAATCCGAATCGCAATCTCAATCACAAGCTTTAATAGCTCGACGGTTCAACATGCCCCACCTAAATCTGCCGCAGGCCGGCTCACCTTCTTCTCTTCGCTCTACGATATTTCCCGAGGATCCAGATGAACACCTCCGAAAGTGCCTTTATGACATGAAATTCAAACAGATTTGTCGCCTCGGAAAAGGAGGCTATGGAAAGGTCTATAGTGCGCTCCATATACTTGATGGCCAGGAATATGCCATCAAAAAGATACCTATTTCTGCCAATCGGCTGAATTCGATCCTCCATAATGAAATGCAGGCCGCCGAGCTCTTGTCAGAACTCCGCGCTCTGGCGAAATTACAACACCGCAATGTTGTCAGATACTATGACAGCTGGCTCGAAGCACGTTCAGCCTGCAAAAGGAATACTAAGCACCGTCAAAGGCAGCTGGACACCAAAGCTTATGCCTCACAGTGAGTATCTTCTCCAAACCAATATTGCCTATCATGCTAATACCCTATGTATAGAGTAGAAGATTCTGACTCAGAGGATTCCGAATCTCCTAGCTCACTATCCAATTCTTCAGACGAGTCAGCTGGCGATTTTCAAAATCTAAAGGCGACGCAGGAGAGCGAACTGAAAAAAGAAGTGAAATGGGCTCGAAAAGGCTCTATGCAGGATTCGGCTAATAGTAGCAACATCATCTTCGAGAATTCGTGCCCTTCAACATCAAATGTAACCCAACAGAGTAACAGATCGTCAGAATCACAGTCCACTTTCAACAACTTATTCCGCAAACCCACAGACGACGAATCCGATGAGGAATCCGATGATGACGAACACGATACCGAGGAAGTTGAGCGGAATGCCACAGGTTTCGAATTGTCGCAAGACAAGAAACGCCTGATGATATTTATTCAGATGGCGCAATATCCGATGACGTTGGAGGATTTTATATGGCCGAATCTGGAGAGAGGTGAAACAGCCACAAATCCTACACATTGCTTCCACACTATGACAACAGCCCGTATCCTCCTCTCAATCCTAGATGGGATTGAGTATATACACAGCCAACACATCGTCCACCGAGATCTCAAACCCCCCAATATATTCTTAACCGTCTCCAAATCACGAGAAGGACTCGAAGGCTCAATTAACTTGAAGGCATGCCCAGAGTGCAGCCCTTCATCGTCAGCCGAACATGTCTGTATCATCCCACACATCGGGGACTTTGGCCTCATAGCAAAGCTTGATGAGCCATCTCCGGCACAGCCTTCCCAAGCTGGTTTTAGTCCGTCGCCCCTGGCAATCTTCTCATCAATTGCCTCTGGCAATCAGCCTGGCACCATATTGTACCGCGCACCAAAGAATACTTCTAGCACTATCTGTCCAAAGCTAGATGTATATAGTTTAGGGGTGATTGCCGTAGAGCTTTCTAAAAAGTTTGGGACAAGAACCGAACGTGTTCGCGTGTTAAATAATGACCCAAGTAAGATGCTCGATCTATGCGGGCTTGCTAGTCACCCGATGGCCCCTGGAATTAGAGGCATGTTGTGTACAGAGGTGGATGGGAGATGGGGGTGTGGTAAGGTGCGGGAGTGGTTGTTGGGGGTCCTGGGGAAGTATTGAGTTGTTAGGGGTAATATAAACTATAAATTCCAGTTGAGTGATTTTATTAGATGCTGTGGAACTTCTGCAACCTGTTTGTAGTCACGAGCAAGTGGATTCACGTGTATTAATCACATATATTTTCGTTCGTCAAACAGAGTTGGATTGTCATTACCACCAGTTCATTCACTTCGTTTCCTATTGTAAAATCAATATCAGAATTATTGCATCCTACAGTTCCCAATCCTTTCCCTAACTCTTTCACCCATCCGCTCAGCCACTGGGTGCGCGGATCTACCCTGCAGATTAATTACTTCGGTGCATGCTTGGCTCGGTGGCCAGCAGTGTCACAACGCCCTACTAATAATGAGCAGGCACATCTGTCAAATTATACAACGCCGCAAACGGATCATCCGACGAGTCTTTCGCTGCGGTATACTCCATACCAATCGCCAACTTCTGCGCCAAATCTTGCCCCCAGACATGTCCAATGAAGGCAATCATCAAGTCTATCCCAGCACTAACACCTGCAGACGTCCAAATATTCCCATCCGTAACCCACCTCGCATGTGCAATCCAGTTAACCTTGGGACCTAACGCTACCGTTTCCACCCAAGCTAGTTTGTTGGTAGTCGCGGACTTACCATCTAAGACGCCCGCCCGAGCGGCTAACCCAGCACCGTTGCATACCGTGAGGAGATACTGTAGCGTAGGATAGCGGTCCCTGACGAAGTCGATAGCAGAATTGAGGATGGGAGCAGGCGCACGTAACCCGTTTCCGCCTGGGATTACCAAGACGTCCAGGGGAGGGGCAGTGGCGAATGTGTGGGTTGGAAGAACTGCTTCTCCGAACGTGGAATTTGCTGAAGTGGTATACCACGGCAGTCTGTTGGTGTAAACCGGATCCAGAGTTGCCGCAATGAGAGTCAGGTTCATGTAGTGTAGCTCTTGGAGGTGGTTTAGGGCGTCGATAGACCCGAACATGTCAAGAGCCTCAAAGCCAGGGAAGAGGACATAGCCGAAGCGTGTTGGAACTGTAGGTAATATTAGCAAATTTGTCTTTCGATGGATTTGAGGAGCTCTACTGGATGGAGATTCGCATTTGCTTAGCCCTGAGAGGGCAAGGAGTGGCAGAATTGCCTTCAAGGATAGGTTGAGGTGAAACATGATTGGAGCGAGGTGTTTGGCAGATGTTTTTCAAACTCGAAAGATTGTCGGTTTGTAAACTTGAATGATTTTATTGTCAAGTGTTTGTAACCTACATCGAGAAAATATTGAAGTTACCACCTGGAGTTATATATGCTCAAAGGTAAACCTGGTGGGTTACAATTTGCGCACATATTCCAGTCCGTGACTCCTCGTATATAGTATGCTGGTAAGCACTTATTTTCTTCGCTCCACTAAGAGATCGTTCTTCAATAATTTCATTTGGAAGGTCACAGCCGTACCGCGTTGAAGGCCAAAGGGGATAAATGGAGGTTGAGCGAGAGGTATTGAGCAAGATTCGCATGTATGTAAGCGTCATGTGAATATAACCATCGTGTAATTTATGCTTGAGTCCTTTTGAGAATTTCTGAGTCGAAATATACATTTACCTAATTGGCCAACTCGTATATCTAATTCCGTGGGTGTCATACCGGAATAAATGTGCTGGCGCCAATTGATTCTAGGCAAGGAACTGTATTCATTTTCCCGAGAGAAACCGCAGCGGAAACCAGATATATAGATGCATCCACGAACAAATTATTCATTGCGAAGAAGACTGTTAATAGCAGAGGACCTCGAAAATTTCATTTGCAAATGGAGACGCACGAAGAGAGGCACGATTAATAGCATGCTAAATAAAAAAGAATAAGCATACGAAGGGAGTATGATAAGGAAGTAGAAATAATTTAGCAAGGAAGTTGACGGGGGATTATAGAGTAGTTAAATGCAGCCTCGACTTGCTTGAGACGCGGAAGAACTTGCGGCCTGAGGGCAATTGGAAGAAGGAGATTCTCCCATCTTCATCCTTAATTTTCACCTTAAATGCCAACTTATGGGTTATCTTGAATAGAAAGCCAAAGAAAAAACTATTTGAAGGACGTTGGGATTGCTTTTCCGCTACCTCAGCCGCCTTAAGTGAGCAGTGACCTGCTTGGACACGATTCGTCATCAGACGACGTCCGTTCTTCCTATCTAGCACAAACATTCTCTACAAGTACTAGAGCGTGTTGTTGCGACTGCGTTTATTACAGAGCTTGGGTCCCTAGAAATGAAAATATACTATAAGAATACTATCTCTTATTTATATTTATACTTCAAGTTATTAATTCAGCTTATATAATATATATAAATATAAAGTTTTACTCTTCTAGTAGAGACAAAATAGAGATTCTAGCTGAAGTAGCTTAGAGTACCAAAAGTGGCACCATTGTGCCTCAGGATTCTAACAGCTGGGACCTATTAGAGCGCGTATCTGCTGATGCTGCACTTGGACATGTCTCCTTCTCCGCATTGCCTCACGAGTCACAACTAGTCATTGGCTAAATCGCAGCCGGGGCAGAAACGTAGCAGAACTCACCACTCGACCTAGCCATGGGCGTCAATTGCAATTACGTCACGTTTACTTCGTATGTATTTGTGCAATTTTCAAAGCTAGAGTTCCCTTTTCCTCGCGTGTAATCAATCTATTTGTCCAAGTCGCAATTATCCTTGAACTTGCACTTGTAATAATAGACACATATCGATTTAAAGGTCAATTATTCGTATTACCGACTATACAGCTACTACTCTCCGACACATAATTGCTCTCCCACTCCCGCTACAAGTGCCAGAAACGGCTCCCTTGATAATGGTCCCTCAAGCGATGAAAAGGCTCCAGGACGAAAGTGCGAGTCGCATCTTCGACTCCCCATAATGGATTATCGCTACCCTGGCTGTAATGGTATCAGTCTCTTCTGACAGTCAAACTACCGAGAAGCCCTGCCAACTCCAAGCCTTCGTTGAGTCAATCCTTAGTGGGATACTTCTTTACTCTCTGCGGGTCTCCCGAATCTCTCGATATCAAACTACTATGATCACTTTCCAAACTGACCCTGGTTCGAAAGAAATTCCCGATTTTAAAAGCACTATGCTTCAATTACAATTATTCGTTCACTAAGCCTAACAAACCCAAATTAATTAACAGTCCTTTTACAAAACCGAAATGCCGAATTATGCTCAAATGATCAAACTTCCAACTCCCACAGCCATTAGACAAGCCAGTGCCACAGGAGCCCACTGACAAAAGCCAAAACCTCCAGTGTCAAGGCCCCTTACACTAGCACTCTTTGTCGGGGTCGTAGTGGCTGCTGAGGAGGTTGCTGAGTGAGAGGCTGATGAGCTAGTGCTTGCAGCTTGGGACGGCCCTATACTGCCACCTTGAACGACTGACGGGGCGGCGGGGTTTGAAACTTTGGAAGCAGCAGCCTTGTATTGATCGAGCGTTTCTGAACCACCTGATCTAAGATATTACCCTATTAGCGGTTGATATAAGAGGACACGACATTTTATACTTACGGAGGATTAATTACCCCGGCCATTCCAGTCTCACAGTGACTTGGAGTTGCACAATAGAACCAAATCGGATTCGTATCATTGATGGTGAGAGTAAAAACATTGGTGTTAGTTTTATCGCCTGTGGTAGTAATTGCGCCACTCCAGAATCCTGTTCCATTCGCCAAGGGCGCGCATGGGGAATCGAAGGAGGACTGGGTGACGGAATGAACGGGCGGATAGAACACAAATTCAATGCTGGATCCAACGGCTGCAGTGATAGAGTCTGGTGAGAATGCAAGTGCATTATCCTTTCCAACCGTTACTGTTTGCACTCCGTGGGCGGAGGAGGTTGTCGTGGTTGCGGACTCTGTCGAGGTTGTCCTGGAACTACTCGGGGATCCTCCACCATACTGCGCGAGGGCCCATGGAAACAAAGAGAATAGGATTGGCTGGTGTGAGAGATGCATTTCTTAGTGATTTTCTTTCTTACTAGAGAATAGCGAGTTCTTGAAATTTACTGATTAGTAGATATAAAGAATAGCTATAGACTTGAGGGAGCTTTGGGTTTAATATTTTTTTGGGGGGAATCCCCACGATTTGCCTTGTGTAACAATGCTGGCGTGGATACTCAGGGGGGAGGCGGGGTAGCTATCCCGCCATAGCGTACCTATTCTTAGCAGGATATGGTGCAAAACTAAATTTTCAGGCACACACGGCTATAACCCAGGTATGATTCTGGAGGCATGCCTGGGTAATGGCCGTTAGGCCTTTTAATAGGCGAAAAGAGTTTTGCACCAAACTATTCTAAGTATGCGCCATAGATAGTTACTGGACCGGGGATTCGCTAATGGCCGATGTGGGGTACGATTAGCGGAACTAGACATTAATGGCGTCCTACACTCTCGATTACTAAGGCCTAGGTCTCAGTAGAATGGTTCTAGGCCTGGATTTAGAAAGGGAAAGCGGGACAAGCACGGAAGAACATAGGTGGATGAAATACCTGAACACGAGTGACGTTAATAGAAAAGATTTCGGTTACGTAACTGTATCAATCTACAACCCGTCTCTAGGCGCTGAAGAAATAGAGACCGCTGGTGGCCAAGTTGGAGGAGGTGCTTAAGGGGCAGCTTGGCCCTGTTTGATCGAACGGACTGTAGTTTTCTGGATTGCTTGAGCTGTCTAGAATGCGAGTTTCTCTAGGTTTGGTTAAAGGGGCTTATAAACTGATGTTAATTGCAGGGGTTATAAGAAAGGAAAGCTAGGACCAATTTGTGAGTGATCGAATTTCATACGGTTTCACTCTCACATGGTTACTTCCGTCGCGCACAATGCATTTTATAGATAATTAGGAGTTACGTCACTTCGAGGCTTGTCTAAGCTTCTTTGCACTTGACCTTCGAAGGTTGGGCAAGTAGCTCCATGCCATAGTAGTACGTTAGATCAAAGTAGATAAAGGATCGAAAGCCAATGCAGGAGATTAGATTCTGTCTCTGCTAGTTTTCATCATCCTATGTTCTGCTTGAGTTTGGAGAACTGCGGGATCTAATTAACAGAATCAATCGTGATGGGGCTTCACAGACTCGCGCTAGCGGTGCTCGTCCTGGCATCTAGTAAGTTCGACCGAGTGGCTATAGGGCGACTGTCTGACCTGCAATCAAGCACCGGAGGTGATCCAGAAAACTCATGACCAGCTTCATGCTGGAGACATAAATCAGAAGCGGGATTTCGATACCTTTGAAGTCTTTAACCGGAAACGAAACGCCCATGCGTACATCATGTTGATTGTTTTCATCATTCTGTATCCCCTGGGCGCGATCTGTATACATCTACCTATTGAGCGCATTCCTTACTTAAAGAATACCTATCTTAAGAGGAAGGTTATGGCGATGCATGTCCCTATCCAAATGGTAGGCTTCGTCATGATGGTCGGCGGCATGGCGCTCGGGATCAGGATCGGTCACGATCTGGACTACATTGAGCATCCTGTGCATGCCCACGTGGTTATTGGCCTCATCGTCGTCTGCACTATTATCGTGTTCCAACCCATCATGGGTATCATTCAGCACCGGCATTTCAAGAAGAGAGGTGGCAAGAGTATCTTTGCCTACTTGCACCGATGGATAGGACGTGGTGCTATTGTCCTAGGCATGATCAACAGCGGTCTAGGCTTCCAGCTAGCCAAGACTAACGCGGTAGTTCCCGCCAGATGGTATATCTGGAGCTACGTCCTCCTCGGTGTTTTCGTATTCATATGGTGTGGTCTCGTTCTATACGACGGGTTTAAGATCAGAGGGGCGAGGGAGAGTTCAACGAGTTTGGAGAGAGACGTATAACTACTATATAAATCAGATTAAACTTTTCTTTTTTGCCGGTTCCGTTTTCTTATTTGGACGTGAGCATCTCCCCCTTTAACCTGAGCTAAGGGTGAGCATTCCTGAGCATACCTGATTTCGGCCTGAGTAACCTGAGCATGCACTGAGAGACCATTTTAGCTCCCAAAGGGGCTCGTTCTGGCTCCCTTAATGCTCGGTTACACGTTCCTCGTGTTGTCTCTACAATGGTATCGGAAATCAGCCGAACAGAATTTAGACTCCCACAGCTACTTCGGGGGAAAAAATAAATCGACGCGAATTCTAAATCGATATCAAAACAGTAGGTATAATTATTATTAACTTGTTTACATATATTTCTATGTTCTAGCTTCATTATAATAGAGAAAGTCTCTAAGATACGGTTTAGTAACCTTTTTAGAGCGATTTTAGATTTTAGGTAATTCGTAATTTTCCCCGAAGTAGCTGTAAGAGCCCGAAAAAAATATTACTGATTTCCGATACTATTGTAATTAGAGCAAGTTGTTAGGCTATAGGTTTGACTCGGACATATCGGAAATATCTCTAGAGCAAGTTGTTAGGCTATAAGTTTGACTCGGACATATCGGAAATATCTCTGCGTATGAATATATATATGAAGCCCGGAAGTTGAGCTCTCGAATATCGACCCTGCATTGAAACTTTCAAAGTATTTACCGGGATTTGAACATTTGTAAGTCGATTCTGTTATGGCGTTCAATCTTCCATCTCAACACCGCGCCCTCGTGCTCGAAAGCATCGAGGCTGGCTTTCAGCTTAAATCGGTTCCGACACCACAGCTGAGCGAAGGTAGCGCCATCGTTCGCATCGAAGTGTCTGGAGCATTATCGTACTTTCGCGAGATCTACAATGGAGAGCTCCGATACTCGTTTCCCACACCGATTGTGGGCGGTTTCAGCGCGATTGGCCACATCGTCGCACTCGGACCAGATGCAACGGTCCTGCAGCCCGGGCAACTCGTGTTTGTCGATTGCGTCGTTCGTGGACGGGATGACCCCAGCGCTCTTTTCCTAACGGCGATTCATGACGGAGGCAGTGATGCCAGTAAGAAACTGATGGGAGAAGTCTGGCGCGATGGAACACTCGCTGAGTTTGTCAAGGCGCCGCTGGAAAATTGCATCCCGCTTGACGAAACGAGGCTGTGTCAAGGTTTGGGCTATTCCGTCCAGGACTTGATGTATCTTTGCTACCTCCTAGTACCGTATGGCGGGCTACGGGATATCAAGCTCGAGCCGGGCGAGACAGTTGTTGTGTCTCCGGCGACTGGCGGTTTTGGTAGCGCGGGTGTGATGGTTGCAATTGCAATGGGCGCCAGGGTGATTGCTTTGGGTCGAAACGAGACTAAGCTGGCGAAATTGAAGGAGCATGTGAGGAGGGGAACACCTGGGGCAAATATTGAGACGGTGAAAGTGACCGGAGATGAGCGCGCGGACACTGCCGCAGTAGCAGCCTTTGGCAAGATCGATGCCGCATTGGACCTTTCACCGCACGGCGCTGCCAAATCGACCCACTTGAAGAGCGTTGTGAACGCGATGCGACAGAATGGAAGATGCAGTTTGATGGGCATGGCCGAGGTTTCCATACCAGCCTGGACGGTCGTTAGCAGTAACATTTCATTCCGTGGTAAGCTGATGTACGAAAGAGATGACATACTGCAGTTTATCAAGATGCTAGAAAGAGGCATGTTTCCAAAGGGAAAAGATTTTGTGACTACAAAGGCTTTTGGTCTGGAGAATTGGAAAGAAGGCTTCGAAACAGCAGCAGACTACATTGGTGTTGGTCAGACGGTAGTATTTACACCGTGATTTCCAAGAAGTCCTATAGATTGTATAGTGGTTAGCATTAGTCCAGACTAAGTTAAGACGTACTAGGCTTTTAGGTATACATGACCGTGCTTTCTTGTACAGTTGAGAGGAACCCAAAATCCATATCCTGTAGGTACGAGAAAACTTTCTATGCGTAGGCCTTTGTTTGTCATCGCAAAGGGAGGTCGATTGGGATCATAATCTCTCCTCACAATGTGTTTAGAGCCCGCAAACTCTGAAGGTGAGTGTGCAAGCAAACCTGATGGCCGCCATAGGATTTCAGTCCAAGCGAAAAGCGACTTACCCTCCGAACGCGATAAGATTTCCAACTGGAGTCTTCGAAAAGCCGTCATACCTTCAACATAATGTGGAGGCATATGCACAGAAAAGAGACCCATGAGGGAATACGCTCGATCTTCCACCCTGGTAGTCTCCCTCTTAGAAGCCCAGGACATCTTCTGCGCCACAGAAGCATCAGCATAATCTCGCAAATGCCGACAAGAGATGCCGGTGATAGAGGATATCAGGATTTCCATCTATTTCTTCGTCCCTATTTCTATCCACTCGCGGTCGTAGAATATAACAATCCGAGGGCCAATAAGTTCCTGGAGTGTCTATCCTCTTGTCTACCACTCCCAAGTCATAGCCTTACATCCGCCTTTGCACTTCGAGAAAAGGCCTCACCTCAGATTATTTTATTGCACTTAATATTACCTATTATATAGGGTAGATCTATTTTCATGAGGGTCCAGTTCGGGATCCCTGGGGGCCTGTTTAGGCTTCCCAGGGATCATCGCCAAAACTTGACAGAAATGAGATAACAAGGTCCTTAGTCTACATCCAGCCTAATTAGTTAAGGAGTTGAGAGATCAAATGCGTGAGTGAGTAGTGGGCACTGCTCAGGTTACTCAGGCAGCTCAGGTTGAGCTGGGTGAGGAGAGGGTGAGCCGAGGATGATTAACGCCTGAGGAGAAGCGGTCAGCTTACTAACCGACCTTGGGACAACGGCAAAAAAAGTTGTGTTCAACTACCAAAACAAGTCACTGCGAAGACCGCGTAGAGCTGGATTGTAGATAGTCCTCGATACATAGTAATGTTTGGAGGAGAACGTGTTTGAACTTATTGTAATACTTCTTGTTCTTTTCCTTTTATTAGTTATTTATATAGTAATATTTTTACTTTTACATATTTAAAGCTAGGTGTCGCATTGACGCCGAGGCATTTTTTCATGGAGAGGGCATCAGAAGGGGGGAAGCCCGGCATGGCGGGCGGAGCATCGGGTATTGTTGAACGATTGATATCTGGCGACATTATCAAGTCACCATGGTCTAGAGCTCAAGCTGATGAGAGTCGCAGAGACTTGACAGTTGAGAGTCACATATGTAACAGACTAGGCGACCATCCCCGACCGTACGTATTATCGCATGGGATCCCAAAGTGTGCTCTCTTACTATGGAATACATGCAGAATATCCGGAGGCGGAAAAAGGCGGTTGAATTGTGGTCGAACACACCATGATGCAGGGTGAAAACGGTGCTGTCGAAGGCCGGATTCTTATTGGGAGGAGCTGGTAGATTTCATCTCTTCGCAGATTGTCGTCCTGGATTTTTTCCCTCAACGAAGGCATCACAACCCTCATCCTCCACCAGCTCAGCACCGTCAAACTGGGGGAGATCATGCTTCGCTGTGTGATGTCCGTGTTCACCTATAATTTACTGACAAGCCTTGGATTGGGCCCGGGTTCAAGGGAGGCTGAGCACCTAGCAACCACTTCAGCGTGCATATGCTCTAATTCTAATCATCGATGATGATGATTTCTTTTTTGGCTTTCTTCTGGATTGTTAGAACATTGCTAATGTCGGCCACTTCGCGAGGACGCTTGAGATTGCTTTCAGCCTTGATGACGACGGGTAAAGTGGAAGAAGGTGGTGTTGGCAATCGTGAAGAAGATGTAGGTGATGCCTGGGTGTCTTGTAGAAGAGGTGGGCGTTCTATAAGCTTTTGCTTAGCTTTCCTAGCAGTTGAAGATACAACAGGAAGTCTAGCTGAGGCCTTATTTGGCATTGCGGCTACCCATTTGTTAAGGGCCTTGATTTGGTTGCGGCAGCTTTCGGAATCCGTGGTTCGCCACTTCTTGTAAACATCTTTCCAACGATTTGAGCTATTTTTACCCCGCGAGGCCATGTACAGTACATTGAGTCCAGATACTTTCCGTAAAGCCTTTCGCAGTCGCTGTTGCTCTGTATCCTCAGCGAGACCTGGAATGACGTAAATACACAGAGATGAATTCGAGAAGTACATTTCGCGTGCTACCAGAACAGACTGCTCTGTAGTTTCAGGTTCAGAATTTGGGAAGTATGATGCAACGGTCGAACCGGTGGAACTCCCAGTCAGCGAGCTCCATTGGTGCGAGACTCGAAGAAATGACTCCGATGGCTCCTCTGAATTCTTCTCACACCAATCATATACCCTATCTACTACCTCGTATGTCTTCTTTTCGCCCCACCCGTTCGGAGCGTAAGTGGCATCAACGAACTCGAAGGTAGGACAAGAATTTGACGATGAAGTACCAGCACTTGTATGTAATTTCTGTCTTTTTGATGCCAACGCCGATGCGAGGTTTTCTTGAATAGTCTGGTTCTTTAAGGCACTGATCAAGGCTTCTGCATTGCCCTTCCCAATTCTTCTGGCATATTTGAAAGCATGAGGGGGACCTTTTTGTTGAGTATAGTCTTTAGCTTTACTTAACGCTTCCTCGTCGAATGCGACACAATAGATAATTCTTTGCAGCTCCCAGGACCACGTCACATCTGCGTGATAAACGATGGATGCGAAAAGCCGTGTTTCCGAGATATGCCCAGTTTTCTTCGGCCTAGTTTTGTTCGTCCAGACCTCTTCAATCCTGTCGAGTACATCTTCTGACACCAAAGTGGTGCCATAACCCAGAACACTGTGAGCCTGCCTAGCAAGCTGCTTAACAGTGCATCGCTTGGGCACAGATGAGAAAAGTGCATCGATATTTTCTTTCGTTACGAAAAGGCATCGAAATACGTTCTGGACGATACACGCTGGGCGGAAAACACAAAAGTCCGTATCGTGACTTGCCCACTTCATGAGACTCAGTTCTTCGTCTGTTACCACTTCTGCATCATCCTCAAGAGCGGCTCCCCAATCCTCGATAGTCCTGGGCTGCTTTGGACGTGCAAGTGAGAAAATGTCACTGTCCGTGTCGATTCTGCTCAAGTCATCATTGCGGGTGTGATCATCCTCCTCAGCAGGCTCGTTTGCGAGGATTTTTAATTGAGAGATCAAGGAAGGCTTGTATATATCGCGAGCCCAGTCGAATATGTAGTCAATGATCAGAAGTAGCTGAAGCGTGCTTTCTACGTCGTTCAATTGACCAGTCCAAAGAGTTACAATCTCCTAAAACTAGTTAGCAATGTAGCATACTACAGCAGCAGCAGAACTTACGTATGATGGCCCACCAGTCTTATGCAAGGTATAGCAGCCCGATAGACGCCAGTCTTCACCTCTATATGCGATATACCAGACCAAAGGACCCCCATACTCCAGGGTCATTTGAGACTTCCTTTGCAAGTCTTCCTGTATTTTCAACGTTTTCAAAATTGGCAAGGCGGTCTGTATATTGCAATCTTCGAACGACCCTCCCTTTTTTGATTTTGCCTCGATAATCAGGAATGGGAAGAGAAGAGAGTTCCCCTTGTGATTCAAGACAGTGCTCTGTATCGTTTCACCTATAGCCTCCAGGCCAGTTTCGTTTTCTGCTCCTCTAGATCCAGCCATAAGATTATGTTTTTCAAGTCTGCGACAGAAGCTTGCCGTTTCTTGAAATCCGAGGATGCGGTCAGGCCGTCTTCTCTTGGGGGTTTCCTCAGAATGATTTTCTAAGGAATCGTAGGAGGTCATTTCGTCTGCTCGGCTTGAGAAGATTTTGTTTCTGTGTGCATCGTCAGTACGTAACAAGAACACTGACTCTGTCTAAAAGCTTACACGTGTGATGACCTCTCTCCCGGCAGACACTGACACGGTCGACGGTCTGGTCGCCGATCTGCCAGACTCTTGGCGATGCGACCTGGAAACTCTACCTCTGCTTCTACTTCTGATCTCCATAATCGTCCCTTGCAGGCTAGAGATGGGCTTCGGATCTCAAATCAGACAGGCAAGGTAAAGTTTACACAACCTAAACTTACCACTCAATAGTCATATTGAAACGCGCAAGAACTTTCTGCTCCAATCTTAGGCGCACTTCCATCTCGGTAGTCGCATCTTCTATGAGAGCCGCCGCGATTGCAACGATCTCCCTTGCACGGTTCGCCGTTTCATTCCTCCAGACGGCTCGTTCAAGCGGTACTCCTGGGCCGATTGGATGGAAGGTAGAGATATCGACTCTTCTACAGGATCTGATTTTCTGAAACGTCTTGAATAGGTGCTTTGGAAATTGATCTGGCAGAATGGCTGTCACGAAAACTATTCCGAGCTCCTTCAAGTGTTGCTTTTCTTTTCGCTTGTCGCTCATCGTGTATAGCACGAGGGCGACGATCGCTATTATTTAAAAAGAAAGGAAATAAAGTAAGGCAGAGATGAAGTGGGGAAGTAGAACAAGGGGCTATACGTAGGTATATACACGATTGCTAGAGGCAGTGCATCTTCCAATTCTGGAACCAACAAATTGTGGCGCAGATGTGCAACCCTTAAGGCAGGGTCGTTGTTCAAGGCTGTGCAAAAGGTCGTGAAGTACAACGCCGACATTTTTGGAAGCTACATATCTTCGAGCCCCTACAACCCCCAAAAGGTGGGGGACTCGGAAATACTATTGGCGCGGTAGAGACCCCTCAACCGGTATTGCAACGTCGACTCGTCGTCTCAAAATCCTACCGATCTCATTCCATTCCGGCACTTGCAAGTTGGCCTGGCCGATATTTCGCAGCAGAGTTGTTCCGCATCTAAACCCCATTCGCATTCACGTGTTATAAGGTCAAGTGACCTGGCTAAGTTCATTTATATCCATGTTTTTGATCTGCGTTGCGCCCTGAGGATTCGATATTATGGCCTTCGATCCGGCTCCCGGATAGGATGACGGCCGATCTCCCCTGAAGAAATATTTTCGCTGGTTGGAGCGCGTATAAGCAAGGCTGGAAATAATTCCTCTCAGCGTTTGGTGCATGTCGTGGATCAGGAAACCCATATTGTACCTGTGTGTTTGCGCTCTTGGCCAAGGTCCGGAAAGTATCCCACCTATGTTGCTATGACGAATATATCATGTACTGTACACGGAATAGAGGGGTATCAGATGCCTCACAACTCTACTACCTCCGCACCTAATTTATTCCTTTAGGCATAGAAAACCTCCGTTCACCGAAGTATGGGAGGGGCACTTCTAGGCTTAGCGTAATTTGGCCTAGATGAGTGTGTTATACTCCACCAATTCAAGATGGAAGCTGTTGTAGCTGCGTATCTAGTGGGGAAAGCTCCAAATATAAATATACCTGAGCATCGCCATGTTTCGTCTGTTGGTCATCTCAATGCTCGGCCAGTCTTGAGCAGAAAATCGTGAAAATCGTGATGTTGTATTCATCTTGTGCTGTTTTGTTTGCTACCGCCGTCCATGCCATTACCGTCTCCGTCTCGGGCACTGGGGGCGTTACCTCGTCGCCTTTGCTATATGGATTGATGTTTGAAGATATAAATAATTCTGGCGATGGAGGGCTGTGGGTATTCCCTTTCTCTCAAATACACAGAGAGGTTTCTAACTCTGAATATTTTCAGCTACGCCGAGTTGATTAAGAATCGTGGATTTCAGGGCGATTCCTTGACAGCTGCTTCACTATCGCCGTGGACTGCAGTCGGAGGTGCAACCCTGACCCTCCAAAGCACATCTCCCCTGTCCAGCGCTCTTCCCCAGTCTGTCAATGTGAAAGGCAAAGCAAATACTGCAATTGGTATATCTAATCCCGGATACTGGGGAATTGAGGTGAAGCCTCAAACATACACTGGAAGCTTTTACGTCATGGGCTCTTATTCCGGCCTTTTCACAGCAAACCTTCAAGCAGCATCTGGGGGAAAGGTATATGCACAAGCCAACATCACCTCGGAGTCAAAGAAAGGTTCATGGACAAAGCATACTTTCACTCTCAAGCCCCCCTCAGCAGCACCCGATACCAACAACGTATTTAGCTTGAGTTTTACCCCAACCAGCTCCTCACAGACTCTGAATTTCAACCTTATTAGTCTATTCCCTCCCACATACAACAACAGACCAAACGGTATGAGACCAGATCTAATGAACGCTCTCAAGGACCTGAATCCCAGCTTCCTGAGACTTCCCGGCGGAAACAACCTAGAAGGTGGCTCCTCCGGAAATGAATGGAAGTGGGAGAAAACACTCGGCGATCTCACTGAAAGGCCTGGCAGAACGGGAGATTGGGGATACTATAATACCGATGGTATTGGCATTATTGAGTATTTACTGGTAAGTTCAACCTGGGAAGCTAGCACCATGGTATGCTTATAAATATTTAGTGGTGTCAAGACTTAGACGTAGAGCCAGTCCTCGGTGTCTTTGCTGGCATGAATTTGAATGGGGATCTAGTACCCGAGTCATCTCTACAAACTTATGTGCAAGATTCGCTCAATGAGCTCGAATTTCTCATGGGAAGTGCTTCTACCACTTATGGCAAGAAACGGATTGCGTTGGGATATCCAGAACCTTTCCCAATCAAATATGTCGAGGTAAGCCCCTTAACATGCCACTTCCAATCTTTGTGATAAGTCTTATTATGCAGGTCGGCAACGAAGATAATTTGAACAATGGGCTCGCGTCTTATAACTCATACCGCTTCGCCATGTTCCACAACGCCATCATTGAGAAGTATCCAGACATGAAAATTATTGCTTCCACTACCGAGTGGAAACCCCAGATTGGAAATTCTATTGGGGATGCCCACGAGTATAATGTACGGTGAACCCAGGCTGCGCCGTATTAACTTATCATGCCATGCTAACACATAATCCTTCATAGACGCCGGATATCTTTGCCAGCGAATTCCACAAATTTGACAAGGTGACCAAAGAACACATGACGCTGGTAGGCGAATACGCCGCTGTGCAGGCCAATCTACGGACTAATACGAGCACTGATTGGGATGCGCCATTTGTGGATCATCCGTGGTGGATTGGAGCTGTTTCTGAAGCAATTTATGAACTTGGTGCCGAGCGCAACAGCGACAGGGTCATCGGATTGAGCTATGCTCCTCTGCTACAAAATATGGATAGTCATCAGTGGCATGTGAGTTTAAAGAAGCGTTTTGTAATGCCAGGACATACACTTACATGTTATAAATAGCCTGATCTTATTTCCTTCAATGCTGACACTTCCAAAACAACGCTATCTACCAGCTATGAACGGATCAAGGTACATATACAAGGTTTTCCCGTACAGTTTTCCTAGCTAACCCAGAGCCCAGCTCTTCTCGAACAATCGCTTCACAGCCGTTCTGCCCATGACTTCCTCGGCTGCATTTGGCCCCGCATATTACGTCGCTGGAATCAATGACGATACCGACATGTATATCTTCAAGGCCGCAGTGTACAATACAACCTCGGAGGTTCCATTCACGCTGAGCTTTCCTGGAACGACAGAAGGTAGGACGGCTCGGTTGACGCTGCTTACGGCTCCCGGTGGCGCTTACGCAATGAATACTTTTGGTGGACCCAATGCTGTCGATACCAATGTGTCGACGATTACTGCTTCTGGCTCCGGGTTTTCGTTCTCGTTGCCACAATGGAGTATTGCTGTTTTGACTACAGGAAGAAGATAAATAGGTTTAGGATAAGGAGCGTCGGCCAGTTCTCGTTCAGAAAACAATTATAGATTAAGCAGTGAGCACCGTCTAATGTTAACCTTGCTTTCTCAATTATATGCTCATGAAAAATTATACTACGGTACTAAATATTTGGGCGACTTTTATATTTTCCTCAACCCCCCTTTCGACTTTAAGTTCTATCTATCGATTAGCTGCGTGGTAGCGGTGGAATTCGACCTGCGAATAGCCTTACATTGAGACTGTGGAAGGGACGTGGTGGAGAGGGGTGCGGAGGATGGCCGGGGTATCGGAGGTTATGACCAATGCTCCTTAATTAGTCAGATCTTACGAGATATGGAAGGGCGATGCCGGAGCTAGGCGGACGTTCGAGGACGTGGGGCCCTTAAGAGGCACGTATTATCAGCTAGAAACGGCCGTAAATGTAGGTACGTAAAGCCCGCATCTTATCCTCCGCGAAATCACACCCTTTCACTGACACCATACTCGACATAGAACTAGGACCACCACAGGTAATGGAAATTATTCAACCCAGAGACTCAAAGAGTGCACACTGGAGAATCGGAGATACTGGGACATGGAGCGAACAGAACAAGAGCTGGGAACTCACGTCAGCGAAGCCGACGGGCTTCATCCACGGAGGAACAATTCCAAAAGCGGGGTTAATAAACATCGGAGATTGGCTTGTAAACTGCTGGCCTTGAATATATATTTCGTCAAGGCCCGCCACCATTCATGTTTCCTCGGTTCAGAAGCACTTCCGTTCACTTGATCACGAATCCGACAGTCAGTCTCAAAACCCCAAAGCACATATCTTGGAACCAAATCAAGAATCTCTCCAAGATGTCGTACTCAACAACAATCCCTTTTGCTCCCGAGCTACTCGGGCCTCTCAAAGCGGTAGCGGGTCCACCTGGTCAACCACCGATATTAAAAGAAGGCATTCAAGATCGGCGCGATTTGACGGAGCCTTTTTCAGCACCAGAAAACGTATTTAAAGACCCCCATCTCGTGCACGAGGATACTACCATTCCGGGGCCAGATGGAAACACCATCGAGGTCACCATCGTCAAAAAGAAAGATCAAGCTCCGGGGCTGCGCCCCGGGATCTTTTACCTCCATGGAGGCGGCCTGATTCTAGGCAAGAGGACTTTCCTGCTTCAATCAACATTCCCGTGGATCAAGGAATTAGATACCGTCCTTATTACTCCAGAGTATCGGCTCGCACCTGAAAACCAACACCCGGCCATGGTGGAGGATTGCTATGCAGCGCTGAAATGGGTCGTCGAGAACACGTCGAAGTTGGGCATTGATCCCAACAAGCTGATGATTGCGGGCCATTCCGCAGGCGGCGGTCTTGCTGCTGGCACCACACTTCTAGCCCGAGACCGCAAGTTGCCAGTCAAATTGTGTGCGCAGCTGTTATGTTACCCTATGCTGGATGATCGTAGAATTACGGTTTCGAGTAGACAGTTCGATGACGTGGGGACTTGGAAAGGGAATCTAAACGATTTAGCTTGGAGCTGTGTGCTTGATGGCAAAAAAGACCGGGAAGACGTGATATATGCTGCTCCCGCAAGAGCAACGGATTTGTCCGGACTTCCAACTACGTGGATTGATGTTGGTGCGGCGGAACCTTTTAGGGACGAGGACGTAGCGTATGCGACGAAGCTTTGGGAGTGTGGGGTGCAGACTGAACTTCATGTTTGGGCTGGAGGTGATAGCATTCCCTTTCGTTCCCCCATCACCTCATTCCCCCTTAAAAGATTGAAAAATCACTGACCTGCAAAACAGCTTTCCACGGTTATGATCTCTTCGCTCCAGAGAGTGAGGTTGCTGCTGCAGGTCACGCTGCGAGAATGAGTTGGTTGAAGAGAGTTCTGGACTATTCGCCTCCTGTTACGGTTACTGTGACTGCTGCGCTCTAAATTGCAAGTCCATTATCATTATTTAATTCATATAGAATATAAATCGCTGAACCGGATGCTACGCCTGTTGTGCATTGCATTGCATTGCATTGCATTCATATTTCATATAACCTCTTAAAGCTTCCTCAGAAGAAATGCATCCCTGAATCACCAAACTCCATCTTTGGAAAGCACTATACCAGCCCAGTATCTAAATAAACATGGCTCTAATTGGAGCATCGTAGGAAAGGTGTAACAATCTCAAAACTATACTAAATAACCTATCTTACTCTTATTATTCAATGATATTATTTTTCTCCCAAATTTCCATCACGCTAGATTGTCCATCTCGCCACGTTAGTTCGATTTAATGCCTACCGCGCCATATTATTGTTATTAACTAATATTTCACGGCTCTCGCTACCATCCATCAAGCTGCTGAAATGTAAGACTGCAGTTCAGCCTTGGTTATCGATTTCTCTTTTCCTAACGATATTATACAAATCAGTACCTCATCCCTCAATTTCGTCGGGATATTCCAGGTGCATTATTTCATGGATATAGCAATTTGGACTATATAAGTTTAATTATGTGATCAGATCCGTAGAAATCATAACCCTTGGGAAGATACAAGGGTTCGTACACAATAGGCCTTTGTCAAGATCGAGTAAGTACGTCAAATTACTGTAAAGCACGAAGGAACCAGGATAGTCTAGTTATAAGTACTTGATGGGGTGGCATGAATCATGAATCTAGCCACAAGAATTACCCAGCGCCAATGTGATTCTAAATTCCTTGAGTCTGAAAAGTATTTCCTCACGAAGTCAACAGAGTTTCTCTTCGTCTAGCTGACATCGGCGAGATAGAGCGGTAGGGAGTTTCCGGTATTACTGATCCCATATTGCTGGTTCCGGCCTTCCATCTACCCGTCTATAGAGACCTCAGTATATTTCAAAGCCCGCTTCACAACATCCAGCAGCATTGCAGTTGGCTCCATGCCAACGCTTACGCGGACTAGATATTCCTCTACGCCATATTGTGCGGCCTATTTAATTGAGGGTATTAGTGAATATACTTTTCGCTCCTAGAGATACAGTTGGTTATTCATACCCATTGCAGTTCATTATAATGAGCGAATATAGTGTAAGCACACGCAATTGTAAAATTGGTCCCTAGAGTCGGTCCTTTAGCAACATCCAAGCGATCATGAAATGTTATCGCATCTGTAATCCTCTTGAATTTTATGGCTAGAAGATACCCATAACCACCATCTGGCCTTCGACACTGGTCAAAATTCTGTTTGGTTCTACTCAATGATGGATAAAAGACTTGCTCAGTACTTGGATGATTGTGTAGAAGCTCGGCCATCAGTTGGGCATTTCTGTTGGTGGCTTTGACACGCTGGGCATAGTTGTGGCTATTGCGTTCCATGATAATGGCATCGGAAGGGAAGTATGTGTCCACAAATATTGCATCCAATGCCTCGCGAATTGCATCATGTTGCTTAGACCGCGGATTGACAGTTGCTCTACACCCTCAGTCAGAACAGCCTTGAGGAGAGCGGATCATACAATTCTTACGTCCCACCCATGACATTACATCCTCCACTAAACAGCTTCGTCAAACTCGTGACAATCACATCAACATACGGTATGAGGTCGCAGTTCGCGGATGTCCCGATCGTATCGTCACATACCACCACGAAGTCGTATCGATCTGCTAGCTTGCGAATTCGTTTAAGATCCGGCGACTTAAGTAAGGGATTTGTAGGAACTTCGCAAAACAAGGTCAATATCGTAGTCCCGCTCTCTAATAAAGCTTCTAGCTCGTCGAGTTCCGCGACGGTACCATGGCCGTATAATATTGCGTCCTGTGGTCCAAAGGTCGAGAGAATTTTGAATGTGTCGACATATCCAAATCCATAGCAAATAGTTTTCTTTAGGAGTTCGTTAGCAATGCTTTAACAGCCAATAATTCATATACGCTAAATGGTGCTCAGAAATATGAAAGCCTACCTTATGGGATGGAAAAGCAATAAGCAATGCACGGTAAATGTCAAAGATGGCCTTCATCCCTGCAGGATATAGAAAGACATCTGAAGAGGAAACTATCACGGACTCGTTCGATGCCAGATGCGCTACACGCTGACAGATAGTGGCCTTCTCTTTCCACGCTTCTTTTCCATGATCTAACGAGGTAGAAGTTGTCTTTTCACCGGTCCCCAGGTTACCATTGCCGTTGACGGCTTCGAGATCCTTCCTTACTTTATCCGCGTTATCGCTGGGCTGGTGTGTACCGCCATCTACTCTTTCCATGCCGCCTGCAGTAATCAGAGATAGACAGAGTTCAGCTCGACGACTCGAGATACCTTCTCCGGTATGCTGCCAGAACTTTTTGGCATAGGGGAAATTCTCGGGGCTGAACAAAACAGCATGTATACTAGTCCATTTGCCAGTGAGAGTGCTCTCCCATTTGGGGACGACATGCATAGTCTGCAACTGGGGATCCTGGTCTTGGAATGGGTCAGATGAGGGTGACAAAGAAAACAATTTTGGAACGCTTCTAGAGCTACTTTACTTACGGTACTTTGATATGTAAGCCGCGCATCTCTCCGCTACATCACTGGTTGGAAAGAGCATCGCAAGAAGGGTTGATGATTCAACCCCGTATTTCTTAACCACCAAGGAAGCAAGGTGTGTGATCATTGGATGAATAAAGAACCTTTAACTCATGAGAAAGTGATAATTTTCCATTAATGGACATATTGACTACTGACCGTGGATATCCTATCAAGTATATTAGCACCCTAATTGGAGATAAAAAGAAGTTTTAAGCTGTACCGGATTTCATTTTGTTGATCACATCTGGCTTGCGGGTCGCCCATCCTCTGCCAGGGACAAAACAGCGATCAGTACTCGACCCTTTACCTCTTCAGAGCAGAGTAACGACCAACTCACAAACTAGCTTCCCATGTTGGCAATGAAACGCTCACGGCCTGATACACCATAAATATAAATCCCTGGAGAAAGAGGGGGTTGAGATCACTCACATGTACATCCCCCTCTGGTATCGTATGGCCGAGTCTAATCGGAGCCGGCCATTTGCGGGAAGTCTCAGAACCGTCAATATCTTCTCCATCCATGATGACTATGTCTTCTGTCAAGCAAGGAGTAAACTCGACAAGTTGAGGTCAAATTTTGACCTGGGAGGGAATAATCGAAAACCAGTGAAGCTTGATGATTGGGCTGCAGTTGCAAACGCATACAGAAGTATTCCACGCTTAAGAACCTCAGATCCTGCCTCTTGGGGACTAGATTCCACAGATTCTGCGGATTTCAACACAATTTTACATCTGAATGAAGCAAGAATCCACCAGCTATGCAGGTATGTCTCACATCCGTCAGCGCGACCCTTTGCAAACTCCCCAGTGATCTACACGCTACATGGAGGTAGAAGACTAACAAATTCAATCCCATATAACAAGGAAGAAGGTGTTGCTCAATATGAACTGGAGTGATGTGATGTGCTGCCCAGAGAAATCCTCATGATGGAACGAGACTGATGCCAGAGTTGACCCGAGTCCCGCCATCGCGCCTTCCCGCCATTGTGGCAGATGACGAACCGGAGAGTTAAAGTTCGCGACGAGGTGAGTTAGGGGAGGGAACTGCGATCGATTGATCGGCACTGCTTTGAAACTAGTGACAAGACGTGCGACGGCGCTGGCTCGGGTGCCATTCGATCTGATGTCTAGTGTACAATACTACATCGCTAGGTTGGCCAGCAGAATAGATTGAGATTGAGCTCTAGTAGCAGAGATCAAAACAAAGGAGTTAAGATTGCCATGCTATAGTAAGGTCGAAATCGACTTGAGCTCCCAACACTTAATGATTTTATTTTAACCTACATTTTATGTGTCACTAGCCATATACGGCTGTTGACTTGATAAAACTCTAAATAAATCCCTGCCTAAGAATCGAGAGCTCCAGCCCGTAGGCTGTTTTGACAAACCAATAAGGAAAACCCCGACACATTCAGTAGAGCGATTGGGAGAAGAGGCACTATAAATGCCCAACCCGACCTAAGAGATTCAAAGCATAGTGCGCCTACCCTACCCGTAACTTTTACAAAGACTTTCCAAAAGAAAACGGGGTTATTGTCATCCCTCTCAGTACGGATTGGCATATCTGTCGCCCTCCCGCGGCCCGAGCTCGGGGCATTCTTCACATTTTTCAGAACACATATACCCATTCGCATCATGTCTTTTTGCATACTTGCCGTGTAACTCGGCATTATATTCGTCTCCCATGATCTGTTTCTCGAGGCTCCGCTCTTTTTCTAGGACCTTTTTCCTATCCCGTAATCTAAAGAAGTAGATGGATGAGGAGGCTCCCCAACTACAACTTAAATGAATTCGTAAGTTCTTGAACGGCCCGAGTGGCAATAAAGAGTCTGTCATAAGCTGTGCAGCAGCCAATACTGCCGTTGCCGTGCAAGTCCTATGCCCTTCGGCATGGGGTCTTGATCTTGACTCTCTGCCGACGGGAAGCCGATCCGTAAAATGGGTGAGAACAGTCTCGAAATGCATACGCCCGCATATGAAATCTAGGGTGAGATTAAATTGTGGAAGTTTCACATAACGCCGTATAATATCGATAACATCCAACCAGTCTATAGGAAGTGCTGTCTTGTTCGAAAAATCCACTTGCAGTTGCGGGAACAATCCAGGTTAAGGAGCGAATATGTGTCAAGGCCGTTGGCGGTAAGCGGTGCAAGAATTGAGATATTTCTAACTGCTTCCTTTGTCTCGGATGTCACATACCGTCGGTTGTGAGGACAACGAAGTGGTTCTTGGAGAAGAAGACGGCCATTGCATCCTCTTGCATTTGCCGGCTGGCTGAAAGAAGTGGCATCGGCATTTGCCAACAGGTACAGCTTGAAGAATATGCTGCGCGTTGCCTCCAGCAGCAACACGCTTCCATGGCATCTGAGCACTTTCCACGGCATCTAGTGAAAGCCCCTTCGGTGCCAAAGCACGCTGTGGAGATTCTTCGCTTGAAATCTCGAAACTCAAAAACACGCAGGCCACAGGATGACCGATATGGAAACCATGCTATATCGAATGGCGTGACGAGATGAGTATACTCGAAGATTAGGAGACGAATCTGTCGTGGAAGTTTTCCAAATTGAAATGGGGAGCTTTGGGTAGCTACCGAGCGATTGGTTTTCTCGTAAACTGTTCTCTTAGCTAGGGCGTGAAGAGAAAAATCTTTTGGATCATTTCCAAGGCGAATAGTAAGTCCCCTGAGGATTGGCATGCTTGAGGGATGGTTCAGGACTTCTTCTGCCGTCTCGACATCGGCTACATCGCAGATGAGGCAAAGTTGGAGCTGATGAGGGGCAATATGAGATACCAAGTGCTTGCATAGTTCAGCCCACTCCACGATCGCTGACTTTTCATATTCCGAGGAGTTTATTTCCAACAGCTTATCATAGCCCCGGTCAACACAAATGCCTGGATAACAGCACTCCCTGCGCGATGCTTGTTCTTCATCTCGTTTGTTCTTGCCAGTCACATTCAAACGGATTTGAGAGGGATGCCAACTGCTCGATGATGGCTGGGCGAAAAGCTTGGAGACAAGAAAGGCGTCCTGGATCAGCGCGAACGATGCTGAACCTGTTTTCCCAATAGAATGTCGACAAAACTTCACTGGAGATTGTCCAGAAACGTAGAGGAGCTGGAACGGGAGTGGATCACAGATCTCACGATACCCTATGGGCGCTGTTCTACATTCTCCACCACAGCCAGTACAAGAGCGGTTGAGCAGAATTGCGGAGCGGATGGGATGTCTGTCAAGGAAATGAGAAAGACTGATGCTTCTAGGCGTTATGCGGGAGCTAGAGGGATTTTCGCCCACTCGAATCCAACTTCCTTATACTAAAGTCAGCAGAACTCATCAGGAAACATGTAATTAAGATGGATGGTTGACGGGTTTCGTATTCCAGCGTACATAGACGCGACGTCGGAGAACGAATGGCAGGCCGAGAAATGACCCTTTTTGGTTGAAGCTACAACTGGGTCGCCCGAGCTCGAGCGAAATGACCCACGTAAATATCGGTCGACCATCGTGATGAGATGTTAGATGTCAGATGTCTGCTAGGGCAAGCTTCGCATAGCAGAGTGGCTGTCCAATCCTATGTCTTCATAAGTAGGTATGTTAGAGAGGTCATCGTCGCAACTACCGCGACCGCCGATAACGTTCTAAGGCCAATATCAGTCACTCCTCAGGCAGCAGGTTATAATAACACAACGAACTAAAACAGGGAAGTAGGCAATGTATATCACCTAGCTATAATACTACTAGTGCATCTAGAAATAGGACAAGATAAAATTATTGACTGCTCCAAACTGAAGGCGATTTCGAATTCTTCTACTGTGCTACGAGCTCGTACATAATACATCGCATTATTCATGCCAACCATTAACTCAACGGGCCCACCGCGCTGGGGGGAATATGTTACATCCTCCCAATGCAATCGCTATGCCTAACAAGTATGCTATGCTCCGTCGTCTCGATGATTAATGATACAAAATTGATACAATTCTCTATTTCTTTCCCTTCTTCTTGTTAGGAACGACCTTGAACCCGGCAGTGGGTTCTTCCTTTGGGGGTCCCTTCTTAGCAACTTCGCTCCAGCCACCACTAGATTTGTCACCGACAGTGGAGAAGCCAGTGCCAGATCCCGTGTTCGAAGGCTCGACAACGCCTTTCTCGGCCAGCTTGCGACGGCGAAGGAATTCTTCAGCAAAGCGACGACCATCCATTAATTGAGAGTTGGCATAGACACTATCGGCGATAATGCCGGCCTCTGCGGGGAAAGTCGAGAGCATGTGGACGAAGTCGTCAACTAGAGAAGAATGTTAGCGGAGTAAAACATAAATTTGATTTGGATTAATACCATTGATATCGGAGTTCAAGCCTTTCGCGAGAGATCCCTTGGCCCATTTGGCGAATTCGTCGGTGGCAGAGGTGGCGGCGGTTGCACCACTTGTCGTAACACTGCGTGTCGTTGCCACAGGTCTAGCGGGAGCACGAGTACTAGAAGTCGTGGCGACGTTTGCACTGCTCAGAGATCTGATTGCCGGTGGGGCAGCTGTGGCAGCAGCAGCTGGACCAGTTGGTATCTTGACTTTTCCGCCAGCCCCAACTGTTGACCAAGCAGACCCGCTTGCAGGGGCAGTAGCCGTAGTTTTGCTCGCAAGGTCGGCATATCGCTTACCAGTAGCAACAGGTGCTGGTTGGGCAGCAGCCGTGGCGGCAGCAAGCTTCTGCTTGCGGAGCTGTTCTTCACGTTGAATATCTGCTAACGTCTTTTTGGTGGAGCTAGCGTTACTTGCAACCGGCGCCTTCGAAGGAGTTGATTTTGCCCAGGGGGATACCGTCGCTGCGGGGTTGGAGGGTGATGCAGTGCTTCCCCAGGTTGAAGTTGTTGGCAATCCGGGGGCGGGAGCGACCACTGGGCTGCTGCGCATCTTTAGCTCTTGTTCGTGCAGAGCACGGCGAGCGGCGGCGGCAGCCTCCTCAGCTTTAGCAGCCTTCTTTGCTTCGGACTCCTGAATTTCTTTGAGTGACGGGCCCTTGGCTGCTTCTACTGGCTCTTTCGCCCAGGGTGCCAAAGATGATGCGGCAGCGGCGACCTCTGGTGTCTCGGAGCGAGATCTAGCCTCTGCATTGAGAGCCTCGGGTAAGTTGGAATGACCTCTTTGAGCAGTCGGCGCCGGAAGAGGGGTGGTTGACTGTGGTGGTGGGAAAGGCATTGGAAGATTGGTGTTAACTTTTGCCCATGGTGACTCAGGTTGGATTGAGATAGGTGACTGTTTTGCCGATGCGGCCTTCTGGACTTGCTGGGTCAGAGAAAGGATTTCCGATTCTTTGGAATCGGACGTCTGTTCTTCAAATTGTCCTAACAATTCCTTGTGCGGCTCCTGCGCAGGCTGTTGCGGTGGAGCAATTGGTTCACTGGAGATGTTGGCAGCGGACTGAGCAGCTTCCTCTAAATCATGCTGCTCCCTTAGCTGCTCGAACTCACGAAGCCGAGCCTTAAACCCCTCTGGATCATTTTGATGTTGTTCTGCCCTGGCAGCCTCCCGCTGAGGACCAGGCGGCTGACCAAATATCGCTGCAATTTGTTGCGCATGAGTTGATGGTTGCGATCCTGGAGCGACAGCATTAAAGAGTTGCTGGCGGTCTTGGAGACTTAGACGGGCGAGCTCGTCTTCACGAAAAAAGTCGGATGCCACTCCACTTGGCGCCTGACCTGGAAGTGGTCTGGCCTGGTCAAAAAAGCTAGTTCCAGCTGGTAGTGGGGGTTGTGAGGGCATCCCGATCGGGGAGGTCATGCTTCCAAAACTTGGCTGGCTTTGAAGACTATGGGCACTAGAGTGATGATGCAAGCCAGATGGGAGCCCTCCCATCTGCATTTGCTTCATATTGACCTGCTGCTGGGCCAAGAACTCTCGCTGGCGAGCCATTAGGTATTGTTCCTCCTGCTTCCGTCTCTCTAGGTTGTTTTGCTGTTCTGCGGTCAAGGTAGTACCAAAGCTAGGGAACGCTCCAGCAAAAGGAGGCTGGACAGACCCAGGTTGGCCTGCGCTTGTCCCGGGAGCAGTTGCCGCTGGCGCGAATGGCGTCCCGGCTTGAGTCGTAGGTGGGCCGTGGGGGATACCAATCTGGGGAACAAGGAACGGCTCTCTAGAGTTGCCAATCCTCCGAATCAATTGACCAAGGGGCTCAAATTCGGAGTCCTCAACTTTCTTTACAGAAAGATCTGCCGTAAAAAAGGATGCCTTGTACCAATCGTGCATTTCAAGACCGGACCATGGGCCCTGAACATGGCCTTGGGGATCCAGGTACACCCATCTCATTCTATCTGGCATCACCATCATCCGCTGCTGAGTCGCAGGTAGCTGATTAGACGAATCCGAAGAACCTTGGGACTGCTGGTAATTAGATTGAGCAGACGAACTCTGAGCAAAAGACGTCGCACTTTGTCCTGGGGCAGTTTCGGTTGATGAAAGCGGGCCCTGGTTGCGAGAAGTATCTGAAGTTGGTGGAAACAAATCCTCAAACGGGTGCCGTCCAGTCCGGATTGGGCTTTCGGTTTCACGGGCAGAGGGGAAACCACCCCTACCAATGGCACCAAAAGTACTGCTCTGTCTCCCATCACCACCCTCACCGGAATTGTCATTGTCGACCTGCATCTGCGCTTGCATAGCAGCAGGAAACAACGATCCCAGCTTGCTGCCACGACCAATAGTATTGGTGCCAGGAATATTCCCGGATGGGCCTGGACCAAACATGCTCCCGAGCCCTCCCAGTGTTGGAGACTGAAGCTCGCCGGCATTTCCAAATATTGAGTTGCCGAATGCAGTTGGGAAACCAGCTCGATTTTCACGATCTGGAGTTCCAATAGGATTGCCGCTACTTGGCCAACCAGATATGCCTCCTAGACCACCAAGTGACCCCAATGTAGGGAAGCCTTTGGAGGCACCCGCGCTTGACGTCTGGCTGCGGTCGCTACCTTCGAAGGGTGCATTGGAGAACCCTCGCGGTAGTGCGCCCAAAGAATTGAGCCCATGTTCAGGAATACCGCCAAGACCGTGGAGCCTGCTTTGCTGGGATGGCTCCCCATCAAAACTTCCCTCCTCATTCTCATTCCTATCTTCAGGTGGGCTGCGGTACGGATTTGTTTCCGATGGGCTCAGCGGCTCATGTTTTCCTTTATGCCCTTGTGGAGTCTGATGGCTTTGTGGATGTTGATCACGAAAGCCTGGCATGTCAGAGAAACCAAAATCACTTGAGGCTCCCCGAACTGGAGTATCTAGACCTGGGGCCCTTCGCTGAGGATTCGGTGGACTGGTGTCTTGCCCCCCACCGAGAGCAGCACTCCCCGCTGGAGATTCGTCGCCAAACGGATCCGTATCAGTGCGAGGCCTAGGTCTCCAAGATCGCTCAGCAGACCTTGGAACCGGTTCTTCTGAAGCATCCTTCGGCATGAGATGCGCCAGACGACTCTCTCCTCGCATACTTCCTAGCCCTGGTCGCTTCTCGCTGGGTGTTGGAGGATTTGGGGCGGCGCCGCCTAGCACGAAGCTTCCAAAATTCCCCATTGGTGACATAGCTGCACTAGCTGATGGGGGCCCCCAAGGAGATGGTGGTCCATTTCCAAGTGCACTTCCGGCGGTATTGCTACGCATCAAGCCACCAAACGGTAAACCTGATTTCGATTCTTCCGCCCGGTCATCTCCCTCCTTGGAATCGTTGAATTTGCGGTTGAAGAATGAGGAAGCGTCCTCCCTAGAAAATCGTCCGGTACCAGCAGGTGATGGTAGGCCTGTAACGGAATCGCTAGTTTGCTGGCGACGTACGCCTGGTCTGCTAGACACAGGAGAGGAGAGCCCAAACGCACCCGAGCCCTGTGCGTGGGAAATAGATGTTTTGCGTCCATTTGCACCTAAACCTTGTGCATTTGGGTCCTTGTTCGTGTTCTGGGGCGGCGGCTTTAGAGGAGAATTAACATCGCTTGAGAAGAGCTTGGAACGTTTAGCACGGTAAAGCAATATGGTTGGGCCAGCAGCTTACAATTTTTTCCTCTTCCGCCATTTCTTGCAGACCCACGGGGCGGACGCTTCCATTTATATCCCAGCAAATTTCCGGGCCGTACGTGTCCCTTCCATCATTGCTCTTGCCCCATCCACTCCGTCCATTTGCGCCATTTGATCGTTCCGGATTCCAATTGTTGACAAATAGGCGCGAAATCTCCCCATTAGCAGCTCCCGGATCTTCTTGCGCCCTGTAGATATCCAGCAGCTGGTTCTTAGAGTAACGTGCATCGGTGGGTAGGTCGTATGCAGAATTTGATGCTTGCTGTGATGACTGTATCTCTGAGCTGGATGTAGAGAGCTGGCTCTCTCCTTGGGACGCTGTCGATGCGAATGGAGTGGTTGAGGAGCGGCGGAGGGTCAAAGTACCATTAGTTGATCGGGCTTCTCTTCGGGCCCTAAGTTGAGATTATCACGCGTTAGCAGACGACACAGCGGCTAATGATTCATTTTGAGTGGGGTATTCAAGATTCGATGAGCATCATCACTTGGGGTTTAAGGGCAACAACTTTGTTGTGCAAAGAATAGCAGCAACTAATGCGAAGCTTCATGCCTTGGGATAAAACCTCTTCCTATATCCAAGGTCACACCCACAAGCAATGGGGTAACAATTGCGGTCATATATATAGGAATAGAATCTGGAGGAGGCAAACATACCAGTCCCCGCTCCCGCGTCCATCTCCCCTCCCGCTGCGAGAATCGCGACCGGAGCCTTGGCCTGCTGCGGCCGAAGCAAAGCTTGATGCCATATGGGAAGGCATAATTGATCGTAAAAGTCGGTTGAGTAATCGGGGCCACAAATTTAACAAAACCAGTGCAGGTGTAGTCGCGCTGGAGAGCAAGAGACGCGAGGTAGTTCCAGCTCAGATAAATTGATCAAAGGGACGAGAGTTTCAGAATAAGCTCTGCAAGAGTTTGCAGATGATTTAGTTGTGGTATTTGTATAGGATCGTGTAGATGAGGCTGGATCTGTTGGGCAGTGATGCGCAAGCTGCGGGCTGTGAGTTGTAGGTTGAACTTTAGGATTTAATTTTGCAAGAGATCGCGGACAGGACGATGTAGTCTCGTCTCGGGGCCACGGGAAACCAAAGAATTCAGTTCACAACAGCTCTTGTTTGGGTTTAGCGTGCTCTGCAGTTTAGCGAAGCCAGGCACGGGACTTTGGGATTTCTCTGCACACGGCGAGGGACATCTAATAGGTGAATATCTTCATTTTCCTTCTTCATTCACTATCTTTATGTTTGACCATGGCCGTATTATAAGGTAGGATGTTAATGATGACGGCAGATCAAGTATATCTCGAAACAGCAGCACGCACACCCCCTATCTGTCCTGAAGTGGGCATCACGTGCGCTCCATGGACCACAGCATGACGCCCAGCCTCTCCGGATTGCAACAAGATTTAACTTATCCCAGCCCCACGAGGGGCCTCCAGCCTCCCAAATATGGTGTCGAACTGAGATATTCACATTCCTAGCGGTGCTACTATCTGCATCATCTGACAACCCCGGATCTCTTCTCCTCCAGTTGTGGTGTGCAAAACTAACTTCGATCACCACCACACCACGTCGTATCCAGCACATCCACAGCTTCCAGGCTGGAGCTGTCCAAGATCCCGTCAGCGAGCTAGGAAAATAAACCGGCCGGTGACCCTTGATCCTCTCAACTTAGAGATACTGTCCATTATATTTCCTGCAATGCCGTGTCAGCATCTCTGACGTTGTTTGCTCCCTCCTGTTTTCTGCAAGGCATGCCTAGGATGGGTTGGTTAGCCACCGTATTGTTTACAGCTCGTGATAAAATATCTTTGGCTTGCCTTCCAACATGGCTGGGCTGGAATGGTATTACAAAGCTTGTGCAGTCCAATGTGTTTGCCATCTAGCTTACATGATGCTTAGTTGCTGTGTGCCTAGTATGCGTTTTTCTGTAGCAAACAATCACTATACCTTTTTCTTTAAAGTCAGCCCTATCATTGTGAGAATTGTGCGCATCAACCCGTCGATCTCATGGGCGTGTCTATGTGCCTGCCCGCGTTTGTGGCTACAGGTTTTCAGTGCCCAAGTTGAAGTGCATACTTAGCTGGTTGATATTCCACTTCGTCCCCTAAAACTTCCTCTCACACCTATTAATTATATGTCTATAACTCTCCAACTGTGCGAATATTTCACACCCCCTAAACCCCCACTCCACGCTGCTCCCACAGACATGGGGCACCGGCGTCATTGCAATAGTCGAAGTTGCAGCTCGCGAGGAGCCGGCTCACTCTATGGCGACTCCAATAGCCTAGTTGGAAGGGGTGGCGGCAGTGGATTTGGTATCGGCGGAGAGAGAATAGGCTACGGCCGAGAAGGCTGTGTCCGACTGGATGACAACAAAGCAATACTCCATCCACGACGAGGAGCAACTCGAGGCGGTTTTATGGACGATTTCCTCGGTGATGGATTTGCTGGTCTTGGTGGTGGAAACATGCCAACACCACCAATGATGCCCCAGAGCCCATTCGGCCGCCACAGCCGCCCGCCTCAAATCGATCCCAGAAAGCCCTATATACCCGGTGGCTACAAAGGCGGTGGTCCGGACCCATTACTCTATCCTGAATATCTAGCCAATTCTCCTCTTGACCCTTTAGTCACTCTCTATACGATGTCTGGTGCCCTCTCCCCCGGACCTCCGGGATCTCCACTCAGCTCCTCAAGCCCCATCAGCAGCTTCAATCCCTATAAAATGGATCGACCGAGAATGCCTTACGGCCCGCATGGTGGCCCTCCTATGAACTATCGACAGCCGTACGTCGAAGACTATCAGAGTGATACGTCCGAGGAGGATATGCTAATCGAGGACGCGCTGATGCAGAGAGAAGAGGCGTTATTTGAAATGCGTGATGCGATGAGGTTTGGGTCTCCGTATGATCCTTATGGAGGGTATGGGGGATACGGGGATCCATATGCACGAATGAGAGGCGGATACTAGTTTTATGTGTGCAAGTGATTCGATTGCGGGGGTGTTTCTGGGCTTCACAGAAGAATAATTACCTATGTTGGTGGATGACAAAATTTGGTTGCTTACGATCAAATATTATACCGCTCGACCACTCTTTGCCACATGATTCGTCCCTTAAAAAATACTAGCACCGCCCCTCTTTAGCTAGTTATTATGTGATATAAACTTATCAGCACTAGGGCCTAAATGTCACCCGCATAGGTCACAAGGGATATATCATGTCTGAGCAAGAAAATCAACAGACAGGAAAGAAGATCGTTCTTCATTCATTCGTAGCTCGCGCTAGTCGAGCTTGACTTCTAATAAAAACTATCCCCCAAACCCAAACCAATATGAATCCACCACGCACATCAAGAAACCCAAATTAAACGACCACAGCCTAATCGCTCGAGCTGCTACTGCTACTACGGCCACCGCGGCTCCTTGACCGGTGCTTCTTTTTCTCCTTCCTTGGGTACAGTCCGCCCATAGCAGCACTGCTCCCTCCATAGTTGCTTCCACCACCATAATTGCTTCCACCGCCATAACTACTTTGACCGCCATAGCTGCTCCCGCCATGACTGCCGTGCGATCCATGTTTCTTCTCCTTCTTCTCCTCCTTGTGTTTGTCGTACCTGCTGTCCAAAGCGTTGGCTCCGATAGCGCCAACCACGCTGCCGATGATCGTGCCTAGAGTACCTCCGCCAGCCTTGTGGCCGACGAATGCGCCTCCTGCGCCGCCGATGAGGGTAGAGCCGAGACCTCGCTCGCCGTCGGGACCAACTTCGCCTTGCTGGTTGTTATATCCACCAGGGCCGCCAGGGGCGCGGTTATCGCCATACTGTGGTGGGCCTCCGTGTTGGCCGTAAGGAGCTGGGGAGTGCGAAGGGGAGGGTCCGCCATAGCTGGGCTGCGGTGGGTATTGCTGCTGGCCCTGGTGTTGTGGTGGGTAACCACCGTGCTGTTGAGGTGGTTGTTGATATCCGCCTTGCTGCTGAGGAGGATACTGCTGATTGTGGCCTTGCTGGGCGTAGTTGGGCTGAGGAGGATATTGCTGATTTTGGCCTTGCTGGTTGTAATTTGGTTGATTTGGGTACCCGCCTTGGTTACCGCCGCCGCCTCCTCCGTAATAATCTTGGCTTGACATCGTGGGAGCTTGCTGTCAAGGACTTTTGTAGTTGTGTGCTGTTTGACTGAACGATTTCTTGTCCGGTTGAGGTTCGAGGTGTGTATTAGGATGGAGGGACAAAGGAGAGGGGAAGCGGGGGGGCCATCTTATATATACGTCAGGGTACAAGCAGCTCCCCTTCGCACACCATTATTCACCGGGCTTTGGATACGACACGCGCGGCGGGAGATATGGAAGCTGGAGGCAGGGAGATGGCTGGCTCAGCGGGACTCGTCACCCGTCACCATGCCACCACCACCGAGAACTGTGGCAGTGGGATGGATGTTGGTGTGGCTGTGGAGATGCCGAGGAGCTTATATCCCACTACTGCGGAAGGCTGAGCAGCACTGGTGACGGACAACTCGATCTGACGTCGAAGAGCCACAACAAGCCCCACCTGTTTCTCCCTTTACCAATGGATATCTCGGAGGCTCCGAGATTTCCTTTCATAAGAGACATTTTATACATCTTATTGTTCTCTGCTCGTGGCTGTGCGCATAGTTACGTAAGCACAATGCGATGACCGCTGTTCCGGCACGTAGCCGGCTGGGCGGACATGTCAACGTCAACTTACGTTATTACTCAATTCAGCGGATTGCATTTATTTGTTGGAGGTTCGTGGGTCCGTCATAACTAGATGGAAGTAGTTGTACCTAATTCAGATGATTAGCGACTGGGTGGTTGGCCATGAGCAAATTTTAGCGGGAACCGATGACGTTTTTATTATTAAATAATGCTTCTTATTAATTGTCGTAGATACTGTATCTATAGTACCAAGCGGGTACCTAGGACCTAGATAGCTTAAAATTATCTATATTTAAATTTTGGGGGCTTGTGGAGCAGTTAACCCTTTTCGTGTTTTAATATTTATAGTCAAAGGACTTGCCAGCGCTACGCTACCCCTATTTTAACCGAAAATTGCTAAACTTCACTCATAGCAAGACTATATATCATAGCAGGGAGAACTAGCTAGAGAAGGACAAATTCTTTAAATTCTTTACTCACAAGCCATGGTCTCAGGAACAGAAAGGGTCTATAAATTTGCTGCTCGCTGCAATCATCTAAACCGCTATAAACAAAATCAAAAGCGAAAAGCGTACCGTCTATAATTCTATAATATATGTATACAATAACATGCAAAATCCCAACTGTATGCACAGAATCATCCGACAATCACAACATTAAAGTCACCCTGGATAGACTTATCCGCATTCAGCTGCGGATGGCACAGGGTCCAACCAGGCGTCTTATTGCCTCCACAGCTAACCTTGGCACTCCAGCACTTATAGGTCGCGGTAAACGTGGCAAAGCCTGTCGTGCCAAGCGGTAGGCCGAATGTGTTCGCCACTGTTACTGTCGTGCTGTTGGTCATACTAGTATCCGTTCCCTGGGCTACTGCACGAGAGATACTTGCCCCGATAGTAGTAGAGCCCGTGGCTGCAAACGGCCATGCCAGGCCAGCAGTAACGGTAACACTCATCTGGCCGCCGACATCGACGGTGGTGGTTTTTGATTGTGACAACGTGCTAGAGACTCCAATGGCGCTGCTGCTCGAAAAGGTACACGGGGAGCTGGTGCATGTCTGGACGGATCCGATCATGGTCTGCTTGCCTGCATTGATAAAAGGGCCAATCATATCTTCCGCCTTGCAATCGCCAAACTCATCTCTTTTTGACACTGAATCTTCCGTGATGACGCTGAGTTCTTCTGGCGTGGGCTTCATCTGGGATACGACCTCTGCAGCTCGTGCAGCGACGGAACCACCACGTGCTTCGATGACCGTTCCAGAATCATGTTCATATTCCTCCAGCTGTCGGCGGTCAAGTGCATGATTCCCCGCGTTCATTGCCGTGCAGTCGTCGTGGCCGCAGCAGAACGTCCCACCAAGTTGAGCTTTGTCCTGTTTTAAAACTGTTAGTCTCAAATTGCTTCCTGTTCTAAGAAGGGAGAAGGAAGCACGAGGACGAACCCGTAATTGTGAGAAATAGCAGCCCGGCTGATCCGCGCTGATAAATACGTTTCCCCATGGCATACCGGGCACCACGTTTCCGTAACCCCCCTGCGTGTACTCCTGCATCAGCTGGATCCGGCATCCTGGATCCGCCCTTTCGTCCAGCTTCCACCAGACCTGCTTGCCGGATCCGCCAGGAGCTGATGTGGCACTAGGAAAAGACACATCCCAGAAAGGAGTTTGGCCTGGGTAGCCCTGTGTGATCTTCCAGTTGTTGACGGTGTTCCCCTCGACAGACAACCGGTGTGAGCCATCGTCTGTCCTGTTCTTGCAGCTCGAGTCGGAATAGGGGACGAACCACTTGTGGGCGAGGCCGTGCCCGACAAGAGTCGAAAGGATGGCTACGTTAACCAGTAAAGGAGAATACATTATGGGAGATTTAGATAAGATATTTTCGAGTTGTAGAAGATATAGGTGTTCAAAGCAAAAGGAGGAGAGGACAAGAGAGTTTCAAGATGGAAACAGTAACGGAGAAGATGACGGGGTTTGAGGATGGAGGATTGGATTGCTTTGATGCTGGAATGTGTGAATGAGAGATATTGCGAGGAGAAACTACTTATTATATATTCCAACCATCGCAGATATCAATACCCAACTCTTAGATCTCAACGACAAACTAGTAGAAAGGATCCATACCTTGATGCCTAGAATTAAGGATTCTAATCAATTGACGCTTTGTCATGCTCGTATTGGCGAAGTATAGAGGTGAGGCTATACGAACTCAGCCCTACTTGGCCTAAACTTACAAGCAATGGTGCTATTATCGGTCATCGGGTGGAGCAAATCTCGGTGAGCCCTTGGTTGGTTCTGACAACAGATGAGGATCGCGAACCATGAAGCCAAGGGGGCTACAATGACGATGGATGAACAATAGACGCTGACCTTGAGATTGGTTTGGAAAGCCTTGTTGCCTATGGTGGAGCAAATAGGACCCAGCCTCGCCGATCTCTCGCCAGAAAGATCAAGACCAAGGAGGATCCTCACCTAAGAGTCTAAAGTGATGAACCCACTTGTAGCGGACGGTGCCGCTCATGCCTGTCCCATATTTGGGTACTTATGCTAGGGGAGCTGCTAGCGCCATGTATGGGCCGACGCGCCACTAGTAATTAGCTCGTTGCTTTGCCCTTCCATAGCTTCCATGCTGCGGAGGATATGCTTAATTCGCGGTTGACATCCGCGACACCGCCCATTTGGCATCCATATATTATAACAGAATGTTTTGGATTTGCTAGGCTCCATTCTCCCCCCCTTCCTAAATCTGGAGGCCTTTGAGGGATTGGGCATAATCGGTAGTAGTAGTTGCTCTGCGTACCATGTTAGCATATGAGCGTCCCAAGCTTAATACGTGTTTTAGGACCACCTACTCACTAAACTTCGAGATAACTATCCCTTTATAAGCATTTATAAGCATTAACTTAAATTTCATGTTGTGGGTAGTAGGCACCCATTTTATGAAGGTCAATAATACTCGACCATACTCAATAGACTATACAACCATATACTAGCACGAGGTTAAACTCCCTGGCGCTTCCAGGCATGATATTACCTCCCTCACCTCGCACTACGGCCGTACTCCATTTCAAGCGTTGGCGCTTATCCTGCGGCTTCGAGGTATTTCTTCGCCAGGATCTAATAAGCCTACATCGTTTGTCAGCGGCCCCTGGGGTAGACGTTGGAACCCTGGATGTGCTACCCTGTGGTGCTCGTGGCATTCTACGAGGTACCACAAATGTCTACCTGATTCACGGGCCTGGCGGACCAAGTCCTTGACCGGGGAATGATCAGAGCCATCAGACACAGAGCACTCGCCCAATTATTACAAACGCAAATCCGTCAGCGACCGAATAATAGGCAGCGACTATTAGCTAGCCGAGAGCCAACCCAGTGCAGCTCTGCCCACGGTATTTGTGATGCGCAGCTTTTGAAACGCTCATCGCCCCGACCAATGTTCTTGGCGTTCAAGAATAGCTGCGCCTGATTTCGTATCATACGAATGATATCTTTGATTGTTAATCGCTTTGTCAGTTTCCCTGCATTACGTTACAACATGTCTTTTGGGATGGGTTTACTTATCCAAAGTTTAGGACTATTAAATTTTGCAGTCCTGTTAAAGAGTGTACCCTAGGGCAGGTTGTTTGAACGATATCCAAATAACTGTCCGTCTCTGCTAGAGGGAGCTGGACGAGGAGGATCTGGAATTGTACAAAATTCGTGGTCTTCGGCGTATCTTTCAGTAGAATTCGGGAAGTTTCTTACCTTTGCTGTAATGTTCGGTATGGAAGTGAGGAACTTGTGAAGGAGGAAGTAACGGAGAAAATAATCCAGAATGTAGTTTATTCCTGTGACAGGAATTATCTACCCACATGCAGGCTCCTCTCGCTCGAGAGGTTGGTTGACGTTGCCGCCACCATATGCACCTCCATCTAGAATAACAGCCTCATTATCCTCTAAGTCATCTTGGACTCTCCGCCAGGTTTTCTTCCTACTTTCATTGGGAGGAGTGTCCGTTGCAGTCTCCTTGCCCTTCCCGCTATTCCACACAGGCTTAATGAGGCCTCCTAACAGGGGATTCCGACTGAATTTCCCACCGCCACCAGTGCTATTCCCGCTGGCATCACTTAGCGGAATCGCTTCTCCTTCCTCCTCGCTCTCGCTCTCCTTCTCCGGCGTCCTCTCCATGGCCGCCATCTTCTTAACCACCTTCCCCTTCACTAAGTCGATACTAACGACTTGTCTTCTCTTGTCATATTCCGGTCTAGCATTCCACTCCTGCTCGGCAAGCACCTTCTGCTGTTTCTTCAACTGTCTCGCCCTCTCCGCAGGACTAGCCCAAATATTAGTCCCCGCTGTAATAGGCGTCTCAAAATCTGCAGCCTCATCCCTGACCGTCGTCCGCTTCGCATTTTGAGCCTGATATCCCAAAAGTCGATCCCTATGCTCCTTGGCCTTCGCCTCCGCAGGGCTCATTGCGGGTATCTCCGCATTTCTAGTAAAAGGAGCAGGTTTCTTGGAGACCTCAGCCCGCCTATGACTAGACGCATCAAGTACCATCTTTTCCCTTCCCCTCTCCTCCTTCAATTCTTTTATCATGCCCTGTACTTCCATCGCACTAAGTAACGGGGTCCCGCAAAATGTACAAGGTCCCAATCCCTCCTTCACACATATGACTTTTCCACAGTTCAAGCAGTTTGGCGCTGCTGCTAGTAGAGGATGGCGGGCACCGATGCAGTTGCATTTTCGCTTATCGCTGGAGGGCAATAGGGAGCTGTTGGTGCTGACTTCTAAACTGCAGATGGCAGCGTCTAACTCGTTGATTACTGAGGAGGCGCCGTGCATGGAGGTTCCGCCTGTGATATTTATTTTCGTCTTTGAAGGGGGTGCGGGGGAGGATGTTCGGGAGGCTTTGCGGGAAGAGTTGTTGCTCTTGGATTTAAAGTCTGATATTAGGGTTCCAGCGGCCGAGGGAGGTGGCTTTTGGGTAGGTGCTTGAACGTTGGGTTTTGGCTTCTGTTGTAGGGCAAAGGCATTATTGGATGTTGATGCAGAAGTGGAGGACGTGGCTTGAGGAATAGGCCTTTTCGTGATATAATCGTCTTCGTTCTTCTTCACATATGCGGTGCCTTGCGCAGCGTGATCTTGTATTTGACGGGGTGACGGCGTGTGGAGGGGAGCTTTCGCTTTCTTCGGTCTGCGTCCGGGTTTGGGAACTCCAGAGCTTGGACTTGCTTCGGATGTAGAGGGTTGTGATGGGGATGGTGACGATGTAGGAAGGTCTTTGCGGCGGGAGTTGAAGCTCGAGATGAACTCTATCGATTGTGGTGATTCCCCGAGTAGATCTTTGAAATGATCCGCAGCTTGTTGTTTGGATAGTGTCCCTGCATAGTCGAGGACCTGTCTAAGCTCTGGTTCGGGAAGAGGGAGCAAATTGGAGAGCTGGGCGAGAGACATACTCGTGGTGGGATATGACACGAAAATATGTGTTTGTGTCTATGTTTCGCCTTGAAGATGGTCGGTTGTAGAGTATCGCAGTCATTTACTTACGGAGTACTCGAGTACTCGGTACAGGTTACGTAGTTTTGCGGGGCCTGCTCTTGATCCCTGCTCGCGACTTGGAAATGCATTTCGGAACAAACCACTTAAAAGCTGCGTCGACAAACCCTCGTGCAGGCCTAACGCGAGTTGTAAATTTAACAAGTATAGGACAAAGACTCTTACTAATCACGTTCTAAGACTTTAATTTTTAGGGTATTAAAATACTAGTAGAGGAGAACCTACTCGCGGAATTATTAAAAGTAGATTATAATCTATGACGAGGCTATATTTAATATTTAGTAGGCAAGCTATATATATACAGCCAAGACGACGAATTTTTTTAAAAAATTGGGTTATATAAGAGGTTAACGGGGGCAGAAATCGTGAGTTATGCTGTACATCCTGCTTATAAGTAATAGCATTTTGTGGAAATTGAGATAGAGCCATGTGTTGGAAATGGAATAGTTATTTGGACCAGTCTCACTAGGAATCTCGATTATGAGGGATAAATGTTAATTATGGGGACGGCGAAGGTGTAGAAAGTTGGAGGTCAAGCTTTGGAAGATGAGCAAGACGGTTGGGGGAGAGAATTTCAGCTTCTATGAGAGGAAGGACTGAGACTATATGCCAATTTGGTAAGAGCTTCGCCGTATCATAACTAGAAATGATGAGAATCGAACGGCTATGAAACATTAGCTGCAGAGACGCTTTAAATGTTGATTGCCCACCCAAAGAATACACGTCTATCTATACATTTGCTGATCGTCAACCAACAGCCTCTCGACCTACCACTGCTCGTCGTGATCATCCAAAGGCTAGTTCTCAAGAAACTCTTTTTTCGATGCAGCATCAAGTACAGCGGCAGCTTCCGCCTTCACATATTTATTCTCCTCAAGAGGATCTTCATACCGATAATTTGAAGTCCAACCATCTGTACTAACCCCAATCCGATCACGGACTTTCTCCATTTGTACATCAATGTGATATTGCTCGTCCTGCATGCTCAGGCACTTTGCTACTTCCTCGTCTGAAAAGTCTATCTGGCATGGGGGACTATTCCCTTGCTGGCAGTAAGCACTGACCAGTTCTGAATGTCACTTATTAACTCTGCTCTGAGAGTAATGCTATCACCCTCCTATGGTGCGCTCGCATATTGCTCGAGTTTTTGCATCGGCGTAGTCGATTATGGTTTAAATTCGTCGTAATGACGACACTTGTTATGTTTGGCCGTGGCAACAATGTAATAGTAATGAAGCTACCTTTTACGGAATTGCTCCAAAGCTCCCTCTTGATCCGCTGCGGTCACACTGTAAAAAGATTCAGGAAGTAAAGGCTTCCTGAGGCTACATGACACCTCATCTCCAAAATTCTCAAAGGATCCTGGGATGCCGGCTTGAAGGACGAGTGATAAGACAAATGAGTGCTGCCAATCTAATACACCCGTAATAGTGAAATCATTAGACACAAAATGGTTATGGGGATTGAGATCCGGGTGGCAAAAGGTCGGGCGTGACATAAAATCGTCGCGTGCAACCAGATCAGGAGCGATCTGTAGATATTTTTCAACGCTTGCTATGACCTTCCGGGGAAAGCTTTTGGTGGTTATAGATGTCTCTGTGTGCAACTGTATGAGGGAGACGGGGACGAGCATGACTTTTGAGCCATGCTATTTCCTTCACCGCGCCAGCAGTAAAGGCCTCGCCTAGTTCTATAACTACTCATTGTTAGCTATATCGGATCCAGAGGCGAAACTCCACGAGGTCATAACTACGTGGACCACGGGAAACTGGCAACTGTCCCAGACCACCATATCACCATTTCAGTGCAACATCAGTGACGTCGAAGTTTAAGACTCGCTCTTTAAGGCGTAGAGATTCGTTATATCTATAACATCTAGCCCATTAACATTAGATATACCTACATTATTGGTCCATCTGCTAGAGGTATGGAAGAAATCTGAGGCGGCATCCTTATTTGGAGATTTCTGGTGTATAGGTAGGGTCCCAAAACTTCTGAAGGTGAGAGAAACTGGTGATATACATAGCGGAAAGGACCTCAGCACGGCGCGGGAACTATTCACGAAGAAATATCTCACGTTCTACTAGTTTAATAGGGCGCGTAAATACACAAGATAGAAGAGTACCCTATGTACCGAGATGCATTTGCGTTGTGCTGTGGTTGACTGATTATTTAATTAAGTTTCTGTAAACAGGATTACTATCGGCGTCAGACTTGTCCGTCCGTAGAGAGCACTTTGTATGGGGCAGCAGCTATCTGCTCGTCTAGATCCAATCCTCTGAAATATTGCTTTACCGGCCTAATACTCATAATAATAAATATACGAAGTCGACGGTAAAGAAGACAGATGAGAAGATAGGTGAAGAAGGAGGGGTAAGGAAGGAAAGACGGCATTGGTGGCTGCATTTTGGGTAAAGACAGGCAGATAGGGGACAATGTTTAGGAACGAGGTTGTAAATATACGTGCTGATACGTGATGACAGGTTTTGGACCTGGACCATTGGCTGGTGGGCGGGCCTCGGCCGACCTGAGCCATGCCTAGCCGAAGGTAAGCCTCGCAGGCCGCGTGGGACTCAGCCTGAGTGTCGAGATTCCAGTGGGAAAACAATGAACAATCAACAAAGCTGATCATGATAACGAAAATAGCCTCCGGGTTCCCTTCCCCGCCAAGTCCCTCTGTCATCAATCGGCCTGATTAAGGTTGTATAAGTGCGAACTCGGCCTCTATCCTATATTGGGAAGGTCGCCGTAGCATTTCCGCCCTTTCTCTGACATCGACTCCGTGTTCGCAATCGCGCATGATTCACCATCTTAAAGGTTGCCAACTTAAATCTACCAACCACCGACCTGGTGGCTGGGGGGGAGTGAGTCGGGGGGGAGGAGGGGGGTCACCGACGGGTGGTGTCTTGGTGCACAGGTTCGAGTATAGTAAACAACCGTGACTCACGCTTACGGTGAAGTGATTCTCGTTCAATTGTTTCTGTCCACTCCCCATTTCACGTCTAATACATAGTATTGACATCCTCATATCATACATATCTCGAGAATTGGATCTGCAGGGGTTATTTACTCAATTGAACCCTTCCCACCATTCGAAGAGCATAGCAAATCTCAATACATCTCCATCTCAAAATGGGAGAAGTATCTCTCAACAATGGCAACGCCAAGTACGAGCGTATTCCGTTTGGAAGTGAGATGCTGAAACAATTTCTCTTCGATCCCGCCTACAAGAACCTCAACCATGGTATGACTCCTCTTTTCCTACTTTTTTTTAAAAATATCTCAGAGCTTACTCCCGTGTTTCTAGGCTCATTTGGCGCCTTTCCTCGTGTGATCAGAGACGCTCAACGAGTGTTTCAAGACGAGTGTGAATCATCCCCAGATGAATTCATCTTCTACAAATATCCCAAGTTCCTGGATGAATCCCGTGCTGCGGCCGCCAAGCTCCTGGATGTCCCGGTCGATACTGTTGTTTTTGTATCCAATGCCACTCTCGGCGTCAACACAGTCCTTCGGAATATTCAGTGGCATGAAGATGGCCGGGACGAGGTTATCTATTTCAGTACGATCTATGGTATATATTGCCCCTTTCACTGGTTCCTTTACCATCGTATAGAGGGAAATAGACTCTAATACTATTTTCAGGAGCGTGTGGCAAAACCGTCACCTACCTCTGTGAATCCACCCGCAACCTAGTGCAAGCACGAACCGTTACCTTAAACTACCCGCTATCGGATGCCTCCGTCCTTGAGGGGTTCAAAAAAGCCATTACCGCCTCCCGGGCAGACCGAAAGGTCCCACGTCTCGCAATCTTCGACACTATCTCTTCTGTCCCTGGTATCCGCATGCCATTCGAGGGCCTCGTAAAAATCTGCGCTGAAGAAGGCATCCTCTCCCTCGTGGACGCCGCTCATGGCATAGGCCAGATCCCACTCTCGCTCTCGACCCTGCAACCTGATTTCTTCGTCACTAATTTGCATAAATGGCTTTTTGTGCCTCGAGGCTGCGCACTGCTCTACGTGCCTTTTAAAAACCAAGCTTTGATGCGCTCTAGCCTGCCTACATCTCACTCATTCACACCTCTGGTGAAAGGTCCCAGGTCGCTGAATGGCTTCCCACCTAATACCAAGACCGGGTTTGTGAATAATTTCGAGTTTGTCGGCACGATCGACAATTCCAATTACCTGGTTGCGGCAGAGGCTATCAAATGGCGCCAAGAGGCGTGTGGTGGCGAAGAAGCTATTCACGATTATTGCACAAAGCTCGTGAAGGAAGGTGGAAAACTTGTTGCGGATATCCTTGGTACTAAGATCTTGGATTATGAGGAACATGGTTTGACTGATTGCTTCATGATCAACGTTCTTCTTCCTCTAGCCCTGACACCTACCTCCGCAGCTGTTCCTGACGCGGATAAGCCAGCTGCTCATTTCCATACTGTGAAGGAGGAGCATAGTTTTCTTGTTAGGCACTGGGCGCACCGGACTCTTGTTGATGATTATAAGACATATATCTTTCTTTACTTTTCTCGGGGCCAGTGGTGGGCAAGGTTGAGTGCCCAGGTTTATTTGGAGATGAGTGATTTTGAGTGGGCGGGCCGGACGCTGAAGGAAATTTGTGAGAGAGTTGGGAAAGAAGAGTTTTTGGTCTCGAGTTTAGATAAGGAGGTTGAGGCGTTGGAGAAGGGAGTGGAAGGTGTGGGTTTGGCGGAGGCTTAGGTGGATGTAGATAATGAAGCCTGGAGGATGAGGGATGCTGCATGTTGACCTCATATCTCTATCGAATTACTTTAAATGAGACGCATCATCGAAAAGTGGTCAGATTTGTCATGGTACATTGGACCAAGATCGTTCTTCCAACTTCTATCGGGTGGAGCTACTTAGTGGGTATTCAAGGTCGACGCTCACGTTGTTATGAAGGTCACCCGCGAAGTTGGCTCCGAAGCACTTTTGCAGATAAGTATTTTTCATAATAAACATGGGACAATTTTGGTCCCGCCCTGTATATCCTCAACACTGAGTGTATGTCTCCATAGCCTACTCTGGTGATCTAACCTTCATGTCTACCATTAAGGGTTTTGGTGATGGTGATGATGATAATATTGATTTACGTCTAGCAGACTACAGGCGTAGCCTGAAGTCCTGGCACCGCCATGGGGGTATGGGGGTACGGAGCCGTGCTAAGCTGGGAAATTACATGCAGGGTGCAGCCAGACCAGAAAATATTTTATGCAAAAGCGCTTGGCCAGATGGCCTATCAACTGAGCACTTCTACGGCCAGTTGGGATGAACAGCAGAAGCAAAGTGAGTGTGGGCATGGCCCAGAGGTTGTGCCTATTGGGCAGATATGTTGTGGCCGCGGAGGCAGCTACGTTTCATGGCTGTGGAGGCAACAAAGGAATGTTCGAAAAGACAAAGAATGTGCCCCCAATTCCAAAGAACGTCCCCTGAGGAAGGCACCTCGTTGCCTTAGAGTCCCTAGAAACAGAAACAGGATAAGAGCCTCCAGAAACAGAAACAATAAAAGCCTATAGAAACAGGTGCAGGAGAGCCCGGCGGGGGGTTTGGAGTCCGGCAATAGACAGCCTTATTTCACACCCAGCCGCAGTGCTCAGCACAGAGTAGCGCCAAGCCAGAAAAAGAGTTGAGGATGATTCGTGCCACGTCATGCAGACTGTATACTGCAGATCATACAGCCTGTTCATACATTTCGGTCTATAAAGGTTATTGAGAGCAATCAGATCTGACTTCATCCCCAGTATGGTCGTTGCCAACTAGCTACATCGCAAGTAATACCGAACTTCTATAGAACAAGGCTAATATCCTACAGATGTCTACTAAGATTATCGATAAATATGCTAAACAACTGGCTGACCTGCGGGAAAAGAAAATCCAAAAGATAAAGGACGTTGAAAACGCCGAGGCCGAGATGAGGTGCATTGAAGATGGTATGAGCGAGGCGGATAAGACATTAATCACGAGATCATGATCATCAGTGCGAGAAAATCGGAAGGGCCACAAAGACCGAGCGACGTTCGATACGAGTGCCACCATTCAGCTCCAAGCGCAGAGATTGGATTCGTTGAAGGATGAGCTCAGAGAAATTGAGCGGGACATCAGGGACTTTGAGGATCTTGTGTCGGGAGCGTGATCAAGTCCTTCGCCGATAGATGGAAGTGCTAATGAGGCAGGCTGCTACAGCGAGTGCAGTATAACTGGCCATCCTAAGTGGAGATGAGCTTTTTTGAACACCTAGTAAATGCCACTTGACTTACTTCAAATGAGAGCACCCAACCTCTTGAACAAGGCCATCTGAGGGGAGCAGCTGTGACTCTAAATGCAAATGCTCTTCCTTTGATTCGGACACTAGATTCTCGACTGCGGGACTTTCATGCTCGAGATGTGCCATGCCATGCCGTTCTAAATCTTCTAGGTATGCTGCACGATCCACAACCTTCTTCTTGACTAGTCTTAGTAGTTGCCACCTGGCTTGGACGAACGACTTCGCCCTGCCAGGTCGGTCATTGTTGCCATGGTAGCTATAATCAAGACAATCCCCATATGTATTAGCAATTGAGGTCAATGATAGAAGTCCAGCAGCTATTAGAAATGAATTGTTAGACTCCAATTCGCTCCAAATTTTGGAGAGAGGATGCCCGTTCAGGGTGGGAGGCAGTTGGCTTTCACGGGTCGCAACAATATCCCTCAGCTTCACGAGCTCTACCATGTAGTCCTTTCTGGCGAAATACGAGCGGATCCCACTTAGCTCCAGTCCAGTGAGCCACGTTGGTGGCACAAAAAGCTGTGCTGGGATTATCCGACTCCATTCCCAATTAATGATAGACATTATAGTTAGGTCCTTATTCACAATGATATTCGTTGGGCGTAGATCTCCGTGCATTAGAATGAATGGGCCGTGGTTGTACGTCGGATTAATCCACTCGACTGCAAGAGCTTGGAACTGGTAAAGGTCGTACAAGGCAATCTCCGCATCAAACTCGCTCAAGACGCTGTTGCGACCTTTGGAAAACCAATTGAGGACGAGCTGCATTTGTGAATATACGTAATCAACAGCGGAAGCATACGTGTCATCTAGATGGGAGATATGACCAGGTTGTAATCCTTCTAGCTCCTGTTGATTGAGGTCGATGGACAACGGGCGTCGAATAATGTAACCCTCAGAGTTGTTTTTCGGGATTGAGAGAGATCCGACACATGAAAACTCATGAGATCGCAGTTGGATAAAAATATCAGCTAACTGACTATAGAGATAGGACTTTTGCGACTCGTCAAGGGAAGATAAACCGATATCAAAAAGTGTATCTCCTTCAATATAATCGATAACGACGTATGCAAACCCTACCTGGCTCTGGCTTTTGATTGCGTAACCATGTATCCGCGGAATCGGGATAGTCGTCTTTTGCTGCACAAAGCTAGGCACAGCGAAGATTTGGTTAGCTCAGCGCCCCAATCAGAGTCCCAATTACACACTTCATCACGGCGACTTCGCTCTCCAGCTTCTCATCGACGAGAGCTACTCGGGGCACCAAAGGAATTCGCACAATCCATTTCTGACCATTTCCATCTGGCCCAAAGATAACCGGGTAGCAGATGTTGAAACTGCCCCGCAATGGGTTGGATATCAAGGTACAGCTCGCACCGTTATTATGTGATGAAGCGATAGAGCAAACGGTAGCAGGATCGATAGAGTTGATGAAAAGTTCAGTTTGCTCGTCAATAGACTTCTCGACAATAGCGTCAACATTTGCCATGTCTGATGGGTGATGGCCTATAAGTGTAGTGTTAGCAAAGTCACAAAGGGCACAGAATGTAATAACTCAAGGGTTTTACTCCTCAGATTTGAGGCCTCGTACATAGTTTAGCCCAAAGCGAACTTAAAAGCCATCACAAGATACTTGTATAAATGGTTATTTCGTGATAGCGCAAGGGCAGTTTTGGCTGTAGTAAATAAAGATCGCGGGTTGACCGCCTTTCGACGCGCGAACGCGAACGGGCCACAAGTGGCGGCTACTCGCGGGGCCAACAATTGATGCTAACTGGTGTGCAAACCGCATGATTTATTAGATTCTAAGGCACTAAGTAAAAGAGCAACGCCTTACTCTTGTTGTCCTAACTTGTGCTTTAATGGAAGATTTTCGACTTCTAACTTATTCTTGGCATGTCGGAGAGGATGCGAGATGCGAGCCGTGAGAAGATTAGGGGACGGGTGAGATGAGTGGTTTACATCTACAGTACACACTATCGCCCAGCTACTGTTACATGCTACAAATACACTATTTACAAGGATTAGAGACATAAAGTTTTCTTCAGGGCTTTCTCAAGTCTCTCCTGGGAATCAACTGGTTGCCTCCTCTCACGCCAAGTCACAAAGCCATCGGGCCTTACCAGCAAAGCTCCTCTGGATGAAATCCCAGCGGCAGCTCGGAATTCATCTTTTGCATCCACAAGGTCACCATTCATCCCGACACAATAGGCTTCTAAGTTAACCCCTATTGCGGAAGATACTGTCTTCGCAGCATCTTTCCATGACTGGCCATCTGGTCCAGCGAGCAGCACAAAGGATTTCCCAAATAAATCGAGAGTCGAGATACGCTTCCCGTCCTGCACAACCCAAACATGAGGTGCTCTCGTCCCAGGCCTCCCGTCAAGGGACATAAGTAGTGAGTTCAAAGTCCACGGCCTCCACGTGATTCCCCCTAATGGGCCAGTATCTTCCTCGACAATTGCCCTCGATGTGTAAGTATACCCAAAACCCGAAATTATGTATAACCTCCTAGCCATGGCCCAAGCTGTCCCCAGACTCATACTCACGGCCAGGTTACCCCTCTCGTCTGCTGCAACAGCACTTACCTCCACGGCCACCTTCGCTACTGGGTCCCTTTCCACATCATAAGTCTCTAGCAACTCAGGCTTAGCATAGCCTTTAAGGACAGCTGCCAACTTCCAAGCGAGATTATGTGCGTCCGCAATACCTGAGTTTGCGCCCTGGCCAGCGTAAGGCGTCATTTGATGAGCCGCGTCTCCAGCAAGGAAGACGCGACCATGCTGGAGCTGCTCCGCAAACATCGCAGAAGGTTCCCACGGCATAATGGATTTAATACTAATTTCGAGCTCCGACATCCCCAATGCTAAGCGTAAGAGCGTAACGCATCTTTGCTCCGGGAAATCCTCCACTTTTTGGCCCTCCGCCGGATCATAGCATAGGTGAAACACCCAGCGGTCAGAATTGTTGATGGATGTGAGCAAGCCACGGACCTCTGGGTGATCGACAACGCACAAACTGAACTCACGATTCTCAACGAAGGCTTTGAGGTCAGCGTGGAAGAGAATATTCAGCATATGGCCCAATGTCCCTTGTCCTCTCGACTTCACTCCAAGCTGCTTCCGGATCGGGCTCCCCGCGCCATCCGCAGCAATACAATACTCGGCTTTCACCACGCTCGTCTCTCCAGTCTCACCATCCCGCAACATAGCTGTCACGCCGCTGTCGTCTTGCTCGACACCCAAACATTCAACGCCAAACCGGACCTCGCCACTTCTTTCCTGCGCCGCCCGAAGTAAGACGGGCTCAAGCTCATCTTGCGTCACCCTTTGCCCCTTCTCGGGACTTTGGTCAGAAAATAAGCCTGCGAGAGGCATCTCCTTTGTGCCTTCTTCGCGGGGTCTTTTTTCCATGACTGATGCGAGAGAGGGGCCCTTGAGGATCCCCATACTGGGAGCTATTGTGGCGCCGGCTTGCCGAACGGCAGCATCAATGCCAAGGGAGCGGTAGAATTCCATTGTGCGGGTGTTGACAGAGCGGCCGCGGGGATGGTTGGATGTCGAGGAGTGGCGTTCGACGAGGAGGCTGCGGACGGAATGTTGGGTTAGAAAGAGGGAAGCCGAGAGCCCGACTATGCCACCGCCTATTATCAGGACGGGAATATGTTGGGTTTGTGACATGGTACGTGTTGTGATTGTGTTGTGGTTGTAAGATTGCTGTTGTATGTAGCTGCTATAAAATAAATAAAGAGTATATATGTGCTGAGGAGAATACGGTGGTAAGACCGAATCTCGGGTTCTAGGGTGAGTCACCCCCACTTCCTGGAATTCGCTGCGCCGCGTGGCTGGCAGAATTTGGTACCAGGGCTCTGGTAGAGTTAGACGAAGTAGTAAGTAAAATGATAACTGGAACAGCCTTGATATGTTTCGTCAGCAAAACCCACTCCAATCACCAGAACTAGTGGGATAGTAGAATACTAATTGCGAAGCTCCACCACGCTGTTAGAACCTGTTTCTATAGTAGCTAGAGCTCGTAAGTGGGGTCCGAATAGAGCATGTATTGAGGTTATTCGTACTTCGTAGCGGAGGAGAGGAGCGGAGCTGACCTAATATACTACGTGGGAAGCTACCACCGAATAGTGTCACGTGACTCTCCAACATTTCAACCCACGTGATCTTATTTTGCCAGGATTAACTGTATATTATGTAAACTGAATGCAACAGGCCCCTGTTTGTACGACAACATCTTCGAATCTAGGGACCCAATGAAGATTCATTGCAAGGCCTGCAAAAAGGTCGCAAAACAACTTGCAAAGGTGATCTCAACTCGACGACGTGGACAGCCATTCGAGGCTCCAGACCAGTCCACGATTCCCATTCTGTCGGTTTTCGGGACAGTAGGAGAAATCTCGAAAAGGAAATATTGTCACTCATGTAGAGACCTGGGAAAGGAGTTCACACGATGGGAAACGGTGGGTTATTGGACTCGGGACGATAATCTGGCTGTTGGCGTTGGGATAGACGACTCTCCCAGCTATCCAACCCTTAAGCCCCTACAACAATCGCTATACATAATCGCTATAGATCCGACGGCGAGTTATGGGAGAACTTACCTAGTGAACCTGTATCCGTTAGAGAAGGGTGCTCCACATGACATTTGTGGGAGAGTGATTGATCGCCATGAGGTGAGCTGCGACCTTATCAAGGGCTGGTTGCAGTGCTGCGACCTGACCCATGGAGAATATTGTACGTCGGGCCTCACCAGTCGCCTTCCTCCAGATGCTCGCCCTACTCGACTACTCCTAGTCGACCTTGAGAACCACTGTCTTTCTTACGGTACCTTGACGGACAAGTACGCCGCTCTCAGCTATGTGTGGGGCCAAGTGAACAGCTTAAGGACAACCCATGCAAACATCCAGGACTTCCTGAAGCCTGGTGGTCTCGATTTCGTAAGTGGTGACTTACATATTCCCCAGACTATCAAAGACTTCATGAAGCTTGCTCTTCGGCTCGGGATCCGTTATGCCTGGGTGGATAGCCTTTGTATCGTTCAAGACGGTGACGATATTCAACAGCAGTTGAATGGAATGGCCGCCATATTTTCCTCTGCGTACCTGACAATCGTCTCCGAGGGGCCTGATGCCAATTCTGGTCTTATAGGGGCGGGCAGCGGCGGGAAACCCCGCGATCGACCCTCTTATATGCTACGACTCCCGAATATGACCTGCGTGCTAGATGACAACACCATCAACCCAAACGACCCCCAAATATGGCAACAGAGAGCTTGGACTTTTCAGGAGGGGCTATTTTCCCGCCGACTACTTACATTTGACATATTTGGTATTTTGAATTGGGTTTGTCCGAGGTTCTACTGGCATGAGGTAGAACAAGAGCCTTCTGAGGCGCTGGATTGGATGCCGCATAACCCATCAATCTCCATCGATTGGAAATATATCGGGCTCTCCGAGTTGAACTTTACATGGCCTGATATGCGGAGATGGTGCGATCTTGTTGAAGAATATGTCCCGCGGGAACTGTCCTTCCAAGCTGACGGCATGAATGCTGTTGCCGGTCTTATATCTGTGATTGAAAGCGGATCTCCAGGAGGCTTCTTCTACGGCCTCCCGGAGCTCTTTTTCGACACCTTTCTTCTTTGGGATGTATTGGAAGGCCATTTTGCAGAAATGCGAGAAGTCAATGGACTCCCAAGCTGGTCTTTCCTTGGGTGGAAAGGAGGTCCATCAACTCAATTAGACTTGTTCTGGTGGCGGTTTAGTATGGACCACATTTTTTTGGACAGGCCCGATCAAGGCTATGGCTCCGATTGCGAAATTGTATCTATTGTGGATTGGTATAAAGAGAGCCGCTCCTCGAGTCTAGTGCCGGTGGCAAATCAATTTCATGTTTGCCGGTCACAATGGGTGGACCAGCCTCCCGAGGGCTGGACAAAACATATGTCCAACGAAATTGGCAGTCCATATTTTATGCACGAGTCCATCGATGACGGCCAGAAGTTCCGATATCCTATTGCCCTTCCACAGGCAGGAGCGAGATCAGAAAACGATAAATTCTTGGGGCGACTTCGCTTCAAAACTAAAAGAGGCTGGTTGAAGATTGGCAATTTGATTCAGCAAGACACGGACGATGACAGTGGAAATGATCCCGAATCTTCACACCACTCGGCCATTAATGTCTCTCTTGTAGACGATCTGGGAAACTGGAGTGGCATTATACGGCTTCCCCGAAAGGAAGTGTACGATCTTACCACCGTACCCAACGTCGTCCAAAAGAAAGCGCCTATGGAGCTTATTGCAGTTGCTATGGGCAATGTTCGCAACGACTCATTTCCAAAACACTCAGATGTGTTTAGTGTTTACCGTCTAGATATTCCAGAATGGGATTGTGAAGAACGTCCAAAGGATGCAGATTTCTATCAGTTCTACTTTGTCCTTTGCATCGAGTGGAGGGGAGACATTGCATATCGGAGGGGTCTGGGAAGAGTGGAAAAATCTGCATGGGAGCGGCTGCCTCTGGAAGAAATCGACGTTGTCCTTGAGTAGAAGAGAACTCCCGCGGCACAGGGTTCGAAGTCTATGTGCTGTCGTAATGCTAGTCTAAAAAGCCCGTTATTGTTGCAATTTGGGCACGCAATGGGCTACTATGTCCTTACTATTCTCATCTCTCTCGCAAAGTATTTCAATCACTCGTGATCAATTATTCCTACCTCCATAGATGAAAGACATATTGAAGGAGGCTGAGGGGTGATTATTATACTAAATTGCCCAGCCCGTTGCCGATTTTTCAGAAGCTTATACTAGACGCTTGCTCAGACGGATACGCTATAAACTATATTACTTCGTACTTGCACTTGTGCGATAGCCTTCTAAAACATTGCGCTTGCGCACGTCAGGGGCCAATCATGTAATGACACGCCAAACCCCTTCCACAGAATGAGTACTCAGCCACAGGTCCCCCAACTACGAGGCTGGAGTGGCCCTCTCCCCAACCTCAATAATAATGTTGATATAGGAGCCTGCTAAGTTGGTCTCATTGCCCTTGCTGTTACGAACCCAGAGATGCGCAGGTTATTCCGCGGTAGATTGAGAATAGGGAAGTCGAGCGCGGCAGGGAGCAGGGCAACCCCCACGACAGTGCCTCCACCAGCGCCGCCAACAGACGACATGTACTGTACGGAAGGATCTACTGGTGTGAGAGTGGTGGCCGATCCAACTGATTTTGTTCTTGAGTATGTTTAGATGCTCGACTATGCTCACGGGCGCTGACTGATTATCGTTTGCAAATAGTCTAGTATTTGTCCATAGCTTACAGCTGTCTGCGGGCTTAGCGTTATTTACAAGTAATATCACACTATATACGATGTATCACCTTTTTAGTGCTCTACTACTAAGAAATCGATAGAAATTTGAAATGTACCTACAACTTTACTACTATCTATTATAATCCTTTAACTAATATCGATACTCAAAAAGCTACTTTTAAACTTACTTTTAATTCAATTAATATATTTCTAAAGTATACTAATATAAAAGAGTAAAATATATAATTTAAATATATAATAAATAATTAAATATATCGAGTTTCAAGTAAATAAAGTATATATTAGTAAAGAAGTATGTCAAACTATAGTCGTTTAGCGCAGTGTACTTCGAGTACTTAGCTTATATAAACTATGCCCCGAAGAGAGCTATCTTATATAAAGGTTCTACTTTACTATAGTAATACTGGTTTATATATATATTTCTGATAGTAAGCTTTAAGTTAAGTAAACTTCACAAGTGCAACTTGTTACAATGTGTCTGTAAATACTGGTTTGTGAAAGCTATTAAGTGGGTTATTAGCTTTTCTATTTATATCTAGCTTCGTTTGACTTTTATCTTTAGCCCTTTTGTAATTTTACAAGTATATAACTAATTTTCTTCCTTTTAAGACTAATCTATCCTCCTTACCTCTTTTTCTTATATGTCGAAAAAAAAACAGCTTTATATAAGTTATTACTAAGTAAATTGAAATATAATCACAAGATAGAAGCTGCTCCCTTTTCAGAGAGTTAAGTTGCTCAAAGTCAAAGTACCTATTATTTTTCTCGGCACGGTAGGTTTTTCGCCACGTAGGGATGGACGTTAGGAGCGTAATTTAGTATAAACGTGTGGAGTAAACACTTACTGTAAGGTACGAGAGTCAAGTGGATACTACTGTAATAAGCAGATAAAATATAGGGAGCCACGCCTATCGTATATTTGCAGGACGACACGTGGTAGTCGACTTGTTTGTGACCAACACGTTTGTAGCCAACACGTCCGTAGCCGATAAATTTGTGGCCGACAGCAAGTACTTCTTATCACAGGATATGAAATCGGGACACTATCCCTGCTATTCCTAGAGAATGTGTACTTATGAGATCTTCTTCAAATATTCATAATATTTCAAAATCTATTCAAACTAGGTATCAAAACTAACTGCAAATGCAAAGAAATACAAATCCCACGCTACGGAAAAGAATCCATAATATCCACCCCATTCACCACCATCAACTTCGTATACTGATTTCCCTTGATACTAATATTATCCGTATACCCCCGGTTCAGTCCCTCTCTAGAACTATCCGGAAAAATGCTCGTCTCAAAGTAATCCTCGCGCTCATCTACTGTCCTCGCATACGCAATCAACGAACTCATCGAGCTGGTAATAATCCCGATCCAAAACCTCGCGTCGACAAGGACATTGTACTCGACTATTCCCTTTTGGTCGAATGGGAGGGCTTCGAGATAAGCGAGGGTTTCGGGTTCATTGGCTAGAAGCGTCCATTTGTCGTGGACGATGTAGCCGAGTGGTTCAAGCATATCGCGGAATCTCTGGATGCCATCGATATCCCCGGATGAAACGTAGATTGTGTCGACGACGTAAGAGACGGTGGTTTGGATGCGTTCTATTTCCGCGACGTACAACCGCATTTGGTCTTCTGCTGTGCCAAAGCCGGCTGGCCAGTCGTTCTCAGCGCGGAGATGGATGCCAATGAAGGCGCCATTGTTGAGTTGAGGGCTCTTGAGGACTTCGGTGCTGAGGTGGAGGAGGTCTTTGTTGAATTGGAGGGCTTTGAAGAGGGATTTCCGGATGGTGGAGAGTTCGGAGGACTTTTTGTAGTCCCAGCCGATGTAGGTGTCTGAGAACTCAATGAGTGCTGGCGACGAGGCGGTTACGGAGGAGAGGGTGTAGTTGGATTTTTCGAAAGAATTCTTTACTAGTCCTCGGAAGGTGTCCTTGCTATGAGGGGCCTCAAGGTAGGTTCGTTTTGGTGGGGTAACGATCTTGGAGATTCCGGACCTGTCGTCGCATACTCGGACTTTTAACTGTGGACATTGCTTGCCAACTTCTGATTTGAGATGCTTCATATCCCAGAAGAAACTCGGGCAAACAGTCTTCGCGTTTGTGTCTACCAATGCCTCCTCGTTTCTGGTGGTTGCGGAAGGTATTATGACACCAGCTCCAGCGTCAATGGCAAGACGAATACAGGTCTGTACACGATTTCTGGCATTGTTCAGTCCACCGCAAATTGAAGTCCCATTCACACCACACCCTGAATGGCAATGAAGCCATAATCCCTCAGTCCATTCCGTCTCACCACAGAGTTTCGATAGGTCTGTGGATTCGACCGGCAATTCCACTTTCGGTACTTCCGCGATACTAACATTTGAAGGTAACGTCGTATGATCAAGAGAAGCCAGGAATAGAACAGCCTCTTTGTTCTCTGTGAGATTCGCTGAGACTGGAAATATATGGTTCTTTGGAGTATAATGTGGTAGAAGGGAGTACTCGGAGAAAAATTCGGTAAAGAGAAAGACGTAAGCGAGGATAGATGAGACTATCACCGAAGTGACAGTCCTCGATGTACTGAACATAATAAATGAAGGTGAAGAGAACGAATGACGTTTGGATGTATTGCGAGATGTTAATCTTCGCGCCGTCTGCGAGCCGTCTTCAAGACAAAAGGAAACGAGGGGACTACCAACGAAGAATAGGTGCGGCACGGCTGACTTCCACAACCCACTCTCGCTACCAACAGCAATGTGAAACATCTACATACGTACATTTTTGAGGCATTGCTGTGGTGGAATAGTAGCGCAGGGCGAACTGGTTGACTTACTGAAGAACGGGAATGTGGAATACATAGCTCTCGCATCACTGGAACTTCACCACTGAGCGCTACAGCTGAAGAACATGAATGTAGAATTCGCAGCTCTGACATGGCTAGAACTTCACCGCTGAGCGCCACAGCTGAAGAACAGCTGAAAGGCGAGCGGAATTACCCATACTTGCAGAACACCTTCGGCGATGAAGAGGATGACGATGAAGACTTTGAAGAGAGTGAGGATGAGAGTGGGGATGAGAGTGAATATGAGAGCGATGAGAGCGATGAGAGCGATGATGAAGAAACACAGTCGGATATTGATTTCCTTGACGACAGCACCTCTTCCGAGGAGGAAAGTGAAACAGACCATGTACATAGTAACAAAGACCGTGCGAAGAAGCAGAAGCAGAAGCAGAAGCAGAAGCCGAAGCCGAAGCAAAAGTAAAAGCCAAAGCCGACCAAAGCCGATCGTGTAACCTAGAACAAAACATGATCCTGGTGTTGTTGCGAAAGCGTTTTATTACAGAGCTTGGCTCCCTAGAAATGGAAATATACAGTAGGGGCATCATGTAACTATATCACGTAATACCTACAAGAATACTATCCCCTATTTATATTCGATTCCCCTGAATTAACGAAAATAGTATATATTATCTTATCGCTAGTAAACTAGACTAGCTTATAACACTCGACCATGATGAACTACCTACGGTTGGTGCCATTCAATCAAACTTTGTTGGTGATCAGACGATTAGAAAGACGGCCACTGGAACACCAATTGCGAATGAATGTCAAAATATGACGGGGGAATTCCATATACGTATGTGAATGTTGTACCAAGTCAAGAGAGCAACGAGGATAGCTAAATATATACCATATAGATCATAACCTTGAGAACGAACTTCCAGATCGTGAAATGGAAATCAAATGCCACCAGACCTTCCGGACCTCGGAATACGAGCGGTACAAGGAGAGAAATCCAAATCCAGTCAAGGACACATGCCACTGGTTTTTACGGCACACTAGGTATACCGCCTGGAAGAGTAGCCCTATGTCTAGCCTACTTTGGGTATCTGCAGATCCCGGCTGCGGCAAATCTATATTCTTTAAATTTCTCACGGACGAAGTATTACGAACGACAACAACTCGGACCACTTGTTATTTGAACTATTTCTTTTTTTTATGGGCGATAACAAGGACTAGAGTATAGCCGCAAATGCATTATGTGCTTTGCTTTATTAACTATTCTCTCAGAAACCTGAGTTCCTCAGGCATGCTATAGGCGTTTTCGAAAAGAATGGAGACTATATTAAGGAAAATGTCGAATTATTGTGGGACATTCTTACCGCAGCCTCCGCAGATCCAGAAATCGGAGAGATCGTCTGCATATTGGACGCACTCGACGAATGCAGAGATTCGGAATTAAAAATACTGCTCCAAAAACTGTGCTTATTTTACCAGGACCCTCTCCATCCTTCAAGTACCACCAACTTGAAATTTCTCGTGACTAGTCGTTCTCTTCTAAATATTGAGAGGAAGTTCAACAGACTAAGTCTCAAAATACCAGAGATCCGTTTAGCGGGCGAGGACGAGACCGACCGGGCTCGTGATGAGATTATACTCGCTATCGAGGACGAACTAGTCAAAATTCAGCAGGAACTGCAACTTAGTCAGGAGTCTATTTCTGATCTGCGGAAAGAAATTTCCAAAGTTAAACACCGGACTTATTTATGGTTGAAGTTGATATTTGAGTTGACCCGTAAGGATCCCCAATCCGTTACGAAAATAGGCAGGCGAAAGATCATCGACGCCCTACCGGAGTCAGTTGATGCTGACTATATAGCCATTCTAGACAAGATCCCAGAAAATGACGAGGAGCAAGCAAGGAAGCTTTTGAGCATTGTTTGTGCTGCGCGGAGGCCACTCTCTGTTAAGGAAATGAGTATCGCATTGACAATTAGGGCAGATAATATCTCGCATAGGGAGCTTGATATACAAGCGGAGGACTACCCGAAGCGGTTGATCAAAAATATTTGTGGCTTCTTTGTCACGGTTATAGATGGCAGAGTCTATTTACTTCATCCTTCAAAGATTTGAAGTCACTATACCCGAAATTGGATCAGCGAACTTGGGCCGAGCATGGAGGGCTGGCGTCACTAAAACTTGGTATTAACGAAAGGAACAAATTAATAATAAAGGGACGACGCCACTTGTGCAGGTTACCAGCAATGGCCACAATGGACGTCGACCACCTACCCGAAGCACCTCACATCGATGTGAATCCTGTTAACTAGCAATCTCTTAGACATTTGCAAATGTAGGTAAAATGTCCTGAAGTTGATGGGAACGAGGATCGCCGCCGGCTATTCACAACCCCAGGCGTTGAGGTCTGGGGGTTACGTTTAAAGCAATGTGTTTGAAAATTTAGTGCATAACGTGAAGCTAAGTATGCTAAGATTATTTTAGAGGCTTTAAAATAAAGAGAGGATCCCAGGCATCTAACTAAAATCCTCTACCGACAGCCTCAAGTAGGGTCGAATATTGTCGCGCGATACGTTTTCGCCTTGGCTTAAAGCAACTGGATACTCTCCTGGAAGACTATATACATATTTCAGTAAGTACAGATACCTAAATTAGCGGAGTGATACATAAGTATTGATATACCCTAGATGCTCCTATCACATTACTCGTTTTGGGCAGACAATCTCTATAGCTTGTGATTGGAAGAAACATATAATTTCGCGGGGTGGCGGACGGAAACCGGTCCTTGCTGCTTCAAGATACATACTCGTTTCTCGGGACGGGTTATTGATGTTGGGACGTCTGACGAACCTGGAGATGCGAGTCTCTTTACTTTACTACCTAGTTTAAACCAATCTTTTCTAGCCCTCAAGTAATGCTGGGGCAAGGGGTTCCACAAACTGCGTCCTCAAAGGCAATTCTAAATTAGAAATAACAGCGGCTTCCAATATCTACATCTCAAAAACTCTTCAGCGAGTCAACTAATTTTGGGACTCCTTTATTAGAATAGGATTTGCTCATTTGTTAATTATTCGCGGCAGGTGGAACTGTCTGGTGACTAGGTCAAGCTTTAGAATGTTTACTTAGCGAGCAGAGGGCACCAGCTACTTGTAACTCAATAAAAAAGTAGTCACAACGTCACATGTTGTGGCTCTTCTCTTTCTGAATGCCTACTATAGGATCCATAGGATCTGGAGAGAGAAGAGTGATTGAGGGACTACCTTCAGGTAAAAGGATAGGGGGTGAGAGCCACCAGTTATATACAGGTGTAGACTTAACCGAGATTAACTGCAGACATAACCGAGCTTCATCTAATGCACCTTACATGATGTTTATCCAAAGCGTGACATAGGTAGGTATGTATATAAAGAATTAAAGAACAAACGAAGCAGCTTTCTTCTCGCAATAACTATTCAAAAATGGCCACCACAGTAAAGCTCGGTCAAACATTCGGGGGTAAACTAGGCCTTTATACAGTTACGAAACAACTGCATGACTGCATCTGGCTAGCAACGTACGTTCTTAACTCAAGACATCTAAAAGCAGGTTTTGGCTAATGATATCACAGGAACCAGAACAAGGAGAATGTAGTGGTTAAGAGTGTCAACCATTTTCGCCTGCAAAACGAACGAGATGTTCTACTTCACTTCAAAAACCAGACGCCATTCATCCGCCCGCTGCTTGATGAGATTGCAACCGCCGACAGCCCCCCGGGTCTTGTTTTGAGATACCTGGACGACGACATCCTCCAAGCTTCCAACGCCCAGCGCCTCACGCGTCCCGAAGTTCAATACGTTGCTCAAAGGGTGCTGGAAGCGCTGGCTGCCTTGCATAATGAAGGCTTTGTCCATACAGGTTGGTTTCCCCAATTATAACCAACACCAGGTTCACGTGAAGCTCTCTCGCTTACATGAATTATAGATGTCAAGCCTAGTAACATTCTTGTGAATTATGGGCCTGGTGAAATTCGGTTTAAGGATGTCCAACTAGCTGACTTTGGGAGCACTGTCTCCATGGATTCCTCCTATGCCCAGGATGGAGACCATATAGGAACACCTATTTTCAGAAGTCCAGAAGCCCATCTGCAAATGAGCTGGAGTACTGCAACTGACATCTGGTCCTTTGGTGCAACGGCAAGTTTCCAATACCTCTTCTAGACTAAATCATCTCGTCTGAAGTCTAATTTCTCGGCATTGCAGCTTATCAGCCTCATGTATGGGGAAGGATTCCACATTTTTAAGCTAGACGTTCTAGTGGACGATGATGAGTACGATATCAAAATCCTTATAAAACATCATAAATGCTTCGGTCCGTTTCCCGAATCATACGAGCAGATTGTAGACCAGGATCGATTGGCGGCTTTGGTATGGATAATGCAAAACACCCTCTAGAGACGATGAAGCCTTTTCATCTTACAACTGCTGGGGAAATTTGTAAGGAGGATAAAGAGTTTGTGCTTAAGGTCATGAAACTCGACTCTAGAGACAGGCCGACTGCCCTGGAGCTTTTGGAAGATAAGTGGTTCCAGCAAGGTTGATCTAGATTTCGAAGCACGAATTCGCCCTACGTACTGCTGGACACGACATAATGGGATACCGCGCTGCTGGCATGACACACCAGAGTGGGAAACCATTAGCTTTTACCACACACAAGTTACCTCATTATGCTTATCTGGAATACCTGCATTTGGGTTTATTCGGATCACTGGTGAATTGTGACTTTGGATTTGTAATCATTGATAGTTGGATTTATGGCCTTGCAAAGGTGTAAATAGAAACATGCAGCAGCATGTCAGACCACAGCTGTCCCGATGCAAACTCCATCCATTTCAGCTTTGATCATGAGTATTCAAGCACTCGAACAGTTAAAACGTGGAGGACCGCAAATAAACAAACAAGTAAGTAAACACCGGTCCGAATGCCATTGCCATGCCCCTTAGAACGCCAATGCAGATGTAGATGCAGATGCTTCTCCTACCGCTACTTCTTATGTACCATCAACCCTCGCTAGGAACTCTCTGATGCGACGAAGGTCCACATTCGGCTCGCTCTCAATAGCACGTAGTAATTTGACAGCGACCTCGTCAACTTTATCCTCAGGGGTATTTGTGCACAGGCCAACGACCTTCCGATACTTATTCGCAAGCTCGGAGCTCTTGCTTTGAAGGGCGCGGACGGTTTCTTCAAGGGCCTCGTTGTTACTCTTGTACGCGTTGAGCCGAGAGCGGAGAATATGAGTGGGAGGGAGGGCATCTAAAAGTTGGCGCTGGTCGTCGTCGAGGGCGAGCGGTTGGTGGGGATTGTTTGGGTCGATATTAACTAGGAGATTCATGGGAATTGCTCCATTGGGAAGAACGATGCCTTTATCTGCGTCGCCTAATTGCATCTCTACCTCTCCAGGAATTTGTCCCATTTGCTGCTGCATCTGTAGAAGGCGAGACCGCTCTCCCTCGATTGCTCTCGTGAGATTAGTGACCTTAGTTTTCTTAGTCTCCTGGTCTTTTGCTGCCGTCTCGATCTGCTCAATTCGGCGACGTTGCTCTCCTAGCAGGGCCGATGATTCTCGCAATTGAGCGTGCAGAGCGTCAATCCTAGCTTGCTTGGCGCTCACCTCGTCCGAGAATTCTCGCTCGACGGCAGATACTAATTCGGAGATAGCTACAGGGGTTAGTTGAGTTGATAAATATTAGGGATTTGAGTACCTACAAGATATTATCTCATTACTGGTTTGCGTAGTGCGGGAGGTATATTTCTCTGGAGGGGCGATCTCACCAGCCCTGCCTTCGGTGCCCGGGCCCTCGCCAACGCCAAAGTCAAGAGGACAAAGCCCAGAGCGACTCCTGATTTCAGGATTCGCACCAACTTCCATCAGCTGGCTAATAATACTCCTATTACCAATCCTAGCAGCATTATTTAGAGCCGTATCTCCCGACCTATCTTGGATATTGACAACTTCAGACATGAAGCGACCCAAATTCATTGTCTGTGCAGTAGGAACTGCGCTGCTGAATGATTGCTGGCTGTTGGGGGCAGTACCCTGGCGAACGACAAACTCTAAGAGGGACTCTAGATAGTACTTGCTGGCTGCGCTCCTCCCTTTGACTGCGGAGGTAACAGCGATATGGTGCAGAACTGTGCGGCCCCGTGAATCCGTGAATTCAATAGTAGGACCCAGAAGTTCAAGCAGGTCAGGGAAACTACCCATATCTAGGTTGTTAGTCACTCCACAAGATCGCATCAATGCAGTCTCTCCAACTCGGTTGACGCGGTAGATGCTCGCTCCACTGGCAATCAAGGCCTTTAATAGTGGTAATCGAGCGAGTGTTGCTGCCCAAATCAAAGCTGTATTTAGGGACTTGTCTATAGGAGTGTCGAGGTCTTGAGCAGACATGTTGAGGAAAGCCGGATGCTTGTTGAAATCCGTCCGTGAAGGATCGGTGAAGAGAGATAGCAACAGGCTCCGTTTCTGCTCTGTATCAATATCTACTGGAGATGGTAGTGGTTGAAGTGTAGTATGGGGCTCTTCAGCGTGGGCTAGTTGTGAGGGATAGGCAAATGATTCATTTGGCTCTGTTGGGGATGGTTCTCGCATCGACATGTCGTAACCGTCCATTCGTTGGTGGTGGTCACTTTCACCAGGTGAAGGTCGCAATCTCTTCCTTGGTGGTTCTTCGAAGTCGCCATTACGGCGATCGTCTCGCAACGGCTGAGAAAATTGAGTTGCATATGCTGAGTCTTGCCCATTGATAGTAAAGCTATCAGCAGATGCAAAGCTCTGGAGGCTCTGCTGCGAACCGCCAGGAAAGACGGATTCTTGAGATCCAAGATGCTGCTGCTGAGAAGACGATTGCCTGGTGAAACTGGGCGCGCGTGACGATGCTCCATTTCTCAACCGTGGGACCGGAGAATCAAAGCGTGCCTTGCTGATCGCGGCGACTGCGTGCGAAGCAGTGCTCGAGATGTTTTTAAAGAAGGTTCCGGACTGCCCCCCGGACCTATTCTCAGCCACTGAGTTATACATCCTTTTGCGCTGGGCAGCCATAGCTTGCTCCTTCGTGGGCGTGTCAATACCACCGCTTCCTGCAACACCTCCATCTTGTCCCATATCATATGTCAAGAGAGGCCGCAGTAGCTCCTCAACGCCATACTGCCTACAGAATTCAAGTCCTCTGTCGAACTTGATCCATGTACCCTGGTACTTCCCATAACCTCCCTGGACTTTCTCATGCTCTCCTATCAAGATTTCCTTTTCTAGGACCTTTGTGCGCTTGCCTTTCTCAATGCCAGCCACCTTCAGGATTTGGGTAGCGTTAAGCCAGCTATCCTTGCGGCGCCGCATTACCGCGATATTATTGACCTCCATTTCGTATACATCGACTCCCGAATATACAGCCTACAGAGTAGAAATTAGCACTTCAATTGGACCGTAGCTAAGTCATGAGCATGCTGACCGAGTATATCTGCGGCGCAGAGTTTCTGCGAGCATGTCCATTGCTCCCATCATACTGTCGAAAAGAGCCTCCTGGTTGCATCACTAAGCTCCCTTGCGAGCCCTGGCTCATACTGAACGACATCTGTGTATTTTGGGTTCAGCTGTGCTGCAGTGGCCTCTTGGTCGTAGGGTTAGATCGGGGTTATTAGGAGAGGTGAATGATAGCCGCAAGGAATTGAGGGTTCGTAGTAATTATCGCAGAGGCCATATGGGTGAGTCGATGCCAATATCGCGCTGGTGAATGGCTGTGAAAGAGTGGGCGCGTCGACGCCGTCGGGGTCAGCGCGACAGTGAAAGTCGACGGGACTTGTCGCCGTGGCCACGATGACTCTCACTTTTGAGGCGTTCGAGACGATCTTGTCTGGAGCGTCGGATCTCTGGTCAAGATCAATCGCGATCCTGACGCGCTGCTCGTAGGGTCGCAGGGAGGAAGACGTGTCGTGGACTCGTGGAGCGCGTGAAGGAGTAAAGTGGTTTTGCCGTGGGGGGTCAGTCAGTCGAGACCACGCCCGGATGAACGCGGCGACTCCGCCAACCGAATTGCCAGGAATGAATTATGACCCGGTCGGGGAACGCGTCGGGTCGCGCGTAGGAGATTGGCTGCTCGCTACTTTACTTCGTCATTTTGACATTTTTGTTTAAGAGACTATGGGCTATGGAACCCAGGAATCCCCTCCATATCTACAGAGCTCTCCTCCGCGCCACATCCTATCTGCCAGACGCAGCCGCTCGAGCATACCTGGCAGATCACATCAGAACCAGATTCGTCACCCATGCGAAATCAACACCGCTCGCGCATATAGCGAAGAATCGGTTGAAGACGGCAGAGAAAACTGCGCGATGTCTCGAGCGAGCTGGTCGCGGTAACATCGAGGACTTGGAGAAAGTCCTCGATTTCGCATATGGAAGGAAAGGCGCTCGGCGCAGACATCTACTAAGGGATTTGTTACAAAAGGATCCCCCCCAGGATGATAGGGCGTTAGCAGAGCTCATCAAAGCCGGCAGCGATCAGGCTGGCAAGAAACAGCCCCCCGAAATTGAGCAGATGGAACCGACCCCAAAATTTCGAGCCTTTCTCAAAAGCCATGTCCAATGTTTCCCCAAAAATACGCAGGTAGGCAAGCCTAAAATACGTTCCACGGCACCTCGGATACCAGAGACAAATACGTGGGGTCGCCCGATGCCCTTGAGACGGCAGCGTTCGATACGCAAGCGCTGGTGGGCCGAGACTCTGGATAGGATGTTTCCACCAGTCCCGCTGAAGGAGTGGAATCGTCTGCGAGACCTTGCTTTAGGCGTTGTTCCTGTCGAACCGTTAATTCCTCGCCGGAAACCACAAAAGCCTAGGAAAATTGACCCGGAGGAAGCCATTCAACAACAGAATCGAAGGGTGGTGAAATACTTGATGGACACAGCTAGGGCTAAGGGAACTATGTCCTTCGATCCAGATCGAGGTCTGGTAGTGGACGAGGAGGGTAATGCTGGGGATGAATCGGAATCCACTTTTCGGGTCTACAACTATCAGCGAACGATGCGGAGGTTGTATAGCCGCCTATGGGGCGCCACGCCAACTATGTATCATGATGTGTCGTTAGGTGATTGGGTTGTACATTGGGGTAAACCAGCATCGCCATTCCATTCGGGGATGCCCTCAATCCTGCCCAAAGAAAAGAAGGTGCTCTATTCAGGCACTGAAGATTTGCCATTGAAGGATTCAGATCAATCCCGCAAAACCCAGAAGGGAAAGAAGTCGGATTCGATTTCCACGATCGAAGGGTCAACCTCGAATTTGCAACCGGGAATATAGAGCTCTCCCGTCGTTTCAACATGCATCCTATCATACAACCTGGGTAGCCTTAGCTTTGACTACCCCGACATCTGATCTGGCATTATATCTCTAACACTAGACTCTACCCGGCCCTCCCAGCCAACTTCTCCAGCGCCTCCCCATCAACCCTCATAGTCTGCCACTCATCCATCGCCTTTGCTCCCACAACACCCTCATAAAACCTAATGCTCGGTTCATTCCACTTCAACACACACCATTCCAGCCGCTTCCCACCCATTTCGACCACCTCCTTTGCCAACTCTGCCAGCAACCGCAACCCGTACCCGTTTCCCCTCTCGCTCTCTCTGACGAACAAATCCTCGAGATAGATGCCCGGCCGCGCCCGCCACGTGCTGTAGTTGTAGAAATACAACGCCACGCCCGCGGGTTCGTTGGCGGGCGTGAATATGAGGATGGCGCGTGCGGGCCGGCTGCGTGAAACGGCGTCGCCCGTCGAGGGGGTGGTATTTGAGGGGGATACGATCGGGGACGGCGCGAATGCGATGGTGGAGAGGAGGGAAGATTCGGTGGCTTCGACAGTGGAGGGAGGTTCTTTTTCGTAGATGGCAAGTTCGCGGATTAGGCCGAGGATTATGGGGACATCTGGTTGTTGGATATGTTTAGTGAAGGGAGTGCAGGAAGGGAGGAGTTGGAGGAAGCTCACCCTCGCGGCGCGCATGCCGGATTGTGGTGCCTTCTGGGATAGGCATTGCGAATTGGACGTGATGCGGTGGATATTTATCTTGCGATTTACTTGGAAGTACAAGGCAAATAAGGACGCTTAGCTATATGTGTATATTTGTTGACTTAGGGCGGATTTGTTAACTCTGCGGGTACAGGCACATAGTCACATCGAAGGGCGCGGGGCAGATCGAGGGACACGGCAGAAAAATTAAAATCTTCACCGCCATTATGGAAGGGGGGGCATTGGGACGGAGTTATGACCCGAAGTTACTACATAGAGATATGCCGCCTATAGAAGTAAAAATAAAGAGTCTCTAACAAACAAATGCTCTAGAAAAGAAGAGGGCATATGGCTGGAGGTATCTAGATTCAAAGCCTCATGTCGTATGACACATTTTTCTATCTAGTTAGTTAAGGTAAGTGAATAGAACGCCACGGATCAGTATAGAATACTTGGTGTGCTAGGCTACTACTATCTTATGTCCTTCTAGCTAGGATCAGGAATATGAAAGTTAGACTTTAACCAGTTGCAGCATTCGACTCCAGAAGATAAAGTGGTTTTACGATTAGAATGAAATTATAATTCCGTTGAAGGCAGATAGCGAGGAGATACTCATGTTTATATGGTTGTTGTAGTGCGTCGTGAATGACGAGAAAACCATTTCTTCGCTTACAAAACAAATCCACCACTCAACCCAAATTCTTTTTCCGCGCAATAAAACCATCTTAACTACATCAAAATGACGACAGCCGTCGAAATTGCGGGCGATAAATCGTTCGATGCCCTTTCTATCGACCCTAGCGCTTTAAAGGAAATCCCAGAGCTCTCGGAAATTGTTACGACGTTCTTGAATGGCGACTACAAGGCGATCCTGCGAAATCCGACCTCTCAGGCCCTATTTGAGAAGCTCGCAAAAAGTGTCGAGCACTCCAGCACCGACGAAGGGCAGAAAGCTGCTGCTTGGGAGGATGATTCCATCGGCAGTGCTTCCGCCAGCCTTGTCCTCATTTCAGGACTGGCAGCATTTAATGCTTTTCTCCAGGCCAATGTCACGGGACCGCCGTTGGATTTGCGGGACGTCCTTCAGAGTGGCTCGTCCACTTTTAGAGATCACTGTTTGAGAAGCTTAGATGTCGATGGTGTTTCCGTGTACCAACACATTCCTCACGTAGAGCTGTTCTGCCTTGCTCGGATGGTTTTTACGGCGTATTTTCCAAGGATTATTGAAGGAAGTTCTACCGATTGCAAATGGATGCGTATCCGAGTCAATGCCTATCATCAGAGATTGCTGTCGGGAGCGTCCGTCGGGAAGTTGATGGATACGACTAGCCTCCAAAATGCGATTGAGAAAGACCTGAAAGACCTGGAGAAGGAAATATTGGCACCTGGCTCTTCATTTTCGACCGAGGCTAAAGTCCAGTTCTTGCTCGAAAAGGCTCAAATTCATATTATGCAAGGACTGGATCTCAAGGCCCAAGATGACCTCAAGATGGCTAAAACAGAATCTGGATTTAGCTACGCGTTATCGGGAGCGCTGGGAAAGAGGACAAAGTTCCAGCAAAAGGATATTTCGCAGCTAGTTGTCTTTGCAAAAAGTCGGGAATCTGATGACAGCAAGGCAGAACCCCAATCTACAGATGCCCCAATAGAGAGTGGTACATCCAAGGACGATCAAGATTTGAACAGCACTGTGCCTGAAGCATTGCAGTTGAACGATGATACCCTGCTAGAGTCTATTGAATTTTCAAAGCCTACATCGGACCAAGTGGATATTTCGTCTTTACCTCCAGCTCTTGCCGGGATGCAGCCAGATCAACAACCTCAACTCAACCCTCTGGACCAAATAACTCTGCTCACGGAGGCTACTCTCAAAGACGCGTTGACGCCTTTTGACAAGCTCAATAGCGAGGAGATTCTTCCCTATGCTGTCCGTGTGCTTTCGGACAAGCCTACAAACTGGCAAATATACACTCAAGCACTGTTAGTCCGAAGTAGAATCGAATCTCATCGGTCAAGGACACAAGAAAGAAGTGTTCTCCAAATGCAAGTCATTGTGGACCAGATCATCGCCGATACCCAAGAAGAGGCAACCTCCTCCCCAGATGAACTTCCGGAAATCCGAGTAACCCAGTTCCTGCCTCGAGCCCAAGCCTCCGAATCGGCCCCGGTTCCCGAACGGCTGAAATACATATTTCAACTCAATACCCCTACAAGGTGGGAACTCGAGACCGAACTTGCTTTCGCCTGGAGTAATGCGGGAAGTTTCGTCAGCGCGCTTGAGATTTTCAAGCGTCTGAAGCTGTGGCCAGAAGTAGCTCTATGCTATCATTCCGTCGATCAAGTGGAAAAGGCACGTCGAATTGTTCGAAGACAGCTTTACTACTCATCCAAAGGTCCAGAAATGGACAACTTCGATGTGGATGCCGCCGAAGTGGCTTCCGAGAAATGGGATGGCGAGATGCGATCTCCTCCACCACCACACGCTCCCCGCCTCTGGTGCATTCTTGGTGATATAGATAGTGATCCCGAGTGCTGGGAGCGCGCCTGGGAAATCTCAAATCATCGTTATGCCCGTGCCCAGCGAACATTGGGCGAGTACTGGTCCCGAACGGGGGATCTGGACAAAGCTCGAGAAGCGTACCTTCAAGCCACAATTGTCAACCGACAGAACAGCGATTCCTGGTCTCGATTAGGGGATATTGATCTCCGCGTTGGAAACTGGGATGGAGCCATCATCGCTTTCCAGCAATCCATCATGATCGACGATACCGACGCGAAGACATACAGTAACCTAGGCTCCGCACTACTCTCGAAGCACGCCGAACTCGTCAAACTACAAAAGGTCGCTGGTGCTTTAGGAGAGGAGCAAAAGCCCTTACCTATTGAAATCCGAGATGACGAAGAAAATATCTCCCAGCCTAAGGGCAAGAAAGAAACCCCTCAAGATTTCCTCCGTCAAGCTCTCTCTGCGTATAAACGAGGTGCCGCCATCGCATATGACAACTGGAAAATTTGGGACAATGCCGTCACTATCGCATCCCGCATGAACCCGCCGTCCTTCCCAGATATTGTCATGGGCACAAAAAATGTCATCCGCATTCGGGCCCCCACGGTTGGGGAAGAAGCAATCGACCTTGACATCCTACGAGCCCTAATCGCTGAGGTGATCACTCGCGACCGAGGAGAGACAGATTCTGCGACGGGAATTTATACACCACCACGAGGCAGTCTCGCCCGCGCCGTAATCCAAATGGTGGAATCAGACATCGTCCCCCTGATAACCACACGAGCGGAACTCTGGACGCTGTCCGAAAAACTCGCCCTTTACTGCCGCGACTATGCGCGTGCGCTCTCATGCGCAGAGAAGGCATGGCGTATGCTCACGCAGAGCGCGGATGAGGCGTGGCTTACTGATAGAGAGAAGTGGAAGGAAGTTGTACGTGTTACGGATGACCTTGTGAGTGCGTACGAGAACTACGGGACAATGGAGAAGGAAGATGGGGAGTTGGTTGAGAAGGCGTGGAAAATGAAGGCGAGGAGCGCTATTAGGGGGGTTATGGGAAGGGCGAAGGATAGTTGGGAGGATACTGAGGAGTGGGAGACTCTCAAGGAGCTTTTGGCGGGGTTGAAATCGTGAAGTCGTGGACGTATATGACGGATGAGTTGATATATAGATTCGTGTCAAGTGCGTTCATTAGCTGCTTTCTCGACTATTATTAGATATGTGCTTTGCTTTTTGTACTTCGACGCTACTGTATCACGATGTCATACTTGACGCAGGTAAGCAAGGTGCATATACACAAGTCACCTGAGCCCGCAAAAAATGGGGGAAGAGTTACCGCCGCTTTTGAAGCAAAAAATAACACCTGTTAAGTTAAGTAACCAAGCCATCTCCCTGGCTCTTGAAAGAAAATTCACTTTTATACTAGGAGTACGTCCGTGATATTGGATTGTGTTCTAGACAGACCAATTCAAACGCTTCGCCTTGGGAGGCTTGTTTCAAAGCTGACGGAGCTCCGAATACTTGCATGTACTTGTATGGACCGACAACCATGAACATTGTGGGGAACCGACTTGGTTTACTTCCGAGGAGATACAGACCCTTCAAAGGCACGAACTATTCGCTGGGGTAGACGGCGTCCGGAACTAGCGCATCCGGGCTCTTCTGCGGGGTTGAATTAATAATGACGACAGGTCAAAACATTGTTCCTTTTTTAAGAGGGGCTTTTGTTTGAGCCATTCACTTGCACTTGGCTGGGCGTTTTACTGGTATTTACTGCGTCGAGGAGCGTCTAGGCTCTGCACGACTCCCAACAACAAGCATCATCAACTCCACGCCCTTTCCATTCGGCCGCCTCTTTATATCTGCATTGTTCTTGTTTCAGCAACGCATTAAGCAAGCTGACGGGGCCCAAGCAAACCCGGGCTTTGTACAGTACATACGCAAACAGGACTAATGCCGAAAACCGCCGACGTTGGACAGATACCGAAAAGGGACTTTGCAGCCCTGGTATTTCCCCGCAATACATTGTAATAAGCTCGAATGCACATATCTACGTAGGATTTATTCTTATTTAATTCCAAATCCGAGGAGCAATTCAATGTAAATACCTGAATAGTGCTTATTCGCCTCAGTAGAATCCCAGGGCCCAGGAACCAGGGACGGTAGGTATCTACGATAAATCAACAGCACAGGGCCAAGGGCGGAAACTAGTCCTAAAATGATAGGAGGGGTCCTCGGACGGCAGGAGTATAGATATGCGTCATTTCCCCTCATTCAAGTTTCGAATAGCTGGCACTTCACAACTTCAACATTCAATTCAATTAACTTACAAATCTTCTCCTATTAACAATAAAATCGCCTCTCAGAACCATCAATATGCCTTCAGGATCTTGCTTATGTGGCGCCATCAATTTTGAATATACTGGTACTGTTCCCATTTCCGCTCTCCATTTCCGCTATTTAATAATTTATATTATTTTTTAATCTGCATCATTTCATACGAACCATTAACTAATAATTACTCCCAGGCGAACCGGCCATTACAGCTGTCTGCCATTGCAAGGATTGCCAGAAGTGGGCGGGCGCCGCTGCCAGCACCAACGTAGTCGTTCCCCACGCCCAATTCAAAATCACCAAGGGCACCCCAAAGAAACATGTCTCGATTCCTGACTCCGGGAAGCCATACCCTCGATTCTTCTGCGGTGGTATGTTCCCAGTCTTATTTTCCCTCTCGCTTCCAATTCTATTGGTCTTGAGACTCCCGTCTATTTTTCAAGGCAAAGAAGAACAAGTACCGGGAAAACATAACTAACAAATACCAGACTGTGGCACCTCTCTCTACGGCCAGCCAGAAGGCATGGACGGCCTCACGGTCATAAAAGCCGGAACCCTCGACAATGGTGCGGCAGATATCCCAATGGCGGCTGAGCTTTATATCAAGGATCGGGTGAGCTTTATGAAGCCGGTTGACGGCGCCCTGCAGAAGGAGATGATGCCATAATTCGGTGAATCGTTTAGCTAGGCTTGGGGAGTGAGATCAGGTGCAATCGGAGTAGGTGGGATTGGCGGTGGTAAAAAGCGGAGAATCCTAAATTGAAGGAATTTGAATACTTGTTCATAATACGCTTCCTTACAAAAATAAATGCAAGTATTTTAGGACGATATAATGTTCCACTCACACAGCCTATATTGCAATAGTATATTAAATAACAAGAAATATGAACATGTAGATAAATGTAAACACGGCAAGAATTAAAAAAAAAGTAGAACGAAATATTCCAATTCTATAGGACTACATCTCAAAACGAAATTGCAATTAGAACAAACATAACCATAAATCTCAGTAACTAAATCCAAACGTCCGATAATACTCAAAACTCCTCAATAAACTTCTGAATCATCCCTTCAGCTGCATTCACAGACAGCATATCGCTCGGGGCAAAAACACCCACATCAATCTTCTCCTCTTGATACCTGATCTCGACATCAATAGTTGGCTATTTAGATTCATTAGCATTTGCTCTGTTTAAACACAAAAATACCGCAAGGGGAGTTAGACATACCGGATAACCGTCAAATATTCCATTTTCGAGTTGTGGAGAAGCCATATTTCCATTTAGTGGGTAACCCACAACTTCGGCCTTCGATGGGAGATCTTGTAGCAGCTCAAATCGCGAACTTTCAGCCCTAGATGTAGGAACATCGGTAAAGGCAGAGGATTTCAAGATATTAACAACGAAATCAACCCGGGCTCCAGTCCACTTATAAATATCCTTTAGTGAAGCACACACCATATCAGCACTGCTTAATTTCGAAAGATCAGCTTGGATCTCTTTGGCGAGCTCTGCGATGTTGTTGGTAAGGGGCGAATGGACGCGGAGAGGGAGGATATTGAGTGTTGGAACTGGAAGGTCGGAGAGATCCTCGCCGAATGGTGCACGATTTGCATGATAGATCCCAAAGACGATGTTAGGTGTTGATTGCATAGAAGATATAGTATGAAGGTAGTGCGCATATTGTTTGGCTATGGATGCGAGTAGGAGGGCGTCGATGCTGACACCGGAATCTTGGGCGCGTTGTTTTAGAGGGGGCACTAGGTGAGAAGGACGGAAAACTTCTGTTCGTTTGTTGGGATTGATACCCGATGGGGGGTTGATTGATTTAGATGGCTCAGGTGTTTGTTGCCTGAGATAGGAGGTCCACTTCTCTTGAGTAGCCGCAGATGAAGCAGATTGTATTGACTGGGCCACGAATGGCTTGAAATCCCCTCTCAAGGTATTCGTTTCACGTCCGTGATAGAGCGACTCAAACTCATCCATGAGGATCGGCAGGCTGACACCATCGTACAAAGCGTGATGTATCCTGAATTTGAAGTTGACGTTCCCATCCGTACCCTCTTTTACCGTCAAGCTCGCCGGTGGCGAACCCAGGTCAGAATTTGGTAATTTCTTATCTCCGTAAACGACTTCATTGGCCGGATTCTTGTAGGTAATTTGCAAGATAGCTGAACCGACTTCTACAAATCCCGTTCGAAGAATATCATGTCTGCGTAAAAGTTTCTTCCAAGCAGTATCAACGCGGGCCCTGTCGAGTGGACTGGTAGTTGCATAAGTGAACGTCGGGTAAAACAAAGTCCCGCAAGAGACTTGCCACTGTCTAATCATGTAGAGTTGGCCAGCAGTAACAGGCATGACGTCTTGAATATCTCCAATACTCTTCTCCAAATCCTTGAGTTCGGACGTCAGGTTAATCTTGGAAATTGCATTGGAAATAACTGCATCAAAGCCCACAGGTTGCTGGATGGTGGGGTTGGCGTTAAGAATAAGTTGAGACATAGAGTAGATGGTTTGTTCCCTGAGGATGTCTGAAACATTCAATTTGATTCCATACTTCTTTAGCAAAGCGGGTAGTTTGAGGATTAAGATCGAGTCAAGTCCGAGGTGGAAAATGGTCGAGTCTTTCTGAATCATATCCTCAGGTACATTCGAGAGCTCATGAAGCGCCTGGCGAATTTGAAGTTCTGTAGTTGACCATTTGCTGCTAACCACATCCGTGACGCGAGGGGTTGAGACTTGTCGCTTGGGCTGGGCCTTTGTAAACTTTGGTAAGCCACATACAGAGATTCCGCTACCATCGGATTCGATGGTAGGAGATTGTGGGTCGTTTATCATGCGCTGAAGCACGGAATCTAAAGCATCAAGTAGGCCACTTGTTTCGTCCTCATTTCGAGCAATCGATTTGCACGCCGTGGTCCATATAAGATTATTATCCACAATTTCCATCTCCACACATACTGGGAACTCCACACTTGAATCGCCGTACACAGAGTCGTATAGCGGCCTGGTAGAAGGAGTTTGGCGACGACCTTGGTAGATAAATAGCGTATCAAACAAGGTAGTAGTCGCTGTTGGCGATCGATGAAGTCTAGATGCAAGAGCATACGCCTGGGCCGTTCCAAGTGGGAAGTGTTGATATTGGCGGGTGGTGTCGCTCAAATTTTGCATATGAGCTAGTAACTCGACCAAGTTTCCGTGGAGTACTGATCTCACAGCTACCGTGTTCATTAAGGGAAACATGACTTCACTAGCCTCTTCGGTATCACGACACGAAAGAACGGAGCCGAATACAACGTCAAGTTGGCCTGTTAAATGCGCCAGCACTAGTGCCCAACATGTTTGTCCAAGGGTTTGTAGGGTGACTCGTGAAGATTTGCAAAGTGTTTCGATATCTTTGATCGAGATGTGGGATTGCTGCTGTTGCCGGTGCATAGCTGTATCAGTGCCTTCTAAAAGCTCCATTTTAGGAAATTCCGCGGATGGCAAATTCGAGAGCGTCGCCCTCCAAAATTTCTTTGCATCCTCGGTGGTTGATTGGACAACCTGCTCTAGGAATGGCGTGAAGTCTGGTCTCTGCGAGAATTGTCCATTGTAGGCCATCGCGATATCTTCATGCAGGGCTTGCATCGAGGTGCCATCGTACAAGGCATGTGCAGCAGCCATAACAAGATAATGTGCTGAGCCTGCATCGATCAAGTACATTTGGAATAGGGCGTTTTGAGCTTTGGCTCGTCGAACACAATCAACTTTCAAATCCTTCATGAAGTTTTGGAAGCTTTGGTCTTGAGGCAAGATGATTGTAGATGTGAGGAGCTTCTTTTCTGTTGGGGACAGAATCGCAAGGGCATAGCTTATGGGCAATTGCGGATCTTCAATCTCGATGAAGGTGCTGGTAAAAATTGGGGAGTTCTCAACGGCTGACTTAGCAGCAGCCATTAATCGCCCTGGATCAATATTCTCATGAAGTTTTAAAGCATCAATATTGAAATATCTCTCATAATCAGATTTCAACATCTCGTTGACCATGCTCTCTTGGAGTGGAGTCGCTGGTAAAACCTGTTCAGTTCCGGCGGGTAGTTTGCCAGTAGTTTGCAGGTGCTTGGTTAGGGCAGTGCTGATATTTTGGACCAATTTGCCGGAGGATGTGTCTTGGTCTTGGTTGCCACCAATGGAGGCATAGGGTGCCAACTTCGAAATAGTTTGGCATTTGATAATAGCACTAACAAGGATCTCGATGTTGCGTTTCTTCAGTCTAGATGATAATTTGATAACATCGATGCTATCAAGGCCGAGTTCGAAAATTGAGGATGTCTCGCGGACCGAGTCTTCTGGGACTTCTGCAAGCAACGCAATCTCCGAGCGAACTGCTTTGGTTTCCTCGGTCCATTCGAATGGGTTATCGATGGGTTGCTCTTGACAAGGAGTGCTTGAAAGAGGGTCCGACACAGACCCGTTAGGAAGAATCGGAAGTCCATTCTCAATGTGCTCGTGAGGGAGAATAGGGATTTGTCCTTTACTCTCTATGATGTCTTGTATCGCCTTCTCCATCTTCCCTAATAAAGCCTTCGCATCGGACTGGGTTAGGACAGAACCTTGCGCAACAATAGTCATATCGAGCTGATTATTGTCCGGGCCAAGCACAGCTTCAAAAGCCACTGGATAATCAGCAAATTGCTCGCCGTCAACTTCAAGCCACAGACCCCTGGCATAGTCCTCCTCCCCCACCTGAGACCGCTGAAAAACGAACAGAGTCTCAAACAATGCTTGGCCTGCCCCGGCTGGGCTCCATTTCTGAATGTCATTTAAAGGTGTATGCTGGAAGTCTTGCATTCGCATGTTGAATTCATGGCACTTGGAGACCAAAGCCGCGAATGACATTTTAGATTCAATATTGACGTGGAAAGGCACAGTGTTGAAGAGCGGACCGTTTATTTTCTCTGCATCATCAAAGTCTATGGCCCGGCCGGAGGTGACTATACCGATGGTAAGGATAGGAGATAGAATTTCCTGTAGCACCGAAAGCCAGGCCGCCTGGAAGACGGCTTGAGGTGTGACTCCTAGAGTTTTGCGAAAGTCTTCAAGGCCTGCGAGGTTGATCCGGGTACTGTTCTCCACGATATCGTCGCGTGCTTCCGACTGTGTCGGAATGGTATGGTCTCTCCATTCTTGGAGGTGCTCCTTCCAGAATTCCTGCGCTCCTTTAACTCGAGCTAATGGTCCATAAGGTAGCGATGAATGGAATGATGGGCCATATTCCACATGCTCCGTTTGGTTGTACTCGCCAACAACGTGCTGAAGGAGTAATGTCAGGCTGTTTCCATCGTAGAGCCCATGGAACACCTGAAATCTCATGATGTTGCCTGAGGAAGTTGCTTCAAGAGCCAGATTGAATGGAGTCCTTAGAGCCAAGGACTTATCCAACTTTGCATAATCAACAGATGAATTCGCCCAAGAGATATCGAGCCATTTCAGAACTATTTGCGCATACCCATCATCAGTAACCACGAATTTTGTGCGTAATATCTGAGACTGAGAGACCACTCGGCTCCAAGCGGCAAGAAGCTTCTCCGTATCAATGCCTCCCGTGAGTTTAAAATCAAACTGGTTGAAGTAAAGAGGAACTTCGCTTTCAAGAAAGCGATATACCATCCCTTCCTGCACGGGGGTACAAGGGGAAATGCACTCGACGTCCGCTGCTTCGACGGATAGCTCTCTACATATCCCCACCATATACTTTTGCTCGAATGCAGCGATTCGTTGTTTCGTAGCGACGTAAGCATTTTCATTTTCTTGGTAACTTGTTCCATTTCCATTGGAAAGAGCGGCCACGAGTCCACCCATGGCTGGATTGCTCTTGACGACGGAAAGTTTGGCATTCTCAAGACCAGCAGTTTGCAGAGCGCGGGAGAATCCGATAATTGAAATTGAATCGAGTCCTAGTTCGAAGATATTTGAATCTCGAGACAAGGCTGGTATTTCAACTCGCAGGGTTTTGGCGATGGTGGTCAGAATTATCTTCTCGTTCTCGCTCCAATCGGCGTCTCGCTGAGTCGAATGACTTAACTTCTGGATCTCTTCAGTGTCCAACTGGTTATATATCGCCGCGAGTTGTTTGGAATCAGCCTTGTTGTTGGCACTAAGTGGCAGCGCTTTGATCGGAATGAAGTGCGTTGGTACCATGTAACCTGGAAGCCGTGATTTGCAAGCCTCTTTCATTGCAGGAATCAAACTGGCAGGATCCGCTGAACTTGAGTCTACCTCGGCAACGAAAAAAGTAACTAGTTGTTCCTTCTGTTGAGCCTGATGCTTCAGTACAAGCGTCACCACGTCTTGAAGGTTATTGACACCCTTCTTGATGACTTCGTTGATCTCACTGAGTTCAAGACGTTGGCCACGCAGTTTAACTTGATCGTCTGCCCGGCCTAGGAATAAGAAGCTCCCATCGTGGAGTATCCGCACGAGGTCGCCTGTGCGATATACGCGTTCTCCAAAATTGTCCAAAACTGGGAATCTTTCAGTTGTCAGGTCGGGACGGTTCAGGTAACCTTTCCCAACCAATTTTCCAGAAACACATAGCTCTCCAACGCCACCGCGTAATACTGGCAGAGTCGATCCAGGCTTCAGGACGTAAGATCCCACGTTATCAAACTGTGGACCGATGTTTGAAGGCTTCCCATTTCTGGGAACGCGCGGGTACATCGTGACGCCAATCGTAGCTTCCGTTGGCCCATATCCATTGTAGATACATCCAATCTCGCCCCAGACGTCGAGGATTTCCTGTCTCAGTTGTTCTCCCCCAGTAATGAAAACGCCATTGCATAGAGAAGGGACATCTTTGGGGTGGAGAAGTCTGGCAAGACTGGGTGTTAGATCAATATGCGTGATGCCCAATCCCTGGATCGCTCCGGGGATGTCCTCAAATATAAGATCTCGCGGGGCTGAAGCGACACAGATCCCCACACTCCAACTCCAGAATTGTTCAAGAACACTGACATCGAAGTGGAAAGATGCAAATTGTAACCACTTTGATTCCTCCGTCCAATGGCCTGCAAAGAGGCGTTGGAATGATAACATTGCCTGGACAGCGTTCTCGTGGGTAATTAAGCACCCCTTTGGCGTACCAGTTGTTCCAGATGTGTACAGGCAGTATGAAACATCTTGTGGACTGATATCTCTGGTTAATTTTACCGTGTCAGATGTGCAATCGGCGTAGATCGCCCGGGAATCTAGCATGATCACGTTGCTATCTAGATCACGCTCTAAGGTGTGTCCTGTTTTCCCAGCGCTAAGTATCAACTTCGCTCCGGAATCTTCAATAATAAATTTAAGGCGATCACCGGGCGCATTCGGATCCAATGCAACGTAGGCACATCCAGCTTTGAGAATGCCGATGATTGCAAATGATGCCTCTGGGCATTTATCAAAGCAGGTGGCTATGATCTCGCCTGCGATGATACCCCGTTGGTTAAGCATGTGCGCGATCTTGTTGCCTTCTTTATCGAGCTCGCTGTAGGTCCAAAATCGAGTCTGAACATTCCCGGGCTCAAGCCTAGTTGCAAATTCAAATGCGGTTTTGCTCGGCCACTGTTGGGCACCCCTCTCCACGAAATGGTGCAGAAGTTGGGCGGAATCCGGCAACTCAGGCTCTTCAGCGGGCGTGATTGACAAGAGAGCTGTTCCAAGATCTGGAGCCACATCACTAACGCTGTGAGGGTTACGCAAGGTATCTATCAGAAGAGAATCATACTGTCTAAGAATAATCTCAGCATGCTCGGCGGGAACAAGATCTTCTCTGAAAGTCAACCGAAGCGCAAGCGCACCAGACTTCACCGGCTGGATTTCCATGGAAACAACATAGTCCACGGAAGCTTCCTCGTGGGCGATATTCCACGGCGCCGTTATCTCATTATCGAAAGATGGCATTTTCTGATACGCAAATAACGTATCAAAAGTCTTCCCTTCAAGAAGCCCATTCCACTTCTGGATGGAAGTAAGGGGCGTGAATTGGTGCCTATGGAGCTGTGCGTTGAAATTCATAGCTCTAGATAGTAAATCTGCATTCGTTCCGTTGATATCACATCGAATTGGAAGAGTTACGATGGATGGGAAAGCGATGTGGTTCGCTTCTTCGTGGATTGAACGACCAGATAGAGTTATTCCAAATGTTGTCGAGGGTTCTCCAATGTATGCCGCAAGCAATCTTGCCCATGCCACTTGTCCAGCTGCTTGCATAGTAACTCCATGCTCCCTGCAACTCTCCTCATGCTCTCCAGCAGAGATTTGGGACTCGATCTCTCGGACAGCACTAGTCGCAGAGGGATTCTGAAGAGGCGTGAGATCGGGGAATTTATTAACGATTATCCTGTTTTCTTCTTGCTGCCAGAAGAGCTTTTTGGCTTCAACATCCTTTCCGCTTTCCTCAAGGATTGCCCCTAGCAGAGAAGTAATCGGTGGGCGGCTGGTAATTGGATTTGAGACGCAAGCCTTTGCAACATCTTCAAGAATCATGTAAATAGATTGCGCATCGTACAATGCATGATGAGCTGTGAGCTTAACCGTCACTTTTCCAATATTTTCCAAGAGCGCCAAAGACCAAGGCCGTTGGAGGTCTTGGTTTGGAATTTCATCTTCATGGAGACCCTCGTAAAACGGCAACGAAAACCATTCTTTTGCGTAGAGTGCCGTCACGAACGGGTGTTGAGAATCGTCACTTGGCACAAAGAAAGTCCTGAGCATCTCGTGCTCCTTGCAAGCCTCGGCCCAAGCGCTCTTGAGTGTCGCTATAGGTAATGACGGTAACAACTCCATGCATAAGCTATTCACATATTCTTGGCCGTTGGAATGTAAGCTCTGGGCAATCATCCCCTGTTGAACAGCAGTACATGGTCTAACGGCCTCGATCTGGGCGAGGGGTATCTCAATGCTTCTAGAAATGGCCTCCCTGTGGACTTTATCGAAAGCTTCGAAATCAAACCTTACGTCTTGAGAGGGACTGTCACTATGGCTTTTAAGATGTGCAGCTAACTGCGTGATGGTGGGGTTCTCTAGAATGTCGCTAGCCATCACACGGTAGCCCAACTTTCTCAAGCGTGTAGCAACCTGGACAGTGCTGATACTATCGAGACCAAGCCGGAATATGCTCACATCTCTACCAATTCTTTCTATTGGCATGTCTGTGAAATCCGAAATAATATCTCGCATTATTTTCTCTTCAGAAGTCATTTCTGTGGACAAAGAACTCTGCTTCGTAGCATCGGACTTGGAAAATTCTCTGCTGATTGAGCTCTCAATAACTTGGTCTTTAACGGTGGACGAGAGAAGTTGGTGACGGGGGTTGTCGAGTGAGATTTGGATTTTCTCATCAAAGGATTTCAAAAGCTCGAGGGCTTCATTAGGAGAGATGATAGAAGTATAATAATGCAATATAATCTCAAGGGTATCATCGCCGCGATCTGGAACGACCTCGCAAACAAGGGGGAAATCCATGGCGCCACTATCGTCTGAAATTGACCAGATGGAAGAATCCAGAGCTTTTGACGGCTGTTGTAGAAGGAAAAGGGCATCGAAAAGGCGAGTACCGTCAGGACTGAATTTTGATTGGAGACGGCGTAGAGGTGTTAACTGAAATGGGATTGAATCGGCATTGAGAGATTGGAGTTTTCGGAACGCTTCCAGATATGAGAGACTGTGAGTATCCCGTAGGCGTGCCGGGATTGTGTTGAAGCAAGGTGCTACGAGTCTCTCAATTCCTTCTATAGGAACTGTACGACCACTAACGACGTTGCCGAAACATATGTCTTTGTTTTGAAGTTTCTCGGATAAAATAGTGGCCCAGACTGTCTGACAAACTGCTAGGAGAGAAGTACCGCATTTTTTAATATTATCTTCGATCCAAGATAGGGAACATTGTGTACTGATCCGCTGAATTTGGGTATGATCTTTCGTTGGCTGGGCCTCTTGCACCGCAAAGCGGCCCTTGACTCCGGTAGGAGAATAATCTTTCAGAACGGATCCCCAAAATTGTTCATACTCAGTCACTTGAATCCCAGTTACGGAGTGCAGGAATGGGGCGAACGAAACCGGGGGTGGGAGGGGCTCATGATGATAAAGTCTCTCGACTTCCTCATACAGAATTGCAAGAGCCTCTCCATCATATAAAGCGTGATGCATCGATATTAGTAGCTTCGTGGAGTTTCCAGAAGTAGCAACATCAATGCTGTAAGGGGGCTGAAATTTGTTTAATCCCGCTGGTGCTTCATCTGCTTGGATGAGTTGTGCGGGTTCCTGTCCTTCCTCAATCGACCCAAACTCAAGATCATAATTTTCTAGAATAACCTGAGCATATGCGTAGCGGGGTATATCTGTGCTGACGAAGCATGCACGGAGAATCTCATGCCTCCTTACCATCTCTTTCCAACAGTTCCGAATTATTTCCAGGTCGCCATGGACCTGCAAAGTAACAGTATTACTGTATAGGCTCTCGGATGATGATTCACCTGCTGAAAGCATGGCCTCTTGTAGTGGTGTGCAAGGCAAAATAGTTTTAACCCGTCTCCCTGCCTGTGCAAAGCTTTCAATCGTGGCATCTAAGAATTTCTGACCAAAACCAAAATCTTTCTCTTCAGGTCTCGATGTTTCCACCTTATCTATCTTCTCATGGGATACCATTCGCTCTGCCAATCTTACCACCGATGAGTATTTCAATAATTCGGAAATTCCGACTCGGTGCTTGGTACTCGCCCTCAAGATCCTCGCAAAAGATATTGCGGAGATCGAGTCTATGCCAAGAGTGAAGAATGAAGTATCGGGGCCGATTTGGTCAACAGCCACATTGGTAACTTGGGCAAGAGTCTTTGCAATGTCCAATTCGAGATCCGTCCATTGGTGGTCTGAAGCACTGCGAGAGACTTGAGAAGCACGCTCTAGGTACTTAATATCAAGAGCTTCAAACTCTCGTATCAGACGCCGCTTGTCAATCTTCCCTTGCGGTGTTGATGGGAGATAGGAGACAGGGACGAGTGCTGAAGGTATCATATATGCCAGGAGCGCTGCTTCAAGTTGTTTGAAGAGTGCAGAGATAACTAATGGATCAGGTTGTAGGCAGCTGAAAGATGCGGATCTTTCCGACTCTGGAGTCCAGAAACAGACGAGTTGTGACGAATTTTCCTTGCCTTCAATCACAATTGTCACACAGTCCTGTACTCCCTCTGACCTCGAAACTACATTGTTGATCTCGCCGAGCTCCACCCGTTGGCCTCGGATCTTGACTTGATCGTCCTTCCTTCCAGTAAACTCCAGAGATCCATTGGGCATCAGACGACCAAAATCGCCAGAACGGTAAAGGCGCCCAAATTTTGGATGTTCTATGATTTTCCCAACGGTCTGGTTCGGATCCATGTAACCACGGAAGACCTGTGAGCCCCCGAAACAGAGCTCACCCTCTCCTCCCCTAGGTACAAACGATACACCTTGACCGGGAGATAGTACAAACGCAGAAGTGTTCGTTAGCGGTGGGCCGAGGTTAGTAGTCGTGTCATCTTGCGTGGCCTGGGGGTTGATTGTGCAGATATTGGTCGTCTCACTTGGACCGTAACCAATATATAGACCCTTGTCGACCCAAGTCTTGAAGACTAGTTCCGTGACTGCTTCTCCAGCTGTAACCAAAAATTGCACTTGACGAACATTGTCGGGGTTGACTAAAGCAGCTACTGTTGGAGTCATACTTAGGTGCGTGACGTTCAATACACGGATAGCGTTTTCAATGTCTTGGAAGATCACATCTTTGGTTGCGGAGCAGATGCATCCCCCAACTCTCCAGGTGAAGAAAATTTCAAAGACGGATACATCGAATGCTTGGGAACAGGATTGCAAAAATCGAGAATCTGCGGTTGCCGGATATATTTCTTCCAGGGCAGTTAAATTGCTCAGAAGATTGCCCTGTGTCACTAGTACGCCTTTGGGAGTGCCGGTACTGCCTGACGTGAAAACACAATATGACAAGTTCTCTGGAGAAGATACCAATAGGATATTTTCAGTAGATTGTGCCGAGAAATCCACCTCGTCGACATAGACAACAGCAATATCACGTAATGACTTTAGCAGTGGCCTCGAGGATGATTGCGCCATAACGACTTTGACGTTCGCCTCTCGTAATATGTATTGAAGTCGCTCATCAGGAACATCTGGCGTGAGTGGAAGATATCCAGCGCCCGCTTTCGAAGTGGCGAGAATGGATGCATATAATTCGATGCTCTTCTCCATGCAGATGCAAATAAGATCATCTGGGAGAACATTGAGGGAGAGCAAATGATGGCCCATTTGATTGCTCAGCTCATTTAGTTTAGAGTAAGATATGCTGGAAGTGTCGACCTTATCTGAGTCAATTGATTTGGCGAAAGTAATTGCCGGCCGACTTGGGTCTGTTGTTGCCATTCTCTCAACCGGAGAAGACAGAGTTTCATCGTTGACGACCTTCTTGGGATAGGGATTCTCAACTGAGAGGAGCTCATCATCCATAGCATCAAAAACCCCGGTGATGGGTTGCGCCTGGTCTCCGATCACGAGCTTAGCAAGTGCCTCTATCTGTTGAAGAAGTAGGTTGATTTGTGATTCCGGAAAAATGGCTTTCTGGTAGTTGGCTTTTAACTCGACATTTCCAGTCCCTGGAATCACCTCCAAAGTTAGGTTGAATTCAAGATTATCAGCAGTATCTACTAGGCGAACGCAATCTCTGGTATGGTCATATGCATGCAATGTTTGCTGCCAGATGAGGAGCGTATCAAACAAAGGTTGGCGCGAGTTTATACCGCAGGCGGATTTGATGTCGCGGAGCGGGATTAGGCTGTGTTCTAGGTGTTTTCTGTTCGTTAAATTGAGGTCTTGAGCTAATTCTTGAATACTCTGGGACACGGATAGATCTATTCTGACAGGCATCGTTGCAAGACATGGCCCTGCGATGTCTTCGATGCCTGGAATAGGTAAGGTCCGGCCTGAAAGCACAGTGCCAAAACAAATATCAGATGACCCGAGATACGAGCTCAAGACCAGTGAATAGGCGGCTTGGAATATAGATTGTGAGCTGGAATTGAGATATCTTGCGGCAGCTTCAATCTCAGAGGTTGGAATAGACGTCGCCAGCCGAGCAACAGCCAATCCAGTAGATTGATGTTTTCTGCTATGGAAGTTTGGCATTTTCCTTGGGCTCAAATTGGCGAGATGATCCTTCCAATATTCTTTGGATTCCCAATTATCTGTCTCAAGCGTGCCGTCCATATACCCATGCACCACGTCCGAGAAAGGAGGGCGTGAGGGTGTAGGCATTCCCATCAACATTGCGTCCAGGTCATCCAGAAGAAGTTCCAAAGACCATCCGTCATATAATGCGTGGTGAATATGTATCAGAAGTCTTGTATTTTGACCTGCTTGTAGCGCCTGCACTTTAACAGGGCGATGGAGCGAGACGTAATCGGACACTTCTAAATCATAGAGAAGATTTTCCACAAACTCAATTTGGGAGTCTTCGAGGCCTTTCCATATAATCTGCACAAACCCACTAGAGACAGGTGATTCCGCGAACCCCGTCCGTAAGATGGAATTCTTCTCAGCAAGAGTATGAAGGACCGATCGAACTTGCTTTAGGTCCGTAACACCCGATAGCTCCAATTCTACCCAATTTTGGTATGCTCGCGGGTCAACCGCAGTCTCTGATAGCATTGCCGATTGAAGTGGTGTGCAAGGCATTGTTGACTCGACGTCGAATGTATTACCATTCAACACCGCAGTCAAATCAGACGTTGCAAGTTCGACATTAGGACTAGTCTTCCCTGTCTCCATTGAGGTTGACTCCTCACAGAGCTGTACTAGTGAGGCATGGGTATCGACTTGGAGGATTGCAACGGTGCTTATGTTAAAACCAGACGATCGCAACTTTGAAGAAACTCGGATTGCCATGAGGGAGTCAAGGCCGGCAGCAGTTAGACGCATATTTGCTGGGAACGGTCCCAGTAATTGCCGAAGGGATTCTCCCACAACTCGCTCAGTAGGCGTAGCTGAATCTGGGATATCAGTTGCTTCAGTCTCACGTCGTTGCTTATAATCTGCCTCTAACTGCCTCTTGTCCACCTTTCCCGATGTTAAATATGGGAAAGCCTGTAGCAAGACAATCTCACTAGGCACCATGAACTTTGGTAGCCATTTTGCACATGTTTTGAGGACTTGATCAGGATTAGAATTACCAGCCCCAACAAGAGCAAACACGACGAGTGCCCCACTAAGCACCATGGCAACGACAGTCTTCACGCCTGGATGCCTGTAAACAGCCTCTTCTATCTCTCCAAGTTCAACTCTTTGACCTCGGAGTTTGACCTGGCCAGCGCTCATACGGCCATGTATTTCAATTGTTCCATCTTTGAGCTGGCGGGCCTTATCTCCGGTTCTATAAAGGTTCTTGCCATCGGCATGCACAAAAGCCAATTTATTTTGATCTGGTCGATTAAGGTAGCCACGTGCAAGTTGTGGACCACCTAAAACCAACTCTCCAAGTTCGCCGAGAGGTAGAATTTTCATGGTATCAGGCTCATCTTCCGGGGTACTTTCTGCTGCAATAAATGTAGAAACAGCGTCAAATGGAATGCCTATATTACCGGGCTTGGTATTTGCTGCCATTGCCGGGTACACAGTGCAGTGGATTGCGGCTTCGGTCGGCCCGTACATGCCATATAACATAGTCTCTTGGGTTTCAGAGCCACCAAATTCTTCAACAATCGGCCACGTAAGCATTTCTCCAATTGTCAGAAGAAGCTTCAATCCAGGCGCGTGAGCTCTTTTCTGGAGAAGGGAGCCGGCAACAGTAGGTGTGAGCTCACAGGCATCAACTTCTAACTTAGTAATGGTCCCCGGTAGGTCATTGAGGAGTTGGGTCCGATTGCATCCAACTAAAGTAGAGCCCCGAACGAGAGGAAAAAATATCTCGAAAACCGAGACATCAAAAGAAGGTGCGGCAAATTGAAGAAATCGTTGAAATTGGGGTATATGTCTTTGATGAGATAGTAAAGATTGAGAGACCGCTAAATGGCTGACAGCAACGCCTTTTGGCTTCCCACTCGAGCCAGAGGTGTACATAACATAGGCCAGATGCTCCGGTGGGGTTTCAGGTGACTTCCATTGAGGCAGCACTTCCGGGACTTCAGGAAACTCGTCAATGAGGATGATGGATGGCCCATTTTCCCAAGACACCGCTTCCTTAAATTCGCTGGTTGTGATGATGATTTGAGCTTCCACATCACCGACGACAAATTTGATTCTCTCTTTGGGGGCATCCAGATTAATAGGACAAAACGCTCCTCCGGAATTTAAAATAGATAGTTGAGAGATGTAGAGCCCCGGGGATTGGGGGACGAGGACCGGAACAATATGCTGAGGTGACTCTTTCCTCTCTCGATTCTCATCCCTTGCCGTGGTTAATGATTCTTGTATCTCCAAGACCAAAGATGCCACCGAGGATTGAATTTCATGATAGGTGTACTGCCGCCGGCGGTCGTTGCTTGTGAAATCAATAGCACAATTTGAGCTATATTTTTCCCATTGTATTAGGTGATGGAGTAATTGAGGCCCTTCCAGCAGCTTTGGAGGGTCGTTGAGTATTGAGAGGGTTTCCGCCATGATGAGTGGGTATCTCGGGCGCTTTAATGATTGGCGCAGAGTAGTAAATATGAGCTGGCAAGGAGATATGGCAATTAAGGCGAATGGATGAGGCTATTGGGAGGCTAAACGCTTGCAATCAACTCATTCTGAGGTGGAAACAGTGGCTCAAGAGGTTGCGACCCGTGACTTTCAGTTCACGTGGTCGTTGAAGCTCCTGGTGATGGCTGATCCGGCGAGAGATGTTCAAACCGGCGTTGATGTGTAAACCCTGGATTAAAAACGACGCACAAGCATGTCTACCAAGTAATACTTCCGACAACGAAGGGTGTCCACTAACTTAGGCTTCCCATCTCCATTTCCTCGAGATCCGGTGCTAACTGAATGTTCTTGTTCATTGGTCTATGCTGGAGCGCCTCAAGTGTCCAAAGTCTCGGCAAGCGCCGCCTTCAACTGTCCCCATCATGAGATCCAGGGTTACTGTACCAGCCGTATCGAAGGCGTACGATCTTAAAGCAGCTAGATCCATCTGATAGGTGGGGGTGGCAGTCTGGCGTGGGCGATGGCGAGTTTGCAACTTGGCAACTTAGCAGGCCGATGGGGATGAGGATAAGGATGACGAGCTGAGTCAAGCGGAGCAACGAGAATGAGAAAGATTAGAAAGCCGCGACAATCTATAACCCTGAATAAATAATGGCTACGTACGAGTAATGCGCCGTTTGCAGTTACGAAGCAACTCGGTTGTGAATAGGGGCGTAAATAGCAGGAATGGACGCGAGAGTATATCCATGCTCCACACCTGATTCTAACCGAATGCTACCGTTTCATTGCCGATCGCGGGAAACACCCGTTACGGGCAGGTGCTGAGGGGTGCTTATATCAACTGTTTTATTTTCACGAAATGCTATAGTACATGGAAAAAACTCGCTTCTACTAGTAATATTACTTCGTAGTCTATTATTACTCTACATCCTTCCACGACTCCTTGATGCCCGTTGTTCTCGTTCTCAAACAACCTAAATGTATTATCCACCTTGGCGGTACCCACATATGCAGTTGGCAAGGAAGATTCTTCAATCTGCATCTAATCTGATCATCAGATTGCAACACCCTTCTCCCTCCGGTAGCGGATGGCTTTGGCTTCAACGGGCTCTACCTGTGCGCGCCGGGCCAAGTATTCTTCGATTTCGGGGGAGCCCTTGCCTACAAAGACGGCAGCGGAGATGGTGAGAATTGGGGCAGTGACCGGGACAAGTAATTTGCTCGTTGTCCTCTAATAATGAGTAACCCATCACCTCATCTTGACCGTTGCCCAGCCTTGATGTTGATGCAACCCTCCGCCACGGGCGGCATCAGATAATGCAGCTTGGCATCCACTCCCGTTCAACCATGAAAGGGCTGTGATGTGATAGATCAACGGCTACACGACTGCCATTACCAGCTCGATATATCCACTTCCTGCCATTCCCCGATTTCCTCCTCTAATCCTTCCCGTTCTCGACGATCGATTGCAGTACCGAGCATGCACATGCCGATCCTAGACCATAATTACGCAATTCGTTTGCTTCCCTTATGCAGAGTGTACTGCTATACGATAAGTGCTTTCAGTCTGGATACGCCGGCAGCCAAGGAGCGCTCGTTCCGGCCATCTCGTTTGAGTTTGATTGTATGGCACTCCCTTGTTACTTTCATCCGGTACATACAGTATATACAGGTACAGTACCATTTTTACTTGGCGTCTTTGTTCCTCCTACTATACAGGGACCAATTCCCGGCGCTAGATCTGCAAAATGCAGCACGTCGAGCTGTTTTGGTATTGTGGGTGAATCTTAATCCATGTGGGTCGCCATTTAGCTAAGGGAAAGATGACCACGCCAAGTGAGAAACCTCGGTTGAGGAATTACTCGTGTTTTGAGAATCCAGATCGACTTTGACAATTATCGACATGCCTGTATGCTTTGCTGCCATGCTTGTTCGTTATCCTTCAGAGCTTTCAGTCTTTCCTTGAGCGGAATCTCCACGAAATGTCATTTGATATTCAATGACACCTTCAGCGAACGATGAGGCTGGGTGCAAGTCGGGGAGATGGGGAGCCATTCTTCGTTTCCTCCGCTTCTTGCCTAAGAACAAGTTGAACAAAACGGAAGCTTCATACTTTGCCTTATTTAGGACCTTACGAGATGTCCAATCGCGCATCATCCTTCTCGGGGGCGTTCTGCTGGCCATCGCGGCAGGTGCTCCCCTTCCTATCATTGGTGTTATATTTGCCAGAATTATTGATGGCTTTCCGCCCACCGAAAAGGATGTCAATCAGCGTATTGTCGAACTAATAGCAGTTGGTAAGTTTATAACAATCTTGAATACAAAATACCAGTGATACTCACTGGTACAGCTTGTGCTTATTTCGTTGTTACATGGGGTTGGGCATCATGTTGGAGTATTGTTGGCGCTCGCATATCTGGAAGCCTACGAACTCAGATGGTTGATAGAGCCTTGGGAATGGATCAAACCTACTATGAAACAGAATGTCCAGATGTGAGTTGATCGTTGTACTCGCTGAATTTGTGCTTACGCCTGGGTAGATAACTAGCAGGTTGACGGTTGATGCTCAAACGGTCCAGTCCGGTACGGCAGAAAAAGCTGGGATATTTATTCAGTCCCTAAGTTACTTCGTTGTATCATTTACTGTAGGGTTCATACTCAATGCAAAACTCACCGGGATTCTTTTCGCGGCAGTTATTCCGTCGATGGCGTTGGTTATTGTCACTGGCACCTCGGCTCTAAACAATATCTCCAAAGATGTCTCGGAAAACACGTCGGAAGCTTCGTCAGTCGCCGAGGGTGCGATCAAAGCTGTCCAGGTGGTACAAGCATTCGACGCTTTCGAGATTTTGACGAGCACCCACAAGAGGCATCTGCAAACGGCCATGAAGTTTGGTATAAGGAAGGCAATTGCTGGTGCGGCCCTGTTAGGCAGTGTCTTTTTCATCGCGTAAGTCACACTCGCAGCTATAGCTAGGAAGTTTTACAGACTCATGACTATAGATATGCTGCAAATGCTCTCGCTTTCTGGCAGGGCTCGCAAATTGTGAGGAACAGTGAGAAAGGAGGAGGAAGTGCAGGGACAGTATACGCGATTGTGTTCCTGATTTTGGATGCTTCGTTTGTCATTGGTTCAGCGGGACCCTTCATTCAATCATTTGCCCACGCGTCCGCAGCCGGTCATCGAATTTTAAATCTTATACATCACCCAGATATTCCCATCGATGTCTACTCAGAGGAGGGAGTCCATGCAGACGAGCAGACTTTAGGACCTGAGAAACACATCTCGTTCAAAAATGTCAGCTTTGCGTATCCTGCCCGACCTATGGAGACGGTTTTGGATAATTTCAATCTCGAAATTAGCACAGGATCGACCGTTGGCATTGTTGGTGCTTCTGGCAGCGGAAAGTCTACCATCGCTGCTTTATTGTTGCGGCTTTACGACCCATCCCAAGGAGATATCAGCATTAATAACCATAAAATTCCCGATTACAACCTTGCGAGTCTGAGGAACCAGATGGCCCTGGTAGATCAGGACCCTGCAATTTTCTCTGGTACCGTCTATACCAACATTCGTGATGGTTACAAAGGTGACCGGCTCCCAGAGAGGGAAATGAAAGCCAAATGTGTGAAGGCCGCGAAGGCAGCGGATGCTTGGACATTTATCGAATCGCTACCAAATGGGATCGATACCTGGTTGGGAGAACCGGGCGGCACAAAGCTCTCCGGTGGCCAAAAGCAGCGCCTTTGCCTAGCTCGAGCTTTGGTTGGGGATCCAGCTTTGCTCGTGTTGGATGAAGCCACCAGTGCGTTAGACACCATTAGCGAGGCTGCGATTTTGACTTCTCTCGGGAAATCCAGGGCTTTGGGCCATCGCACGACAGTAATGATCGCCCATCGTCTTGCTTCTGTCAAATCTGCCGATGTTATTATCGTTATGGCAAAAGGCCGCATTCTGGAACAAGGAACTCATCAATCACTGATGTCAACTGAGGATGGACCATATAAGAAGTTGATTGAGGCACAACAGTTTGCTCCAGATAATGTCTCAGAAATATCCACCGAGAGCAAAGATATTGTCATTGAGCGAAACATGTCCAATGTCGAGGAAAGGTTGGTGGCAGAAGTTGAGGCTCCAGAGTCAACAGGGGCAGTTAAGGATAAAACCAAGTCATACGGAACATTCGCTATCATTAAACGCTGCTTATCCCTAGGTCGTTCTCGGTTACTCTTCACACTCTTAGCGTTAATGGGTTCGATGATCACTGGTGGCTTGATATTGGGGGAGTCGATTGTCTTCGGTCATTTGGTTGACCTCCTCAATGGACCTGTTTCTTCAGGTCGCGTTAACTTTTTCTGTCTGATGTTCTTTGTTCTGTCTCTACTTGCCCTCTTAGGATATATTACCTCTGGATCGTGCTTTGGAATTGTTTCTGAGCACTTAATCTTACGTACTCGGGATTTATCACTTCGAACCATCCTTCGGCAAGATATGGAGTGGTTTCTCCAGCCAGGTCGAAGTACATCCGCACTAGTTTCCATCATAAACATGGATTCAGGTCATATATCTGGGCTCTCGGGTGTTATAATTGGAACGATTGTCTCTGCTTTGGTTTCCGTTGTTGGGGGTGCCATTTTGGCTCATATTGTCGCTTGGAAGATAGCAATTGTGTTGTTCGCGACCTCTCCCATTGTCGTCCTGGCAGGGTTCTTCCGACTGCGTGTGCTTGCAAAGCTCGATGAGAAGAATCAAAAGGCTTATACTGAGGCGGCATCACTCGCAACAGAGGCATGCAATGCGATTCGTACCATCGCAGTTTTGGGGACGGAGAGAGATACATCGGAAAGGTTTCGTCTTGCCGTGGGGAAGTATCGAGCACAAACACTTCGAGACACTGCTCTAGGAAATCTTCTCCTCGCTGGCGCTCTAGCAATTACGTAAGTTGTTATATTAACTATCCGTTATTACATTAAATTAACAATGACTAGGTATTTCGTGTACGCCTTAGCGTACTGGTGGGGGTCCAAACAAGTACGATCCGGCGAAAATACCAGCCTCCAGTTCTTCATTGTTCTTCCGGCTATTCTGTTTTCGGCGCAAGCTGCGGGTCAGATATTCTCCCTAGCACCGGATATTGGCCGTGCCAAAGGTGCAGCCTCGCGAATCTTTGCGCTACATGATCAAAAGCCTAGTATTGACACGGCATCGCCTGATACGGGGTCTTCCCCCACTTCTTCTGAAGTCGAACCCAAGAGTGGTTCGACTGGAAAGGGCTCAGTTACGTTCCAAAATGTCGGTCTAACATATGGCTCTCGGCCGGATAATCCGGTCTTCACCAATCTCAATATCTCAATCAAAGCTGGTGAAACCGTGGCCCTGGTTGGTCGCTCTGGTACTGGAAAGACATCCACAATATCACTTATCGAACGCTTCTATGATCCTACAGCCGGCTCGATTCTCATAGACGGCGTGGACATACGATCAATACCCGTATCGCAGCACCGCGCGAGGATAAGTCTAGTTGCTCAAGATCCCGATTTATTTTCTGGAAGCATAGCGTTCAATGTTGGACTAGGTGCTCGCCCAGGACATAATGCCGCGAGAGAGGAGGTTATGGAGGCATGTAAGGCGGTTGGAATACATGAATTTGTTAGCGGACTGCCTGATGGCTATGAAACGTAAGTTTAGGCTCTGCCCAGCTACGTATCACCGAGGTATTTGATTAGCTAACACGCATCACAGACAATGCGGTAACAACGGCTCCCAGCTCTCTGGCGGACAGAAACAGCGCGTTGCAATCGCACGAGCATATATCCGAAATCCTGAGATCCTCCTTCTTGATGAAGCTACGTCGGCCTTAGGTACAGTCCTCTCCCTTGCTCTACTAAAGCAACCCATTCTCCCTTTCACTACAGAATACCAAGATTCTCACTAACAATATTCGCCACGTATCAGACTCTCACTCCGAAACCCAAATCCAAGAAGCCATCATGGTGGCATCCCGCAAATGTACAACAATTATGATTGCCCACCGGCTTACGACCGTGCAAAAGGCAGATCGGATATTAGTCTTTGATAAGGGTAGGATTGTGGAAGAGGGGAGACATGAAGAACTAGCTAGGGCAGGTGGCATTTATGAAGAGATGGTTAGGGCACAGAATTTGGGATAACATTGGATATAGATCGATGGTGTTATTTTTCTAAAAAATGTCTTACTGTGTGGGCATAGACGGCGTTAAGAGAGCGCCTAAAATAGTAAAATCTGGTTTAATCAAATTATATATTTTTAATATAGTTGCCTGCATCCAAATTTGGTTCTGCATGATGGAAATAGCTTGTCGGTACTAGTTGTGACCTGAAGATAGTCACAATGTCTTCCGCCTAGCAGCATATTCCGTGCAACCTAGCTACTTCATAGGCATACTCACAAAACATCCACTCAATCCCTAGTACACGTCACGTCAATACTTCCTAGCTAACTCTTTTCCCACCAACAGAACGCGTTTCCTGACAATAATTTCTCTCTTCCACACCGCAAACTCCATCCCCCACCTTAGTATTCCTCTTACGTACCCCTCGGATGACGATGGTCCCATTTCTCCCGAACTCTGCCATCGGCTCAAAAAGAAAAGTCTCCTTGCAGCTTTTCACCCCCACCGCCGAGCGAGTACGGAGTATTGCGCCAGGGGACGACAGGCAGGGGCCCCGGACGAGAAGATTATCTCTTGATCTGATTAAGACCAACATCCTTACCTAAAAGTCTCGGCAATGGATGACTGCGGGATCTAATAGAAAAGGCGTTTGCCCCGAGGCCGGGTCGTATTCCAGAGCCCAATAGTGGTAGCGGGAGACATGGGAGCGACTCATCTCATCCATCTGATTATGCTGGCAGGCGGCACATACGGCAGCTGGGCGGTTTCAGCCTTCCATGGAGTGGGCCACGGGAAGAGATTATCTTTTCCATCTGATTATGAAAAATACTACCTTTACCAGGTTATATCAGTCGATTTGACCGCCTGTTGAGGTAGTTATACAAGGGTTGGGGATCCCTATCCTGTCAAGACCATTAGCGCAGGGAAAAAAGGTGGAGCGGGGAGATTATCTTTTCATCTGATAAAGATGGGGGGGTTTAACCGCTCTGGTGGGTGCTGCAATTAACACAGGGCTATAAACACACGTGTAATATATGCTCAATACCCCTTGGAAATCCTTATATAATGATGTATAAAGGCTTGAGAAACAAGCACAAAAAGGCTACTTTTTTGCAGCTGCGACGTTTTATACTGGAAACTGGGGGGAAATAATACTGCCGGAGCCTACCGTGCAGCTGATATGCCTAGACGAGCCTAGTATAATCCAACCAAGGCTTAGCGTCATTATGTGATGGTATCCTGTTACAATTACGGCATCTTAAGTAAGCGTAACATGTAATACCAGTATCCATTAATCCGGCTCCTGTCTTCCACCTTTTCCCCCACCCTCAACCACACACTACCTACGGAGTAAGGTTGGTATATAACTCTGCATCCAAGGTGTCCCATTATCACTCCTGAGCAATTATCATAGATACATAATTCTCCCACGGCCCCAAAGGAGACATCTCCGAAGCCGGCGCGCAAGTGACAAGCCTAGGCTAGCCTAAGACCTTGCGGATCTGATAAAAACGCTTGGCCTTGGCCCTCGGAGTCCTGCCTTGAACAAGGAAGCGGCCCGCAAAAAGCATCATCGGCTTGTCTTCTATCTTGTTTTGCGCTTCATTGTTTCGTTTACACGTCCGCTTTTGCCAAATCACATCAAGGTCACGACCGATCCCCCTTCTCCCACGCCAAGATGGCGGCATGTGGCAAGCAGAGCCCGCGGCATGAGCCTGGTGCAAGGTTGCTGGAATGGATTTGCACAATCAGTAACCTGTTGTGCTGCCTCAACAGCTGATACCTGCAGGTCCCGCCTTATACGAAATAGACAAGGCGCGAGTGCAAACTTAGAGCCAAAAGCAAATGGCAAAATCCGAGGCAAAGATATGCGCCCCACAATCTTCGGCGACCAGCCAGAGACGCGAATCCCAGGGCATGGGGGCGACGTGACGGCCCTGATATGGATACTTGTATCGATATGCATATCAATATGGAGCTTTGCCAGGGTGTGTATATCATGAGCACATCCTCTCATATCTGCAACCGCCTGGACGGTTCGCCTCTTTCCAGTATCGTCAGATTTTTGCTTGTCGCTTTCCCAATCACCCAAGGACTCCGGTTTATCTCCCCTGAACTCCCCACCTTCTCTGCACTAGCCGTCGTTATTCTGTCTGAAGTCAGAGTCTAAACAAGGCTTTGTCGTGCCACACTGCTCCGGGACACTCCGAACGGGTCCTCGTGGTCTAGGCTTGGCGTTAGTGTCGCCGGAAATATCAACTGCATCAAAGCCACCACCAGCAAGCACTTGAACAAAATTGAACCTCCGTTCACAGCCCTATTTCCGAAATTCTTATCATATAATTCTGCCAAGCAGACGGACGAGAAACAGAATCTGGATGTCGATGTCGATGTTGAGGACTCAATTCAACCTCCAGTAACCTCGGTATTATCAAATCATCCATCTGGACCACATTCTTCTGCGCCACCAGCAAACTTCTGCGGAAACCATACATTAATCTCTACTGTGCCTGTGCAGTTCCATTATTTTGCACAGTGAAGATACTTAAAGTGCTACTGGCCATCGCGCTGTGTAAAACTGCTTGATTCGTTGGGCCGGCCGTTCGACAAGACCACGACGGCATTCTTGGGTATGTAGTTCTATTTCCTCCGGAGAGCGCAGTTTTCGGTATATGAATCTGTTTTGATGTGTTTTTAAATAATTAAAGTATAGAATCTGACCAAGACAGTTAGCGGAGCCCTATTGCTTGTTTTGAGCCAAGAAGAAATTCAGCGCCACCTACCGAGGCCAGGAGAATTGTGAAAGTAGCCAAAGGGCAAACTACGTTCTCCGGACTTGGTACATTGGAAGCAAGAAGATGGCCCCTTCAGCTATAGACAATGTAGTGGACGCATTTCATGGTGTAAATGGGTACCACAGCAATGGCGTTGCACTTACCAACGGCCTCCAGGAAATTACCCTCACCAATGGGCACTCTATGAACGGTCACACCACCAACTCTGACGCTCTTTTGAATTCCTCCCCAGACCCTCCACTCGATCTTCTCTGCGTAGGATTTGGTCCTGCATCACTTGCCATCGCCATTGCGCTCCATGACACCTACCCAGCTTCCGCACCAGCTCCGAAAGTCCTATTTATGGAAAAGCAGCGCCAATTTAACTGGCATGCCGGCATGCAACTTCCGGGCGCGAAGATGCAAATCTCTTTCCTGAAGGATCTCGCAACCCCTAGGAATCCGAGATCGCACTTCACCTTCTTGAACTATGTATTCCAACAAGGAAGATTAAACCATTTCATCAACTTGGGCACATTCTTACCGAGTAGATTGGAATATGAAGATTATCTACGTTGGTGCGCGGGCCATTTTGAAAGAGAGGGCAATGTTTCGTATGGCATGGAAGTTGAGGGTCTACGAGTAGGAGATCAGGATCATGATGGGAAAGCCACGAGCTGGGAAGTTACTGCCAGGGATCAATCTGGAAACCTCGTCACGAGGAGAGCAAGAAAAGTGGTTATTGCCGTAGGAGGCAGACCAGTGATCCCGCAATGCTTACGGGGCTTGAGGCATATTGCTCACTCGAGTCAATTTTCGTCAACTATCACCCAGATTCAAGCCAGAGAGGAGGGTAGACCGCTAAAATTCGCTGTCATCGGTAGCGGACAGAGCGCGGCAGAGATCTTCAATGATCTCTCGGAGAGATTCCCTGATGCGCAGGTGAAATTAATCATCAAGGGAAGGAGTCTACGGCCAAGTGACGATAGTCCCTTGTAAGTCTTTAATCCTCCGTAATATATGAGCCCTTAAAACCCTTCGTCTTTGTGGAACGGGCAAAAGCTAATCGTATCCAGCGTCAACGAAATATTTGATCCAGATCGGGTTGATGAGATTTACAACCAAACACCATCCGAGCGAGCAGATGCCCTCGCTCTTGACCGAGGCACGAACTATGGCGTGGTCCGCCTCGAGTTACTCGAGCACTTGTACGAGAGACTCTACATGCAGCGTCTCCGCAATCAAGACGAAAGTACATGGCGATGCCGCATCATTACAAACAGAGTTGTTCTCGCCGCCTCGCAATCGCCATCTTCTAACGGGGTCATCCTCAAACTGGTTGCCAACCGGGAAAACAAAGCGGATGTAAATGGAGGCGAGGAAGAAATTGAGGCCGACTATGTCTTTACTGCCACGGGATATGAGCGCAATGCACATGCGGATATCATATCCGAAACTCGAGATTTATTCACCGGAGAAGCTACGAAGAGAGTGCCTGTTGGGAGGGATTATCGGGTGATGTATGACGAGGCGAAGGTAGATGAGCAGCAGGCCGGCGTGTGGCTGCAGGGGTGTAATGAGGCTACACACGGGGTAAGTTGTCCTCTTTCTCAGTACTCTTTTTATTTCATTCCGTTTCCCGCATTTTATCCCTCCTTTTCGTTGTGGCTACATTTTGAAATACGAGATCTTGCGGACTTGGCTAACGATATCCCTCCAGCTAAGCGATACCCTCCTTTCCATCTTAGCCGTGAGAGGAGGCGAATTGGTACAGAGTATTTTCGGCGGATCTTATTCAAACCCCAAACAAGCATCATGAAATTTTATTATCATATCTAGCATGTTACTGTTAATCTTTTATTTTTTTTCAAGCCAGGGTAAAGTAAAACAGAAATAGATCTCCCTTTCTCTTACTATAGAGATCCAACAAACATAGCGAATTTCAGAAAAATATTTTTTCGTTTGGCGAATCAACATTTATTGGATCTGTGATATTAACATTTATGCCCCTGTATAGCACGAGATGTGCTGGTGTGTTATTAAAACTTGGATGCTGGCTTCGAGTTAGTGAGTGCTTGAAGGTGCAATGGAGCATTTAAGTAGTAAAAGAAGCTTCGTGGGAGAGGGACGAGCAATTAACATCTCGATGACATAAATTTCGGTACTCTAATGACTGTGCGGCTGCAAAGCAGGCTCGTGGAGAAATCAAAGAGTTTCACAGGGCAGCTTCTTGTACTGCGTCAGAAGAACCGCTAGGGTAAGAAGATGACACGATGAGACTTGAGGCTCTGAGAACAAATCGCGCGTGTGTTGACAAGAACGAGAAAATTCTAAAAAGCAAGGTTGGTAAACAATATTGTCTGGAACTAATTGTGAGACTAGGTGGTATAGCTGCATTTTGTAGGTAGGTGGCATACCTACCTAGTGTTCTGGTCTGGTAGCGCTGTCTAGTCGCCTCTGGTTGTCAAAAAATAATGCTACGTGTAGTAACCTTGTGTCAATAACATGAATAAAACAGCTGGTAAATAAAGCTGACATGTATTCACCTCAGTTGCTAGCTATTACATATGGTATAAGGGCATGGGTAATTTTCGGCGTTTTATCGGGTTCCCCTGAAAACCTACTCGCTTCACCTTTCGACGCAATCCAAAAGTGACCTTACCCTTCGAGTTATTTCATTATCAGAACCCATATCAAGAGCTCCTCAACCCAAAATCCAAACATCAAACGCTGGCACCTTCCATGATCTATTGAGACCTGCGTATCCCATATTCTATACGCTTGCCCCACTCGACGTTCAGCTACATTCAATATTGCGGGCAACTAAAAGACCCGGCTGGATACGGGGTGCCTTTATTGGCGCGGCTCCCTTTCACCAAATGTTGTCAAGCCCCCAGGTAGCGCAGTCAGATGACTCTGTCATTCCAAGCAATGAGCAGATTCAGAAAGTCCTAATCAAAAGCCATAATCACTGGCAGCAATATATCAAAGAGGCGACTGAGCAGCCATCAACCGTGTTTGATTGCATAGAGTTTCGAGGTCTAATCGACAGAACCCCAGCAATTCCTCCTCATCGCCTTCTAAGACGAAATGGACGTGCCGCATATGGTCAGTCGACCTGGCATTTCTCACCTCAAGACAAGTGCAGTTTAGGAGAGCTTAAAGGGCATTTGAGGCCAATGATCCTAGGCATTACAAATCCTACGATATGCACGACTGAGGGATCTAGCTTTCGCCATTGGGGAGGAGATATTGTCGAAAATCCTGAACCTGGAAATGGTCTTGCAATTTTAGTATTTGCTTGGGCATACATTCTTTCTGCGCGGCTCGTTGAACTCCAAGGAGGGTCGGTTCGGTACACGGAAGTCCTCGCACCAATCGCTGGTGTTGAATCCCGGGTTCAGGCAACGTCGAGAGATGTTGTCGTTGATCTTGAGAATGTTGATTCTATTGCGGCTCGTTGGTGGCGTGCAATTCTAGCTCATGGTCAAGGATGGCGTGCCACTGTGCATGAACACCCAGTATACCTGTCTCCCTGGTCTGTCAGCTATCAGGGCAGTCAATATTTACAAGTCAATCTCCTGCCATCTGCTTCTGCTAAACATACGTCAGAGCATCATTGCCCCTCATCCACTGAAGCCATGGGCTATCTCGCGGATTTCTGTGCCATTCACCACCTTCACAGTCAATCTTCAGCAGCACTCGCAGCGGCTCTAGTTTTGCCATTGCATGAACTTTTACGTCAGGAAGCGACCCTACCAGAGATTGTTCTTGTAAAGCCTCGCGATACCACCATTATGAGGCCGGATTTCCTGAAAGAAGATCAGGCTTTGCCATATCTCATGACACTAAGTTGTACCGCTAGAATGCTTGATTCAGCAATTTGGGGGGTGTTCTGGGAACCAGGAGTTGACTGCAACCTTGTCAGTGCCTGGTTCCGCCCTATCATCAACATCCTTACTCCAATCATCAAGAGTGGTAACTTCGAGCTGCTTGCAAAGGTCATGGCTCTTCGCGATCCAAAGCTATCTCCATTATGGCTGGGCAGCATTATAACTGGAATTACCCCAAGAAGGATCATCCCCTTCCTCGAGCATTTGGATGGAACTTTGTCAGGTCCTGACCTTGACGTAGTGGCCTGGACCTCCTCTCCACAGTCCTTCATAGACCTAGCAGGCTCAGGACCTTATGTGCAAGATTCGAAAATCCGACGGGCAGATGTGTGGCGATTACGCTACATCTGTCAAAATGAATACCCTCCACCTAGTCCATACCGAAGTCCGCCATTAACGGGATGGCCTCCATTTGGTTCAGTGCCACATACCTCTGTAGACCTTGAGGTCTGGCTTCATACAAGTTGCAACAGGCATGAGCGACTCTATAGCCACTGGGATTGGATTATAGCAGATGGAACGCGACTTAGAGATTACGGCTTTAACAAATATAGTACAAGGTGGGATTTGCCTCCTATTCATTTCCAAGATGTAAATCTTGAGAAATTTGGGTCGGGCGAAGTGGGAAACCTTGACCTCAATGAAGAAGTATCAGAAGATGCAACGAAGACGGCATTCGCATGGGCTATAGAGGCAGGATATAACCCTGAGATTGACAAGGCCTTCAATCATCCATGGCTTAGTATGCGGGATCATGATGAAGACAGTGATGCATCGTCAATTGCAGAATCGATAGATGCAAAGGATGTGTCAAACGGTAATTTCTCTATTGGGCGGTTCTTGGCGGAGCAATTGGAGGATACTCAAGTGAAAAGGGCCAATCAGATTGAATCAGCTCCAGCAGATGGAGAACTTGACGTGGATATGCCGAAAGTTCAAGCTAGTTGTTAAGGGGCTGTAGGAGAAGAATAATTAAAACAATGATGAGCCCAAACACAGTCTGAAGGCCGTGGTTACATCGTTCAAATAGTTACCTTAAAATACCCAGAAATGTATATGTTCGGTGCCAGTCGCGAAGTAGGTTTTTGGTAAAAAGACACATTAATGGGAAGTAATTTACTTCAGGTAGATGTGATAAATAGTTCAAAGAGTGGTTGTATTAGGTGCTATCCCTAGAATGGAATTGTGGCCGGATGGAGAGAGAAACGATTGCCGTGATTATGTATAACCTAATTTCCTTGATAGCTCACCTTTGAATATTCCAAATGGTAGCCAAATGAATCAAGACCGAGGGGCTAACTCATACCGATATATGCCGGCGTATGGCTCCATCGATGTGCTGTCCTCACGGTCCGGATCTCTCGCGTGGCCACCTGGCTCTGTACCCTCAGGGCCACCCCCTGGATGGCCTTTGCATTCTTTGCAGAGAATACGATGTGAATGTCCAGCAGATTGGCAGACTTTCCATTCCACTCTGCAGCCTTTTGCTTTGCATACCGTAAATTTGTGCTCGTGGTTGGAATGGCGACATTTGCGGCATGTCCCTCTCCTCCCGGAGGCCGTTGTCATGTTGAAGGGATACCAAGCTGCTGTTCGTTAGAAGTTTTAATGATACCCGAAGCATCAATACAGTACTTATCCAAAAGAAACACAGTGTTTCGTCGTGATTAGCGGGTTGGCTTTGTCACTCTGACCTAAATCTCTTGACATAAAGTATTAGCTTGCTTGCCCAACATAAATCTATAGCTGTATGGCTTACCTTTCGAGATCTGAACGCTATGCAAAAACGCTGTCTCCAGGCAATTGATGGGATTTATCGCCGCTAGGAGGATACCCTGAGACTTTGCTATAGCTTTGAGCAAGTGAAGAATATTGCCGTGTATTAAAGTTGACTCCATAGACTTATTCACATGTTACAAATTGGAGCCCTAAGGACAGTGAATATAACCTCTAAGGAGTCTAATGTTGGTGTGAATCATACAGAGTCTGATACCTCCCAGTGGCGGTGGCCTAATGGGAATAACAGGAAGATCATATCTAGCAGATCCTATATGAGTTAAAGTTAGAGAGGTGACTTGCATAGCATTGCGCTTCCCTTCAACTGCTTTAAATAAGTCTTGCCCAAAAACCCCGCCTAAAGCAACTAATAACTTGGGTTAAACTCCACAAGTCTGTGTGGCTAGAGCTAGCGAAACTCCTCTCCAAACCGGAATAGAGCAAGGTACATAATAATAGCAACATTGTTTAAGCCTTTGATTAAAGCCCTGTAGCAGGGTAGTAAATAGGAAATAGGGGGGATATTCGCCCTTAACTTCCTTAAGAAGTTAAGCGAATTCATCAGTCGAATGTCTGTGTGGAGGCAGTATATAGAATATGTAATATATCCATCGGAAATAGGTCGTGGAAAACACCGGAGTTTGAGGTTTGGATACGGGGCAATGAGCTCTTAGCCTCTTTGATTGTAAAAATAAATAACAAGTTCCGTATTGGCGGTGCCGAAACGGAGAATATAGAATGATACAAGGATAGATCATATTACTAGAATATAAAGTAACACCAGCGATATTAGTTCTTCGAGGAGTTTCCTTTTTACTCATATTACGAAAGTACATCTAAATCCTGCTAATGCTACATCGGATCCACATAAGTCCATAGTAAAACGCTCGCACATACTATTCGAAAACCACAAAGGGGGCGAGCACATCTCTGTTACGGCTGCATTATACGAAAGGTTCTTTTACACTTATGTCTATAATAAAAATGAAAAGGAAATAATATTTTAGTACTAGATAATCTCTAAATGAGTCTAGGGCTTGCTTGTAAATTTATCAAATTTCTACTCAATAGCCTAGAATATATCAAGCATTAGCCCCCAACTATGCCTAATTTCCCAAGTTCGATTTCCTAGAGAGAAAATCTATTTCGTTGTCTTCGTCATCTTTATCGTGCTACCCCCAAGCGGCCACATTCACAAGCCCCACAAATTCCTCTCTTGTACGCGGCAGATTAATTAAATGGAAGCTCTTAATGAAAACTGGAACAGAATTATTCTCTCCGCCAACATTTTGAAATCTTTCGGTACCGGGCCAGTCCTTGGGCAGCTGTCCTTGAAACACCTCAAGCATCTCTGTATCCAGATTAATCACATAAGCCCACTTACAGTCAGGACTATTAGCAAAATCTAGGTCTCGGAAAAGGTTCACCGGCTTATCAATTGTGGCCTGGGCAATAAGCTCAAGTATTCCGGCGCCAATGTCGTCCCTGAGAGAAGGCTCGTCCCTTTCAGTTGACATATCACCCTGGTAATGTCCCTCCGATTGAGTTGTATTTTCCCTATCTGGCACACTACCGATATTGCCATCCCAAACGATATCGCCCACCTTACAGAGATCCTTGTCTATCGACTTGCGTTGCTGATGACGATCCCGACTCAATATACGGATATACTCTAGGCCTTTCCTAAGACGTCGGATGTCAGCTCGGTCTTGAAAGAATTTCCAGACAACGCTGCCTTGACCATCTGGAGATTCATCTAATTTGGTGTACTGCGCGACTTTGAAGCGACCGTCGCAGAAGACACAGACCAGGCTGCTATTGTTGTCCATGATGGTTTATGTTGACGAGATCGAGGTAGTAAGTCTGTCGGAAGCTTAGAGGATTAGAGAGATAAGGGTGAGGGATATTCGGTAAAGGTGATGGTGTTGTGTTGAGTTTAATGAGGGCTACAAATGCCGTGATATAAATACTAGACAGTAGTGGCGGTGTCTGGGAATGTAGAAGGCTTCACAGCAATACAGCCATGGTATGGCTATTCGATTGTCCTTTGAGGGCTTGTGGAATTCAAATGTGTTCAATAAAACCTTTGTATAGAATAAAGCCTTTGCATACCATAAAGCGTTTGTACACAATAAAGCCTTTGTATACTAACAAAGAATGACCAAACGCTTTCATTGTCTCTAGTGCGCTATCTAGCGCATCTCCGAAGCCATCTCAAGGAATTTTATCTTAATATCCTTCGTATCTTGTGTTTTAAGTATGTCCCTCGATCTCGAGTGCCACCTGTTTGACGGTGCTCATTCTGGCGGGAGGCACCTATGGGGCATTTCATTTGCCATTGCAGACATGGCCAACCTACACATTCGTAACTGTGTTCTGTAAAGCTCAACTCACGGATAAGATGGCTGTAGAAATTGGCTGTAGAAACGGCTATTATTCCTCATCAATCATAGGGTAATAGCCGTAGACTCTCATCCTCTGGCAGCGGTGGGTGAGACTTGAGGAGGCGAAGATCCTTCAATCTCAACCCTATAGCACTCACCAAGCGCTGATTCAGGAGTCGGTAGGCATTTAACATGATGATATAAAAGTCTCTGCGAATCCATGACTGAGAACATTTGTGGTAACGGCAGCTTCACGCCGAGTCTTAACACAGCAGTACGGTAGGGCTAGACTGCCAGTTGGAGATTTATCTGCTGTCTACATTCCCTATAATAACAGCTTGTAGGATCAAGTATATAATGGTATTAAGTCTAACTAAGAGAAACTTGTTAAAGAGAAGAGATTGGCATATATTTCTCGTATATGGAATGTGAAACCAACTCTCTACGCAAATGAAGTCCCCTCAAACTGACCTACGGCTTCAATACCATTCCAGTCCTCAAAAAACCAACAGAAATCATTCCCAGTAGAGATACTCTCCCACTCCAACTCCATAAAAGATGGTTGAAGGACATCTTCAACATCAATTATCTGGCTATCTGCATATCCAAAATTACTTCCAACATTATCAACGCTGGATAGAATTTCACTCATACTATAGTGATCTTCTGACATAGAATGACGTTTGTTGTTGTTATTGGAGTCTACAGGTAAGCTATCACGGAAATCCTCCCTTCCAACTGTCTTGGGATTTTCAAGATCCTTCAGGCTATGAATCCTTCTGTTCAATCCTTCTAGAATCCTAATCCCCTTTTGTGCCAACACACTTCTTTGTGCGAGTAATTGGAGCAATTTGAACCCGTCTTGGAAGTATTGGTAGCAACTGTCAAGTAAGCCTTGTTCGAGGAGGGGAACGTCTTGGTGGCCGATACGAGAGGTCGTTATGAGAAGATCTGAAATCATCATCATTCCTAGCATGGCTGGCGCTTCGACTGCTGCTATAGAAAGCACGAAATACGGATGTGGCCCACCGCCCATAAGCGTGTGTAGCTCCTTCGTTGCTTTGAGTGAATTTATGCAGGCATTGGCGAGTGTATGGCGATGCTTTAGGACAAGACTCGCTCTATCCTTATCCTCTTTCCACTGTCTAACATAGGAACTGATCGATGGGATAGTCAATGGACCAACGAAACACTTGTGCATTGCTTCCATGGTGCCATGAAGAAGGATGTAGATCCACAACCTCTTCATGGGCAACGTCGGAAGAGTCATATCCCAAGACCTATCCGGATTTTCTAGCCGAAAACAAGGAGGCAAAGTGCTGACAAATTTTGACTCGAACTCTTTGGCGTGGGCAGCGATGATGTAGGGATCTGTTCGTTCTGACTCTTTGCCTGGTGCGCTCATAAATGAAGCCATGTAGTGCGACAGTTTGAAGTTCAGTATCACATCAGAGAATTGAGTTGGTGCATTTTCTGTAGATGAAATAGAGTATGGTGTCTCGCTTGGGAAAGAGACTGCATGGTAATGCTCTGGGATGAGCGGCCATCTTCCAAGGAAGGTGCAGTAGAATCTGAATCTCGGAGTCAGGGCCCAGAACTGACAGGGGCAAGAGAATACCGTACCTATCCCAAATATACAGACACCAAAATACCTTCCTCCTCTCCTCCTTGTCAAACTCGGAGAGACCAGTCCATTTTGATTCCAGAAAGAGCTCAACATCTTGGGCTTCTTTGATGGCTTCACCGAGAATCTGATGGCTCTCCTTGGCATTCCCGTCATTGAGTAATATTACAATGTGAAGCAAAAGCTGCTGAACTCTCAACAGTGAGAACTTTCTTGGTAGGTAGTTATCGAGTTTGGAAGCAGCATCATTGTAAGTATTTTCCAAACCATCTAACCGAATTCCATCACCTATTTCGCTTTGGTCTGGCCCATTGGAATGTGGTAAAAACTGTAATGCATTGACACACATGCGCAGGATTAAGATTCCAAATTGGAGATCCACTTCGGCTTGGTATTGAGTTTGCTCCCACCAGGAATTATAGCGTTCGAGAAAGCTGGGCACATGGACTTCCTCATACAACCAATTTACATCTGACAAGAAATGCTGAACCAAGAAGTCTACTATGCTTCGTTTGGGAAACTGTTGGAGAATTTGCTCTGTGGTGCTTTGTGGATTATGTGGAACTGTTGAACTTGAAGATTCGGCAGTAGCACTCTTTTCAGTTCTGACACAACGTTAGAATTGTTGACTAGGGCCTTCTTAGAGAGTGACCATACAGCATAGCTTCTACAACGGTGTTAGATGAGTCGATGTTCACGTGTTCCGCTTCTGTTCTGCCGAGTTGCTCCTGTCTAGAATTATCGACATTGCTCTGGGAAGTAAGTTGCTGGACGCTGGATTTGCCGACACCGAAGCGACATAACTGTGGCGACTTGCGGCTCAAGCAATGGTTGCAAGGCCACGACCTGTTGCACTGCTTACCGTTAGATCATGTGAGGGTTAGTGTGGAATGGCTAGCACCTTTTGCTTTCTTCGACTGCATTCGCTACACGATGTCACGGGACGGTTGCGAGTGATCTTCTTTGCAGGCTTATTAACCATTGACGAACTCATAATTCCTCGCTGCAGACAGAATGTGGTGGCTTGGGAAGTAATGAATGATGGAGGATGAGGAGGAGACAAGTTGCGTTGAACCCGAGATATTTCGGCTGAGAAGAAGCGAAATAGGGGGAGGCTAAACCGCTTTAGACAACCAACCAGGGTAAGCGAACAACACTCGTATAATCTGATCAATCCTCGTTGACATTTCCAACCCTCAAGGCCTGACATTGCTGAAAGCTCTCGCCACTTCACCAGCCGGTAAGTGCTTCCCAAGCATTTCTCGAGTCTCGCTCCACAATTTCTTCTGTATCTTAGCACCTTCTTCACTTCGAACGAATGCAGAAACTCTGAAGAAAGTCAGTACGCAGTGTGCCAAAATGTTGTTAGAAGTACGTACTCCACTAATCTAGCCTCACTCAAGTACTTGCCATGAGTTTCAGAACCCTTCACCACCGCAGCATCAATCAAGAGTCTTCCTCCTTCATCTGAGGTCCTTCCAACGATTCGGTCGACAACTTGGAAGATCTTATTATCTCTGTGAAGCCCTGTATCTACCGAACCTGGATTCACAAGATTGATTGTTACATCAACTCTGGAGACATTTGCCACCAGCTCAAGGACCCAGAAGACATTGAGAAGCTTTGAAACACAATAACGATCCATGAAATCTTTGCAGTGCTGCTTGTCATTCAAATGCTCCAGGATATTGTCTGCCTTTTTTTCCTTGAAAGAGGTCCACATATGCACCTCTGAAGAACTGAAGGTTAGTCGCGGTGGGCTCTTCCGAACATGTGATGTTGTTCGGAGAACTGGTAGAAGTAATAACGATAGTAGAGCAGTTGAGAGGTGATTGGTTTGAAGCGAGGACTCGACACCGGCAGGGGAGGTGCCCCACTCAAACTTGAAGACCCCGGCATTCAACATAGCAACGTCGAGTCGAGGAAGCTCTTGTGCGCGTTTCCCAAATGCGATCACTGATTTGAAAGATTCTAAATCAAGAAGCCATACTTCGACAAGGCTCTGTGAACCCGAATTGGACTTCAGGATATCCTCCTTTGCTGCCTCCCCTTTGTCTTTGGATCTGACAGCAAGAATGACAAGGCTGGCGTCAAGCCTGACGCATTGCCGAGCAGCTTCAAGCCCAATACCAGAGTTGGCACCTGTAACGAGAACCGTTTGGCCTTTGAGGGAGGTGGATAACGGAATTGGAGGAGGATGATCGAAAAACTGGCGGTATAGGTAGCTTAAATAGCCCATGATGACTCCTGAATATTGAAGGAAATGATGAAGTGACAAGAACTAGAGAGAGGCCGAAGACAGTACCTTTATATCGCTTGAAAGAGGGCTAAAACTTGTGTGATCTAATGCTTAGTCCGTAAATAATCGGTCGAGAGAACTCGGCCTGACATCTTATTAAGGCCTTTCTTATTAAGCAGTTGCTAAGAGAGTCAAGGCATTATTCGTTAGCCACCACCTCTGGACCCACATCCAGTGACACAGAACGACGCAGGCTTACATCAGAGACTCTAGCTAATAGGAGGGCGGGATTTCCAGCCTCTTTTTTGCTTCTTAGCAAATCTTGGCACAGAATTGAGAAACAAAAGCGTGACCTTAGGGAGTACTAGTGCAGGAGGCTTTCTCAGGGTGGGAGCCATAACCCTCGCACTGATCTTTTACTAGCGTTAAAGGCAAGAACAACGTCAGTAAGGGATATAAACTTATTACAAATACAATACGATGGACTTTATGATCACGTGTAGAGCCTGTATAGCGAGAACAAAGACATATATTCAGTTACCGGTACTGATTAACGAACGGACAGTACTAACAGTACTAAGGGGAGGATAAATCATGGAAATGTGCCTCAAGAACTCTCAACAAGCCGGGAAATCAAGGGGAACCCGGAACCGAGATTTCTAGCGTTCGAATGTCTGAATGCTGCCACACCAAGTAGTGTTGGGTCCGACTCCTCCCAAGCATCTCCCGTGTCCCAGCCAGTCCCAAATCTAACCGAGCTGAGCAGTATAGTCGTGATGATCTTCTCCTTTGACGGCACGGACAGTGATGTAGTCACTGCTTCGAGCGGGCTCAGCCTCTCCATCCTTGTTGGTGATAAACTTCTTCCATGGCTGGGCGCGAGTGTCTTGGTTATTACCTGTAGATTTGAATCAGTTCTTAGTTCTGTGAGATAGATGACCATCACTCACCGGCGTTCTCGGCGCCCTTGGTAGAGATATCTGAGGTGGAAGGCATGTTGAGAGAGTTGGTTGATGTAGGATTAAAAGGGTGAGTGTAATGTGGATGATTGTCTTGGATGATGATAATGTTGATTGCTTTGACTAGAGATTCTAAAATATTCCGGATGGAGTGATATCTTATATAGACAGAACAGAGATTATGAGATGTGGGGCAGTTGACTTCAGGATAGCTTAGAAATTCTCTTCGCCGAGGCATTCTGTGGGATAAGATTTTACAAGGTTTCAACCATGATAGAGGGTGTATACCAGAGACATCATCTACATTCAAAGTCACGACATGCACGCAACCTTCTTATTCAGGATAAAGATCCTCGTAAACAATGAGGGGAAAATATAGGACGCAATCACTTAATCACAAGCCAATGCAAAGGCTTCTTTACTAGTTAAAGCTTCGCATTATCACCAGGGGTGGGCGTCTAGAACATTTTCCCAGACTTTGACCCGCACTTTTACTTCCTGCTTAGGAGAAAGAGGGCTAAAAACAGGTTGTTGCCCGGATGGTCGTGCATTATCAATAGTTGCTATGTCAAAATGATTGGTAACGGATCAGTCCGGCCGGTAAAACTAAGTCATGAAGTCAGAGACCGAAAATTCGTCTTACATGTAATCGACTGCATGAGTTTGTTGTTGCACTGCCGCAAAGAGACAACCCTAGTCTTCCGCACAGCTGCATATTTATGCAAGTAGATAGGTGCAGCATCAATGGTTCCGTGGGGGTATTTCGCAGGGGAAATATGGATAAGGCCCTCTAATCATAGTAAGATACTGGGCGGACACCATGCAACAAAGTTGCCCGCCAACAGCATACCTAGAATAGATATACTGGATAATAGAGGGCAAGTCGTTATCTGCAATATCTGGCTTAAATACCGAGCACCCGAGGGATTTCGGGCAGAGTCAGGCTTTTCTGTTACTCAGGCCGAGTACTGGATACTCTTTGTAGCTAAGTACGGCTGAATATAAACTTCAAACTCCCCGCAATTCTGACCTCTCTAAGCTATACTCATCAAATATCGAAGCATCACTCGCTCAACTCAGCCACCCACATATCTTCACGCAAATCATCATGACCGACGTTCTTGGCCAATTCAATTATTTTCAATGGAAACCATTGTTCAATGAAGAAAAGCCATATTACCTATACACGGACCCTCCACCAGGGCTCCCAAATGCGAACTTCTCCACCAAGCCTGGCGACGCTGAGACAGTCCATGATGTACGGGGGAGAGAAAATGAGTTCAATCTCGACAACCATGGTTTCGCTTTCACCCGCCAGAAGTACCCGTTCTCGCTCAAAGATATTGATCCAGTGACTATGAAGACGCAGTATCTGCCATCGTTAGAAGGCCTGATACGGGAGCAACTTCAGCAGGACTGCGAAATCTTCTGGTTTGATTGGAGAGTAGGATCAATGTTCTACTTTCAAAGTTTCTCCTTGAGCCTAAAACTAACCATCTTCTCAGAAGAGATCGAGCGATGATAACAAGTCCAAATTCCCAGATGGCACCGTCATTAGCCTTGAGGACCGCTTCGTTACTTTAGCGCCTATTAGGGCGGTCCATGTCGGTAAGTTTTATGCTGAGCGACAGTTTCCTATTTTTCATGTCCTATAAACTGTTTTGCGCTCTGCTTATGGGCTATCAGATCAAACTCCAGCTGCGGCTATCGACCGCGTGTATCGACATGTTCCTGAACGTGCCGAGGAACTTTTGAAAACGAAGCGGTTCAGAATCATCAAGTATGTTTGACGTCCCTCTATGCAATAGATGTTGAATTGAATGTTACTCAGCGTCTGGAGACCTATTGGAGACACCCCAGTTGAGAATTTTCCCCTCGCATTTATGGATGGGAGCTCTGTTCCGGAAGGAAATCTTATTGTGGTTGATGTTGTCCGTCGATCTTTCCCTGGAGAAAGCTACTACCCCCTGGAAGGGAGGGGGTACAGGTGGCATTTCTTGAACCACCAAACCCAAGATGAGGTTCTGTTCATGAAGATGAACGACTCGAATGAATCTGTGAAGGCAAAGTGTAAGTCGAAGAATGAGTCCATCATATCTAAAAAAAATTGTTAACTTACTACCAGGCTGCCCCCATGCTTCGTTTGCTCAGTCCGAGGACCCAAGCGCAAAGCCCAGGGAGAGCATAGAGGTCAGGGCGTTAGTATTCACGGACGAGTAGATTCTGCGTTACTGTATTGCATGATGGAGAAAGTTTCTTTCATGGAGAATCTGTTATGATTGAAAAGGTAGTGAGGAAGATATGAGTGGGGACAGAGCTTATTTACGTTTCTTTCTCAGCCACTCATTATTTCAGTGATTAATCTACGCATCTATTTGAATTATTAGCAATGAAACTACCTCACAAACATTTACAAAACTTTGCCACATTGTTTGACCAAAAAGAAAGCCCCCCCCCAAAGGATTTATTTCCGATTGGGCGGTGTCTACACACTTAGTTGCAGACTCAAGAGCCATAGTTTCTGACGGCTTGAGGAAAGGAAGCCAATTCAGTGGCACCTTGGGCGGCAAACATAGAGTGATCTATGTAGATATTATCACCACCCCTTATGAATAAGACAACATCGACCATTCCTAAAATAATTGTCTAAGAAGTTTACCACTTTTGATCTAGGGGGTCTGTGTAGAAGCAAGATCCCTTCGAGGAGTGCTCTCATGGTCGAGCGAGAAACCAGCATCAGCAGCAAATTGCAACTGCAAGCCCGAGGCTCCGAATGCTGAAGCGCCAAGGGATCCGTAAGAGGCACATCCGCCGATGACTACCTTACCTCGTCACTCTTGCTTGGACACTGCTAAGTGGTTTTCTAAGAATGGGCGTCAAGCACACCATTGCTCTAAGGAATAACCAACATCTACACGAGCGGTCCATGCATATCAACGAATGGAATATGCAACCACTTTATCCGCTATCTGCTGAACATCCCCATGGGTCGTCTCGAAATTGGCCTATCAAAACGACAATAGGTTCAATCGGAAAATGTGGGGGGCAAGATCGCCGTTGTTGCAGCAGACTTATTAAACCAACCAACACCGGGGTTGGTAGCGGAAAAAGAAGATCCAACGTCGGGTGTTTCCCTGCAGCTGAAATGGTTGACGTGCAGGTGAGAGGTTCAAGAACCAGATATGACTGGTCACATCAGAATGCACTGAGCCTCGAGGGAAACCTTGTAAAATCATACTGCAGATCAGAGCCGTTGAGAGCTTGCTTTGTATATCCCCACCAATCGATCATCTTCCGTCCTTGTTTTGTGTTGGTCCCCAACTACTAAATAAGGATTATCTAGATATGTTATAGCGAATCTTGTTGATAAATTCTCTTAGAGCCGTTATTCTTGGAGTCACAAATTCACGTTTGCCGCCCTTTTCTGAATCCGTGGGGTTGCAATTGGGGGGGACGACGGAAACGGAGGTGGGGTCTCTACGGCGACCTACACTTTGGTAACAATGTAACTTTAAGGATTTGGTAAGAAAACGACCCCTCTACAGAACTTCAGTTATAACTTAACGTAACACAACTCAATTAAAACATAGTTAACGGTAGGGTTAGGCCCGGGCCTGCGAGGGCGGTTAGGGTTAGCTCCGGGTGGATCCCGGGGCGGCCCCCTCGGATCCCTTTCCCGTCAAATGAGTTTTTCTACTTTTGTTCTAGAGTAGTACTAGCTTAGAACCGACAGTCTGGTCCGCATGCCTGTTCATCTCGAATGAAGCCCTGCAATTGGTACCACCTTCGCGTCAAATATCGTGCCTTGGCCAGTGCCCCTGATGCTTCTGCCCCTATCAACTCCACCTTGTATTACTATCGCATTTCCCTGTTATCGCCGTTCCATGGAATGTTACACACTCACACTCACACACATACACTTGCAACCTCTTTGCCTCTCCCGCACATTTTCACTCGCACTCTCTCGCAATCGCAAACACACACACACACATAGCCTTTTTACACCCCTCATTTTCTCATTTTAGTGTGTGAGCTTCCTCACCATTAATGACTAAAAGGATGAATAACACGGCGGAAGATGTTAACCCTTGTGGAATCAACACGTCTTCTTTCGAAATCGTGACGAGGGACGAGTCAAGGCATCACTTCAAACAAGGTTACGATGCTCAAAGTGGCCCTCACTCGGGCCACGAAAAGAGCGCGGAGATGGACTCTGGCACAGAGAGAGATGTGGAACTCCAGAGAGTATGTTAGTGTTGCTCAAATTCATCAGGGTACAATACACAGCTAACGTTGAACAACAGCCGCGGAGACTCCAGAAGCTCGCTGGTGGCAGCGTGCAAACAGAGAGGGCCTAATCTATGAATTGCTTCCAGTCACCAATCTCGACGAGAATATTGTCGGCTGGGAAAGTCAAGATGATCCCGAGATGCCTTTCAACTTTTCAAGCTGGCACAAGTGGTTGTGGGTTGGGCTCTTATCCGCCATCACTTTTCTGACTCCATTCTCGTCCTCGATTCTCTCCCCGGCCATTGTCAAGCTAGACGACGAATTCGGCAATGACAACGCGATCGTTGGGTCCATGACCGTAAGTATATACCTACTTGGATATGTCGTCGGTCCAATCTTCATAGCCCCGCTTTCCGAGACTTATGGACGCAAGATTGTCTTAACTGCGAGCAATGCATTTTTTTGTCTTTGGCAGATCGGATGCGCCTTGGCTCCTAATATCGAGACGCTCATCGTGAGTCGGTTCTTCAGTGGCGTTGGCGGTGCTGCCTGCTTGGTAAGTGCACTCGAACCTTTTTTTTCCCGCAGGCAACCAACTAAATCAACGCTAGACTTTGGGCGGTAGTATCATCGGCGATCTATTCCGCCCTGACCTGCGTGGTTTTGCAATAGGAATGTGGAACGTGGGCCCTTTATTAGGTGAGTCTTCATTGTTCCCCGTCGTTATCTGGTGAAGTCTAACTCACACAAGGTCCTACCATCGGTCCTCTACTAGGAGGCTTCTTGACCCAGTCCATCGGTTGGCGTTTTGATTTCTGGATCGTTTTCGCAGCTGCTACTCCAGTCACAATATTAATTGCCACACTAAATAAGGAAACTTGTCACAATGTCCTCGTTCAACGAAAAACGACCCTTCTACAGAAGAGTCTTGGCAACGATAGCCTAACAAGTTGCTACGATGATTCGAGCAAGCGAAACACAAGCCAAATTGTCCTTACCAACCTGATCAGGCCTCTGAAGATGCTAGTCTTCTCCCCAATCGTATTTTTCCTCTCCCTATATATCGCCTTTGTATTTGGCGTCGTCTACTTACTCTACACAACGATCCCAAGCGTTTTCGAAGAAACTTACGGATTCACTGCCAGCCAGACAGGACTTGTATACCTCGCCATCGGCCTGGGTAATGTCCTCGGGTGGTTATTCATCACCCTATTCTCCGACAAATACGTTATCCGACTTTCTAAAGCCAACGGCGGCGTTTTCGAACCCGAGATGCGCCTCAAGATAAGTATATACTTCGGGGTATTCCTCCCCATCACTCTATTCTGGTACGGCTGGAGCTCATACTACAGCGTCCACGTGGCATGCACCATCATTTCACTTATACCGTGGGGTTTTGGAATCATGGGGCTGTTCCTACCGATCACTACATACCTGGTTGACAGCTACCCTATGTATGCCGCCTCGGCCATTGCGGCGAACGTTATACTGAGGAGCGTGGTGGAAGCTTTACTTCCGTTGGCTGGACCACCTATGTATGCATCCTTAGGGTTGGGATGGGGAAACTCTTTGTTGGGGTTTATTTGCATTATCATGATTCCTTTGCCGCTTATATTCAACAGGTTTGGTGCGCGCCTGAGGAAGGCCCAGCTTTTGACATTGTAGATGGCTTGTAAATGATATGTCTCGAATTCTAATAGAGTTAGCTGACTCAGCTAAGCGAGGAGACTCTATTGTGCACCGCGAAGGGAAAGAAGTGTTTTGTGCGACCTCGGTGGTAGAACTTCTGGAATTCCGGTCAGGGGCTTGCCACCCTTGGTTCTTTAGGTGACTGGGGAAAAGAATTAGGGAGTATCATTTTAGCCATTCACTTGTCGCATACCGATATAATCCTTTAAAATAGGGTCTATATTATAGTGCGTAACCTGAGCACCCTAAGTTTTCTCTGGCCCAGCCTCCCTGTACTACCAGTGGCTATCCGACGCGGCCTGGCCCTGCCCCCCTTGAGAAGCAAGGCAGCAACAACATAAAACGAAGAAAGGGAGGAGTAAGGATACAAGAACAAAGACTACTAGTGGGTGGAAACTCTAGACTAGGCCCTGGCACAAATATCAGGACTATCCTTTGGGTTGAGACTCCCACTTCAAGGTCTAGCAATATCTTAAAGAGACCGCACATTCAACGTGGCGTTCTTCCTATTCTATCACCAGATACGAAGTAGTCTGAGGGGATTTCTGCACAGCGTATCGAGTTGGTCATTATTACAGACACTAAACCAGAGTCAAGTGAGGATGACAAGAATTAAGCCACCGGAAAATAGCGAGCCTACCGTTGGCAGGAGAGGCTACTTAGCAGAGGAGAAAGGATCAAGGCAGAATAATATAGAGATAGTAGTTTTATCTTATATCAATATAAATCGATGTGTCTGCCTCCGCTAATTTGTTCCGCTGCAAGCTACTATACATTTTGGTAAATATTGTTTGCTTTCGACTTAGACAAAGTTTGGCTGCCAATTGTTTCCTCGGGCATTATTTCTAATGCGTAGCGGGCTATCTTCGGATTTCTATCGCTCTGCTTGAAGTCTAATGTATACCACACTGTCTGCAAGGCGAAATTAACCGTTAAGACTGACACAATTTCAAGGGATCGATGAAATGAAAAATGAGATGAACAGGGCATCACTATCCGATAACTAAATAACGGACCCGATAGATTTTGACAGTGCAGCCGCTCTTCCTCCAGATGTACGGATCGCAGTTTTGCATTAATTACTACTGTCCTTCTTATTCTACTTCATCTTGCTGTCAAGCTATTTATTTTGCGCGTGCAAGACTCTGATCTGAATTTATTAGGAGGTTGAGCTTTTCGGATAGTTCCTGGACGAAAATCTTGAAACGTGGAGCACTCTCCTCCCGTTTTCGGAAACTAGCGAAGCTACGTTTTAAGATTTATAAATTCATTCTCGTTAAAGGAGATAATGGGACGTTACATGGTCGTAGCGGCTAGGTTGGATATTGGGTGGAAGGCTGGGGGGAGGGGGGAGGGGGGATTAAATATGACTGGTGTAGTGAATCTAAATAATTTTATATTTCTTTTGCCAACCTGCTTTTCTACCCTCTTTTTCTTCATTAATTATACTTGCAAACACTGAACACAAGCCTTATTTAGCGAAAATTATATAATTGTGCAATTTGAAGATCAAATCATCGAAATCTATTTTAACCGATCGTACTTATTCATATCATCTAACCGATGCTGAAGTCCAAACCACTAACTACCTTGATCGACTAACTAATCAATAATAAGAAATTAATTTTTGATCTCAGGGTATATTTGAAGCTATGTTTCACGATCCCACTATCTTAAACACTGCCACCTCCATATTATTTTACATTATTTTAATAACCTTCAAACCTTTAGCTTGCTAGATACTTCTCTTTCCTACTAGCGCGGACAGTTCAATATAATCTTCTTCTTCCTCGCCTCTTCAGCTACAAACATTAAGCGTGACTTCAAATCATTTCATCGACCAAGCAGCTAAGGTATTGGTTTTGAGCTTCTACAGCCATTTCCCTATAGTTCTTGACTCGATCAACAGCAAGTATGAATTACCTCGCTAATCGTGTGTCTGCCACTGTATGTCCTTCTCCATCTGACACGGATGGGTAATGAGTCTTCTTCTCGCTAGTCCTGAAGTCTTGCACTGTGATACTATCGCTATTGGCATATATCTCGCCGTCTGATCCATATATGTTGGTGAAGCGTTAGCATATCTTTTTCGTGAAAGCTACCATGTGCAATGTTGCTATTTTGCTTCCCCTACCTACTAATACCTGGAAGTTTGATTCGCCGTCGGACACGATTAGGTCATTATCCCAACTCAAGGTGACAGTTTGATTTGTCGCAGACATCATTATCGGCTTCATTGACACATCGACCGAACCAATTCCTCTTGCTAATCGCTGAAGCTGGCATCTCGTGGCTATAGTCTTCCGCAGCCTTGCTAACAATGCCTTTCGCCGGCTTCTTGGCCGCCAGCCGCAACACAGTCCTCGATCTCTGGTAGTACAATCCTGACAAAGTGCTCCTTTTGTCCCTCCATCTGAGGGCCGACATAAATTCTTTTTGCTGAGAACTGACAAAAAGCCTCGTGGTTGCAGGAAAGACAGTTTGTTGCGTTTCCGGCTGCAGTTGGCTTGTGAGCTTTGTTGAAGTACGGCAACGAACCAGAAGAGCCAATTGAGGCTGGTAGGTGTGCTGGATTTGTCGATCCTGATTGCGGAGAACACAGAACACAGAATCCAGTATAGTATATCCATATCGTGGCACGATTTGGCAAGTAGAGAAGGTGCAGACTCCGATTCATTTCGCCAATTGCCCCTATAAATGTTAATGGTATCAGGGTTTGAGGATATACATTACTAACCTGACATGACTGTGTGTGAAGTGCCACCAGCCAACTGGTTCGGTATGGTTGACAGACATTACCTCGCCTATAACCTTGTCTTCCAGGAGTAACTTCCGCAAAAGCATGTTGTGAGGGCTGCATCTCAGTACATGACCGACGGAGAAGATTTTTTGAAGGGTCAAGCAAAGAATTCGATGGCATGGCTCTGTATATGGATACACAGTCTTCTAGAGAGGGAGCCAGTGGTTTCTCACACATGATGTGGAGGCCCAGTGGAGCCAGTCCAAGAACGACTTCCAAATGTATCTGATCTTGAACGCAAATAAAGATCCCATCGACTCCCCCAGGCACATTTTCATTCAAGGCAGCCTCTCTTCTCCACTCTTCTTCCTATGATAGAAACTCCCTCCAATCCTCAAACTCCTGGCCTTCAGAGGGTTTAGACTTTCCCCAAATATACCTCTGGCCTAGAAATTGGCGCTTAATAGCAATGGGTTCCACCACACTAATACATACACCGTTGGTAGACTCGCAAATTGCGGCGGCATAGGTAATTCCTCGATTGCCTTCTCCGATGATTAGGAGGCGAGGAGGCGACTTGGAAAATGGTGGTCTTTCAGGAGCAGGAAGGCGGACGATCTGGTGTTCGACGTTGTCGAAGTTGGCGTGGGGTGCCATGATGAAATGTAACCCAGAAGGCAGTGGCCCAGGTTTTTGATAATCGGCTGCTCAGTTACTGGTGTTTGGTATTAGATTCCTTAGTTATGAGGAGACCTATAGATAAAGAAAACTGGCTATTGCACCGTCACAGACTTTCAACATCACCTGCGCAATGGGCCATTTCTTTCTAATGGTACGGAAACGTGGATCCTTCGGCAGCATGGTACAACACCCAAATTACAGTGCCGCTGTATGATCGCCATAGTAAATCGTTCCTCTACGCATTGTACTATAGTCTCCTACCTACACCTACCACTACGCCTACTGCCACGGCTACTTTTTGCAAATTGAAGCTATTCGCACTTCTCTATCGCGCCCGAATAGGAGTTATTTATAAAATATATAAGTTAAAATAAAAAAATAATACGTATATTAATTTTAATTATAACTTAAGTCGCTTCGTACCTAGGTACTCTATTAGCTCTAAGATCTGTATCGATAATATTAAATATAGCCCGGGAATCGATAGTATATATTTGTAGGTACGTAATTTAATTCAAGTGCAAAGGCAAAGGTAAAGCGCGAATAGCTTTGGTTTGCGATAGTAAAGGCGAGGTGCGGGTAGCTTTAATTCGGGCGTGATAGTAGGTATGTATGTGCGGGGAAACGATTTACTATGGCGATCATACAGCGGCACTGTAATTTGGGTGTTGTACCATGCTGCCGACGGATCCACATTTTCTGTACCATTAGAAAGAAATGACCTGCACAATAGTGTCCTATGAAGGCCAAGGAAAGTCTTCAATGGAGGATGTAACATGCGAAGTACGAAACGGAACCTCTGTCACGTTGCTTTGATGAGGAATCGGAAACTAATTATCGGTTCACGTACCACAAGTGCGACGTACGAGGGACGACTAGAACTTTCCTCAGTTAAGTCGTCAGTCCCTACATACAGACAGTAACATGCCCTTGTTGCTTGTCTTAGCAAGCCGCCAGACTCGGCTATGGAGACCAAAGTCCACCAATAGTAATCTGCTGGCTCCCGCTTACTATCTCTTCGTGGATAGACGGGCCAGCACTTACACGCTGTATGCGAGCGGCGTCCGCAATTGATTCATTTGAAGATTACTCTTCATGTGAGGAGATAAACAGCTGACCTGCGTGATTGCTCACGAGCATCTAACATTACTTCACGAACCGTGCCGGAAATAATTGGCGGAATCCATTGCCTTAGGGGTGTGCCAGACACTAGTGAACGATAACGGAAAAGGTTTCAAGCCCCAACTGGTCACTACTGTATAGTGTACCAAGTGGGTAATCCCCACGAACACCAGAAGTGGGGGAACTACTCCAATACTGTACTCTATTACGAGGTACAGATGCAAACCCGTGATAGAAGTCCAAGCCAGGGGTAAGATCAGGGATATTGTTTATTCATTAGGTCTAGATTCATTTCCCCCTTTTTCTCCGACCCGGAAATTAGGTTAACAACCTTGACAGTCGACTCCTAACCCAGATATACTATGTTTAGATAATTCAACCTCTCTCATATGCAGATTTTGCCTCCTCATAGTATTGTGACATAGTTCCCCCGTCTCTCTGGTATCCACACTTGACGTAGAATGGCTCATTTGCCTCGCTAGTCCCCAGTGTCGTCTTGTAGCAGCCAACGTTTACTGCGATAGAGCCGAGAGTTTGTATCAACTTTAGTCCAAGCATCTTGCCTTGCTGGTCTTTTCTGATGGCAATCTCTTCAATATGTCCAATAGTTCCAAGGTTGTGAATGCTAGGATAGCCATTAGTGAGTGCTTGTGGTTTCCATCGGGTTGCTGAGGCCATACAACTTCCTCTCCACAATCAACGCCCCTGTCCCAACAATTTGAGCCTCATGCTCAATGACCACGTGGTAGTGAACCCCTTTACCATGTTGGCTCATCCAATCGTAGCGCTCACCGAATTGCTCTTCTGTGACATCTCCAACGGCAGATAAAACTTTTAAGCATTCCAAGAACCCTTTCGCGTAGTCTCCCCTCTCAAGTGGTCTAATCATATATGAATCTGGAAAGGAAGCTGCAACTGTAGAGGATATAAGGCCTGGCGAAAAAAGTCCCTCCGAGCTAGACATTGTAAGGGAGTGATGAAGACTAGCCAAGCTGAGGAGCGAATGTGAGAGAACTAGCGTTGAGAGATAAGGTCAGTAGACCCTCGAGCCGAAGAAATCGGTGGGCATATTTACCTCTTGATCTGTATGTAAAAGAGGCTATACCTACAGTAGGAGTGTGAGAAGATATGATCCAACGCACACACGTTTCTTACATTTGTCAAATAATCCGAGGCCAAAAAAGGACACGGGCTGTAACGATAATCACATACCGAGGCTGTGTCTTGGCATTTTTATATACCTAGGTCAACACAATGCAGGGGTTATTCATATGTGGGGGTTGGTAACGTTGCGCACCCCGCCCTTTAAGTAGACAAATAGGAAAAGCGTAGATTCGATGTACGAGAGACACTAGTCACAGGCGCTTCATTATCGCGCATGCGATGTCAAAGCGTAGATATTGTTGCAAGTGCGGAAGACGATTCAAGCTTGAAGTAACACAGTAGCGTCTGCCCTCCCACTCATGGGCATTGATGAAGCAATCCAGTACCTATATATATATATACGTGGTGTGCTTCACTATATTCATCATGCACTTTCCAAGCAGCCACGCACCGAAGCAGAAGGATTTCCAGCTCTTCTTACAATAATCATAGGAGAAATAGAATGTCTCAATCCCTGAATGGCGCAGGCGACTCGCCGTCCAAGAGAACAAACGTCTTTAGACATTTCAGGTTAAAATCGTGGGCAATCGGTGCTAGCTGCCTGGCATTGCTAGTAACGATCGGTGGAGCTCATGGGGTGCCTAACAGCCCAATGGCTTCGCGGAACAACGCTGCGGCGGCGATTGAATCAATGATGGACTTTTATGATCCAGTCACTGGCCGATGGCAACCAGAAGCACCATGGTGGACGACGGGCAATGCACTACAGGCATTGCTTGATTACATGGCAAAGACTGGCTCAAGACAATACATGCCGCAGGTCAACAACACCGTTACCATTCAGAGCGCCCCGCTTGCTTGGTGGCCTTCTGGTGGCGGCGACTTTCGGGCTGATTCGACAGACGATACTGGATGGTGGGGACTCGCCATGGTCCGCCTGTACGAGCTGACCCGGGACCCGAAATACCTTACCATTGCAAAGGAAGATGAGGCATACATGTATAGTTACTGGAGTAACGACACCTGCGGCGGAGGCATCGTGTGGGATATACCATCTAGGAGCTACAAAAATGCGATAAGCAATGAGCTGTACTTCAAGCTCGCAGCATCGCTACACAACATCATTCCACACGATACGTTTTACCTCTCTCGCGCTTTGCAGGGGTGGAAATGGTTTAAGGCGAGCGGGATGATCAACAGTGCAAACTTGGTAAATGATGGTTTATCAGAGCAAGGTACTACTTGTACGAACAATGGTGCTACGACCTATACCTACAACCAAGGGGTGATCTTAGGCGGCCTGGTCCAACTTTACAAGGCTACCGGTGACCAAAGCCTCATTAAAACGGCCCGCAGCATTGCCGATGCTGTTATCACTAGCCCTCTCTTGTCACCAAAAGGGATCTTGACTGAGCCGTGCGAGGCCGATGACAGCTGTGACCCTAACGGGCCTGCATTTAAGGGGATATTTGTTCGGAATCTCGACGAGCTTGATGACATCCTGCCAGGTCATCCCTACCGCCATTACTTGCAACAACAGGTTCACTCCATGTATACTTTGGATCGAAACAGTAGCGGGTTTTATGGACTCAGCTGGGCCGGCCCCTTTGACAAATCTGAAATCGCTCGACAGACATCTGCTGTCTCCCTATTAGTCGCAGTTCTCTAGGACGACTTTTAGAAAAAGGAACATAAAAGCCAATACAATACAGAGGCAGTGGACATGTAGAATAGGCATAGTATCAAATTTGATAACTAGATAATACAAACAATTGCATGTGAACCTTCAATGTGATACTCTGCCCACTTCAGTCCACTATTTGTTCATATACTACTGGCCATTGCGTTGTAGCAGTGTAAAAATAGAAAGCGAGCAAGGGGGAATGATAATACTGTTAAAATTTAGTATTTCCATTACAGGGTACTAGGGAGGTTCTCCATACTGTGCTGCAGCAGAAAGACCTAGGTCATGTGGGAAAACCTAGGTCATGTGGGAAAACCTGGCAGTGCGGTCAGCGCGGCCAACACCGGCATTGGCAAAATGGAGGAGACTGTTTGCAACCTGGGGGGCGATAAGTTGGGCATACAAGGTAGTATTGAGCTCTGGACATTTTGTAGTAATAACTACAGCTGATCGCAGGAAAATTTGCAGTAGAGATCTCCACTTCCAATGACAACGAGCTTGACGATTGCCGCCCTCATATACACTTCGTCTTTAAAGCGCAACGCCAGAGACGCCTTGGACTTTATGATAAGCCCCTCAGTACGGACAGCGCGGACAGCGCGGACAACTTTGGTGGGGGAAAATGGACGATCATGTTTCCGATTAGGAGGGTTAAGGCGATGTAATAATAAAGAACTATCCTGTTTACACTATTAACTACTCCGTCACAGCTTTTGGATGAAGTAGTGATATGATTTGTGGCTAATTATGAGCCTCAAAGTATACTAGAATAGTATCAGAGGTATGGCAAATCCGATTCAGATCCGTCGCCTGAATACCTTAGACATGAAGCCCCTAGATATACATTTCCTAACCGCTAGACTGAGGACAGGTCAGCGATCAGTTCTATAAATAAACCACTGAACTATTGATTCACAACACTAATTACGTACACCAACTTACCTACATGGTATACTAAGTGAACCTATTCCGACTATCCTACTCCTCAATCATATACCCCCAGGGGCGATGGTTTCACGAACTACTTCAGGACAGTGAGGTTTGATAGTTCAACGGTCCCCAATATTTGCTAAATTAGGCGGTAAAATCTTATCAACCTCGGATGTCAAGGAATTGGGCTAAGGTACCTCGCTTGCTATAGTAAAGTAAGCCTAAGACTGTTGTATTTTCCCCTGTTCCATATATCTTTCCTGGTACCTTCCCAAATTTATTAATCTAATTTTCTACTTCTCTATTATCACTAAATATCGCTAGCGGCAGTGAAGCGTTGATTGTTTTAGAAATAGCGCGAGTATGTTGCTAACGTGTTTATTACGCCTTTTAAGTATTGAAGTAGCTTTAGCTATATTTAAGCTTACGTTTTAAATTATTATATATTTAACAAAGATGATAAAATACTCCTCCCTTGAACAGTTCTTTTAATAAATCCTCTTTTATAAGTAAGTATAATCTTATAATAGTTTTAAACTACTACTAAGTATGTAAACCCTTACGGGTACAACCATTTATCCAGACGCGAAATAATATAGTAAATATTATAAAAAGTACTATAATTACGATTTATACAATTATTTTGCTCCCGACATAGCATAAGTCTCCGAATAATTTCAAGTTTTATTCTATTAGTGAGGGCTGACCCGTAGACGGGACACGGCGTTACTCGGTATAAGTTACAGCTAACTTTGTATGGATCTATATCACTGATCAGTTTTATTAGGCAGCCCCACCAAGCTGAGACAGCCGAGAAGGAACGGCAGAATGGTTTTGGGGACCCACAACTGGGGATAGTTGCACTGTCAATCCTCACCGTCCCAAAGCAGTTAGGTGGTTTCAACCGATGTGGTAGATTCAAGCTTTCAGCCAAGTTCTTCCACATGGCTGATTATTTTCCCTGCTAAATAGCCGTCCTGGGCAGCGCATGGGACCCGCCCCTCCTGAATTTAACTTTCGGCTGATGACATGGTAGTGCGTTCCATTAAGGCTGTGACTGGGGCTGTCAGTGCCGTTAGAGATAGCTTCCGGCCGGGTAACGGTGATACATTTACTCGCTACTGGAAAATACATTTCATGCCTCACTAACATGTTTGTATCGTCCTTGTGTTCTTTATCGCCACAATTTTAACTTTAAAGATAACTAGATAAGTGTAGAAATTAGTTTCGTTGTATATTGTACGTAGCCTTTATTTAAATTGACATTTGGTGATTTTTCTAAATGTTAATAGTAGTACTGGCCTGAGCAAATGAGCTCCCCACATGATCATCAGATCATCCCTGAACAATAACTACGGGTGTTTAATAAACAGGGCCTGGCTGAAATTGCCTATACCCCGCATTACGGAAATAGCAACATCTCTAACACTTACTTTGAAAATGCCGATCGAAACAAAATGCTAAAAAGAGTAATATAATCTATATAACCCCTCAATGAAAATGAAGATTTAGCCGACGTCCAGAAACCGAAGCAGATATAAATACCGGCCGGTACTGAGTTGGAAAACCTTTTTGTAGTCTCAAGTGTCTTATTCTTGCCTCAAGACCTCCCTAGCTCTAGAGACGCAGAAATTCACCATCATGGTTCACCTTAGCCACTTAGCACTCGCCATTTCGGCAATCACAGCGGTGTTCGCAGCACCCACTGCTGACCCTGACTCCCCCGACTTTATGATCGGACCCCAGCACCTCGCCCGCCGCCAGGACTATAACCAGAACTATAAGACTGGCGGCAATGTCAACTTTTCACCTTCCAACAATGGATACTCGGTATCCTTCTCTGGCGCAGGAGACTTTGTTGTTGGCAAGGGCTGGAGAACTGGAACTCCTAGGTAGGCTAACTTTGCTACTTTTACTCTTTATAGTTATAAACATACTGACGTTTCTTTCTTTGTTTAGAAATCTTACTTTTACTGGCTCGACAACGCACTCATCGGGCACAGTACTCGTTTCTATTTATGGATGGTCACGAAACCCGCTAGTGGAATACTACATTCAAGAGTACGCATCGGACGGCAAGGGGTCGGCGCAGGGGACTAAGGTGGGGACAGTAGAGAGTGATGGGTCCACGTATGATATCTGGAAGCATACACAAGTCAACCAGCCATCTATTGTCGGCACCACTACCTTTACTCAGTACATCTCCAATCGACGGGATGCCCGGACTGGCAGCGGCACAGTCACAACCAAGACCCACTTTGACGCCTGGGCTAAGCTGGGATTGAACTTAGGGAGTATGGATTACCAGGTGTTGGCAACTGAGGGTTGGGGAAATGCAGGTGGGAACTCTCAGTATACCATAACTAGCTCCTAAGCAAAATAAATATTATCAAAGTGATAATATATTATATGAGACTTTGAATAGCATAGTAGTCAATCCACGATATAAGGAAAATAACGCTGTGGCTAGTTTCAACGAAAACATAAAATATTTCTATAGTGGAAAGTGCGCGTGATATACTCCCATATAATGTATACGTATTAAAATATATTAGCAATCCTACATTTCATGTTAAGCTAGGTTTCTAGTGCCAGTAGAAAACAAGGTGCACGTGTCTTCGGCCCCGCAACTCTGGCATTTCCTCTGACTCCGTTAGGAAACATTATTCAGGGTGACAGCGAACTTGGTCAAAATTAACTTAAATCTTAACAAATAAGACTAACGTTATTATAGGTAAAGGAACCGGAGTCCCAATCGCTCTTCCCACTTTGTCCCAGAGCCTATTCTCAAGATTATAAGTATGATTCTCGACGATTCCTAAAATTACTATCATAACATATATACTAGAATTGCTTACATTAGCCTCTACTCCTTAAATCCAACACCTATATTAACGTTAAACTCTATGGCAAGTACTTTTCCGTCAACTTCGACTTTGGCGCCCAAGAAGATATTCAACTTGAGCACTGACACTAGTTCAACAGTATGTACTGGATATTGAGGTACCAGTCAAATAAGGACTTTCTGGTACATCTGTTACCAGGCTCGATTGGTTGGGGCTTAGATAAAGGCTGATTCGGGGAGATTAACCGTGCCGTCCGTGACTATACCTCCCTCTATACACCTTCTTCTTATTAGGATCCCAAATCGCTTTTAGTAGGAACCCTTGTAAGGAGAGCAGATCGGGTGTCCTGGCAAACTTGGCTAGGAAACTGTAGCTAGGTGTACAGGGTGCCAAAAAGGACCCGCACTATGATTACCCAGGGCAAGCTCAGGATACTCAAGCTCTGCTCAGGCACGGTCATCCTACCTCAGGTATGCTAACTCTCAGCCCAGATTAAAGCAGCTACCGCTCACGCCCGGAGACTAAAACAGAACTAGCGAGCGGTGAGATTAGAGTTTGACTTTCATGGCGAAATGTATCCAATTTTGGGATTACTCTTCACCGGCAGCTTATCGTGCGCCGAGCTGGAGCTGGGCCTCTATTGACTGAAAAAGAAGAGATTTATATAATATAAGTTAGAGTAGTGCTAAATAAGTAAGTAAAGGAAATATAATATAGGTTTGCTAGATTTTATATTTAGGTATATACTCGTTCTTAGTCTTAGTAGGAGGGAGCTTTAACTTTCTAGTAATTATATACACTGCACGAAGTAGGTAAACGAGAAATAGGGGAAATAGGGAGGGCTTCCACCCCTAAGCGGATTCTTGGCACCCCGCCTGGGACCCCTCCACGCCGCTATCGGGTTTGCGATCTCGAGATATATATTTTCTGTTTTTTCTTCCCCACCCACGCGAAGCTTGATTTCCCAACGCACCAGCACGAGTACAGCAACAGAAAACTACAACGATTATGGCGCACCTAGCTGCGTCGCCTGCTCCCGCAGAAGGAGAAGATCCTGCTATCGCCACGCTCCGCAAAACCTTGACTTCAGAATCCGAACCCCTCGCACGACGCTTCCGCGCCCTCTTCTCACTCAAGCATCTCGCCTGCGAGCAGCCATCATCCCTCCCTGCAATCGAAGCCATCGCGGCGGCATTTGCGTCGCCCTCCGCCCTCCTAAAACATGAACTCGCGTACTGTCTAGGCCAGACGAAGGATCTTGCTGCGGTGCCATATTTGCGCTCCGTTTTGGTAGATAAGGATGAGGATGCGATGTGCAGACACGAGGCGGCCGAGGCGCTGGGCGCTATTGGCGACGTGGGGAGTTTGGATGTGTTAAGGGAGTTGAGAGATAAGAAGGAAGAGGTGGAGGTTGTGAGGGAGACGTGCGAGATCGCGGTGTCTAGGATTGAGTGGGAGAATTCCGAAGAGAAGAAGGCGGAGAAGCTACGAGCGAGGTATGTTTTATTTCCTGGATACCAAATTGTCGATAATTCAATGCTAAATATCACCCTTACTACAGTGACTTTTCGTCAATCGACCCCGCGCCGCCAGCACCACTTATGGCAGAATCAGAGACTGTTGATGCATTGGAGAAGAAACTATTGGATACACAACTTCCTTTATTTCTTAGATATAGAGCCATGTTTAGTCTCAGAGATCTTGCATCGCCACCAGACCTGCCAACAGCCGTCCCAGCCGTACTCGCCCTTGCAAAAGGATTTACCGATCCATCTGCGCTCTTCAGACACGAAATCGCATTCGTTTTCGGACAGCTATCACACCCAGCTTCGATCCCAGCCCTTACTGCATCCCTAGGTAATTTGGAGGAGGCGAGTATGGTCAGGCATGAGGCTGCCGAGGCTCTCGGGAGTCTGGGCGAGGAGGAGGGCGTGGAGGATACTTTGAAGCAATTCTTGAATGACAAGGAGCAGATAGTTCGAGAGAGCGTCGTAGTCGCGTTGGATATGGCGGAATTCGAGAAGGGAGGAGAGATCGAATATGTTTTGATTCCAGAAGCTGCTGCTGCTGCAGCTGCGTAGGCGGATTTAGACAGCTGTAGGCCGAGGACATGAAACCTACTGGCGCTGGTAGTAGGAGGTACCAAAGTGCTTGGGCCGCTAATAGCTACTTTTACCACACTTCAATATGTAGAATCCGAGACCAAGCAGAACGTGCAATAACCATTGTCAAGCATCTACCAACCATGCAGGAGCTATCCCCATTCACGCCTTCTTTATAAGTATGAGTCGAAAGATCGTCACCGCGCTCAGTTATTCGTATTCCACCTAGCACGTATCAGTATAAGCGAAGCAAGCAAGGCTTTTTTATCGAATTCTTACTTATTCCCACAGTCACACGTATAGAAAATCGTGCTGCCTTCATCTGCACTCCGCAATTGTACTGATACGAACGTAACCTCAGTTCTGCCGCATGCCGTACAGGTTTCTTGGGCTTTTTGGGTGTTTTCCAGATCGTCTCGTTCGACCTTTTGGAAAATGGACCGTTTCGCCCGTAGCGCCGAAGGGAATGAGGAGGGATTCGACTTTGTTACGATTGTCTTGGAGGCATTATCTATAGCAGTAGTTGTCAGGATCAAACCCTCGCGAAGTAATGCAATGTTTGCGCACCTTTGTTTTCTGCTCCGCAGCAGTCGCAAATCAATATATTCTTGGTGTTTCCAGTAGAGATATCAAGTAGATTGCCACATTCTGTGCAGAAGACGAGAGATCCCACGGCAGACATTTTGGTGGTTGCTGTTGTTGTTGTTGTTGCGTTGCTGACTTTTGCTCATCTGTCAAAAATGTTCTGAGAGCGCTCCCGCCTTACCTGAGCCTCCGCTAGCAGCGCCGCTCTTAGTGTTTACGACATTTGTGTGCCCACTTAAGGCGTCCATGAGGCTCCAACTTCTCGAGGAAATTTCGGCGGAAAGTTGCTTAGTCAGACGCGAGGCTGTCAACTTCTGCACGGCCTCCCTACAGCTATAGAGTTACGCTTGACGACAGCGAAATGCGACAACGATGTTCCTTCAATAGCCCGAGTCCACTCTAATAAATAAATAGGAGTCGATACCCTCAATATGCTCCTCCACCGTATGAAGCCTTCTCGGTCGTGATAACGGCACCCAACTTCGAACCACCGCCATTCCACCTCCACATCCACGCCATCGCCATCGACCGCAATCAACGATGGAGACAAACGGCTACCCCACCCCCAATGGTGTTGCAAGGGGATCGAAAGGCATGTCTAGCGCAAATGGATATAAAGCCCCCCAGCCTAGGGTTTTGACTGTCGACGAGGCCTTGCCATTAACTCCGTTTACCTCGGTGATCCCATTTAACTCGGGTTGGTCCTTCCCATAGAGCACTAGTATGGTACTAAGACGCTAATCGTTCACTCCCAGATATTGTACCACTTCCATCAGTTGGACTTAGATCCTCCGTCTCATTGTTTCCGACACCAGTTGACCGCGCCAAAGCTAGACAAGCTCTGGACAGCTTGAATAGCGAGGCTTCCGACCCTCATAACACATCGCGGAGGCTACAGCAGACCTTGGATGACTTAAAGGAACTTCTGAAGCCGGAGGGAATTGCGAATTTGTAAGGCGCCCCCAACCCTTTTTGCTAGAAGCTAGCTAATAATCTATAGCACATTCAAGACTTCCTCCAAGTTATCCTCTGGCCCTGATCTGAGCGAACAACCGAATGTATCCTTATCCCCATTTGCCCGAAGGGTTCTCGACCAGACATCTATTGATTTCACATGTCCACCCCCCGAACAGCCTAGCCCTAGGGATATTGGTAACGAAACTGGACCGCTAAAATACCCCCCTCCAACCAAGGCCAGACCGCCGCAGAACCAACGCGCTGTTACGAACGATGCCGCTCATGCGACGAATTCGAATATTAAAGTCGACACTCCAAATATTAGAGCTGATAAGTTGCACATTAAAGCTCAGGCTTCAAAGGAAGAGCCCGTGTCTCAATTTGCAACCCCACCTCGACCCTCGCCCGCTCGCGCCAACTCCAACTCGGGCATAGCCGTGGTTATTCCAGGCTTACCAGGTAACTTCCGGCGTGAAGAGTACGCTCCTGGAAAGAGCTCAAGTAATAAGAGCTTGAAGCCGGTAGCTCAGCCTATATCTCGTACCCCTTCCCAACCGCCGAGTCAACGATATTCACCAGCCGTACCACCATCAACGATCATTGTGCAGCTTCCTCCTCATCCTATAGCCCAGCCTCAGACTCAGACTCAAAGTCATTCACTACCTCCCCCGCAAGCTCATTCTCATTCTCAGCACCTATCTAAGCCACAGACTTCCCGTCAACAACAGGCCCCTGCTCCACCGACTGTGCTACCAAAGGAATCTGCCCCAGGAGGTTTAGCAGTTGTCATTCCCGACTTACCTCTTACTTTCAATCCCCAGGATTACGAAGTTATTCCTGATTCGCCTGATACCCCGCAGCACCTATCAAGGAAAAGAAAGCGATCTGACATCGACGGATATGAAGATGATCTAGCTATGAGCATAGATCAGCGTGAGAAAGCTGATACAGCTGCGCGGAATTTACGGGAGTATCTTCAAGAGATATTTGAAGCTGAAGATCAGATCCAAGCTGATAATGGTGTATCAAACGCCATTTTCACGATAACCAGCGACGGGATTGGCCTCAACTCTGTGGCTCAAACAAGGGTTGAAAGCTTGTTACAGAAAATTATCACTATGGGCCGCTTCACCCAAGCACCGCTTGATGAGTTATTACGGCTTCAGAAGCTCTGCGAAGGAACCCTCAGAGACGCCGAAACACTTGACATAAAATTCAACGACACGATGGGAGAATCCGAGGTAGAGGGAGCGTTGCAGCAGATACCTAATGCTGAGCTCGGACTCAAGGCAGCACGTACTTCGTTACGATTGATGTCAGGTGGGCGTGAAGACAAACAACTGTACTCAGAAGATGTTACACAGGCAGCCTTGGATGTGTTTAGGAACGTCGTGGACAACTGCATAGTTCCAATCGTGGAAATGCGTAGCTCCGGTACTTCTGCCGAAACATTCAAATTGCTATCCGCCCAAAAGAAACCTATCGCTAACCTTCTCACGCAATGCCGCCGAGTCTTGTCACTTTTAGCCACTCTTGTGGCTAGCGTCGAGCTGTCGGAAACCGTCATTAATACCCTCGAGTTTACTGCATCGCGCTTAATTTTTGTCGAAAACGCTCCTTTCGAGCGTGACTCGGTTCTTGGAGTTGCGAAATTTGACGGCTTGAGAGTAGTGGCAATGGACACTCTTGCGCAGATCTTCCTCTGCCATCCTGCGCAAAGGCAGGGTATATTTGACGAAATCCTTACCTCGTTAGAGAAGCTCCCTGTCACAAGACAGAGCGCTCGCCAATTCAAGCTCGCTGAGGGTGGAAGCATCCAGCTTGTGTCGGCATTGATTATGCGTCTTATTCAGACCAGCGCTAGAAAGCCTGACGACGAGAAACAAAACCGGAGAACCAAAGCTCTGGAAGCCCTGAATGGTGACGACCAAGATATTCAGCCTGTCAAGAGCGATATCAAAGAAGCTTCTGGTGGGCACTACACTATCCATTCGGAAACGCGTGCGGAACAACAACCCGTGACAGCAGTTCAAGAGCTTAGAGATCTTGTTTCACCATTGCTAGACACTGCTAAAGGCAACGCAAGTTATGTTGTACAATTTATCGTCAACAGAGCCATGAAATCAACTAAAACTGGCGATGCGCCTTATCGAAATCTTCTCGATCTATTTGTTGAGGACTTCATCACATGCCTGAATTCAACAGACTGGCCCGCTGCAGAGCTTTTACTACGCCTATTTCTGTTCAAGATGGTATATCTAGCGGAAGGAGATAAGACGCCAGCGCCGGCGAAGAATATGGCTCTCGACCTTCTAGGTTTGATGGGTGCAGCAATATCCGAGCTCAACTCCCATGTTCGAAAAAGTGCCACCTCTTTGGATGGTGGTGATGATTTGGCCAGATACCTTACGAAGCTAGCTTACACTTCACTCGAAAAGAGTGCTTCTCCTGCGGACCTTGTGTCATGGCCCTGTGGCCCGTTCCGTGTATCGCTGGAATTTCTAGATGAGCGCTGCTCCGCCGACCCCCAACTCCACAGCGCTGTTGGATTTTTCATGGCGCAGTGGGCTTCCAAGATTTTTGTCACCTATGACTCGATCAATGACGACGATGAAGAAGGCCAGCAGACCGACCGAGAATATGGACGCCTCGCCTATCGACTGCGAATGATGATTGCCGATAGAAGATGGCTATCTACAGAATATAGCTTCGACTCAATCAGCCCGCCACATGCGCGTCTTGCGTACTCCTTGACTTTGCTTCATTCTCAGTTTTGCCAGTCATTCGGACGAGTTCTCACTATCCTACTTGGATCTATGACCAGTGAACAGGCAACGGTACGCAGCAAGAGCCTCAAAAGCGTCAATCAAGTCTTGGACACTGATCCTACTATACTTGATCGTGAGCCGGCAGTGAAGCTATTGATATTAAGATGTTCAAATGATCCATCCATTCAGGTCCGCGACTCGGCTCTAACGTTGGTCGGAAAATGTATCAGTTTGCGGCCGGCTCTTGAAGCAGAGCTGACTCCCGGCATTTTGCAGCGAGTAAATGATAGCGGTGTGGGCGTCCGTAAGCGTGCCATGAAGTTAGCAAAGGATATCTATCTAAGGAACTCCAATCGCGACGTGAGGAGTTCCATCGCAGATTCGCTACTCCATCGCGTCGCAGATCTAGATGAGGGTGTACAGGAACTAGCGCGGCAGACTATCGAAGAGGTTTGGATGTCTCCATTTTACCAATCGACGGCCGGCGACGATTCTTCAGCTCAATTCAAACTGGCCATGGCTGAACACGTTGCCCTCATGGTTAAGACAGTCCAAAGAGGTAGCGGTGTATCGAATGTCTTGGATAAGGTTCTACAGAACATGCTGGCCGACAATTCCAAGTCTGCAGCCGCAAACTTCAGAGTGTGCAAAAATCTTGTTGCTACGATGTTTGAGACCATTATCGATAACTCTGCTGAGCAAGGGAGTGACGCACCATCGGCTCGTGACGCTTTACAACTCCTGATGATTTTCGCCAAGTCAAATGCCAAGCTGTTCACTGCAGAGCAAATCCAACTTCTGCAGCCCTATGTTTCCAATGTAGGTACTGGAGATGACTTGGCCATCTTCCGGTCCGTGGTAGTGATCTTTCGTCATGTTCTGCCACATCTCTCTCGAGTCCACAACAACTTCCTTGCTGCTGTAAGGAGGGAGTTGATCGTAACTGTTGGCCGCATGACGCGAGCAATTCTAGATGATGTGGTAGCGTGCTTATGGATCATCAGCAGCGTTCTTGAGGATTTTCAGCATCTTACCAAAATGGCGTTGTCAAGCTTGCTCAATATTCAGAATATGAAAGGAATGGATTTGAACAAACCGGAAAACTCCGACGCCGTACGAAAGCTGGGTAGGCTCTTGACTCTAGGCGGCACCTTAGGGAAACACTGTGACTTTGATCCTCAAATTGAAAGTTTTAAGGAGAGGTTCCGGACGTGGAAGGACAATTCGGTCTCGAAATTGATGGCAGATACGTTTGCGCCTTTTGCTTCACCTTCACAACCGCAGGATGTGCGAAAAACTGCGCTAGAGGCTATTGGGATGGTGTGTCAATCCTGGCCAAAGAGCTTCTCATCCGCAAACATTTATACCTCTTTTCTAGAAGTATTCGGCGAGAAGAATTCTGCCCTTGAGGCTGTTGTTATGAGAGCATTCAAGGATTTCTTATTGCTCGAGGAGAAGCGCTCCGAAGCTGGAAATGAAGCTTTACCCGGTGCGGCTGCAGATCCTACTGCAAAGCTGGGGGTCATGGGTGGCTCTCAGGGCGACGGAGTTGCTATTGGAATTGCTCAACGATTCTTACCACATATTATACGCATTTCTCTTGCTGGGCAAGATGAACAAGCTCTCCTTGCAACAGAAGTCGTCGCTAGCATCGCTCGTCAAGGTCTTGTCCATCCAAAGGAATGTGGACCAACTCTTATTGCACTAGAGACTTCACAAAATGCGAAAATCGCCGAGCTCGCGTATAGAGAGCATCGCGCGCTCCATGAGAAACACGAGACAATTCTAGAGAAGGAATATATGCGGGCCGTTCATCTTGCATATGTTTATCACCGAGACATTGTTGGAAATACCAATGGCGCGACTCTCGATCCGTATACTTCGAAGCTTCATCTAATGATGGATGTCTTGAAGATAAGCAAAGTCAAAAATCGGAAGAAGTTTTTCGAGACACTGTGCTCCCGCATCGACTTCCACCCGTCCAAGATTGATGTAGTCAAGGAACTCCCAGAGCATTTAGAGTTCTCTCAGTTCATTATTGAAAATCTAGCATTTTTTGAGTATCAATCTGTCGATGAACTCCTAGCTACCATCACTGCAATGGAGAAGGTAGTCGCGGCCACGGGTACTGGAATTGCGCATTCGATTGAAACCGAGATTTTCCGCGTTAGCCTGGATCAGCCTCCGCCAATCGACCAAACCCAGATCAACGAGCACAATCATGGACCACCTGCCCAGCCCGAAGTCGATCCCATGCGGTTACGGCTTTTAACTGCTTCTTCAATGATGCTTTCCAGTCTCTGGGAAGCTCGGACGTTCCTCAGACGTCTATATGGCCTCATGAACAATCGACGAGACAGCAAAGGCAAAGCCGTTCCCAAGGATCTGAATAGAACGCCCACCAAGGTTCCGTTTGTTACGGGCGATAAGTTTTGGGAGGCAAGCTCATCAACTATGTCAGCTCTAGATTCCGAAGACAGCATGCTAAAGCAATGTCGCACCTTTGTTGAGCTCCTCACGGTGGATCACGACTTCAAGATCGCTGCGGAGGGCGACGATGAGGCCGACCAGGCGAGGCTTAGTACACCTAGCGATGATGAAGAGAATAATCCTTCGGGGGCGCCGGGTGGTAGTGGGAAGGGACGCAAGAGAAAAGCTGTTGGCGCTGCGCACGGCCGGAAGAAGCGAGCTCGATCATCATCTGTTAGTAATGGTCGTGCGCGCCCAAAACTCAACGGAAAGCGAGGCAGCGTAGAGAGCGGCGAAGAACTGGGATAGGAATAAACTTGTTCAACAGTGAGATTTCTGGAATTTCTCAAAATGAATTTCGCCCTTTTTATGGGAGTTCTGGGGAAGGGAGGATATCGTCATAGGGGCTGGCAGGAGTTTCACCAGCACAGCATAGGTATCATAGATATCCCGATGCTCATTTGCATACAATATCCTTTCTTTTATCATTACGGACGCAATAGAACAGCCGGTATTTCTTGCTCCATGTATCTGGGCGGGCGAAATGAGCATTTATAATTACGAATTTATTGCATATGGAGTTGCATGGCACGATAGCATCATAGGTGCAGATGGAGTTTAGCCTTTGACCTCGGTATTTACCAACCGTGTATTATGAAATACCAGAGAGGTGATATACTATTAGCTAATACGATAACTTGAAATTTCACTTTGATGTTCTCTAATGCTCCATGCAGGAGATCGATTGATTAATATTTGAAATATCTTTTGTTTTGCCTGTATTTCTCGCTATGTAATGTATTGTTCGTTTATGAGATGTGCTAGGCTATGAGCAAGTTTAATATAGCAAAGTGAGTAGCAAAGTGAGTAGCAAAGTGAGTAGCAAGGTGAATAGCAAAGTAGCAAAGTTGCCGCGCCCGTAGGCATTGTAAGACTGTGTTGTTTACAAATCCGTCGCCCAGCAAGCCGTAGGGTTTGAGATAAATCGCGATGTTTCAATCAGCCGTAGTATTGTATATCCGATTCTTTGCCGTAGTTCAAGAATAAGTGTTTTGAATTTGTAAGGCGATGCTTAGATATGTGGAAAATGTGCGAAATAGTCGAAACCGAAATGTCTAGCATATCTTCGCATGTCTCAGAGATAAATGTCTATGCACAAGGGAGCTGGAAAATACGAGTGCTGTCGCTCATCCTACTCGATGATGAACGGGTCACTGTTGATGCCAGTTCCATGCAGAGGCTCTCGGTCGGCATCCAGATCGATATCGATATCGGCTGGTACTTCGTGTTTGATCGGGGGCTTGGGTTCCTCCGACCTTGCTCTCTTTGAGCTCGGCTCAACCTCGTCAATAGGCTCATTAAACTAGAGCTATGTCAGTATATTCTTCACCATAAATAAGAGATTGGCAAACTTACTGTTTCTGAAGCCGATCTTTTTGATAGATTTGCTGGTCCGGAATTGATCGGTGTCCCAATCTCAGCTGGAACTGGCATTTGGTCTAGAGATGGAGCTGGAGATGCCCTAACGCTTTCGGCATGCGATGATGATGGCTTAATCAGCGGCGTGTTAGAATGTTGAAGGTGCATTTCTCGGAGCCCTAGAAGACCTGCAAAGCTTGTTGCTGGGTTTTGAGGTGGATTGGAGTCCGCCTCGCCAAGTCCACCCTCATCATCTACATCGTCAGGTCCATTCTCATCCATGTCATCATAGAGGTCTTCAAGCTGAATCTGATCATAGTCCACATCCATATCCTAGGCAAATATAGTCAGTATTGCCTTTCTGAACTTGGAGTTATGTAAAATTTCAAAATAGTTGGTCCACGGCTTACAGAATCATCATCTATGGTAATCGGCATCCTTTTTGTACCATTTGAGCCATGGTGAAGGTTATCAGCTTGATTAAATCCCTCCTAAGTATACGTAAGTATGGATGAGGCTTCCTTCTCAGTTCGAAGTGTCAGACTTACTGAAACTGCTCTCTGTTCGCGTGAGGGGCCTGGCTCTGCACCATCAATGTCTGCTTCCGAATTGTCATCTAATATATGATCCTAACATATTTCACTTAGCATAGTGTCGGGTAGTTTAAGTCACCCTTTCTTCAAATTCTCTTTTTGGGGCGGTTTGACTTACCACATTGGTTTTCTTGGCTTGCTTCACTTTCTTTCTCGCCCTCTCTCCCCTTCCCTTCTTTCTTTTCTCGCGCTTTTTGTCTTTTTTGCCTTTCCTAGAAACGGCCTTTCCCTTTTTCTGTGCATTTTTAGATTTCCCTCCATGGCGCTTTCTTGGTCTATTATCTGAGACGAATAGGGGGTTTCCATCATCATCCCCCCCATCACTGAATTCGTCCGACTCGTCTCCATCACCGGGTGCTCCACCACCACCTCCACCTCCACCATAGTTGTCACCATCAGACTCATCGTCCTCTTCATCACTGATACCATCTTCCCTCCTCTTTAAATCGTTCATCAGCCGCTCAACTTCCTCCCCCTTATATAAATCATATCTCAACGGCGGATTGTTCTTCCAAGCCTGCGAATCGATGGCACGCCTAACTAGATTATGTCCGACCTCTCTATTAGCGCTCCATACCGCTCTTCGGTCAACCCGCCAGCCCAAGTCGTAAAATGCAGACTCGACTCTATCTACTTGCAGATCTTCATATCTGGGAAAGTTGGATCCCCGCTTTGCGGCCATCTTACCATTTAGGAAATCTTTGACCACCCGCAAAGATGATAACTTCCATTCTCGGTACGCACTAACCTTGATATGAGTAAAGTCTTGAGGAATCTGCGTATTTGGATAAGTGGGCCCTCGAACTGGGAACCTAGCCTCGGGTGTTTCTTGCTCTTCCTCTCTATTGTCGGCATCGTCGCCAGGGGCATGGATGGCATTGATAGATGGACCTATGTTCAAAAACTGGTTTCCATCGGGAAATGGATCGTCGAAGTCGGCGTCATTGAACTTCTCCAGCAGGGTCTTCCGTTGTTGTATTCTGCCCCTAGTGGTATATCCGTACTGCCATCCTCCGTCTGACCTAAGGTATTGACCCCAATCCTCTTGTAAATGCTCATCCCAGGTGATGAGATTTCGCTTAATCTGGCCCACGTTCCGATTCCCAAGCATGGTACCCGTGTTGTCCGCAGCGTACACGATTCGAAACGGGTTGGTTTGATACGTCACAGTTTTCACTGGTCTGCTTTCAAATGCGTAGTATATTTGTTGCTTGTTCCCTTGCGGATCGTTGTAGACACCGGCATGAAGCCAGCTTTGAGACAAGTCAGCTTATGTATATTCGAAAGGGTCTATACTTACTTCAAGTCTTCCCTCGCTTGTCCCGATTGAGACATTTTGAATATCTGTGAGAGTGATGAACAACGAAGAATACTCTTCTAATAGAAAGAGTAGCTAATAATTGTGAGTTTGGGCCTGGACGGTCTTTGAGCGATTGTTTGAGAAAACAGGATTGGATTGAATTGGTGTTGTAGTTTTGGAATCGGAAGTCGGGTACGGAATTGATCTGCAAGTTCCGTGAAGTGTATTGAGTAACGGATTGCTTTAGATGAGGTGAGATTGAGAAGATCAACTAAAGCAAGATATTTGAGTAAGGGATTGAGGACGATGTGCGACCATGTCTACCTGAACCTGAAAACTCTTTCCGGAGACCAAAGCTATTAGTGCAAAGATTGAGAACTAATGAGCCGGGATAAACACTAGAGGTTCTGGTAATGTATGTTAAGGACTGGAGTAAGTTCAGATGAAACTGAACAGGGTCGGCTAGTAAGATGAGGAGGACTTGGTGAGTGGCAAGGAAGGTAGGATGGGGTAAATGCTGGTGAGCTAAGCTATTCGACCTTGAAGCTGAGAAGCCAGAAGCTCAGTTCGAGCGTGGAAGAATACTGTGAGCTGTTGCAAGAGACAAGAGGATTGTTGTCTGTTCTGGAGGAGGAAGGTGGTGAGGGGTGATATTAGTAGGATCCACAAAGAACCATACCTTAAGATAGATGGTATTATTGAAAGGTAGAATGGTGATGATATAATTGAGAGGTATGGATGAGGGCGGGCCCGATGATGCGGTGATGGGCTCGTAAGTAGAGTTGAAATAGCATGAAAGTGCTATTGCAATAGTTGTGTGAAGAAGTATGAGATGGTTCTGTGCAAGGTTGAACCTGTAATATGGGGTTTGGAAAGTATAGGACGACACTCTGAAAGGGAGTATCTCGTAAAGCTTGTGCGGTTCTGTCTATCTTTAATACACTTGACGTCCTCCGGCGTCTCGTCGTCTCATCGCCTTGTCGACCTTCAACTAAATTGATACGTGGAACGCCCGTGACGATGTAATAGTAGATGGAGTTGGAATTACATCACGGCGTGATACGTTGGTTCTGATGGCTTGAATCTCAAAAATGACACAGGTTTTAAACTTGGATCACCCTTTATACGAGATGAGAAGCCGAATAACGAGAAATGGTAAGGACGAAAGCCAGGTGGCTTAAAATTAGGTAGTTGGGAGGGTGATACTGTTATGAAGTAAAATGGTGTAGATATTTATATAACAACTGAATTTGTTGTTGCAAAAGACGATATGAGAAGACAATACTAGAAATCCCCCTGTACGCCATGTGCTGCAGTTTTTTGGGGAGGGGTTGGGTGGTGGAAGGCACATTTCAGAGCTAACAATGTAACCAAACCAAGCTGTATTTAAAGAAATCATTCTATAAATTTTTGCAGCACTTGCTAGTTGGTAGAAGTGAAAAAACGACTCAACGTGCTACTTTTCACAAAGAAGTACCAAAGATGTACCAAAGAACTAATCAATCTAATAACTCAACAACCCGAATAGCATACTTCAATGTTCAGAGTATATCAAAGTCCTATAGTCCATGTAAAACAGAACCGTGGAATATATGAGTGACATACGACAGAATTATGGATTTGTTAGCGTTGCTACATACTCTGGGGTAGATTGGCCTAGAATAATCCCGAGCAGTATTTAGTAGTGAGAAAGGATACTTTGGAGCCCTACTTACGGGGAAGGAGAAGGGGAAGGGGATATTGGGCAGACTCACGCCATATGGAGCATAACATCAAAGCTCTCTATATCCCTGCAAAGATGTAGAAGAGTTATAGGAAATATGCCACCAACCTTCGAAAACCAAATGGAATATACAAACAATGTAACAGCAGTTCCAGCTTCAGTCATCATGGTATCGTTTCAAGGCTAGAGCTAGAAATAGTCCACCCAGCCTACCATTATTCAGCGCCCAGCTTCTTCGGCAGCTCTTCTAGATCGTCTGCAGAATCAATCTCAAGAACTTTCCCCACCTCGGCAGTGTTTCTCATTAGCTCCTTGGCCCCGGCATAAAGCATCCTTAATTCGGCATTGCAGGTTACCGGAAGATAATAGAGGAGCACGTATGGCACTGATAGACGTCCGGAAGGCTATAGCGACAATAATACACATGTTAGCGTCAATCTTTTGGTTATATTCTTCCTCCTTGATTACATAGAGATTACTTACCAGTGTCAACGGATAACTCAGCAACACGAATCGGGGAGAGTGGTCTGGCAGTTCTTCTGCAATATCCTGCAAGTCTTTGTACACCGTCTGATCCTCATCTTGCTTGATTTCCAAGGTATTCTTGTCAATAAAATCTATCCAAATCTTTATCAGCCATTATATGAAAGGGCGAAGGAAGGTTGAGGAGCAGGTGCAGCGGAATTGTGAGACGGACGTGGACATACAAATCACGGCTTGCGGATCATTCGAGCGAGAAGTTCCCAGGCGGAATTTCCGCAGGTGGTCTTTGGTTTCCTGGGAGAAGGTGTAGAGCCGGGATTCGGAGGACTGATTGTATAGAGCTAAGTTTAGTCATGATTCTCCAGATGGAGGGGAAGTGGAATGCGAGAATGTAGTGCAGCATACCATGGTCGCGGATATAGGTTATGGTGCACAAGGTTGTCATCAGTGTATCGCAGCCTTGTATATGGATGCAGAAACACCTGTACGATGTACTTGCAATGGTAGTCTTCGGGTTTTAGGGTGTAAGATCCTCGAGGTGACAGTGTATGGTACAGCCTCGTTGTCCCTCGAATAAGGAAGCGAGGCAGGGTCTCGGTTAAGACACCACTAGCGCCTAAAGATCTTATCTCTTATCTTATCACCCGGGGAACGGCATTATGATCCTCCGAATACATCCCGTTGACGTCATATCAGCTTTTCACGGGGGCATTATTCCTTTTCCTTTTGCCCCTTCCTTCCTACAAATTAAGTACTAAGAAGACCCAAGACACTTAGTAAACTAAAAGTAACGAATATTATAAATTATTATCTTCTATTATTAATAAAATATTCTTAATAGAAATTTCTAGAAAATACAAAGTATAGTTAGTAGTAATATTTTATAATATATAAATATTTTTTCTTTTATAACTCTCTTTATTAAAGTTATAATAAAATATATAATAAAATATAATATAAAGATTTTATAATTATAAACTATAGAGTCGTTAATTTAGCGTCTTTCTCTAGTAGCAGCTTTACTATTATATTATGTTTGTTCTTTGTAGCTTGTAATAGTGTCTAACTATATTTATTATCTTTAGTCTCTAGGTCGGCGTCTTTCTCTAGTAGTAGCTTTACTACTGTATCGTGCCCGTTCCTTGCAGCCCATAATCGCGGCGTCCAACCATAGTACTTGTCCTTGGTCTCTAAGTCGGCGTCTTTCTCTAGCAGCAGCTTCACCACCGTATCGTACCCGTTCCTTGCAGCCCATGACAGCGGCGTCTGACCATATTTGTTGCCCTTGGTCTCTAGATCGGCGTCTTTCTCTAGTAGCAGCTTTACTACCGTATCGTGCCTGTTCCTTACAGCCCATGATAGCGGCGTCCAACTATAGTACTTGTCCTTAGTCTCCAGGTCGGCGTCTTTCTCTAGCAGCAGCTTCACTACTATATCGTGCCCGTTCCTTGCAGCCCATGACAGCGGCGTCTGACCATATTTGTTGTCCTTGGTCTCCAGGTCGGCGTCTTTCTCTAGCAGCAGCTTCACCACCGTATCGTACCCGTTCCCTGCAGCCCATGACAGCGGCGTCCGACCAAGTTTGTTCCTGGTCTCTAGGTCGGCGTCTTTCTCCAGCAGCAGCTTCACCACCGCATCGTGCCCGTTCCTTGCAGCCAATGACAGCGGCTTCTGACTATATTTGTTCTTGGTCTCCAGGTCGGCGTCTTTCTCTAGCAGCAGCTTCACCACCGCATCGTGCCCGTTCCCTGCAGCCCATGACAGCGGCGTCTGATCATATTCCTTGTCCTTGGTCTCCATGTCAATCTGAAAATCAGCACTAATCGAGTGTTGCTTAAGGAGAAACATCTCTACTGCCCTCTCAAGTCCTAGGGCAGATGCCAAACAAAGTAGGGGCCCAGCTATAGGAATCTGATTATATTTATTATGAATCATAGTCCATTGTCTGCAATGTTCGAGCAGACAAAGATCTCTTGTTTTTTCAGCTGCTGCTACTTGGAAATTTGTCACCGACTGGTGGTAGTGATCTGCCCAGTAAATGGCCGAGTAATCAAGTAGTGAATTATCCGTCTTTGCAAAGTTTGAATAGAGGTAGGAGATACATGATTTTGCAAGAGCCGAATTGGCGTCTGTCAAGTCGACGGAGTACTTCCAAAGGTGTGAGTGAGGGGTAACCGTCTCAGAGTCCGGCGTGTCCCGCGCTTTCTGATTCACATTGTTGATGTTAGGACCAGTCGCGACCAGAAATTCTCTCACCGTTTGATGGAGAAGGTAAAGTCTGTCATCGACACGGATAACAAGGAGACCGCAACAATCCCGGATTATGTTCCAGATTCCCTCTTCCGATTCGATTTCATCGGCCAAATCCTCGTCTAGTGGCTGATACTCCTGTAGTAGCAAAGCTATTGACATTTCCCGAAGAGTGAGTGGTCTTCTTGCCGCTACAATCATTTGCAAGATGGTTCGCGTCTTTTTGAGGTCCTGGTTGCCTGGGCCTTGGGTTTTCGATCTGTTTAGAATCTTTTCGTAAGCGTCATTGACATTTTCTGGCGGATTTTTAACAAAGCTCTCGATATATTCCTTCTGGATCCCAGAAGTCTTTTTCAGGAGATCGTCGAAAACAAGAGTGATCCACAGATAGGTACGTCCTGGAGCAGCACCCAGATTCGTTTTCATCAAATTTCTTTTCTGCTTCGTTAGGTGGATAGTATCACAAATCTGATCGATACGTTTGTCAACAACGATCTTGATCTCCTCTGCAATATCGTTGGCAACGTCATCTTCTTCGCCAGCAAGACGGATTTCGGGAAGCCTGTGTCCCCAAGCGTAGGAGAACTGAGATTGTATTATGTCTCCATACGGCCGAGTGGTCAGGAGAAGCTTGAGACGACATGATGCCTGATTTTGTAGAGTTCGGTAGAACTCATTGATAGCTTTAATAAGTTCGTTCCTGCCAGTCAGTCGGCATTCGTCCAGGGCGTCAAGAATGCAAATAACCTCTCCAGCATCAGTGTGAAGAGCAGCCTCAGTGAACGTCTTCCAGAGACTGGAAACAGAACCAAAAAAACTCTCTTTTCCCATGGTCTCAAGACGCCGAAGAGCGGAATCGGCTAGAGAAGTACGACGTTTCGACTCAGAGATGAACAGGAGCTGGTGAAGCAGTGTACAAAGTGCCCCAGTGGCGCTCTTTTGATGTTCAAAATCATCCTTGAAGAAGAAATAGCACACAGCTCGGTCTTTGAACTTGGACAAAACGGTGTCAATGAGATGTTTTGACAGAACCGATTTGCCGCATCCTGGATAAGCGGTCAACAGTAGAAGAGGAGACCCCAAATTTGGATTGTCAGGAGACTCCCATGCTTTGAACTTGCCGTGATTTGTGAACCATTTGCAAGTACCTTCCTCCGCACGCTGGACTCGGTCTTTGCTGTATTCGTAGCTGTCTCCGCCGGGCCATGCATGTTCATTCAGTTTTTGGAGGAATGCCGTAATCTTCTCGTTGCGGGCAGCGGTTTCCTTGCTAAGAGTTGCGGCTAGTTGCGCTAATCGATTATTTTCCTGTGCTTCCCGGATCATTCGAACTTCCTTCCACCCTTCAACTCCAGAGTGATTGATTATACGAGCTTCGGCAGCTTTGATTGCGGATAGCAAGACATTCCATTCACCCTGATTAAACATGTCTTTCAGTGTCTGAGTGATGGGATGCTTTTTAAGGTGACAGGCTGCCCGGGCTAGGAACTCTAGGATGTAGGAGCACAGTTCAATCATGGATTTCTTGATTACTTGCTCTTGCGTCTTGGTCCAGTGGAGTGTCTCATTTTCAGTAAGATCGTAAATCACGTGTGGAATCTCATCCAGGCCTTTAAAGAGAATGTCCCGCTGACTGCCAGCTTGAGCATAAAGCTATCTGAGCATCAGCATCTGGTGCATATAGTAGCAATAGAGAACTTACCGATAAAACGAGCATCACACCAGCACACGCTATCGAAGCCGGGAGGCAGGGTTGAGCAGCAGTGGAAATGACCTTTTCCGCCTTTAGAATATAATCGGCTGCTTTCTTCAAGACACTAGTAAATTTGCCCAACTTGTTAGCGTCTTGAATAGTTTTAGACTGAGACTCAATGAAAGCGGAGATCTGTTTCTGCTTCTCGGAAGTATTAGAACTGTCGAGATCCTTCAATTTGGATTTCAAGATGTCGTAATACGCATCTAGAAGTTTATTCTTTTTTTGGTCCCGTCTCAGTTGGGCTTCGGCAATCTTCCACATGTTGTCTTCTTGGGCCGAGTCGGCGGCATCCGTATTCGGCTTTAGACCAATGTTTTGGTTCTCCTGATCTTGGGATCCATCCGTCGCAGCGCCTAGTTCAGCATTTTGATCGTTATCCGACTTTTTATCCAGCCTGTTGCCTAGCTTGATCGCCGGTATCATAGCATTGGCACCAGCGACAAGCTGGGTATCATCGACACTGGGCCTGATCCCCGGTGTGGAAGAACTCGCACCAGCTGTAGCCGAAGCATTATCTGCTTTCCCTCTACTCGGAACCGGTGACGGTGCACGACTCGACTGTCGAGAATGGCCTCGAGAAGACCGGCGGAACCGACTGCGGAGCTGGTCTTTCAACTGGCTCGTCTTGTTGCGACCAGCGGCTTGTTTTTCGCTCATTCTTGGAAGACTAGGAAGGAAGTGTTTAATGAGAAATATTATATTCTCAGCCTGGGTTGAGGGGTAGGCAGAGTCGAGATACGGGCAACACACTTTCAGCACAGGTGGCTGCGGCTGAGGTTGGGCATAGGTAGGGTAGGATAAGCGATATGTACGAGGTTGCATGCTTTATGGTCTGGTGCCCACAGCGGACAGCTAATTGTTTTATCATCTTTGCAGCTAATTGCGCTAAGGTGATTCTTCCATTGTGGATGTTACGATTGCTAATAATTTGAGGGTAATAGTACAGTACAGTGGTACGAGGAATATAAAAGGGGTAATTAGGACTTCACGAGGCTTTGTCTACTTGTCCACTTCAGTGTGAAATCGAGTCAGCAATCAAGGAATTGATTAACACAAAGCCATAGAAAACGTATTATTTAAAATCTCAGCACGGAACAATACTCCTCCATTCCCAGCGACCTGATCTCATGCTCTGCCACTTCTAATTCTTGACTTCGTGATCTCTTCCCAAGAACTTGGGTTGGTGATTTACGCCTTGGCCGTCCTCGACCCCGCTTGGGCACTGTGTCAGCGGTGGCTTCTTTCATGTCGCGCTGTCTTTGCGCCTCAACAATATCTTCATAGCTCAAAACTTTTGCCTTGCCAACTGCAGTTGCCTTGACTGACTTACGCGTGTTCCTCTCGTTATTTTGCTCGAAGAGGAGCAAGGCGACAAGGCTAACTGCGCGGCACAACGCATGGCACCCTCCATGCCAGCCCAACAACTGCACCACTACTAAGAAATCGATGGAAATTTGAAATCCACCCACAAATCCACCCCATCTTATGGCCCATAGTAAACAAACTGCACCCAGATCGGCAGTATCTTCATTTCCTGTGTTCTAGCCAACACCACGGTATCCCTTGGTGCCCACGCCACCTCTCCCTTCTCTCACAGCGACTTTCCTTGCAGAAAGAGCGCCGAATATAATCCGCCCGCTACTTCCAGGTTCAACTCAGAAACTCTTTGGTGGTAGGAAGTGGTGCAGCGTTCGATACAGTTTGATCTCACCGTCGTCGTGTCTCGCCTAGGCTTGCACTGAGAAAAAAAGTAGTCGCTCATGCCTAGATTCATATTCCTGCTATCACGCACTTTTCACCAGAATCTGCAGATCGGAAATGTTCGTCCAGCCATCTACCTGTTACTCCAGTTACCAGATTGATATTGGAATGCCATACGGAAACCGTCCCTGTGTCAGCACCTGCTGCTCGAAGGAAGTATATAACCCTGACTTTCCCAAGTTGGCGAAGGAGAACACCGTGGCTTTTGAGGATGAATCGTGCCCAGAGCCCCCTGGGGGAAGACTCTACGAAGCAGTCTGACAGGAACATTATATCCTCCGATAACCTATAGATCCTCCATCCACATGCAGGTTCATCTATGTAACACCCGATCTCGGGAACCGGGCAGCTTGCTGGGCCAAGTGGGCCTTGCAGGCAACCAAAATGGAAGCCAACAGCCGTCTTGAACAGCATTATCGAGAGCCTTTGGGCTGTTGTGAACGGAATCATGCCGTTCCGCTGAGCGATAGGGAATGGCTGGTTAAGATACTCGATTTCCAGTTTCTAGTTCCAACAGTGTCAGTATATGTTAGTGTATATATGCCCCTCGTTGGTAATTATCTTACGCTGTTTACAGCTACCCACTCAGTTTCAACCAGCTGCCTCATCAAACGTACTTGCTTCTCGGGGCTCGAAGCTGCCAACTTAGCTTTCATGAAGACCAACTCCAACACTGCTATACTCCGAAAGGTAATGTAATCCTGGAGCCTTAATGTTGATTGGCCCCCCAAGACTGTGGCGATGTATATCAAAGAGAAAAAGTTGACGAAGGGAGTATCGGACCAAATGAACCTTCCAGCTCTTCGCAGTGCCAGTATCGGCAAGGTGAGCTCCTTTTCACCAACAAAAAGTGACGCGAAGAATGTAACCCCAAAGGTAGCTGCAATGAAGGCGTTGAGAAGCGTGCTCGAGACAAGGAGGTTCATCGCCACGCTCGAAGCTAACGACACAGCCAGCAGAATAAACCCGGTATTCGTGTAGTACATTTCTGCAAGCTCGCCTTCCAGGTCACCCGAAAGGATAGAGGTATATGCATCCAGGACGATCGAGGCGCTGATCTGATCTTTGACGCGGTCGTGAGATCTCCAGGGAACATGGCTGTTCCAGAAACGTAACAAAACCCGCTTTGAAATCTCAAGAACATTAAAGGCCTCTTTGAGAACGAGTGTAATACAGCTATGCAGCAGAAGGGCGCTCGCAAAGTTGATTTGGGTCGTCCATGGTATCTGTGACATTGTCGTGAGATGGATCTGACAGTTGAACTGATCGATAATCCAACGCGACTTTTCGTTCGTTGTCCAACATTACATAATCACTCGGGAGAGTCAGCTAGTGGCGTACGGGCCGGGGCTAGCTTCCGTTCCAGGGTGCATTTCCACTTATCGTCTCATATCGCGATTGCCCGGGGCTTGCGAGTGCCGGCTCGACCTCGATCTGGATCTTGTGCGTACACTAACCGAAGGCATTTTGACGTCAATGAATAGAGAATTTCCATTGATGATCTCTTCTGATGCCTCCGAGTGGCGTGGAGAGGTGGATAATGCCATGTTGTGGCCGTTGCTGCGAAGAGGGAGTAAATACGAGTGTTATATACCCAGGAAGGTACGATCTAGTAACAACCTTGAAGGTTTCGCGTTATTGCCTGCTACCCCACCTGGTTACGTTAGCCGTGGTTGCCTTTCTTGTGCTATAGTGTACAAGTGGTTTAGGTTTAGATAGCATAACGATAATCAATTATCTTAACTTTTAAGAGCTCCAGGCAGCCCCTAAAATGACCCTAACTAGAACTCGCACATCTACAAAACCCATCGGCGCCCTGTAGGTTCGTTATCAAACACGTACAAGAGATGTATACCAAATCATCATAAGCGTCTTAGATTCTATTTCTCTATCTATCTACCAGAGACACTAGCTATAACTGATCCTCCCAAAGAAGAAGCAGTCTTTGCTATTCTCCGTCCCCAGTCCCGAATGACCCTCACAACCCATAAAGCAAAGCACATAAAACGCTAATATCATCAAACAGGACTCCTACAGATGCAATGTGGAATTCTTCAAGTAGAACGTCCCGCTATTTTCCTGCGTCTTCTTTCAAGCTAACGATGCGATTGAGGATGATCTTATCGGCTGTGCTGTCGGAGTCTACGGCCTGTGGGGAAGTAATTAGTACATGGTAAATGGAAACCCTGGAAGTCAGAAAGGAAACATACCATATATGCAACCCGCATCGCCTGGAACCTAATACTCTCCAAGCCCCCTTTACCCAACCCAGACTCCCCAGCTGCCTCCGGCCAGGGTGCCCTCCGCTTTACCTCCTCGAATCCACTTTCGATCAAAGCACGAGGCCAAATCTCCTCACTATTCGGATTGATATCATTCAAAAACCCGCCCTCCGCATCTTCCGGCTTCTCACTCTTAAAAAGAGAATTATAGAGCCTAACTTCGACTTCTCGTGACCCTTCTGCCGCCCAGTGGATGTAGGTCTTTGGCTTCTTCCCCTCTTTATCGTAGACTGCGTGGATCTCCAATATTTTGCCAGTGGTGGGGTCTTTTGTGAAAGATGTGGCTTTGATAGGGTACGGCACTTGGAGGAGGCCGACTGATTTTCCAGGTGCCAGGCGGAAATAATCTTTGCTATCGATCTCGCGGAAATCGCTACGGTCGATATAGACAGTTTTTGTGAGTTTGACTTTGTGGGTGCCCATGGCGGGGATCTTGGGCGAGAAGGGAATCTCGACTTCCATTTCTTCGGCATCGTCGATTATCACAGGGACAGGGTCGAGGACTAGCATTAGGCGTGGGACAGTACGCTCGAGATATCGTCGGACGGTTTGGTCGAAGCGGACGAGTTGGATACTTGTGGGGGACGTGGTGACACCCAGTTCGTTGACAAATTCGAGGATTGCTCCTGGTGGGACGCCACGTCTTTTAATTGCGATAAGGGTGTAAAGTCTTGGGTCATCCCAGCCTCGGACGTAGCCTTCATTTACAAGTTTCGCGATCTTTCGCTTTGAGAGGATAGTCCCGGTAATGTTTAGACGACCATATTCTCTTTGCATAGGTTCATAAACCTCGAGGCTCTTGTTCAACCATTCGTACGATACTCTAGATAGAACGAACTCCGTTGTGCATAGGGAGTGAGTGATGCCTTCGAAACTGTCACATAGACAATGCGTGAAGTCGTATGTAGGATATATCTTCCAGGTATCCCCCGTGCGGTGATGAGAGGCATCTAAGACTCTGTACGCGGCCAGATCCCACATTTGCGGATTTCCATCTTCAATGTTTTGTTTCATTCGTAGGAAGGCTTCCCTCGGCTTGTATTTCCCATCTCGCATGCCTCGGAACTCTTCAAGATTCGTTTCGATAGTTTGATTAGCGTGCTCGCATCGGAATCGAGGCCCATGGCTTTCTCCTCCTCGTTGAGCCTTGATCTCGGCGTCTATGGCAAGTCAGCTTAGCCCCTAGTATGTTAATTGCTCCGCTTACCTCCACAATGGCACACATATGCCTTTCCCTTTTGGATGAGCTCCTCCGCCTTCTCGTAGAGTTTTCCAAAGTTATCACTCGAATATGTAACAGCACATGGCTCAAATCCCAACCACTCAATCATTTCCCTAATAGCAACGAAGTACTTCTCCTCCTCCGCCTCCGGATTGGTATCATCGAACCGCAAGTAGCATTTTCCTCCGTGATACTTCGCAAACCCAAAATTAACCGCAATAGCTTTAGCATGTCCAATATGCAAGAAGCCGTTGGGTTCTGGCGGGAATCGTGTAACCACTGGCTTCACTGGCCGCTCCTTATACACCTCATCGAGAAAGCCTTGGGCGAAGATGTTCATTGGTTCCGGGGCCGGGGCATCGTTGGGTTTTGGGCCAGATTTGGGAGCAGTTGGAGTTTTTGCTGGAGCTTCCGCCTTCGCTTTAGCTTGAGCAGCTTTCTTTGCACGCTTAGCTAGGCGCTTCTTCAATTCGCCCTTTGATACCATTTCGCCCGTCTCCTCGTCGAGCTGGAGCTTCGCCACTCCCTCGGCGACTGCAGCTACTGCGTCTGCCATATATGCAGATGGGTTGGTTCAATCGAAGAAGGTTGTATTTCGCGTGGGGTAGTTGTTGTTGTTGTTGTTGCTTGCAGTTGCTGAAGAGGTTCGGATGTTGTGAGTCAAAGAAGATTGTACGAGCACTCGAGCAGATTGCGGGGTGATATTTGTGCGGCATCACACATCAGGGGTGACAAAAATTCATGGCGCAAAGCAGAAGAAAGAGCAAGATATTTGGGCTTGAATATTGTCATGTAAGATTCCATTTTTTAATTAAAATCCAGATAATAGCTCTAACCCCTTAAGAATAACACCTACCTACCTTGGGTACTTATTAAAATTCTACACGCCGCACGACGTATTTCTCCAGCGCAATGCGACTTTCTGACCCCTCCATACTAAGATGTGGCTGGTGGCCCAATTGCGCTGTGAGCTGTGGCTGTGCTCCTTAACACACGTACAAGGAGTGGAGTCGCGTCGGCCTCCTTCCACGTCGCATATAATCGAGTAACATATCGTTAAAGGTTATTCCGCTCGAGAAAGAGTAATTTCTTGGATCCGGTCTGATCATTGAGCAAGGAACTGGACCGATATCATGTTCATGCTGGGGGGGTTCGAAGATTAGGGGCTTCTGCTGCTAGAGCGGGTACTGACGATCGGACAGTGGAGTGCTCGTAGAGTAAGGTAAAAAGAGTTTGAGATTGGTATTCTATATTTTGTGTAGTGCTATACTGTAGTGTGTAGTGCTTATGGCGCATTCTTGGGTGAATTTGGTATTATATTCAAGTCGCGTGAATATCTCAATCTCGGTGAGATATAGAGGATACAGTAGGGAGACAAAGGCTCAGTATACTTACGACCGGCCATATATTCGAATAACTGGTGTATGCCGACTATCTAGAGTGAATAGGAAAAAGGGAGTCATACATACATAGGTAAGTACCTTGTGGGTAGCTACTACCCGTTGGGCCTTCTAATAATGCGAAAAGGGGGTTGTACCAAGTTCGCTTAAGAATGCGGTAAGGACAAAAATGATCTTTTAAAAAAAATTATATTTAATTACTAGAAATTAATTAAGTATCAAAATGGCAAAAGAGTTCGGCCCGGTGTCGAAATGCCTACATCTCTTGTCGTTGTTGTCGTCTTATTGTTTTTATTGTTTTGTTGTTTTGTTGTTTTGTTGTTTTTTCTTTCCCCAAATTCTATCGTCCCTGGCGATCCCGTAAGTACAATTTGACCCGAGCCACCTGACCAAGTGCCATGCCCTTGTACTTCGGTAACGGATATTTTCTTATTTTATCTTATATAGGAGTGTTGGGGTTCGTGCCTGGGCAATTCCTCACCGCTTATAGTTTTGCGGTGTGATTCTTCCTCGATCTTCAAAAATTAAACGCCAGTCTATCTCCATCCTGCTGCTCTTTCTATACGTCTATATCAGCTTCGTAAAGCCATCAATGCCTCCTTTACCTCTTTCTCCGTATTGGATTTCATATTTTAGCAGTCAAGAACAATATTTCAAGCTCAAAGATACCCATATCAGAAAACCCCTCTGCAACGTACTTCTTCTTGACATCTTTATCTAATCCCTCGAAAGGCTCCTCCTAGGCCATAATCTCGTAAATAACATATCCTAAAAAGAAAAGCTCTTTTTTGTGGTATGGGTAGCTTGTAGCGGATCACTTCGACAATACTATGTATAACTAGGGTCCATCGCTTGCTGGGTATACAAGTGGGGATTGGCCGATCCTAAGTAGCTCATAGCCCATATATAAAATTGCAAGCCAATCAAGCATTATGAAATGTTTTAAATATCTTGAATGCTGTAGATTTAAAATGTAGACGATTAAATGAAAGTATCGGTTGAATCCGCGGTGAAGATTCTCAAGTGGGAATATCTTGGTTGCGCGGTCACAACTCACTCTAATGGGGCACCGCATGTTTTTAAAAAGACCGAAAACTCATATCCAATAGGCATCAATTTGTTACTTACATATATTTGTTTTGCCATTCGGGGTCTTGCCCTCGCAGGTTATCCACTTGTGACGGGGCACAACCAATCCATGATCTGCTAGCAGCCTATACACTACGTCTCGTCCATTTTGTATTCAGTGACGAATGTGTTCGTGGTAATTGGAGGTCAAATACCACATCCGTTCCCCGCTTCCGTTTGGAAGGTTTTATACTATAAGATCAATTAAAAATAATTAAGATCTAGGGGCAAGGTTGTGCCGATGAATCAATCCGCCTTGCGTCGTGCGTCGTGCGTCTTGCGCCTTGCGCCCATCTTCCAGGAGCCCTACACAGCCACTTTTGGCGCATATCAGGAACCTCGTGCGCATCATCCATTCTTCACCGATTCTCGTATTTTCGAACATCTCTCAGTCCCAGCTTCATATACCTCTAAAGAGCGAGGTACTGACAATTACCAACAATCGCAAAACGATGTATAAGTACAAGCCTCTAAACAGCGCCAGATCTTTTCGACTTCTTGCGTTGAAGCCGGGGAAAGGCGACAATGCACTTGTGTGTGAACTTCACGCTTTCGACTTTTGTCATCATCCACTACTCATCGCACTTTCCAACACACCTCAGTTCGAAGCCATTTCCTATGTCTGGGGGTCGAGCCCGCCAGTCCACGAGATTCAATGCGATGGAGAAATCCTACGGATCACGGAAAATCTGAGAGCTACACTCTGCGCAGTGAGGCGAAGCGACCGCCAGATCTATGTGTGGGCAGACGCGATCTGCATAGACCAGTCGGATCTGAGAGAGCGCAAAATGCAAGTTGCTCTAATGAGAGACATCTACTCCCGAGCTGAAAGGGTCTCGATATGTCTAAACACGGTCGGAATGGAAAAGCGACAGGTCCTAGGCCAAACGATTAAGATGTATGCCACATCGGATAGACATCAGTGGTCCGAGCAACCCCTCTACGACGTTTCATCCTCATTCTGGTCACTTCTTGCCGAGTTCTTCGATAACCCATGGTTTAGTCGTATATGGGTGGTACAAGAAATTGCCGAAAGCAAAAGCGCCCGTATTTTATTCGATGGCCAGGAGATTCCTTGGGAGGGGATCGTGTGTCTTGTAAGAAGAGTACTCGGGGATCAAGATTACGCGGGTCGTGTTCTTCATTTCGCGAAAACTAATGGTATTCGGAATGTGCTCTTTATGAACAACAGAGAAACGTTCTCGGCATATGATCCAATACCAGCCCTACTCCAAGCCACAAGGGCTTTTAGAGCTTCCGATCCTAGGGACAAGGTGTTTGCTATGCTTGAGAAGCCTATCAAGAGGACACGCACTTACGCCAAGTTTCGATTCCTCCAAGCAAGGAAATATGCCGAATTCTCCGTCCAAAGCATTTCACTGCTGTGTCTCTTGTCCGCCACTTTTGAGAGCAGTCCCGCCGAAAGCCGCTTCTGGTGTCTTTTGATATCACTTGGTTTCGTGGCACACTTTCTTCGATTTGATCAATTAATACGAGTGATAATGTGGGACATCTGCGAGCGCTTAACAAACTTCTGCTTTACAGTCGACAGACTTATCTTGCACAAATACCAGATATCGGACACGATATGCTCCGCACTTTCTATCGCCGCAGATTATTCTCTTACCACCCAGTCGGTATACAGAATGGTTGCTACGCGGCTGATGGAGCGATCTGGAACCCTCAACATTCTTTCCTATGTCCATCACGGCTCCGCTATTGATATCACATTTCCTTCGTGGGTGCCGCAGTGGGATGTTGCAACGCCTGGAATACATGTCTTGATAGCGTTGCCTCGGCATCAATATCAAGCTTCTGCTGGGGTGTACCACAAGTGGAGTCTCTCTGATCGCAGTGCGGATCATCTGCAAGTTCAAGGGCTGCGCTTTTCGACCGTTTCCGCGACGTCCGATATATTTACTTCGGAACGTTTTCCCCACGGGCCTCGAATGAACGACGGGGTTTTCGGGCGTTACGATGGGGCAGAAGACACGTATCCGACAGGCATATCTATGGCAACAGCTTGGACAGCCACACTCACAGCAGGTCAACTTGCAAGCGCCGCAAAGGCCAAACGAGGACTGGCGGAACCCCAACTTCCTAGATACCACCGCAGCCTCGCTGCTGCACAACGCTCATCCTACGGACGACGACAATTCTTCACGGAGAATGGGTACATGGGCCTTGGGCCAGCCGCGATGAGGGAGGGAGATCTAGTTTGCGTGCTTTTTGGGGGTTGTATCCCATATATTTTGAGGCCTACGGATACTGATAACATGTATAAATTTGTAGGTGAAAGCTATGTTCATGGTATTATGAATGGGGAGGTTATCAACTTGTGGCAACAAGGGAAGATCACTAAGAATCGTTTCACGTTGTGCTAGATAGCTCCATGTGAATCAAATTGATCAAATGGAACAGTTCTATAATATAATAATAGCATTGCATTTCTATATTATCTAGTCTACCTATCTACCTAAGTAGTTATAGATAGAGCTTACGATTTGATCAATTTAATAGTTAGCTCTAGATAAGGCTTGCGTCTTGATCAAATTGATCAAATCGCCGACAACCCTTTTTTGATGCATACAAAAACGTGGATAAAGGCAGTCGGAGAGGGGGTGAAGGCTTTAGAGTTAGAGCGTTTATAAGCTATATTAAAAGTGGGTTTAGAAATGGATTTAATAGTGTCGACCAGCTGTACTCCGTAGGGCTGACATGGAGAGTACGTTGTGCCCCGCAGTCAGCCTTGTCGCCTTACCATGCTGCTGAAGGCCTCCTCTGTAGGCATCCTTCCTCCCTCCACAACCTCTTCGATTTACGAATTCTATCCCTAAACTTCATGAACGGGATCAAGAGAGCCATGGCTACAATAACTACTGCAGAGATTCCGACCTTATCACTCCTCTACCACTCGAAAAAACTCCTACCCGCGACCGTCGACTCGGCCTCCGAGGCACCCATATCCAAACCATCCGAGTCCTTCAACGACCGCGTCGGTCTGATCCGAGGGGATATCACAAAACTTGGAGTCGATGCTATCGTTAACGCAGCCAACACGCAACTGCGGGGCGGAGGGGGCGTTGATGGGGCGATACACAGAGCTGCAGGACCCGAGCTGCTGAATGAGTGCCGGGCACTGAGAGGCTGCGAAACTGGGTCCGCCAAAATCACGAATGGGTACAGGTTGCCGTGCAAGAAAGTCATTCATACTGCTGGGCCAATCTACAACCTACACTCCAAGGAGGAGAGTGCGAGAGACTTGGCAGGGTGCTACACAACAAGCTTGCAGTTGGCGGTGGACAATGACTGCAAGAGCATCGTTTTTAGTTGCGTGAGCACCGGGGTCTACGGCTATCCAAGTCATGATGCTGCGTCTGTTGCTGTTGGAACAGTGAGGAAGTTCTTGGAGGGCGAGCAGGGCGATAAGTTGGAGAAAGTGGCCTTCTGCACCTTTGTCCAAAAGGATGTCGATGCTTACAACTACTGGTTGCCGTAAGTTCCATATAGTACCTATATTGACAGTCTTGATATTAATAAGCTACAGCCGCTTTTTCCCAGCTGTAGAAACGGAGGTTGAGAGTGATTGGGAGGAGGTAGAGGCAGGTAGCTCGGCGGAGAACGGTCCTGCTACCTAGAAATAAAGCATCTCGCACCTAGACGTTAAATAGGTCGATCCTCTTGAAATGTATCTCGATTGAATGGATTGGGAGGTTTTAAAACGGCGTCTGGGACTTTATAATGCGTCGTCTTGGAGGCTGGGGGTCAGCAGGTAGTAACGAATGAAACTTATTAGCAAGCGTCATTTTAATTTCAAAAAGTGCAATATTATAAATATCCTAATAAGACATATTAGTCGCAAATAAAGTTCTAGCTATAGAGTGCGATAATATAATATGATATCAGTGTTTGGGTTCATGTGATTTATTAGTATTTGGCAGCTCTGCCTGCAAGGTCCGGTTCTTCCCCGTCTTGCACCCCCAATCTGCTCCGTTTCGATCCCCCACCACTCGCACCATGTCAGCACCTACCCCTACGTCTACATCGTCGAATATCTACAAGGAAGATGTAGATTTTGCAGAGCTGGCCCTGCAAGATGCCGAATTTGCCAAGGTGTAAGTTATGTATTTGCCGGTCGCTGTGTGTCGTCATTAGCCATCACACCCAACGGCTCTTACATTTCTATGCGGGACTAATCTAGCTAATCAATGATTCTAGGCTGAAGCCAAATGGACAACTAGATTTTAGTAATCCCGAATCAGTAAAGCAGCTAACCACAGCCTTGCTGAAGAGGGATTTCGGCTTGAAGATCTCGCTGCCTCCTGATCGACTCTGTCCACCAGTAAGCGCTTCCCCAGCGTCAGTACTAGATTAATTTTTAAGGACCGGAATTTAACTTTTATTAGGTCCCAAACCGATTGAACTATTTGCTTTGGATTCAGGGACTACTGGATACAACTAGCAGTAATTATTCAGATGCTTATGACCCCCAAAGAGAGGTCTTTGGACTTGACATTGGCACGGGAGCAAGCTGCATTTATCCCATGATAGGATGTACACAACGTCCAAAATGGAGGTTTGCTGCTACAGGTAGACCGAGAAATTCCCTTATAACCTTGAAGCTTTTACGAATAATACTATTAGATATCGACGAGAAGAGTCTGCAATTCGCAACGCAGAATATCGAACAGAACGGATTACAGAATCGGATCAAGCTTCTTCAAACGCAGAGGAGTGATCCTCTACTGCCTCTTGATATTATGAGAATTGAAAAGTATGCATCATCTCATTCCACTTGTTAATTAGGACTCTGCTGATCGTGATACAGCATCGACTTCAGCATGTGTAACCCCCCATTCTACGAATCAAAGGCAGACATGCTCACCTCTGCTGCCGTGAAGCAACGCCCGCCATTCACAGCATGCACGGGATCAGAAAACGAGATGGTCACCCCCGGTGGAGAAGTTGCCTTTGTATCGCGTATGATTAACCAGAGTCTTGTTCTACGAGAGCGGGTCCAGTGGTATACGTCCATGCTCGGGAAGTTCTCGAGTCTGGCTACTCTAATCGAGGAACTCAAGAAGAATGGCATTGAGAATTATGCGGCTACTGAGTTCGTGCAAGGTAATCGGACGAGGAGGTGGGCGATCGCATGGAGCTTTGATGATCTGAGGCCTCGAATGGCTTTCTCCAGAAATGTGAATAGCATCCCGAAGACCTTGCTGCCGTTTCCTTCCGAATATCACATCGCGGTATGTAGTTGCGCTCTCGAAAGCTCGAGTTTAGAGCATTGTTTCAGCTAATAACCGAGCGTAGTTTGGCAGTAGTAGTGATACTGGAAAAGTCAGCCAACATATCAATGACGTTCTGTCTGGGCTCCCTCTGAAGTGGATGTGGAAGCCCAGCATCTTAGTAGGTGTGGGTTTCAGCGACAAAGCAGTATGGTCGCGCGCGGCCCGCCGGCATATGGCTAAGAAGGGACAAGAAGGCTCTGAAGAAGAAGAAGAAGAGGATGACGATACAGATATAGCGTTGGGATTCAAGATCTATGTCGAAGGAGTCGCAGAATCAGAGACATTGAATAGGGTCACGGTTCGATGGATAAAAGGGCATGACAATGTGCTTTTCGAGAGTTTTTGCGGGATGGTGAAGAGAAAGATAGATGAAGTAATCAGAAATTAATGGGACATATCATCATACGTAGCACTACGTATAGTATGATAGGTATCTTATCTCATATTGAACGTGGTTCGATATATTGACTGTAAGGGGCGCCCCTATACCTATTGCGTCGTTAGTAATCAGCCGGAGTGAGACAGCGGAAGGCGAGGCTCCAAACTAACATCTGCCACCAACCACCAACCCCACCTGGATGACAACTGACAACCAACGAGGTTATGACAGCTGAGCATGTCCATGCTTCCTTCATTCTTCCCAGCTCCTCCACCAACTTGTTGACGGGATACAATGGGAACAATATTCACGGCATATAGTATGATATAATAGAACACGCCGAGCTTGGTCCTCGAGATTCCTTCTTCTTTCACACAAGCGGTCTAGAAGACTGCGTTTCATTGTCACAACACACCGACTGTACCCAGGCGCCGTTGGCCAACATTCGCAATCACACCACGATACGATACAAGTTTGCGATATTCCTTCGTTGGATTATATCTCTGTCCTACTTGAGCCGCTGCTATTCTCGTCTCCGGTGACACCAATCTCATTCCGCTCGATCGTGATACTCGAATACCTCAGCTTCCAGATCATACATGCACAAATACAAACAAAGCCCCAGATTTACGCCACATAGTCAGCTCTATCCCCACAACATACGCATACACAGACCTCATGATGAAAACCCGAACGCCAAAGTCGAACTTGGTAGAGGTGGACCAGATCCCATCCGAAATTCCGCCGCCCATCTCAAGCAAACCCGCCATCGCGAAAGCCCAAAAGGCGATATCGAGCGTCCTCAAACGACCCTCCCCGACGTTCGGAAAGTTCCTAGATCTACCCATCGAGATCCGCCTGAAGATATGGGAGGAATCACTTATCCCGCGAGTTCACGAACTGCATCCATGCGCGAAGCTCTACAATGACCGAATGACATTCCGCTCCAACAGCAGCCAAACTCCGGCAATATTCCACATCTGCCACGAATCCCGACAGCTGGCGATGAAGAAATACCAGCTGATGGAATATGAGCCGTCGCGGGGAACATCAGGCAAGGGCATCCTACGATTTTATTTCTGCCCGGCGCTGGATACACTGTTGCTCAACAGCCTAATGGGGCTCTTCATGATGTTCGTCCTTCTAGAGGAAGAGACTAGTTACTCCGGGACGATGAAGGGATGGCAGACAGTAGCATTCGATGCCGAGCGCGCCCAGCTCATTACACTGCTCTCCGGCATCCATGGCCACGCCCCCCAACCGCGCATGAAGGAGGTGTTCCCGTCCCTCAAAAACCTCATCATCGCATTTGACTACACCAGCAGAGGTAAGACACGCTTCCGCACATCCGTGTGGCCGGGGGAGAATGGTACCTCTTTAATTACAATTCCCTGGCCGGAAATTGATTCGAGGGAGTTCGATACTATATTCCAGCCGATGAGGGAATATTTGGAGAATGATTATGAGAAGGGGAAGGTCCCGGAGATACAGGTTTCGAAGGTTAAGCGGAAGGCGTATATCAGGGGGGATATTAGATATGCGTTTCGGAAGAGCTGTGCTTTTTTCGGGATGAGACCCAGGGGCGTGTTCAGGAGGATATGATCCAGGATTTTGAGGTCGGTGATTGGCAACGCAGCCAAATCATTCACCCCTCCACCATGGTAGGACCACTGTGCTTCTTCCTCGGCCGGCAGAGGACCCCTAGTTGATAGAGACTTCGTGAGTATTTGGGTGAACTCCTTTGTGCGGATATGTTCCGCTTTGGAATCCTACGCGTCGAGAGACCTAGGGAGTGGTTGGCTGGGACTAACAGTGACTTCAGATAATTGGAGTCACCGCGGAGAATAGTGGATATAGAACCATCGGACGGCCCATATGATGGGCTCATGTCACAAGCCTTATAACGGCTGGATCGCGTTTTAGCTTTTCCATGAAATAATGGTCGCGAACTAGCTATGGCTAATTTATGTTCGTAATATCCTAATGTCATTTTAATCATCTGTAATAATGGTCTTGCCGCGTTATGATATTTCTCCCTGAATGAGTCTACCCCAGCCACGGATTTCGACCCGCCGATATATACTTATGGTCCACATCTCCCATCTTCCAGCCAACCTACCATTTATTCTCCTTCTTGTCCAAGAACGCCTTCAGGATCACAATCAAGTTTGTCAAGGCCGCCAACCAAGCCTTCAATGCTTCCTGCACTTTGGCATCATCGTCTCCAAGCTTGATATAGAAGTCCTTTCGGTAAGGGCAGGCGCTCATGGCGGCGCTGAAGATGGGCTTCACCATGAAGGAGTGGTGCGGTTTGAGGGTGTTGCCATAGGCACTGCGGAAGGAGGCGCTGAGTTCTTCGGACGAGTTGCCGAGATTCTCAGTGAGTGCGATGGAGGTGAATTCTAGGCCGCTTCATGGCTGTTAGTTGGAGTTTTTGAAAGGGTTACGCCGGGGAAGAGGGGTAGGTATGGGATAAGGATATAGATATAGCATACCGGACGAGCCATACGAGGCCCTCTGTGGCGGTGTGCTTCTTCGTCTTGAGCTCGTTCTTGACAAGGTCTTGCAGATTCGCAGATTCTGCGGGCGCAGCGAGTTGTCTATCGCGGATTTTCTAATACGTATAATAATAAGCCTTGACTGCTCGGACAAAATCGAGGTGTGGGGCCAGGCATACCTTGACGTTACCCAGCATGTCTGACTTGACAGGAGTAAAAGCCACCGAACCCAAGACATCTGCGGAGGAATACATGGTCAGCAAGAGCCTTGATTTACATGCTATACTTGGGAGAGAAGTGGGGTACCGAACAACGTCGTCAGCGACTCAGCAGCTTCGAGAAACTCGGTCGTGGAAATGGCATTGTCGTTCTCCTTGTCGACAGGTACATCCGTGAAAGACTTCTTCAGAGTGTCGATGAAGGTTCCGCCTGCTGGGTATGCTTTGTCTGCCATCTTTTCTGTTTGTGGAGGACTTTGGTGTTTTTGGAATTGGAATTGGAATTCGGAATTAAGAGAATGGCGATCTGTGGTTGTTGCGTTTGCGAGGTTGAGATGCCAGCAGCTCCAAGTCGGTGAGGGGCAACAAGGGGCCAAGGGGCAGTGCAGGGATGGGGGAGGGACAGGGATGGCGTCGCGGGGAGAGCACGTGCTTAGCCGTGCACGTGACCTGCGAGTTCAGGGTACAATTAGTAATCACTCCATAAAGATCAAAATACGACCTTGCGTACGTATCACTCTTGAAAACGCAGTTGGCACCAAAGAGCCTTACGTATGCTCCAGAGAAATCATGCCGGTTTACATATCGATTGGCCAATAGAATGCGCCAAAAGGTCACCGCCGAGAAAACCGGGGTAACTCAAAGCACCTTTGACATAAGCACGCGTCGTCATTCAGAGGCGGGCAAATACGTACACGGAGATCCTTCAAGTAGTCGGACCATTTATGGCCCAAATGCCTCCAAAGACCTCGCTGCGACGCACTGCAAGGTATTTCTTAGAGGAGGGTGGTGAAGATATAAAGGGAGTAGTTCTCCACAGCAGAGCTTAGCTTTTTAGTTCACCACGGGTCGGTTCCCATCCTCTGTATTCCATATTTCCTCTCAATTCTCCACATTTGAATTACATATACTTGTCCTCGGAACATCATCAGCTGTCTCTCCACACACCACATTTTTGCGAAGTCTAGACATAAACCCTAAAGCAACCTCACATCACCCCCTCCCCACCCCTTCGCACTCTTCCTCAAAAATGTGCCGCGGAAAGAAGCAAGCTCGCCGCGAGAAGAAGGTAGCCTGTGGGTGGCAGCGATCAAATCTCGCCAAAATGATGATTGATCACATCAATCAGACTCGGGAGCAAAAGCGGTTATCGGGACAGTGTTGTTCATCTCAATGGTCACCCAAAGCCATGGACCAACGGCCTGCCGAGCTTGAAGCAAAGGGATATTGGGAACCTTCGACGCAGTGGGTAGATGAAACACGGCAGTCGAACGCGCGTGATGAGAGGGTTCAAAGCCAGGGGATTTCGATGTCTGAGTTGCCAAGCTATCACGATGTTATGAAGCAGAGTTGATGGGATTCATTGAGGGATGGATTATGGGGCGTGGTCTGGAGGAATGGAGTTGGGCTTGTCATTTTACTGCATTGGAGCTCTTTTGCGTTATTGCAGTGCATCACAAAGATCTCTGAACTATATTACCTTACGATAGTAATGATAATGTATTGCAATTCTCACTCAGCTGCGGCCAAACTCCACCCAGTACCTACTATCTAAGCCTTTCCATTTGCCATCACCTCGGCCTTCGTAGCCTGCGGCGCCGTAACTTTAATAGCGCTCTCCAACCTCAGCAAATTCATCTCGAACTTCTTGCAAACACACCAAATCCTTGCCGTCTTAATGACATTCTTAATCTCTCTCCCGTTCAATTCCCATTTCGCTACTTCCTGCATCTCTTGTGGCCCCAGCACGACAGGGACATCGAGTCGAGAGAGGAATTTCTGCCATAGAATGAGTCGCGAGGAGAAGGGCAGCGGGGAGAAGACGAGATGCAGATGCACGCGTGAGCGGAACGCGGTATCAATAGTGGAGTAGAGATTGGTGGTGAGGAAGATTATTCCGCGGAAGTATTCTAGTTCGCGGAGGAAGACTATTGTAGGGAGTTGTGTTAGTATGAGGGTTGAAGGAGTGGGAGTGGAGGTCGATAAAAGGCTGCTTACTTGATACTAGCTCATTTCGGGCGATATCACCCGGGTCACGTTCGGCCATGAAGACATCGGCTTCTAGAGAGGGGGTTAGTCAGTAGGTAGAACCTGGGATAAAAGACTTACCATCAAGCAGGATCACAGCATCCCATTCTGTTGCCATCTCAAATACTTTCTTAATTTTGGACCCGAGGTGGGCGGCATCTGTCCCGAGATCTTCAGCTTGGAGATAGTATAGTGGTCGTCTCGTTTTATCAGCCACTATAACTTGTGTTAATTTGCTAACCTCAGTAGAATAGAAGCCCCGGAGTACATACCAGCTTCGGCTGTCAAGGTTTTGCCAGTCCCAGGGGGTCCGCTAAGAAGCATAATCAATCCCTGGCCTATAAAATCCATGCGGTCAGTACATCGAAAGACATATTATCTTGAAATCATTTGGAGTCTTGCTTACCCTTTCCCATGATAACATCATCTACACGAGTCTTCAGGCGCAGGTGGTTATCAACAAATGTTAGAACTAGATCCTTCTGCTCCTCTGGATACACTAGATGGCCGTATGCATCATCGTTCCAGACCATAGACTTGATGTCGTTGACATAGAAGAATACTGATATTTGTTAGCACGCATCCAAAACCAAGTAGAGGATAATAAAACAACTTACGCCACTCCTTATTCTTCAACGCGTAGCCCTTCAATAGTGGTGAGACATAAGGCAAGTCTTCCTCTCTATTTAGCATCTCCTCTTTATTCTCCTCCTGCGTTTCCTTATCAAGGGATTGGAGAAGAGTAGCTTCCTTAGTAGAAGTAACATTGCCCCTAGAACGATTGGCATTATTGCTCGTTTTCTGGACCCCATCCTTATGCTTCTTATATCCAACGTAGTCGATAAGGATTCGGCCAGTAACCTAGCAGCATTATCATAAGTATCGGTTTTGGTGCGCCATCGGGGGATTGTTCTACTCACATTGTGCCTTGCAAACCCCTGCTGAATTTGTTGCAAAGCAACACCCGTGTACTCGCAATAAGTAAGTTCTTGGTACTCAATCGTCTTCTTAGCCCTACGGCTTAATCGCTCTATAATGTCCTCTGGATTTTCATGAAAGGATAGTGGATAAACCGGAAGCACTGTAATAGGAAGGTTGCCTTCGAACAAGGGAATTTGTCTATCAATCGGCGTCCATGCAAAGGTTTCTCCGTCGAATGCGATTTCCTCCGCCGCTATCTCCAAGTAATTACACTGTCCAGTAGCATACGCAGTCCGAACAACACGGCACACACGATCAGAGTCCTTCGATGGGCAGTAGAGCATCGTGCCCTTAGGGAGGTAGGTCCAAGCCAGCTTGTACGAGATCAGGCCACTGGCTTTGAGATTCTTCAGATGCGTCATGAATCCGCCGAATAATTCTTCCATGATTTGGATAAGTAGGTCAAGGTGCTGTTTGAGAGGGCCATCCTTTTTCGTCCGGGCATTCAAGTCCATGATCTTATCGTACGAGAAGAATAGCGGTTTGAAAGGCTCGGAGAATTTAGCGGGCTCCGTACTCTCGACAAACATGCCCGCATCTTTGAGGATCGGCTTGAGGGCTGTGACGAGCACGCGGCTCTGGAGTTCAACCATGTGAATTTTGAGCGGAGTGCGACCTGAAATGGTTGGTTGGCCGTGGTCTTTGACTTTGAAGATTTTGATGGCAACTCGGGTGTTTGCTTTAGCCTTCTTCTCGGCGAGTTGCTTTGGTGGCGTTTCCACCCAGTTGATACTACTTCCGCAACTGTTCCTTCCCTCATAGAAGGTCTTGATGGCTGTGCTGGTTCCGAAATCAGGGTCTTTGTGGTTCACTGCAACCGCAGCCTCCTCGATGTTGGCATCAAGCGTTGAGTCCGGGGTGAGCAAAGCATCTGCTTTGGCTGTTGCGGCCGCTACAGCTACAGGGGTGTTGGTCCGGGTCTTCTTCCAAAGCATATTGCCGGTTTCCTTCTCCTTGTCAACGGATTCTGACTTTCTCTTACTCTATATATCAAGTTAGAAAAGGATGCGGTGTTTATGGATGTGGGTGCTGAGAGAACAACACTCACGCTTCTCAAGGACGACATAGCTGATATAAGTAATACGATCAGGCAGATATGGAGTAATGCTAGACGTCTTGTATTGAAAGTCAACCTTGTTGGACGCCTAAGGAATAGAATCAGGAATGGTTTGAAGAGGAGAAAGTGTGGAGGAGAATGTGGAGGTGGCATATAAGCCCTGCAGAAAGCCTAGGCAAAGGACTCTAAGGACTATTTTATATCCCAGCGGGATCTGCACATTAAGCGTAACCGCCGGACGTTCCTCTTTTCTCTGTGAGTGATTCATAATTAGATGACTCATTAATGCATAGTCCACTGTTTGGGCAAGAGCTACCCGGTAGTCTACGGCGTATGCTTTTCTCGTGTTGGGATTTCGCACGTATTAGATCGGCTACAAGGGGGCTGGCTGCCTTGAGTTTCGCCTTGTCAGCCTTATGTAGGCCAATCACAAAACAACGTCTCATCTCCCGCAGCAAACTCAAGTTAAAAAAAACAACAACTGCTTGATAATTAGGGATATGGGTCAGATCGGTTACGATGAAGGTGCCTTCCAGGTTGTGAAAGGGAGGAAGGGTTGCAAACCTAGGGCTATAGTCACGTGATAATCATAATGCTCAGGGGGCTCGGCTATCGCTCAATTGGGAGAACTAACAAGTAGTTAGCCACCAAGCTTGAGACATTGACTAGAGAGCTTACCCTTGCACACATGCTGAGAGAGCTGGGGCAATCAAAGTAGACTGCCCAGTGGGACAGCTTAAGCAACGAGATAACTTGTCATGAATTCATGTAAACACAATAATCCCCCTTCCCACCCCTCCCCCCAAAACCCAATAGCATGCCCAATTACCTACTGACTCACCTCGCCCCTGTGGACCAGCTTCTCAATTAACTCCCTTAGCTCACTCACCTCCCCCCTCAACTTCTTAACTTCAATCGTAGCGGCATCTTGCTCAACGTCGGGCTTCACGGTCGCAACCTTCTTATCCCAACCCTCGCCCTCAAAATCCACATCTCCAGCCATCTGCTCCCATTCCTCCACAGTGTCGTCGTCCTCCTGACCGTGTCTTCGATTCTTCCTCACGCTTAGCGCGCTCCTCTTCTCAAGATATGCGGCAACTATTAAAAGTGGACTGTATATCACGCCCATGACATAGTCATTGAGCCTTGCGTACATCCGACGCGGCATCCACCATTCGAACGGCAGGATGAGGAAAAACATCTCGATTAGGTTAAGAGGGGCGATGAAAACATTTTCATCCGGTGCGCGCACGAATTGCATCGTTTTCTGAGCGAACAGCGCCATGTATTCGTCAATGGCGTTATCGGTAATGTCGGCGTAGGCGGAGTTGTACAGAGCGATCAGGATATTCAGGAGAATGACCATAATCAGGAATGTGAAGATATAGTAGAGAATGATGCCGAACGGAGGGGCAAAATTATCGAAACCGCTGAAATCGGGGGAGCCTAGGAGGGCGTTGGTCATGGCTTGGAGGATAAACCATGTTGCCTAAAGTATGTCAGTGGTTTAAAAGAGGATGTGGATGAGAATTCGTACATCCGTCTGAGAATCGGCGTTATCCATCCCAATGAAGCCTTGCAAGAAGCCTATGACAATGATCGTGAGAAGGGCGAAGAAGATGAGCGACTCCTTCATCATAACCTTCAAGACTACCAACATAACACCGAAGAAACGTATCGACTCTAGATAGAGAAGAAGTCTCATCCAGAACATTGGCGCCGAAAAAGCTGGTTAGTTAGCATTATTTCCTTGATATCCGCAGTACTATTGTGAGAAATGGCAATATAGTATCATGTATGAATAAACAATATGTAAAGACAAGTACGAGGAAAGAGTTTCTGCAGAACCCCAAGGACATCAAGTAGAACAAATCCGACGGCGCTCTGCATTGCTCTCTCATCATCCTCTCATAATAAGGCATGAGGTTGGTTTCCGGTCCCTTAACAGGGTGCAATGGAATAAACTTACCTAAGAAATCGTAACTCAGCTCGTTGAACTTCGCCCTCCGCCCATCATGATCTTCCAACGGGTGACTCAGCGCAATCAGCCTCGTCACAAAACTAGTCGTTAAGAGTCCATAAAGGATCAGATTGAAAACATTCCAAAAGCCCACATAATCTCGGCCAACTTTCCAGAACTTGGTAAATTCATCACATATGAACCCAAATATGAAGATGTACAATACTATCTCCACCAGATCTAAATCACCTGTCGGATTGACGGTATTGACAGCAACAGTGTAGAGACCAAGACAGATCAGCGAGAACAAAATTTGGAGGGCATTTTGGTATACGGGTGCTCGGACACGATCAGGATGGAGATGCGTCCAGTACTCGGCGGTATCTCTATTTTTGTAGTCGACGAATTTTGTTGGATCATTCTCGTCTTGAACAAGCCAGCCGCGCCACAGGTACTTGACGCATTTTTGGTACCCCGAAGAGCCAGTGACGCGGAGCGCATGCAGGTCCACGGCTCGTTCAACGACATTTGCAGGAGCAGTTTGCTCGCCGTCAATAACGATTGAGTATCTGTTGAGGAGCATGTCGTGGAGTAGATAATCCTGGTCATCTTCGGATTCGATTCTAGAAAATATTAGCGCCTGCCTTCTAGGTTAAATATAGGAATACATACAGCTTCTTCGCAATGACTTCAGCTGCTGTTGCCCGAACATTGTATAGCTCGGAATCCCACAGCTCCAACAGAGCCTGTTTCTTGAACCATCTTTTATTGACCAGCAGCGCATATATCTACCGCCGTATTAATGATCTCTAGTTATATACTGCCCGTAGGGCTCCTTCTCCGATATGGCGGACATACCACGCATGCACCATACTCATTTCCTCCAGCCTCCCTAGCAAGTTGGACCACCTTCACCGTTATAATTCGACTGTTCGCATGCGTAACGAGGCTTTCTTCCAACTCGCAGGGTACACACTCCTCGATCAAATATCGCAATCGCAGTGCTACTTCCGTAACCTTCGCGGCAGGTATTGTGGAAGGCAACGCGTCGCCCTGGTGGCTGGGGAGCACTGTTGACAATTGGGATTAGGCATTGGAAAGTTGGGAATTGGTTTGCGGGGAAGGTAAGAGTAGGAGCTTACATCGGCGAGATTCATCTCTCCAGCGGCGACTGTCTCGACTATTGGCCATAACACGGCGAGGTCAGTAACCTTCCGTCTCTTTGGTAATGCAAAACATCGCGACCGTGGAGAAGCTCTAGGACGACTTACTTCGCGTCAAAGCTGAATATCCTCCTCCAATGCACCATCTTGAGATCCTTTGCCAATTGAGGGCACGTAGGATCTTAGAACAGAACGGTTGCAAGAAAGATTGCAAGGGAGTACTTTGGATGAAGAGGGCGGTCAGGGAGGTCCAACTTGTTCCTTGATGCTGTCCCCGGTGCACGTACCATGCTACATGGACTTGAGCTGTCGATGACGTTGTGGTACCTAGGTACCTAGGTACCTTAGCTAACCTTGTAAGGGTGGCACGGCCATAAATATTGTAGTACCTGGTACTTAGACAGCCTTAATCACCTATTTGCAAGAAAGAGTAAAGGCCGTTGGATACACATTATACAAGTAATTGAAATCTATGCTACAGTCTATTGATTTGGGCTGGTGTACACGGATTATGCTCTCCCTGAAGCCCTCAGCTTCTCCTCTAATTCTGCAACAGCTCTTGCAGCTTTCTCCTCTTCCCGTCGTATCGTCTCTGCTTGCTCGTCCGCAATTCTCTTGTGCTCTTTTGCTATTTGGTCAGGTCTCCGGACAGCGATATCTTTCGGCTTATAGTCGCTGAATAAGAATTTGAGAACCTTCTCGATGACGAAACAACCAAGATAATCAATAATCATGGTCGCAGTCATGGTGTACTTGAATTCTGATGTAAATGGGACCAGGCGCATCTTCTCGTTGATCTCAGGAATAAATTCCGTCGAGCAGGAGAATGCAATTGCTGAGACACCAATAATACCCCAGTACATACCGCGGTTTTCTATCAGAGAATGTTAGCTGCATTCAGACGCTGAGTATAGACACTGCCTGCTTACCTGATAGAGCTTCGCGGAATGGCCGACCCTGGTAGTTGATAGCAAAGGTCGAGATCTGCTGGATGAGTTGCAGGAGATATACAGCGCTGTTCAATAACGAAGGTTGGAACTCTCCTTCCAAGTCAACGTCCTCGGAGCGTCTATAAGAGTCAGTATGTGTTCTCATCGGCGGTTCAGATAACTTACGGAGCAAGTCGGTCGCAGAAACGAGCAATGTAGATCAGGGTAACAATGTGGATAGCAAATTGGCCTAGAATTGATCCGATGATGTAGAAGTTGAAGATGTTTGGCTGGGGACGTTCCTTGGAGAGGCCTTCAACAGATTTGGCTCTAGAAATCGATAGGAAACAAACGCTCATCAACATCCCACTAATCGTTACCTGGCCGTCCCCGAATTTAATGCCCTCCAGATAGAGAACACTAAGACTGTATGCACTGATGAGACAATTCAACGCGAGAATCTTGTACATCTGGATAGTAGCAACAAGTGTGCATCGGCCTTGACGAATGATGTTGGGAATTGCAACGACATTGCTAAGCTTGCTAGTGAAGGGGGCCGCGACAGATGCATCACCGAGTTTGATAGTTGGCGGTTCATCGTCGTCGAGTTCCTGTTCCATCATGGTTGCTGTAAATTTTTCAGCCAGATTGGTGGCCTTCTTCTGAGCTTCTGTAGGAACCCTTTGGTTTTGATTACTCCCGTTAATCAGAGCTTGTGCTCCTGGCGACGTAACCGTTTCGATTGTATTTACCGAGGCAGCCTCTTCTAAAGCTTGTGCAGTTCCCTTCCTCTCCAGTTCTCGTTGCATTGCCTTCTCATAGTGAGGATTGACAGGTCCAGGAGGATACAAGTGGGCGATCATGGCCGGAACTGGAGGCTGGGGTTGCTTAAAGCGTTGCATCATTTGACATTGCTTTTCGTACAAGTCCTTCATCTTGCTGTTTCTCGAGTGTTCCGCAATTTTGTTGAGATCATTTTGGGATCCATTGAGTAAGGCTACGCCAATATGGGCTTGTTTTAGAGCGCCAACATCATTTGTGCCGTCACCTGCCATGAGTGTATAATAACCAAGATCTTTCAGACCCATTAATATTTCTTCCTTCTGCTTTGGTGAAACTCGGGCATAAACCCAGGTGTATCGATAGATGGATGATAATGCGGGCTGGCCCTTAAACTTTGCTAATGCGTAGCCAGTAACACAAAGATCGTTCGATTCTAGTATTTTGGGGTCAATAGGTTTGGTTGGATCCACAGGAATAGAGATTCGTTCATCGACGGTTTTCCAAACTAGCTTCTCGCCAGAATCATCATGTTCCGGGGCGTCCAAAATCAAGACATCTCTGTCGACAATTTCAACCTCATGAGCAACATGGACAGCGGTGAGAGGATTATCACCAGTAATCATAACCACCCGATGGCTGCTCTCGTTAAGCATGCGGACCGAACTCTTAGCATCATCTTTAAGAGGAGTGTGCAATACCAAGAATCCAGCGAAACGTAACCCAGCCTCGACATTTTCTCGTTTGAGCTCATTTATCCTTCCTGAGCCAAGCTCCGAATCGACAGAGAGGTGCTTGTAAGCCAAAGCAAGAACGCGCGAACCTCTTCTTGTGAAATACTTATAAGTCTCTTCGTAGTCCGCAGGGACATTGACCAGCATCTTCATGATTGTCTCAGGGGCCCCCTTAACACCCACAAATGTGCTTCTGACTTTCTTGCCGGTTTCTGGATGAAGGGCCGTGACAGTTGCAACAGAGCTTTGGCGCTTCAATGCGGAAGAAAACTGGAATCGGCGTTTGATTTGAACGGTATTGGATGCGGTTGCAAAGGAAGCTCCCTTAAGAGCGGTCATATTTTTGCTTGTAAGGATATCGTTCTTGCCGAGAGTCCACCCGAGGGATGTCAAAGTAGCTTTCTCCATAGGATCCCCAACCACTTCACCATCATCCAGCTTGACAAGGGCATGAGCAGTAGCGAGAACAAGAGTGGTCTCCAACGCAGCTTGCTGCACCCGTGTAATATGGCTATGAGCACCATCGCTTTCGCGCGGTGTGTCAGTACCACTATGCCCAAGACCGAGACCGGCAATGCCCTCGACAACCAAATCTTCGCCAGTTAACGTGCCTGTCTTATCAAAACAAGCAACGTCAACACGCCCGGCAAAAGGAATGCGGAAAGGTTCTGTACAGAATATGGCATAGCGGCTAAGAGCTGCAAGACTGGTGTTCACTGCAAGACTAAGTTCCATGGGCAGTTCGGGAGGAACGACACTTGTGATGATGAGAACACAGTCTAGCAAGAGCTTTGATCGTTTCCTATCCTTCTTGACACCCTCATCCCACACGTACCAGGATGCAGCGATTGCGAAGATCAGCAGGAAGAGAATGAACAGGAGGGCTTCGGCGTTGTTGGCGGAGACGCGCTCGGTAGAGTAAATCATCGTACGGACTAAGCTTCCCTGAGAGGTCTCGAAGCCAGTCTTGACAACGATAGCCAGGGCACCATCATCCGGCGGGCGTGGAACTCCCGAAACAAGTGCAGGACGCTCGTCTCCACTGTTTCCATGGGTGACTTGGAGGACCTTCGTACCGCCATAGAGGAATGCAGTCTTATCAAGACCATCTGGCTCTAATCTCGCATTCGAAGGCCTAAGTTGAACAGAGTCTTTCAGCAATGGCGTGCTTTCCCCAGAAAGCATGGCTTCGTTAACGATAACACTTCCTTCAACCAAAACCATATCACAGGCAACCCCGCTATCTTCCTTTGTGCGGCCGGCAGAGACAAGGTCGCCTGGAAGAAGTTTGTCACTCTGGATTTCCACCCATTGGTTTAGTCTGAAGACGTAGAGATCATATGGTTTGATGCTCATTCCACGGAACTCATTCAGTGTCCTTTGGCGTTGCCACACAACAGTACTCTCAAATGCAACAAGCATGAAGAGAGTAAACAGCGAGTAGTACCAGTATTCATCCAACATCCACAATCCAACGCAGAAAATCTGGAATACGAAGAATGGCGCGACCGCATGTTCCTTGAATAATTCCACAAACGTCGGGACAGGGATATCAAAGGTATTGTCGCCATAGTGCTGCTGAAGTCTGGAGAGCTCGGTAGCAGAGCTTATGCCTCGGGATTTCTGGAATTCTTCGATCTGCGGTTTCGGTTCGGCATCAATCGCGTATGTCAGGGGCTTAAAGGTATTCTTGGAGGCATCGTAAAGAAACCGGCGTTTCTGGAAAAGGAACGAAACATTGTTCTTGCCGCCAGCCTTGAATAGGAGTAAGTTTAGCATACCACGCTAGTTCAGAGGGGTAGGACAAACTTACATTGTCTCTAACTATCGGGCAAATATCCGCAGATCCAGCATTCACAATAGGGAGAACCTTAATTTGCTTTGCCTCTTGAACGGTCTTTACACGCGTTGACGTGAAGAGGGCCTTGAGATTGACGTTCCAGTTGGTGCTCAGCCAGACCAGACTTTGCGCCGTGATTATCGTACCACACCAAACAAATGTCCATTCCTGCCCTCCAATATGTTTATCGTAGAGGTCATCGGAGAGATAAAACCGGAAGAAAATGGGCCATATGATAATAAAGGGCCAGACGTAAGTATGCAGGGAAAGTGGCACTGTCTTCAGTTAGAATCCGATTGCCCCTATGTAGAGTGGGGGGACAAACAGGGATTGTGTAGAGTCGCAGATGCGATCAACGGATTATCCACAAGAGGCGACATTCCGCATTTCAATGAAGAGGATGCGCGTCGCGGCTGAAGAGCAGTGAAATGTAGGGAGTTGTGGATGGATGTAAAGATTTCATATCGATCCTCCAGGTTGCCTTTCTGTCGTACTCCCTGACTCGCTGAGCCTCGTTAGTCAGCCACTTAGCCCCTTGGCCAGTTGATAACACGTCACCACTTCAACTCCAGCTTTCTCACGATCAAGAAATTCTCTTTCAATTGCAGGATATCAAGCTTAAGGTCAAGTGTTCTTATGGCCTGGGTAATAATTTCAGACTTAAGTTGCACCCGATCTCCCGTTTGCTTAGATGTTCTACGTAAAATACCAGTTACGGTCAAAGAATCGAGTATCATGCACTATTATGGAAGCCAAAGGAGTTGTCAAATCAGCCCTCCGACCACCAGATAGACACTCTTTGAAAGCCCTTGACCATGGTTGGTTTTAAACTGAGTTCAATTCCTTGTGTTATAGTCTATAGACACCACCCGTGAGTGAAACAGTTTTGATGACAAGCAAGTCGGGCCAATCCAGCAGCAAAGACTCCATCCCGAGTGAGAAGGAAACCCTGAGGCCCTAGAGGGGAGCAAAGTACCTTCTGCAGCCGTAGCATTCTCACTCAAGAACAGGATGGGGTTCGACGCACCAGTGGTGCTCTCTATTGTCGAGGTATCCCTTCATATGATGCATGCCCTTCCCATCAACCCAGTATGCCGCTTTTACCCATGTGGCTCTCGAAAACTGCGCAAAATGGCTTCGACACTCCTTCCAAGCCTCCGTCTTGGTTCTGCTAGCTCCTATAACTATAAGGCCGGTCTCCGATCTGTCGAGTGACAAAAAGGCAATTCCGGCGGTTGGAGGGTTGGGTGGTGAAGCAAAAGCTCTTTGAAAGACCTTGACCGTTGTGAGCATGAATGGCGTAATATAGAACGAGGTTTCGGAGACACCGTCAGGCCAAAGCCGTCTCTGAGCTCGATCCGGTGGGCAGAAACCAGTGTCCACGTCCGTATCAATAATCTTAACTTCAGGGTGGCCATGTCGCTTGACAAAATACTCTGCGCAGCGCATTGCTCCGCTTTCGGAAGTAAATACACCGAGGAGTTGTTGAGGTGAAGAACGCAACACGATCCAAGCTGCGCCGCATTCTAGTTTCAGAGGCTCAAGCTGCGTGTTGCTAGGAGCTGTGATGTTTGGTGTTGATGCCAGCAGCTTCTCGTCTGGACTGCCACTTCGTCTGCCACCTTCCTGGGATAGAGTTAGCTAGCTTGATTGGCTTCTATATTCGCACCCAGCCAAGACCTACATCATGAGTGCTCTGTGGAGGGGTCAAGTTAGGCTTGACATGTAGATCTGGGATGCTTGGAATTTCTACTTGGGGTGACTGGATCCTTTCTGCCATGGCTACTGGTTTTGTTTCATGAGTGCTCTTGTCGACTCGGTCGCTACTTGTGGATTTGGCCTTTGGTGTTTGTGGCTTTCCCACAATCAAAGCCTCGACAAATGACGTGAAGGGGTCATGATCCATGCTATCAGAATCCATGGTGTCTGAATTCATGGTATCGGAATCCATGATATCGCGCCGGTGTGAGTTGTGTTGAAAATGAGATTGGGTTGAACAGATCTAAATTGAACAGAACTAAATTGTTGAACTATGTGAAGAGAACTCTGGGAGAGAAGTCGTCGCCGTCTAAAGATGTTTTTGTTCCCGTCTTGGCTTAGGGTGCGGCCAGCTGTCGTCGACGCTTATGTCGTACTTTGTCAATCCCGCCTGATGTACTTAGGTAAGGAATTAAAGCGTATGCTTATACGAGGAAGTCCAAATGCCTAGCACTGCCTCTGTGATTCTTTCTCTGTAGCAATTCCGAGAAGCACCCTATTCTCTCCCAATGTGTTGGACAGTTGCTTTTAATCCGCAAAACCCATCCCATACCAAAGTAGGGACATACGAGATGGTAGCAAAACACTGTTATTGCCGAATCTGGACCGTCCCACCTAAGAGGCGTGCTGTATATACAGTATCGTGCAAAGGTACGTCTTGCATAGTTTAAATTACATAATAGTGAACTACAAAGCATATATTAGGTGATGACAATGAATCTACACGTCAATATAGACATCGCCCAAGTTAAGGCCTCACGAGACAAGACCAGAACTCTACAAAGGGCTGGGTCTTATATCAACAAGAATTATGCACCATAGCCATTTTAGATATTATTTTGCACATTTCCACTCTCATAGAAATACAGAGAGGAGCAATGAACCTATAACACATCCAGTAAGACACCTATGTAATTCCCCATCTAGCTTTTGTACCGCTCAGTTGGCTAAGAAACACTAGAGGTGTGCCATTCATGTTGATAAAACTACAGACGAATATCCAATAAAACCACAGCTCAGACGCCTCTCCTAGATTTAGGGCACGATGTACTGCCGAAGACTTCATAACCTGACTTTTGCTTGCCGATTAGTTTACCCAATTTGGAGTCGCCGGATGGTGCATCTTCATCTAATTTGACGAAGCTTATGGGCTTCATCTTGCCACTTGCTATTTGGATGATCCGCTTCTTGTGTGCAAGAAGGAGGCTTGACAACAGCTGCTTATGAGGAGGTGGAAGGAGACTCTCACCAACATCGTCACTGTCTTCTTCCATCAGGGTAGCCTGGTCGCTATTGATCTGTGCTCCTCTATTGAAGCAGTTCATGGATTCCACGTTGGCGGGGTTGTTGTTGGTCTTGTTGTTGGTCTTGTTGTTGGTCTTGTTGTTGTTGTTGTTGTTGTTGTTGTTGTTGTTGTTGTTGTTGTTGTTGTTGTTGTTGTTGTTGTTGTTGTTGTTGTTGTTGTTGTTGTTGTATATTAGCCTGTGGGCCATACGCCATGTTTGCTGCTCCCCGATCAAGCTTTCCACCTATATGTTGTGCCATGTTCTGTCGGTATTGGTATAGCTGGAACTGGGCGAGCTGTTGCTGAGATTGATGAGCTTGCTGTTAGAGAAACTATTGGAACTGCTGTGCTATATCTCGATTTGCGGCTGGTGCAGCAAGAGCCCGGGGTGGCATTGGTGCTGGCCCAGGCGGAGCGAGTGATTGACCTAATTGACCTAAGAAGCCAGCTATATCTTCTCCACGTAGTCTACCCTGAGTAGCTTCATCTACTAGTCGTCGTAGTACTTGTGCCATAGGATTGGGCAGCTCATCCTCCTCCTCTCGCTCGCATAACTTCCAACCAACCACCGACCTCGTCAACGTGTATTATTCTAATTCAACTGATATTTTGGTCATCTACCTATATTCGCATTTTTACCTCTTGCGCTTTCTTAGTTAGAGTCTGCTTTTATCCAAGAATTTTGGGCCGAGATGCCGCTCATTACTAGAAAGCTATTCTCCCCAAAGCCTTTTGGTCAAAAATTCGTGGGACACCTTCAGAGAAGATAATTTGGAAGAATATGACTTTCAAATATGTTGCTAACTGCGAGAAAACTCAACCAATAATGTCTCGTAGTTCTTAGTGTATTGGTATATGCCGGAGCTTGCGTTATTAAGCAAGAGAATTATATGTATATTAGATAGGAGTCGATTAGATAAGTGCTTATATTATCCCCTGAAAAAAGCTAGGAGGGGAGCTTAAAGCTTCTTATATGCTAGAAGGAGCTATTTAGCTCCCGAAAACCGTATAGAGTTCGCGTATATATAAGTAAAAGGTATATCTTTAAAAAAAAAGTCTATTTTATCTGATTGTCGGATAATTAGTTGATAGTCTGTTTACATATCAACAATAGCTAATAGATACTTGACGCTCAGCTCATGTTATCCTTGTGCTTCAATCCACCTCGACCCATGTTCCATTCAATAGGAGGCGACGGCCCCCCTTATAGATCATAACGCAATCTTTTGGAGCAGCATCCGGGTCACTAGCAACCACATACTGGCACTTTGTAAAAGATTCATAAATACAACCCCAGAAGCTGCGCTGTTTATCCTCATGATAAGAATCCTTGAGAAGTGGTTGGATTGCTCTCGTGGCTTCTTCAGCATGGCACTGAGGAATTTTGGAGAAGAGATGATGAACAACGTGGAAATCTGCGATGTTGTGCATGAAGTGCTTGCCGCCGAATCCAAGACCACGGTCAATAGTTGCTGTGGCACCTTTAAGGAACGTCCATGCTTCCGGTTGGTATTTTGGTACATCAGGATGGGTATGATGGAGGTAGGTTACAGCCACAATCCAGTGGTTGAGCCAGAGATAGGGTTGGAGCCAAAGTAGTAAGGTCATGGGCCAACCAACGATAATGCTTGCGTAGTAGACGCCGGCCAGAGTGATACCAAGTCCAATATCAGATGCGATAATGAGATGGCCTTCTTCGGGTCGGTAGAGAGTGCTCATGGGTGAGAAATGACTGTTACCAAGAGGCCACTTGGATGGAGGATTCTTTGTTTTGCCAGCAGCAAGGCTTCCCTGAGAGCTGGTGATATTTGTAAGAAGGTACCATGGGAAACCCAAGAGCTGTTGGACAAGGATACGTATAAGGTTAACCAGCGGTGAATCTTCGGTAGTCTCTTCAAGCTTCTCAAGATCAACGCGAAGAAGCGAAGCATATTTGGCTGTTGTTACTGGAACATAATTGTGGTCCTTAGCAAGATTGTTGGCATAGATGTGGTGGCGACGGTGAGTGGATTGCCACGAGAAATATGCTGTGAGATAACAGAGAGAGTTAGCGTTGCCCTTTCAGATCGACTTTAGGGAAGTGGGGCCGATTCATGAGGAAATCTTGATATCTCGACTCATACACCGGATTGGACTTCTTGCTCCTGGATTTCGACTTACGTGTCAGAAGCACAGAGTGTAAAACCCAACCCATGAATTCGTTGGAGTAGTGGTCGGGCAAGAAAGCCCCATGTCCAGCTTCATGTCCAAGAACCTGTTGTCCTTTAGATTTTGCTCTAGTTTTCAGTAGTCGGGGAGTTAAAACTTACCCAAAGCCCGGTAACTTGTTGACCTTTAAAATACCCATATGTGGCCCAGGCAACCCACCTTAGGGGCCCGAAAGGAATTTGAGGGATATAGTTGTAAGCAGTGTACAGAAAGGCTGCTACAACTGCAAGGTCACGGAAGAGATAAAAGAATGATCTGGTGTAGGTGGGTTTCCAGCAATGTGCTGGTATGGCGTTGATCAAATCTCTGGTGGTGTAGCTTCCACTTATTTTCTAAATGCCTATTATTATTGCGAGCATCACTGATAGGAGTTTTGCTTACACCTCCGTTGACCAGCTCCGAGGGATGATGGTAATAATCGGACTCGATAAGTTGAGGCTTTAGTCTAAGAACCGAGACATCAGTCGGCATAGTTTCGATTGTAGTGCTTATGGTGAAAAGTTGCCAATTGAAATAGAGGATGAAATCGATGTGGGATGGAGGGAGATACTAGAAGATAGAATAGCTTACACATGTATTAAATACAATCTGATGATAATAAGGAAAAAGGTTATAACAAGAAAATAGACCCCAAATATTAATCTCACCATGGTAAGGCCGAAGATCGTGATTTCTCGCCTGTGCTATTTCCAGTGACAGGAAAACCAAAACGGAAAAACCAACAGCATTGCATATATTGAAAAACGTGTTCTAGGAAATATGTACGTAAGACCTAAGCTGACTGCTTTGAGTCGTACTCAATTTCTGTGGTGTTATCTCTGCTTCTAGGATAAGTTAGCTAAATGTCTATAAGTTATGCAGTAGGGCCTAATATACAGTCAGCAAAAACCATGGGATACACCAATAGCGGAATGCCAGGTATTCGAAGCGGAAGGATTTGAACATATCCGGGATATTCTTCTGCATGAATGAGAAAATGCAAAGCGTGGTGTCAAAAACAAGACGGAAGCAGAAAGGAGAACTCTTTACGCTAATACTACTTTGTGGGAATGATGGACGATCCATACAGATCTGACAACCTTCTTGATAGGCAAGTCGAGACTAAAAGGATTTGATTTGTCCTCTCACACGACCTCTCTTACTCAAACCACGCTCGGGGTATACCATTTGGCCTTGAGGACAGAGCTGAAAATCTTCGATATACAGACTATCTTCTCTATTCCATCTCTATTCGTTCGCCAATATGCCATTGATAAATGATATTCTGCCCAAAGTTTCCTTGTGGAAGTCCTCTCCATCTCAACTCACCGAGATGCCACTGGTTGCCGCCGTTCTATCAAAAGCGTTCATGTATAAATCTTCTCTGCCCACGTTTCTGTTCACCGAGGGTTTCTTGTGGATGGCACTTAAGGCGACCATCTCAGCTCTGATCTTAAAAGTAAGCAGAATTACCGCATCGTACATATCCTCCATTTTAATAAAATATCCCTAGCTTATAATTACCTGCGTATATCGAATATTCTTTCATCCATTCGCCAAGTATCCAGGTCCATGGACAGCTAAAGTATCGGACTTCTATGCTGCCTATCATAATGGAAAAGGGCAATTTCACATACAAACCAAGATTGGCCATAGAAAATATGGTATGAGTATCCCTTCATATAGCCCGTTTTGGAACTGACTTGTGTATCAGGACCAGTATTCCGTCAAGGGCCAAATAAGCTTGTTTTCAACAGTCCGCAGGCACTGCATGGTGAGATTCTAATTCCAGTGAGGCGCTGTAAAAATGGTGCTAATATATCCAGATATATACTCTTCAAAGGAGGTTCTGAAAAGTTTTGCATATGAGACCTTTGTTCCAGGGCCAGGACAGTACAACATCTTCACAGTCATTGATAGTACCGCCCATCGACACAAGAGCAAGATGCTCAGTAAAGCGTTCTCCGATCGAACTATGAAGGAATTTGAGCCTACCATGCTTTATCACATCGATCTCTTTGTGAAAAATCTCATGTCATGTTGTGACGAAAGAGGAAGTACTTGGTCAATTCCGATCAACATGACAAAACGTTCTGGATATCTTCAATATGACGTGATGGGTAAATTTGGATTTGGATCATCATTTGACATGCAAACGAAGTCTGACAACCACTTTCTTATGGACGCAGTCGAAGCTATTTGTCTTAGAGGTGGCATTTATTCGCAATATCCCAAGTTGGCTCGCTTGCCAATTGACAAATTCATGGCCTTTTCGAAAATTGCAGAAATGCGCACTAAGTACTCGAACCTAGTCACACGCCTGGTCAAGGCTAGAGTTGCTGCCCCAAAGAATTTTCAACCAGATATTTTCAAATTTCTGGTCGATGCTACGAATGCTGAGACGGGGAAGGGCTTTACAGAAGCGGAACTATGGGCTGACAGCAGATTCTTGTTGATAGCTGGTATGTTCGTCCCTTTTACAAACATGAGACAATTTATTGACCATGAGATAGGAGCCGATACTTCGAAGACCTTACGACAAGATCGAACAACCCCACAGAGTGGGATTGTGAGTGGCACAGTGTAGGTGCACGAGGAATGTAAATCGGGTTCGTTCTGTCGTTCTTTGAAATATCATCCACACAGCGCAGTTCGCCTAGAGCGACAAGGCTTCCAAAGAATCAAATTATAGTAGGGTTACATTCGAAGCCGGTTCCAAAAGGAGCATTTGGAAAGATGTCTACTGGATCTGGGGACCCCCGTGTTTGGCCAACCCCTGGTTAAGACTTGTTCTTCTGACCAACAACACCAGCATCAAAACGAAAGAGTGTTACAGCCTCATTGTCGTACTGAATTCAATACGACTAGTAAAGAAGTACGGCATTCCAGCATGCCTCGAAAACTCCACATGTAGAACGAGAAGGGGTGGGGAAGGGCTAAGCTCGAGCGATAGATATCAAAATGATACCCATTTGATTGATAGGTTCCGATTGGCTTTCTCCATCGTGAGCTTAGCGTACACCACCCCTAAGCAATTGAAAATGGGTCAAAGAAGACGAAAGTGTAGGAGAAGTGCAGGATGTGGTTCAAGGAGCATGCGTGAGGCAATTTCCCTCAGTTGCGAGGCTCATTTGGACAAACGTGCCGCTGTAAGCATTTCAAATCTCACGTGTACTGTGCCCTGCCGCTTTTCAATATATGCAATACTGTTGGTTGTACCGTGGTTGGTTTTCTGACGCTTTTTAATTTATGCAATGCAGTTGGTTTTTCCGTTGTTGGGTTTCGTGTCGCTGTTCAATATGAGAATCACCACCTTCACTTCTGCTTACTTGGGAGCATTTAGCGAGTCTAGCACCCCAACGTCCTTCTCTCACCCTTGTTGTCCAATAGATTCAGAGACCCTCGGTAGGATTCTAAACCCTCTTTTCTCTCTAGAGAGATACTGGTAGTCGAAATAGCGGGCTCGTAACTTGAGAAATATCTTTAACCATACGTGAGACTCCGTTGCACCAGGGTGTTCGACCCGCCGAGGGGATATTCCCTCGTTCGCGCGCCTTTTCTTTTCTCAATTCTTAAACTGGTACTCCCGTCTCTTTTGGTGTGTTATTATTTTCTTCCAATTTGAGACTCTTTTGTCAGATCGTGAATCATGATCAAAAACCGCTTCCACGCATCGGTCACCACGGCCATGCCCACACCGGAATCTAATCTGAAATGCTCCCCGCTGCCACCAACATCGCTGCCTGACTCGGGTGAACCGCTTCCCCATTGGATGGCAAATGATCCCTTGATAATGAGTGGCTACCGCCGTCCCACAGGCTCCTTCATGGCTTGTTTTCAATCCCTATTTTATGTCCACAATGAGACCGTCAGTATATGGTCTCATTTTTTGACTGCGATATGTTTTGGCTGGTTTGTATGGCAGAGTCTTTCGTATGGGGATATGGCGGATAATTGGGTGGGTTGGGTAGTTGTGAGGTATTACATGCTCAGTAGTATTGCATGCATGATGTTTAGCGTACGCAAGATTGACCCCTTTCCGTTCGTTTCACTTTGCGTCCCTTCTTTTATATTTTTATTCTCATGTTCTTCTTCTTCAGTGTAAGTATCTATGCTAACCTGAGACCTCAAAAAGGCATCATATCATTGTACAAACTGCCATTCTGAGCACGTAGATAAATTCTGTCTCAAACTCGACTATTTGGGTATCGTGCTCAGTACAGTCGCAACAGGCGTCTCATCCGTCTATTTCGCTTTCCGTAGTGTATTAGATGAATGGTTACTAGCGAAGGTGTACATTGGAACAATTTTCTTCTTGGGACTTTTGTCGTTTTGGGTTGTTTTAGATTCGAGACTTGATGGTCCTAATGTTGCGTTTGTGAGGTAGGTGTTCTTTTGATTGGCTTGAGGAAGAAAACTGACTTCTGGAATAAAGATCTGTAGTATTTGGCCTAGTTTGCGCCTGCTCCTACCTACCCATCTTACATGCCTTTCTGCTCGACGAAATAGACACTTCCCAATACCCTATTTGGTCGTTTTTGTCATGCAGTATGATTAATATTGTTGGGGTTGCATTTTACGTTACCAGAACTCCTGAGAAGCAATTTCCGGGCAGATTCGATATTTGGGTTTGTTGCTCCTTCTCTTCTTCTTTCTTCTTTCGATATGTAGTTGGCAATAGCTGATATTCATGGCGAGTAGGGAGCGAGCGAGCCATCAGATTTTCCATATTATTGTTGCTGCCAGCCAGCTTTTTCATCTTTGGGCTTTGAGGATCTGCTTGTCGTACCACGGCGGTTTCGCTTGAATGTGAGCTGTTAGAATAGAATGTGATCAGTTCTAGTGATGGTTGTGTAGGAAAATGAGATAGATGAGTGCCGGATCGGAGTTTCGGAGGTCCTGAGCTGGTTCCTTTTCAATTTATAGACCAGATATATGTGGTAGCAGTCAAGGGAAGGACGGCTCCAGCAGTCCGGAGCCGTCTATTGGGAATGGTTCGAGTTGGAATTGTGAGGCTTGAGCAGTCGAGCGCACGACAAGATTGCGAAACTTTCATGCTCTCTCTTAATATAGAAGATGAATAGAAAATTTGATTCTAACTTGACATTAGTTTATTTAATGTCTTTATAGGGAAACCGCGTCAGTTTTGATTTCTTCTGGTGAATTCACGAACAGATCGTATCTGCTAGCTTACGACGTCCATTTGTTATTGGACTGGTTTGAGTCTTATTCTGGTAGAGTCATGCAAGCTTCTAGTAAACGCAGGAATAATGCACCAGAAGAAGTTTCGCTTTTGGTAGTGGAGAGGGAATACATAATCTCTTTACAAGGGTTGCAAAAATACCATCTTTGAGAATCAGGGGAGCATTATAAAGGCAGACGAGTTAAGCCAGCAGTCTAGAACCTTAATTCGTGCCCTGCTGCTTACAAAAACAATTTATCATCTGTCGCTTTTGACCTCCGCACAAGGAGCTATTTGAGATCATCGACCGGACGAGGTGTAAGTACTCAGAGTTTCGGAATGCTTCTTTCTGCCCCTATCAGCAGCAGCTGTGATGGGTGAATGTCTCAGAAATTTAAATATGAATATTAATATGCTTCCGAAGTCCCACGTATCCAGTTCACCACTTCCAACGCTATGATTGCCTACTTGGCTAATATCTACATTAACCGGCGAGCAAAGATTTACGAACACACTTCCGGTGAAGGCTATGCTATTGCTTGAAATATTAGAGCAGGCTACTCGTCGTTCCAATCCTATAGCAATCGCAAATCCACCTATAAAAAAAAAGGAAGGTCTGGATTGTATCTTATATAGCGTTTCGCGAGGAGGTAGACTGGATCCTCGCCGAGATACTTGCAGTGTCTGCAGTCTCCTGGCCAGCACATACCACAGCATGGCTGAAGCCGGCGTTCTTATTTTATCCACCTGACCTGGAGACCGGCAATGTTATTCGAAGTAGATATGACATGGGCATTTTTCAAAGGGCTTCCATTGGGCAAGACGCTCGCGGTGGTTTTGACAGTGTTCAGGTGCGAAGACACTCTCCTCAAGCTTCCGCCTCATCATGGCCCGATACTTTGAGGACAAACAGATAGCCAGTACAGTTCTCGAGCAGGAGCGATGAGAAATTGCTTCACAGACTTCGAGTGAGTCTTGACGAATCGCAAAGGATAGACGTTGTTCGGGGTCATGCGTGATGGCGAGGGTGGTTGTAATAGAATATCTCCTCGGAGAGGGAGTGTGACTGTAATATGCATATTCGGAGAAGACATAGCAAAGAAAGGAGAGTAGATTCACTTTGGTTTTCGGAGCAGTAGAAGAGTGAGATGGGAGAGTTTGTTCTGATTCTAGGACCCGGGGAAACGTCGGTATTAAAGGATAAATGGTAGTAAACAGCGACCAAACTAGCAGTTCACCAGCCATTTGTCCTTGAATGGACTTTCATATAAAGTAAATTTATTGGAGTAAACCCTGGGATCGTGTTCGTCTGGAAGGTCGCGCGCGCATGAGGCTAACTTGCAGTAGAAGTAGAATCTCATGGTGCTTAATATATTGTGTGAGGGATGGAGATGCGACAGAAGTCGAGGTAATATTCTTCCCAGCAGGCTTAAACTCAACGGGGGCCGGCACGCGCCGGGCTGCCTTCCGGGCCGTCGCCTGAGCTCCAAGGGGGCCTGGTAACTTTGTGAAGCAAGACCAATCACCTTTGGTTTTCAACTGGTATCGTGAAGCGTTTGGTCCTGTGGATACTGTTCGCGTGGGGGCTTGTCATTTCTTTTTACTTCATTGCAACCCACCCGCATGATAGAACATGGCCACTCCCGCTACGGGCCGTTCGGGAGGGTACTCCCGTGTCCAATTGACATCCTGTTCACTGAAGATCAAATTTGAGCCGTGGGGTCGCTATTTTGTGGGAAACTTTCTTGTCATTACTGTCCTCCGCATTCTGGACCTGTTGTGTCAGCCATACTGCCCGAAGAAAAATTCAATCCTGTCCGGCGCAGTTCGCGTTCCCAACTGGAGAACTCATACTCCATATGGCAGCCCACTGGTTACCACGCCTGCGACGGAGGATTTGTCGTGGACCTGGACTCGCAAAGCGCCCATCATTCAAGGAGGCAAGTGGCAGACGGCAGCGCTTTCTCATGAAGCGACACACTTGGAACCCTAAACGATTCTGTCAGTCGACTACCATTCCAGCAAAATGAATAAATTTATTCGTACTCCAGTTTTCCTCTTGGGGTCACTCTTGGAAGCTTTGCCAGTTGCGCCTGCCTCGGTCTTGTCATCCGTGTTCGTACCAAATCTCTGTTGAAACCAAGTATTATCCGTCTCCATTATTTCCTTCGCCTTAAAGTCTGGCTCGAAGATTTGCTTGTCTTTTTTCTTCGATTTGGGAGCGGCAGAGCCTGACATTGTCTTGTTTGTACTGGTCGTGTTCGTCAGTTCTCGATTTCTCGTCGTTCTAAAAGGGAAGGAGGCGTCTCTCCAAATATATGGGATGATGTGTTCATTTTGAAGGAAAGTTGGGCTTGCCTTTATTGAAATACCCATCCCGTTCCTCGGTTGATACCGATTTGTCCATTCCATAAGATCCTTGCTAATTGAGGCTTACCTTACATAGAAGGCGCCCTTGCAACGAGCGGTGCTCGGGATACCTTTTGGCCTTCCGATACCGTATCTGAACCCGGCCAACTCGGCTCGGCTCCAGTCCCGAAATTTCTTTTCCCCGACTTCTTTGCTGGATGTCCTTATGCGAATTTCGATAGACGACTCTAGACGACTCTAGACGACTCTAGACGATGTCGCATGCTGTTCCTCCGGAAATCTCGTCATCGGATATCCTGCTAACAAACACGATTGGCGAGCAGAATCTAAATCGACGGCGATAGTTGACCCTTGACAAAACTTGGCAATCTCGCAGTATGTGTAGGTGTCGTCTTCCTTTGCCTGCCTACATATCTTGCTGGTCTGGCTACACCCAATAGCCTAGCATCACACCAACTGCGGCTGTCCGCAAATGTGGTGCTGCTCCTGGCTGTTGACTCCATGCCAAAATCTTTGTGGTTCCTGGCTACAACTCCCATCCTCTTTTCGGGTTTTATCGTGGCAATGCGCTGCATGGAGCACGGCGTCAGTTTAAGCAGACTGACGTTCGTCGACTGTCGATGCAAGTCTGTTGTCTCTCTGGGGGCCCGAAAACCTGGGGTGAGGAGAGCAGCCCTTCGCGTGTGGGCGGCCGGAAAGTCTGTCAACTGGTAGTGCCTTTAATTTCCTCCTCCATAAGTCCATGGTGCTTCAAAGACAATTATGTCGCCGTGCGTATGCATTGAGCTTCGATGGAGAGTCGAGTGCTTCCGGAAAGGAGCGTTGAAGGCCGGCCGCCTTTGCGAGGAAGTAGAACTGCTCAAGATCAGCTTGCAGCGTGATATCCTCTGTGAGGATGGTAATATGCGCGGATATGATCAGGTAGCAAGGCATTGTGTTGCGTGGGAATGTCTCTCGTCCGTATGTTGTGTTCGTCTGCACGTGGGGTTTCTCCGCATGACTTAGTGGGCTTGCGAAAGATCAAAACCCTACCGCGGCTAAAAAGCACAGCAACTTTAACTTAACGCTAGAGCGCGGAAAGAGGTTTTATAAAACCAAAACTTGAAGAGGCTAGAAGGGCTGTTGCTACATGCCATCATGATATACCAACGCCTAATTTATTTCCTGTTTTAGTACGAGTAGTGGAAGGTTGGTGGATTTACAGATGTGTGGGGACATTTTGATCTAACAAAACGACGCCTTGCCGCTCACGCACTAGTTACCGGAGATGGGTTGTCTGTCTCTATACTATGCTATTAGTGTCGGGAGTGAGGCCAGGGCGGGGTCGTGAATCAGCGGTATTGTCGGAGCCCCCAACCGTTCAGCTTTCCTATTGCCTTGCGCGTGGGAATATGTTACCCGCAGAGGAATCGGTACTCAAACCTAGAAGGCAATCTATGGTGCCATTCTCAGCTCGCAGTTCTCAACATCAGTCAGGCCCTATTCTCCATTCCAGGACTTCCGGCAGGCATTTGTGAGCAGATACCTACCAACAGGCTTAGAGCCCAGTCTACCAACGGCGATAAAGCCCTTGCGGCCTCCTCTCTTCCGCTTGATATGTAAGTCTCGGGGGTTTCTGTTGATGACCATCCAGTCCTACGGATGTTTGCTCATCTCAACTAATATAGCAGCTTTCCGAATAGTTAGACTATGTCTTCCTTCCAGCAGACCTTCAAGGCTCTTGATCCTAGCGTCCTTGCAATACTAGATATTTCGAATACTGCCCGATGCTCTATATATTGCAGAGCAGAGAAGGAGGAAACCCACGCAACATACCATAAGCCAGCTACTGGCCCAGCACAACGCGATCCAAAATGCGATGAAGGCCTTCTTTTTCAATGCGCATCGTTGTTCAAGGTCTTTATTGCTACCTGTCTCATTCTGGCAATCGATAAGCTATCGTTGGATCCAAGCACAACAAACCGGTACCGCAAGCTCAAAGGTGCTTGGAATGAGCCTTTCACGGTCGTCTTCAATAATTTGCTCGGGGCGGACGATTACAGGATGAGTCCGCTACCTGGGGATCCAAGTGTCCAACAGTTGCTCCTTCACTACAATGGAGTTTACGACATGAATCACATCTTACTCGCTCCCGATGGAACACCACTGCAATGTCTTCGCGACGTTGTTGATAGAATATCTCAATACGCCGAAGAGACTCGCGAACAGGAGGTGGAAGGAGAAAGCTGGATAAGATATTCTAACGCGAACTATATTTTGCTAGCCCTGCTCATCGACAAAGCATCAGAGTCCCTCAACGACTTCCTAAGGGAGTACATTTTCAAGCCTTTCGAGATGGAGCGCACATTCCTCAACCTCCAAGATCTAGATTCGAACTCAAACGAAAGTCAAAGGCAGCCACATGTAGTATCCAGCGATAGACGCCGCCGTAGCTTTAGGCCAGGCACAATACTTGGCCTGTTCGATGTGGTCGAGATTGCTTGGCTTGGTCCATATACCTCCGCCGCTGATCTCGGCCGCTTTTTTGGGGGTTTGCTGTCGGCGAAGGATGGGAAGCCTATCGGCTTGGTTGACGAAGCAGTTGTCGAGTCTCTTGGCTCAGGCATCAGTCGCGTTGATAAACATTCGGGATACACACCGTACGGATTCTACACTGCTTTGAACTCAACAGGTCCAGGGAGTCACTCTCTCAATCGACTGATATCGCCCGATAGTAATCTTAAGGATCATGTACTTGGAAAACCATCCCGCGATGACGAAATCAGTGCATTCTATTTGGCAGGATCTGCTACTGGTTGGACCGGCACAGTTTATTTCATACCTAGCAAACATATATTCGTCATCGTACTCACCAACACTTCGGGCCCTCTCGACGCCTCCGATCTTATCTCGCGGCTCTGCCTGCAAGAAATCCTTCTCCTCCGACCTTCGAAGGCTGACAGTTGGGACGTCAGCCATTACCTACGAAGCCGGAGTATGATAGCTCCTGATGGACGGTATAGAGCACATTATGTCGAATTAGCCGGTCAAATATTCGAGGAAAACGCCCGTAAGGTAAAGGAACTTGAGCAGCGCGACGACCAACCGGACACACCGACTTCTGATTGTTCTGATCTACCTGGTAGATACTTTAGTAGCAGGAATGGGCAGTATTTACGCGTTGTTGACTGGAAGGGCGAGGATAATGAAAAAGCGGAGGGAGTACTTCGCGTTGTAATTCAATCGGGGACAAAGTCGTCTCAGAAATTGAGGTTTGTCAAGATGGGTGAGAAGTTCAGGATATGCTCACCCGACACTTTCTCCATCTTAGCAATTGACTGTTTTGGCGCATGGAAAAATCTTGAATTTGAGGTTGAGCGAGATGATGCGGGGGTGAAATCTCTATCACGGCAAGGCATGTATTTGAAGGATTTCTTCATTCGAGAGAGGCCTTAGGATATTTATTATTGTCAACAGCCTTTCATGTCTTATATGCCTTTGGGTTCTTGGTAACTATATATTTTGGTTGTATTTTACGAAAGTTTTCTGTGTCCTTTGTACAATTTCTAATGAGGGTCTTTCAGAATCCAGCTACAATGCTTATCACTCAACTGGCTGAGTAAGAACGTCTGTTTGCACAAGAGCTGATTGCACATTATCCATAATCGATCTTATCAATCAACTAACGTTAACACCGGACTCATCCATCCGACTTTCAAATTCACGGTGCCTGGCTCTCTAATAAATCTTAATCATCATGAGCCGCTATTGTTCGATAGGAAAACTACTAATATTGCCGCATACCTATTACAAAAACTTAGCAGACTTTCTAATACTCGAATGAAATTAAGTAAATAAGTGTAACGCGCAAATCTTACCCAGCTACTAAAGCCAAAGCGTTCTTGTTGGGTGAATTAAGAAATCCTACCGTCAACACAGCTGCTGCAAACAAGGAAGCCGTTAGGATAACTAGCTTCCAGGTGTTGCTATCGACATAGGAGAGTGCAAATATAGGGCAGAGCAGCAAACAGCAGAAGCAGATATGGAGAAACACAGCCTCTGCACGCTGGACATTTTCCTCAGAGTAGAGTAGTGTCGACGGCAATTGTTCGCCTAGGTTATCGTCCTATACGCATGAATGTTAACTCGGGCACATGCAGTCAGGTGGTCTAGCTAGCAGTGATGGAGGTGAGAGGTACTGGCCTTTGCGAAGAAACGTCTCAGGCGATCGTTGCTGTCGATGAACCTATGAGTCCACGTTTTCTCAAGCGCAGCTATGGAGGCAAGGTCCTTGGGCCGGTTTTTACCCTCGGAATGAAAATCGAGTCCGATCCGAAGCGCTGAGCCTCGGCCATGGTACATATTCCACCAATTTTCGAGGAGGTTGAAGACACGTTTCTCGGGCTGTCGATAAGACCTGTAGTTTACCTGCGCTGACAGAGCATCGTCTATAAGAAGGTTAGACTCATAATCTCTGGGTGATTAATTACACTAGATAGAAAACGGGGAAGAGAGCCAGGCTGTTCAATGAAATACTAGCGGTACCGTATTCCTTCAAAGCAATCTTGATTTCAGGCAAAAGCTCTTCCAACCCTCCTGTTTCATCATTCCATATTTTCGTCTCAAGAGTATTTTCGAGCTCCGCTAGGCGCTGCTGAAGGCAAAGAATATTAAACAAGTGAAGCTTGCCAAAGCGTCGAAACACCCAGAGGTCGGGATCCTGATTTAAATATTGAGCGACAAAACCCCAATCGGCCGCAGAACGAAGAAATAGTTCCGACGGCTTGTCATGGGAAGAGTGAAGACCTCTCTCTTCCTTTGAGGCGTTGCGCGAGCTCATATCGTTGTTCAATGTGTAAGAAGGTTGTAACAAATTTTCATCGTTTTTGAACTACTCTCTCCGTGTCGTATAATCTGCGCCATGTCGTAGAGAATATAAGAAAATAGAACAGAGGTCCTGGCGCGCGGTTCTGAGTGCAAGGAACTTTCTTGGCAAGGCTTGACAATGAAACGCAGACTTGGCTCCTCAGCGCTTAACTCGAGGGTAATCCGCCCTCCCTGATACTTAGGCACACCTTTATCGAGAATAAATGTGAATCACAAGACTAGAGTGCCATTTGGTTGGTTGGCATAACCGCCGAGGCGCTATGCGCGTTTCACTCAGTACATGTGGCTTGAATTGCCGCTATGGGTTGTGCACCAGAAATTCATGAGTGGTGGTTCTACAATGTCTATAATTCTCCTTGGAAAATAGCCAGAACTCCGCTATCCAGATTAATACGCTTTGAGACGCTAGGTGATATATTTTCAGGGAGGTCCAGTTCGGGTCGCTGGGAGCCGATTCGGTCTCCCTGGATATAGTCGACAACATTCGTAAGATAGAAGCGATTGTAAGAGCGGAAATGATTAGTCACTGAAAGCGAGAGCTAGAACGTGACGAAGCACGGGATATAGAGCCTGATACTACCTGGTACGTTCAGGCGCACCCCCTTTTAAGTTTAGCGTTTCCGCGTTAGGCATGCCGTTGCTTTTGACGATGCTAATAAGGATGCTGCAACGCCAGCGCCTTGGAACCCGATTCGGTCCCTCACTCACTGGTGGCGCTACCTATACAACCGCTGCGTTATTAGTTCAACAAGCACGATCTCCTAGATGGGCAAACCCAGAAATCACACAAAATATAGTACAACGAATCATCCTGTAGTAAGCTTACCCCAAAACTATTCTAAGATTCGGAGTACTACAATTGCGACTACATCGGTTTGAAAGGCTACACCTCCAAGTAGTTGCGTCTAAAGTAGGATACCTTAACATCTTACAAGATTGCGTATATACCTTATTCATACTTCAAGCCAAAGTAGTCCGAGTAACTGAATTAAAGTGAGTCATCGAGTAAAACAAGAGAGCTATACCTAGTATATATATAAATTTAGGTATAAAAGGGTATTAGGTAAGGGGTATAAGGCAAATAGAGCAAAGCGCCCTATAGGTAGGTACGCGTTCTATAAAGTCGCGATATGTAAGGAGGGGCACTGTTAGGGGCGATTTTATTTGAATAATAATAATTACTAGCAATTTATTACATAAGGTGCATCTTGAAGATGTCTGTCACTCGGGGACTGCATCCCTGCTAGCGTAGGCAAAGTCTGGTAGACGAGCGGACAGCTATTCAACCTGTCTTACGAAGTAGTAAGGCTACATGAATTTTAGGACAGCTGTACTCCGTACAGGGTTCCGATTCAGCTGGCCTAAAGTACTAGCATGTCACTCGTGGGATAGAACGACATTCAGCTGCTATGGGACAGTACTGCTTTCAGCTGGTTGGAATGGTATTACTATGTGCTTTCCATAGTTATACATCAACTAATTCAACCATCTCAATCTTATTAGCAGGCGTTAATCTATTCCGATGTACCACAGCATGTTCAATTTACGACACTGAAAAGAGGTGATATTGTGGAAGCAAACGACGCCTGAGGTATATGTACATGTACAATGTGCATACATTTTAAGTGAGCCCCTATGGTTCAGCCACAGGGATTCAACAGTCTCACTAGCACAGTGGCAGCACAGGGACCCCTACCAATTAACAATCTTTAGCATTCAGCTCCTCGTATATGAAATGAGAAGATAACAGGGAGTAATAGAAGCGGGATATAAAGAGCCCACACCTAGAACAACCAGTATGAAATTGCCTCGGTAGAGTGTTATCATTTCCAAAGTTCGTCGCCGCTGCATTAGTACTCCGTTGCCTAATGTCATCGCTCGATAAGCTTTTCCGGCGCAAGAGCCACATGGATGGACCCCCGAATGCCAATTCAAACGGGGCGAACAAACCGTCAGATGCCGCTACTCTCCCAGTACCGCGCGATGCTCAAGTAACCTCAAATGCGACAGCCGCTCGCCAAGGCGCAACGGCTCCCGTGCAGCCGCCGCCTCCCCAAGGAGCCGGCCGCTCCTATCCCCAGACCCAATCTCAGATGCAGAACACGGGCATGATGGCTGGGGGCGCTGTTGGCATGATGGGGGGTGATGGCGGCAACGCGGTGGACGGCATGCTCGTGGGAGGCGTCGTAGGGGGGATGGTGGGACAGCGTCTGGCGCAGGCTGAAAACCATGCGTACTGGAGCGGGCAGGCGATGGAGTACCGCCAGCGGTTGGCCGCTGGGGAGCAGCCGCCAGCCGGTGACAGCGCTGCGAAGGGAACATCATGGTGGAGTCGAGAAGGTCGGCAGCAGCGGCGTATGAAGAGATGGGAGCGGCGGGCGAAACGGCGCGATGGGACAGTTGTGAATGTGAATGAGAACAATAAATAGGCGGATTAGTTGGGGTTGTGAAAGGGTTTGCTGTATGTTTTGTGCGTTGTGCTATACTCGAGTATAAGAGTGCACGAATATATTGAATTGAGGATATCAGGTATCCACGCGGAAGTCAAAGTATATTTCCGGGTTTAAGCTTGTAAAGGAAAAACTGAGGAATAAGAACTTGGAAACGACTTAGTAGGATTCTCTATAGTAGGTGACTATAATACTATATATTTTGTTATTATATAGCTGCTAGGGAAAGAAAGATTAGAGGCAGGACGTGACAGGCTAGCTCGAATAGGCTATATAATAAACTACGATATATTTGACAACATTCGTACAATAGAAGCGAATATAAGAGCGGAAATAATTAGTTACTGAAAGCGAGAGTAAGAACGTGACTAAGTAGGGAAAGTAAAGCTTCATACTACCTGGTACGTTTAGGCGCACTGCCTTTTAGGTTTAGCGTTTCCGCTTTAGTTATATAATTACTTTTGACGATGCTAATAAGGATCCTCCTCCGACTATAATATAAAATATTAATTTACTCGCAAATTTCTCCTTTTTAGATCAGAATCTGCCAACATATAACAAGATTAGGATTGTACATCATGTCTTGATTAGACACATAACAGAGTTGAAAGATTGAATTGGGTAAGAGAGAGTAATCTCGATTCTTAATTTCTGGAACTCCGCAAGAGCAGCTTTAAGAGAATCATGCGCAAATCTATCGACTAGGCATTTGGGCCTACGTGGTCGATTATAGCCTTCTTCTACCTTATTATGAAACCTTTCCAAGTATCCTTTACGCTAAGGTTTGGCCTTGGCCTGAAGCACATGAGGGAAGCCAAAAGTAGAGAGAGATAATGCAGGCAGGCAAGACTTATGATAAAGAATTCACGAAGTCCCATTAATCCTTCAATCTATCGGACCATGATTGCATGAATAGCTTCCCGAATTTCCTCAATGTCAACCGTCATTCCTGTTGAAGCATTCTTCGCTTTTTGGACATCCGCTAAGAAAGAATTTCTATCTAGAATTCCGTTGTCAGGGGAGACTGGGCCGCAAAAAGCTTTATCGTAAATGTACATAGCTATTTCTTTCACTCCCGTTTGAGCCGCACGATCCAGAAGTGAAGCATTGGCGTGTAGAAAAGGTCCTCCACTCGGATGGCTATGGAGTAAATTCTGTACCTCATCAAGCAGTCCATGGTCAACAGCAGCCAAAAGAGCGGCGTTCTCAACTATATGTTGATAAAAACCCAACCACCACTCCGCAGTAGAAGTAATAGCAAGCATATTCTTAATCGCAGTGACTAGTCCGGTTTTGACCGCAACCCGGAAGTAAGTTCCGACAATGTTGTTCTCGGCTGATTTTACGACATCTATATCTCCAAGAAAGGTTCTGGCAAAAAATGCCATTAGGGATGGCCGGCTCGCCGTTGCTGAGCTTTCTTGGAATTGAAGTACATGCTTTCGGCGGACCTCGCGCGGTAGGGTCGCGAGGACATACTGGAGTAGCAACTTTTGTTCGAAGTACTGTGCTAGTTCTTCGACATTCATCGCTAGCTCAGTATCTGCAACATCTACCCTTGGCATATACCCTGTCGGTACTTGTGGCAGAGCCACTCTCATGTATTTGATCTTATCTTGCTTCACCTTATCCTTGGCTTCTGATGCCTTAACCTGGAAGCTTTGGGCATCGCTACTGGCGAGAAAATCTTTCGCTGATTGATGAAGAAGTTGCACCAGGAAGGTGGGTTCTACCTCAAAGTCATCGAATAGTTCGTCGGAAAGGCGTGATGCAGGTCTGATGACTTCAATAAATGGTCCACAGAGTTCGTGGATTGAGCGACGGAAGTGATTCCAAGACCGAACTTGAGGTCTGTTTGAAGATATGGGATCATTAGTAGATTGTAGAGCCTCGTCGAGATTCCATATTATAGCAAGGGCATCCAGCAATTCTCGGAGCTCCAGCAACCTAGTTTCGCTTGCTCCAATAACCCAGAGAAGGATCCTTCGGGCCTTAATTTGGTCGAGCTCGCTGCTAGACATCCGAAGTTCATGCGTGATCCGACAATACAATCCATGAAGTTCTAAGGGTAGCTCATCAAGTAGTTTTTGGAGCTCCTGAAATGTGAACATGCCCTTCTCGACATGGCGTAGCAGATCTTTGGTTATAAGTGTAACCCACAGAATAACACCCTGAGCATTTTTCAGAAGGTAATCTCGGATGGTCGAAATTCCTTCTTCTTCAGACTCTCGAGATCTTTTGAAAATACGGCTTGAACTAGATTTCTGGGTTGATGAGGACGCCTTTGATAGTGACAGATGACTACGGGGAGGTTTGTGCCGTTGTCTTCTGCTTCTCTGTTCCGACTGTCCCTCCTCATCGCTTGAGTCAAAAACTGCAATTGCCCTACGCAAGGACCTTAATCCAGCATCAACAACAATTTCTATATCCCTAGTATTGGCGTATTCCAACACCACTTTGTGGTAATACCTGAGATACTTTTCAATGGAGCGATTGGGTCGACTGAGAATTATAAATTTTATACTAGACCCAGGAATATTGATAATATCCTGCATCAATTCCAGTGTGTTCTCCAAAGTTTTTGGAGAGTTATGGAGATCAACAGATTTACTCGTCGGCCCATCTATTGCCTCATCCATTGCATCTAAGATGCACGCGACAGGAGGAATGTCGGACCCCCCTCCTGCAATTCGTAAAAGAACGTCTGCAAGACAGTCGAGCCATCTTGAGCTTCGATAAGCATCCTGATAGTATCTGAAGAAACTTCGATCTTGCTTCAAAACCTGAAACAAGATAGCACGTAGCATGGAAATATGAGATGTGCTGCGTTCTCCTCCTCGCGCGTTATAAAACCAGTCGGCGATGATCCACGGTTGAATATCGGACGTTCTCGTAAGGTGACCCAAGATAGTCTTTGCGAGGACTGATTTGCCACTACCTGGTTTTCCCTGAATCCAAAGTATACCCGAGGCTGCACGGGTCCATTCAACATAAGGACCATAGGCCCAAATCCACTCATTTGTTCCTGATTCCGCGTAGACTACCTGTTCTCGTCGAGCAAACATAGTTTCAAACCGAAGGGATTCTAAGCATTCTTGACAGCGTATTAGCAGTCGAAAATTTGATAGGGATCACGCGCCTACCAGTGCATTCAGTGCTCTCGTCAATTTTATGACCGCGCCATGACTCGACCTCCCCTACATCTCCACTCTTGGAAGACACTAATAGACGGGTATTCCCCGAGAGTTGGGTAACTTTAAATGCAAGCTTGCTCGCAGTGATTTGCAGGATATCTTTTGCATTTTCTAGCACAATAACCTTTGGTTTCCGAATCCTGGCCTGCATCTCATCCACGATATCAGTCTGGCGCAAACAAGCCAGAAGGAGATCTACCAAGTCTTCCTTGCCGATACTTTGACTCTTATTAAATAGCTGCCTCAACAGGCTTCGGTAAGGTCTTGAAAAAGAGAGGATGCTTTTCCTTATATCGTCATAAGTTACCAGTACTTGGCTGACCAACTTCGCGAAGATATCTTCCAGCTGCATGGGTATTGTTGTTGTGATAGTAGAGTCTGCCTTCTGTATCGCTTCGGTATCAGAAAATCGAACGTAGAAGATTTGGTACGTAGGATGCCCCCCTGTGGCAGCTTGCTGCAGTAGATGATAGCATAAGGCGGCCATCACATTTTGGTGTCTATACAAGGCTGAATCGTCGGTAATAGGATACCAAATATATTTGCTTTCTTCGTCTTCTTGGAGCCATCTTCGATATGCCGAGGTGTTCGTGAACCACGTCAGCGAGTTCGAGCCTGATCTGAGCGCCTCTTGGACCTCTTGTAATTCTCGGAGATTGGTAAATTCGGCCATTGATTGTGCGGCATTGTGTCGTACCGCATCGATTACAGGCTGAAGATCTATCCAAGTCATTAGTCTCGAACCATGACTTGTGAGGGTAAGATCTGAAGCGACATACTTTCACGTCCTATTAGCATGCTTGCACAAGCCTCTACAGCACTAAAAATGGCCTCGGATTGAAGATACATCTGAGTGCAAGCAACAATCTGATCTTTCTTCGATGCATCCTCTAATCCCACGTTTTCGAGTCCACGAAGAACATTGAATCTGAAGTATCGATAGTCCAGCGCCATACGAGAGTGATGTCGGTGGAAATCTTCGGCTCTCTTCTCTGTATCTGTGGCAATGGCAAGCAATGCCTTGCCGAGTTTGATTGGGTCATCGCCGAAAGGTTTGATCGTGGGAATTCCAGTACCAATAGAAACAAGACAGAGTATATTATCCTCCAACCGCCAATCGTCGCCTTCCTTAAACGTATCGAAGGCCTCCGTCCACATTTCTCCAATGGGGTTGTTCGCAGGGGTAGCTCCATCAACAAATTCCACGCCTCCAATGCTAATCGGGTCGAAAAATGATGAGGCTGCGGCAGTTGCACGCGCAGCTTCCCAAATTTTAGTTATGTTCAGCAGGTCTGAACCTCTGCGTCTTGAAGGATAACTTGATAGAACAGTCGTTTCTGAATTAAGTTTGTTTGTGGCACACACAAAGCTAATCATCTAAATGTCAGTTTCTTTCTTGTAGCAGTTTGTTGATTGATGACGAACGTCTTGCATCCATCTGATGACAAGTCTTTCAGGAGATCTTCGCGCTCGTAGCCATTCTCATCTAGTAAATCGCGCACACCGTCTTTAATTGCAGTGTGATCAAATCTCCCTTGCAGTTGTCCTTTCAGGGTCACTCTATGATGTACTTTCGTAAATATTTTGGGAGCGAGCGCAATGTATGCGTCGATAGCTTCGTCTACCGGCATGCGAAGTCTTCCAAGCATCAATGCAATCAAACCGCCAGTAGAAGTGCCTCCAATCATGTCGAAATATTCACATGGCTTTGGGGGATTATCTGGGTTTATAGACTCCATAAGTCGCTTCAGAATGTGCAATGATGACAGCCCCCGAACCCCGCCGCCATCTAGAGAGAGGAGGCAGAGCTCCTTTCCATATACCGGTCGCTTCATCCTCACATTACCAGCGACAGCTTTATATACTATAAGTGAGTAACCTCATAATCGAGTTCTGTGGCGAAAACTTACTAACAGAACCAGGAAAAGGACTACTTGTATCGCTATTGCGTGGATCGGGCTCTCTGCAGTACGATTGCGAACTTCTGCCAATATCTGAGCCGTAGAGATTCTGTTCAAAGCGATGCAAACTGGGTTGCAAAGTTTCACTCTCGGTTAAGATACTTCGTGGACCTTCCTGGCAGTCCCATGCTTGTCCAATGTTCGTGTCTTCCGCGAGGCTGGGGCCTTCGCTCTCTGGTTGTGAGTTTGCCATCAATCGCGTTGCCCGTCGGACTGGTACGCTAGGCGTTGAACAGAAATTCCACGCTATATGGGGCTGTAGAAGAGGTGCAACAACAAAAGCCAAATGCAGAGGTCAAATGGGTAAGGCTGTTGTGAGTCCTGACGTCCGAGAGTGCAAATGCAAATAACCTCGTGCGGTTAAGACTCAGCCTCAACTGTGGCATCGAGCTGGCTGGCTCGGCTGCGATACCGAGTAATAGTTGCATAAACCAGCCACCAAGACCGCTAAATTCGGCGGCCATTACATCGAAACATTGCGATTACCTGTAATCGTGGATGTTGGGCAAAATCCACAACATTACAGTGGTTCTCCAGGGGGTGTGCTACATACCCTTCGAGTAACGTTGACGACTCCAAACTACGGCACTTTTCTGCCACAACATATACAATTCCCACTTGTCATCCAATGAAGTAGATTGATCTATCATTGGGTGCGCTATCCTTGCCCCGGCCCTAATTCCTTTCACTACCAACCTGAATATTAATCAACAGCCCCCAATTCTACGGTCTTTGGAACAGCTGACTGTTTGGACAATTCCTTCGGTCCCGCCAGCTACACTAGGGATTTCGATTTCACGCTGACCTTTGAGCAAACGATTTTGTCCACTCTTCCCTCCACCTTGCTAATCCTAGTCACAGCTCTGCGGTTGTTTCAACTGATTATTTCACATGCCGAAGACAAAAAGTCAGCAAGCCCATCATCCGTGCTCAATATATACCTTCTGTTCTCAGTGTTATTCGAGGCCACTCAAGTCCGAGCTGTGTGGTTGACAAATCGAAAGAATATTGCTACTCTCCAGGGTGCAGGCGTTAGAGTTAAGATCGGCATGTTATATTAAGAGGCACGGAGAAAACCTCTTATCTAAAGCAACCTTATAAGGACTACCGGCCTGAATCTACAAGTGGAATGTTGAACCTGAGCTTCGTCTAGTAGTTGAACCGACTTTTCATTACAGGTGTCCTAAAGCTAATGTTGATTAATGGGACCCAAATTGGTATACTTAATACAGGTAATTGATTGGTCAGAATGGGTCATGGAATGGGGTAATTGAATTGATTCCAAAGCCTAATACTATGGGGTGAAAGCCTCACATATATAGGCAAATGAATGTATAGGGTCAGGTGATCAATCAAGTGACTCAAGGAAATAATACCGATAGTATCCGAATAACTTCCCAGGGCCTCCATCATCATGTACTATACTAATTAGTATAGGATGCGATGATATCCGTGTATTCGGCTCATCGCGAGTACATATATCTCATTTCTCCTTTGTAGTGGAGAAATGCTAAGTAGGGTATTTAAGTAGCTTGACTAGCCGGCCAGGGGAACTCCTATAACTCCTATATTCTAACACTCCCCCTCAGAGATCGACCACTTAATTAGGACTTATTTAAAGTTTAATTAAACTTATCTCTAGAGTCGAGTTTATTAGAGATATCTACTATATTGAGTTACTATACGAATTCGACATGTTTTTGGGCAAGTAAACTTTTAGTAAACTTATCTACTACTATTTTGGCAGTAAATACTTACTCCACTTTAATTGATCTAGAAAATACTTCTTAGCGCAATTAGTACTAATAGATATTAATATACTTGAACTTAGTCTCTAACTATAGAATATCTACAGTGAGAAAGTATATTATCTGTTGATTATCATAGTATAACGTCTGTGATTAGTCGTCCTGGAGATCGAATTAGATAGCTTTGAAGAGTTTATTCTACTAAATAAACTCTTTGGCAGCTAATGAGATAGCCAGAAACTCTACTTCAGTACTCGACGTAGTAATAGTTTTTTGCTTAGTAGCTTTATAGTAGATTATTCTACTAAAGAATTTAAAGTAAAAGCTATTTGAGTTATATCTAGTAATTAGATTATCTCTATAAACTGTGTCGCTCTATGCCGAAAAGAGCTCTTTAGATTAAGTTACGTTATTATTGAACTCAATAACTAATCTTTTACTACTTTCCAAGTACTGTAATAAGTAGTCGGCAGTAGCAAAGTGTTTTAGTCTAAGATTGAGCTGAAATTCGGCCAATCTAGAGATAACTTTAGCTATATCGGCATATGTAATAACAGAGACGTAATTAATACTACCTACTTTTTGCTAGTAAGTAAAGATCTATTGGGGGGTAATTTAGTTAGTATAAAGGCCTAATTCTCCAGTTAGTAGTAGAGTAGATAGAGTTTTAGTATTAATATTAACGTTGAATTTGGAGTTTATACTTTGAATATATAAGTCCTGAATAAACTAGAGTTTCTTAGTAGAACGTTCTTTAAAAATTCTGATCCCAAGAAAGTAATTAGCTTCTCCAAGTAAGTGCAAATAGTATTTAGCTATCAATTTAGCTTCAAATTAGTTTATTTTGACAGTATCTTTTGGGGTAAAAATAGTAATGATGTTATCTACGTAAAAGAATAAAGTAAACTAAGAGTTTGAATATAAGTAATTAATTCCAGGAATAGAGTAAAGTTCTAACTAGATTAAAGTGGATGTGAGTTCTTTATACTAGAGTAAAAGCGACTCTTTGAGTTTATACAAGGCTTTGTAGAGCAACAACAGTTTACTAGGAGTTTTATACTCCTCAGGGCATTTATACAACAGTAAAAACTCCAACTTAAAATTAATAAATATATTAACAATATTATATTAGCAAGTCTCTAGACTAAATCTAGTTACTAGAACTATTATAAATCTGAAAGTTTGAGTAGCCAAAGTTACTATATAAGTCTTTTGCTAATACTCTAGCTTTTGTAAGTCTCCTTTAGTATAGAGCTTAGCTTTGTACTTAGTCAGGAATCTATTTATATTGAACTTATATTTGAATATTTAAGTAAGTAGAAGTATGTAATAGTTCTAATAGTTCCTCCGGCGGGGAGTCGTATTAGAAGTGTTCTGTTTCGTTTACGTAACGAAGTAATACAATGATCTCTTTTAATAATCTGTAAATAATATTAAAGTAAGTGAATCACGGAGGGAATCAAGTATAATCAAAGTAAAATGTTATAATTGATATTCAAGAATCAAGTTGAGTACGAAACTCCTATCTAGTAAAGAAATTATATTGTTTATATAGAACTTTCCTGCTCCTAGATCTAGCTAGATTTAGATCTATTTAGATCCAAAGTCTGAACGGATCTAGATCCTTCTAGATCTTCTTCACGTGATCTCGTCATATGATTTTCTGCTGTCACGTGACCTCGTTATATACTTTCATAGTTCTCTGTAGTAATATAATACATTACCCGAGTCTTAGGTTATAAAGTTGACGTTTGTAACATTATCCTCTATATAGTTTAGCGTAGTCTCTTAGCTTAAAAGTTATATCGAAAATGTCGGATGTTAAGTATAGTCTTCTTCTTTTTTCAATATAACTTCAAATCACGACAAGTTTAAGAACTACAGATTACTTACTGATTTTATAAATTCTAAAAGTGACGAAATAATACTCTACTCAAGTTATGAAAAGTATAGTCGGACTTACGTAGTCCTGAATGAAAAGTCGAAGAAGTATAGTAAATATATTCGTCGAAGTTCGAAGTATAACGTCAAAAGTATTATAATCAACAGCTTCAAGTTCTTTTAACGTGCCTAGGAGAAGTTTCACTTTGAACGTAAAGTAGTTCTAGTAGCAGCAATAGAAAGCTTTGCTCGTGCTGAGCGTCTGAAGAAGCAGCAAGAGCTTCTCAAGCGTCGGATTTCTGATATAGTCGCTTGGGAGCTCCGTGACTTGGACGAGTTAGATGAAGTAGAAGAAAGAGAAAAGGAGGAAAAAGAAACAGAAACTTGTTGTGAAACAGAATCGAGATAACTAGCTATTACAACTAGTAGCTTTAGTAGCGACTTTTCTTTCGACTTTAGTCCTCTACTAAGTCCTAATAACTTGATCTAAGCAACTTTTGATTTTAGTAGTAGAACTCTTCAAGTATCTAGTAATAGTTGAAATAAGTCCTAAATTCTTATATATTTTCCGAATATAAGTAGTCTAACTATTTGATCAAATATTTGACTGTACCTTTAACTTGTCTATAGTCTAATATCTGTTCGACTTCGTACTCGGCGTTTAAATTAACTAGTTCTATTTCGGTTATTAGTATTAGTAGTATACTTAGTAGTACTAGTTCAAAGAGAGAAATATAGAAAACCGGAAAGATGTTTATTGTCTTTAGTAAAGTAAACTTATAATTCAGATATCCTTTGAACTTCTTAATTTTGAATAGTCCTAATTTCTTATAGTCTAGTTTATCGTTTAGTCGTTTAGTTTTGATATTTTTTCTGAATAAATAAACTCTGTCTCCTTTCTGTAGTGTTAGCTCCTGACTACGCTTCGAATTGTAATATAAAGTACTTTTTTCTACAATAAACTGAAGCTCGCTACTTAGTTCTTTATATAAATCTTTGATTTCGTTTATCTAGACTCGTGCTAACTAGTTATCGATATCTGATATCTGGGCTTCGTGATAAACACTGACGTTATAACTGTAATTAGTAAAGAATAGCGATATTTTCGTTATATCTGTAATTGTACTATTATATGTAAATGTAGTAAGTAGGAATAACGATACTCAATTATCCTATTTGTAGTTGATATAACAGTGTAAGTATACTTCGATTGTCTGATTCATTCTTTCTGTTCTACTGTTTATTTATATATAGAAAGTAGTCGATAGTTTTCTCTTAATTCCTAAATAAACAGTTAAAGTAGTCTAAAACTTGGATATGAAAAGTTTATCCCGATCGGATATGATTTCTTCTAGTATTTTATATCTTGCTACGACTTCTCGTAAGAAGGCGAATATAAGTTCTTCGGCTATACTAGATTCCAGATATAGAATAACGATTATATACTTCGTAAACTGTTCAATAATAACTAGGATTAAATCGTAAATCACTCTTATTATTAGATCTTTAGAAAGTAGGAGTTTAACAATAAAGTCTTATTAGATCGATTTCTATAGTTGTTCCG